AACTACACTGACTCACACAGGTTAAAGTATTATCATGATCTGTAAGCTTGATTCCTTTAAACCTTGAAGGGCAAAATGCAATGGCTGTGGGATAGCAACAACAAAGCTACTTGGATCTTTTTGGTGGAATAGTTACTGTCTCAGTTGGACACTGTCATCCGTAAGTGACTGTGTTCATAGAATGATGACAGGCAAACAGATGAAAAAGTGTTATCTTGATATTACTTTGATCATGCAGACACCACCAAAACAATTTTTTGACTTCATGATAGCATTCTCAATTTTTGAGTTGGGACTCAAACATGCAGCCTATCAAAGGAACAAAGCTAATGCATTAGGTGCTGTGTTAAATTTTGTTTATCACCTAATGCTTGTAGCCTTGGTCCACAAAACTAAGTTGTATGTAACTTCTTATAAGAAAATGTACAGTTGACTTGTCACAACAAAAATATATATACTTTGTGCTTAGGGTAGAAACTAAAAAGTCAGACTTATTTAAATGAAATTTGAATAGGAAAGTTAACGAGGCAGTCAAAGCTCAAGTGGACAAACTTTGGCATACAACACAAATATACATGCACCCAAACATTCATGAATATGCTGAGAAACTGACTGAGAAATTTCCTGGTAATCTAAAGGTAGATGAAATGACTTCCATAACACGAGGACATGTTTATCTCATACATAAGCTCGACGTTTATGTGACTTCTTTCCTGCTTCGTTCACAGGTTTGCTTCTTTGTAAATAGCGGATCTGAAGCAAATGACTTGGCAATGTTTCTTGCACGGCACTACACAAAGAGCTTTGACTTTATTTCATTGAGGTTTGTATAGCAACTAAGTACCTGGTAATTACTTGTGTTGTTATATAATGTAAGTAAACTTGCACATCTAATGAAGGAATGCATATCATGGAGCTAGTCCTTATACCATGGGTATGACTGCTGTTGGCACATGGAAATTTAACCATCCGCTTGGATTTGGTACCCTGCAAGTATAGTACCATTCATTCAAGCACTTTTTTCCTTTCACCTATTGAAAAGTTTCCTGTTGTTTCCAGACAATGAATCCTGATGTTTACAGAGGATTATGGGGTGGGTCAAAGTGTAAAGATTCAATTGCACAGGTTGGCTAGCTGTGATTAAATTGTGCACTATCAGCAATATCAGACTTAAGACATTCAAAGCATACATGCCAAAAGAAGGGAAATTTGTGCTAGAAAATTGAAATGATTGAAGTTATCTCAAACCCTCAATGTACAACAATTTACTTTTTAGACCACTAGGAAATGTAACTGCTCTGAAGGTAATTCTTAGACATACGTGACTATTTTCACATTTCAATGCAAGCTTGCAGAATGGATCTTTTTGGTTTGCCAGGACACTGCGAAGCAACAGATAATTACATTGCCGAATTTGAAGACATGTTAAGGCACTCATGTGGGAAAAAAGTAGCAGGATTTATAGCAGAATACATACAGGTTTGATCAATGGCCTATTGCCCAAGTTGATACACAAAGCTTTGCGAATTGATTCATCATAGTAAAAAATCAAGGTTAAATCAAACGGTGAAAACCATACCTTAATTTTGAGTATGTTCGCTTTCCTTATGATATATCCCTGTGGACTTATTTTACTTGGGAAGATGAATAATTTCAATGCATTTTAGGGTGTAGGTGGTTCAGTCCAAATGCCACGGGGATTTTTACCAAAGGCATACAAATTGATTCGCGACCACGGAGGTGTCTGCATTTCCGACGAGGTAATTGACTCGATCTCGCACCATATATGAAATAGAGTTTGGTTTCAACTAGAAAAAAAGATCATTGTCTTAGAGCTTATGATACTTCAGGTTCAGACTGGTTTTGGTCGTTTGGGTACGTCATATTGGGGATTTGAAGAAGCGGGTGTTATTCCAGATATAGGTAAGACGTTGTCCTTCGTGTCCAATCAACCTCTAATTTCTGTAACGTTTATTTACATAACTCGCTAAAGCCTGGCTCTCATATAGTCGTTCGAGACGACTCGTGCAAAAAGTAATTAAGCAGTCTCTCGGCAGCGCTAGTACCACTGAGCTAGTACGAATAAATGAGAAGTACAATTGCTTAAGTCGTCCCAGTCGTTTTGAAAAACAACAAAACAACAAAACAACTCGGAACGACTCGGATGACTCAAGCGACTTAATGAGAACCATGCTTAACTGATATTATTCCTCTTGTTGAAAAACTGACTTCATCTTTGCACTTGACTTATGAACTTTCTCTTTTGACAGTTACAATGGCAAAGGGCATCGGTAATGGCTATCCACTGGCAGCTGTTGTCACAACTCCAGGTAAAGCGGGGAGATGCTCTTTGAATTGTGTGAAAACCGTAGTCACTAAGGTTTAGCTTGCGCGAGAGCAATATAACCTGTGAAAAAAGGTGCACATATCAACTACTTGAATGAGGTTAAAACATATAGTTCATTACGCATTGAAAACAGCATCAATTCTTCTTTAATAGAGATAGCAAGCGTGATGGGTGAAGCCCTTCATTTCAATACGTTTGGTGGTAACGCACTTGGTTCTGCCGTCGGAATGGCAGTTTTGGATGTACGTTTAGTGACGTAACAATGGCTGAACTATGACGTGTTGTCACGTCATACTTACGTGATCTCGATTATTCACTCGCTTTTTAAAGATTTTTCTTCATTTTTTTTTTCATGGACAAGTTCGTCTATCTTTGTTGCCTCCTAATTTACGTTTTTATATCATCCACTTGCCTGGTAACATCGTGTTTTTTTATCATTTTGGTTACTAACTTTTTAACCAGTTGCGATTTTGCAATAGATGCGTAAGAGGGACACAAAGGTACCAAGCATGTGAACAATGTATTAATGTGAATTGAGAGGGACACAGAGGTACCAAGCATGTGAACAATGTATTAATGTGAATTGAGGGTTACGCGAATTTGTCTATTCATCGATTTCTAACCTTAAAATAACCGTATAAATACTACGCAAATATTATATTCAATACCTCTTGATCCCATGAGAGCCCTGTTGTACCAATTTCTCTATTCAACTACGCAGGCCATTGAAGAAGACGGCACTCAGCACAATTCTCACGTGGTCGGCACGCATCTTCTTACCGAAATGCTGAAACTTCGCGATGAATTCGAGGTCGTAGGCGATGTGCGTGGAAAAGGTTTGATGATCGGAATGGAGCTCGTCTCGGATAAGGTTTGTTATAACAACTGCAAACAATTGGACATATTTGGTTGTTTCTATATCAACGACTAGATATTACACATGTGTACATGTTAAGGATTCATAAGATGGTAGCGTTAAACTTAGTGGAAGAGTTACAACGGGAATTAGCCGAGTACATGTTAAGGATTGATAAGAAAGGATGAGGCTAACACCTTACCTTTTGAGTTGTTGAACCTGATCTTATATTTCATTTTTCATCTGTTTTAACTTCATCCATTGCGACTGTACTTCCTCTTTCTCCTTCTTTCTATTTTATTATGAAAACATTTAAGCAATTGTTCGTGATTTCATTCACCTACGAACTCACCTCCCCACGTCACATTGTTCGTTGCTGTGCTTTATTTTAAGTAGAGACTTTCACAACCTTCCCAAACCATTAAGCAGTTCATTGGTTAATGTTTTGCATATTCCTTAGGATTCTAAGAAAGCTTTACCGGCTGAAGACATTATCGAAATTTGGGACGATATGAAGGACATGGGAATATTAGTTGGAAAAGGAGGAGTTTACGGAAATGTGAGAAAACGAAGTTTTACTTTATCCGTTACTAGACACAACACAGTACGAAAGACCGCCCTCCCCCAACAAGTAAATGAATCTCAGCACTAATTATACCTATGGTAGATTCATAAATTGCATGTGAAGAATGGGTTCACTCCTGCTTTAAAGAAGAATGTATCGTCTCTTGAATTCAAAATATCAAAATATCCCCATGTCAAAATTGGTATTTTAATAGTATAGAATAATCTGCTCCACTCACTGTTGAACAACAGTATTTTTTCAGTAACTGTCATCGTATGAACAGTTTGAGGAAGGTTCAGATTGTCGTATCAAAACAGAGCGACGACAATTGGCCTTTTAGACTGCTTGGGATTTATTCATTCTGCACATATTTTAAAGTGCCCCTTTCAGCAAAAATTTTTAATAGCGATATTAAATTTACGTGTGATTTTCAACGTATCAGTAAGAAATGTTTTAAGTTTGTCAAATCGTTCAATTTTTATTGCTATTTAAAGGTAGCAAAAATGTTGCTTTTAATGGACCTTGTCCGTCGTTCGAAAAGTCTGGAACGACTTACCTTTGTGACGTCATGCAAGGGATTCGTCAATACAAGATATATATACCAACTACCTTGGATGACGTCAGAATTCGGCTAGATCCAGACTTCATGCCACGACGGGCAAGGTCCACTGGAAGGCAACTTTGAGCTTCCTTAACAAGAAGACAATTTGACCAAATTGAAAAATTTTTTCACCAATATGTTTGATATTACACCAAGTTTTCATATCGCTAATAAAAATTTTTGCTGATAGGAGCACTTTAATTTAGCAATTACCTTTCTACCAATGCTTTAGGTATTCCGTGTTAAACCTCCAATGTGCCTAACGATAGAAGACGCTGACTTTGCCATCTCGGTGATGCGGAGATCTTTTGAAAACTATCACGACAAAAGGAAATGAACATGAATTAATTTTTAATTGTACATAAATGATGAAATCATTTTCTCCATTTTTCAATTTACAGTTTATGGTATTAATGCACACAAGACTGACTTGTTGTTGATCGACCATGTCATGTCTTACATAATTAATCTAGTAATGTCAGATACCTGTTCGCACCAGTGATACGCACCAATTTTACACCAAATACGGGAAGAAGAAATTATCACAATCAATTATAATTTGGATTGGAAACCATAATCAATGCTATCGATCATGTTGATTGACAATATTTGGGTTGACGTCGATTAACCGAAACTTGATGATTTTGCATGCTATGGGATATCAGTTAAGCATTTGTTAAGAAATAAATTCTATCTTATTAATCACAAATTTGAGATCATGTGTTATATCTCACTTTAGAGGATGCGATCACGTGTGATATCTCATTTTTGAGGAAACGATCATATGTGATATCTCACTTTAGAGAAAACGATCACGTGTGATATCTCACTTTAGAGGAAACGATCAAGTGTGATATCTCACTTTAGAGGAAACGATCACGTGTGATATCTCACTTTAGAGGAACGATCACGTGTGATATCTCACTTTAGAGGAAACGATCAAGTGTGATATCTCACTTTTGAGAAAACGATCACGTGTGATATCTCACTTTTGAGGAAACGATCACGTGTGATATCTCACTTTAGAGGAAACTTGACATTTACAGTTTACTTACCTTCCGAAAGTAATCCATTGTTATCATCTTTTACCCACTCTAGTACTACATAATACATTTACATTGAAATTTCATACCCTTGTGGATCGACACTTGTTTTCTACGGATTTAGTCCCTTATATCTCTCTCCTTATTTACCTTGAGGTAAATACACAAGCATAACCTATCTATGAAACATGCATACTCTAGCCATAATACAAGCATAACCTATCTATGAAACATGGATACTCTAGCCATAATACAAGCATAACCTATCTATGAAACATGGATACTCTAGCCATAATACAAGCATAACCTATCTATGAAACATCCATACTCTAGCCATAATACAAGCATAACCTATCTATGAAACATGCATACTCTAGCCATAATAAAAGCACAACCTCCCTATAATACAAGCATAACCTATCTATGAAACATGCATACTCTAGCCATAATAAAAGCACAACCTATCTATGAAACATGCATACTCTAGCCATAATAAAAGCACAACCTATCTATGAAACATGCATACGAAGTCTTTTATCTCCTAATTATATTCTGGTGCAATGTAAGTTGAAAACAACGTTATGTAGAAGAAGCATTTTAGATAATAAGTGATGGATAAAACAAAGAATCGTGTTAAAAATGATTATATATGTCGATATTTTTACGCATTTGAATGTCTATCTAATACGTCTTGGCGTTTTGGATAAGAAAGATTGCCCTCTCATGCACTGCCGTCGCTAGTATAAAAGCTTTAAAAGTCAGTTAAACTGCAACGTATACCAATGTTGTCAGCAAACAGTTTGAAAGAAATAGCTTCATCTTTTCAACGTAATTGTTGTATCACGTGACACCCTGAAGAGAACAAGTCATCGTCATGTAAGTGTCACGTGTAACTACTGTGTCAATTCATTTCCATGAGTAGTGGGTAGATCGGTGGTAGGGGAGCGACAAGGGTGGTAAGACAGTAAGAGGTAGGGGGCATTGCAGGGTAAAGGGTAGTGAGGTAAGGGGTACTATAAGGGGTACTTCGTCTATTTATTCGCTAGTCAAGTGGTCATTGTCTCAATGGAGTACTTAAAGTCCTGGGTAAGCAGGGATTTTCTATGGTACTTAAAGTCCTGGGTAAGCTGGGATTTTCTATGGTACTTAAAGTCCTGGGTAAGCTGGGATTTTCTATTTATAATACTTTACAAAACTTTACAAAACTTAACAAAACATGCAGCTATTGTCTTATGAGGACTTGCTATCTTGTAATTCCTCTTTTATAACAACACTTGTAAAACCATATTGGTTGGCAACTTGCACAAACATTCCTCATAATCCCTCCCAATCCCTAGTCATAAAGTAAACCCTAACCTGTAAATCTGTAAGCTCTTGCTGTTGTTCTTCAAGTGTACGAGTAAGTGTTCGGCAATGGTCTGATGTAGCAGCAAGTTCTTCTTTTAAAGAACAAATCTATAAACACGAACAAACTGATGTCATAAAGTGAACACTTCGTCAATACAATAATTTGTATTGTGTGATAGATCGTAAATAGATCCACTGTTTGGTAACATCATCTGTCAGGAGAGGGTTTAAATTCCGACCACATAAACCCTCACAAATGATTGAATTTTCAATGGTGAAATACTCAAAAACTGCGTTTTGTGAAGGTTTAAACAAGTGAATTTACACTTTTAATGATATATGAAAGAGATGTTATATGCAGTGCGGTGTTTGAAATTAAATGAAGATATGATCTTCGCACTTTTGCTGGACAATTTAAGCAATTGTCTCATGAACCTGAAAATTTCAGGTGACTCAACGGGATTCGAACCCATGACCTCTGCGGTGCCGGTGCTCTAACCAACTGAGCTATGAAGTCACACAGTGGAGAGCAACTTACTTATCTATCGTGTTAAAATGTAGTGGCAGATGGGGGGCAACAAAACTGAACGATAATCGGGCACAGAATACGGCCTATTAATGAAATAGTGTTGTTCAAGGTGGGATTCCGCATTTTATACTCAATGGGGCATAAAGTGGAAAATGCAGAGTCCGTGTTATAGAAGTATCCATCTTTGCATTAGGCGAGACTCCGCACTCCGACTTCCGCATTTTCCACCATGCCCAAACAGCGTCGAAAGTTTAATCAGTTTTCAAGGAGTTTGTTTCCTATTTTCAAAGGTTTTGTTAGTGCAATTAACAATGAACTTAGTATTTAAGACCTTTTCATAAAGTTCAATGAGTACAGCAGACTCTGTGGTTGTCATAACCAAATAAAACCGTTTGTTCAATTTTATACTCGCTAATGTTACAGAAATAGAAAACAAATAATGTTCACAAACCTCGTTTTGAAAAGTTTCTTTCTCAATTTGTCGCTTCTCGCACTCGTCACTCAATTTTTCTTTCAATTTGCTCACGCTATTTTCCTATCAATTCAAAAACAATAGTCATCTGCAGAGATGCTAAGAGATAATGTGGGTTATTGGGGAACATTTTATCCCGATACCACATGACAACATGATTTCAAATGTTTGCGACTGTGCGGAACGAGTGCAATGTGTTTTGAAAATGAAAATAACTGTGATTGCCTTAACTTTAGGGTTTTTTGTCAACTCGAGGGCTCTTTGCAGGTTGGGTGCCCGGGAAATGCCCTCAATGGGCAAAGTGCTCAGGGTTAAATTCCTCCATGGCCAAGGCCCGGTCATCTGACGTAATGAGTAAAACATGACGAAGAAAATGCAGTACAAAATGTCGCCAACCAACCTTCTTCGCTAAATCACTTGCAAGCTCTTCAATTTTATCATTCTTCTCAGCAATCAAGTTCTCCATAGATGTAAGCATCCTCTAAAATTTTAAAATAAATTCCAAAAATGCAACGCAAACATAGTTTTCCTGATGTGCTTCGCAAACGAAAAATTCCCTTCGTCGTTTGTTCACTGTTGAGCACAGGATGATATTGAAAAACAAAACGAGAAAACGATGTACCTCTTTTTGAGAAAGCGACGATTTCAATTCCTTCACAGAGTCCAACAGCTTCACGCGATAACTCTAGGGAGACATCAAATAAACAACGGTGGATTTAGTGATGAAAATGTGGAGATGATCAGAAGAATGTACGACACTGATGATTGGTTGTAAAATAATGGCCGCAAACCTCACCCCTCTCCCTCAATACCTTTTCTTCTTGTACTTGACGTTTTAAGTCCGCAACATATTGATCACCATTATTTAGTTTCTTATTCAGGTCAATAATCTTTTCACCCTAGATACACACATATAACTGTTAAGAATAGACAATGAAAAAGGATAATACCTCATGTTAAAAATAATCTTAAAGAAAACCCATCCTGAATGCAAACGCAAGGAAAGTATCACATTATAAAACTACAATACAGTAGTTTTTATCAAAGACCATGTGCTATGAAAGGACAGGGCTTCTCCTTGTACATGAGCCGTGATATTAACGGCCATTTCTTCGGAAAGGCTCTCAAAGTGAATCGTCTTCATCTTGGGCAACATTCTATCTATTTACATTACTGATCTCGATTTATATTATTAGTTATACCATCAGAGATCACTTGGGCTCTCAAAGTGAGTCGTCTCCATTTTGGTCAAAATTCTTTCCACTTAAATTGCTGATCTCCATTCATGTTGAACAAACTAAGCATTCCATTGTGCGGACATGAACCATTCTTTAGATATGGCAGTAAGTAAGTTAAATAAATGACATAATATATCACATACGTCGTACCTGTTCCACACAGAGAGCATTACCTTGCTGAAGTTCATCTTTCAGATTCACACACTCTTGTAACGCAATAGTTGGAGGAGTTTTTGAAACTGAAAGATGAACTTCAGTTAAGCTCTCAAAGTTAATGGCCTCCATCTTGACAACATTTTACTTATTTACATAACTGATCTTGATTCGTATTGAACAAACTAGGCACTCCATTGTGCAGACATTAACCATACCTACTCCTATTCATTATACATGTATACAGTAAGTAAGAATAATTAATGACATAATATATCATATCAGTCATACCTGTTCCACACAGAGAGCATTAGCTTGCTGAAGTTCATCTTTCAGATTCACACATTCCTCTAACGCAGCAATGAATTGCTGTTGTTTATCTGCCTCGGTCATTAATTTCTCGTTTGTTTTGTTGGCCACATTAAGATGTTCCAGAGTGCTCTATGTCGAGAAGAAAGATGTTTATGTAAATGTAGAACTATCGAGGGATTTACTGATAAGACAATGTTTTTGACAATGGTAATTTACAAAATGCGATTTTGTAAAATAAACGCAATGAAACGCGTGCGCTGATTGGTCTAGAACTGTGTTTGCATTAGCCTGTGCAAAAACCGTCTGAACCCAACGAATCAAATCAATCAATCAATCCACTAGAATTTGCAAATCAATTAAGAAAACGTTTTAAAAGAAAAATTAAAACGTTTGTTTTCAATTTGTCTGTTTCGCTTTATTGTTATTTTATAAAAGAAATAAAAGACGTGTTTCGTGTTTGCACTGGCTTATGCAAACCTCGGAGACGTTCATAAAAGCCCTCGAGCAGGTGCAAACCTCGACCTTCGGTCTCGGACATGCACTGATCTACTCTCGAGCTCTCCCAAAGGTCTCCTAGGTTTGCATAAGCCTGTGCAAACACAGTGAACATCTTTTACAATTACTTTAGTGAAACTTACCTTCAGTTCATTTTCAAGTGATTTGATCTTATCACGTTCAGCACGGAGTAAGTTTTCCCATTCGTTTAACTTGTGGTCTTTAAACTGAAGCTCTTCTCGCATATTTTCTGCATCGGTCTGACAGAGAACAAATTGCATGCATATATTGTAGAATTTGACATTAATGTGCGGACTAAATACCTGAAGGTTTTGATTTATTTCCATAATTTCTTCCATTTCGCTTTTTGTACTTGTCAGTTCAATCTCCAATGTACAAATCTATTTCAAATATCGAAAGGACATTAGTAAAATCACTGTCGTTAGCAACGACAATGCAGCATGCGTTCTGATCAGCCACCATCAAAGTGACAGTATCATCACCATCAAAATGACAGTATCATCACCATCAAAGTGACAGTATCATCACCATCAAAGTGACAATATCATCACCATCAAAGTGACAGTATCATCACCATCAAAATGACAATATCGTCACCATCAAAATGAAAATATCATAACCATCAAAATGGCAGTATCATCACCATCAAAATGATAGTATCATCACCATCAAAGTGACAGTATCATCACCATCAAAGTGACAGTATCATCACCATCAAAATGACAATATCGTCACCATCAAAATGAAAATATCATAACCATCAAAATGACAGTATCATCACCATCAAAATGATAGTATCATCACCATCAAAGTGACAGTATCATCACCATCAAAATGACAATATCATAACCATCAAAATGACAGTATCATCACCATCAAAGTGACAGTGTCATCACCATCAAAATGACAATATCATCACCATGAAAGTGACAGTATCATCACCATCAAAATGATAGTATCATCACCATCAAAATGATAGTATCATCACCATCAAAATGATAGTATCCTCACCATCAAAATGATAGTATCATCACCATCAAAGTGACAGTATCATCACCATCAAAATGACAATATCATAACCATCAAAATGACAGTATCATCACCATCAAAGTGACAGTATCATCACCATCAAAATGACAATATCATCACCATGAAAGTGACAGTATCATCACCATCAAAATGATAGTATCATCACCATCAAAATGATAGTATCATCACCATCAAAATGATAGTATCATCACCATCAAAATGATAGTATCATCACCATCAAAATGATAGTATCATCACCATCAAAATGATAGTATCATCACCATCAAAGTGATAGTATCATCACCATCAAAGTGATAGTATCATCACCATCAAAATGATAGTATCATCACCATCAAATGACAGTATCATCACCATCAAAATGACAGTATCATCACCATCAAATGACAGTATCATCACCATCAAATGACAGTATCATCACCATCAAATGACAGTATCATCACCATCAAAGTGACAGTATCATCACCATCAAAGTGACAGTATCATCACCATCAAAATGACAGTATCATCACCATCAAAATGACAATATCATCACCATTAAAATGACATTATCATAACCATCAAAATAACAATATCAAAAGCATCAAAATGACAATATCAAAAGCATCAAAATAACAATATCATAACCATCAATATGACAATATCGTCAACATCAAATTGACTACATTATCAATGAAAATGAGACTTTAACACGAAACTTACTTTGCTTTCCAATGAAGCAGCTTTACGTCCAGCATTATTTTTTTCGATGTCTTGATCTTTCTTCAAGGATTCAATGTGCCTGTCAGCTTGCTTTAGACATATCTTTAGATCTTCATTCTCGCTCTTAAATACTAGGAAACAACGATGTCGAAGATGAGTAAACTTGACGGAAAAGTCTGTCCTAGTTTGCCTTAACGCTTACAACTCATCTCTGAAATTTCTTCTTTTAGTTTATCATTCAATGTGTTTAGCTTCTTGTTAAGATCGGCTTCGACATTTGTAAACTTTGATCTTTCACTTGAAAGACACTATAAAGGATTAAAAAGGATTATAAAGGATTAAAGAATTATAAAGGATTAAAGGATATAAAAGATTTATATTATGTATAATCTCTCTGATGAGTACATGTTAAGGATTGATAAGAGAGGATTAGGTCAACACCTTACCTTATTGAGTTGTTGAACCTGATGCTCTAGTTTATTCATCGTCTGATTCAACTCAATCCTTCGCGACTCTTCTTCTTCTTTCTCCTGTAGCGTCGCATTATATAATTTTGAAATTTCCGTCAGTTCTTCAAACAACGTCTCTTGATATATTTCCTCGTCATCGGGAATTTCCGGTTCGTACGTCACAAATGGATCGTCCAATAAATCAGGTTCGTTTAAATCGTTGTAGCTATCGCTTCTCGAACGTAAAACACCATTTGATGGCGCATCTTCAAGCATACCGCATGCACGAGTAGATAGAGAAATTCGTCGCCTGTTGGGAGTACTGATTGCCTTCGGTGAAGATAAATTCTACAAGTGAAACGGTAGAGTATTAATTCATTGTACGAACATGTAAAAATTTATAAAAAGATTTCAGGTTGGCTTCAATAACAAGTCGAAAAGGCGGAAATCTTTGTAGTATCCTTCAATATTATAGTTAACTATGCGAAAAAAACTCTTGCGAACAAAAGAAAAAGATTTGAACATGCGCAGATACTTTGCAAAACAAATTGTGACGTGAAAAATAGCCAATACAATACACAACCATAGACATAACACCTGAAAGCCTTTACTCAAATGATGCAACCTGAAAGCCTTTACCTTTAGATGCAACCTCAAAACCTTTACTCAAATGATGCAACCTGAAAGCCTTTACCTTTAGATGTAACCTCAAAGCCTTTTTCAAATGATGTAACCTCAGAGCTTTTACCCAACTGATGTAACCTTAAAGCCTTCACCCAAATGATGTAACCTCAAAGCCCTTACCCAGATGATGCAACCTCAAAGCCGTTACCCAAATGATGCAACCTGAAAGCCTTTACCTTTAGATGTAACCTCAAATCCTTTACCCAAATGATGCAACCTCAAAGCCTTTACCCAAATGATGCAACTTCAAAGCCTTTACTCAAATGATGCAACCTGAAAGCGTTTACCTTTAGATGTAACCTCAAAGCCTTTACCCAAATGATGCAACCTCAAAGCCTTTATTCAAATGATGCAACCTTAAAGCCTTTGCCCAGATGATGCAACCTCAAATCCTTTACCCAGATGATGCAACCTCAAAGCCTTTATTCAAATCATGCAACCTTAAAGCCTTTACCCAGATGATGCAACCTCAAATCCTTTACCCAGATGATGCAACCTCAAAGCCTTTACCCAAATGATGCAACCTCAAAGCCTTTACCTAGATGATGCAACCACAAAGCCTTTACCCAGATGATGTAACCTCAAAGCCTATACCCTTGTGCTTAATACGAAGTCAACTATTCTCAATATATAAACGTAGACTTGTTAAAAGATTTATTTAAAACAATGTAGTATGGTATTGAATTATAAATACTCACTCGTATTGTCTGCATATGAACATCGTTTAAAGTCGTCCGTTCTAACGCTGTCTTTACTTGATGCATTTCTAAACATTTCTAACGAAAAGATCAGCAGAGGATAAGGTTGTGAGCGTTATAACTTTCTTTATTTGTAACCAGGTACCTTAAATATCATGAATACGAGCTTAATTGTCCTTTATATCATATTGTTCATTCATTTCTACATCATACTACAAATCCTGACACGGGATTCATATTATGGTGATTTTTCTGATGATGGCTACGGAATAATTTCTACATGAGGACTCGCGCAATTTCCAAAACGATCATAGTACACAATTTAACACGTAAGCCGGGGGGGAGAAGAATAAAAATAATTTCGTTCTGGAATCATATGAACACGAATCAGTAATTCACTACGATATGAGGGCCACTTCACGTCGACTAAGTTTAAAGTCATTAATATAATATGGGGCGACTTAAACATCACTAAAGTTAAAACAAACATTGTTGGACTTCAAATATAAAGGTGTCAAGACTTGAGCGTTTATCTCTTCACGATAGAGGACGGATGATCAACTCATTGGATGAAGTGCATTCATCAGTTTCAATCTATTACGAACAAAATATTCTTCGTACCTTGAGCTCTTCAATAGTTTTTCTTGAAGATTCGACCTCAGCTTCAGATTCAAGGCAGCTTTTTCGAAAATGATCCTCGCTCTCGATCAACTTTTCTTTTGACTGCTGGAGATCTTCACGAGTGTCGTAAAGTTCCTCCCTGACGGAGTCAAGATGGCTCTGCATTTGACTCAATTCACTTTTATATCTGGAAGTGACAAGAGAAGATTTACAAGTGGATTGAACAGGGAGGGATTCGGTATGATTTTGTAGGGCATGCTCTAGATTGAATTTGAATTTTCGTGTCAACTTCCGGGGTGCCTAGTTGCGTTCAATTTTACAAATCCTATACAATGATTATGATATATTTTAGGAGGTGTGCTCCATCAAATCCAAATCACAATTTCTTTGCTTGATTCCTTGGCATATTAATATTTCGTATGGAAATAGCAACCCCCTAGCTAAGGCTAGAAGGAGTGCATACTCCTCCACTACACCATAGTAAGTTCACACCCCTGTCATTAAAAATCATGCTTGAAGAGTGACTGGGATGTAAGGATGGCTGGGAAAGGAGTGAAAATTACTGAAATATTACTACAACAACAGATTGCTGACGAGAACTAAAAGATCGCGGAATTTTGAAGGTGAACTGAGAGCTAACTACGATTATTAGAATTAGGGAAGCATGTCGAAACCTTTCAATCTCGGCATTTGAAGCCTCAGAGACTTTTGATGAACTTGACAGACTTTTCTCAAGAAAGCCACCATCATTAACGTTCAAGGCATCCCTCAGTTTGCGTTCCAACTGCAACGCATAGATCTTCGTTTTACTAAGATCATATGACATGTCAATGGTAGCGTCTTTGCTGTTTTCTCGTAGAGTTTTAAGTTCGCCTATACAACAAGAATCACATTTCATAAATGATGAACATGCCTTGGATATGAAAGCGGAAATGGATTTAGGGGAGGAGTGCGGAGGGTTGAAATTTGCCCAGAAGAAAATACCAAATACTAAAATGCCAAACAATTAGACGAAATCAATTGTGATAAGTGTTTTAACGGAGCGCTTTCAAAACTATCACAGGTCCATTCTGAACAAAATAATCTATTGCATCAGATTAAAAAAACATGACAAGAACTTTTCGTTCACCACATCTGTAATATTTGATACAGACACCGCTTTGCACGAAAACAACATATAAATACAGGATGGATTTCACATGTGTGTTTGAGGAGGGGGGTGGGGTGGAGGGCGACCAGTCCTAGCCTTAGTTACAAGTAGCAAAAGCAAAAGTGGTGCTAATTTTCTTACGAAAATTTAATATTCTAAGCAATTAAGCAAAAGCAATGGTGATTTGCGTGTTGATGGAACATACCACCAATCCCCCAACGTGTTCAATTCCCAACGAAAAAGAGCCCAAGCCGTAGTATAAAAGCAGCAGAATTAAACCAAAATCTCGACGTCACCCAAAAAGTAGCCATTGAAATCTCATCAAAAATAGACCACCAACCCTTCAAACAAAATCATTCTGAATTTATCCTTGGACAGATATCCGGTTGACATTACAATAAACTGCATGATTCTCAGCAACGCAAACGAACCTCTAAGTTCGAGATTTTCCATTGCAAATTTTGTAACGTCTGGATGATGATCCAATTTTTCTTGTAAAATTTTAATCTCCTCGCGTAACATCGCCTATAACATCAAAAATAGACATAGATCTATTTTCAGTGTTCTATGGTTCTACGGCCAACAACAACATCATCTCACCCCTTAAAGGATATTAGTCTACTCACAACTTCATTATCATTATCAACTTCATTGTCGCGGGCGATTGTAGAAGAGTCTTTCTTCTGCGTCTTTTCTAGTTTAGCAATGTGAGCGTCACGAAATTTCAAAATCATTTTCGTCGACTATATGTGAAAAATAAAAAGATGGTAAAATATAAAAAAGTTTTTTCTTGTCAAAGATGAATAAATATTAGCCCTTGCAGGACACAAGTTTGCATCAAAAATGAACATGTCATCACCCTCATACATACTTGCAGAAATCGATCTTTCTTTCTGCCAAGTTCTTCCAGTTTCTTGATTTTTTCCTCCAACACCTGAGAAACAATCATCATTGCATTGAAAACAAACCTTTTTTTTTGCATTAAAAACGAGGCCATAACATAGGAATCTTAGAACACTTCGGTTAAACGTATGTGTCATGAACATTCATGGCGAGAATTTGTTCAAACAAGACACCTTTTTTGAGCAACTTTTAAACAATTTTGTTTGGAAGTTTACGAGTGAAAAGGACATATCACGACAGTCACTTTCTACCTGCTTTTCTAGCTCAGATTTCTCCTTTAGATTGATTGTAGTGAGCGCTATTTGTTTCCAGTCTTCTACGCCTTTTTTCGCCGTCTCATCTTCAACGTTGCTTGCGGCGCCCGCGGTTGATTGAAAGTTTGCCCAGTCATTGCTTACTGGTGACAATGAACATATTGTGCATTGGCAAAAGTTACAACTAAATCACCTAAGTCAACATAAATCAGGGCTTACTGTTGTTCGACGTTGACATACGGCGCACACCGGCTACAAGAAAATGTAAGTAAGAGATCTTTCCTGAAATTCGCCGGATAAATTCTTACACATAAGAGAAAGAAAGTCTCTCTACCTCTGGTTTCTTGCAACAGTAGTTTTAACTTGCGAATTTCTTCTTGCAAACTTGCAACGTTCCCAGAAGTATCTTCATTCACAATCGCCTAATTCACAACGACGTAAAAAGAAAAGGAATAAAGAGCAAGATTCAATGGCAAGTTTTTACAAAATACACGAATGACGTTCTTCAATTGTAAACCTATAATTTATGACTGATCCTTGACAATTGTCAATTCATCTGTCTCCAACAAATTTTGTAAACACAGAGATTTTACATAGACTGAAACTATCGTAGTTTATATGCAACCAACTTAAAATCCTACAAATCCATGATCCAACGAACAAAAGATCCTACAATCCTAAGATCTTAAAAACACAAGATCCTACAATCCTACAATCCTACAATCCTAAGATCCTACAATCCTAAGATCCTACAAACACAAGATCCTACAATCCTACAATCCTAAGATCCTACAAACACAAGATCCTACAATCTTACAATCCTAAGATCCTGCAAACACAAGATCCTACAATCCTACAATCCTAAGATTCTACAAACACAAGATCCTACAATCCTAAGATCCTACTAACACAAGATCCTACAATCTTACAATCCTAAGATCGTACAAACACAATATCCTACAATCCTACAATCCTACAAACACAAGATCTTACAATCCTATAATCCAAAGATCCTATAAAACTACCATCCTACAGATTTAATTGATCTAATAAGCGCAAGCTAAACATGACAACATGCAAACTGTCGTGTTTCACAACTTGGCACAAGTTCAACAACTTCAACAACATCAAACAAGCAATTTGATAGTCTCACCTTATTCCTAATCTCTTTTGCTCTTTTAGCAAAATTCAAGGTAGAAAGAGTTTCACCAAAGCACCTGAAAATTATAAGCAAAACCTTTTGCACCACACGAAACGTAACAATGTTTTATTAATCAGCAAGTTAGGTAAGACAAACCTGCCGAGGGATGAACATTGGCGATAATATGTGTACGAGCATTTCCTCCAAGAGAGTCCTGGCAACGAGAAAACATTAAATTATCATTTTGAGACATTTTTCTTCATATAAAGTAAATCCAACGCAAACTGAGCAGCGGAGAGGAACAATAGGGCCTGAGGCAAAATACGGTGATTGCAGTAATGGATGGAATGGGAATGGAATGGAATGGAGGAATGGAATGGAATGGAATGAGGAATGGAATGGAATGGAATGGAATGGTGGATGGAATGGAATGGATGGAATGAAAGTGGAATGGATGGAATGGAATGAGGTGGAATGGAATGGAATGGAATGGAATGGAATGGATGGAATGAGGGGAATGGAATGGATGGAATGGAATGGAGGGTGGAATGGAATGGAATGGAATGGAATGGATGGAATGGAATGGAATGGAGGTGGAATGGAATGGAATGGAATGGAATGGAATGGATGGAATGGTGGAATGGAATGGATGGAATGGAATGGAATGGAATGGAGGGTGGAATGGAATGGAATGGAAAGAGTGGAATGGAATGGATGGAATGGAATGGATGAATGTGAATGGAATGGAATGGCGGATGGAATGGAATGAAATGGAATGGAAGGAATGGAATGGATGGAATGGAATGGAGGAATGGAATGGATGGAATGGAATGGAATGGAATGGATGAATGGAATGGAATGGAATGGATGGAATGGAGGTGGAATGGATGGAATGGAGGTGGATGGAATGGAATGGAATGGAATGGAATGGAATGGATGGAATGGAATGGAATGGAATGGATGGAATGGATGGGTGGAATGGATGGAATGGAAAGTGGAATGGAATGAGGTAATGGAATGGAGGAAAGGAATGAAAGGTGGAATGGAATGGAGGGAATGGATGGAATGGAATGGAATGAATGGAATGGAAGAGAGGTGGAAGGATGGAATGGAATGGATGGAATGGAATGGAATGGAATGGATGGAATGGAATGGAATGGAAGGTGGAATGGATGGAATGGAATGGATGGAATGGAATGGAATGGATGGAATGGAATGGAATGGAATGGAGGAATGGATGGTGGATGGAATGGAATGGAATGGATGGAATGGAATGGAATGGTGGAATGGATGAATGGAATGGAATGGAATGGAATGGAATGGATGGAATGGAATGGAATGGAATGGATGGAATGGAATGGATGAATGGATGGAATGGAATGGAATGGATGGAATGGAATGGAATGGAAGGATGGAATGGAATGGAATGGAATGGAGGTGGAATGGAATGGATGGAATGGAATGGAATGGAATGGAATGGAATGGAGGAATGGAATGGAATGGATGGAATGGAATGGAATGGATGGAATGGAATAGGGTGGAATGGATGAATGAGGAGGTGGAATGGAATGGATGGAATGGAATGGATGGAATGGAAAGAGGTGAATGGAATGGATGGAATGGAATGGAATGGAATGGAATGGAATGGAATGGAATGGAATGGAGGTGGAATGGAATGGAATGGAATGGATGGAATGGAATGGATGGAATGGAATGGAATGGAATGGAATGGAATGGAATGGAATGGAATGGATGGAATGGAATGGAATGGAATGGAATGGAATGGAATGGAATGGAGTGGAATGGAATGGAATGGAATGGAATGGAATGGATGGAATGGAATGGAATGGAGGGGGTGGAATGGAATGGAATGGAATGGAATGGAATGGAATGTGAATGGATGGAATGGAATGGAATGGAATGAATGGTGAATGGAATGGAATGGAATGGAATGGAATGGAGGAATGGAATGGAATGGATGGAATGGAAGTGAATGGAATGGAATGGATGGAAGGATGGAATGGAATGGAATGGAATGGAATGGAATGGAACGCGGAAGGGTGGAATGGAATGAGGTGGAATGGAATGGAATGGATGGAATGGAATGGATGGAATGGAATGGAGGTGGAATGGAATGGAATGGAATGGAATGGAATGGAATGGAATGGATGGAATGGAATGGAATGGAATGTGAATGAATGGAGTGAACGGAATGTGAATGGAATGGAATGGAATGGAAGGTGGAATGGATGGAATGGGTGGAATGGTGGAATGGATGAAGGAATGGTGGAATGGAATGGAATGGAATGAGGTGGAATGGAAGGAATGAGGTGGAATGGAATGGAATGGAATGGATGAATGGAGGAATGGATGGAATGGAATGGAATGGAATGGAATGGAATGGAATGGAATGGAGGTGGAGGAATGGAATGGAATGGATGGAATGGAATGGAATGGAATGGAAGGAATGGATGGAATGGATGGAATGGAATGGATGGAATGAAGGAATGGACATGAATGGAGGTGAATGAGGTGAATGAGGTGAATGAGGTGAATGCGATGAATGAGGTGAATGAGGTGATATATACTCCCACCATTATTTCTAAGTCATAACAAAGTTCGCAATAGATTACCCTTAGTAAGAAGGTAAGTTTAGAGTCCCTGTAAGGTACGTGGCGTTGTTTCCCATGTGTTATGTCAACTAATGCCATAATTACGTTGCCCAAGGACGACAGAGATTTGTTGATACTGCCTGCTTCCTGAATACAATAGAAAATAGCTATTAAACTATGCTAAAAATGAGAATAGGAGAAAAGGTGTAAATTATGTTTTAAACTGAAACTGCTTAGTTCAAGCCTGTTAGGTATTTTAAAAAACACCCCTAGGCTATATTAAGAACAAAAGCCACGCATTTTACTTCATAAACACGTACTTTAAGTCTCAGTCCATCACTCTGAGTATCTTTGTGACGTTCTGATCCGGCAAGATCAACAAGATTTAGACGCGAAACTTTGATATTCTTTATCGCTCCTTTGACCTCCTGAGATTTAAAGAAAGTTACCAGTCGTGCGTACATATCTTGAACAGGGCCGTCTAGACAATTTTTGGGGCTTGGGGCAAAACTTTTTGTTGCAGGGGGGCATCCTCCCCCCATATCCTAACGAATGTGAAATTATACTTGGCAATTGTAATGTAATATGTGATTTTTATGTTTTATGTCTGTAAATGGGAATGATAAGTTAATATTGACATTCATTAGCGTACTTAGAAATTTACTTGTTAGAACTCTCATGATATTTGCACTTATTTTCACAGCAATATACTGTTCTATTTATCTTGCTTTGGGGACCTCAAGGGCCTGGGGCCCGGACCTGCCCCTTCTGCCTCCCCCCCCTTCTGGGCGGCCCTGATCCTAAATATGATTCAATCAAAGAAAGATTCAAACCTTTGACTCAATGGTGATGGTGAAAACAGCATGACTACGACTACTTTCTCTGTTCATTGATGTTGATGCAACTCTCCTGTTGAGCCAGCCAGAGTTGAGGACCTATTGTATTTATTTGAAGTGATTAAGAAGAAGAGGAGGAGGCTGGGAAATTGGGAAAAGGGGACTTGAAGGCAATTGGGAGAACCTACTTTAACATGCAACTCCCTGAACTGTGAAGGAGTGGATGAGAAGCCTGAATGTAAGAACTTTATGCTAAACTCAATCAAACTCACTGAAAAACAACAGATAAATATCTCACATTGTATACATCTCTAGCACTAGAAACAGGTTTCTCCATTAGGCCATCAACAAACACTCCTTTCTTGATGTCCTCTCGCAGCTGGAGTCCAGTGGACGTCAGATCCAAAAGATCAAAAACTTGCTCATTGTAAATTTCAAGAAAACTACACTGACACAAGAACTCTACTTTATCACCATTCTATAAAAATATAAGATCAAGAATTTACATAATGTATCCAACATCTATGGCATATGCTGCCAAACCTTTTCTCTTTCTCTGTTGATCAAATTGAAGAGATATTCAAAACCACGAGGTATCACACCGCGAAGCTTGTGATCAAAACTGTCTCCTTTGGATGGTCCTGTGATTAAAGAAAGCTCATGAGTCAGAAGAATACTTGAAACCCGGAATGTAATCGTAAAAATTTAGACAATTTGAATACACAAGATGATTTTTCTCCAAACTATTATTATAAACATATTCTAGCTTACCAAGCATTGTAAATGTCTTCCCAGATCCAGTTTGACCACTTAAAAATAACAGTAATAACTTAAAAAACATGAAAACTGCATTACAGGTTTATAAGTACACAAATATCTTGTACTTTTGTATACTACTCCAATAAAATTGATTTATTATGAGATCAGAATCCACTTACTAAGCAAATATTGTGCCATTGTAGCCTCCAAGGCATCCTTCGATGATTTCTTTAGCAACATATGTAAATACTTCTTCCTTTAGTTAAAACACAGTAAAACCGTTACACTAAACAAGTGATACTTTGCAAGTAAACTTTCCAATGAACGACAGCGAATTACCATTAGCCACAGATAGATTACCTGGGTTGCATTGGTATCGGCTACTTGATCATATGTAAACACTTTGGAATAAGGTTTGGACAACAGGTTTAATGTTGTTCCAGAAGTAACTTGCAGACAAGATTTGTGGTTTATTTCATCGCCAAAGTTTTCCGGTGGGCGGATACGAACAAACACTTTAATGTTGTCATCACTATGTGAGAAATGAATAAACCAAACAAACAAATTAATCTGTTAATCATCTCAAAAATATATGACTGCAGACATATTATAGCTTGAGTACTTATAAACTGATAATCAGCTACTATACAGATTCTTCTTTTTCAAAATTGTCGTACCTTACATTGCTACCATTTGTCCCTTCTACAGCAAAGGACAAAAATTAGTTAACAAAATAAATTACTGAAATTATCAAATAACATCATAAACATCAATGATTTTTGATGCACCTTTCATGCTCATTTTTTGACGAAATTCAACAAAAATGAATACAGTTTACTGTGTTTAGAAAAACTCAAAATTCGCGCCATTTGCCCTTTAAACTATGCTTCCACTTCGACAACTAATTTCAAAATTTAGTGGACCACGCGTGGAGCACATAAAGTAGAGCGTGGAAAGCCCGGAATGATTGTAATAAAGCTACTAAAATTTGGCAAACATTACTTACAGTAAATTTGTCATTTTATTACTTTAGCGGCTTAAATTTGCAACTATAACATTAAGACTAGACTGCGTCAAAATTTCAATCTGCTGCTTAAAGGCTTTAAATAGCAAAATGATTTTCCCCGCAGGTATATTTCCTCAACTTCGTAACTATGTCAACTGAATATAATCTGACCAAACCGAGCAGGATTCCTGCAGAATTATGATAGCAATATATTCAATTAAATGAGGATAACGTAACCAATTTTCAATTGAAAATGTATCACTACATAGAGAAAAAATGAGGCGACATCGAATACATACAACACACGGTGAACGCAGTGTGAAAGAATTAAATTTGAAAAACATGCAACAAATTCATGAGTGAAATGAAGAGACAGATATAAATGTATCAATAAACGCTAAATTGCAATTTGCATCTTTAAAATACACTGCGAAACAATGATGAAAACAATTCTACTCACTTGACTTAAACATTACTCGTCGTGGAAGCCAACGTGAGGATAACAGAATTCATAATTGTTAATTTAAACGATTTACAATGCAAAGAAACTCGAGCCAAATCAGCCAATTACATTTCTACCGCAGATTAAATTTACGATCTGAGAAGAGTACAAGATTTGAGAAGTGACACGCCACTTTAACTCACACACAGGAATTCAGTGACAGGAAAAAGTACCCGACGACAACGCTTATAATCATTCAGCGTCAATAAGACAAGAATGGTGATTAAAAACAGGGAAAGACCACCAGCGTGCTGTTAATAAGAGGATTTAATATTAACAGGCAATGGAGCTATAGACAGCTACGTATTGCAGTTGATCCAAAATTCAACATTGGAAAGCACATGCAATGGAACTAATGTGAATTTCTTAAAGTAATTTAGAAATTGATTTAAAACACCTTTTGTCAAAAATTGATACGCATAAATCAACTTCTCCAAAAAACTTTCTGAGAAACTTCATGATATTTTTTCAAGCAACATCTCCCTCCTAAAATGTATATCAGACAAAAAGAAAACGGGGGAGAGGAAAAGGAGAAGAAAAATTGTCAGCGCAAAAACCATTCAAATACAAATTGTACACATTGTTTTATTGATTTCCATTTTGTAGAGATCGCATAAAATGAAGTCATGTTTGATCTCACCAATTTACCAAATTTCAACGACATTGTCGACCGGAGATTTTGTAATTATTATTACCACTGAAATAACACCATTGTTGCCATTCTTCCTGTGTGTGGTTTCGACACGCTTCTATTACATCCCATGCAGGAGGTTATTGTGGGTGTGAATTCTACACGCTTCTTAAGGATCCCATCAGTGTATCCCAGATAGGGTCTACTTCCAGGACTGGCACCAAGTCTACCACGTGACAATCAATGACGTCATAATTTTACCTTCAAGCGCACACATGGACGATATGTGAACGAGGCTGTTTTAGTGTTATTTACTATTTCATCAGAGCTTTGTACAGAAGTCTCGAATTACATAGTTCTTTTTCTTGTTCCATAATGAGCAGGAGATCCTTCAGGATGACACGTCGCGTTCTTTGACGTAAGATCTAAATCGAGGAAAAGCAAGTTCGCATAAAGAACGGTTAATACTAAGCTTTCAAAATTGTATTGAAGCACTTTATTGGCGAAAATTGACCAAATATAAAAATTCGTGTATCACAACTCGAGTCGAAATTTGAAAACGACGAAATTGCTGCTTCAGTGTTCACAAAGATTCAACAATGTTTTTCAGCATCTTAACGTAACATTATTTTTACAACAGAAATGTTCAAAAAAGATACATCACTACAAAAAGATAAATTACCTGGCCTCTTGCATTGCTTGTAATTGAGCCGGAAGTGGTGCCAGGCGATGAAGATCCCTTGTTAAAGAAAATAATACAATAAAGACTGTCGTGGTGACAAATTTAAAAATTGTTTTAAAATGAGCAAATACAATGGTGATTAGAGAAAATAATAACGTAATAATTCTTAAAAGAACTACTTAAAACCAGAACACTAAACCAACAATTCTAAAAGAGCTGTTTTTAAAGCTAAAAGACACTATGCATTTCGGCAGACTACTCAATCAGATGTCAACGTCTGCTATAAGAGAACTTCGAAATCATGCGACATTTGTAACGTTAGGAAAAAAATGACGTCATCTCTAAATTGAGAGATGACGCTTAAAACAGAGATAAATTAAACACGTCACCCTTTTGTCGGTAGAGGACGGGATTAGTCACCTCAATACAATAATCACAAGATCAATAACCGTTATACAGATAAAGTACACCAAACATCATTCAGGTAATTGTGAATTCCATTAAATCTACGTATATACGACACGAGTATAACTAGGTAATTACATAATAAAAACAAAAAATACGTGATGTTTGCAAACTGTTACCTCAGAGTTGCTCAAAGCTTCGTCAAGTCTACGCTTTTTACGCGGTCCAATGGCGTCCAGCGCCGTTTTGTTTGCAGCACGTTTGCGAAGGGTCTCTTCTTCTTCAAGTTGGAGCTGAAAAATACAAGCATACTTTAAGTTAGGAAACAATTTTTTTATAAAAATTCAATGTGCAGGCAGATGTAAAAACGAATACAAATGTTACTTTAAGTCACATCAAAAAGTCCAACAACACCTGTTTTGCTTTCTCTTTAAGTCTCGCCTGTTCCGGGTCTTCGGGCCGTGAACGACTCTAACAATTGTAAAAGTAAAGAATAACACGCTTAAATATCCATTATTCCATTTTTCAACTATAATGGAGAAAAAAACCTAGTTTTTTGAAGGTTGCAACGATGACCTATGTGGAGAAAAAACTTGCGTTCCGAAGGTTTCAACTATAAATTGTATCGAGAAGAACTTTGTGTTCTGAACATTGCAAACTATAACTTACGTATATCTATAAGACCCGAGTGTTTTAGAAGCAATTCAAAAAAAAATACATACGCAGCTGCTACAAAACAAACTATACAGTACACAGCTGATTTCAAGTACCTTTGCGGCTCTTATTAAAACCTCCCTTTGTCGTGCTTCGCGTTTCCTTCTTTCGATTTCATCGATCTGTTCGAACACCCGAAGCTGCGATTTGACATCAGATGATGTTTGATACGTGGGGTCATCCTATTGATAATCATGGATAAGTAAAGCAACTACGGCATTATGAAATCAGGGGGGGTGTCTGGCAACCTACCTTCATAGTCTCCAAACGATGTAAACTGAAGATGGAGAGTTTTTCCATTATGTTTGTCAATCGTTCTTGCGTTGCATGTGATACTAATCCACATACATTAGAGCCCAGTGTACTAACACCGTATTTTTTTGCTATAAAAGACGTTGCAACATTGTCAAGTTGATCAGACGACAAAAAATCGGCGACAAGTTGAAGGTCCTGGTAACTAACGAACGTAGGACGATATCAAAACCTCAAAGGCACTCACCGATTGCTTCAACTTGCTTCTGTAAAGTTTTGTTGCTAAGAAAATACGAGTCCTTACAGCTTCGCAATTGAATGTTTAAAATCTCTGAATTCGTTGCGAGGATTTTCGACTGCTCTTCCTTGAAAAAAAAAATTCGTTGACAGTTAGGGTTTTAAAATCTGCTTCGAAGCACTACACGAGATTCACAGCTCTATAGTTAAAGTGCTACCTGTAAATTGACGCCGGCCATACAGGCTACGTCATTGATGTCGTCATCGTTTCCGCTAGCAACAAACCAAAAGGTTAGTTTTAAGTTTGACGTCGGAAAATCCTAACTACACTTATGGAAACAGATACACTGTGCATGACAATTCTCATAAAATGTAACCAGGTTTGCAAAAGAAAAATTATTAAAAGTATTAGGGGTTCAAGTCAAAGTGCGCATCTAAAAGAAACACTAAACATTAAACAAAAAAAACATTAAAAAATGGGTATTACATCGATTGTACCTCTTTTCAAGGCAACGTTATGCATAAACGCCTATATAACAAATATTTGAATTCCAGATCCATCGTTTACAATTCCCGAACCCATCCCATCCTTACTTTTGTCATAATCCATCTTCAATGTACATAACACGGTTATAATAACACGTAAAGAAGACGATCGGCACATAACACGGTTATAATAACACGTAAAGAAGACGATCGGCACATAACACGGTTATAATAACACGTAAAGAAGACGATCGGCACATAACACGGTTATAATAACACGTAAAGAAGACGATCGGCACATAACACGGTCATAATAACACGTAAAGAAGACGATCGGCACATAACACGGTTATAATAACACGTAAAGAAGACGATCGGCACATAACACGGTTATAATAAACGTAAAGAAGACGATCGGCACATAACACGGTTATAATAACACGTAAAGAAGACGATCGGCACATAACACGGTTATAATAACACGTAAAGAAGACGATCGAGGTAGAAATACCTTGTGACAGCAGATATTGAAGATGTCGGTCTTGCTTTTGACTTGTCTTGAGTTTGTTGGGCGTTATTGGTTGTCGGTTTGACTGTAGTCGTTGAGGGCGTCACCGTCGGTTGATTTGATTGAGAAGATATGAGAACGAGACCAGGGGTTGCTGTGAAACAACCATCGAATAAAAATACAAAAATGATACAAAAACGCAACAGAAAAAACAAGTGCTGCTGTATATGAGCAAGGCAAGATATAAAGATAGCGAATCAACAAATCAAATCGTTGATGTTAAAGAAGTAAAATGAAATAGACACGGTGGAAAGGGAACGCATGAGTAAATAGATAAATTTCACGTCCCTAGTTCCATGAAAATCTCAGTCATTATTACATTTCCATGAAACCAGAACTTACACTTCGAAGTAGGCAGTTGCGTTTTCGGTAGAAGATGTTGCAGTTGTGGATGTTGCGCAAGGATTCCTTGTCGTTGCAGGGGCGTAAGTTGTGCGAATGTTTGCCGATTGAGTACAATTTGTTGAGGTGCAGATACAGGAGCCGGTTTTAATCGCGGTTTGTTCGTAACAACTGCCGGAACCTGGTATACAAGGTGCAGTAGGGTTATATGAGTACATGAAAGGATCATTATTTTCTATATACTATCATATCCTGTTACCGTTTTCGCTACAGCCCCGGAAAAGAGAAAAATTTTCTGCTTGGAAATTAAAATGAGGCTTTCCGCAATACTTGGTATATAATAGCGCTGTTTCCAGATTTGATTCTTTTTTATATAAGAACTAGACTTTTTACATGGCTATCTTTCAACTTATAGAAATAGTTTAGGAATGATGGCAGGCAAAAACATATAGTTTTTGACAAAGTGGTGGCCAGATTTCACCCCAGTCACTCACTCTAGAATAACATCATTAATTCTAAAGTAACATCTTATACATGTATTTTGCATTGTGGGGCCCACATCAATTGCTGATTGGCAAAGAAAGCTTGGATAACTATTCTGGGCTTACCTGATGATTAATATGAGTAGATGGTAGAATAGTTGGCTGTGCTTTGCTTGGAGTTGCCACAGATTGAACTGGTTTTTGCACTTGCCTAACAACCACAGACGAATTCACCGTTCCTATTGCCTGTTGCTTGGATAGGCGCAAGAAAGGCAGAGTTGACTAGAATTGAAATATTTAACAGGCTATATAAGTCGAAGGAAATTAAATTACATCAAACAATATCAAATAATAATAAAATACCTTTAGGAAACTGACAAGATTGGGTTGCGATGGAGAATTCAGTGTCTTTTCAAGTTTAGCAGTGAAATTCTCCTCAGTTAATTTATTTTCCTGCAAAGTCAACATAGCAAAATGCTTTATGAGAGTAATATGCATTTCTCACACACAAATGCTTGAAATCATGATTCAAGGACACTTTTTTAGTGTTCAAATGCAACGGAAACTCATTTTAAAGTTTGAATGCTATTCATTAACAATGCTGTTGTCCATGTCATTCAGAATTTTGCTTTCTTTCATCATGTGAATGTTGATTTAAAATGAAAATTCAAGAGATACATGATGAAGATGAAACTTAACCTTGAACAACAAGTACTCAACAAAGTTAACGAATAAATTCAAAATTTTCATGTGTCTCCACAAACATATACTGTATGTTAACTGTGGTTTGTGAAATCATATCTTTGCATATGAGTAAGATTTTCGTTCCAAAGCCAACAGGAATAAAATTTACAAGTTCTTGATCAGCTTTTAAAACATACCATCACTGCTTTTATAAGTTCTTGAACTGAATGTCCAATTTCTGGTGACTGATCCGTGGCAAGCGTAATTAACCTGGTGAAAAAACTCTGTAGCTTCATGACTTGCTCTTTTACACGATTCACCTGAGCTTGAGTCGCTGAACGGTTTTGTGCAATTGTTACATTGTTGTGCGGCTGTTGCACAATGTTGTTGTTAGAAGATTCAGATTTTACACCATGTGGTACATGATTTGCAGCAACATTTTGTTCACTTTTTACAACCATCGAGTGACTTTGCATGGGTTTTGCAATCGATGGTGCATGCATTCTGATGTTGTTGTTTAACATTTGAGTCGGTTGCAATTGCATATTAGGTTCTGGTTTAACTTGAGTCCTTTGCACTGATGATGTCTGACTTTGCAATGTTGGTGGAAGCTTGTGAACTGTGTTTTGTGGTGTGTTTGTTCTCTGTAACATTGCAGTGGAAACAAGCCTTGGAGCAAGTGGTCCTCTCATTGGGCCCATCATTAATGGAACACCAAGTCCAGGGGTCTGGACGGGCAAATAACCGCGATTTCCAGACTGAGGAGACAACAACGTTAGAGAAGGCTTTGGTGCAAGTGAAACAGTGGAAGAGACGTTCGGTCTTGGCGCAATGTTTATTGGTGTTGATAAATTCGCACTGGTATTATTATTAAATATAGTTTTGCCGGTAATGGTCGGTAAACCTGGTGCTCCCGCGCTTATACTGATTACGCTGGCCACACTCGATTTGTTACTTTGGCTTGAAATGCATGCGCTCGACGATGAAACGACTTGATTTGATCGTTGTAAATGTGGTCGACTATTGGAAGAATTTGCACCAGACGAACTAGGAGACGCTAACTGACTTTCCAATGAGCCCACGAAGGCACTCACGGCCTTTTCATCGACTTCAGTACCGAGTATATCTTCAACGAACGACGACGCCATACTGAAAACTGTATTGCAAGCCGTGCCATTAAAAACTGACAGCGCATCATCATCATGGGATATCTGCGCACGCATTTTATTTCTTTTGCTTCTCATTGGTCAAGAATGGCGGGACCCACGCGCGCAGGTAGAAGCTCGAGTATGGAGTTTTCTTCGAGAACAATGAAACAAAAGATGGATTGGAAGTGTAAGAACTCTTTACATGATAAACAACCTTTACTTTAATAAATAATGAATAACTGGAATTCATGAGACATAACAATGCTTTAAAAGCAACAAAAGAACGGTGTTGAGCGTTCGAAGAGTTGAATGTATTCGTGAATACATGAAGACGAATATACGTGTGACGTCATTTTTCTGGTCAATATTAATGAGCAACAACGGCTTTCAGACGGGAAGGTCAGAAAATATGAGTTGAATTCCGTAAACATTAAACCAAGTTTGTATTGTCAATATTGCACCTACAAAGTATGGTTCGTGCTTTAACAAGTATGATGTCTGACATGAACGAGCGGCAAACTCCGTCGTTATGTTTTGAATACAAGAACCACACGACAAAGCTATTGAATTCCTTGTCTGAAATGCGTTCAACGAATATGCTGACTGATGTTATTTTGTTGGTCGAAGGAGAGCAGTTTCCTGCTCACAAAAACGTTTTGGCTGCATCTTCGGAATTCTTCAAAGCGATGTTCCTGTCACCAATTACTCTAAACAGCGAAATAACTAAGAGGATTGAAGGTTTGAGTGCTCAATCGATGCAATTGATTCTTGATTACATGTACCAAGGCAAAATCGAGATAACAGAACAAAATGTTGAGGACATATTGGTTGCATCACGAATGTTTTTGTTGGAGGCGTTGAGCGAGGCGTGTTGCAAATATCTGCAAGTTCGTATTAACATTAATAACTGTTGGGGAATTCGCCACATGGCTGACAAATACAGCCTGAATGATCTCTTTGTCAAAGCACACACTTTCATTGAAGACAATTTTGCCGAGGCGAAAGCTTCAATGGAGTTTTTGGCTCTTCCTTTGTCTTATTTAATGGAGCTCATGAATGACGATGAGTTAAACATTCGCGAAGACGAATTGGCTACCGCTGTTCTCCGGTGGATCGAACACGATACTAATCGAAAATGCCACCTTGAAGTGTTGTTTAAACAGTTGCGTCTTAAATACATTTCCCAGGAATATCTAGAAAAATTAGTTCGTGAAAACCGATTGGTGTTAAGTAACGATTATTTAGTGAGCTTAATCAAGGCTGCTTCCTCTCGCGATGACGAAAATGATCTTGCTGAGCTCATTAGCGAGAGGGAATTAAATAAGATGAATACACCGCGAAAATGGCAACGTATTGTACCCATGCTGACAGCTGTCGGTGGTACACAAAATGTTTTTTATAATCCAGAGGAAAAAATGTGGATCTCGTTGGCTACATTGAAAACTCGTCACTGTCCTGGCTTAGCTAGTGTTGACACCAAGATGTATTTGGTGGGTGGTAGCCATGAGTGGGTTCGGATGGCTAATTGTGAAAGGTTTTGTCCGGAGCAGAACATTTGGGAAGATATGGCTCAAATGAATGTTGCACGGAGCAACATTGGCCTTGTTTACCTTGAAAAATATTTGTATTCTGTAGGAGGATATGATGGAAATACACCTTCCAAGTATGATAACATTTGCAATGTTTCCAAGTCTTCAATAGTTTCATGAAAATATGACGAGAAACATGCATATGGAATAGCCTTAGATCTCACTAACTCGTAAAGAGTAAGAGCATGCTAAATTGTAAACTTCTTTTTCAGTCGTGTCGAGCGCTATGACGCAGAGAAGAATGAATGGTCGTTTGTAGCTTCAATGAACAACCTTCGTGATAGTGCATGTGTTGTGGCCGATAGCAGTAACATCTTTGCCATTTCTGGATTTGATGGTACATCATATTTATCTACAATGGATGTGTATGATCCAGCTAAAGACATTTGGACTTGTGAAGGTAATCCTAGTGGCAAGATTTTGCATAGGCACAGGTTGTTAGATGTACATTGAAAGATGTCATTGAGTTGAAATTCATTTGTTCTAGGTTAGGCACATGTTGTTAGATATACATTGAAAGATGTCATTGAGTTGAAATTCATTTGTTTTAGGTTAGGCACAGGTTGTTAGATATACATTGAAAGATGTCATTGAGTTGAAATTCATTTGTTCTAGGTTAGGCACAGGTTGTTAGATATACATTGAAAGATGTCATTGACTTGAAATTCATTTGTTCTAGGTTAGGCACAGGTTGTTAGATATACATTGAAAGATGTGATTGAGTTGAAATTCATTTGTTCTAGGTTAGGCACATGTTGTTAGATATACATTGAAAGATGTCATTGAGTTGAAATTAATTTGTTCTAGGTTAGGCACAGGTTGTTAGATATACATTGAAAGATGTCATTGACTTGAAATTCATTTGTTCTAGATTAGGCACAGGTTGTCAGATATACATTGAAAGATGTCATTGACTTGAAATTCATTTGTTCTAGGTTAGGCACAGGTTGTTAGATATACATTGAAAGATGTCATTGAGTTGAAATTCATTTTTTCTAGGTTAGGCACAGGTTGTTAGATATACATTGAAAGATGTCATTGAGTTGAAATTAATTTGTTCTAGGTTAGGCACATGTTGTTAGATATACATTGAAAGATGTCATTGAGTTGAAATTCATTTGTTCTAGGTTAGGCACAGGTTGTTAGATATACATTGAAAGATGTCATTGAGTTGAAATTCATTTGTTCTAGGTTAGGCACAGGTTGTTAGATATACATTGAAAGATGTCATTGAGTTGAAATTCATTTGTTCTAGGTTAGGCACAGGTTGTTAGATATACATTGAAAGATGTCATTGACTTGAAATTCATTTGTTCTAGGTTAGGCACAGGTTGTTAGATATACATTGAAAGATGTCATTGACTTGAAATTCATTTGTTCTAGGTTAGGCACAGGTTGTTAGATATACATTGAAAGATGTCATTGACTTGAAATTCATTTTTTCTAGATTAGGCACATATTGTTAGATATACATTGAAAGATGTCATTGAGTTGAAATTAATTTGTTCTAGGTTAGGCACATGTTGTTAGATATACATTGAAAGATGTCATTGAGTTGAAATTCATTTGTTCTAGGTTAGGCACATGTTGTTAGATATACATTGAAAGATGTCATTGAGTTGAAATTCATTTTTTCTAGGTTAGGCACAGGTTGTTAGATATACATTGAAAGATGTCATTGAGTTGAAATTCATTTGTTCTAGGTTAGGCACAGGTTGTTAGATATACATTGAAAGATGTCATTGACTTGAAATTAATTTGTTCTAGGTTAGGCACAGGTTGTTAGATATACATTGAAAGATGTCATTGACTTGAAATTCATTTGTTCTAGGTTAGGCACAGGTTGTTAGATATACATTGAAAGATATCATTGAGTTGAAATTCATTTGTTCTAGGTTAGGCACATGTTGTTAGATATACATTGAAAGATGTCATTGACTTGAAATTCATTTGTTCTAGGTTAGGCACAGGTTGTTAGATATACATTGAAAGATGTCATTGACTTGAAATTCATTTGTTCTAGGTTAGGCACAGGTTGTTAGATATACATTGAAAGATGTCATTGAGTTGAAATTCATTTGTTCTAGGTTAGGCACAGGTTGTTAGATATACATTGAAAGATGTCATTGAGTTGAAATTCATTTGTTCTAGGTTAGGCACAGGTTGTTAGATGTACATTGAAAGATGTCATTGACTTGAAATTCATTTGTTCTAGGTTAGGCACAGGTTGTTAGATATACATTGAAAGATGTCATTGAGTTGAAATTCATTTGTTCTAGGTTAGGCACAGGTTGTTAGATATACATTGAAAGATGTCATTGACTTGAAATTCATTTGTTCTAGGTTAGGCACAGGTTGTTAGATATACATTGAAAGATGTCATTGAGTTGAAATTCATTTGTTCTAGGTTAGGCACATGTTGTTAGATATACATTGAAAGATGTCATTGACTTGAAATTCATTTTTTCTAGATTAGGCACATGTTGTTAGATATACATTGAAAGATGTCATTGAGTTGAAATTCATTTGTTCTAGGTTAGGCACAGGTTGTTAGATATACATTGAAAGATGTCATTGACTTGAAATTCATTTGTTCTAGGTTAGGCACAGGTTGTTAGATATACATTGAAAGATGTCATTGACTTGAAATTCATTTTTTCTAGATTAGGCACAGGTTGTTAGATATACATTGAAAGATGTCATTGACTTGAAATTCATTTGTTCTAGGTTAGGCACAGGTTGTTAGATATACATTGAAAGATGTCATTGAGTTGAAATTCATTTGTTCTAGGTTAGGCACAGGTTGTTAGATATACATTGAAAGATGTCATTGAGTTGAAATTCATTTGTTCTAGGTTATTCATGCATTCGTTATCCTCGGCAAGATGCAATGACTGCCCATGTTGATGGAAAGATTTACGTAATTGGCGGTTATCACAATGACTATTGCATGTCTTCTGGTGAAGTCTATGACATTGAGGATGATACGTGGGGAACTATTGCATCAATGTCCGGGGAACGCAACAAAGCTGGATGTGCTGCACTAAATCGTAAAATTTATGTTTGTGGAGGATGGGAAGGCAAGGGCAAAGTCCTTACCTCTGTTGAGTTTTACGACACAGAGACTGATTGTTGGACTGCATTGCCTTCATTACCAACACCTGCAGCCATGAGGGCCACCTTTCTTCTTTTTCCTCGCAAACAAGTTGATAAACTCACTAAGAAAAGCAAGGAAAAGAGACGAAAGCAAGTCATTGCCCATTGAATGCTAGTGTTAAATGTATTTTTGGGCTATTGAGTATATATAAGGCACAATAAGCCTCTAAATTTGTGCTAGATTCCACCAGAAGTAAAATGTAGTATGAATTCTTAATACTTACTCTTTTTCATGTAAGTAAATAGCTAGAAGTTGAACTACCTATAATTTAATAATACCATTAAAAGTTAGCAACTAAATTAAAGTGGTAATTGTCTTTAGCCTGCTATTATTTACGACATAACACTTCAGTCAAATACCAAAGCATGTTTGCAAAAATTAATTTTTTAATCCATGTATGAAAGATATCATTGTACCTTACAATCTGCCCTGTTGGGTCACAATTGACTGAAGCATGGTACAAAGGAGAAAGGCATTGATAACATTTAACTCATGTATAAAATTATTGTGCATACTCAGATAAATTTTCATCAGTTCTCAAGATGCGACATGCAGAATACTGATTGATGTACCCTTTCAATAAGGTTTTGAAAAACCATTTACCAAATCATCTCTCCCAGTTTCTTTCGTGAACCTGTAACTAAAGAAACAAAAGATAGATAGCTAATGAAGGCATTTTTTGTGTGCTTTTTTTTCATTCGAATTGACGCAATTACACTAAACAACTTTAAATAATCTCAACATCAAAACATCACCACTCACTTGCACATGTATTCAGAGAATATTGAGCAATAAGACCTGAAGTTATACTAATTTCGTTCGTTGACTTTAACGTGGACCATCTTTTTACCATGGTGCCTACTCTATATCATCGACTTACTCTCGATACACCACATGTCCCATTTCAGCCAACGCCCAGTACCACCAAATACCTCCGCTCTTTTACTATACAGAAACCAGTTTCACCAGAGCATCAACGATAACGGGCTTACGCCCATCAGCTATAACCATCCTAAACAGTACCTCGTTCTTCAATGTTGTTATTAAACAACTCCGATGACCGCACTTGACTTGTCAACTAAATAGGTCAGCAAACCAACTCGAGTCTTCATGAGTTTTTAACGATTTAAGGAAAAACATGTTCGTGAGTCCAGTGGCGGTGATAAGATAAATGAGCCTTTTCATCAACTTACCAACAACAAAGACACCAAAGCCCCTACTGTGCTGACGGTTACAAATTGCCAAGAACAAAGTCACCAAAAACACTTACTGTGCTAACAGTTACAAATTACCATAACATAGTCACAAAAACACCTACTGTGCTGACAGATACAAACCACCAACAACAACACCAAAACACCTAACGTGCTGACTGTTGGTAAATTAGACACATCCAAGCCTGACACTCAGCAGTGACTGATTAATGATGCAATGAGAAAGTAAATATGCTTTATAAACAGGAGTTCGATCAATCTCAAACTGCAGTGTTTTCTCATATCACTACAATCATATATAAAAGGATTTCGTACGTAAGAAAAGATGATGCATCTAGCATCGATGAACAAATACTAAATCTAAAGTTTACTATAAAACATCACATTTAATATAAGGATTGTGTTCTACTACTGCAACAGTTAGAAGTTGAGGTATCTAAAAAAAATACAAAGAATCATTTACTATAGTTTTTTCAACTGGAAGAACTCCAACGCGAGGATCATAAATGAACAGTCTCCGCATCTCCATTTGAATTCAAATATTTTCCACCTTCATTGCTCCTCTTTGTACCATTGTGTTGCTTTGCATTCTCCACGTCGCCCTCATAGTTCGGATAATAAGGTAAAAATGGAACGTATCGCACAATGGGGAACTTTTGGGTGAACCTGGTCAAATAGGGGATATCGTATGTGTGGATAGAGGCAGTCTTGACGCCACCTTCAGAGGACTCTTCTTCCACATGCCGCCACTTCAAGATACCACGCTCCTGGTCCGTCCCCGGAAGTGTGACGTCAAGGATAAAGCCCGTGAAACCCCCTACCCACACACTGGTCGTTAGTAAAACAAAAATAACTTGATCCAAGACATCAGCGCCTGAAATTGAAACAAAAGGTGACTAATAGTTATAAAATGTAATAAATAAAGGTATCTAATAGTGATAAAATGTAACTAATAAATGTAAAGGTACTAGTAGAGTAATTAAAGGTAAAAAATAAAGATAAAAGTAAAAATATTTAACTATTAGTGATTAAGATAACAGTAATAAAGATATAATAATAATAAAGATAACCAACAGCTGCTTGAAACATTAAAAAACTCAGAGCAATACATGATGAGTACTACGTGTGATGTGTAGTACACATGATGAGTAGTACACATGATGAGTAGTACACATGATGTGTAGTACACATGATGAGTAGTACACATGATGAGTAGTACAGATGACGAGTAGTACACATGATGAGTAGTACAGATGACGAGTAGTACACATGATGAGTAGTACAGATGACGAGTAGTACACATGATGAGTAGTACAGATGACGAGTAATACACATGATGAGTAGTACAGATGACGAGTAGTACACATGATGAGTAGTACAGATGACGAGTAGTACACTTGATGAGTAGTATACATGATGAGTAGTACACATGACGAGAAGTACACACCAGTATCAATGCTTTTACTGTTTTTCTGCAACCACTTGGGCAGGAGAAGGCCAAAGAAAATGCTAAACCCGACGATGAAGAGATTTCGCGCGGAATTCATATCAACAAACTGAAGACTTGATAAACCAACAGCGGAGACCATACCAAACATTATGATAAAGACGCCACCAATGATTGGTTCGGGTATTGTAGCAAATAACGCACCAAATTTTCCAAAAATAGCAAGAATTAACATAAAGAGACCACCATATTGAATAACTCGGCGACTGCCGACCTATAAGAGACCAAATGTGAAATAAGTTATATTTTAAATACTAGAACGACAGTGAATGGACAATAAATTCTACCTTGGTAATTCCAATTGCTCCAATATTTTCACTGTAAGATGTTGTACCAGCCCCACTGCCGAATGCACCAGCTAACATACAACACACTCCTTCAACGAGGACACCGCGGTTCAATGCGTGGTGTGGCACTGAAGGCGCACCTGACAGTCGTGCACATGCGTAGTAGTCACCAATAGATTCGATGATGCCTGCCATGACGCCTGCTAACATGCCAATAACCGCTGCCACAGATACAGTGGGCGTTCCCCACTGACCTAGAATGAAACAACCGCAGAAAAACGGCTCAATAAATAATCACGGTTATAAAATAGTCGACTTGCCTTGTTTACATTTTGCTGGCAAGAAGATTTGGTCAAGTGGTTTTGAACAACACTAGCAACAATGGACAACCTCTCTTGGGATTAATCTGCCAGCGAGCAAAACGTAAGCAAGGCAAGTCATCTATATGAAATATTGATCTCTTATCTAATCTCCAACCAATATGTCGACCATTGCTACTTGCCAGCAAAACGTAAGCAAGGCAAGTCATCTATATGAAATATTGATCTCTTATCTAATTTCCAACCAATATGTCGACCATTGCCACTTGCCAGCAGGGGTTGAAATTAGAGATCAATATGCAGGGCACGTAAAAGTTTCCATAGCTCCAAAAATCACTGTATGACCAACCTGGAAAAGGTATTCTAAACCAAGGGGCCTCGCGCAGTATGGAAACCTTAGTGTCTGTTCTTACAGGATGATTTTCCTCAAACGCTCCAGATGCGGTTAAAATTACACATAGCAACCATGATATAATGACAGCAAAAAGTACCTGCAAATTCAATGAAGCACTATCAAGGGAGACAAGGGACATTGATGACGCTGAGGTATAAAGATGGCTAAGTTACATGCCAGAGTATCGAGTATCAAAATGTTTTGTACTGACCGGAAACAGTTCGAACAATGCAACACTTGTAGTGTAGAAACCGTTTGTTTTGTTGTATGCTGGAAGAATAACCTTGATGTTCTTCATATATTGAGAGAACACGATCACAAGGATGATTGTTCTAGGAAAGTTGAACAACAATAAAAACGCATGCGCTTTCATTTTATCAATTTTCACTATACTTACAAAATGGCGATTCCCCAGTGTTTTGCTAGAAGAGAACAATGTAAGAGGTGTTTGTCAAGCACGACAAAAAACGAAACCAAATTTATGCAGAAAGATGTAAACAGAGAAGCCCAATGGAAATATTGGAGCAAAACTCGACTTACAAGCATAATCTGCTCCAACATCAAACAAGGAGAGCCCGACAAGAGTTATAGCTGGAGTGATGGTTAGAGGTCCTATGAATTTCAAAAGAAATCCCATGGCACCTGTTGCACCAATAACGATTTGTAGTAAAGAGGCAACAATTATGGCTCCTTGAATCTAAAAAAAAAACAAAATAGTCAAGCTAACAATTATATTCACACACTTTTGCTTTACGTTTTTGTTTTGCACAAATGATCTTCAGTTATGAATACATCTCTCTCCCTCTTATTTCAGTTATGAATACATCTCCCTCCCCCTACTTCAGTTGTTTACTCCAAACAGTATGGAGATGCAACCATCTCCCTATTTCAGTTGTTTACTCCAAACAGTATGGAGATGCAACCTTCCCCCTATTTCAGTTGTTTACTCCAAACAGTATGGAGATGCAACCTTCCCCCTACTTCAGTTGTTTACTCCAAACAGTATGGAGATGCAACCATCTCCCTATTTCAGTTGTTCACTCCAAACAGTATGGAGATGCAACCATCTCCCTACTTCAGTTGTTTACTCCAAACTGTATGGAGATGCAACCTTCCCCTACTTCAGTTGCTTACTCCAAACTGTATGGAGATGCAACCTCCCCCCTATTTCAGTTGTTTACTCCAAACAGTACGCTGTTGCAAACACACGCATACTCTTATATCCATCGTTTACCTTCAACAACATGCTACTGCGAAAGACGCACACCCGCCCTCATTTTACGAACCATTTTGTTATTTATATAAACAAATACCTCTCTGACACGGGGTTGCCACGCATTCGACTCCTCACTCTCTTGTTGGGGATCAGAGGCTGACTTATTTACAACTGAAATAATGCCAAATAAATAATCCTTTGGAAACGAATCAATGTGTTCCATCGTTTGCCTTGTAATGGTGAACAAATCAACAAGTAGATTGCAGAAAAACGTCCATACCTTTTAAGAAAGCAGGCAAAGTTGCCTTTGTCTCGTTTGCACATACATTTTTCCAGCACGATTGATTGCTCTGTTGAACTGAAATAAAATTCTATAATCAAGCGACAAAACATTCATTTAAAGGTAACGTATGTGACACATGTTGTTAAAACCATCTATCCTTGTGAGGAGCTGAAAATAGCCATTCCCACTACAGATTATACTCCTTCATGTTCACCTCTCAACGCTGTACGAAAGTCTTGGGGCTCACCTTCTGGGGGCAAATCAGAAGATGGACATTTCCATTTAGGCAACATCATTATGGCAATGGTTGGTGATACGAACGTGTATGTCCCTCCTTGGACGATTGGCAGCCTGATGAATGAGAAATAGGGAGTAAAGATTCACCTTCAATTGTAGTCTTTGATATACAGCAGTGGAAATTTTAGTTGCGATCATTTACCCAAAGATTTTTCATTCAGGATGGAATATAAAATTGCCATCATTTAAAGAAAAGCAGCAGTCTGCTGCACAAAGCCCGCGTTTAAAAGCTGGTTCGATTTAATTCCAAATGATGAAACTTTGCCGTCTTTGAGACTTTGAATGATCGTTTTATTCCACTTAGCATTTGTATTTTCTGAAAGACTTTTTTACAATTGAAAAAATCACTATGCTACGCTATCTGCATGGACTTCGTGCCACCGTACCAAGTTATATAGTAGTACATTTTCATGGTGGTACATTTTCATGGTGGTACACTTTCATGGTGGTACATTTTCATGGTGGTACATTTTCATGGTGGTACATTTTCATGGTGGTACACTTTCATGGTGGTACATTTTTATGGTGGTACATTTTCATGGTGGTATTTTCATGGTGGTACATTTTCATGGTGGTACACTTTCATGGTGGTACTTTCATGGTGGTACATTTTATGGTGGTACATTTTTATAGTGGTACATTTTTATGGTGGTACATTTTTATAGTGGTACATTTTTATGGTGGTACATTTTTATAGTGGTACATTTTTATGGTGGTACATTTTTACGGTGGTACATTTTCATGGTGCATTTTTATGGTGGTCGTGCATCAGAGAGTTTAACGACATTTACATAATAAACACAATGAAACGCATGCGCTGATTGGTCTAAGGCTGTGTTTGCATAAGCCTGTGCAAACCAATCTGAGCTCAACCAATCAAATCAAAGAGAATTTGCAAGTCAATTATAAACACACGTTAGAAGAATATTACAACTCTCGAGCAGGTGCAACCTCGACCTTCGGTCTCGGGCTTTCACTGATCTGCTCTCGAATTCTTCCAAAGGTCTCCTCGGTTTGCATAAGCCTTTGTAAGCACAGTAAACATCTTTTAAATCTTAAATGTTTAATACATACCGCACACCAAACGTACTCTGTAACAATGTCGCGATGCCGGACGAGAAAAATAAAGTGCAAATCAGTTTACTTTTTGCAACACCATCATTGCCAACACACATGAACTTTGCGAGAAGTAGAGGCAATGCAACCGTACTCCCAAACATCGTAAGATAATGCTGAAATAAGACAAAAAAATTCGTTACGAATACTTTCCACTCGTTCCCCGTGGGTGAACATCAAAATGAAGAAAGAGGCCATGTTGGCGTTCAAAACAAAACAACTTAACTAAAATTTTTTCAATAGGTACACACCAACTCTGCAGATATGGTGTCAAGTAAAAACTAAACGCTTAAAGCCTGTTTTCCACTAGCCACGTATCGTAACGTATCGTAGCAAAACGTAACATGGCGCATGCGTGCTTATGAATTTGATGGTCAATAGGCGCAAGCACGCATGCGCCATGTTACGTTTTGCTACGATACGTTACGATACGTGGCTAGTGGAAAGCAGGCTTAAGAGCAACTGTTTCACTAGAAAAGTATGTAAAATATATACAAAAGGGGAGTATGGGTTAAGTCAGATAGTTCAAAATACGATAATCCAAATACGTGCATCTTTTTAAACATTGCAAAGTTTGAAAGCTCTGGAAATACAAACCATCAAAAAGCTACGACATGCATAAACGAGAAACGGCGATACCTGAAATCCCAAGAACAGAGCCATGTGCCAAGGTGGGTTTTCGTCTATTGCATAGTTAAGTTGAAGGTGACTTGCGGGTGGATCTTCCAAAAATGGCTGCGGTTAAAAATTAAGATGTATTACATGAAGTATTTCATTAGGACGGCAAAGAGTTGGTTGTGGTGATAATCTTAAATATTGCTTTGAAAAGCGTATTTCCATGGCAAATTACAATTTGGTAGTAGTAAAAACTGTTAAAAACCAAAATAAAGGTATAAATTAAACTACACGACGCATTTCTGCAAATTTCTCATCAGGTGCCACGATTGAAGAAAACTAAAAATCTACTTCTAGTTATGGTGGAGACAAGAAAGAATTACACTATGGGGCTGCTGTAAATTCTTCCTTCTATGCACATTGTATATCATTGTATGCATATTGTACGTCATTGTATGCACATTGTATATCATTGTATCCACATTGTACGTCATTGTATGCACATTTGTACGTCACTGTATGCACATTGTATATCATTGTATGCACATTGTATATCATTGTATGCACATTGTACGTCATTGTATGCGCAATGTACACCATTTTATGCACATTGTACGTCATTTTATGCATATTGTACGTCATTGTATGCACATTGTACGTCATTGTATGCGCAATGTACACCATTTTATGCACATTGTACGTCATTGTATGCACATTGTACGTCATTGTATGCGCAATGTACACCATTTTATGCACATTGTACGTCACAGTGATGAGCAATGTGCACACATAGATGTGTGCATGTTTCATTGCTCAAAGTGCGTACATAACACCATTCATATCGACGAAGTATCGTGACTGACTAGAACTCTATATATGATGAGCAATATTTAATGATACAACAGTCGACTATATTGACTTTGTACATTAAGAGGTGAACGTTTTTACAAACAGTAGCACATGCTCGAGAAATATAATTTTTGAAACAAGAGAAATTTTTGTACGACAAACATAAGCATGATTACAACATGATTATCGCGTGATTTGTTGTCATGACTACAGAAAGTTAGAGTAAACTTGTGACATAACGATGTTACCTCATGTGAACTTTCAACGGTACGTTCAACTCCATAGTCACTAACATTGATCGTCACAATGCATGCACAAGACTACAAATCGAGATTTTGACTCCGAAACGCTGTTCTCGAGAAAAATCACAAGAGATACAATAAATGCAGCGCATTTTTAAATAAACCGACAAATTACTACAATCGCTTTGGTTTCAATAGTAACACACATAAGAAAACAAAATTTAACCCCACCATATTACTTATACCTAAATAGTATCATTAAGTACAATGGTTCTCATATCAACTACTATCACCTACAAAACTTCATGTAACCAAAATTAAAAAATTCTGTACCACTTATATTTAGTATGCTTCTCTTAATAAACCGTTGAAAAAAGACAGTAATTGCCATACACAAAGATCGGGTTGAATTAAAACAAAACTAACGTAGCCAGAATGTTTACCCAGCGTGTTCTCAGTAGCGAAATTTTCTATACTTCATCATTGCCAAACAAAAGAAATGGATGACAATGTTTTGAAAATTAAATGCAGCAACGAAATCTTTTGGGTTAAAGCAACGGAACTACAACGCAAAAAAATGCACACCTTGGATTGTCGTGTTATTTTGTCATAGCTGTTGAAGGAGGACGCTTCACTCGCGTTTATATCGTCGGATTTTGAAATGTCGACTTCAATCTTATCCATAAGAAACGTGAAAACTCGTACATCCACAAGATTGAACTCGATTGTGAGTTGTATACAGCTCTGCGTTCAAGGTTTAAATGCATTCATAGTTAAAACGCAGTTTTCCTTAAGAACATCTCGTGTCACGAGTGAAGTACGAGTAGCCACGAGTAAAGTACGCAAAACGAGGAAAAAAAGTACTTGTGACCAGAAGACATAAAGTCCGGCCACGAGACTGGCCATTGTTGTTTAGAATTCGACCTTCCGCACGTTATCATTGCCAACGAATCATTTTGCTGTTCGAGAACTAATTTTCGTAACCACGTATTGGCATTAACGTCATTGTAAAAGATAAGACGAGAAATGAAAAAAATTGATCATTTCCTTTTTTTTTGTCGCTATATTTCTGCAACACTAACGAGAAATTAGCTTGAAATTAACTTAAATGGATCTAAAATGCATTAAAATAGAGCAATAAAATTGAATCGTAACTTTTTCTGACCGACAGCGGATGATTAGGAAGTTCATTTGATAATTAAGTTGTATCTGGCAATTAAATAATTGTAAAGCAATTATATTTTTGTTAAATTGACACAGGCATGATAGATGAAAGGAAACAAGCTGTCAATGATCAATTATCTTTGCAAAAAATTCAACTCATATTAACTTTACATGTTTGTAAATGTAGATCGTCCAGGTTGGTATAGTCCTGAGAAGGACTGTTTTTGTTGTTGTTGACTGACGTTTCGACAACCTTAGCGGTAGTCATCTTCAGAGTCAAAAGGCCAAAGTACAAACAAGTTTTAATATCCTTCAATGAACACTTGCAACCCCTACTTTATCCTTCCGAATGCAATGGAACTTACAGTCTCCAATGAAATTTCATTGTACGTCAGTTGAAGCACCTACATCACAGTTTAATACATTACATATCTATTATTAACCGATAACCATAGGCCGCAGCCAAGCCCTAAAAATGTCTTCCCATCAAAACTGATGTAATCAATAACCGTGCATTTGAGTGCATTTGTTGCCATGGCAAAATTAGTCGATTTCGTATTCAACGCTTCTGACGTAGATGCGTCTAAAGGACGAGCATTTTAACGGCAAAATGCAAAATATGTTTCTGATTTCTTTAATGTTTTCGTAAATGAAATACCATGCATATAGATCTGTCCCAGGGCATTATCGTGCAACTACCGATACGCCTTTAGAGAAAACAGTACTTTAATCTCTATCCGATTACGTGAACAACTGAAATTTTATAAACACAGATCCCACATAACAATATTCATGTGAGGATTAATAACATATCCGAAAACAACGAAAAACCTTATGGATTTATATTTCAACTTTTTGGGATATTTAAACCGATCAAGTCAAATGAAGTGAGAAAAGCAATCATAACATTTTTAAACATTCCACAGCATTCCAACAAAACAGAGCTTTATTATTATACTATGTAGCCCAAAATAAGAGCATAGTGTACCGACATTCACGTCATTAGCATAGACATGACTTGCGAATGCATGGCCGTTTTTCTAATCAGATTCCTTATATAAGATAACCAAACTAACAGTTCCGCTGCAAAATTTTAGCAAACTCTTTTCATAGACTAAAACATACCTTTTCTTCGCCCAAGTCTTTGGGATGATTATCTTCGGTTCCATTTGAATCCTGTTGAATTTTCACGTTATCATGCTCCTGAATCAACGAAGAAGACATATTTCTATTGAGATTTCTGATTACATTAATTTACAACAGTCGGGTGGCGAAAAATGCCTTGTGTGAAAAGTAGGTAGAACTGACCACAGAGCCAAAATGGAGACCTCAAGTGTGTCCAGTGATGACACATGAAATCCGTACATATATCCGTACTTTAACACAGCGTGTGATTATAACCTATTTCCCTTGCCAAACCTTTTCTGATCGTCTAAATTGCTCGATAATTGCTCGGCTTATCATCAAACGACAAATTCAACACCCCAGGTGGCAAAGTATTGCGCATTGCTAGCTGGAATTTAACACTTTCGTGATTTTTAAATGACGTCGAACCTGAAATCGTCCGTGTTTAATTTCTCGCGCAAGTGAGATCTGCTGTTATCGTATAAATTATAGTTAATGAAATTTGCACAACCAAATGTACATAGTTTTGAGATGTATGATGTACAGTGTAATTTATATATGTACGACCAGAATACAATGCAATAACAACTGGACTTCATGTAAGCTGGATGCATATCATCATTGTATTAGAGAAAATCGACTCTTTAGAGACATGAAAACAAAAATGAAATGTTCAATGTCATAAATCATTAACAAAACAATATCAGTTACATTGGAAGAGCATAATTTTCAGTGGATCTTATTTATCAATCGCGATGTCCATACAGAGAAATAATGAACCGCGGTCCTTTTTTACAAACTAATCACGTAGGTAGAGTTTGTATTATAATTTATTTTGCCTAACCCTAGATCCGCTATATTTCTCTGCATGAAGACTGAGCAAGCGAGGTTAATAAAGAGTGTCTTACGTGGCATAAGACAATCGCTGTTTGCTTCGAAAAATCTGTTTACGTTTTTTTTTTACGGGAAAGGAAGTATTGGACCGCCAACGAAAGCACCGAAAGTGACGTTTGCCACTAAATAAATTGACTCAAATAGGATTCAGTAACATGAAGTTTCTGGTTGAATGGAACAACAAGAGAAAATCTATGAAAAACTGACTTCCTATAACAACTTTCTGGCTTTATGTTAGAGAAACGCACATTAAAATGGCTTCATTCAGACAGAGACGGCATAAACTATTTTGAACGTAAGAACGAAAGCAGACACAGTCGTCACCTACCCTCCTTCCCACACGAAAAACAATATGTTACAAAAATTTTTGGTGAAGGGACATTGTTCCCAAGGTCATACCGTGCCTCAAATCAATCTAACGCAATTTGAAACTTCACTTAAAATTATCGAGAACGGAGAATTGTGCTTCGTAGTCCTCGGCAAGTCACAATAGATCAAAGTAAACCAAGTTTACCAAGATATAACAACAAATAAAAACTCAACAATAATATAAGTACGTTTGTTAACAAATAGACCCCGTCCCTATCACATACGTCTCACAACTGACTAGCTTCCTTCACACTCTCTTAACTATCACTCGCTCTCCTTGACGTCATTCACCGATATTTCGTGCATGCTACTAACTATTAATGAACGATGCCTTTGTCAGTTTCCGACAAAACAAAAATCAACAATAAACACCTATTTTATGATATCGGCCATGATTGAATGCAATCATGAATTGGGAGGAGGAAACTATAATTTACCAAAGATTTACAGAGATTTGACGCACTTAACACATTGGCAAATCAATCATGATAGCAAACAAAGCAAAAGCGGCTTTCTCCTTGGAGTCAATATCTTCATAAATCATGACAAAATGACTAAAAAAAATTGCCTGTAGTGTGCTTTTTGTTATGCATCAAAATTTTTTTCGCCGTGAATAAAAAGCCAAGGCGACGAGGAAAAATCGGATCGGAGTCCGGCTATGAAATAAATGGACAACATGTTATAATGACAAAAATCGGTCGGAGTCCGGCTATGAAATAAATAGACAAGATGTTATAATAACATTGCCAGATGTCAAAATCAGAACCAATCAAAACGTGATACAAACGATCGAAATCGTCTCGTGCAGGCATTAGGCTATAATCGTATGAATTTAGTCAGCAAAAATCTTTATCTATTAATGGCGCCTGTGGCATCAATCTGATAGTATAAATCTACAAAAAGCTGCGTGCCAGGCTAAGATTCTTTTTGTAAGGAGGATCGAAAAACACGCATAAAATGCTTGTTACTATACGGCTGAGATTAAATAAATTTCACATACTAAAGCTTGCATGATAGAACTTTGAACGTAAACTTGTTTGAACATATATCATAAACTAATAGTTACTTACTTTATTTAAGGTGATTTGAGTCATCATCAGCTAAATATGCGTCGTCAAATAAAGGTATTTTCTACGAGTTCGTTCACGACTAGGATAATGATCTTGAATGAGCTGTTTATGAGTCAAATTCTATGCTGACAACGCCAACAATATCTATGAAAAAAAGCAATTTTTATGTACTTACGCAATACAGGCATATATAAACGTCGGCGATGGAAGAGCAAATAATAAAACTCGACTTGGGATTATGCTGATAAAACCTTTAATCAAAATAGGAAAGAATTTTTAAGCCGATACGCTGGCCCTTCAACCAAATAATTTGGTCTATAATTGAAACGCCGATCAAGAAGCTGTTAAAACCAAAAATTGTTCGCCGTATAAACTTCGCTCTTCAAAAAACTGTCGTTTCAAAACGACCAACTTAAAAAGTAGCTGCAATTTTTTGGAAACAAAGCTAGTGTTGTAAGAAATGGTGGCAAATGTTGTAGTTATGATGTGCATTTCTTTCTTCCTCGTGGAAATCAAAGCAGGAGCAAGTAAGTGAAGTATTTCAAAGCAACTGCGCTTTCGTTTTTCAAGTATATATATGCATTGAATCGTTCAAATAATATTGCACCTTCGAAAACAGGGCAAGCCCATTAATTAAATTAACTTTTCCTGGAGTGGAAATTGTCTCAACCGGAATTTTCGCCATTTGGAAACGAAAAATCTATGCACTTATAAACTAAAATTGCGTCAATCATTAGAGTTCGACTTCTCCATACACACATCAAAAATGCTGCACAGAAAAAAAGCCCATCTTTAAAATGGGACTAGGGGCGTTTGTGGCAGTTACTGGCGACAGGAAAAATGTCTTATGTTGAGATGAACAATCACCACGCATATGTGAACGGATATTAAGTGAAGGTTGTAGCTCACTCTACATAAAGTATGGATGGTCAAAGTCAAGGTTTTTCTTCAGCATATAAGCTACATCGCTAAAAAACTGGCCAATAAACAAGACGAAGCGTACAGGGATAATTACACAGGCCTAGGTTATGATGCTCATCTGTACCAATCAGAATAACGAAGCAAAATTCTTTTTCTGTCGGGAGGGCTATCTACCCAAAAGGCGATCATCATTTTTCAAGGTAACAATGAGATACATCTACTTTATAATTTCAGCGCAAAAGTGTGCAAAAGCTGCCGACATTGTGTTTGTATTAGATGAATCGGGCAGCATCGGTCCAAAAATTTTGACAAAATGAAGAAGTTTGTCGGAGACGTCATATCTCGGTTCAACGTCATTCCGTTTGGTGGCGCTGATTTTGCGATGGTACAATATAGCACAAAGCCACGTTTGGTATTCAACCTCAATAAATCCAGGGAAGCAAAAAAACTTCATGGTGATGTACGAAAGTTAAAATACCTCGATGGAAGCACGACTAACACAGGGCTTGCAATGCAGATGGTCCAAAATAAAGTAAATATCTATTGAGACATTTGTCTTTTAACATCAGGGGCCTTTCATTGAGACATTTATCTTTTAACATCAGTTGCATTTCATTGAGTCATTTGTATTTTTAAGATCAGGGGCATTTCATTGAGACATTTGTCTTTTCATTGAGACAGTTGTCTTTTAACATCAGGGGCCTTTCATTGAGACATTTGTTTTTCATTGAGACATTTGTCTTTTAACATCAGGGACCTTTCATTGAGACATTTGTCTTTTCATTGAGACAGTTGTCTTTTAACATCAGGGGCCTTTCATTGAGAAATTTGTCTTTTCATTGAGACAGTTGTCTTTTAACATCAGGGGCCATTCATTGAGACATTTGTCTTTTCATTGAGACAGTTGCCTTTTAACATCAGGGGCCTTTCAAAAGTTCTGAGTGTTCTCTGCTCACGATGTGATCGTGTACAATAGTTAAAATAGTAATGAAACTGCTTGATATTAGTTATTTTTATTTCTTCAGTTTCTTCTTTTAACTGCATCATGTCAGAGTGAAACGTCTTTTTAAATGTTTATTGATTTGAAAATTTTCTACACCTGTAAAACCTTCTATGCAGTATATCATTACAGCTTAAGCAAGAAGATAGATTTGTGGGTATCCGTACACGCAGACACCCGTCGTTTCCCAAAAAGCCCCTGTGTGAGAGAGTCCCTTCTGAGTGCCATTTACCCACATCCACATAATATTAAAATAATTTTGTCCAACAGATTTTCGACTCCCAAAGCCCCTGTGTAACAGTCCTTTCTGAGAGCCATTTACCCACATCCACACAACATTAAAATAATTTTGTTCAACAGATTTTTGACCGTGCCTGTGATCGAAAAAATGTACCAAACATAGTGCTGCTGATGTCGGATGGAATGTCTGATGACCATAATAAAGCCGTTGAAATTGCGCGCAAGCTGAAAGACAAGGGTGTGGTGATACTGTGCGTTGCCATTGGAGAGGGAAACCAGATCAAGAGATTCAGGGAAAAGTTGCGGGAAATTGCAAGTGAATCCGAGTACATGTTCAACTGTCGTGCAAGTGACTTGAATACAATTAAAGATTCGCTGGTTGAAGTGATGTGCAACGCCGCCATATGTAAGTGCAATCTTGTATAAAACTACAGTGTGTATCAAATATGGGTGTCCGATCAAACTTTAATATATACCATCATGCATTTGGTATTGTGTTTTATAAGCTTATATTTTTACATAGCAAAAGAGGCTAACTCTTTGGCTTTCCAATGATCACTCTTCAAATAAAATTGCGGGTGGGAAATTGCAAGTCGAGGACTGTTAATGATGTTACACTGTTGATTTCCATTTAAAAGCAAAGCAAAGGCAACAACAAGTTTTTCCATGGGCATGTTCACACGCTAAGAACCATGGGCATGTTCACACGCTAAGAACCATGGGCATGTTCACACGCTAAGAACCATGGGCATGTTCACACGCTAAGAACCATGGGCATGTTCACACGCTAAGAAATGTTCGATGATTGTAAATAAAATATTGAATATAATTCTTTAGTAGAAGAGTACTCGGTCATTTCTGACTGTCATTAAATGAAAAAGCATCATCGAAAATCTAAGGCCCTCCTTTCTATAGCTATATAAAAATATAAGCTTAGCATGGCACACTTAAACGTTTTTTTTACACATACTGCCGCATTGAAAAGGAGATATGTTATGCATAGGTACGTGACGTATGTAGCATAAAATTGTTAGAGCTGTTGGAATGCAAAAACCTCATTGAACAGAATAAAATATGTACAAAGCACTCAAATGTTTGATATCGTCATCAAAACCTCGAAGAACTGAAATTGGATGTCAGAAAGTAAAATTTTAAAACTATACTAGAACAATCTTTCGGGGAGCGATCGTTCAAATACAAATACCCTACACGACTACCAATAATAAACACAAAAAACTATTTTAAAAATAGTTTTTGATACGGTGGATGTCGAAAAAAACTTAACAGCTCTAAAACGAACTGTTTTACTACACAAACACCAACGAAATAGTTACAGAAAAACATCTTTGTACAGTTTTAGTTTGTGGGCCATTTTGTTTGGTGATTTAGATGTTAAAAGAGTTCTTTTAGAACCATTTCGGCCATTCTACCATGTCACTTGCTATTTTTAAAGCAATTCTTAGATTTGCCACCACGACAACGTTTCAATCCTTACTGTATAACAAACTCACTTTGTATTTAGTTCCTTGCTCAAGGAAAACCTTGCAAAAATGGAGGAGTCTGTGTAAATACAAAGAATGACGGGTATAAATGCGAATGTTCACCACACTGGGAGGGAAAAAACTGCGAACAACCGAAATGTAAAAATAGATTTCCGTTAGAAATGATACTTTGAAACATTTGAACGGGACACTTCAACAAGACTAAGGCAAATACCTTGATGGAACCGATAAATTTATTATTCCTATATAGACTCCAGTACTTTTCCCTTGTCGTTAAGTTCAACTTTGCAGCTACACAATAGAAGTTACACCGTGTTAAATGTAAAGTCTGTTTCTCATACAGGGTGTCCTCAACCAGTGCCCTTTTCAAATGTGGGATGTTACCAAACAACTCAAGCTCGAAAAATAGACGGCACACTTTTGTTTAGCCTACGTGACGACATCAAATGGCATGACGGATGGAATGACTATCTGGACAGAATTGTTTGCAAGTAAGAACAATTAATATTATGCATTGGACAACAAAAAACTTTGTTCGATTTTGATCATAAAAAAGAAGACATAATACACAGTTATTAATATAAAAAAAATGTTGCAAATTACTCTTTTTGGTTGGTAAATCCTCCAGTCACGGTTGAAAGTTAGGGGGGGGAGTGTGGGAGAGTATGGAGGATGTGAATTTTTTTTTATCGTGTTTTAAATCTGTATAAAAAGTCTTTCCTGAAACTCAGAAAGGACAAAAAATTCCGTCCCACTAAAATTATGGACTTTTCTATCAAATATGGACACTACAAAAGTAGGTCCATGAACAAAGTTGGTCTAAGAACAAAGTTGGTCCAAGAACAAAGACGCCATCAATTTTTTTTTAATGTGCTCTCCTTTGGAAAATCACATTTTTAAAGTCGTGTAGCAAAGACAATGGCAGCTAAATAACCCAAATCATGATTTAAACCTTATCCCATACTTTTCACAGTGTCTTAGCAAGAGGGCGGCCCTAAGCTCCAGCCCCACAAAGATATTTATTAAGCAATTCACCTTCAAATTATACAATCTACCTTCAAAAGAAATCACTCGGAAAAAATGGAATATGTAAACGAACAAAAATATTTATTAAGCAATTCACCTTCAAATTATACAATTTCCCTTCAAAAGAAATCACTCGGAAAAAATGGAATATGTAAATGAACAAAAATATTTATTAAACAATTCACCTTCAAATTATACAATTTACCTTCAAAAGAAATCACTCGGAAAAAATGGAATATGTAAATGAACACCCTTCCCAATTAATGTTGTAAGGTGGGTTATGTCTACCACAGTCAAAGTCAACTACAGTTGCAAATAAATTTGCACAACTTGGCCGGAAATCTATCATGTTTCAGTACTAAAATCGCAAGTGCTCAAATCTCAATAACTTTTCCATTCTCAGGTGTGGAAAGATGGCCCAAGAAAAAAATTACAAATATTTCTGTATTGAGTTCTATGGTGAATGTTGGGGTTATCATCATTTTGATGTGAGCCAATCCCATGCAAACGAATGTTGGGGGAAATCATGGCAAAAACCAAACTACAGTTCTGGCAACCAGAATAGCAAAAATCCAGTATATGTTGGATCAGCAAATCACTGCTATATTTATCATCTACATCCAATAGGTTTGTATGAGATTATCTTCATATGTAATCCAGTTTCTACACATTAAACACTTCGGTCCAGTGGAAGGTAAATGAATTATGCGTTTTATGTCAGTGGTCAAAATATAAGTCAGGGGGGAGGGTTAGTGTACAATAAGTATCTTAATAAAACTCAAGTTAGAGGAAATTAACATTTACAAATAAGAGTAAGTTGATTAATTCTCAAATGTTGAACTGACTGTTTTTTTCTTTCAGACAAATGATGAAGAACTCCAGTGACTCTACAATAGGTTTTTGTAAGCGGCATAAAAACTGTTGCCTATCCTAAAATTCATGATTTTTTACAGCAATAAATAAAACGTTGTGTGGAAATTGTATTTGTCTATTAAGTAATATCTAACTTACTAGAAAACTCACAAAAACAACAAACAATATATTTTAACTCTTCTTTCACATGAATGAAGTCAGAGGAAGGTTCAAGGTCTGAGATGATGATGAAAAAAGTGGAAATGCTGTGGATAATAGGAATTATGCTATTACCACAAAGCATGCTTCCAACAGTGAAACAACGAAACCATGGCAAATATTGAACAGCATATGAAATAGAATGGTTTTATGTTCTTGTTAAAACATGATGCCATGTTCTTGTTGAAAATTGAAACATAATGCCTAAAATAGTTATGGCTGAAACATGATGCCATTTTCTTCGTGAAACATGATGCTATTTCAGAAAACAAGAGCCCATACAATGCACACAGCTAAAAACATTGTGGATGTGCTTTTTGTGCAATCGACTTTGGGCATATTTATGTTAACTGGTATTTGATAACTTGAGTACAGAGCTTAATGACACTTACATGTTTCCTTCTTATCAGCTATTCTGCAAAGTTTCTTGTTGAAAAAACACTATTCTTCGATTTCAGTGCTATTTTATCGTGTGAGCCGGTATTTTTCTCTTCATACAACAACACGAGGCAAAGAGTATAGTTTGATTGGACTTGGACACCTGTCGTTCTTACACAGCCATGCGGGACAAAGCTTCGCAATATAAACATTTTGGCGGGAAAACTTTATGTTTATATACAAAGCAAACAATGTTGTTCCTTGTTCAATGATATAAGCTACAGAAAACTCATCGTTAAAGTAGTCTTTGAAGTACTTCAGGTAAATCATTTTGTTAAAACAAACGGCACAAAGGCGAGACCAATGCGAGAGACAACCAGTTGGTGTAAATTTTTAAACAAAGGCTAACAAAAACATTGACAAAAACATTACAAAGCGCTCTCCCCCCGTATTTAGTCTTAGCCTGCGGTCAGGTATAATATAGTATCTTTCAAACCTCGAAGGAAACAAAATGGTGAGACTGTAAACTTAATTTTATTTTCATTTTACGCGATTTTCACTGAAACAGATAGCAATTTTTAGTTTCCTTAGATTAAGGAAATTTTAAACTTTCCTTTTGCAAGTAGCATGGTCGTCTCAAAGTGAGGACAACAGCAGAACAAGCGGAAGCAAAACGCAAGGAGCGACAGAAGAAGTTAGAGATATATCGACATGTGACGAGCACGGTGAACAGAAAGCGTTCAAATGAAGAGTTCGACGAAGAAGCTCTAAATCTTACCGAGCAGTTGTTGATAGCCAATCCCGATTTCTATACCATGTGGAATTATAGAAGGGAGATGTTTGAATACTTCAAGAAAGAAAGGTGATAGGCGATCTTTGTCCTCTATAGAACCGTCTATCCGCCCACTCAGTGGCAAGTTTTCGTTTTTTTCTTAGGGAAAGTGTGCAATTGAGAGAACTCTGTTTGAAAGAGTTGGCATTTCTAGAAAGATGTCTGCCTGTGAACCCAAAATCATACGGCATATGGCACCACAGGAGCTGGATGATGTTGTTCATGTCAACGCCGGACTGGAAGAAAGAACTTCATCTTTGCAATGTCTATCTTAGTTACGATGAAAGAAACTGTGAGTTAATACTTTATTTATTAACCTCTGACGAGTCACGATTTGTGCATGGACCATAATCACGTGACCTCGTCTTCTTTGCAACTTTTATTTTCTCAGTCCACTGCTGGGATTACCGTCGTTTTGTGGTGAAGCAAGCGCAGATTTCGGCCGAAAAGGAGTTCCAATACACAAGTGATAAGATCAGAGAAAACTTCTCGAATTATTCATCATGGCACTATCGCAGTAAACTTTTGCCAAAAATACATCCAGCTAGTGCAGACGACGGTGAACGAATCGAGGAAAACGCTTTACTAGAAGGTATGGGCTCGTACTACAAATCACCAATTCGAGTAAACTCTCTAATCTTTACGTTTTTTCAAAGAATTTCAATTGGTGCAGAACGCGTTTTTCACTGACCCCAACGACCAGAGCGCTTGGTTCTATCACAGATGGCTTCTGGGAAGAGGTAGCTATTGTGGTCTAATCTTACGTCATTTTTCCATGTAAATATCGCTAACCTTGTGTTTCAGCGAAAAACGACATTAAAATCTTACAAGCGTACGCACGACGGCACAACGACAGACTTGTTGTTTACATATTGTTCAACAAACAAGTGAAGGTATTGTCATAGTATTTCGCCTTTGCTTCAGCTCCTTATAGTACATTTTATCATCCGTTAGAAAGAGGTGGTTTCAGCACTATCTTTAACTGTGAATGGCGAGAAGGACTCACTAGATTGGTACAATCCCACAAATAATGTTCAACCATCAAGCATTTGGATATCCTTTATGTTTATATATTGGATAATCACCGTGATGATTATGTACTTCATGAGAAAAGGAAAGTTATTTCTTTAACTCAACTCAAATAGCCAGTTCGAAAGTTTCGGACGAAGATGCTCTCCATCTCAATGTTACCCATAATGAATTGAATGTAAACATAACTTTGGACGTAAATGAATGTAAGTAACGTGAAGTCTTGTAGCCCACAACTGGTTGTTGTGTGTATTGCGAGAAAAGAAAATTGGTCAGGAAGATCACCTAAGTGAAATGATCACACATACGAACGCTTTGTTTTATCCTATATAGTAGAGATAGAAGGATGGAAAACCTGCTATGACGAAGCTGATTATAGTTTTAGGTAATAATCGTTTGTATTCACAGGAAAAGCCCTGAACCACCTTGCACTTTTCAGAAAGGTATAGCAAACGCATATGATCAAAGACGCACATATTTGTAGGTAAAAGCAATAGTACAACTACAAAACGTTTTCTTTTCACGGTAAATTGCATAAAGCATTTTCAACAAAGGTCATTGTGTATGGTAAGACTTCAAGATTAGAAACTGCAAGCGCGAAACCTTCATAGCGCTATATTCACTGAACAGTAATTTCAATTCTTTCAAAAAACCTTATAAAATGCAAAAGGACAATCAGTCAAACAAAGGTCACGTCAAAGATACTGAAGTTTCACATTTGTGAAGAAAAAATAGGAACTTTCCTATTGCGCTTGGAAAACTCACATTCAGTTGAAAACGTAACCCAGGCTTCGTACAACAACAACACTAAGATATAAAGACTGTACTGTAATTATAAAACAGATAAAGTTAAACCAAATGTTTTAAATTTTCCTGTAACATGTATTCATGATTGACTTGCAAACTCCCTTTGATTGATTTAATAGACCTAGAAAAACCCAAAACCTAATGAAAATCCAGCTAAGGACCAATCAGCGTACGCGTTTTATTGCTTTTATTTTATAAACAAATATGATAAGTCTGTTTATAAACCATTTACAGATCCGAACTTACTACGGTACATCATGCCTTTCTCGAAAACGAACTGGAATCATGTTGCCTCCTCCTGGAAGAGGAACCAGATAACAAATGTGAGTGTTGCTAATGTAAATGTTATCCCTAAAAACAGTTGTTCTGAAGGGTTATATGAGGGTGCAAAAGGTTGCAAGAAGGTTTATAAGGGTTATATCTAGTAGAGATATGATATATAGTACGAAAGTCCGTTCATCACATACTTGTGCCTTTATTCTTCCGAACAAACTATGAGAAACAAATAAAAAGGAGACACAATCATACAGTTAGCCAAATTCGTTTTGACCAGGCGGAAAGTTTCGCAAGACAAAATAAAAAACGACATCCGGCGGGATCGTTTCCTCCCATTGCTTTGGTGGGCCTTATAAAGCTACAAAGATGTGATCAAGCGTATGTTATCAATAATAATGCAAAAGACAAGCGATTTGGTTTGTGACCAATATTCAGCAGTTATTTATTGCCTGTGCTATATTTCCAGGGACAATCCTGACTATTGTTCTATTGATGAGAGCCATTAATCCAATGAACTATAGCAATGAAGTTGAAGGTTATCTCAAGAAACTTAGTGAAATTGATTATTATCGACGTGGATATTACAATGATTTAGGTGGGCGACAACGATATTTCCCCTCCTACATTCTTTTCAAACAAGCTAGGTTTTCAGTCCAAATTTTTAACTTTAGATAGCAAATATAAACTAGAAAACACCATTGAGAGACATTTCGTGGATTGCAAAGGCAAGCAAGTATGAAAACATCAAAATAATTCATTGCACCAACACTATTCATACACTTTGCTAACTTATATTACCGTGCTCTACTCTGCATTTTCTTTTGCAGAATTTTCTTCCCCGTGTTATCCAACTTAGTCATATGGTTAGTATTTTAACTTCAGAGATTCACCTACGTATGTTAACAGACATTCAACTACGTATGTTAACAGACATTCAACTACGTATGTTAACAGACATTCACCTACGTATGTTAACAGACATTCAACTACGTATGTTAACAGACATTCAACTACGTATGTCAACAGACATTCAACTACGTATGTTAACAGACATTCAACTACGTATGTTAACAGACATTCACCTACGTATGTTAACAGACATTCAACTACGTATGTTAACAGACATTCAACTACGTATGTTAACAGACATTCACCTACGTATGTTAACAGACATTCAACTACGTATGTTAACAGACATTCAACTACGTATGTTAACAGGCATTCAACTACCTATGTTAACAGACATTCAACTACGTATGTTAACAGACATTCACCTACGTATGTTAACAGACATTCAACTATAGTATTATCAACAATAGGTATACAGTTGATGTTAGTGGAGAAGTAGATGCTATGAAATATACAGCATATGCATAATGCAAATAAGTATTGTGGATGAGATAAGCACATGAATTTCTGCTGATGCGACTGTTTTGTAGTGCTATTTCTTAGCACATTCACAACATAAACATGAGGCTAATTAAGAAATGAAAGACACATAAGCTTATATTGAAGACTAAATGAACATAAAGTAATAACTATGTACAATTGCACAACATGAGCATAAAGTAATAACTATGTACAATTGCACAACATGAGCATAAAGTAATAACTAAATGCACAACAATATCATAAGATAATAACCAGATATAAGTGTCAAAAACTAGTGCAATTAAAAACTAACATATCATATATAATTTCCAGGATTTAACAACTCTTTATCATATGGATAGACTCTTACTTATGACCGATATTGATTTATCAAACAACAGACTACGTAGTCTGGATGGCTGCAATATGTTACAAAGCGCTAGAAAGATATGTCTTGACAACAATAACTTAGAAGTGATTGTGAACAAGCAAGGTCTAAATCTACCATATTTGAAAGAATTATCCCTGAACAACAACAGTATCCTTTGGTCAGTTGGGAAAATTCAGTGCTTATTGATATTGTGTTCATTTTCTTTTGCCATTTTAATAACTAATTTGCAGAATTACTTTCTTAACCGTTCATGAACAAAGACATTGGACGTATTTCATGTTTTCTTGCATTGCAAAAGTGTACAAACCTCAAAGAACTAAATGTAAAAAATAATCCAATTGAGGGAGTGTTGAACTGGCATCGTGAAATCAAACAAATGATTCCATGGCTGGAAAAGTTAAATGGTGAAGGCATTTGAGATGCAAGAGAAATTGACATGAAAAATATGTCAAAATATGTACAATTACAATTATTTCTTTATGAAATATTAATTTTAGCAAGCTAATGATCACTCTCTTATTTGTTTGCAAATCTTTTAACTGTCAGTTCCCTCAATGAAGGTAGATGCTCAATTTCTATATTATTCATGTTTATGATCTCTTTTAACCTCCTTTCAATGGAACTTGCATCCTCACCCAACCAGGTATAAGTATTTTTAAGGCTTTGTAAAAGCGGCAACAAATATTTGTTCGAATTGTCATTACCAATCAACTCGAGGGCAGCATTACTATACCTAATAGCTTCTTCAAAGCTTTTAAGAGACAAGTAGCATTCCACAATGCCACCTAAAGTTGCAACAACCTCATCAGTTGAATCCAACGCAAGTTTTTGCTGAAGATGAAAACCATTTAGGAAGTAGTTCAAAGCTGATTCAAATCTCCCACCTGATATTTGCCTACAGCCTTGCTGTAGAGATTGAATGTAAAAGAAATTCTTAAAATTTTCCGAAGTTCTCATCTCTTCACTTTCGTGAATGTTTCGAATGAAATCTTGTAGAAGTCTGCTACGATCACTAATTACTGTACCCTTGAGGTTTCCATAAAGCTTTTTCTCGGGAAACTCAATGCTTTTCATTAAATTTGAGTACTTTTTCTTTAGCTCTTTGTAGAGTTTATAAAATTCAGAATACCTTTTCTCAACAATTGCCTTGTCACTGTCAAGCCCAGGTGTTCGTGTCACAACAAGCGTGTAAAGCTAAATGGAAAGTTTCAAGAATAAGATTTTATAGTTTCAAATACATTACAACATCTTTCTAAATGAGTACAATTCCTCCTACCACGTGTTTATGGTGACCTGCAATTCTTGTATTCACAATGTCAAAGTTCACCTTCGCTGTTCTTTCTCTGATAATTGAGATACTTAGTCCACGTTTTATGCTTGTTTTTAATGTACGAATTGGTTCAAGCAGTCCATAGCTACTATCGTCACTTTCACCATCAGATGAGTCTAATGTAGAGTCAACACTTTCACTGCTAGTCATTCCTATTAAATTGAAATGACAAATTGATTAGCAAAAACAAACAGAAACAACATCCACTACTTCATGCCAAGTAATATTTTAAGTGTTCAATATAATAACAAAACAATTTCATCGTAGATACCCAAGTTGTCATCAATTGTCAGTGAAAGCACGCCATTTAAATCAAATTCGTGAACATCTTCGTCAATAAGGCTATGCTCGAAAGGTTCCAACTCGTTTGTTTTCAAATTACATTTACTTAGACGTTTATTGGCCATCACTAAGGTGTCAGATGTCGGATTGTATCTGGACAAAATGTATAACAAAATGACGTTATTCTATCGATGCGTCGTTGTCTAAAGACAAGAACATTGCATTGTCTTTACCCTACCTAAATGGATCAAAGAATATTATCATACAAAGCTTGGGAAAGGTAAATCTTCACATTAACTTTAACCGTTCTTCTTTTGATTGGAATCACTGATGCGTCAGTCGTCTTAGACATCTAAGTTCCTTGCTAGACATAGCCATATTCCTCGATTTTCAAGCTCATACAATATTAATTGCCGCATATGGAAACAGAATATCAAAATATCGTGATGGCGGTTCTTGACCAAGAACGCGAGTTGATTTTTTAACAGATATCAACTATATTTCAACAGAACACAGTTAATAAGTTATAATTCACGCTAGGCTGCCAGAAAGGGAAATTTAAAAAATACTTAATGACGTCATGATAAAGCAAAGCATTAGCAACAAAAATTGCTAATTCCTTTCATTTTCTAAATTTCAAGTTTTCGTTGGGCAAAATCAACTAAAAATTGTTGCACAGCTGAAACGCAAAGTATCTCTTCCTGAAAGGGAATACGAATTATAATAAGCCAAGATCTTTTTCCAACAATATTGTGTCATATTGCTATGAACACGAGGAGAACTGATGCTGTGCACGTGATATCAAATAAGAGCACAGTAGAAGTTACATAATTATCATAAAACATTAATCCCAACAGTTCCAAAACATTTTGCAGTATTGGTCGGTAATCTCTTTACGATTTCTGAAGGCGTCTGTCTTAACGAACAAAAATAAGGAATTGCCAGCCAATGCCAACAGTAAAACCAGATGACTTAACTATCTAATTTAGTTGTCAGGGTGATGGTCTCGTAGACGACCTTGGAAAAATAAAGCAAGGTGAACTTGGAATCGAAACAGAACAAACATTAGCATTTAGGATGTTCCACGCCAACGGGCAGCATTTTTGCGTCAAATGCACAATTACTTTTTTATTCAAATAAAATTTAGGTGGCAGAGCAAGACATACTTTGTTGGCAACCGTACGACCTTTGCTCCTCTCCCAGATCGCTGGGATGAACCATCCAATCGTTTCTGACCAATTAGCATCACACCGATGCGAACGAATTATGAAAAGGGGGCGGTTACCATACCATATATGGCTTTATTTTGATGGACAACTGACAGGATGTCAACAAAACCCTTGTCAAACGAAATTTTTTTGTGTATCGTCACCGGTCTTAAGTTGAACGTAGAAAGCCCTAAAATATTTCGAACTCCATCAATATAATTTGAGAAAAATATCTAATATATTCACGAAGCGAACAGCTCGTAACTTACAGATAACGATAAAACACATTTTTGTGAGCTTATCGACGACTAAAGGACACATATTATCGCATATTCTTTAGCAAAACGGTTTTTGGCGCTTACAAACACAAATAGAAGAAATAACTTCTTGGGGCGTCTTCTTCATCGTAAGTATTTCTTTCGTATTTAAAAATAGGCGTTCAGATGCTTTTACTCTACTATGCATGCATTTTTAAAGTAAACTAGCGTTTTGCTATAAGCGTTTGTTTTTAAGAAGTGTAGATTGGCATTGCATCATCTTTCTTCCTTAATTCCAGTAAAATCTTTTGCTATACTTTAGGAATTTGAAAGAAAAAAAGAGATGTTGGCAACATTGAGCAGTTATATTTGGTCAAGCGGCTCTGAAAATGAAACAGTGCCAGATATAAAGCAAGATAATGCACCAGAACAAGAAGACGAATGGGTTTTGGTTGACGTGAACGACCAGCCAAAAACTCAATCAGGTCTGACCCTCTCAAACGCGACATACATTTATTCAGGCGATATTAAATTCTCCATAGGCACTTCTACTTAATGCTTAATAAACACAGTAAAAGTTCAATACAATACGATAGGTATTAATGCTATGTATTATAATCAACTTTTTACAGTCAAAATCGACAACGCGTTGCAATGTATTGAGCCGGAGCCGAGGGCAACGACCGTAGATGTTTTAGAGGAAAGTTGGTATGTGACGCCTCCATCATGCTTCAATGCAAACCAGGACGATTGTTTAAGTCTACCGCCAAGTCCTCTGGAAAATTTGCTCATCGAACATCCAAGTATGTCCGTTTATGATGGACCAGCAGATATTTGGTTGGCCGTTGAACGAAGCGAAACATCCGAGGAAACCCCCGAGAACCCGTCTACTCATACCTCGGCAGAAAACCGAGTCCAGCTTAGAGTCGTAAGAGCAATGGATAAAGGCAAAAAGCTGGCGAGAAACGGTCAGGAAAACGTTTTACAGCAAAGGAAAAAGCAATTTAGGAAGAGCAAATTGCGAAATCATAACCAAATGCATATCAGCGTACCGCGTTCCCGACGTAAACAAAAGAAAATTGACCGTAAACAGGGGAAATATTCTTCAGTATATAGTCACCGAGGTTGCTGACTGGAATATGTAAGATTTTCTTGTCACGTTTCATCGTAATAGGGTTTTTCACTTTTTATTTTACAAACGTATTTGCATAATAATTATTTTAAAAGCTAGTCACTGTAGAATGATATATGGGTTTTCCCTCACTGTGTACAAGAATATCTGTATATAAATAAATTTTAAATAGTGTATATTACATATATGGACGATTATTTATAAAAAAAAACACATAGAAATAACTAATTTTTTTTACATACGTCGTAAATGCACACGTTGTATTATTGATAGCCTTTCCAATACCAATTACGGTGAATAAAACGATTTTATTAAAATGTGAATTTGTGGTACGAAATCGGCATATTGCTGGTGGTTTGAGGATATATGAACACCAGACAACTAATTGATCGTATCTTGGAAAATACTTTAAAATATGCATAGTTTCGTTAGCGTGAGTCGCTGCATGTATCATATTAAACAAAAAAGAACTTCTTCAAAGTTCTAATTCGTATCTCCAACTTGATCACTTCGTTCTAATATGTGATTTACACAAACATTTTTGTGGTGAAATAGGGGACGAAAAATCATTCTGCCTGCCTTGAATAATTTTACGCCCGACATTCACCGTATGCGTGCTAGTTGCGTGTCGAACGCATGAGTTTATTAAAATGCAAAAAATGTTTGCATTGTAATTAACTTTGTATGTAAATGTTTGCGGTCAATAAAAAACGGTTTAATTTGCGTTCAGAAGTATTCATTAATGCAAGCATTTATGGAATGAACGTAATGTTAATTTGTCAACTATCAAAGTTATATACTAGAAAATCTAAACACTGACATAATTTCTTAGCACACCAATATTTTTTGTCATAAATCCTTCAATGATCTCAAGTGTTCTACTTTAGTCATGAATGATTTTACCCTAGATCGATCCACAGCAGATTCCCAGTGTCCATCCTTCTTGAAATGTGAGCCAAAAATCATTTGTCATAAATCCTTCAATGATCTCAAGTGTTCTACTTTAGTCATGAATGATTTTACCCTAGATTGATCCACAGCAGATTCCCAGTGTCCATCCTCCTTGAAATGTGAGCCAACAATCAAAGCTGATGCTTGAATGTAATTCTGTATGTTTTCTATAGTAACACCTGATCCAACAAGAACAGGAAGTTTCACAGACTTTCTAATATCTACTAAGTCATGATGGTTTGCTGGGGAACCAGTGGTTGTTCCAGTAAGTATGACACCGTCAGATAAGAAAAACTCGGCTGCTTTTGCTGTTTCGATCAAATTTACATCTGATGTAATCATGTGGGAGCTATGAATGGTTAAGAAAAATCTAATTGCATCTCTTCAAAAATATCCATTACATTATGAATGCAACATTGATTAGAATGCTAAATTACTTCATTGTTCTTACATTTATAAACAAACGATAATGATAAGGTGATATTCAAATAAAACCCACCTATGCTTTTTCTTGATGTCAGTAAACACCAATACATTATCAGCGGAAATCTGTTTTCTGTAGCGCAGCAACTCCCCAGCACATGAGTTCACAAGACCTTCATCGGCCACATGTGAAAATATGAAACCCTCCACACGAATGAAATCAAAGTTGCAAGCTTTTGCAATGGCAAGTGCTTGCTTATTAGCAACAGTTAAGACTTGAACCCCACATGGCATTGCAGGAAGAGTTCGCTTCACCTCCATGCATACAGCGGTCATCGTAGCAGTGACCTCAGGTCCAACATTTTCATTAATGTATGGATTATCATGCATGTTTTCAATGATAACACCATCCTACTGGTGATAAACAATATAAGGAATACCAAAATTGAGTGGGTATTACTATTTTTTTACAATGGCAAATCAATACTCATTTGACAGGAGGGGTGCAGATTTTTACAAGGTGTGTGAATCTTCATCACAGTTAAATAGGCTATTGTGAATTTTTAAGAATGAGTGAACCTTGCGTAATGAAAATGTTATTACCTTTTAAATTTTGTTTGTTAATGAGTTCATGTTAAGTGATTTATTTCAATCTTAATGACAATGAAAACATGCATGGTAGTGCTCAATTGCAAATGGTGGTAATATAAAGTAGATAATTGCCTTTGAAATGAGAGGTTAACTTTACCTGGTCTTAGTGTACAATTTCATAGCCTCTAATTGTTATATTAATTGTTTACAGTATGTAATTTTTAGGATATTTTATGGAAAATGCAGGCATTAAGCTTTATAAATAATTTTTGTGTTTTTAATTCATTCAACAGAAAAATCCATAGTACTAAACTTACAAAGAGATTAAAATTTATAACATACCAATGAAGCTTCTTTGTAAATTAATGCTTCGGAACATGCCTTCTGAATAATCTCAGATATTGATTTGCAATGCTTTGGTGTTCCTAGGAATAATTTATAAAACAAAATGCTCAATTTGTAGATGGTAATAATTGCATATTTACTCTATGCTGAGGTGAGGTGATACGTTGGCATAATAAGGATTGTCTTTAGTACTATCATAAAAATACAATAAAAACTATAAATAACAAGAAAATACCAAAGTTTAAAAAATAGTAGTTTCAAAAGTTTGTACAGCAGTTTATATCCAAACAAAGAACGCGAGGACAATGTTTTCGATAATTCTACGTCATTATACGGCTATAAAGTCATAAAAATAGCTACCATGTGCACATTCTAATGATTCTATTTTAAGTATTAAGTACTATATGATCAACATTCCTATTCAATCTACACGTTTTCATCAAGACTACTCAACAATAAAAAACTATCAGCAGAATACCTGGTAATGCGTCCACATGGATCATTCCAATAACAATAGAAGAACGCCTTCCAAACAACTGAGAAAACCTTGAAAGAGCTGTTACAGCCGCCATTTTAACCTTACAAAGTCAAAGTCAAAAGTATTAATACTTCAACTTCCTATGTATTATTTAATTGAAGATTATAACAATTTAAAAAGATACATGCTCTATGGCTTATTAAAAAGTTTATATTGAGTAATCGTTTATATATTCAGTGAGATTGTGAGTGAACTCGCTCGCAAAACCTTACCAGTGCGTAAATCAGGTAAATCCTGTCAAATTGTCCTCTCACAATACCCGCACGTGCTACCGGAAATTCACAAAAACTGAAAATTATGTAAACAAAGCCTTGATCGTGAACGGAAATCGTTAGCAAGTCGCCAAGCATTATGATTGGTCAAACGATAGCGCAACCAGTTTAAATTTTGGCGGCCGAAAAAAAACCCGCGCTAACCAAGCGCGATTACAAATTCCCATTACAGAAGTGATTTACTAATAACAAAGGAGGGAGCAACATTGTTAGCTCCATACCCTCACTAGTAAAATATCAGGGGTTTTTTTCTACAGCAATGAGCTGCACGACCAGAAGGTAATAAAAAGGATCTTTTTTAACACATTTTAAGCTTTATGTATCTCCGTTTGGTGGAAGAGTTGTTGCGTTGTCAAACCCTTAGCCGTGAAATTCATAATTTTAGCTGGAACGAGATACTTGCATCACAGCTGTAAATTTTCATTGAAGTATTATCGGATATTATTTATGTTGGGTGTATTAAATTTTTTCTATTAATCATTATTTATATACCTTGCAGTGCGATGTTGAAGACGAGAAAAAATAGCGAAGTTGAACGAGAAACTCGTACCAGCAGTAAGCGAAAGGTTTGAAATCAAATGCCCTGTCATTCATCATTGGTGGATTTTTCTCATTCACGATTGTATTTTCTGTTTAGAAATTGAATTCGAGTCTTTGCGATTCAAGTCAGGGAAATAAAAACGTAGGCTTATAATTAACAAATCCCTTACTAACAATTTGCCGCCCATTTATGGTCGCCATACTGTAATTTCCATAATGAACAACGAAAATTTTTAAACTTTAATCCTTTGCACCGTCTTGCTGAGAGATTAATGGCCAACATTTTTATTTCATTGGGGCAAACGTGGCGTTTAACGACGGTCCCATGATCGGCCACATGTTAAATTTGAACCACAATAAAATCATTTCATTGTGTGGCATTTTTAAGGTTGCATAGAAATGCCATCTTTTCGATTGCATAAACTCGGTCAATTCATTCACACTGACTTCTCAGTGCAGGTCAATTTAGGCTATATATTTAGCACTCTTACAGTATAAAATAAAAAGATCTGAATATGTCAACGAAGCAATGCTTATATAAGGGGGAAGGTTGTCAATTATATTTTACATGTTATGATACATGGATAAATTAGTTGAACAGTTCTATAATCAGGTATTTTTATTCAGCATCAAGCTTGCACCTTCATTTCCTACCATTGTCTACTGGTAGTTTTCATACCACATTTGCAACTTGTCATAACTTTTTCAATAACATGAGAATAACTTTTTAGTTGAAAACAAATGAAAACAAAGGAAAAACCGACCAGTTTCAGAAAGAAAATTTTGAATCTATGCAAGCTTCCCCTACAACTTCCACACCTGCACAGTGCAACCAATTTTCCCACACAATCCTTGATTTCTCATGCCTGGGCAGTCATTCGAGGACACCTTTACCCATTTTGAACTGGGCAGACTCTGATGACTTTTGGACATTCTTGAAAGAAACAGATAAAAAGTATCCCGTATGTGGTCAGTATATGAGTCAGCATCCTTCACTGCAGCCAAAGATGAGAACTATTTTACTGGACTGGTTAATTGAGGTCAGTTGCTAAAATTGGATTTTAGGGGACGTCTTCATTAATCATCATTAAATGCTAATCAAACCACTGTATGTGTATGACATTGCACTTGTTCTCATTTGCCAGGTCTGTGAGGTGTACCGGCTACACAGAGAAACATTTCATCTTGCAGTAGGCTATGTAGACAGATATCTCAAGGTTAAGAAAGACATTCATAAATCGACATTACAACTTGTTGGAGTCACAGCCTTGTTTATTGCTGCTAAACTAGAAGAAATCTATCCTCCAAAGGTTGCTGAGTTTGCGTATGTAACTGATGGCGCATGTACAGAGGATGAAATCCAAATAGAAGAACTGGTTATGCTAGAGGTGCACTTCAGTTCGTGAAGTAAACTTTTTCATTTAAAGATTTTCATTGAATTTTTAAATATATTTAGGTGTTAAATTGGAAGTTGACACCAGTCACTATAAACACATGGATAAGAATATACTTGCAACTAGAGAGCTACAAGCAAGATGAGAAGGCAGCTTTATTTCTAACTCCAGCATTTTCTGGTAAAGATCTTGTGCAGTCAGCAAAGGTTGGTAGGAACTACTGGCAACTACATTATGTGTCCTGAAAAATTTGTATGACTAACATTAAAATGTTTCTTTTAGCTTGCTGACTTGTGTGTATTAGATATGGAATCAATTGACTTTCCAAATAGAATTTTGGCTGCAGCGGCAGTGCATTATACAGTCTCAACAGATATAGTCAAAGTTACTGGTATGCAATTGAAATGCATATATTTCGACATGCAGATTGTTTTCCTATAATAAGTACTTTTTCTATAATAGATATAGATTGGTCAGAGTTATATCCATGCATACAGTGGATGAGGCCATTTGCGGAAGCTGTTCATGAACAGGGAATGGTTGAAGTGAGACTCTTTGATAAGGTACTTGTAATCTTGTGCTTATGAATAATTTAATGTGAAATGAGAATTTGATATATCAGGTTAACTTTTCTCTCAGATTCCTGCTGAAGATTGTGCAAATATTCAAACACACACTACAAATAAGGCATTGATGGTAGGGTTGATATTTCCATTCTCAATTTGACAACTTGACTTAAGCTGACATTGCTGGGTTCATATATTTCTTTCAAGGCCGATGTTGCAATCCGCAAGAGCAAATATAGTCAAATTTCTTCCTTAACAAGATGCAGTCCACCATCCCCTACATTTGGTGTCTTAACCCCTCCTAGCAGTTCAAAGAAAGGCAAAATGAACAGATAACAGTGTGATGGAAATATATGATAAGTGTAAAGGATTGCAGAATGTGGCACAAGTGGCAGAAACATGGATTAAAGTGCAAAGCTTTGCATCAAAGCACTTAATTTAGTCATGAAATTTTTGTGATACTGATATTGCAAGCTTCATCTTTGGGAAGTTTATTGATTTTAAACATTCTCCTCTTAATGAGATTTTCAATTTATAATTTTTGTATATTCTTTTTTATATGTATTTGTATTTTGCGAAAATTTAATTTGAATAAAGCTTTTAATAAAATAAGATTTAATCTTTTTCCTATAGTTGTCAACAATATGCTGCAGAAATTTACCATATATCTGTCAAATTAATGACTTAGTGATATCTTTGAGAATGAAACATTATTTGTGTAAATGCAAAGAGCATTCATCAAATGATGGATGAAATCTCAATATCTGCTTATGAAATCTGATTTGAGACAATTTGTCTAAGTTCATTTGCATTGACTATCATTGTCCTATGTTTACACCAATTATGAAAGCAGATCGTGTCATTACAATGCACATTTTATCCATTGAATATTAGATCCACAGAGAACGAAGTTGAAAATGCTTACAACATTTGATATCAAACAGTTTTTCGTTGATGCAGACATTGAAAGAAACTAAATGTAGGATTTCCTCCAAAAAGAACCAAATGTGAAGGAACTGAATTCATTTTGATTTTATTCAACAGTAGTTTAAACAAAAATAAAAATTAATTTGTGCACAATGCAGTATGAATTCACTTTCGAATTCTGCTGCAAAATTCTTGTCACCACCAAGACATGTCTATGTCATTCTTTGTTTGGTGGTACGGAAATGGATTGGAAATTATTTGAATTGCCTTCTCACTTGCAATTACATTATCTTCCATCCAGAGAAAGATGCTTAGCAGCTTCATTGTAACTTAACCTGCTAAGATTCTTTTTATTTTCATATAAAAACCGCTTAACAGAGCCTGGTTTTGTCCGAGCATAATCTCTCAGGGCCCAACCAATTGCTTTCTGGATGAAGAACTCTGATTCGTGACATCTCAACTTGCAGAATTCAAACAAAAGTTCTTCTTTGGTAGAATGCTTGCAACACAATTGATGTAAGATGGCTGTTCGCTTTAACCACATGTTGTCAGAGCTCACCCAATTGCGCATGACAGCAACACCCTGCTCGGGATATAACTTCACCAGGAAACCAATGAGTTTGTATGCAAGCATGTCTACTGTGTCCCACCATGATTTATCTGTTATCAAAGATTTGAAAAACTCGACATTTTCCGCGAAATGAGCCTGCTCCTCGCAGATTAACTTTCGATTCTTAACGAGGAAATCCACAGCAACGTATTGAAACTCCCTTTGAGGATACGACCACAATAATGAGACTAGATCTATTATATCTTTCCTTTCAAAACATTTATCCTTAAGTGTCAAAATTTCCGTACTTACTTCTCGCCGAGCTGGTGTTTTGACACCGTAAAATTCGAATTGGTCTCTCAGGTATTTTTTCATCGCTGCAGAGTCCTTTGCGTTGCCTCGTCTTGATAATTCTTTCGATAATTTCGAAACAATCAATTTTGCTTCCCGTTCAAAAACTTCAGAGGACATAGCTGCAGTTGGTTTACTGCACTTTAATTTTTTTGTCAACATTTCACGACTTTCATCTCCTTTTTTCGTCAATTTTCTTCTTCGACTCATGTCTACCTTCTACTATTTTGAAGATATTGTACTTCTCGCCAAGAATCGTGTTGTCTTCACGCATGCGTGGTATTATACTGCATTGATAAAATGAGAGGAGCAAGCACCCCCCGATCATACTTCACAATTGCATGCAGCATTGCAAGTGTCTTCCCAAATCGGAAAATGCCCTCCAGTCTCAATTTTCACAAAACATTTGAAACATTGGATGGTATGAGAAATGGGCATCACAAACACACACAGGCATTTTCAAACTACGCCATGCCTGACGCTGCAGAGATGTCCATAACCAATGTCCTTACATCCTCAGATACATTCTCAACTTCGCTTACCTCACGCATCGCTTTAAACAAAACACCTCCGTGTTCGTTGAACGTGGAAGCATGCAACGTACTTGAGGAAACCAAACGTTTAACAATTCGTAAAATTTGTTTTTGTTTCTTCGGGTCAGAAGCTAACAGAGCTTCCGTGAAGCACCTTATGCTCTCAGTAGTCATTGCCTCAGAATCAGTTCCACCAAAGAGCTCAACCACTTGATACAAACAACGTAATGACCACTCCTGAATATCTTTATCTGAGTGACAAAGGAATTGCACTAAAACGCCGGTCAACTCGGCTAAAGGTTTACCTTTAAGTAAAATCATTTCGGCTTTCTCAGTTAATGTACAGCCAATTGCTGTTGAGTTTGCTTGAAAGGCATCGCGAACAACCTAAAGAAATCAGCACAGAAACGTTTCTATGAAAAAGGGCAGCGAAATTGCACGTTTTACGACTTTTAGAAGAATTTTCTAACAATTTTGTGTTCAGCTAATGGAAAAATTGACGACACCTTTCTCCTAAAACACTTTCCTGAAAATTAGTCCTACAGATGAACCACTATTAAATCGAGAGAATCCAATACTATCTCACCTTCGAAGAATATTTCATCATGCCATGCACGACATCAAGCAGCGGTAACATAACTTCCGAGAAATTCCTTTCTGGCTCCTGTCTTTGAATGAAATCGGTCGAACTTACAAACATTGTGGTCACGTGGTCTACAAGTCCTTGCTCGTATAAAGGCCAGAGGTCATCGGTAGACGATACTAAACAGTCCAATAAGCTAACAACGGTCTGAACGGTGGAACCAGATACGTCACCATCATGTCTTTCTAAGATTTCACCAAGAATGGCAACTACACCCTGGTCGATGACTACTTCGGAGAATGCCGGAGAATGCTCGAGAAACGCAAGTAACAATTTTAGGGCATATGACGGTAATGGACCGTGGTCGAGTAAAATGCTGTCGTACTTGGGTAGAAGTTCAGACGAGATTAACTGTGAAATAAATATTATTGATTTACCAACATTTCATAAAAAAAAAGGTTAATATGATTTGAAAGTCTTCTCTTTCGACAACAATAAGAAATTTTCACTTGTACCTTGGCTAACTTCGTGGCAGTCCGCTTCCCGTTGTCATCGACCAATGTCTGACTGTCGAGAAACATTGCTGTCATGTCAGCAAACATCTTCAAACAGAGCATGCGTACATCTCCCGCCTCACTTGATGAAAGTACCGCAAGGTTTGGCATGACATAACTCACAAACGTGTCACGGAAACGCAACAAGATTGAGGGATGTTGGACTATTGCTTCGACAATGGAGAGAACTACATTCATCAGGCTGTCTCCAGGTGCTTGCTGTGTGGTGGAGGTGAGAGCATAAATAGGCGCATTCCAGTTGATAGCCGAAACGTGCGCGAGCAGTTGACCCATGTGCTGAATAAATATATCATTCACGACCTTATCCCTGAAAACGTTGCTAGTCACCAAATACAGAGCAATGTACAACAGAGGAATGCAAAATTTTAGCTCTTTGCTCAGCGTAGCAGAAGGATGTTTTCGTCCCGAAGTAGCCTCCATTGCATTCACAAGATTTACAATAACTTTAGGTACACACCTACATGCACTCCGTACACACAAACTCAGGCAGTGTTTCAAATATTCTACTGAGTCCTCGTCTGCTTTCCCGGGCGTCTGTCTCTTGGTATCGCGCTCGATGTACGTCACCAGCTTCGCCCTACAGCAGTGGAGTAGAGCCACGTGATTTTCACGTGAAATTGTTAGACTTTCGGTGCGATGTTCACGCGAGGAAGCGCGAGATAATGGCTTTTGTTGGTGTGATAAAGAAGAGTCTTCACGTGTCATTGCCGCAACAGCCAGGAAAGCTTTACCACGTATGATCATAGAGGAGCTTTCGAGAAAATGCATCACCTTTAAAACGAACTCTTTGTCCTCGATAATCCGTTTGATATGGGCTCCTTTGAGTACTAATGTAGCGAGCATGGTTATGATGACCTGCTGAACTTTGCTTGAACCGCTGTACAGGCCATTGAGAACGGTGCGAAGGCCCACATTCTCGATGATGTGTTGAAAGAGGATTACGGAATGAAGGGTGAGACGTCCAAGCGCGGAAATGGCCGTCAGTTTCTGTGAATCTCCAGAACAATGCGTGAATAGCTTCCAAAGCATCTGAGAAACATATTACCAGTACAAAAATATGAAATAAAAACGTTTCGATTCAAGAATCAAGTGCATCACCTAAATGTACAGACTAGCATATCCGTCTATACTCATGGGTATCCCCTTTAGGAATAGAGAACCTGTACCCAAACACCCCCCCCTGCCCCCACTCAACAATGCAATACCTGAGCTGTGTCCACGGTAGCAAATTTTTCGGTGTGTTGAGTGTCGGTCGTCACGACATTCTCAATGGTCTTTGCAGCAAAATGTTGAACGATGCTGTCTTCACCTTCACGTAGACACTTTAATATAATGGTGAATGTTATACCTAAATAAAAGGCAAAATAATATATATAAATAATATTTAGAAAGTTTTGTTTATTTGATTTTCCGCAATTACAGTGCTCGATGCAGAGCAGAGCATAAATATTGATAAGAAGAAGAAAATACACAAAAACTACAATTTCATCCCGACGAATGGGATAATATTAAATATTATCCCCGGAAGAGTGAGAAATCACGAAACAGGCTTGTCGGGATGAAATAGTAGTTTTTGTGTATTTTCTTCTTCTCATCAATAAATAATATTTAAATTTATCTGCGTAAAACAATTTGCTCTCCAAGCTATCACCAATATGGAATGGTCGTCACTCCTGCACGTAGGCTGTATTTAGGTTGCATATAAATATATATCAAACGCAGGAGTCACGAGTAATTTGACAAAATATCTGGCAAGACACAATGTTTATACATATGATAAATTCATTTTAGAAGAATGCTCAAACATCACCATTCACAAAAACTGATTATCAAAAAGCTATGATCACCCAAAACATTTAACAGTGTGAAATGTAAACTAAATTATTCTTATGGTATAATTCATGACAATAGCTATCAATTCATGCTTACCAGGAACTTCCCAGTTCTCGTTCATTTTCCCATCATTTTCCTCCTGTGTAGCAGCATAAAACAGGAATTCTCCAATGCATGGTAAGAGGCATTGCTTTAGCTTGACATTCCTGAAGTTATCTCGCATAGTTTCGGACAAAACCATGAACAACTCGCTCATTTTGAATGCGTCTGGAATCATGGTTGCATTACTGGCAAGCAAGCCCAATGTCATACCTGGTAAAAGAATTATAACACATTAAGACTCAACAAAGAGCAAAATCGGTCGAATTCATTTAAAGAGAACAGCTTTCACTCACCAAGTCTTCCTTTCAAATCTGTTGATGGCGAAATTTTGATAACATGAACAATCCTAAAAGCCAAATCAGAGTTGGCAAACAGATTTGCAACATCAACATTTTTGACAATCGAAGCAAGATACGAGGCACAATGAAGTTTGGCCCTTTGTCCTACAGTATGTCCAGTGCTTCTTGTAGGTTGTTCAAGAACTTTCAAAATCTCGTCAAGAAACTGCATCCGAATACTATCTTCTACCTCAAAAGCTTCTCCACAGCCAATGGTGTTATACCCATTATCTTTGCATCCCATTTGGGGATAACTGTTTTCTTTATTTTAGGATTATCAGCAATGGAAGTTAACACAAAATCTGATGGATGATACAACAGACTTTCAATACTAACGTCACCATCTTCCAAGTTTTGAAACAATGGAATTATTTCCAGCTGCATTTCACTGTTTTGGGAAAAAATATTTCGCCTTGTCTTTTCTATATTCAAGCTTTCTTTCTCACATTGTTGTCTTTTACTGTGCTTTAAAATTCTATCTGTGTGGACAGCCTTGTTCAGTTTTTGTGCTTGTGCAGTGTGTGGCCGCAACTGATCAATTTTGTAAGTTCCCAAACCAAGATTTGAGTTGCTTTTCTCTGGAGCAGTTTCTGGTCTAGATACTACTGCAAGTTCATTATTCTTTGATTCTGAGTTAGACTTCTGGGCTAAGGCTTTTAGATCATGGAGAATGTCATAGACTTGTTCCTTTTCATCGTTTACAAATGATTCTTTATCCTTGAATTCAAAATTTAGTTTATTTATTGCCAATTGTTCATCTTCAATCAAATCAACATTTTCATCAACCAGCAGTTTTCTCAAACTTCCATCCCAGAAACGATGATTAAACAAGTCCTTCCACATCATACGCGAACCGACATCTTTACACAAAAGGCTTTGCAACAAATTACTGAAATGGTTAGTTGGATAAAGTTCAACATCGTTGATGACTTGCCTAGGATTTGGAAAATCTTCACAGATTATTTTGTTAACCAGTTCTGAGAATGTCTCTGCTTCGAATGGCAAACATCCTGTAAATAACTCATACAAAACACATCCAAAAGACCACAGGTCACTAGAAACCGCGTGAACAGAACTTTGCAGGACCTCTGGTGCCATGTACAAGGGTGATGGTCGTCGATTTTCATCGTTCAATTCACCATCTGCAAAAAGTCGACATGTTCTTCCTCGCACACTCTTGCCAAGGAAAAGTTGCTTAACTTTACTTTTCCACAGCCATCCATGATAAGTTTGGAACACTGCAGGTCGCAGTAGAGTATGCCCATAACATGTAGATAATGTAAACCATTTGCAATGTCAATTCCAAAATTTTTAACAACTTCTTCAGGAAAACAACCATCTTGTTCCAACATAACAGATAAACATTGTCCCGTACACAATTCCGTAATCATCCAAATGTGATTTGTTGTCTCGTACCATTCGTAGAAAGCCACAATGTTATCATGAGAGACGTCGTGGGTAATACGTACGATATTTTGAAGTTCTTTGCGTTTGACTTTCTCAGCACAATGCACAGCAACATACTCAAGTGAGCCTTTCTTTCGTCCTTTAAATACGACAGAATACTTGCCTCGGCCAAGTTCGTCATACAACACATAGTTCTCCATTGAACTTAGCAAAAATCACGCGATAGCATCATCACCGTAAGGCGTTCGTATTGCACCAACTGTACGAAAATGTAAAATTGAAAATCCTCACGTGTTGTCTGCCATCTTGGTTACAACAATGCTCGAGTCTCGACGTAGCGTAGCGGCGTAGTAATTTTTCGAAAGATAATTTTGCATAATCGAGTTTGTGTTCACAATTTTCAAAGTCTTCAACAACTGTTGCTTTATCTTGAACAACACTATGTAAACAAACGGTTGCTACTCGAATAATTTATATTTTATAGCATGTGGACGTGTGGCTAGGCTAACCACAGATGAGGCTATATCGACAATGTCTGATCTTCGCGGTTTAACGCGACTGCGAGATGAGCAGGAAAAGGTTGGTCCTGGTTTATTTCATAGAGTAACAAAAATTTATTTTGGTTAATAAGATCAAAATTATGAAAGTTTCATTCACTTTTTCTTAGAGTTTGCAAAATTGCAATGACATGATAAGGAAATGGTATGACAGGACAAGCTATGAAATTGTACATTTAATTTGATGCTTGCTTTTAGTTGATGAAAGTTTATATCTTAGGGAGAAATTCAAGAAGGATTATGAATCAGTCGGAAAATTGCTACGAGATTTACCAAAAAAGACCGCACACGATGTTATGGTTAGCTCACAAACTTACATTACTAATTGTTGAGTAAGTTAGGTTAACCTTACGTAGATATTCTAGGAAATTTTCCAATTGTTTAGGTGCCAATTGGCCCTTTGGCATTCATGCCCGGCAAACTTATACATACAAATGAAATCATGGTTCTTCTCGGAGACAACTGGTTTGCGGAACGATCAGCTTCTCAAGCAGTTGACATCACAAAGCGTCGACTAAAGAGTATTGATTGCATATGAATAGACAAGTAACATATGAATTCTTAACTGAAGATGTCACTTAAATTTAGGTGTGGAAGAATACTTGGGTGATTTAAAAAAAGAACATTCCAACATACTATCCCATATGGCTTTTTCATCAGATATTATAAATGTCAAGGTAAACTCAAACCAGCTGGCAATAACAATAGACATAAGCATGGTCAACATTATGTGTCCATTCTGTTTTTCAGAATCAAGTTGATCATCAAGAGATAAAAGAAGAACTAACTACTAAAGATAAAAGAAGACAAGGTTTGTCTTTTGCTCATAGGTACAGGGGAAGCGAGGAGAGCGTTTTAACTTTTTTGAGCATTATGTTTGTTTTTGAATTAAGATGCAAAGAAGTCAGGAAGAGTTGCTCATGCAAAAGCCACTAAAGGCAGTGTGAAAAAAGTGGACTTGCAAACCGGCACCAGTAACAGGACAATGAAATTAACAAAAGATGATCAGAACCTGTTTGCAAGACTAGATGAACTTGAGAAAGAAGAACAATCCCACTTGGAAATGGAAAGTAAAAACACTCTAATAGATACAAATACAAACAAAGGAGACAATGGAGATAAATTACCAAGAGAAATCAATGTATTTAGGCAAAATAACACTGCTAAGGTTCAAATAGAACCATCTCAAAAACAAAATCCCAAGAAAAAAGTTTCCTGGAAAACAGATGTTGTTGAGACACCTCGTGAAAAAATTGCAGCAGTTCCAAAAGAGAACAAAACAACCATATATTTTACGCATTCCCATAATAAGGTAAAAATACCATCACTTGAATTTTGAACACTTCCACTTAAAAATAACTATTTTGACTTTCCAATACAATTTCAGATTTCTGATGAAAAATGTGCTCCAACTGATGAAAAGCTCATTAATTCTCCCGCTGACATCTATAACCAATACTTCAGAAGTGATGATTTAAAAAAGCAACAACGCAACCCACAGGTTATGAGTTTTTCTCTTACTGAGGAATAAAAGAAATAGATGTGTGTAAGAGGGATGGGATGCAAGCTATCAATTACTTTTTGCCAGTCCCAGCCACTTGCCATAAAAAAATAATTGTGTAGTTTGCAAACAACTGAATGATTTATTTGATTTATAAAGCCAGGCTTCTGACTGATATTTCAACAACTTCCAGCAATGCATTGAGAGTTATTAATGTAATGCTAATGCTATCAATTCAGTTGTATTATATGTTTCATTTTTTACTTTGTAGCCATTTTCCGATGTTGTTGTAGAGCACAAAGATGTCTCTAGTTTAAAAATACAACCGGATCTTAATCAGGTATCATCCACATTTTTACTGGTTTTAATGGATAACCTGCTTAATGAAAGAAGGCTCCTTAAAATGGTTAAGGCATGACCTTAAGAATACTAACTTTTTCTAATGCTTTCCATTTTTTAAAGAGTGAACCAAGTGAGAAAAGAATAGTATCCAAGTTCAAAGCAAGAAGAACAAAAAATGATTTTGGATGAAAATATTTCACGAGAATGTGTTTTAGTCCAATCGGAATATATGAGCACAGTTAATCTATAAAAACAACTTCATAAATATGTTTTAATATATGTATTGCAGTGTTTTCGAGTTCCATCTATTTGCTAAAACTAATTGAATCATTTGCAAAGTCATGAACACTATCATCTACAAGCTCTTCAGGTAAAGGTCCATGAATATGGGGCAAATATGTGGGGTAAGGTGGGGGTTTATGATGCTTGGAGACATCATCCTTTACCTTTACAATATCACCATTTCCACCGGGAATTTGACCATGAACATACAATACATTATACTTGGTATTGATGCGATAGATCTGTTAATAAAAAATGGCCAAGTAATTTTGATGTCAAATTCATTATTCAATAGTTATGGCTTCAGCAATGAAACTCACCTTTACTCCAAAAACACTTCTATTCTTATTTCCCATATGACCTGGCATCCTTTTACCAGGCCAAATTCGGCCAGGAGTCTAAAAAAACCATTGCAAAATAAAGCATAACATTTCTAAATATTCCAACTAAGAACAGCATCAACAGCAAACATGTTTGAAAGACCTACCCCTCCACCCCCAGTAGCACCCATTTTTCTGTGTGTTTTAGTTTGTCCATGAGAAGCTGGTTGACCTTTCATCCCCCACCTCTTCATAACTCCTTGAAATCCCTTGTCCTTCCTTTAATAAAGACAAACTTGGGCATTAAGCTTGGAAAATATCTTAGGTAATGGAGAAACCAATGGACAGTGGCGTGCTCGGAACAATTTCTCTGAGGGGGGTGGTGTGCATTTGCTTCCTACTAAAATGCTGCCAAACAATATTGCACTTTGAATCCAAGAAGGTACAGGCACATCTGTATCTTAGAAAGTGAAATAAAAGTTTGTTTCAAATGCATTTTTAAAACAAATTCAAAATTTAACATCCCATATTCATTTCAACACCCCCAAAAATCAACACCTTTGGGATCACCCCCCCTGCCAGAACACCAGTCTCAATACCATAAATCAATTTAATTTAAAACAACCAATAATAAACTAACGTTTTCCCTTGTATGGTGACAATCTGACCGGGATAGAAATGACCAGCAAGTATTTCAGTGCCTAGAATGGAGAAATTAACTAATATGAGAGAGATAAATGTAAAACAGATAGTTTCATAAAGTTTTCATGATTACCTGGATGTAAGAGGCCACTTTTGCTAACAGGAAAACTAGCTACCTTTTGTTTTGGTACAACACCATGCTTTAGAAATTTTCCAAATTCAGCTTTATCAATCTTGGATTGTAACAACAAGTTAGTTACTGATGTTTTAGCTATATAAAATGCTCAACTTCTACCTTTGCAAGATCTTGCTCGTTCACAGCTCCAACCTCCAAGGCAGTCTCATCGTCATTACCACCACATGTCCGAGACAACCTGGTCACCAAAACCTGACAGTCCTTTATCTATAATTCAACCGACACAAGTAAGCGTACACCATCAATGCCAAAGATTTTAAAAACAACTGATCTATAGTAGTAACCTGAACTAATGTTACTGGAACTCTTTGCCATTCTTCAGCCACAGGGGCATCATTCCCAATTTTACACCAATTGCACCAACTCTCTTACATCCTTCGGTCCATTCTGCTTTTTCAGGATCAATTACGGGTGGTTCTTTGTCCTCTTTCTTATTTTCAACATCGCGTTCACGTTCAATATCAAATTTTAATTTTCTAACTTTTCGCTTCTTCAAATATGTCGGATTTTCCCGGTAAAACTCAAACATGCTGACACATGTTTTTTCTTCATTTTCTTTACCTTGCAATGAACTCGAAGCAAATAACCTTTGCCATAAATAAATTGTACTTTTACGAATGTTACCTTGACGAGGTACTGATGAATATAAACACGTGAAAAGCACTCTCAAATCCGCCATCTTTAATTCACCTTCAATACTTCATGCAATGTCAATTTTAATTAAATTAATATATTCCTCATTTTTTCACGTTTCAATGCAGACTCTACAAAAATAACATTGACTGCTTGTATTTCTTTTTCGCTGTTGAGAAAAGTAAAGAAAACATAGATATCCACATGATTAAACAATGCTTAAGTACTTGGCTACGTCACAGTGTCTTATAGGTCAGTGTTGAGGCAAAAGAGCAGTGTACTCGTTGTCATAACAACTAAGCTAAATTGTTTACACTCGCGAACTCGACGTGCTGTTAACAATTATTTACAAACAGCAAGATTGGACATTTTCCTCACGAAAATGAACACATTTGTCTGTAATAATACTGCGGAGTTGCTCGCAGTTTTCGCAGTTGTGAATATTTGAGTAATTTGAATTCTCACTGGAACTGCATTACCTTGTATTCCAAGACTAGCTAGACCGTTCAACCATTTACTTTGTAAAACTCAAATCAAGTTTGGAGCACAACCATGGCAAAACATTGACTTTCGGGTTAAGACGTTAAACGTTTCTGAAATCATGAATATTCGATGACAATTTCCACAGTGGCTGAGAGAGTGCGCAGCTTTTCAGAAGCTATAACTGCACAAGCTTTGCGTGACGCCATCACAAATTCCAGAAGTAAATCACAGCACCTGCAATCTTTGGAAGGTATTATTCATATTCTTTGGCACGAACAGACTTGAAAGAACTAACGCAAAAGTTTAAAAGGACGCGAAAACTACAACCCATTTCTTAATTTGTTTCGCGAAGAATTTTAACAAAGGACAATCTGAATTGAGCTATTGTGACCTAGTATTTCAAAAGGACGATATTTTGCTATAATGAACATGAACATAAAGCTTGCGTCTTACTTATTTGCATCAATTCGGAACATAAGTTTATGAAAAACTTCTATATTCCTCGCTGCTAGGCAACGGACGCGACCATTTGGTTAACCACAAATATATCTGTCCATATACAATTTATTAATAATTGGTATCTTATACACCATAATGCAGTCTGATATAGTGGCACATGTAGAGGAACATGTGATTCAAATCAAAAGGGATTGTAAATTCTACTTGAAAAAATCCATCGCTTGTATCTTCTTATCTTTTTTGTGTATCATTCTTATCTAATGTTTCCTACTCCTAGATATTGTGCAAGATATAAATGGTACAGTCCATGCCAGTAGCATCAACGATCTGGACAACTTTAAAAAAATGGAAAAAATGGAAGCAATCACTGAAGAGTCTAATAAAAATTCTTTCAAGTTTAGCGAGAAAGACGCAGGGAAAGAACAACTTCCAAATGGAATGCTTCCTCGCGATCATGGAAGCAGCGGAGACGAAGAAGATGTGTCTTCTTTAAGCAGTGATTCAAAGAGTCTCTCTGATGTAAGTCTTGAAGATAGCACAGAAAGTGACGAATTGGTAGTAATGAATAAAAAAGACGTTTTACCAAAACACGCTAGCACACCAAAACCTTCAGCCTCTGTTACTAAATCTCCAAGTTTTGAGCAGAAAGAAGATGCAAGTCGCGTCAGTGCGGATATAGTGACGGAAAATGAAAGTAAGACAGAAACTATAAGAGTGAATATAGCAGGCACTCCGGGAAAACCAAATGAAAAATTAAGTCCTATAAGAGGTAAATATAATGGTCGTCTAAAGAGGCAGCTCGCTTTAGACAGCAAAAACACTAGAGGTTTAACTGGAAAATCAAATGCCGCTACTTCTTCATCAAATTCAACTGGTGACAGTTCGGTAATCATACCGAGTTCAAATAATCCTCCCGATTTGATCAAAAGCAATTTGAATAATTCCGGAAGTGATGATTCCGACCACAAAGATCATACGAGAATTCTCGCAGAGCTGCAAAAGATCGTACGTGACGATGAATTGAATGGTGAAAGCTCAAAAGCAAAAAAGACGGATCACAAGACAGTCGATAACGGTGAAACGGTCCGTGATAGTCAAGAAATAGATGGTAAAGATAAGAGGGGAAACGGTGAGGTGGTACATGAAGGTACACATGAGGGTAAACACGACGGTATAAATAGTAGGGTTATGAATACTTCTGTGATAGAGAAGATAGATGAAGAGATGAATAAAGGTAGCGAAGAAGGATATCCTCAAGACGATGTAAAAAGCAGTGAAAACAGCAGTCATTTGCAAAAAGAGGATACAAATACAATTATCAATGAAATATCAGAGAATGCCGAAAAGTATAAACATGATGAAGCGAAGGCGAATGAAGAAGAACAAAACAAAAGTGAAGATCATGGCGAAGAAAATACGCGTAAAATCATTTCAGTGACTCCAGGTCAACTTGCTCATGATAGCGAAACTTCGCTTTACAACACAATGCAGGAACTTACAGCCAACACTCGACCCGAAACAACAAATACAAAAGGTAGCATTCCACTACCAACGACGAGCACACCCGCGAATTCGGAGAGTATCCTAAATCTTGAGAGGAAACTTTCGGATTTACAAACCTCGAACGCGGAGCAAACCGCCGAAGTTCGACAGTTGAAATCGCTGAATGAAAGTCTCAAAGAGCAATTTCAAAAACTGGAAGAAAATTCAAGCCATCGTCAAATTATTGAGGAGAGGATGCTGCAAAGAAACGAGGAGCTTGAAAAACATCTACTTGGTATGTTAAAGTCACAGGAGGTCATATTTGACATGCAGAATAACCTTAAGGCCACATCTGCTGATAAGGAAAAGTTGACGAACGATTATAGAGAAGCAATCAAGGCTTTGGAAGCCGTCGATAAGTTGGTAGGAATTTTGAGTTTTCCAAAATACGCCATTGTAATAATGATTGTGAAAAACTTTGTACTTTTATAAGTTCGGACAAAAAGATGCCCTGGTGAAGAAATGGAAGGAAGCGACAGAGGAATCCAGGAGACTTGTTGAACTGCTAAAAAAACACAATGCAGGTCAGGAATAGCTTGATAACTTCTTTAAATTTCAATAATCACACATGCACTAGTTTTAATGATTATCCATTTGAGCAAGTCTAAGAGGTCTATAGCAGTACTGTAAATTTCAAATGTTTATGTTGTCAGAGGTGGATGAACTTGAAACGGTTGACAAGTTAAAAGAACAGATCACCGATCTTAAGATCAAGCTTGCTCACACCGAAGAGAAAACGACACGTAGCGACGCTAAATGTGACGATCTTGCCGAGCAAGCACAAGCGTGGAAAGAGAAATACGAACGAGAAAATGAAAAAGCGGTGAAGCTTAATTTTGAGCTAAAGGAAGCGACCAAAGAATTGAATAATCAACAGTAAGTGCAAAATGACAAAATTATGTTTTGGATCGAAGTCAACCAGCAACAGCTTATCATTTCAACACTGAACGAGGTACTTTTAAAATTGATAAATACAGAAAGTTGTCAAGTAGACGCGGGAAAAAAAATCAAACGCTGCAGTTGGAAATAACAGGACTCAAAGACGCCCTTAAGGTAAAATAAAGATAGCAGTGCGCAAACAATGATTGACGTTGATTTCATGCTGTTGAAAGTGCCATAACTCAACTTTTATCAATTACAGCTAACCAAGGAGAAACTTGAAGATAATGAACAAAGATTTAAAGAGCTTGATAGAAAGCATTCCAATACACAAGAGGTGAGAATTTATACAAATATTGAACCTTAAAGTAAATGGTTTGAACCCGGGAGTATCATTCCATGTTTGTAAATGTAGATCGTCCAGGTTGGTATAGTCCTGAGAAGGACTGTTTTTGTTGTTGTTGACCGACGTTTTGACAACCTTAGCGGTAGTCATCTTCAGATTCAAATGAGGAGTAAACGTCAGTCAACAGTGTGTAATTTCACTTTACACTAGTTCACAATGACAATACACATTTCCTGTACACACAATACAATGACGTAAGAACCAGATAACAAATACGGCTAACCTGACGTTTACTCCTCATTTGACTCTGAAGATGACTACCGCTAAGGTTGTCGAAACGTCAATCAACAACAACAAAAACAGTCCTTCTCAGGACTATACCAACCTGGACGATCTACATTTACAAACAAATATTGAACCTTCATATCCATGCATTTGTACGAAACCATAACAAAGAATTTGCATTAACTTTAGATGTACACGAAGATAATTCATGAGAAAGAGATGCAGCATAGTGTTTTAATCAAGAACTCCGAATCTTATCAAAAGGTGAAAATCCTTCATCTTTTCTCGAAAACGTGTATTCCGTTTAGTTCTTCTTTCTACACATTTGGTATTTCCTCGTGTCTCATTATGTCAATATGCAAAGTTCATTTCTGAATTAACACTTTCAGGATCTTGTATTAAACATCGAGAATACTGAACAGCTAAGAAGAGAAGCAGAATCGTTAAAGGAAAACATCATAGCATTGAAAAGTGAAAAAAATGCCATCACGGAGAAACTGCGTAATCATAAATCATCTTTGGATGAAACCTTGAAAGGAAAAGCGGTACAGGAATTGCTCAACTTGTAACTTTTTGAAATAGTTTTTGCACAGGATTTCTTTTCCAACACCACTCGACCATACGCAACACTTCACCACACAACACAACACCACACCCACCACACGACACCACACAACACAACACCACACACACCTCACACCACACAACACCACACAACCTCACACCACACAAGACCACACAACACCACACAACACAAGACCACACCATACCACACCACACAAGACCACACAACACCACACAACACCACACCACACAAGACCACACCACACCACACAACACCACACAACACGACACCACACCACCTCACACCACACCACACAACACGACACCACACCACCTCACACCACACACACAACACCACACAACCTCACACCACATAACACCACACCACACACCACACCACACAAGACCACACCACACAAGACCACACCACACAACACCACACCACACACACACCACACAACACAACCACACAACTCACACCACACACAACACAACACAACACCACACAACACAAGACCATGCAACATCACAACACAACACTACACCACAACACCACACCACACCACACCACAACACCACACCACAACAACACAACACACCACAACACAACACAACACAAGACCACACAAGACCACACCACACCACACCACACGACGATAGTTTTGAATTTTCTAGTATCATTTCATAATGGATAAGACGTTTACTTATCCAGTGACAAAACAAGAATAACCAAAAAGAATTCTCTCTCTACAACTCTTCCAGGAACTTACTGAAAGATTGATAAACTTCAATCAGATTTGGAAGCGTCAAAGATCGAAGCAATTGATAACGAACTGTATGTTGAAGAACAGACGGTCACCATACAGGAACTAGAAGAACATTGTAAGAAACTTCAAGAGGCGTTGAAAAAAATTATCCACTCAGATGGACGTTCGAGAAACAAAAGACCAAGGTATGTGTCGGACTATACACAATAAACTTGAATTAGACACTTCACAAATTTGATTAAGTAAACACAAAATAATAGCATGAACTTGCGGTACAACGAGGCATTCAAAGTCGGCAAAGATGTACATGAAACAAAGTAGTTTATGCAAGCTAGTACAGCCATTTGCAATTTACCGTGCGGAGTGCATAAATTTACCGTGCGGAGTGGCATAAATTTACCGTGCGGAGTGCATAAATTTACCGTGCGAAGTGCATAAATTTACCGTGCGGAGTGCATAAATTTACCGTGCGGAGTGCATAACTTTACCGTGCGGAGTGCATAAATTACCGTGCGGAGTGCATAAATTTACCGTGCGGAGTGCATAACACCGTGCGGAGTGCATAAATTTACCGTGCGGAGTGCATAAATTTACTGTGCGGAGTGCATAAATTACACGTTTGTCATAGTTTCAAAACTTGATGTTACCAACGGCTGATTGTTGCTAAGGCGTAACTATGAGATAGCATTGCATAACAAAGTGCGGACAACCTACGACCAAGACAACGAAGATACACCATGTCTCATCCATAACATTTCCGCGTACTCTAATGTTTTTGTTTATAATATTTCACCAAAAATCCAACGATAGAGCTTCGCTGTTTTTATGTCCTTCTGTACTTGCTAAAATTCAACATAGTACGGTTGTTTACTACTAAAATAACGGCTTTCGTTACTTCACGTGCAAGCCTTAGCAACAATTAGTTAGCCGCTAGTAACATCAGGTTTTATATAACTATAACAAACGTTTAATTTATGCACGCCGCACGGTTAATTTATGCACGCTGCAGGTCAATTGCAAATGGTTGTATCTAGTCTTACATAGCAGTGACAATTAATGTACATTCTGTTAATTTTCAGTACAGCCCCCAGTCCATACAGTCACGGTGGCAGACGCATTTACATAGCAGTGACAATTAATGTACATTCTGTTAATTTTCAGTACAGCGCCCAGTCCTTACAGTTACGGTGGCAGACGCATTTACATAGCAGTGACAATTTATGTACATTCTGTTAATTTTCAGTACAGCCCCCAGTCCTTACAGTTACGGTGGCAGACGCATTTACATAGCAGTGACAATTAATGTACATTCTGTTAATTTTCAGTACAGCGCCCAGTCCTTACAGTTACGGTGGCAGACGCATTTACATAGCAGTCACAATTAATGTACATTCTGTTAATTTTCAGTACAGTCCCCAGTCCTTACAGTTACGGTGGCAGACGCATTTACATAGCACTCACAATTAATGTACATTCTGTTAATTTTCAGTACAGCCCCCAGTCCTTACAGTTACGGTGGCCGACGCATACGGCCTTCAAAAACATGGCCAAGTCAGTTAGACAAATACAAAGACTTGCTATCACCACCACAAGGAATACCACCACCAAGACGAAGACCCTCGGTGAAAAGGGAGACAAGATATCGTGTCCATATTACAAATAACAATGAATCCGAGGTTGACGTGCTCCTTTTTATCTGATAAGACACTTTTCATCACCGTCCCCGACAAGAAGCTCTATAACTCCTTACATCACACTGTTATATTTTAGGATAACGTTGGCGACATGAGTGAAAAAGTCGGCGAGGCAAGAACACATCTATCCATCCTGGCCAATCGTCCAAAATCTACCTACGGAAACCGAGCCCTTTCGATCAATCACAGAGCCGAACTCGACACGAAAGACTGGGTTCCTAAACAAGTCTTGGCTGACTGTCTGAAACGCAAGTTGAGCTGGGAGCATGAGAGCGACAACGTGACCGCTGACCAGTTTGCAATGCAGTACGTAAAACTTGGAGATCGTGTGATTTTCGAGCTGACTGTGGACGGTAAGACATTACCTTTTATGGATAATGGACATATTCCGTGCAACCTCGTTCTCAGGCTGCTTATTTTGAGGCATGTACACCAGAGAGCCTGGGAAAACTAAGGAACTTATTCATATCTTTCAGATACAAAGCAAAATGTTCCTGCTACTGTTAAATATATTGGTCCAGTTTATCATTCAAATTTCAAACCGGGAATATATGCTGGTTTAAAGTTAGACATTCCAGGTAATAAATAAATACATAGATCAGTATAGTTATATTACACTTCCTTTGTTCAGACGTAACCAAGTACCCCTCCTCTCCCCAGTTGGCTAATTATATGCTATTACCTTTGGCCTTGATTTTAGCCGGGGATACAAATGGACGCGTAGGTGACCGAGCGTACTTTCGTTGCCTGAAGCATCATGGTAAATTCGTGAAAATATCGCACATCCTTGCCGTGCAAAACCCGCGGGTGAGTCGAAGATAAAGTCGTTATTTTGCTTAGTCTATTTTTATATATAAATAACATTACCGTTTAAAGTGATCATTTGATAATTTTATTTTTTGTAAATGCTTACCATAGAATTTATTAGAGTAAAAATTTTCTAAATTTCTTATAAAATTTCCAGAAGTAACAATTTCGTGAATTTCTTATCGACCTCCTTCATTTCCCTTTCTCAACATTTTAGACCCAGCAATACACGAGAATTCTACCAACAGTGTATAAGTAAAGCAAGAAAATCCTCTGCGTAATTCTTGACGATAAAATTTTCAACACTTTTGGCAATGTGTGATATATTTTTGTGAGAGAAACCGCTTTTACATGTGAACGTATATCTTTGCGGGACGAAATGTAATTAAAGTAGAATTATAATTAGTTTTCTAGACTAACACTTTTTTTAATATTTAGATGTGATTTTTTTCAATAAACAGTCTCATGTGGTTTTGGTAATCTAGCCAATGATTAATGCTACAATACAGCCACTACAAACTATCCGCCATGGTGTTGGATACAAATTTGAGATGTGTTGTATCATGGTATATTTCACTAATGTTGCTAGTGTACTTTGGCGTTAAAATTTCTACTTCATATGTATATTTTTTTGCTCTTTTCCTATCTTGTTTGTGTCTATACTAGGCTGCTTTTTTATACAAAAATGCAACTACGGAGTGTATAAATTTGAGCATTTTTGTTAACACCATATGACCCATAAAGAATCAGAGAGAAACATGGTCATAACAGATGCGACAAATAAACGCAAAAGAATATGAAGGATTACGAGAACAATTTAATAAAGTGTAGCCGACAAACCATGTGAAACTAACCTACAACAGATACGACAAATAAACGCAAAAGAATTTGAAGAATTACGAGAACAATTTAATGAAGTGTAGCCGACAAACCATGCGAAACTAACCTACAAACCTTTGAAAAAAATGTCATTTTTTCTTCTCTGCTTGATATTTGTAATGCAGATCACGAACGTCATTTTGAGAGACCTTAATCCAGCCTGTCTCCTTCATGTGATACACTGAAATGAGAAAAATGTGAGGCAAGATCTATAGAACAAAGAAGATTATTGTGGTGAAAGCTGTAGCAAATGCAAACAAAATTTTATACATGGAGTGCTCAACGCTGAAGCGGAGCGTATAGCATAATATAAAATAAAAGATGAAACACATGTTACTCCATAGGATTATTATTAACGACTTAAATAATTATTAATTAATTCTTAATTATTAATTAATCATAGCTTCACGTGATGATCGCCGTAAGACATGGAACACAGCGTGCTGGATGGTCTCACAATATTATTTATTTCATGCAAATAAATTTGTATTTATATATTTCATATATTACACAAGGAATGACCCTCTCCAGCATAATTGCATTGACTACATGTTACATTATTCATTGTTCACACCCCCCTGCTCTATGCCTGTTTATGTGTTACAAAATAAACAAATCTCTCCAGCATATTCATTGACAACATTTAACATAACTTACTGTTCACAACACCCCCACTATAAGCATCTCTATGTGTTGCATGATAAATGGCCCTCTCTCCTAAATCATATGCTTCTTCAACAGAGAGATTATGATGATAACCGCTATCCAGCACACCATAAGCAAAGGTGGAACCAGATCCAACAGAAAAGATATTATTAGACAAACGACTGCCATCGCTGTCAACATAGTACAGGCCGGGACCCTTGGCAGAGAAAAAAATGTTTAGTGATCATGCCATAGAAGCACGATGCATATAAAGTCAGTGCTGTACAAGGGGGACACCTGGGGAAGGAGCCCCCCTTCTACCTTTGAAATGGGTAATTTTAAAAGGGCACTATTGACAAAAACATCAAGAGAGCCCCCCATCTGATAAATTTATTTCTACAGCACTGTATAAAATCTATAATCTACAACCTTTTTTCACAGGTCATTCTTGTGAAAATACATAGAAATCCAATTTGGGAGAAACTTTCACATGACTTACTAATCATTCTTCAAAACATTTTATACACTTTGGCCATGATTTTGAAAGCTGCTTAGTGTAATAAACAGATCATTAAATTGGTAATGTTTACAATTGGGCCCAGCGTTGTCAAAATGAGCTACAAAAGAATGGGAAAGCTTCCTTTGCAGTGCACAAAAACCATTTACTGTTTAATTATGGTTCAACATTCAATAGAAAGTATCAAGATGCTCTAAAACTTGGTGTGAGATGATGCATGAAGCTTACTCGTTTATCCCAACCACAAATCATGGTACCCATAGATAATCCCATTCCTTTATAATGATAAACCATGTTTGCAAGCAGTTTTGATGCGGCTGCAACTGATATACGTTCTTTGTTTCGTAGTTCATATATCCTAAAATGAACACAAGAAATTTATCGTACAAGAAATGAGCACATTAAAAAATCAAAATTCTAAAATTGAATATAAGTACCTGCATTGTTCAGCAAGAACTCGTTCCCAATATGAACAATCTGCTGCTCCACCAGCCATGGTACCAAGAAGGTACGGATTAATCTCAATAACCTTTTTCACAGTTTGAGATGCTGAAAAAAACGAGAGGGAAGATTTTATGTGCACTTTACAAAACCCGGATCTTTGATGTAACAAGTGCTGCTTACCTATGTAAGAGCCTGCTGTTGCTCTAGAGTCAACGGCAACAATAACACCATGCTGAAATTTGAAAGCCAGAGTTGTTGTACCGTGAGCGAAGTTTATTTTTATGTTGTCATCACCACTTGTGTATTGACTCAGGAACTGAGCAGGCTGAAATGAAAAGTCAGTGGATAAGGTTGTTTCTGGTCAAAAAGAATCGAAATTTTAACCATTTACACAATGTTAAATGTAGTTGGTTTTCTGTGAAAACAACTTACATTTTGAACAGGTGGAAAGACGAAACCTTTTTCAAACTCGAAATCACCACATAAGTTGCGTGGTTGTTCAAGAATATCGTATATGCTGCAATTATCAAACTCTGATGCCAGGGCAAGAGCTGCCATTTTGTGAACACTTTCTCACTGTTTACCATCCGTCAAAATGCTCTAAATTACAATTCATAGAAATTACTAAAAGTACGTGTGCATTTCAGAAATCGTACAACAGCTAATAGTTCGCTTCACTCCATTGAAAAGTCTATACTTAAATATAAGTATATTTTATTTACTTAAACTAAACAAGACCTCACTCAGGATTGTAATCTTGTAAGAACATTGAATGCAAACACTGCACAACACACTATTTTGCGAGTATTCCCAAACCTTAATGGAAAGTCGTCCAAAACAACATAAGAACGGATTAAAAGCAGTAAACTGCTTAAATAAAGACCTTCTTCCATTACACAAGATTTGCAACAAAACCAAATGAGAGATTAGTAATTAATTTCTTGTTAAGAAACATCACTTAAAGCACAAAGGTTGAAGTACAAAAATAACATTTACAACAAATTCAATCATGTTAATTTATATTCATTTTGAAGTATATTCTTATTCTACTTCCTCTTCTTCGCCTTCCTCTTCTTCAAATTCTCCTTCCTCTTCGGCTGTGGCTTCTTGGTATTGTTGATATTCTGACACTAGGTCATTCATGTTGGACTCAGCCTATATTTAGAGAAACAAATCTATTCAGCCATTTACCAAATATCTATCATTAAAAACCACTATTCTTATACCTCTGTGAACTCCATTTCGTCCATGCCTTCTCCAGTGTACCAATGAAGGAAAGCTTTGCGACGGAACATAGCAGTGAATTGTTCACTGATTCTCTTGAACAATTCTTGGATAGCAGTGCTGTTGCCAATAAAGGTGCCTGACATCTTTAAGCCTCTTGGTGGAATATCACAGACAGCTGTTTTCACGTTGTTAGGAATCCATTCAACAAAGTATGAGCTGTTCTTGTTCTGGACATTTAACATTTGCTCATCAACTTCCTTCATGGACATTCTACCACGGAACAATGCAGCAACAGTAAGGTAGCGTCCATGACGTGGATCACAAGCAGCCATCATGTTCTTTGCATCAAACATCTGTTGAGTGAGTTCGGGGACAGTGAGAGCTCTGTATTGTTGAGAGCCACGACTTGTGAGAGGTGCAAAACCAGGCATGAAGAAGTGAAGTCGAGGGAATGGGACCATATTTACAGCTAATTTTCTCAAGTCGGCATTCAACTAAACATATTTTAAAACCAATTAATTAATGTTTTACTTAGAAATAACAGGAAAAAAATTTATTTTCTCAAATCAGCATTCAACTATATCAAAACACATCAACATCTGTCAAACTTAAATAAATATAGAGATAGAAATGCAGATAGCTTTATTAAACAACCTACCTGACCAGGAAATCTTAGGGAAGTGGTAATACCACTCATGGTAGCTGAAACCAAATGGTTCAAATCACCATATGTAGGGGTAGTTAACTTAAGAGTACGGAAGCAGATATCATATAAAGCTTCATTATCAATACAAAAAGATTCATCTGTATTTTCAACCAGTTGATGAACAGACAAGGTTGCATTGTACGGTTCAACAACAGTATCTGACACTTTGGGTGAAGGTACCACACTAAATGTTGTCATTATTCTGTCCGGATATTCTTCACGGATTTTTGAGATAAGTAAGGTACCCATACCGGAACCTGTACCACCACCAAGGGAATGTGTAAGTTGAAATCCCTGCAGACAATCACAACCTTCAGATTCCTTTCTGACAACATCTAAGACAGAGTCCACGAGCTCTGCTCCTTCTGTGTAATGTCCTTTAGCCCAATTATTACCTGCCCCACTCTGACCTGAAATAAATAAATAGTCTAACATTCAACTTTGAATAATGGCGTGATGAGTAGTTTTAATGACATGCAAATACCCCCCCTCCGGAGCGGTAGTCATCTATCAAAAAAATTAAAATCATATATTGGACCGCAACACCTGTCACACGAAAACGAAGTGTTCCTCACCAAAAACGAAATTATCTGGTTTAAATATTTGTCCGAACGGTCCAGAACGTACTGAGTCCATCGTTCCCGGTTCCAAATCCACCAAAACTGCTCGAGGGACATATTTTCCACCTTAATTAGCAATGACAAAAGATGTGTTTCAAATTTGAATAATTAAGATCGGGCTGATATCGGTTGGCATAATTGCAACTAAAATCTCGGTATATAATTGTAAAAACTGCATCTACCGGCAGCTTCGTTGTAATAAACACTTATCCTTTCAAGTTGAAGGTCGGAGTCTCCTTGATAAGCACCAGTCGGATCAACGCCGTGTTCGTCAGAGATGACCTCCCAAAACTGTGAATAATACAAAGTGTCACATCGCACGAGAAACCTTTCGAAATGTCCGGAAATTATGAAAGCAGTTGATAATTAACTATTTTTTCTTTCTTTAAAAAGTACTAAAAATGTTTTCACCTTCGCTCCGATTTGGTTACCACATTGACCGGCTTGAAGATGAACTATTTCTCGCATCGTACCACTGTAATTTTCCTTTCGGTTTTTAATCAACTAGACGTTCACCTGAGTACCTCACTGTCAGCGACTCGTGTGCACTGTGAAGAGACAAACCCTCTTTTGTACATGGCAATATTTATTTATAATGCACGCATGCACCGTAAGAAAGTGTATGACGCTTTTGTTTTCCTGTAATTTCCATATTATATTCGGTCCACTCAAATAAGGCTGTAGTTGGCATGGAACATTTGTATTGTCTGTAATCAACATAAACTGTAGTCTTTTGTGCTTTTGCCATCTTTTATCTTTCGCATCGAGAAACAATTCCCCAAACTAGTGCATCGCGATATTGCCATAATGTCGCCTCAAATACACCAAGTTTTTTCTTCAAAAATAAGGTGACTTTCAACTGGAAAAACAATTGCGTCAAGTACATATGACGCGCACTTGTTTTCAAATGTCGGAAATGAATGTCTTGAAAACTGGCGTTTTTATCCAAATTTGCAATTCCTAATGTCCAAAACATGATATCTCAAGAGAGATTTGCACTATATGAATGAAATCTTCGGGATATAGACTCGGCACATTGAACCCCTCGGAGGCGAACTACAAGAATTTAAATGCATCAAGTCGATATGAAGCGGTGTAAGATATCTCAAGAGAAACTCGCACTAAATCGATGAAATCTTCAGGATCTCACAAAACATTGTGAAACAAGTAAGGCACATAGCTAGTGCAATAAAAACTTAGACAACATCAGAAATTACAGCATTTATTTAACCATTTAAATAAGCAATCTTTTCAGGAAATATAAATACAACATTCATCGTCTAATATAGATACTCAAGCTTCTTCTTCTTCCTCCTCTTCTTCAAATTCTCCTTCCTCTTCAGCTGTGGCTTCTTGATATTGCTGGTACTCTGACACCAAGTCATTCATGTTGGACTCGGCCTAAAAAACGATCTTAGTAAAAAAATTTCGAGACTCGTGCTGAAGTAAGATGTTTTTCAGTGACAACTTTCTTAAAATCAATTCCATTACCTCTGTGAACTCCATTTCGTCCATGCCTTCTCCAGTGTACCAATGAAGGAAAGCTTTGCGACGGAACATAGCCGTGAATTGTTCACTGATTCTCTTGAACAATTCTTGGATAGCAGTGCTGTTGCCAATAAAGGTGCCTGACATCTTTAAACCTCTTGGTGGAATATCACAGACAGCTGTTTTCACGTTGTTAGGAATCCATTCAACAAAGTATGAGCTGTTCTTGTTCTGGACATTTAACATTTGCTCATCAACTTCCTTCATGGACATTCTGCCTCGGAACATGGCAGCAACAGTTAGGTAGCGTCCATGACGTGGATCACAAGCAGCCATCATGTTCTTTGCATCAAACATCTGTTGAGTGAGTTCGGGGACAGTGAGAGCTCTGTATTGTTGAGAACCACGACTTGTTAGAGGTGCAAAACCAGGCATGAAGAAGTGAAGTCGAGGGAATGGAACCATATTTACAGCTAATTTTCTCAAGTCGGCATTCAACTAAACATATTTTAAAACCAATTAATTAATGTTTTACTTAGAAATAACAGGAAAAAAATTTATTGTAAAAAATTGTCTAGTGTTGAGGACGTCACTCAAATTAAAAATTAATCACTAATGCAGAAGGAGGCAAATTTGAAAGTCTAATTTATGCAAATAAGAAAATTATCTCTTGAGAATAAAAACATACCTGACCAGGAAAACGCAAGCAAGTTGTTATACCGCTCATAGTAGCCGAGACAAGATGATTCAAATCACCATATGTAGGGGTTGTCAATTTAAGTGTACGGAAGCAGATATCATATAAAGCTTCATTATCAATACAAAAAGATTCATCTGTATTTTCAACCAGTTGATGAACAGACAAGGTTGCATTGTACGGTTCAACAACAGTATCTGACACTTTGGGTGAAGGTACCACACTAAATGTTGTCATTATTCTGTCAGGATATTCTTCACGGATTTTTGAGATAAGTAAGGTACCCATACCGGAACCTGTACCACCACCAAGGGAATGTGTAAGTTGAAATCCCTGCAGACAATCACAACCTTCAGATTCCTTTCTGACAACATCTAAGACAGAATCCACGAGCTCAGCTCCTTCTGTGTAATGTCCTTTAGCCCAATTGTTACCTGCACCACTTTGACCTGAAATAAAAGGGAACACCTGATTATGGGAATGTGGCCTTGCCAGTCATAACTCTGTCACCAAAAAAGAAAGATCAAATCAAATTTTGCCTATCAACAAAGTCACAAAGTTATGTACGTAAGATGATTTTGTAGAATTTACAGCCCTGTCATAAGTGACATTTTCATACAATGCATGGCCAAGCTGTCACGTAAGATGCACACACCCCATTCAAATGCAGCTGCCTTTCAACACATACCAAATATAAAATTATCCGGTTTGAAAATTTGCCCAAATGGACCAGATCGAACAGAATCCATGGTCCCCGGCTCCAAATCTACCAAAACGGCTCGAGGTACATACTTCCCTCCTAAAATCCACACAAAAAACGGAAAGTTACTTCATTTAAAGGGAGTTCGGTACAACGCAGCCGTGAAGCGTGTTTACCCGTAGCCTCGTTGTAATAAACATTAATCCTTTCCAGTTGAAGATCGGAATCTCCGTGATAAGTTCCTGTAGGATCGATGCCATGTTCGTCAGAGATGACCTCCCAAAACTAGTAAAATCAGATCATATTTAAAATATATATAGATTATAGTCGAGAGAAATTCAGAAAAATTTCAGTAGCACAAAGACTTTTGATTTTACCTTTGCTCCGATTTGATTGCCGCACTGCCCAGCTTGAAGATGAACAATTTCTCTCATTTTGGTGAAACGAAGGGGAAAATACGTGCAAAAGTTGCGGACGATGCACCGCTAACGAGACTTTGTTCGAAGAATGACGGCGAATCGCAATTCACACACATTTCACAATTGAAATTCGATTAATAATTAAGATTATAATACATATCTAACCAATCATCGTTTGCTTGCATGTCAAATAACGCTGTTTTCTTAAGTGTTGGCATTGTGATGCATACTGAGCTAAATAATACCATTTCCACGCATGGGAATCGTATTATGTTCCTTTTATATTTTAATACAGTAGCAATTTGCTACCGTATCCTATCATTCAAAAGCAAAAACCTATTCTTCCAACTAGAGGATATAAGTATTATAAGCTCAACAAATAATATAATGTTTAGACAAAACATGAATGCGAAAAAAAATTACATATACAGGCTTCGTTAAAAAAATTTTCACATGTGCTTTTCAAGTGCTTGGTAAAGGTCTTGAGGTCTACTGCTGTTCGTGTGATATCCATTGTTTTGTCCTGCCAGCAAAACTTGTGCAGGAACAGTTTGCCATAATAAAATCAAGACTGTCGTACAATGGATGTGTAATACATCACATGCTAAAACTCAGAACATGTTTCAAAACGTGCACAAGACTGAACGTTGAAACAGTCCATCGATCTCGAAGAATTTGGCATTCCTTACAAATACGTCGTTTACTTCATGTAGATAAACGCGCTTCTAAGTTTTGCTCTCTTTTTGCGCGGGAAAATGCTACGGAAACATTCTGAGTCCCAGCATGCAACGGTGATAAACCAATACAAATGACATAAAATTCATTTCGCAAAGAAAGACAAAAAATTCGGACTATTTAAACTGAATGAGCTACAGCGGATACGTGAAAAATTGCTAAACGTACCTGAAAATATCGAATGATTTAGAAAGTAACAGAAAACAGTCTTTCTTTGCCCAAAACAAAGATAACATCATTACATGCCTGCATACCGATGATCCCATCAGATCCCACATCATCCAAGCGCAACAACTTCTGCTTAGCATGTGCAGCATCTTTATCCGAATGCCTGTGGTATGTAAATACAAGATTTTTTGCATCACATATGACCGCATAACGCATGTCTGGTGAACACGAAGTGAACTTTTGCTCCTTTTTGAAGCATGGACAAAGCCAAATGCGTCCAAAGTACCAATGTGATCCCATGTCACCTTACCACGGCCGTCGTTCGATGGTTGCCAGATGAGAGCGTCGACGTCGTGCCTGATACAAAATGCTGGTGCCTGATGTTGTTTCATGGCTTTGGTAAACAACCATTGGTGAGTAGAGAGACTTGTCTAATGGAAATAAATCACAGGTAATTGATAGACACGGACTAATCAATGATAAATAACCATTAAATAGCCATTGGTGAATGGAGAGACTTGTCTAATGGAAATAAATCACAGGTAATTGATAGACACGGACTAATCAATGATAAATAACCACTAAATAGCCATTGATGAATGGAGAGACTTGTCTAATGGAAATAAATCACAGAGAATTGATAGACACGGACTAATCAATGATAAATAACCATTAAATAGCCATTGGTGAATGGAGAGACTTGTCTAATGGAAATAAATCACAGAGAATTGATAGACACGGACTAATCAATGATAAATAACCATTAAATAGCCATTGGTGAATGGAGAGACTTGTCTAATGGAAATAAATCACAGGTAATTGATAGACACGGACTAATCAATGATAAATAACCATTAAATAGCCATTGGTGAGTGGAGAGACTTGTCTAATGGAAATAAATCACAGGTAATTGATAGACACAGACTAATCAATGATAAATAACCATTAAATAGCCATTGGTGAGTGGAGAGACTTGTCTAATGGAAATAAATCACAGGTAATTGATAGACACAGACTAATCAATGATAAATAACCATTAAATAGCCACTGGTGAGTGGAGAGACTTGTCTAATGGAAATAAATCACAGGTAATTGATAGACACAGACTAATCAATGATAAATAACCATTAAATAGCCATTGGTGTAGAGAGACTTGTCTAATGGAAATAAATCACAGGTAATTGATAGACACAGACTAATCAATGATAAATAACCATTAAATAGCCATTGGTGAGTGGAGAGACTTGTCTAATGGAAATAAATCACAGGTAATTGATAGACACAGACTAATCAATGATAAATAACCATTAAATAACCATTGGTGAGTAGAGAGACTTGTCTAATGGAAATAAACCACAGGTAATTGATACTAAAGCCTAGTTCTCGTTCATCGCAAAGCGTCGCTAGTACCGGCGACGTTCATCGCTGATGGTCGGTGATGGCCAGTTCACGAAACGTTCTCATAAATCGGCGTGGAAATATTAGTCAACGCACTTTGATATTAATACCAAAGAAAAAAATTGCTCCTTTTAATCTAAAGTTGATAATTTCTGGGCAAATCCAATTTTTTATCATATAAGTTGTCGCCGAAGTCGCCCAACTCAACAGATTCTTGTTCTAAAAGATTTTTTAAGCAAGTAGCACTCGGATATGATCGGCGATGATCGGCGATGATCGACGATGATCGCAAGAAACAAACGTTTTTGGTTCTTGCGATGGCAGCGCCGATGTTCCGCGATCTCACAAAAAATTCGGGAACACAATTTTTAATGTGTTCTCATTAACCGTAAGCGCTCGCCGACGTCGTAAAAGCTCTATCACCGATGCTTTTGAAATTTCTAAACGATGACAAAAAAGCATCACTTAAAAATGATTACTTAGTTCAAGCTTCCGATTAATCTGTTTTCAATGTTAAGCCTCGTTCTCATTCATAGCAAAACAATTCATTAGCCCGCTATAGTACTTCAATGTACCAGGTTACCCTGTGACAATATTAAATTTCAACTGGTGTTATGTTATAATCAAAACCAGAAATGTAAAATTCAAACACAGTTGCACTTTTGTCCACACTTACTTTTTGAGAAGTCTGTCCGTTGCGCAAATCAATTCTGACCATAAAAGCAGTATCTTCAGTCAAGGAATCACATTCCTCGAGCTCTGATGGATTGCAAAGTGAATCCACTTGTTTGTTCTAAAAGTCAATGTATTGAAAGTGATATTAAGTTGTATTGTGGATAAAAAAAATGTGTCTATTAGTTTATTACACAGCATCATCACCTAACATACCCCAGTCTTATCACTGATCATGTCAGATAACATGGATGCATCACTTCCATTTGCATCATAGATCCCATTGGAATCCCCACTAACAACCTCAGTCCACGGTTCATCTGCATTACTCTTTGCGAGGGTTATTTCCAACCTTAAATGATGATTAAATTGAATTATGAGGCCATATATCACATACAACGTTAGTTTACACATAGTTTTCAACCAATATTAAGATAATCCATCAGAAGCTTTTGCATGAGAAAATTCTATACATACTTGTGTCCTTCATAAGTCCATGTATAAGCTTTTGCATGAGAAAACTCTATACATACTTGTGTCCTTCATAAGTCCATGTATAAGCTTTTGCATGAGAAAACTCTATACATACTTGTGTCCTTCATAAGTCCATGTATAAGCTTTTGCATGAGAAAACTCTATACATACTTGTGTCCTTCATAAGTCCATGTATAAGCTTTTGCATGAGAAAATTCTACACATACTTGTGTCCTTCATAAGTCCATGTATAAGCTTTTGCATGAGAAAACTCTATACATACTTGTGTCCTTCATAAGTCCATGTATAAGCTTTTGCATGAGAAAACTCTATACATACTTGTGTCCTTCATAAGTCCATGTATAAGCTTTTGCATGAGAAAATTCTACACATACTTGTGTCCTTCATAAGTCCATGTATAAGCTTTTGCATGAGAAAATTCTATACATACTTGTGTCCTTCATAAGTCCATGTATAAGCTTTTGCATGAGAAAATTCTATACATACTTGTGTCCTTCATAAGTCCATGTATAAGCTTTTGCATGAGAAAATTCTATACATACTTGTGTCCTTCATAAGTCCATGTACAAGCATCAGCTTCAACATAACCAAACAGCTCTCCTTCAAGTAAACTATCACCATTTTTCACATAAGCTTTGATAAATTTTTTTTTCACATCAAACGTGATGTCATTTTTCTCTACATCTTTCTCCAAAGTAAACAAAATTGTAACACTGTCCTTATCTTGACTCCAAGTGTACTTCATGTTGGTGGTTGATTCTTTCTTGATTTCACTTGGCGAATCTTTTGTCAGATTACTAACCTCTCGATCAATGCAACCTAATATGAATTAGAAAATAACAAATATAACGCATGTTCTGATTGGTCCATACCTATGTTTAAATCAGGCCATCATTTCTCTAGACGAGCTGACCTTCCATTTACCAAATTTTACAGTTTCTTTATAGAATTTATAGCAACGTGGGGGGGTTTAGCTTCAATATTTCCGCTTATGTAATGAAATCTCACAACACTATCCTTATGTTGTTACTTTAAAAACAATAAGTGATCGCTTCTTATAAATCCCTGATATCTTTCTGACAAAATTTACTTATTTCAATAAGACATGTCTCACCTTCCTTTGCATCCGTCATCATACCAAATGGTTTTTCACTGGCAATCAAAATTCCATCATTTCCCATATCAAGAGCAGCATATAGTGGTACGGACTGACTTTGGAACTCCTTCTGCTCTTGAAATATAAACCTTAATGTTCCATTTTCAGCACTGCTTGCATGAAGTATCACCATAGTTAAAATTACATTATGTCTGGGGGCAAAGACCGTGTCATCTGTTGTAACACTTAATAATAAAACACCAAGGCTGTTTGACTCTTCAGGTTTGAAACGGCAATGTAATATTGAAAAAGGCTGGGAAATGCTATGAGTTAGTAAGGTGATCCAAGGATGATCTTGTGTACGGTCTGAGGTTTGAACCACAAAGAGGTTCCCAACACCATCAGATATTACGGCAATACTTTCATTAGGAAACGTGATGCAAGCGTTCAGTTGATGAGATACTTTTTCTTCAGTTATCGGGATTTTGAAAACGGCGCTTATTTTTTGAAGTTTGCCGTCCTAAAACCAAAATACCCAATTTCAGTGGGTTTTCCGATGGTTAACGGTAAGAAGTCTTTACAGGCAAGAATTTACACTTGCCAGAACATTTTAAAGCATCAACAGCAATAGTTTCAAAAAGAAAAAATCATCAGTTACCTGAAAGCAAACTTTTTGCACACTGTAGTTGACGTCTACAAAGTACAAGAAAGTTCTCTTGTTGCTTAGAGTCCATTCATCAATAACTAAATGATTGGTCCAAGCGAATGCTTTGACGTGTAAATGAGAGAAAACGTCGTCTCGTAACGATACAATGTTTACAGCATCTCCAAGTGCTACACTTTCTACATTAGGTGTGTCCGACGACAACTTGTAACCCTCGAATTTTGAATTTAAAAGTTCACGATTTGGTTGAAAATTTTCGAAATTGGCGGCCATTTTCTCCGTGGTGGGACCTGGCATCTGGGACCTGGTCATTACTCACTAGAGTGTGGGTGTGAGGTTTTAAAGCTGACCCGTCTCATTTCATGGGATTTTTCAAATTTCAATTTGTCAGTCAATATTTCTACCTTTGTATCGGCCTTTGTCTACCTTTATGTCTAACTTTGTATCTACTTTTGTGTCTACCTATGTGTCTACATTTGCGTCTAGCTTTGTGTTTACCTTGACGTCTACCTTAATGTCTACTTTTGTATCTACCTTCGCGTCTACATTTTCGTCTACCTTCACGTCTACCATTATGTCTATCTTAATTTAGGAAATTTCCTGGAAAGTGAAAGCCCTACTTGGTTTATCTTGGGGGTTTCTAACTGGAATACCAGTAGAACATTCGGATATTTCGATAATTTCATGGTTGTCTCAATTTCTTTTATTCCAATAAGACGAATTAGTATTGCACCTATCACATTAGAACTCACTATTTAAATTACAAGTAATACGACCTTGCACGTCGTCTCTACTGGTAGTATTACAAAAAATTTCACTATTTTGAGCTTGAAATCATAAAAATCATTGCAAAGTTTTCCCAGCAGCAGCACAAAAACATTTAATTTACACCACCGTTGACAGTGTGAAGCACCGACTAAAATATTTCGACAATCATAGCATTGAAAAGTTAACACCCAACCTCCCTCGGCTTTTGAGTACATTTAAGGGCAAAGTAACCATGGCTTTACTTATAAATATATCATGGGGATAGTACTAGTATATCATGCACAGTACTAGTATATCATGCATAGTACTAGTATATCATGCATAGTACTAGTATATCATGGTACTTCCAGATACATACGGAACTAGGAGAAAAGAAGATTATTACACCACACACGCATAAAATCGTAAAATATTGTCCATCACTTTTCTTTATTAAAAATCATAATACAACAATTAAATTCTTCATTTGGTGAAACTGAGTGGCCTTTCGTAGATGCGCTTTCTTGGGCATGAAATGATGAAATTTCTTGCGAGAATCTTTAGTTAAGAGCAGAGGTTTCACGTGCTCGTTAACTACATCAATGGCTCACTTCGGCGTCATCTTCTTTTGATTTCTTGTCGTCGGGTTTCATAGCCGGAAATAGCAACACCTCCTAATGCACATACAGAATGGAAAGATTATTTAACTGGAACATGAACAATATCATGTATACTTGAATTACACATTGAAATTTACTGATGCAAAATCTTCCATAAACGCTGATGTAGTTAGAGAATGAATTGCAGAATAAAATTGTCCAACGTCACAGTCTTATCCATTTTTTTTGAAGATTGGTAAAAAGAACGAAAGCAGATTAAAACTACATCATTCTATTCGTGGTGATTGTACTTCGATACAAACCTTGATATTATTGGAGTCAGTAAGGAACATACAAAGTCGATCAATTCCCAAACCCCAGCCGGCAGTGGGCGGGAGGCCATATTCCAAAGCTGTACAAAAGTTTTCATCGATCATCTGCGCCTCGTCATCTCCTGCAGCTTTGTCCTATAAAATACCCGTCAATCCCATGATGCCGTTTGCCCAAATTATATCAAATCTTTAATAATAAAGGCGCGGGGGTGGGGTGGGGGAGGGAAAACTACAGCTATATTTTATTAACTTACAGAAGCTTGCTGTTGAAACCTTTCTCGTTGAACGACCGGATCATTTAACTCCGTGTAAGCATTACAAATCTCCTTGGTGCACACAAACAATTCAAATCTTTCTGTCAAACCTTCGGTCGACCGATGCCTACATATAAAAGACTACACTGCATTAGAAAAGATACCTGCTTTCCGAAATGAAAATGTTTTCTCACCATTTTGAAAGTGGACTCATAATGACAGGATGATCGATGATGAATGTTGGACTAATACATTGGCTTTCCAAGAACTCCCCAACAAGCTGAAGATAAATGGTAATGTTGTATGTGTTGTTCAAACAAACGGACACATTACGCGAACGTAAATGAAGTATGTACAGGCAGAAATCAGATTAACGCATCATCACAAGTCATCAGTCCCGAAAGATGGTTTAATACGGTAAATATCATCACATTTCTGCCAGTGAAATAACTGAATCCTTCGAGTTAAAAATTAAAACAAACATGGATTTAACACGGGGTTGGTGGAAGTAAAAAAAACTTTCGAGCTTTCAAAGAAGACAACAGTCAAATTTCAAGGACAATTGACGATGCAAACTTTACTTACATAGGTACTATACTGTAGCCTGTCTAAACTTTTCATGGATCAAAATTTGGGGTAATTACTACATCAAGACAATTTTGTGGTTGTTGAGGATCGGGTTTTCTAGGCTTCCAATTTACATAATTATGAAGAATTGTGACCAGGGATATACCGGGCGGAAAGCGAAGTTTAAATATAAATTTAAAAGCCCAGCAAAGTGCCTTTAAAAGAGCCATTTAGTGCATAAAAAGAAATATTTATTTAAAAGTGTAACGTTTCGTCTTGACTCTCAAGACATCATCAGACAAATATTTATATTTAAATTATGAAGAAGTAGTTTTACTAGTTTAGCAACTCAAAAACCTGTTCACTTGTCTGGACATTGCGGAGTTGATTTAACTTCCATATTGTGAGATTATCAAGCACTTATCAAACACGCTGATCTTGAGTTTCCTTAAGGACTTTTCAAGTGTGCCTTAAAATCGAATTTTTAAGTCGAGGACTTTTCTACGGTTGTAAGCACTCGCACGAACCCTGATTGAAATAAACAACGAAAAGACATAAATATACCTTGTCCAAAAGTCGAGCGACCGTTCTTGGTGCTGGACATTCAACCTCATGTTTCACACAAAGATCATCAAATAACTTTCTTGTCTCTGGCAGGAAAAAAAAAATAAATAAAAAAATTAAAGATGTCCTAAAAAGACCATTTCATTCAAGGCATGTTCATGAAAGAGTTGTAACCAAGGCATGAAACAGATGTTATTATAAAAATATAACACTGTGATTAACTTGGTCTTTATATATTTTATGTTTTCCTCGCCAGATATAGCTTCACTTTTACGGTAGAATAAGAGAGAAACTTGCCCAGGTGGCGAGGTTTAATGTAAAACGTAATACAAGCTTCACAAATGATTTTATAATACCGCGTTCGCAAAATAAAACTAATTTCCAGCCTGAAGGATTTAAATTTATTATCGAGGTGAATTGTTTTCCAACATTACAAATGTCTACTCGAGGAGAATACAAATGATATATTATTGTTTCATTTTTCTTTACCTTCGGTGCCAAATTTTTCCGGCGATGGCAATTGAACTTTCAAAATCTTCTCCAGCTCGGTTATCATTGATACTCTCTTAAAAGGTGGCGTGAAGTCGACTTCGTACGATTCCCCCTTCTCCGTGTCGGTTTGATTAGGATGATAGGTGATCTTGTAGGAACCGGTGATATACTTGACCATACCTGACAACAACATCTCCGTGAGTTCCATAAGATCCTTGTAGTCTGCGTAAGCCATGTAAAATTCACACGTCGTGAACTCTGGATTGTGCGTCAGGTCGATGCCTTGAAAAAATACACACCACTGAAAACACACGAAAATGTGACAGCAAAAGATGGAGTCTTACACAGTGTCTAAAATGCTTACAAACCGCCCCCTCCCCCCACCAAGATACTCACTTTCATTTCTAAATTGTCGACCGATTTCGTAGACTCTATCTAATCCACCAACAATACACATCTACATGGAAAATAAACGTCAAAAAGACAATCAATTTGAGCAAGTATATTTCAACAGAATATTACTATCGTATATTTAATCTGTAAGGGACTAGCCAATATTTTGTAAATTTTACCTTATGATACAACTCTGGAGCAACTCTCATGTATAGATCCATATTTAGATCATTGTGACGAGTGATGAAGGGTTTAGCAGTTGCACCTCCCGCGATCATGTTCATCATTGGAGTCTCGATCTGTCATACACGACGGAGGTATATTTCAACTCTCAAGTTGTACATGATCAAAATTTAAGCAGCATTTATTTTACCTCTAGAAATCCTAATTCGTCTAAAAATTTCCTAACATAATTTATGCAACATTTATTTTACCTCCAGAAATCCTAATTCGTCTAAAAATTTCCTAACATAATTTATGCAGCATTTATTTTACCTCCAGAAATCCTAATGCGTCTAAAAATTTCCTAACATAATTTATGCAGCATTTATTTTACCTCCAGAAATCCTAATGCGTCTAAAAATTTCCTAACATAAGTTATGCAGCATTTATTTTACCTCCAAAAATCCTAATTCGTCTAAAAATTTCCTAACATAATTTATGCAGCATTTATTTTACCTCCAGAAATCCTAATGCGTCTAAAAATTTCCTAACATAATTTATGCAGCATTTATTTTACCTCCAGAAATCCTAATTCGTCTAAAAATTTCCTAACATAATTGATGATCTTCGCCCTCACGATGAATTTATCGCGAACATGTTCGTTCAAAATAAGGTCGAGGTATCTTTGTCTGAATCGAGTTTCCTTAAAGATAAAACATACATCACATTAGTAGCATGCCAAGGCATAAAACATGAATTAGTAGGGATAAAAGGACAGCGAAAAGTTTCAAGAACACTGCCTTTTGACTCTTAATTTGAATCAACCATAAAATATTAAATATATCATCCGAGCATGTGCAGTCAACTAAACCAACTGCCTGAGTTCCTTGTCGCGTCAATGGCGAACTGGATCTACTAATTTTGGCGGTAAATAGCTCGCTTAGTCACAAAGCCTATCGCAGGCGATCTCGGGGTCTGATGGGCGGAAGCTTGCTACGTATTGACATCCCCAAGTAGGATAGCGTGGAGGGGCTGAAATCTCCTATCGAAACGTTAACATGCGGCGTTCTAGTGCCTTACGCTTAAGAAGGTATCGGGAAGCATGGCCCTAAAACGGGATTTTTCAAAATTTGTCTTTCGTTTTAGTTCTTATTTATTAAACTAATAAATAAACTAATAAACTAATACCCAAAGATATTGCAAAATTTCAAGCATCTTTCCTTAAAATTTAAGGCAACCTTAAACATTTTTGATTAATTCCTATCTTTCAAGATTTATGTCTCCCATTTACTGTTTCTTATGTATCATGAGCAAACCTTCAAAAGTTTCATGGCAAACAAGGATTATCTGCTTCACTTGTATCGTTTGACGTTTGAATGGAGTCAACGACTTCAAAGTTTTTACAATGATTACACTTAAAATTACTAGTGATCAGAGGACATTGCAAAATTTCTTCTTTCAGAAATTAGAAGTCAAATGCTAAAAGAACTATGACAAAACAACAAGTTTAACACAAAATCAAACAAATCTCCAAGTTGCATAGGCTTCTAGATAATACTCCAGGTGTTCATGGATTTGTATTGCTCAAAAATTGTTAAATAAAAAACAGGCATTTTGAAACATCCATCATAAAGTTTACAATGTTTGCCATCCCATGAATTCCCCACCCCACCCCCCACTCACAATATTGCAAAGTTTCTATGGAAACTTTGTACTAAAAACACAAACAAGGCAACATCCTACCTTATCTTTCAATCCATAATGTAGATGAGGAAGCATATGTAGACATGGTGATAGTAAGGTAACAGACGAAGGCAAAATGCTTAATTCTCCTTTCTTTGTTTTTCCTAATTCAGAAATTAACATTTCAACAATCAAATACTTAATTTAACATTTCAAAAAAGCATGATAAATTAGGCATAACTTTTCAATCAAAGTTTACAAAATAAGTTTTGTGCAATATGTGATAGTTAAAAGCACACAAGTCAAATGTACCCAAGGCATGAAACAGCCAACAAAACTTGTTAAACTTGAGGCTGGGATTAACTTGGACTGGAGCTAATTTAACCTTACCAGATATAGCACATCCTACATGAAGTAAGCAGGTTACTTGCCCAGGTGGTAAGGTATATTAATGGCAACATATACATATTTTTAAAGCTTTAATTGAATAACTATCATTATATAGCAAAGGAGTATCCTGTAACATCACCTGGTTTCCCTTCAACTCCAATTATATCCCCCCTCCTAATGTTACCATGAACATCCGCAAAGTCCTGTTCAGATACCCTGAAAAACAAAATGTTTCTTTGAGCATTAATCAGGTAAATCCTAATCCTCATTTGAATCTAACAACAATACTACCTTGCATCGGCCATAACTTGTAATTTGGTTCCTTCACCACGAAGATCATAGAAAATCAATTTTGGTCCCTGCAATCGTTTAGCATGAACACGACCTACATTTACAAAGTATCTTTGCTCAATTGCACATACGTGAAAAACAATACTCATTGTAACCAGCTTGTCCCACAAACTTTCCATTTTTAACGAATTCGTCTGTTCTATTTGCTGGGTTTTTTATCTCGGCCTGTTTTTAACATGAATGTCACAATACATGAAACATTCACAATTAAATGAGCCCACAAACACTATGAGTAACTGTGCAAGTACGAGGGGTAAGGACAGGGCCGTAACTTGGGGGTGTTGTGCTTTGGATGTTCGGAGGGTTGCAGAATACTTTCTGCCCGGCGAATATACAAAAAAGGGCATGGTTCAAGAAAAGCTAATGATAAAGGCATGAGCAGCTATTACTAGATTTATATATTTATAATACAAAATAAAAAAAGCATTTAATTGCAATAGAATCCAAGAAATAGCATTAGTGAAATATAGCTTAACCCAATAAATTTGCCCAACAGTGATGTTGAAGGAGCAGAAGTATTGAGTCATTAAAAAAAAATTCGCCAAACCAGTACTTCATAAGCTGTTGAAATCGCCAAACAAAGCTGCATTGTTGGAACAATGGGGGAGGGGAGGGTTGCACCCACTAAACCACCTGTATTTATGATCCTTGCTGAAAAGATAATGTTGACAAATAAAATTTTGTGTTTACCAGCAACTGAAACAATTTCCTCTAGCCATGATCCTTTCTCACAACTATCATAATTCTTAATGAACTCTTCCAAAGAGATCGAAACATGAAACTTGTGTGGATAAGGCTTTGAAGCACTTTGCTTTAGTTTTGCGACCGCATTACTTCGGATTTCAAAATATTTCTAGAAGCAAAATAAGGTATAATAATCATTATAACATGATACTTTCAAGTACTAAACATCCTTGTGATCTCTTACATTTGGATCCAGTGTTTCGTCAAGTTCGTTGCCTTTTTTCTCCTTCAAATGAGCTTCATTTGCCTGGTTGTATAACAGTTAAGAAAGCTTACCATATTAAAAACTTAACAAGTCCTTAATCAAAACATTTTAAGTCCTTTAAGGACTACATATGTTGATAACAGTTTTTACTTTTATTCTGAGATGACCTGAGTTAAGATTATTATGGATTCTGTATCATGTGTGTTTAGCCACTGAAAAATCTTGACGAATAATTTTACCAAAAGATTACTTTTTGCTGAGCAATCTTTTCCTCCTTTTCTTTGTCCTTTTTTTCTTTCTTCATTCGCCTTTTAAGTTCACTGCCAAAATCGACATATAATCAAAGTGAAATTTACATCGGCACTTTAAAACAAAGAAGAAAAGACAAGAAATACACGTACTTTTTGCTGATCTTTCCTTCGCCCTCCGCGGAGTCTGCCATTTTGGAAGAGCAGGAAAAAAGCCTTCGAGGAAGTAAGTCCACGCGGTTTACAGGCAAACTTTGAATGTGCTTTGATAACACAAAAATCTGTGAACTTGTGAAGCAACGCAGAATACGAACGTACATTCAATACAAGCTGCACATGACAGAATCTTCCTGAAGCTCGTTCACTCTACGTTATCATAGCATTTTTTTTAATAAATCACAGGGATTGCATCAGAAATTGGTGAAAAGATGAATCACCATGTGCAGTCTGTGAAGTGAAGCAATTACCGAAAAAAGAAACGGAGGGGTACGTAGATAGCCGACGATTACATTCGGTCGGATTTCGGAAATTATCGTTAGGACGTTTTTTTGTAATTCAGGGGAAACTGTAGAATTAAAGAATGACTACATTGTTTGAAAAATAGTACAATAATACAAAGGTGGAGTGTAGTCTGGAGCTAGTCAACGGTTGAAAAACATTCTCGCAACCATTAAGCGTCTACGAATGCTGTTGACTGTACATAAATCAATTGAAAATGAACTTGATTTACTCGGTGATCGTTCTTTGCGCAACCGGAATGTATTTACCTGAAAGCCCTGCGCCAGTTATGTCAACAAAAAACTCGACGCAAAACATCTTAATCTTGGGGGGTAATGGATTTCTCGGCAGTTCCCTGGTTGCCAAAATTGTACAATTTCACCGGTATAAAGTGACAACCTTAAACCGCGGACGGCAATACTTCGATTCAAAGACGCGTGTCGAGCCAAATGTGCACCAAATTTTGTGCGATCGCAGTGCTATCTACGACTGCGCAGATCTACTGACCTCATCAGAGTATTACGATGCGGTCGTGGATTTTTCATCATACTACATGGAAGATATGCAGGTAATGCTAAATGACTGGGAACAAGGATATCTTTCATTGCATGCACTGAAAAGAGTTTGTGTTTGAAATTTTAAGACGGGGGGAGGGGAGAAAAATTGTGATAAAACGTGAAAATTGTGAATTCAATGTGAAAAAACTTCAGTAGTTATGATCGTCTAATGATGAAAATTTCCCATGCAGGAAATACTGAACGCGTTACGTGGAAGAATCGGTAGATACATCTTCATCAGCTCTGACTCGGTCTATGAAGTTTGCATCAAGACTTCTCATAATGGACCGAGTCGTGAAGAAGATGCAGTAAGACCACGTGACCCTCGAGCTAGACATGATTTGAACATGCGTGATTATTATGGTCATCAAAAACTAGGATGCGAAGAAGTGCTGGAAAATGAACGAAGATATTCGGGGATCAACTTTATCTCTCTTCGTTTGCCTGACGTCATAGGTCCACGTGACACAACCAACCGATTTTGGAACTACCAACTGTGGTTGCTCACGCATCGACTGGACGAGTCGTTAGGACCAGTACATTTGAATCCAAACGAAAATCGACCAATCAGTTTCGTGTATTCAGAAGATATCTCGGAACTCATTATCCAACTTTTTAACTCGGACCTGGATGTATACAATGATGCATACAATGTCGCGTTCCCACCCGTAACTCTCGAAGAATTCCTTAAAATAATGGCTGAATCGTTGGGAATAGATATAAAGTACAAAAGGACAAATGAAGCCAATATCCACTGGTATCCATCGGTGACCCGTGGACCGTTAAACACAACGAAAGTTTTTGATATGCTAAATTGGCAACCATCTTCTATCGAGGTGGCTGTCAGGCATTCTTGTGAGTTTTTCAAGCACGCAATGTCCGTAGAAGAGTTTCAAAGACGTAGAGATGACATTTTAAGACGATATTTACCAAACCGCGAAGCGAGAGACGCGTTTCTGAAGAGGCAAATAGGTCATAAAGAGCTCCAGCAACCCACTACTTCATTATAATGTGAATATTAATTTACTAGAAATATTTGAGTGATCAAGTACATTCTAGTAATACAAGATACCTAATAATTTAAATAAAGAGCGGCAATTTTCAGCCGTCACGAGTTTTAGCCCATGCAGTGCTTTTATAAATCAGCATGACCGCCTAAAATGTACAATTAAAAGTTGTCGCAAAACAAAGTGACAACACAATCCCTTAAAGTCTACGCGAAGCGCCTATCAACCTATAATAAGTAGTTCTTAACCAAAAAATCGAGTGACGTCAAAATCGTTGGCGTCAAATCCTTCACCCAAGATATCTTGCCCATCAACCTCCTTCCAATGTGGCGGCCACGTGATCTGGATGGAATCACGTGACGACAACCTGTTGTAATAGTCGTTCAGCAGTGGAAATGATTTTCCCAGACTGTGATGCATACGTACAAGCATTGCCAGCTGCGGGAAAAAAACTGCGTCCGCCATTGTAAATTCTTTTCCAGTGAGATAGAAATCTCCTTCGTGCTACAGTGGTTAAAGTGATAAAGTCAAGAAGTGAAAATAGTGTTAAAGCTCGACAATGTGATCGTTGTTATAAACCTTGCTGAGATAAGAGCTACGCGCACCATAAGTAGCAACAAGGCAAAAGTGATTCCAATGTTATTTGTAGTTGGGGTATCTCGTTCCACAAAATAGTACTTTGTAATTCTTTATAGCACTATGCACGCTGAACATTTCTGTAGAGTGTATTGACCCCGGAGAAAGATGACTACAGCTCAAAGTAGTTTAAAAAACCCCTGATAAACCGGGGTTAAATAGGTAACTTCATCACAATGTGTACTTTGATGTCCACCCAATTGTATCATAGAGTTTAGTCAACGCTTCTGTTGGGTGATCTCTCAAAGCTATAGTCATTATTCGCCAAGGTAAATACGCTCGTCTCTTATCGCGGAAATATTTAGATTCTGTTTCCGTTCTATGTGCGAATTCTTTACACATTCCTTATAATGACCAGAAGTTTCTATGGTAAAAAGGACTAACACTTATAATAAAGAAGAAAAAATCACGGCCATCTTTTTAATGTTTCCCTCGATCAGAATGTTAAGACGATGCAAGTGATCAGCATTATTATTGACCAGTAAAAGGGTTGGTTATTTGATCGTCTTCTAAAAAGCGATATTTACTGGAAAGATTTAACTGGCATGGCTTTACTCGCCACATGGCTATAATGCGGACAAATTCTTCAAAAAGAGCAAAATCGAAACGATCCACATCGTACCTTTTCAAGGTAGTTTTCCCAATGTCGAAGTTCTTCGATTAATTCTGTCTTGTTTTTCTTCATCACTTCCTTTTGATAAAAACAAGTAATTCTTACACAAACTGAGCAATCAAAAGAGATGTTATGAATATAAAAAAAGTATTTTATACTGAAAATATACTTTATTTTGATCATCAATAGGTGTGTACAGCAAATAATACAAGACTTGTTGCCATTTTCTCTGAAGAGTCAGAGTCTAAAAAAAAACAGTAAGACGATAAGACAGAAGGTCTGTTTGATATGTAAATCTAACCAGAAAATGTTTAAGATATGAATGTCTTTCTTAAACATGATAAACACTTGAAAATGTTGCATTATATATGACGGACATGCTGGAAAATTGTGTTCAGCCGAACACAAAATTGGCGCGAGAACATAATAATTGTACGTCGTTGCATGTTTCTACGAGGAATTGTGGTGTTAGTGCCATTCTCCCTCCCTTCCTCCCTTGCAATGTACCTCGTAAACTCTTTGTAAAGTCAACGCTTTTTCCTTCTGGTTGTCTGGTAGTAACTTTGAGCCCTTGTTAGGAAACATGTCCTAAACAACAAATTGATGAATGTAACATTTGAAATCCCCGATTTGATGCATGTATAGAAGTCAAAAATATGTTCAAAGAAATTACGAAATTGAAATACCACACTCATGAAAAAGAAAGACGAATCGATGTGTTCAACTTTATTATTAAAAAAAAAACACAATAAAACGCGAGCGGTGATTAGTCTATAGATGAGTCTGCATTTGCCTGAGCAAACCGATCAACTTAATCAATCAAAGAGAATTTGCAAGTCAATCATGAATACATGTTGCAGGAAACTTAAAACATTTGTTTGAAATTCATCTGTTTGGCATTATAGTTATTTATAAAACGAAACAAACGATGTTTTTCATGTAAGCACTGGCTTCGATCTCGGTGTGATATGCTATCGAGTTCTTCCAAAGTCCTCCAGTTTACATAAACCTGTGATAAACATCTTTTATTTCTGTGAATGAAGAACCATGGTCTTCGAAGTGTAGCATCATACCTCGAGGTAATGGCAAATTCCCAAAGATTCATTCAATATAGTGTCATCGTGTTTAAAAGCGGGCAACTAAAATAAAATGCAAAGAAAATATTTTTGAAAACGAGGATGACTAACGTTATTGTCGTTTTGCCTATTTTTTACCTGTCCTCTCGGATTGATGTCCAACACGTGTTCGGATTTGTGTTCGCCGTTTAAGAATGACAACTGCCGACTGTCGTATTTACGAAGAGCCTTCTCTTCGAGACAGATCATAACCCGCCAACATGGAACACTTCCCGAGCCCCAAAATAAAGAAAAACTTTGCGACTCGCATGGACTTGAACAGGATTCACCCATCACACGTTGAATATAGAAGCTACACAAACAAGTAGTGCGTTATTGGGACATGTTATTAAGTGTACAACGGTTTGAAATTTGCTCGGTCGCTGATATTTCCATGCTTTTATTCATCATCAAACAACAGAGAATAATTCTTGAATGGAGGATTAAACACGCGAGAACTGTAAGCGTGGGCGTTAAGCTGTATAAGAAGTATAGATAAAAACAGGTAAGAACATTACAAGAAGTTGAAAACCCCACGCCGTGTGGTTGATGATAAGAACTAAGAGTCTATAATACCTACATGTAGAAGATAATTTTATTCTATTTATAAAAAGATATTTTAGGAACATGAATATACGGTCGCTACTGAATCTCTGATTGAAGTTGTGTTTTGTTCTGCGAAAAAAAACTTTTTAAAAACTTTATAGGTAAATATATGAAACGGGAACATCCTAACAGTTACAAAAATTTACTGACGTCTTCCATCACACATTTTCCACGTGCTCAATAGATTATATTAAACATTAAAAATTTCAAAAAAGATTATACGTATAGTTTTGTGGGCATTAAAGATAATGTTGCAACTTGTGTGCTATTTTTATTTGTGAACAAGTTGCATGAAGATAAATTGTCGATATTATTAACAATAGCGTGCCAGATGGTCCAGAGACCGAGTAAAAACACAGGAAGCGAGATATTTACAATAACAGATAGGGAAATTATATTTAGGCTAAAACCTTCAATAAACTTAAAATGCATAGATTTATTTCCAATAGATTTTAATGGAACTGTAAGTTGCACTAGAAATGAAACCTTCAAGGAAAATTCAAGCGGTTATTCATGGATGTACTTCAGTTTAGAAGTTTCTCGTTTACGTACAGGAAGGAAGAGCTTTGCGCATGCGCGACAATGCATTCATATATCCCCCCTCGAACTCATCAATCTTTACAGATCCATGGGTTGCATGAGAGACGAAGGTTAAAGTGTGGACGATGTATCAGCTTTAACAGGCCAAACAATCCTTCTACTTTATGTATACAGTGTATTGACTGCCTTATTCCACGATAAAAACCTATGCACTATATGAAGTATCCGCTTGAATATACGTAATGTAAAACATCTGTTAAAAGGTCAGATTGATGTCGAAATGAAAACACCATCCGCTGTTCTAGTGTTGGCAATGCCCTCGAATGACCTTGTCTATGGTTGTTTAATGTTGCGCATGATCTAACAATAATGAGGAAATAATGAAGGATCTTGACCTTATGTGGTACAATAGACGTAATGTGACGCACGAAAAGCCAGAGATCGTCCAAATGACGAAGTGTTCCTCACAACAGAAGATATTAGCAACGTCCATAGTCTGGGTGGGTAAAATACACAAGAAATTTAGACAGTTAGAATCACTCGTCATTCTTGAATATTTTGACAACACGTGTACGTTGGAACTATGGGTAATAAAGTAAACAGAACTTGCAATTATGCATTGCTACCGGTTTTGGTGTTCGTCTACATTGAAAAATATTTGTTATTTTAAGTGTAACTATGTAATTATATATTTCCCGTATTCAAGAGACAAAGATATGAAATGATAACGAGGACAAACCACGCTCCAATGTCACAGAGTTGTCGTTTGGTAACGAGTTCAGAGTTCTAATTTTTCTAATCAACTACACTAATAAATTCTAAATGCAAACTAATAAATTCTAAATGCGAACTGATAGATTCTCAAAGAAAACTAATAGATTCTAAAACAAAACCATAAACTTATAAATGATAACGACATTTCTAAAATATTACAAATATAGATTAAAAACATACTCCAAAAAGCGTCAAGTTGTAAACTCAAGATTTCAGTTATACTAAAAGCAATATTTCGACTTTGTTTCAAAGTCCTTATGAAGGATTTTCAAACATTTGCAAAATAAAGACATGCGTGCTGTAATATGATCTTTGAATATTAATTTTAAGTTTTGACGTCGGTTCGATCTACCTTACAAGAACTGTCAAATACGATAACCAGCAATACAAGTCACGCGTAAGAAAGTGTGTTAAGCGTAGTCGTTTTAGCGTGAACAATGTCAATGTTTATCATTTTTAAGTGGAATGACAGCTGCAATGTTTGGGTTTTCGTGGGTAATGGTAAAGATCAATTACCTATTAAATAAAACCGCCCCTGTGTTGTAATTTCATCGTTGACGTTAAAAGATGAACGAGTTCAATGATAACACTCAATGCAGGCAGATCTAAAGACGATTCCGGTTCAAAAATAATTTTCTCACTCACACGATTAAAAAACTAATCCACCTTTTACGTCAGTTTAAGCGGTAATGATTTATTGAAATGCGCATGATGACCTTTCCACGTGTTCGACCATCTTTGTGCCCCCACAAGCACGTGATATCTTGGTGTATCAATCATCTTCGATTAACAAAAATATGAGAATATAAAGTAGGTAATAATAAGCATTTATGTTTCAATAGGGGATAGTCCTTGATAGATAAGGATAACCCGAAAAAAGTGACCAAAATTATATTTAGTCGTCATGTCTCTCTAAAACATCTAAACATATCTTCTTCAAATCTTCAACTAATCCCGACTTACATTTTGGGCAAGATCAGAGAAACGATAAGAAAGCGTCTCGTCGTCGAAAAGTTTGTTCAGGAAACTTTAAAATGTAGTAGAAAAAGTCGTGTTTTTCTTATAAATACATTGTTTGTTCCTCTCTATTGATCTGAAATGCTACAGTATTCCAATAACGCGAGTTAATAATACGAAAGTGTGTTGTCTAAAATACAGAAAATCGAAACTGCGTCGTGGATTATCAAAAAAAAACAACAACAAGAAACTCAAATATAACCATTAATTCATTATTCTTAAGGACGACATTCAATGACCTTCCACTCCCCCGAGCAACCCACACTAAAATTAAACACATTTGGTCACAATTTGAGTCAATCCTGTGGCTGTTTCAATAATTTTCGTATATAACGCCTAACATAACATTAGCGTATGGCGTAAAATGTAACCCAAAGTATGATGGCCTGACTAAACAACCAGTGCAGACCAAACAAAGATTTCGTGTCATTAGCAATAGCATATTAATTTTACAAAGAAGCGTCACGCAGTTACTTTAGGGCTCGAGGGGGACACAGCTTGATACGGGATAGATAAATTATGTAACGAGCCCATACACACACCTTCAAGACAACCCTTCATAATACAGCATGTAGTCAATGCTGACACAGTAATACGAAGTGAACGGCTAAGCCCATAACTGATATTGTACGCGATCGATGAAGGATTTTCACACGACTTAAGAGATTGACGAGTTCAAAAGTAGCAAAAGAGTAGAAATTCCTTTGAGCGGAGAGCGACGAACAACTCCAAGAAAAATGGCATCAAAAGAGGAAGCTTTATTTTCGATATTCACGATTCTCATTCTTTGTATAAAGGTAACATTGCTTTTAATTAAAATCGACTTCATTGATTAGGTATACGTGTATGATCGTTTAACTACGATTCGTAGACAAAGTGAAAATCACCGCAAAACTTTCATGCGCTTTAATGAGAGAAGTATGGACGGTGCGCACTGAATGTTAATTACTTGTATACAACAATTATGTAACATACCCATATGGTTTTATGTGATATATTTTCTACTGCGATGTTGCACGCAGAGTTTAACAAGTCGTATAGAAAAGTTTCAATTGAAAGAAATCAGTGAAGAGTAAAGTAACTTTTTGTTCTAATCATGTACATTGTAGCCATAACAAACTTTTTGAAAGAGACATTGTGCTCGACTTTTTTTTAATTATTGGGTTTTCATATGAAGAGCGAACGGTTCACATGTAATATGCATATAGCTACGCAACGACTTATTAAATGGCATCTGCCATTCTATACGTTATTCCCTGATATTTTCCTCCTTTCAATTGCTTACATCAACGTCATAGTAAAGTGGTGAAGTTTTTGTCTTCAAATTTACGAATATACATAGTGACTCAGTATTATCTTGTTCATATATAATCTCAATTTTACAAACTTAGTTTAATTTTCTAATTTAAATGAGTCTCGTTGTACAAAAATATTCCAACACCATCCTTATTCCGAAAACTCGACTCGACTTAAGATAATAGCTAATAATTTTATGGATGGTATGATTTGAACATACGTACGACCTTTTAACGGCAAGCAGTGGAACATGGCGCGCGTATGCGTCCAAAAATAGAGTAACCTTCAATGAATGTCATTCAATTCTTTCCTGGCCACTCACTATTTCTCTTTTCTCTTTTTAATAAACAAAACATGACCGCTCGCTCTCGCACGCTGAGAATGGCAGTCAAAGTATTTTATATTGATAATGGAAGTAAACATACTTTTATTTGCTCCGATTCTACTTAAATATGACACAGCGGTGTAGGCACCGAAGGGAAACTTGGCAGTCAGTATAAGTTTAAAAGAAAGTGTGAGCACATTAACATGATAAAAAGATTGATGAAAAATGACACGACACGGACATTTCAAAGAAACGAATTGTAAGAATATAATTTTCAATGGAGTAGACAAATTTTTTGTTATATATAACAAAAACGTACAACGATAATTTTTTACACGGAGAAGTTTTTGACGAACGTTTAAAGCGCACAAGTTCAGCTTTCAATATGCGGAGATTCCATTCATTTAAGACAGAACGAGGTTGGTTTGAAATATACTCATCATCCTCAGTAAACTTCGAATAATTCATGGTTGCATTTTTCACATTCTGGCGCGACCACCCGGCCCTTGGCCACTCAAGATTAGTTGATGTGATTGTTACAACAGTCGTTTAGCATATAGATATCAAACTTTATAGCTGATTGATTGGATGGAAAATATACACTATACAAAACATGGTAGGGTTCAACAGTTCTGTTATGTATAAAATGGATGAGATTACTAACAGTGGAAATTTAAAGAGCAGGGTCTTCACATCAAAACAATAACTTGTATAGCTATTTGTAACTATGTATCCTATTGAAACTTTGTAAACGTAATGGTATATAGAAGGATTGTACATGAATGAGAAATGACTTAGCATCAATAGAGCAAAGTTTAAAACTTATCTTCTTTATTTTTAAAAGATACGTACGTCTCCAATGCAAAAAAGATATATGTCTCTGATCCTACAAAATTCATCTCTTATTAAAAATACTGATCCTAACGATACATTTTGTTTGTGTGCGTCATTTCTGCATGCTACACCTCCCGTCATCTGCATCGTTCCATTAACTAACGCATAGCTAACGGCTAAATGAGAAAAGTTCGAAGTTTTGGATACTTAAGAACAGACCCTGCATGGAGCTACCTGGCGTGTACGGCAAAGGAGCCGAAAAATTTTACCTTTGTTGTGCAAGACAGGAAATATGAAATGCAACAAATGGGGTGTTATTTTGTCTATGGCAGGGAATATAATGTGACAGACATAAAAAGAACATAAATGCAGTTGAGCTTGACGGTTGAATTTATAACGTTTATGTAAAGGCCATTGATTTGTCCATTATGAATGTCGTGTTTTAACCCACGGACAAAGTTAAAAACTGCTTTCAAATATTCAAATTGATTTCCGTGGTAGTATTATATAGAATTCTTTTCCCAACTAGTTTCATTGATTCCTTCGCCATGTACATTTTGTTAAACTTTCCACGCATACATCCACACAAAAAATGTTTATACATGCTAACAAACGACAAAACCATTTAAACCAGTTTTTCTGTCTTCTAACAGGGTTCATTGACTTCGGGTGTTTTAAGCATCGAACCCAAAGTATATTTTAATCTCGAAAACAAATTAGAAGATGGATCATGTTGTGATGGATACTGGTCTTGTGGAAATGTGATCCATACCTTACGTTTATCTTCGGTGGCAAGACTGTAGAAACGACGAATCAAGATAATAAAAATAAAATTATATACACCTCGAAGGATGTCATTCATTTTCAATTTCACCGTTGGCAGGTAACAGTTTATATTAGTGTAAAATATTTGATGGGGGAGGGGGGCGTCCGGGAAGGGGTATTTTATCAATGACTCACACTGAATAAGAACCGAGTCAAGGAAGAGGATTCTAGAAAAGAATCGACAAAAGGTTTCGGTTAAAAATCGGATCGCCGTTGAACCCCCCTACACACCGAATGAAGAATACAAGCACCGAGAATAATTTTAGACAATTTAGTTTTCAATTTGAAAGAATTGACGAGGGGTCTTAAGGGGGATTTTTGCCTAGTTGCAAAGTGAGCTCAAGGATGTCACAACAATATCCTTTATCTGTTTCATGTTTTAGCCGAAACAAACGTTAAAGGTGAAAATTAAAGACGACGATGTTCTTACATATTCCATTATTCTCTCCCGTTCGTTGACACTTCCTGACAAAGCTAACAAGAGTAAAGAGGCTGCAAAAACGTATTTTGTCGAACTTAAAGGACCTTATCAGATCAGTCTGAAATTTGACGTTCGAGTTTATTGTGACGCCGGGTACATGGTACCTGACTGTTCAAAGTATTGCCATGCAACCAATGCAAGCACCTACCGTTGCAACTACGATAATGGAAGAAAAATATGCCACAAATATTGGTACGCCGACAAATGCGACGTTTACTGTCGAGAGTTTTCTGATAGTAAGTATGTTTGCAACAAGACTAACGGTTTAAAAATATGTCACGAAAACTGGTACGGTAAGGAATGCGACAGATTCTGTGCGGAGAAAATCAATTCTACCGGACATTACTCCTGCGATGAGGTAGGACGAAAAATTTGTCATCCCAATTGGTTTGGTGAAAATTGCACAAAATTTTGCAATGCGAGAAACAGCCGGAGAGTCCACTACAAGTGTGACGTAAGGAACGGTTCTAGGATTTGTGACCAAGATTGGTTCGGTGATCACTGTACAACTTATTGTAAATCGAGAAATAATATCACTGGTCATTATTCCTGTCATCCTGTCACGGGCTTGAAAATTTGTGAAAAAGATTGGTACAATGAAAATTGTACGAAATATTGCAAAGAAAGAAATGACACTTCGGGACATTATTTTTGTGATCGAAGTGAAGGAACTAAACTTTGCCATCCGAATTGGTTTGGTGCAAACTGTTCAGTGTATTGCAAGGCTAGCGATGATTCTTTCAATGGACATTACAGTTGCGATAGTGTAAGAGGTTCGATCGTCTGCAACCCACATTGGTTTGGACACAAATGTATGAGTTATTGTAAAGGACAAAATAACACAAACGGACATTATAGTTGCGAGAAAACAAACGGTTCAAAAATATGCTTTCCAAATTGGTTTGGAAATAACTGCACGACATATTGCCGAGCACAAAACAATTCTTTTGGCCATTATTGGTGTCATGCCGACAGTGGCAAAAAAATATGTCTTCAAGATTGGTATGGTAGTGATTGCCTAAAGCATTGCACGCCCAGGGATGACGTATTAGGTCATTACGTGTGCAATCAGAGAACTGGTGCCAAGATTTGTCTTCAGGATTGGTATGGTAGTGATTGTCTAACAATGTGTAAGAAAAGGAATGATTCGAGCTTTCATTACAGCTGTGACAACGTCACGGGTGATCGAATATGCGACTCAAATTGGTATGGAGAGAATTGCACAACACACTGCACGGAAAGGAATGATTCGACGGGTCACTTCTTTTGTAACCAAACAACCGGAAGTAAGGTTTGCATAGAAAATTGGTTCAGACAAAACTGCACGCATTTCTGTAAGGAAAAGAACGATTCCTCCGGGCATTACTCTTGCGACAAAGAAAATGGAACGAAGATTTGCGGAAAAATTGGTTTGGAAAAAGTTGCAATCGATTTTGCAATCCAAATGATCTTTTTGGACATTATTTCTGTAATGATACCACAGGTCTAAAGATTTGCCATTCATCTTGGTATGGCAAGAATTGCACTATCTTTTGTAAAGCACAGAACAATTCCAAGGGTGCGTACTGGTGTTCACACGCAGGCAAAAAAATTTGCCATCCCAATTGGTTTGGTCCCAACTGTGCGACATATTGTGACAGCAAAAAGGCGAACGTCAGTCATTACTTCTGCGATAGAAGAACTGGAATGAAGGTCTGCCACAAAAATTGGTATGGGAAACTGTGCAATGTCTTTTGCAAGCCAGGAAATAGCTCCGTCGAAGGCTATTACGTTTGTAATAAACACACGGGACAAAAGATTTGCTTAACCAACATGTTTGGAGAGAATTGTACTAAATATTGCACTGAGAGAAACAGCTCCAACGGTCATTACATTTGTGATAGGTATACAGGTCGACAGATTTGTCACGAAAACTGGTTTGGAAAGAATTGCACCGTTTTCTGTAAAGAGAGAAACGATTCGACTGGACATTACAACTGTGACAAAAGAACAGGAGCAAAGGTTTGCCATCCATATTGGTTTGGACGAAACTGCGTGAAATTTTGCAGAGAACGCGCAGAGTTTTCTGGAAATTATTATTGTAACAGGACAAACGGCGAAAGGATTTGCTATCCAAACTGGTTCGGAAGCTACTGCACGAAATTCTGTTTTCCAAAAATGATTCGAGTGGTCACTACTTTTGTGATCACAACACAGGGTTAAAGAGATGTTATCGAAATTGGTTTGGGGAAAATTGCACGAGATTTTGCCGAGTGGATGATCATGAAATAAAACGATACATTTGCAACAAGACGACGGGTTTAAAGTCATGCCATCAAAACTGGTTTGGAATAAACTGTTCAGTGCATTGCCTTGAAAAAGATGATGCTACTGGACACTACTCCTGTAATAAAACAACCGGATCGAGAATTTGTCTTCGTCATTGGTACGGAGACTCCTGCACAGTGTATTGTAATGCAGACAATGAAAACTACTTTTGTAACATGAGCACGGGGAAGAAAGTTTGTCATGCGCATTGGTATGGAAGAAACTGTTCAACATTTTGCATGGAGCCTCGAAATTCATCGGTCGCCAACTTTCAATGCAACCAGACAGACGGAACTAAAATCTGTCTGCGGCATTGGTACGGTGTCAATTGCTCAACATATTGTAAAGTTTCAAGTAATGCGACGGTCCATTACTCGTGCAACAAGTCCTCCGGTTTGAAACTTTGTCATGAACACTGGTTTGGTTCGAATTGCGAGAAATTTTGTAAAGCAAACAACGACTCCTATAATGGTCATTTCACTTGCAACGAGAGAAATGGCTCGAAGATTTGTCACAAAGATTGGTATGGAAAGAATTGTACAAACTATTGCAAAGATCGAAATGATACAAGCGGCCATTACATTTGTGATAGGAGGACCGGTACCAAAAGCTGTCAACCGATGTGGTTTGGTAAAAACTGCACGGTGTATTGCAATTCAACTGATGAAAAAAATGGAAAGCTTTATTTTTGTAACGAAACTACAGGCATGAAAATGTGCCTGCGTAACTGGTATGGGGAGAACTGCTCTCGATTCTGTGAAGAGAGAAGAGACTTCCACTACAAGTGCAATCATACCACGGGACGAAAAAAATGCGATGAAAATTGGTTTGGAGTGAACTGTGAAGTATTTTGCAGAGGAAGGAAAGATTCGTTTGGAGGATATGATTGTGAAAAAAACACAGGATGGAAAGTTTGTCACGAAAATTGGTTTGGTGTTAATTGCTCGACATTTTGCAAAGTGAGAAAGGACAAGCTTAGTCGTTATTACTGTAACAGAACCACTGGTTTGAAAATATGCCATCCATATTGGTTTGGTCGCAGTTGCAATGTACACTGCAAAGAGGAAAACGACGCTCATTTCAAATGTAATTCAACAAATGGGATAAAGATATGTTGGAAAAATTGGTTCGGACCAAACTGCACCAAATACTGCGACGAAGATAAGAAAGAGAACTACGTATGCGATAAAAAGACAGGTTCGAAGTTCTGTAAAGAAAACTGGTTTGGTGAAAATTGCACCGTGTATTGCAGAGAAAATGATCGTGGAACTTGCGATAGAAATACAGGAAGGAAGCGCTGCAAATCGCATTGGTTTGGGAAGAACTGCGAAACGTTTTGCAAAGAAAATGGGCAGAAGAATGGGCATTTCAACTGTAGCCAAATCGATGGTGCAAAAATTTGCCATTCGAATTGGTACGGAGAGAATTGCACAAAATTCTGTAAAATGTCAAATGATATCAACACAGGAAAATACATTTGCGACAACAGAACGGGGGAGAAGATTTGTCAGAAAGATTGGTACGGTCCAAACTGCAACATATGTTGCAAGGTCGACGTTGAAACCACTTTCATCTGTGATGAAAAGACGGGAAGAAAAATTTGCAAAAAGGAATGGTATGGCGAGAATTGTACGCGCAATTGCGTCGAAGACAAATATTACATGTGCAACATCACGAGCGGTGAAAGGATTTGTCGTCGTGAGCATCTCAGAATGAAGTGTTCTTCAAGTGTAAATGTTCTTCAGAGATACCTAACGATGGTAATCATATGTGGAGGAATGCTTCTTCTTGCACTTCTCATTTTTGTACTATCAAGGTAGCTACTGATGTGTTTATTGAAACCATTTTTCTTCTAAACACGACGCAAAAAGAAAGTGCCCTACTAGTTGAATTATATTATGAGTGCTAAATGAATGTATCTCAGTTGATTAAACACAGTACTAACCAAACTTTTTCTAAATGTCATGTTTAGAATGGGGTCATTAGTTTTGCTTTAGAAAACGAGTTAGCCAACATTGAATAACCAAAACAGATAAAAAAAAACTAGTGGAATTACAGTCGACACGGAGAACGAAAGATTTTTACTTTCTGTCGCATTTTTACTCATGTGACATTTTATAAAAAAGACGTTTTCTTTAGAAATGAAACCTAAGTAACTTCTAATATGAGAGAAATTTATGAAAGTTTTCATGTTTGTATAGATGCAAAATTTCAAAGGTTCGCAAGATAAAAGTAGCTCCTGAAAGGAATGCTCAACAGTTATATGCAGTAGAAGAGGATACGACAGCTTTATGGTAATTTCACGCTATATATCTGCATGCATCATCCATATAATCAATTCATTTGTGAAACTTCCCAAATTGTATGCATAATCAATACTATCGATATATCATCAAGATTATCGATTAATCTATTAAATCTCCCAAATTGATCGTCGCACGCTATACTACTGCATGCGTCATCAAGTAAAACGTTGCTTGAAGTAGGCTTGTGGAAAATGGACATCAGTGGTTTTCCTCAAGCGTATTTTATTATACTATAATAAAATATTTTACTTCTATCGTTTTATAGATTCCAATTCGAGAAGGCATTTATTGTAAATTGTGTACAAAGAAGCTAATTCAACAGGTATAAAAATATCGAAGTTCTATTTATACGTTTCAAATGGTGTTTATAAAAGAAAAACATTATACAGTTTTGTGTACTTCTATGATATGTAAGAAAATGTATTTTACAAAAATATATTTATGTAATTAAACAAATGAACTCTGATCCTGCTGTAATTTTTCAAAATGCATAGTAGACAAAACAAAGTAGCGATAGAAAGGTCCTAGAAAACTAACTCATTCTATATATTTCTCTCTCAAATCGCTATCCATAAAATAAACAAGCATAATTAAAGAGCACGAGGGTTCTTTTAAACATGCAGCATACAAAGCTGTTTTTAGATACGTCAACATCAAACTGATGGAGTAAAATAATCCTACAACAAATGCTTTAAATCTTTGTATCCAAGCAAGTAAATTTAACCCGCTTAGCAGATTTTTGTAAATAAATCAAGGTGTTTAGTGCAATCCAAAGTTCAAGTTAGTTTGTGTATTGTATGAAAGAAGCGTGAATAATGCACGTGAAAAGTTTTACAGCAGATAAAATGGGAGACAAAGTCCAATGATTAAGAGCATTCACGATAGCAATGAATGTATTACATAAATTACTGAAGATAAGTCTTGTTTCCGTTTCAAAGGATTTCCAGATTTCCAGACGCGAAGTCTTCATTTGATACGGCATATTTGCATGAACAGAACTACTTCAACTTCACATTCTGTGCGGGATTTCTTACATTCACTTATATGATGAAAGTTTTTTGTGACAAAGATATGTAATATGCGTTAAAGCAAGAAGCTGAAAACACTTTATGTAACCGTGAGCTTAGCTAGCAAAGTGGTGGTGGGCAGTGAAATTATTGCGATACGTCAATTTTCTAAAGTTATTCTTTGTCTTTTGATAGAAAATAAAAATTCAAACATCTGTACAGCTAATTGAAATTAAATTTATTTCTAAGAAAACGTCGTTTCCCCTTCCTTTTTGTTTTTCCTTTAAGCTGTCCATAGTGAAATTTCAAAGAGTCAGACAGATCAACACCACTGTACAGTTTTCGTAAACAGGTTTTTGTGCAAATTCATGTTTTAAGAAATAACTGTTCTTAAGATTTAGTGCCATAATATCCTCGGGTGAACTTGTACAAGCTGTCACAAACATGCTAATGCTATTGGATACAAAGTTCAAACATTAATCAACGATAACGAGAGCTTTATCTTATGATAAGCACACGACGACAAGCAATTTACCATGATTGTTTTGGTTTTGGAAAGGTTGTTTACTTTGCTACTTAATGCCAACGTAAGTAAAGCCGATAAAGTTAAATTTAGAAGAACATTTAAGAAATAAAAGATGTTTACTGTGTTTGCACAGGCTTATGCAAACCGAGGAGACCTTTGGGAGAACTCAAGAGCAGATCAGTGCAAGCCCGAGACCGATGGTCGACACAAACGTCTCCGAGGTTTGCATAAGCCAGTACAAACACGAAAAACATTTTTATTTCTTTTTTAAAATAACAATAATGCGAAAAAAAGACAAACATTTTAATTTTTCCTCTAAAATGTATTCATGATCGATTTGCAAATTCTCTTTGACTGATTGATTGTTTAGATTGATTTGAATTGTAGAGCTCAGATGTGCTTTGCACAGGCTAATGCAAACTCCGCTCTTGACCAATCAGCGCACGCGTTTCATTGTGTTTATTTTATAATATAAAATGAAATCGAAGCACTTGCTATTCCTTGAACGAACCACGTCCGACAACGTATTAAAGACGAGAAAATTCAAAATAAAAGATATTTATGATATTTATCAATGCAAATGATTATCCATGTGTCGTGCGTGTTTGGAGTAGAAATCCAAAGAACGTGCAATCACCATTGGAAAATAGAATAAATAATACACTTAGAAAAATGTAAATATTTTAGATGAAGGACTTTGATTTGAATGAATGCATTCCCGAAAACGCTGTGTATTGCACAAATTTATCATGCCCTGTCGTCAGTTCTTGAAAATTTCCCAAAGCGTCTCTTTAAGATACAACAAAGTGGCCAAAAAGACAGAGCAAGCCTCGATAAAATATTTTTAATGATTCGGTACCATGTAGTGCCACCGGGGAGTGGTAATTATTGTTAATGAAGCCTAAATACAAAAGTCTATTAAACTTCACTTTCTTTCCATTTTCTTCGTCAACTTCTATTAAACTTCACTTTCTTTCCATTTTCTTCGTCAACTTGAATAAACTATCGTTTTTTTCAACCTCTTCACCAAATCGTTGCATACGTCTTGAAGTGAAGCATTTAGCTACTTTGCCGATTTTTTTCCAAACGAGAAAAGTCCAGAGTCGACAGGGTGAGTTTAACCAACACAACATATACCTACAAGATGGCTGCATCGCAAACTGACGATATTCCTGCCAATTTTAAAGCAGTTTACCGACTCATTGAACGAGTTATGTAAGAAATCTTTCACCAGCATCCTCATTTCTAATTTTTTCTCGTACGTGTTTTCTTGTTTGATGCTTAATGCATGCAATCCTGCAGCATATACAGAAGACCAGCGATCTTCGTTTCGTTGGGTTGATACATTAGAATGTAGGTGAAGTAGGACTTTATAGAGAATGGAGTTGTATCAGGTCAAGTTGGACTCTATACTTGAAGTGTTCGTTTGCCTCTTTGAATACCAATTAATTTACTCGAGGAGAACTTGATCTTTATCTGAAGATGCGCTGCATTTATGTTTTTCAATTCTATAACCAAGAATCCCAACTGTGGCAAATCTCAATCCTTTGATGTCCTGTTGCGTTGGTTATATAGATAAACTTGAAGGAGAATAGATAAATCTACACAAATCTGCATTATACCACAGATAGAGAACTGCAGTGGAGCTTTTCTCATTATGAAGTAGCAAGACTTAAATGTATCACCAGATGCCCACATGACAACCATGGTCACGCTGTAATGGTATAAATGAATAAATAACACATGGAATGAAACTAAAAGGTTTCATCATCCATCTTGAGTTTAAAACTATCAAAATATAAGCTATGGTAACATTCCAAGTCAAAAGTGACAAGACTTGAAAATTGCTCAAAAGATCCATAACCGAGATGTAAAAATGTTTCGCATTGGAAATTACGAGTAATAATGTTTGTTTATGTTATTCAATTAGCTGAATCAGCTAATTCAGCTAATTCAGTTGTTGTTCAGTTGGTAAGCTAATGGGATAAGTAGGTATGCTCATGGATAAGTAGTATGTTGTTCAGTTGGTGGATTAGTATGTTGTTCAGTTGGTATGCTGAAGAGATAAGTAGGTATGCTCATGGATAAGTAGTATGTTGTTCAGTTGGTATGTTGGTGGATTTGTATGTTGTTCAGTTAGTATGCTGAGAGATAAGTAGGTATGCTCATGGTTAAGTAGTATGTTGTTCAGTTGGTATGTTGGTGGATTAGTATGTTGTTCAGTTGGTATGCTGAAGAGATAAGTAGTGGATAAGTAGTATGTTGTTCAGTTGGTATGTTGGTGGATTTGTATGTTGTTCAGTTAGTATGCTGAGAGATAGGTATGCTCATGGATAAGTAGTATGTTGTTCAGTTGGTATGTTGGTGGATTAGTATGTTGTTCAGTTGGTATGCTGAAGAGATAAGTAGGTATGCTCATGGATAAGTACTATGTTGTTCAATTGGTATGTTGGTGGATTAGTATGTTGTTTAGTTGGTATGTTGGTGGATTAGTATGTTGTTCAGTTGGTATGCTGAAGAGATAAGTAGGTATGCTCATGGATAAGTAATATGTTGTTCAGTTGGTATGCTGGTGGATTAGTATGTTGTTCAGTTGGTATGCTGAAGAGATAAGTAGGTATGCTCAAGGATAAGTAATATGTTGTTCAGTTGGTATGCTGGTGGATTAGTATGTTGTTCAGTTGGTATGCTGAAGAGATAAGTAGGTATGCTCATGGATAAGTAATATGTTGTTCAGTTGGTATGCTGGTGGATTAGTACGATGCTAAGGTTGCTGATAAATACTTAATATTTTATAAGTTGTGTTAACCTAGAACAAATTATCCAAATACATCATGTACCTCATTCCAGTGGTTTCATGGTTCTTGTAGTTTTGATAAAACTGTGGTACACCTAGCATTGCCTCAGTAAAAACAGCTAAGAATCCAATTACTTCAGTGTAGATACTATACTCAAGAAACAAAATTGTACAAAAGCCACCAAACAAAACAAACATCATTATAGCATAGACGTAATCCACAAAATATGACCATTTCCAAAAGTTGCTCAGTTGGAAATCTGCAAAAGCAATCAACATGGAAATTAGAAGATGAATTCAGGAAATCCTTTGAAAACCCTAACTGAATTGTTTTCTAATTCTGTGATGTGACTGAATGAAAGTGGTTTTCATGCAATAAGCTAATGATTGGCCTAGATGTGTCATGCTCATTTTGCAAATCAATACATGCCTGCACAGACAAATTATTAACTAAAAATTGTAACAGACATGAAAAAATAACATTTTGAACAAGCTTTCGCTGATATATTTACCAAAAAACCGTTTTCGTTTCCCAGATATGTTGGATTCCCTGAGCACTTTAGTACATAGTTGCAAAAGCATTAACATTGAAATTATCATAACAAAGCTTTGGGCTAGAAGAGGCCATTCAAACTGCCGTCCAAACCTATAAATTTAAGCGCATATAATTGCATCAATAGAACAACTATATTCCATCATTACAAATATTAAACAAATTCTAATTACATTAACGATTAATATGAAAAATTATGCAATTTACATTAACTACCAAACCAAAAGCTTATTTAGCACAAAGGCAAGCAACAGAAAACAGAAATGTGCACTTACCAGAAAAATATTCGCAGTATATTTGCAATCAGGAGAGCAAGGCAGACGTTCAATGAGAATCCTGAAGCATCTTTTGTCTTGAATATCTTATAATACTGAGGAATGTATGGTACAACTCCTCCAAACACAATTGCCAAAGATGATAACATTGTAAATATTGTCAGCAAGTTCACACTGACAAAATCCTCGGGGTGATGTAAAATATGATCCTTAAGACTTTGCCCAGATATAGCCGACTGACTAGTACTTGAAACCATGATTTATCATTTGATGAAACTAGTTGTCTTGAAAATTTTCAGCCAAGTCATTAGTCTGCCTCAATTAACTGTTCAAACTCGTCGTCAAAGACGTCAGATAGTTAATTATCAACTGTAGATTGAGACAATATCATTACGACCATAACAAGAGATTTAAATAAACCTTTAGAACAGAAAAAACCAAGGTAAAAGTGCACGATGTCTATTCCACGTCACTGGTCAGATTTCAAATCCACCACGAATTTGAAACTTGAAAGTGTTCGTATACATATATTCGAATATTTTTGTTCTAACAACCACAAAGAGCGTTTGAATTAATAAACTTTTGCATATACTGTTTAATTAAACTCCAATCTTTAAGAGCTCCTTTTCCCGAAGAAAATTGACGAAGTTTAATCACCTTTTCATTTAAAACACCGGTCGACACATCAACTACCTGTCAAAAAAATCTGACTGACCAACATAAACAAGCGCCCACGATATCCGAAGCTGACCACATCAGGACACAGCTCACCCAAATCAAAACAGGAAATGAAAACAGGACACCACGCTTGACATTATGTATAATTAGTAAATTACATTCTACACGAAGTGGTATCTATATTACATGAAAATTTATGTGAATAAATCATGGCAGTTCTGCTTCTCTTTTTATATTCGATGCCACTGCAGGTACTTTGGTGTCTTTGTTCACCTCCTTCTTGAGGACATGCAATAAGGTCTGTGAACTTTCTAAAATCTAAATGAAAAGAAAGCTTTTTTAATGAAAATCAAACAAGCAGCAAGAAAACAACCGATCAAGTTTTAGCAAACATAAAAATGCACCATTTTAAATATTATTATTACTTATTTATTTTGGACAGAGAACAGCAATTACTTTCAAAGGACTTCATTTCTAACCTTCATGTAAGCTGCTTCAGTTTCTGCAATTGTCCTGTCGTATTCATTTCTAGAGGCAATCTTTTTCGCAAGACTCTCATTAATTCGAGCCAACCTTTCTGTCAATATTCTCAAATCATTTTGAATTTTGCCTTTTTCCTCCTCTTCAACAAGAATTTGTTTCTGTAATTCGTCTCTCTTGTTGCATAGATCTTCTATGCCTAGAAAATACCACAAACATTAATATACATAGTATATCTAAATTAGATTAATAAAATAATTAGCTATGTTGACTGTGTGTTCTGCTTAGGTTGGTGAAACTCTCGGGAAAGAAAAAGCTCAATTATGGTTTGTCTTATAGAGTGTTTTCTTTAACTCATTTTGTAAGTAAATGATCACAGATTACTGCTAAATAAAAACAACAAATGGGCTATGAATAAAATAAGCAGCACTTACATTTCACCAGCTCGTTGTTGTAGCTTTGTAAAGCAGCTCCTTGTCGAGCCATGCTTGAGTTAAGTTTGTGAAGATAACATCAAAAAAACTGTTGACTCAAAATCGAAAAGGAAGAAGCTAAATATTGTTGGATGTATTTTGAAGAATATATTTGATTTTCACCGTCATCTACGGCATTTTGGATCAAGTAATTAATGGCGCGTTGTCATGTGACGTCACTCAACATGGCAACAACCGATAAATCAATCAGCCGATCAACTAATTAATCAATATATTTAACTATTTACTAACGCTAACATAGACTTCCATAAGATTACATTTTAACACAACGTAACAAGTCATGTTATAAACTCGTGTAGACTAACCGGGTTCAAGAAGATAATTACTTTCAGTAGCATTAATAAAATACTTTCCGAACAGCGCTTGAGGAAAAACACTGATGTCCATTTTCCACAACCACTTTAATTGTTTTCGCGGTGCTTGTTTCATTGAGCCCACTTCAAGCAACGTTTCGCTTCTTCGAAAACCCAACTACCGCGTCAAAGTTGAGTATTCACTAAGTGACAAGTTCATAAAACGACCATACTTTCAATAATTTACAATGAAGTAAAGAAGGTTTCTTTGCCTGCAATTGTCTAAGTCTTTTCGTCGTTCTAGATCGAATAGTCAAGGCAACTGGTTTAATACCAGTTGAAATTGGGACAACTGGTTTAGGACCAGTTAAACATGACATAAAACTATACGCAGTGTCCATTTACGAAAGTAAAACTAACACTATCAACACGGAAAAATGACTTTTCGATGTTTCCACTATTCAACATCACAATATATTTTGTAGATTACTTGCGTGTTTCTGGGTGAAACTATAAGAAATGTAACTAAAAAATAGCTTTTATCGACACAGAGCTTTCGTATTTAAGATAACAAGCAATGTTTATGTCCTTGGGAAGCAGAAAGCAAATGATTTACACAAAGGCGCTCTCCGGTGTGTGCAAAGTCATAGAGATTATAAATTATATAAATAATCTTTATGTGCAAAGCACTGAGTACGAGTGGAGGAGATATGGCACTTGATTGAAACGTGTAGCTAATTTTGCTGATAAATGATCGATTAGAAAGAGCGCGTATTTATACAGTTTGGCAAACCTTGATTTCAATTTTCCATAATTTTCTGTACGCTTCACTCCATGGGATACCCAAGAAACGCGTGGTGACTGACCGTCTGGTAATCCTGCTTAAACGACAAAAAATTTTACGACGTTTTTAGCGGTTTCCATTCTTCGAAGTGGAGTAGGGAACTCTTCGTTTTACTGCTCTGTCTTTCTTTGCATTTATCTCTGTCTGTTTTCCTGTTTTTACGAGCATGGGATGTTTTCCACGAAAAACGACGGGTGGCTTTTTACATTTATCTGAATCCTGCATCAATATAAGCTTTTGTTCGATCGCTTTGATTTTTTCATCACGACTATAAGACACGGCAAAGTCAAATTTTACTACTGGGGAATCTGGAAGCTTTTAAACGTTGTGAGTGTTCTTCGAGGCCTTACGGTCAGTGCTGTATAAGTGGGTGGGGGCTTGGGAGGAGCCCCTTCTACATTTGAAATGGGTAATTTTAAAATGGCACTATTGACAAAAACGTCAATTGAGCCCCCCATCTGATAAATTTAGTTCTACAGCACTGCTTACGGTGGGGGTGTTCAATTGGTAATGAAACTGTTAGATATTAGTTATTTTTATTTGGTTTTCCTCTTAGAACTGAATCACGTCAGAGTGAAAGGTCTGTTTAATGTTTATTTATTAGAAAGTTTTGCTAACCTGTAAAACCTGCCATCCATATCACAAAACGTAAATCCAGACGCCCATGTTATGCTCACATACACAAAGTTGTCATCACAGTGAACATGACATTACCTTAATAATTCATTTCTTTGCTTTTGACAAGTCTCCTCCTTTCTTCTGGGAAGAGTTTCTGCTTTTTCTTCTCCGAGAGCACTTTTATTTGCCCAACGAACACACACAGCATGAGACATGATCTTTTTTCCATTTAATCTTTCTATTGCTTTATTTGCATCCTGAAAAATCAATATTGAAATGAAACAAACTAATTCGAAATCTAGGAACTCTCTTGCATAATAAAGCGTATCTAACACAAGTAATCATAAATCACACATAAATTCAAATTTTACGATCCTATTCTGTTGCATTTATGAAGATGAGTTGAATTTAAGTTTGAGCCGCTATAATCTATTCCGAAGACAGTTCCATTTTCTTCCTGTCTCTTTAAAGAGTCAAAATACTCAACAAAAAAGTAGCTGTACTTTGCTTTAAATTCAAAATGGGGATTCATTAATAGTGCATACCTATCATTAGACTAAAACCTTTTGTATTGCAAATTGTAACATATTTTTAACATGAAATCTCCAACCTCTATTCTTTTATACTCGACAAAGCAAAAGCTCCTTGGTTCTCCTTTGTTAGGGCCAGTTGTGTGAAACAAATATTCGAAATTCTCAATTTCACCATAACATTGAACTATCTTGAGGAGATTGTATCTAAAAAAATACAACCAAATGAATTTTTAAGATTTAACAAAAAATACAGCTTAGAATATTTAATTTACTCAGTCAATCTTTTATCTAAGTTTCCAATCCATAGTTTCTTTTGACTTTTCCTTTCACAGTTTGCCATTATTTTTTTAATTCTCAAATTTCCGCCATATTTATTTTAGAACCCATTCTTCCAGTCAAGCGCAAAATCCAATATGGCGGGTGCAAATGATAAAGAAAGTGTAAAATATCGTCGATCAAAAAACAAAACAATAAGTGATAATACTAAGGTAAATTTGTAATAGTCTTCGCAATTCTGAAAATTTTTCTTTCATGGTAAATTTTGAGCAGACATGTTATTGTTTGCTCAAACTTCAATGTTTATTATTCGATCGATATTGTGTAATGTGTATAGCTGTATGTTTTTAATTTTTGATAGATTCTCGAAACAGAGCTGTGAAAAGAAATTCGCGCAAAAGATCACGTAGTAAATCAAGCTTAGAGAGGTAACGTGTCTTATCCTCTCTTAGTTAGTTTGGAAGAAATCATATGATGCCAACTTGACTTAATTATATTATAAATTTACTATGAGATTAATATCAAATTAAATATTTCCCAGTAACTCAACAGGTGAGTATACAAGAGAAATGACGAGTATAGCCAGTATAATTAGGATACCAGCCAGTATAATTAAAAACTTATCTAATATAATTGATTTGCACTAAGACTCAGTTATCCGTAACATGCCAAGCCAGCACTAGAACACTTTTTGGGTGATGGGGTGTGGTGTATATTCATATATTCAGTTGTGTCCAACTGATTTCTTTAGAAAGCCAATTCACTTTCAAAAGAAACGAATAATGCACAACCGAATATGTGAATGCACATCTTCCCCAATTAGCACTCACATGCCAGTTTGTTCATTATTTATTGATATATATACTGTATTTATAAACAGCAAGATTTATCTAAAGGATTTATGAAGAATAACGAGTGATTTAAACCATTTAAGTTCGTCATCATCGAGTACAAGTGAGGATGAACAGAGACGGGAGAAGCGTCGAAAGAAATCACATTATCCCGACAGCCAAAAATTTTCCAAAGAAAAACCCAAAAGCATAAAAGGAATCATAAAAAGAAAAAGAGATCCAACAGAAGTCCAAGCAGCAGCTCACCCGATAATCGAAAATCCAGGAAGAAAAGAAAATTAAAGAAAGAGGTTTTGTTCAGTTCACTATTCTTCATCTGCAATACCTTGCTTTTGTTTAAAACTAAATAAAGTCACACCTAAATGATGCAACCTTCGAAAAATTTTAGAAAAAATCGAAAAAAGTCAAGGTGAAAGGCGTGGTCGATCAGAACAAGTACGGTGCTTACGGGATTATACGTGAAAGCGATTTGTTCGTGAAACAACAAGAGTTTTACGCGTGGCTTCAAGAAGTGAAAAACGTTAATCCGGAGACATTGCCGAAGTTTGAAATGCGAAAAGTGTTCGAAGATTACATGGAGGATTATAACACAGCCACATTGCCGCATAAAAAGTACGTCGCGTTCACCTTGTAAATGCCGTTATAGTTGTTTTCACCCCCCCCCTCTTGGTGTTTTGTGCTATGACCAAGTTATATGACGTAGTCTCTTTCCCTATCATATCATGATAGGAACGAGGTGTCTCCCAACAATTACTATCATTCCAACGTTATGATTTATTCTTGGATTCTTTGCTGCTGCATTTCAGGTATTACGATCTTGAGAAATGGGAAGCGAAAGTTCAGAGAAAACACGAGCTGAAAGCTTTGAAGAAAGCCAGGGAGACATCTTTCTCCATTGTGGATGACGAGAAGCAACATGACATGCTCCATCGTCGAACTGACTCCAGCAAATACGGTAAGTATCGCAGTTATACATATATAGATCAGCGCCTGGCTCTCTGAGTAGACAGTCCGCTGTGACGTGTAAAGCAGATTCATCTTTCCCTTTATAACTTTTTATGCGTTTTTGTACAACGTAGCTGGGCCAAGTCGACAACAACTTTTGGAAATGCAACAAGAGCTTCGACGCAGGCAAGATGAAGAATACAAAAAGAAGGCTGGGTTGACATGATAATGCAATATTCAACTGTCGTCCATGACTCGTGACGATTCTACCGTTGCTGGTCCTCTACAGTTATTCAGTTTTGCTTAGGCTGGACCTGAGTGATCTATAGTAGCGTTAAACACCTCCTATGATATGGATTAAATAAAAGGACGAAGCATTAATATGCTTTACTACCGTCAACTTACGCTTTCAAGTATTTTCAACAACGACAGATTTCCACAACCGTGGCTTGCTTGTAAATAAAGGTTTATAATTAATTTCATTAAAAGACGATCCCAAACAGTTTTTCACGTGATCTATTTCTTCTCCTTGATGTTTTTCGTGTTCATTTGAAACATAACAACTTTTCACCACCTCCAAATTTACGTTACTTTCCCCTAACGCAGTTTTGTTTGGATTTGATGATGCGAGGCTCTTTCTACATGTGCTCGCTGCTTTTGATGTTAACTTGTTCGATAATCTTGCTATTCTTGCTGTCTTTCTTGTCCACGTTTGGGATCTAATTGGTGTCGAATGCATCAATGGTGACAAAGAGGGACTACAAACGTTGCCGTTAGTTGAACTGGTCGCTTGGAATGGAGAAATTTTTTCACTTTCCTTCAAGCTATTTAAAGAATTAGTGATTGTGCACAATTGAAAAGCTTTCTCTGTTTTGTGCAAATTTTCTTCCAGTAAGATAGGTTTGGCTCTTTTCATTAGCTCCTTTAAATTTTCATACTTCACAAGAACATTAGCGTCATTCAAACAGGGCAAGGCTTTATCCGACGAGTCCCTCGGAATGTCACGATCAACATATAAACTAGAATCTGTGTTTCCGAGCGACGACACTTTGCAACTAAAACTTCCAGACTGTTTTTTAGCTGATTCTGAAATCATTAGACTGTTGTTTGAATATCTGTTCTCCAAGGAGTCGTTCACCTCAGATCTTCTACGACGAATGTTTGCTTTAATGATTGAAAACCGTCTATTCCCGATAGAGAGTTTGATAATTTTTCTGCTTTTGCTTCTCTCTGAACGTTTGTTTTTCAAAGAAGGAACGCTTTCTTCACTTGCTCGTGTCGACTCACTGTTGATGTTGAAATGGCAGGGCTCATCAACGCATGACTCAAAGCTGAAATTTGAATCCGCTGAAGATGAGTTAGACTTTTGACAAGATGTTTTAACTAAATGTCTTTTCTCGGGTCTTACAGTCTCTTTGAAATCTTTCGTAATAAAATCTTTGCAAAACATTTGTTTGCTCGGTGGTTGAGAAGTCTTTCTTAACCTGTCTTCTGGCTCTTGTGACGAATATTCTTGTCGAATGTTATCATCTTTGAAGATGTCCTTGAAGTCAGATTTTTGAGTGCATAATTCACTTGATTCTTCACAGAGAAATGTGCCTCCACTTTTTCGATTCATAACCTTTTCCGGCTGGATCGAGTCCATGCACAACCGTTTGGTGGGTCTATCATTTTCGGTACAGTTTAGTCGTTTCTTAGCTTTTTTCCTCCTTAGAAAGGTAAATTGTCTAGCACTTCCTTGTGGCTTTTTCGTGTGCGTCCGAAAAGTTACACTCTTTCTCTTACGTTTATTAGATTTATTAACTATCTTATTGTGCTTCTTGACTATTTTCACGCATCGCTTCAGGAAGCATGATGTACTTACTGGGTAAGTATGGATACGTTAAGTTAAGTCCATATAACATGACATACAAAATATTCCTCAGTGGTTGTGCCTGATCTCTTGGTAACTACAACTATACACTATATATTGTTAACCATATATTGATAACCTTACATTCATAACCTTAGATTGATAACCATACATTGATGACCATACATTGATGACCATGCATTGATAACCATACATTGATAACTATATATTGTTAACTATGTATTGATAACCATATATTGTTAACTATACATAGATAACCATACATTGATGACCATACATTAACCATACATTGATGACCGTACATTGATAACCATACATTGATGACCATACATTGATAACCATACATTGATGACCATACATTGATAACCATACATTGATAACCGTACATTGATAACCATACATTGTTAATTATACATTGATGACCATGCAATGATGACCATACATTGATAACCATATATTAACTATACATTGAAAACCATACTTTGATGACCATACATTGATAACCATATATTAATTATACATTTAAAACCATACTTTGATGACCATACATTGATAACCATATATTGTCAACTGTAGATTGTTAACCATAGTTTGTTAACCTTATATCAACCACACATAGATAACTATTAATATATAAGCATAACCAAAGGATACTTTCTAGCTGGTGACTTTAACTTGCTTTTTAACTCCCATAACTTTTCAGTAACGAATAAAACAGTTGATCTTTTCTGCTCAAACTCTTTTTCGTCAGCAAATTCATTGTTTTCTCAATACTTTATGTAATGAGTGTTGTTATGTATTCTCTCATTTTTCAATTTGATCATATCATAAAGTATATATCTTAATAACACTATGAATCATCATTAAAATAATCATGTCTTGTTGAAAAAAATGCTCGACCTGTTTATATGGAATAACGATAGATTTGCCGACCATGTTTGTTTTGTGATTATAAAGTGGTGTTTCCACTTTGTGATTACAACTTTGTTTAGAAATGCAGTTGCCATACAGTTAAAATGTAAAGAGTCCTCGATTTTCTCAAAGAAATATAAAGGTTGAGAACGACAATGTTGAATAATCTTTCAGAAATCGAAGAACTAGCCGAAGAAATATTAGCTGACAAAGAACAGGTATTTGAAATCTAGAGGAAACTGTTTAAAGTTCACTGTGAAATTTCAATGAAAATTGGGTCAAAGGGCTGGAGCTTATGACCACTATAAAAGCTAATAGGGAATATAAGAGAGGGAAAGAGCATTCTGGTACGCTATTCGTTTTTCTTTAATCAAAAAAATTGTGGTCACAACATATTCTACATTTACACTTTAGGTTTCTTATTGTAGGTAAAACATCTTGATCATCGAAGAAACACAAATCGAGAAGCCTTGAATGCATTAAAGAAACACAAAAAATGTATTTGACTCACCGCTTCTACATTTGCATGAAAGCTTATGGTGACAAATCTCATTGGGTACCTAACTATTGAACATAATTGGGTGCCAATTGATTTGGTCTGGGGCTAACCACCCTCCCCCCCCATTGATATCTGAGCAAGTTTCATTTTCTTAACTCTTGTATCACATGTTAAATCAAATGAAAATATAAGGAAATATATGCAGCAATAGATTAGTGCATTCCAGGTAATTTCTTGTCCACTGCTAATGTTGATCAAATGCCAGTCAATAAAAACACATACTGCACTAACTTAGATGAGCAACATCCATAAAATGTTGCAATACTTCCAGCTTTAAACCATTTATCTTAACATTTATATGAGATAGTGTATTCTACTGAGATTGACTACTTTTTAGCGGATGACTCAAGCAAAAAATCCTGGTTATGTTTGGGTGGTATGTTCATGAAATACCCTACAACAGACATATCTGATATGCTCATGAAAGGTACATAATGTATGATAAACTAAATCATAAATATTTTTCCAAGGAGAGTATTGAATTGACTTCAACTCTGAGTTGCTTTAATGACAGAAGGCAGAGAAATATTACATAAACATGATCTGTAAAGTGTGAGGTATTTAGTGTTCAGGATTAATGGTGGAAAATCTATTATGGAAACCCAACAGATATAAAAATAAAACCACCAGTATACATTTATGTCTCCAGAACAAACATGTAACAGTTAAGAAATAAAAGATATTTACTGTGTTGGCACAGGCTTATGCAAACGGAGGAGACCTTTGGGAGAATTCAAGAGTAGATCAGCGCAAGTCCGAGAGTTCTCACAAACTTCTCCGAGGTTTGCATTAGCCAGCGCGAACATGAGTAACCAGTAATGCAAAGCAAATAAATTTACAATAAATGTTTTGATTTTTTCTCTAACATGTATTCATCATTTATTTGCAAATACTTGTTGATTGATTAAATTTGTTGAGCTGTGAATGGTTTGTACAAGCTAATGCAAGCTCTGCTCAGCTATTGACCAATCAGTGCGCGCGTTTTGTAGCGTTTATTTTATAATTTATATTGAATGATCATATGACGTTAAAAAACTGACCCGTGTGTGAGTACTGATGAAAATTTCTATATTGGATCACGTGTTAGATCAGAAAGAATTGGACTCGGAAATACAGAAAATCCGAGATTGCTTGAAAGCGAAAGTGTCGAAATTGCATCAGTTAGAAGGTTCGTGGCCTGTCTTTCAATTTTGTCAGATTTTTTATCCGCATTTTAATGGCATCGTATTTTCAGGTGAAAAATTTTCCCGCATTTTAATGGCATCGTATTTTCAGGTGAAAAATTTTTCCCACATTTTCATGGAATTGTATTTTAGGTGAAAAAGTACCGAAAGGTTTCGATCTCACTGCACTCGATAAAGACGAACTTGCCGCCTTCACAGCGTCCAATCGCTGACTTGGAAGCGCTAATTGTTGTCCCCCACGTATTCCTAAAACAATCGTCAACCTTTAAAGTGCCTATATCAGGGTTCAACAAAATAACTTCTTTTAATAATCAAATCAATTTTGAAATATTTGTAAGGTATTTTATACGTCGAAAATTTCATCTTCGTGGGCTTTTTGGGCATAGAAGTAGGTGACATTGCGCCGGATGTGACGTATAAAGAAGAAAAATAGTTTTATATTACTTTTAAACGTTTTCTTTGATTATTCGCTCAAACGATGTCTTCAAACTATACACCCGTGTGGTATTTTTGTAGTTCAAGAAGATTTACTATAACAGGTTCATTTAGTACAATGAAAGCTATATCTTCAATGCACGTGTTCTCCTTTTTACGTGTCACATCCGGTGTGGAGTCACCGAGGCAAAATTTTCGTCCTATCAAATATGACATGATCTACAGTCAAGGCAAATTCTTTCCGAAAGAACTGGTTGCAATTTGTAATTGAGTGGCGTCAAGACGTTAAGGCCCGTTTCAATAGTGTATCTTTCGATGCGATGAACGCATTAGACGAAAAAAAAAGGTAATCATGGTTCTAAACTCGTTATCTAGTGTCGTAGATTGCGCGCAGACAGCTTTAGGGAATTTACACTCTCCACCATCTGGTTTCTAAAATACAGGAATTGAATTTTTTGAATAGTTATCGAAGGCGAAGATAACTGGGGCATTTTACAGGCAACAAGAGGTATTTTAATCTCTATCGATGACACTCGAATCCGATCTCCATCCATTTCCTCTTCTCTATCTAATTGTATTTACTCTTGTACATTTTAACACGTTGCGGTCAAAAATAATTTAATAAACTCGTAATAAGTAGCATATATTGCTGGCTTTCTGCCATAAACGTCCATATAGATAATATACGCTATCTTTCGTGTTATGCGTCGTTGAAAATTCTCTGTCAGTTGTTTTGATTTCAAATTTTAGGCACATAAAACAACAGGTAATAATAGTCATCCATTTCGGAAACACCTATCGGAAGTAAAGGATTTATAAAACAAAAACAACAAATGCTCCGTTGGTGTTCTGCACCGAAAGGAGAAGTTTATTTATTCAAGAAATTGTTAAGTAATTTCTTAGAAAGTGTTTTAATACTGAAGTGTAAATCGAACAATCTAAGTAATTATCGTGCCACATTAGATTTCCCTCGTACAAACACGTTATTTTTAAACACGAAAATTACTCGTGCCGATGTCAAACATATCGCTCTTTCCATGCACCGCAAAATAACAGTGCCGCCTGAAAAGTTTTCACTTCGCCCTTAACTTGAAGAAAACGCACAAAACCTATTTCAGCGAAGATATGCATTGGATGAAAAATTTCTGGGATTGTAAAACTGATCCATACTTTTAAACGGCTCGAAAAATTGTATTTATCCCACAACAACTGGTTCACATTTGAAAAATGCTTAAGTTGACAAAGTTCTTTGGTTGAAATAATTGAAAATATTCTCTGTACGATGACGCGAAACTAATCATTTTTGTAGTTTCTACATGAAGTAAAACACCGATTGCTGCAAGGTTTGGCGCATCTAGTGATGGACCAATGAGAATCGCCAACTATTGATACCCTGCAGGCAAAGCGCCCGTGTCTATATTGAGATAGGATCTGGAAACTATCAATCTGTCGGCGTTCAGCATCAACCTCTCTGCCTAATACTTCAAGACTTGTGCGTGTGCTGAGAATTATTCACACCTCACCAAAGAAAGCCAGACAAGACGTCGAGAGCAAAGTTTCGTCAAAGGTCAGTATTCTCGTTATATTTGCGAGAGAAATTTCTCTACAAACTTTCCACTGCCTGTGTATGTGTGTGATGTGACTCAATAAATTCCCTTTCTGCAAAAATTCGTTCTCTTGCATCACGAGCTACAAGAGCTGCGTTAAGGCGAGACGAGAGATTAGACCTCTGGAAATTTCAATTATATTATGCGCGTCTTCGGCGCAATTTATGCGGATGAACTAGAAGTGAAAATATTTTTAAATGCGCAAGGCAAACAACAGACAATAGTAAACTGAAACAAAAATCAAAGTCATTGTTTGCAGCGATTGAATTGGACTTCAACCCAAAGTCGAACAGGCAATGCCGAATTTTTTTGCAATTGCAGAAAAACAGATTACTATTCATTGCCCATGTAATCCAACCGCCGTAAGATTAAGCATAGCATACAAATTTGGACATGAAACAACCGCAATGATTTATTTACATCAAAGTATTATTATGTGTTGCGCAGACGAAGAGATCATGAAGGTGATAATAGTAAAGGTTTTCAATTTCTTAAAGCGGAAAGCTACCTTTATGGAGACTAATGGAGTTGAATATTTTTTTGAGTATTTCTCAATTTAAACACTTCAACCATTCAAGATGAACGCCCCATGTTAGATAGATTGTTTGTTCAACAAACTCCGGGCAATTGTAATTTCCAATTTCTCAAGACTAGGAGAGATAGTCCTCGTGTGATCGATTTTTAAAATTGATTTTCGATTGATATCTGTAAGTTTGTAACAAAAGAGAGATCCTCTGTAACAAAAGAGAGATCCTCTGTAATTTTCAATTTCTCAAGACTAGGAGAGATAGTCCTCTTGTGATCGATTTTTTAAAATTGATTTTCGATTGATATCTGTAAGTTTGTAACAAAAGAAAGATCCTCTGCAGTAAAAGGCAACTGTTACTCAAACTAACTCACGGGTTATTTTTTACAATAAAATTGAGAGCAAGGGAAGACTTGCAAAAGGGAAAAAGTACCTTCACGCTACAAGGCAAGCACCTTTCTCCCACAACAAACGAGAAATTCTCTTGCGCTTTAATCAAAAGTTATCTTTTATGCTTTCTCCAACGACTTCAAACGCGCTCGAAAAAAAATTCAACGTCTAGAAAGCGTCTTCCTCGTGCTTTTTTCATCGGCAAAGATGTAATGGTTTCATTCACCGCAATGCGTTCGAGCGGAGAAACATGACATCAGTTACTAACAGCAGCACCGGTCGGCTAATTATATGTTTTGCACATGAAGCATATGAAATCGTAACACCTACGCTAATTAAAGCGGACTCCAGTGGCTCGTTTCATCATCGCACGTACGCTGAGAGGTCAAAGCGCAATATAATAAAGATAAGAACATTCATGCTGTTTAAACACATCCAATTATGAAGAAAGAAGGCATGAAGTGAAAATTGAATTTCAGTCGTTCATTCGCCTCTACTTACGACTATACAGGGTGTGCTATACTTAGTTAAGACCACATCAGCAAACCGTATCTAACTCCAACTCATGTTCGCAGAAGGCTTTTTTCTAAATAGAAGATTAACGATCACGGTGCAAAACGTTGCAAAAATCCCCACAATGTCTGATAAATTGTAACATTTAATTTCACATGACGCGGGAGGTTTGCTCAACCGGAACCGCAACTTCAATTAAACATTATGGTGTTGGGATGGGTTGAAAATATTGTGCGAGATATGTACGGTCCTTAAAAGTTTTAGCGATAGATAAATTTTTTTTTGTGAAAGGATCTAGCCTTTTGACTGTTCAATGAAAACCTCTCCGTTCCGCGCAGACATAAAAGAGCTAATTTTTGATAAAAAAGAAATGGAATTTTGACCAGGCCATCATCTTAATCACTCTGTGAGTTACCGCACAACAGCGCCTAGTTAAAGTTGATGGTCTTCCTGTACATCTGTTTTTGCAGATATCTTGTTTTGAAAACGAGCAATTTGTTCGATAATGAATCATGCATGCAAAAATTGTCTAGCGAAAACAGTTTTAAGAAAAATTGGCGTAGTGCCTAAATTTAGGCAGTCTTTCATAACATCCAGACAGCAGACAAAATAGCCAAACTCATCACCGCGCTAAAACGTTTGCGCATGAGCAAATTTTAATTAAGCTTCAACATTAATCTGCGGGAATTCCACGATTCAATTGTGTAATTGTCTTATTCGTATTTTCTGCTGGGAATTTTATTTCCGTTTTGTTTTTGGTAAAAAATCTTGCGTGCTGTTTCCGTACATGTGTGTCAAGAAAAACAATTGTACGATTATAAGTTTTAAGTAGATTTGGTTGTGCTCACTAAGCTTAGAAATATATGCAGCTTTTGATTTTATATTTAGTACAATTATTTTATTTTCCGTTCTCTTCTTAACTTTGTTGGTCCTTTGAGTTTTGAATAGTTTTCTTGATGTTGCCATACGCTGGGAGACAACGGTTTTAAAGACAGTCGTCGATATTCACGCGTACAGCCTTTTTATTATTTCTTTCGTTTCAGCAAATTCCTTTACTTCTTTATAAGCAAGGTGGGCTTTTTTTTACATGTTTGTAGCTGTTAATCATCCAGGTCTGTGCAGTCATGAGATTGAATGTGGGTGTCGGTGTTGACCATTGAACTAAAATACATGGAACGCTACCTGTGACAGAAAAGTCTAATAATTTTTTGAAGCCAAATTTACACCCAGACACGCGTGTGTAGTCAATCAATTTTCACTCCGCGAGAGAATCTCGAAATACTACACACGCGTGTCTGGGTATAATCTCGCGTGTCTGATGTAATGGCTTCAATTATTTCCTTCAAGAAGCGGTCATGTATTTTAGTTCAATGGTGTTAACTGACATTTCGACATCCTTAGCGGCAGTCATCTTCCTTCCTCTTACGACTGCACTAACCTGGACAATCAACATCTACGAACATGTAAGAACTCTCCGATCTCCCGGTATCAAATCATTCTCTGTATGCTTACTCTGCCGTACTTCTCCGGAATCTCGCACATGCGCATAGATTTGTGTGGTGTGGCGGTAAATGCCCCACCTACCAACACACACACGTACACACCCATTCATTCATTTAGGAGTTATTAAAGAAAGCTGCATTTTAGAAAACAACCACTTGCTACGGATACTTGAAAAGGTTTTAAGTGTCACTTTATAGGATTACCAGTATCTACAGATCGAAAAATTCTGTAATTTCTACAAAGATATACCTGTACAGCATAACTAACTCCTCGAGGTTAGGTATTTTCACGAAGTTTTCGAAACGGAGGAAGGTAAGGAAAGGAAGTTTGGATATTTTCGGTGAATTCCACGAGTATTCTAGAAGAGTTTCACATTGTTGTTCTACTTACCGTTGGTATCATATTCGCAAAGTACAATCGTCGCCGACAAGCATGGAAAAATATTCAATAATTTTAAAAACAACACATGCTTTACTATGACTTGGCATGTTTTACTGCATGTTATCAGTACGCTCGTTCACAGAAAAAAACCCTGTAAAGTTCCTCGTATAAGACATGTCAAGAATCGTTTTCGTATGGTACAAAGGTTACCACTTAATGATTTGCATAAACTGCGCGTCAGCTTCGTCGTAAACGTTCATTTGGGTGCTTTTTCCTCGTTCCCGAACTTGAGATTGAATGAAATAAAAAATGTCAAACAGCTTTCATCGCAAATACCTGATAACAAGAGTCTAAACTCGAACTGTTTTACACGTATGGCTATTTTTAGACACAAAGCGGCTATTGTCAAATTTCATATAAAAAATTCATTATTCTTGAGGACACTGATATTTTACTTTAAGGAAATTATGGAATGCTAGTGGCATATAGATAGCATCGTGAGCATATGTTATTGTGCATCCTTATACAACAATGATGTTATTTTTATTTTATATAATGTGCTTATAAACGACACGAGGAAAATATTCAATTTCAAAGCGTTGCTAGCAAACCTTTTTCCGAAATTCACGATGTCTAATGCTGAAGGCAAATTATGTTCAACGATGAAATAAAAAATGCTTGCAATGATGCTGCTGTTATGAAAATAAAGTTATAGCTACTGTACGATTTCATGCTAATAAGCCCAAAACCAAAACCAAAAACATACTGCGATTTGTTTGCGTCACAAATCATTAATCTTTGGTGATATACCTCTAACACACATACGCCGCATACTGCTCTAACAATGATTTTGTTTTGGTAAGCTGTTCAAAGCTGAGAAACGCTTTTTTGCACGAATGCTTGTTTTCGATTAGAAAACGTTAAATAGGTCGATAAAAATATGTTTGTATGAAGTTTGTCAAATTGTTTTCGCTGCACCACTGAGCAAGAAATTGCATATGTGATTTAAAATCTTCCCATGACTTTAATACAAATGAAGCTCATATACAATCTCCCACGACTTGCCATTGCCCTTTGCAGTTCGCACTAACACAGGCAATGAATGAAAGAAAGTCAACATGCCTCAGATTTTAACTAACGATAGGCAGAGTATAATATTACACAAAGTATCACCCAATAATGAACTTGACAAGGTGTGTACATGTATATATTTATTCAAGCTTATGCATGACGTGTTGCTGTTAGTTACGTTGAAATTTCAAACACAACATTTTCCTTGTTAACAATGACCATGCGTGGTATAGTTTAGCAAGCGACGTCATCTACCTGCAAGGTTTTGCTCTGCCTTATCGGATTCTAATCTTCATGGAAATCTCCGAAAACGGAAACACGGCGAGTTATAGGAATTCCGGTTTTCAAAAACGCCACAGCTGTTAAATATGTTTTAAATGTGTTGTCATAAAATTTCGTAAAGTCCTCATCACATTCCTTCAACTTTTTTGAGCTCGTTATAGATAGTTCTTCGCAAAGTAGGAACCGATAAAAAGATACAATAACGCCATGAAAACAAAACATTATTGTAAGTGTTTTTCCGTTAGTCGTTACAATTTTACAGTGCCTGTCGTTTTACGAAGTTATAGGTGATAATGTTTTCATAAGATGCATAAAAGCAGCTCACGGGAAAAACTTTAGAAGCATTAAACTCAATTTGCAACTCGCTTCGAGACCTTGTTTTATGACTTTAAGAAAACCGAAAACATAAAGGTTGACGACAAATCTTAGAGTCAAGCGGTACACACATACAGTAACAAAATTTGAAAAAATTAAAGGCGTGTTATCTGTAAATCAAACAGTTAATGATTGATTACGTCTGTGCCAAAATAAAACCCTGATGTGCTGTTTGTTTTCACACTTGCCAGTTCGTCTTTGCTCGGCTCTTAGATGCCATATAAGGCGCTATCCACTGAGATCCAATAGGTGAGACCAAGGTCTTCTAGAGGGAGAGGGGAGGACAATTATCAAAATTCTTGTAAAGGAAGGGAGGAGGACAATTATGAAAATTTTTTAAAGGGAGAGGGGAGGACAAGTATCAAAATTATTGTAAAGGGAGAAGGGAGGACATGTATCAAAATTCTTGTGAAGTGAGGGAGGAGGACAATTATCAAAAATGTAGTATTTCTAATACAAGAACAGATATTAAAAAGACTACGTAGATTAAATCCATCTAGATTACATCATGTTGTTTTGAAGCGTGCACATTTGCACGTAAATCCATTTCACAGCACGAGTTGAAGTCTTGAAGACATTTTTCACTTGAGGAATCCTCGCGCAGACAATTCGCTTCCACACGAAAACATTTATTTTATAAGAAAATTCCTTTTATGCAACTAATGTTATGTAACACTGGAGTGGCGACTGAACGCATAAAATGGCGTCTGATAATCCTGACACACGATATGTATGAAGGAGATGAATGACATGAGTCATACAATCTTTTAAATATTTCTCTCCTGCAATTGATAACCACGGATTTGCCATACCCGGACATTCTGCACTGCACATAGCGCAGCATGAGCGACAAGAAGGCAAACACAGCATGAATGCGACAAAAACATATGGACAGACAGACAGTAGCGCTTTTACTTGAATTTACAAGCGCCTAACTCATCGTCGAGGCGCAACTATTGGTCTTATTTGCATAAACAGCGCAATTTCACAACCACGGTAAGTTTCAATAATTCTATGTTTCGGCTGTTCTGTTTAAGGCGTCCATATTTTGCTGTAAGAATGTCACAGATAACACAACTTACCTTGAGGAACGATTTTCCTGATTCCCTGTTCACAAAGCAGTTAAAATGCATGCGTCCAGCCAACTTCAATGTATTGAAACGTATCTGCCACATGGCAATTTTTATCAAGATAATACTCGTAATGAAAATGAAAAAACTGTACACTCTAAAAATAACTAATTCCGTTCTTTAATTAAACATGATCGCGTTCTAGTAATTTGCGCCGAGCAGTTTTGTGATTTTCAATAATGCAACAAGCAGAATATATCTTATCAAATTCATCTGATTTGAAAATCCAATATGATTTTAAAGTTTGTACCAGTGCACTTGCGCGCGATTAAAAGCCGTTCGATGTACCAAGTACTTCTCGTGCAATGTTCTCTTTTATACGTTCATGCTTGAGCTTTGCGATTTTAAAATATTGTGTGTCGCTAATCGTGAAAACAGACCAAAAGTTCAGACTATTGTTTCAAGATGAAGCGTTTTCTTTACATAATAAACAGGGTATGTTCAGATACAAAAAGGTCCACGGCAAATGGAAAATACTCTTCAACAAAGCCGACTTGTGATGAGAATTCCATGGCATAAACTAAAAAATGCGTGAATGTAGGACAAAGAAATCTGTTCTTTACAAACGACGCGGTTGGTTGTTGCTGGGCCCAAGCAGTATTTTAGAATTTGATATACCAACGTTGATTTCTATTGAAATCGACAAAGCCCTACCACACACCATTTGAGTTCCAATCGAAACGAAATTAGGCTTCATTTGAAATCTTACGATATGTGGGACTTTCAGTCTCGGTTAGGCTAGCTCGTCTGTAGATTTTCAAGAAGGCATGGTAGAGAGATTTAATAATATGATGACTATACCTAGATACCTATTGTTCTTGGTGTTGAAATATATTTCGAATCACTGTCTGGTTAATATATATCTGAAGTGGTAACTTCGTTGTAAAATACGACATTACTTTTTTTCGTACGAGATATCGTTCGTATAATAGATAGCAAGGTCGATTAGGAATAAGACGGATGGATAAATTGATAGATAGACATGAGTTAAGATGATGGATAAATCGATAAATCAATATGAAATATTACAGATAGATGAATTGATAGATAGATATGAATTAAGATAGAAAGATAAATTTATAGATAAATAAAGTATATAAAAATTCTTCGTAATCCATGCAGTTGTCAGAATTGAAAAGAAACGTTTTTTTAGGATAAAACCAAAAAAACTTCAAAAAAAACTGCCTTGCAATCACTCATCGTCTCATTTTTTTTAAATTGATGGTTTTTTTGTCGAATTTACGAGTTTTTGGTTGATTTCCCAAATTGGGAAAATTGTACAATTTGCAATAAATGAAACATGTAATATAATGAACTTTCCCAAAATTACCGCTTTCCAAAAACAATCGCAAGCAATGTGTTACAGTGACGCTTATCGATGAGTACAGTCGATTCATGCGTCACCGCCCTTTCTTGATGAAGATTTGTTTACCAGCAAGTCATGATGTTTATCCCCGAAGCAATATTGTTTTTTTTAAACTATTATGTTACTTCTCAAAATTGTACAAGATTGCATCTTTCATCGTTTCGAATGAGTGTCATACAAGGTCCGACCTAGGAGTCTGGTAAAGCTCATGTTTCGGAGACTTTCTGGTCTTGAATTGCACAAAAATTCGTGAAATTCCTCTTGGTGCGTACAATCTTCTCCTGACAGCTAAGGTCGACTTATCTCAAATGGGATTACAAGTCATATCCCAATTTATCATTCCATATCTATAAATAATCCTAGATTAACGAAGAACATTAAGGACTTTTTATTTGCCACTTCCTATGATTTATTTGATGCTGTTTGTGTGAAAACTGCTCATTGGCCATTTACTTGGTAACAATGGACCCTCCTGTGTGTTTTAACCGTAGACACATGCATGGCACAACTGTAATTAAATAAAGGTGATCTAAACGATTCATCAAAATGAGTTGCGTGTAAAAATTCTGAGAAATGATTTCGCTAAAATGAGTTGCCGTGGAAAAATTCTGAGAAATGGTTTCATTAAAGTGAGTTGCCGTGGAAAAATTATGAGAAATGGTTTCGTTAAAATGAGTTGCCGTGGAAAAATTATGAGAAATGGTTTCGTTAAAATGAGATGCCGTGGAAAAATTATGAGAAATATGGTCATAGACGGCATCTTTAAGAGCAAATGCCCGGAACGGTTTTCTCTCTTCCTTCTGCACTCCCCAAGCATGGCACAATGTGTATGCGACAAATACATTTTTTCCCGTCCATCATGTTGACAGTCGACCGAATAATTGACAATTTATCATCTCTGATGCGTGAGATAAAATAGGACTGCACGATGGTCCGATGTGCGTCACAAACCGGATATTAGATTTAAACGTGTTTTTAAGCATGCAATCATGTGATGCTCGTAAAAGATCTTTATAATACTAACTTGCACAGGTAACACCCGTTCGTTGTGATTACAGACACCGCTCCGTGTTGATATTGACTCATTAGAAAAAAGAAGGAAGTGCACAACGCCAGCTGTCTTCGAGTTGTGTCTTACCACTAAATGGTATGTGGATCATTTGCACGAAGAGTTCCTTTCTGTATATTTAACTAACGGTATGACAGTTGATTCACTCACTTTGCGCATGTGTAAACGCAGCGAATGCACGGCCTTTATAATGTATAATCAAAGCATTTCTATAAGCTTTTTATTGAGCAATTTCTTATTGTAAAAGCTAGAACAGACGCGAGGCATTTTTATAATTTATATTTGTTGAACAAACAACCTTGATAGGTTGGGAGTTCCCGTCTTGAGCTTATCTGTTTCAAATTACTAAGCTTTTCGTTCTAAGAAACGCTTCGCTATATAGGCATTAAGAGAATTTAAAATATAAAATAGTTATGCAATTTTTATCAACCATTCCGTCCGTGATCATACAGATGATCAACGATTTGAAAAACTTTACAATTTATGAGTTTTCAATCATTACTTAAGAGTTCAAAGCTACGATCACTAAAGCTAGTACAATAAGCACACTTGGTAAAACAATGGTTAAGCTCGAATTTAAAAAACTGCCGCATCTGTGAAAAAAAAATAAGGCTAATACGGACTAACAAGTAGTCTAATACGGTAAGGCTAATACGGACTACAACGCGCTTGACTTTTAACAACACAATAATATGATGTAGAATGTTGAACTATATGTTCATTTTTCGGCCTCAACTACAGGAGCCACAAAGCACCTAAAACGCCCCCACTTTTTAGCAGATTTCCCTGAAATATCTAACCTTGAAAAATCGGACATATTTAACTAATTATCATATTAGTTCACCAGTTAATTGGCTTCTAAACTTGTACATCTCTTGTGGCGGCTGTTGCTTTCATAAAGCCGCCAGTAAGTACAATTTTATGACCAGAGCAGTAGGAATCCTATAAATGTGTTTATCCGTGATTATTTCGAACGTCATATTTTCAAAGCAGCCGAGTTAAACTGGATTGGGTTAATCGGCCTAGCTTTACATCTGACCACGTACTACAAGCATATTGGCAAGATTTTATACAGCTCAGAGTAGTTATCGAAAAAAATTGTTCGGGGATTCTCCTCATTCGTTATTTCAACCGTCAGATGAGGAATAGCGTCATTTTGAATCACCGCATTAATCTGTAGCTAACAGCGACATTTTTAAAGCTATGATTTTTATACATGTGTGCGTTATTAATCTGATTGATGCATTTTTTGTAACATTTGTAAATTGTCGAATCTTGAGATGTGAGAACTTTCAGAAAGCTTAAATGTGTTGAATTCATCAACGAAATGAATTTTTACAATTAAAAGAGAGTCGGGATTAATTAAATACAACCAGAAACAAATTTTTTAAGATGAAAATCCTACTTTTTTCACATTTTATGTAAAGCATTCCATGTGCAACTTTTATCCCTAATGTGATTTGGATATTTGCATTTTATGCGCAAAAACAAGCTAATTAATTTGGTAATAAACATGAATAAATTTGCATCTCAAAATTGCCGTCCATGTATTAAATTTTTCGCATGTAGTCATATGTTGATAAAATACTTGCTTATTTTGCCCGAGGCTCATTAACGTGATGTCTTTCATATGGTAGTGATTCATTCGCAAAATTCCTCAGAACAACGTTCATTACATTTTAAAAAAGGAGCAGTGTATACTGCTTTGCTTTTCAACACGTCCCTCGTATCGTAAGATTTAAATCAATTCACAGACATGTATTACATGTAAAAACTAAAAAGGTTTTTAAAAGATTTCCTCAAAAATTACGCACATTTTTTCACCTTTGGACGTATCATCCGTGCATACAGTATCAATATTGAGCATGGAATAACCACAGTCTATGTATGGTTACAATACTTAACATCCATGACCCTTAACATCCATGGACACTCCATAACCCAAGAGAATGTTGTCCCAAGTTGAAATTTATATCCACGCAAAAAAACACTTGCGAAATGAAATGCAAACATTTGAACTTTTGCCAGTTAGAAAAGCATTTCGAAATCGTCAAGTTTCTTTTTCGAGGCTCTTAAAGTTTTGACCAGTTTATTAGTTCGTAGTCAAAATCTATTCATTCTTTCGCATCATGTCAAAGGTAAACCATGCTTTCCGTTTTAGCATTCGCAGATGAAGATTATTCTTCTCGAATAAACAATGCGTTATGGGATTTTTGCTAATGCGGTCTTTAAGCCGTGTTACATCAGCTTGCGAAACACTTAAGCACCAAGAACATTAAATTATGAACACTACCATATTTTAACACGAGTATTTTAACACTTAATATTTTACACTTGTTGCTGCATACAAAATGCCATTCCAGCTTCGGTGTCGTCAAAATATGTTTAAATATAATTTGCATCGTAAGGAAAGGGGGGGGGAGATACTAACATTGGATCTATCAAGTTGTTTAAAACGAGCCTTTGCGCAATTACATTACATTTTACATTTTGAAAATTCCTAGAAATAACGTTTGAGATGACATATGTAGAAGAGAATCTGAGAATGCCGAAACAGTTTCTTTCGCACGAATATTAAACAACAAATAAAAAAAAAGTTTTCGATAATTGCATGCCTCAGTGCATGCCATTTTAATACTGAAGTAGAACTCGTCATCTGTGATAAATGCATTGCATCATCAGCACGCCATTATAACCAAACGTGCGTCACACATACGCTCATACCGGATATTAGATATTCTTATTTCAAAAAAAAGTTTAAACCATCCCATGGCGCTATCAAGTAAACAACTTTCATAAATATTACCTTACTCAGTTAACCTCGTAACAACCACCAGTCGGTGTTCATATTGACACACAAGGACGAGCAGCAAGTTCCTGCGTTAATTGTCGTTTGACGTGTACCACCTTACTACTAATGGTATGTTGATTCTTAACACCACAAGAGTTCCTTTCTGTGTATTCAACTAATTAACGGTATGAAGTCATTAATGTTGCTTTGCGTTTAAGAACACGATTTGAAACTTGCGAGCTACGTTTTTCTATAAGACTTTCACGATATGAGCATTGATGCACCGCTTGAACGAATCATTATTGTAGAAAATTTCGACTATATATATATGTATATATAAAATCTATGAAGTACGTTTATTGAATACGCGAGAAGTTCACTTCAGATGTATAAATATGAGCCGTTCATCGCTTTTCATGTTTGACATTTCGTTGGCAAAATCGACAGTTATTTATCTCAAACATCAACAATAGTTTGCCATCTTTATTATTTGTTTTACAACTATACCAAACATTATAAATAGATAATAGTATATGGAATAAACAGTTTGTGTGATAGAAAGCAACTTACGATCAGACGCATGATGTAAAATCCACTTTCTTAATCAAATATGAGGAGTTTACCTTTACTCTCAACGAAAGATTTTTGTCAGGCACGTGTAATAAACGAAAAGATGAGAAGCGAAAGTCTTCCATTGTGATTCGCAAGTTTTATAAAGTAACTTTGCCGCCAGTAATTGCAACTGTACGCCATCGGAGTGGCTAGATTGGTTTCACATTGCCAAAGTAAGCATGGTATTCATTTTGGTCGTTAGCTATACAGTCTTGGTTAGTGGAAGACAGTGAATGCATCAAATTGTACAGTCTAAAGAATCGAGATACGACCGTCTGTCCTTCGCGAGTGAAGAAAAATGGAAGAAACAACAGCGTGAAAGGATTTTCCTCCCACTAAGAACAATTGCGATCGTATAGAAAACAACATTCAAAAAGCCTGCGGAGGCTGTTTTCATGATGCAAACAAACAACGTTAAATGAGGCCACAAGAAAATGGCAGCAATCCAAACGCCAATGTCATTTTCATGACTACAGCGCTTTTCGTAATACATTTGAAAAGTAGTTCAAAGTTGGAAATGAACGAGAGGATATGAGAAATGGAAAGCACAAGACGTTCGCCCAAGTTATGTAGTAACATCGAGCAACATAACCTGTGAAATCGTGAAATCAGCGTTTATCAGCGATCATACCTTGACCTTCGTTATAACAATGCTTAATCCAGACCAATTCAGACGGATCTATGTCCGTATTACGGTATGAAATCATAAAATAGGTACGCCCTGCGTACAATAAGTGATATTTTTCAAGCTTGAAAACATTACCGCATTTAACTTGCTTTATCTTGTGGTTTTATGAAATTCCCTTTATAGTTGATACCCCTACCGAAATACCAAAGTTCTTAAAGTTTCGCGAATTCAGATATCGAAAGAAAATTGCGGATGAAGTCGATATTTTCGTACAAGTCGCTTACGTCAGCTCGACTCGCACGATCGAAATCGCATACGTAATGTAGGAGCAACAAACACGTCTTGGCACATGACATCATGTGTTATAAAATAAAACAGAATATAACGCGTGCGCTGATTGGTCGATAGCTGAATTTGCATTAGCCAGTGAAAACTGACCTGAGGTCAATCACTTAAATCAATCAACGAGAATTTGCAAATCAATCATGAATACGTGCTACAGGAAGTTCAACCAGTTCAAAACAGTTGGCGATTTATGAAAAAAATTTCTATATTTAAAAATGCGCATACCTTTTGTGTTCCCATTGTAAAATGTTGCTGCAATTAAAATCCTCAAACAGCAGAATGGCTGAGAACACGATGAAAGGTTCTATAATAAAAAGATTTGATTGATGTCTTTAAAACTGACCTCAACAATTTAAACTCTAACTAAACCCCTGCGATATAATTGAATTACAACATGAAATAACAAATGATTTATAGCTATTTCCTATATTCTTTGCATATCACCCTTGCAGCCTATTGACAAAGACAACTCGTCGTAAATAATTTCATCACAGAAGCAAACAGTACGGCCTCCACTGTAATTTTTTTACTACGCATATAATTACCATAATCGATCTAGTTATTACATAGTGCATTTTTTTGACCGATAGAACACTGCCATGGCTAACCACAGCGCGTAATCTAATTGAATTTACAGCACCGAGTTGTACAGCTGTGTAATCCAACTGTTTTATTGCATATGCTGTGATCACATGCTTCCCTTTTCAGTCAATCTTCATTTGCAGGTCATGTTATTACATGATATAAAGGTCAGTGGCTCTCTCGGACTTGGTAGCTATTAGAACGAATATTTCAAAATGAGAAAAATTATTTCAAAATTAGAAGGAATATTTCAAAAGGAGAACAATTATTTCAAAATTAGAAGGAATATTTCAAAATGAGAACAATTATTTCAAAATGAGAAGGAATATTTCAAAATGAGAACGATTATTTCAAAATTGGAAGGAATATTTCAAAATTAGAACGAATATTTCAAAAGGAGAACAATTATTTCAAAATTAGAAGGAATATTTCAAAATGAGAACGATTATTTCAAAATTAGAAGGAATATTTCAAAATTAGAACGAATGTTTTAAATTAGAACGAATATTTCAAAATTAGAACGAACATTTCAAAATGAGAACAATCATTTCAAAAAAGTGACTTCATTGCCTGTAATTAAGAACATGATTTTATTTTTCTTCGTAAAACCCGACGACGACATTCACAGCGCAAAAAATGCACGTTTCAAATCATAGGTATTACAGGATGCCAATATTTGTTTTACTTCATCCTAAGAGATTAATTTGCTCGGTTATTTTGTTAATTCATAAACATAAATAATTTAACGAACTGCTTGTTGTGACCACATTATAAACGGCAGGAGCCCTTAACTGCAAAACTCGGTGCTGTATATTCAATTAGATTCGCATGCTGTGGTTCGACAGTTCGGCTTTCCTATTGCACAGAAAATTCGCAATAAGATACGCATCACACAATACATTTCAATGGAAACTGCTGGAAGAGTATATAACACCGTGAAGGAAAACACACAAAAATACGGAAAAAAAACACGCGCATCCTTGAAGCCTTTTTACATCAAGCTGATCACATGTATTAACTTACTACTTTATTTACATATCAAACACAGTGCACACTGTGTTCATCGCATTAATTTTTTATTAAGAAACAACAAGTTCTCGAAAACACACAAAAATACCGAGATTGTTTTGCTAATAAACACCGCGCCCATTTTTTTACTGTAAGGTGAAGTACCCGTGAAAATTGAACATGTTTTTAATTTTTTTTACATACTGTGAGAATTTTTTTTATGATATTACTGTACAATACAGAGCAGATAATTTATGCTTTTTATCATTCATAAATCGAACTGTTTAAAGCTATTTCAGCAAAGTCAACATCGGTCACACTTTTAGGGAAATATTCGAATAGAGTAGGTAAGACAGTTTGACATTTCAGCAAAAATCAACCGATTTTCCCCCCTGGCAACCTAGTCTCGACCCCCATTTCTTGAACAATCCCGAAAGCTGGCAGCCATGCATTGAAGCACACAGGAAGACTGTTAACGCCAATCACTGCGGGAAGCTCGTGCGTCATCAATTGTATTATGCGAGAGAGAAATTCTATAGCGGTTTACGAAGAAATGCTCGCATATTGTTCAGAAGCAACGAGCCAGCAGCAGATGCTATTGCAACGATCTTCTGTCTTTGGTAAATGAAAGTGAAGAAATCATAGCGTCGCCATCCCTTGGCAAGCGGATTGTTTCATTACTTATAAGGAGAAAAGCAAGGGAGAAGTGTTACATTACAATCGACGAGCTCGGTTACATCCAAACACTTTGCGTGACTGACGAAAATTCGAGCAGTTCTGGTGAGCATCTGTTCAATTTCACAGTCAGACATTTCACATAAACATAATAAAGTACTCTCATTCCTTCGTTCGTCTTCGATGATTATCATGTTAATGCCAAAAATTCTTCCTCATTTACATCATCGGCGACAACTGGGTTGAAATTGAACTTGTATGTAGATTTTATAATGAAATGCGGCGGCGTCGCACACATGACGTGGCCTACGCGTTTTATGTAAATATACCCAATTTTAACGGCACAAATGTAACGCGCGGCTTACTTCAAAACGGAGCGTAGCAAAGAAATATGCGTTGGCCGGATAAAAAGTTTACAAATTTTGTCTTGTATATGAATTGTTTAAAGGGACATGATGGTCGATGACTGATCTTTTGTTGGCCAATGAATACTTTGCTTTTTGTTAGCTAGTCGTCAATGCTTTTGCGAGAATTTCCTGCGTGTACGAACGCCAAAACTAAACCCAATTCAGCTCAATACATAAACATGACAAAACAGTTAAAATGGCTATCATTTTCCCTCAGTTTTTTTTTTCATCACTTTTAACTTCGGACGCATCTCCTTGTGATGCTGTTGTTTTTGTCCAACGCATAATTTGAACGCTTTCTTTCGAGAGTGATTTCATGAGCCCAACAATAAAAGGTAATACTTGGGCTTGTTTATCAACATGCCTTTAATCTTTTTCCTGTCGTGTCAGCGAAACGCTGCAAAACAAAAGCATTCGCTTTGTTTTAGGAATGACCAGAATGTTTTGAAAAATCCAAAAAAGAAATTAGAAATTTCACTTCTCCAAAGGCACGAGCATGCGAATCGTGAAAATGCCCACGTTCGTATAATCAGACAGCCATCATTAATTTAGCTAGGTCTTCGACATCTGCTCACATGCATGAAGCCAAAACTGATAGGAGAAACACGTCTTGGTCTTCGTGAAAAGATATGAGCGATAATACGGGGTATTTTGATCATGTTGATCAATAGAGCTCAACTCATTTCAACCTTTTAACATGCAAAGTCAATAAATGTTTAAAGTTCATTTCAAAGAATGCGCACCGTTGTATTTTTAAAATTTTTCCAAGTTGACCAATTTTGAATTTTCACTATTTACTCTCACGGTGCTAATGGAGAATTTTGAATCGCAAGCATAACGACCAGACGATTTTCTTGACACAATGGTCTAAAAAACTGCGAAGACGCATGCGCAGTTGAAATTCCAATTTGTCACCGACCGAGATCGTCAAGCCCATCGCCAAAAATAAGAAATCATACCTAATTGTTCTCAAGATTTCATGACAATTTTCTTTCACATTTTGTCATTTTGCTGAGCACGATTCCGTACAGCATATTTTTCAGACAATCGTTTTAAAAAAACGAGAGTAGGCGTGGAGAAAACAATAAAAAGCAGACGGCTGTCATACACGACTTGTAGACATAACACATCATATGGAAATTTCTACCAAACTGATAACAATTACTGCTTTTCGCACACTGAATACTTGTGATGAAGGCTCGTTTCCGATCTGCTACATTTCCGCTCAATAAAAGAATGTCGAAAGCCTTTTAGTGCAGTTTATCTGGAGCAAAACAAAACATCATAGCGTCGAATGAATTAGAATATCGTGGAATGAATTAGAGTGTGATAGAATGAACTACAATGTCAACGAATGAATTAGAATATCGTGGAATGAATTAAAGTGTGATAGAATGAATTACAATGTCAAAGAATGAATTAGAATATGGTAGAAATTTTTTCCACACAAACTGCATGTATATGAATGAAAAAGAACTAAAAAACAACGGAAGCTTCCGATAATAGATACACATAAAGTGTTTACGTTAAAGTTAAGGAAATCATCGCGAGGCTTTGTTTGTCGTAGCAAAATAACGCTTACATAAGAAAAACAACAGTTGCATAAGAAATTAACAGATGCGTATTTAATTAATGCGCTCAAATTTCTGCAGCCTCATGTTGAAACACAATCTACTTGCAACACAATAGGCAGAAGCAACTACAAAGCTCAGCTCGATGCGCATCCACAACATATAAACGTGAAAATTAAGGGTCATTAGGTTATATGTGTAATAGAGAGGAGCTGAGAGTTACATTTTTTTATATATCTCTTAGACAAGTACGAACAAAAAAAGCAAGACCATCAGAATGCTAATACACAATCTACGAGAACGACTTCACCACTTGATATCATGGCGAATACAAGTGCGGCCTAAAAGAGATCTGGCAAATAAACGCTCATCTTCATCTAACATAAGCAACTACAGCAGCGCCAGTGCCACGTCCATGACAGCTCTGAAAGACAGTAAAAAGATTTCGAGGACACGAACCATGAAGGTCGTACGCTTTGCCGAAGTCGATGGCGAGGTTTTGACGGAGGTATTCGAGAATAGCAACGAAGACATGTCATTGGATGAAAACATAGATGAAGTATACGTGAAAAATGGACAAGTGACGGGATTTATTGAAGTAAAAAACCTCGAAATGGGACGCGAGGTTTTGGTTCGTTATTCCGAAACTAACTGGACGGATTTTAAGCAAATGAAGCCGAAACGAGTTTCTCGTATTGTAGATAGGAAAGGTCACATAAAAATAAAGATTTTACCCCAAAGAAATGGTAAACGGTCAAGGCGAAGGAAACAAATAGCACCTTGTGATGTGAACTCCCGTGAGGAATGTACCTATATGTTTCGGTTAGGTTTGCAGAAGGACCTCGGTCAACTCGAGCTAGTAGTCATTTCCAGTTTCAACAACATCATCGACACCAACCACAAGCAATGCTACAAGTTTTGTGATTTGACAAGCAGCCAAAGTGAGTCGACAGATTTAGGTAAGTCATAATTCAATTTCTTGACTGCGAACAAGTTAACGATACCGTCGAGAGTGTGTCGGTTTCGGTACCAAGGATGATTTGGTACCGTTGTGAAACGGTTGTCGCGCATCGGTGATTAGCTCGATGTGTTCACCTTGACATTATTCAGGAAGAAATTTATGTTTCTATTTTTTATATTTTTATTTCGAGCGAGCCTGGCGGCATGCATTTCATCAATTTTGCAACTTCGCATCTTTCATCTTTAAAAATTAATCATTCTGTTTTCACATTTAGTAGTATAATGCATACGAACTTCCAATGAGAACCCATTGAAGTACTTCATGTAATGAAATGAATTGTTGATTTCACATTTAAATAATTTTCAATGAGATGCTAAACTACTTTACCTCATGTTTAAGAATAAGTTCAACTGCTTTATCAACTAAAATGACCATTTGAAATGCTATGTGAAATTTAATGTAAAAACTATGTGCTAACTACGATATAAAAAATAAGAAATTCTTGCAGAAATGGAAGTTCTTACAAAATTCCAAAAACTCACATTTTAATGTATTTATTCAATTTCTACGAGAAACCAACCACACTATTGCCCTGTTGCTATGCAAACGTAACTTTTTGCTCATGCAATGCAAATATTTTTGTTCATGCACTAGTAAAATAAACTATAAAATTTCAAACGTTGTTGAGCCATTAAATACTCGATTTCATAGCTATCAGCAGCAAATTAGTCGAATTCAAATGATTTGTTGATTAAAAGCTTAAATATTTGACATCTTTCTTGAAGAATAGTTATATTGTACATGCGGACAGAGCCTATGATCGTGTATTCCCATACCTGTGATGTAGGCCAGTCTCTAGCACCTGGCATGACGTAGCCATGATTTTCTTGTAGCACGACAGTGTGCTGGGACAAATACGCATTTTCGCTTCAACATAAACGACAAATTTTCTTCTTTGACTAACGTCATCGTAACATTTAATTGGAATTCCTTCGTAAAATAAGACAGAAAGATGCTTATAGCTGCCAGAATATTTATTTAGACATGTTAGACTTTTGCAATGAAAGCACTTCAAAATGTTTAGTTCATTGAGCTTTGAGTTATAAGCATTGGTTATAAGGTTTGCAAGCAAAGTCCGCCATTTTGCTGCTTTGTTTATTTTGTATTTCCCGCCACAACTTGAGCGACTCACTAGTGCCAGTCTCTCAACCACATATTTTCCAATGATGTTTTCCCCACTCCTTAGTTCAGCGATGCTGCCATTTCTAAGAAGTATTTATTGTGAAAAACTGTCCTTATAATTTCCATAGTTCAATGGAATGCCCATCAATCTTTTAGGAGATATAACCTAAACCAACGCCTGTTTTCACAAGGAAAAGGAAAAATTGCCTTTTGACATTGAAACTACTTATCATGGCACCTTGACTTTCATGACATTTTTCTCCTTTAGGAAAGCAGAGACGTGAGATGAAATTTGAGAGAACAAAATTAAATAAGTGTATAAACTAAATAAGGCGGCCAACATATTAGACTTTACGGTTCGGGACAGACAGGCTTTACGACAGTAGCAAAGGAAATTTACTATAGTCGGTAGTGAAGCGACAGAAGACGACGTGGTCACACGATGAAACAACAGCCAACTTATTTCATCTTATTGAATACATTATTGAACACACAACGCGTGGCAGTGCCGCAAGTTATCGCAGGCTCGAAAAATTTAGTCGGGAGGAATGGTTTAAGCGTGGATTCTCGTTCCAGGGATGTCCGCGCACGGACTCGAAGATAATTCACTATTCCTGAAGGACTGAGTAACAGAAAAAAAATTGTTGGCTTTTTTATGTAATAATTTATTTCATATTTTTACACGAGGACAGTTTCAATCAAGATTAATCGAAGAATATTACTCCACAAAATTGACATTAATTCAGATTAGAGAGTCTGAGAGGCGTCAGTTAAGCTGCATTTTTTCAAATCCGAAACGTCAACTTTCGTATAAGCTTTTTTGAAACTGTTTTCTTTAAGTTATTTTATTTGAATTTTGTGTCGTATTATGTGTATTTAGCATAGCTTATAGCTGCTGAAGTTGCGGAGCAGAAGTACTTCATGTATGTAAAACGTAACCATTATGACAACGCTGTAGCTTAGTTAACGAGAACTTTGTCGACATATTTCCATTCGTGGAGGAAAACAGGGATGGATATAGAGGAGGGGTGTGTGGGGGTGCACTTCTCCAGCCTTGGCTGGTAGAAGAGCAGGGGTGAAAATTTCCCCACGAAATATTAATATACCTACCAATTTAGCTAAAAATACAGTCAAACAACACATTTCTTAGGGTCTCGAGTCAAACGCACACAACATCACCCACGAAATCTAATGCAAACTTGACTGACCGAACAACATCCTGTAAAACTAGAGCACCCCCCCTCCCCCCGACAAAATCATCCTCGATCCATCCCTGGAGAAAGTCTAAATCTTGTGTATAATCAGTTTCTATCACACTCAATCACACGCATTTCGTCAAAGTGAAACTCGACGTCCAAAGTTATAGTTCATGTTGAAAAAGTTCTTATAAAGAGTTGACTGAGAGAATATACCAAATTCTCGCGAACACGATGACAACTTCTCTCAACGAAGTAAAACTTTAAAATAAATTTATTGACGACATATTTGTTTCTGGTTTGCTTTCCGTGCTCAAAAATATTTTTCTATAGTTTGTGTTTCCATGGCTTTCTATAACTTATTATCCATTATTATCCTGATTATCACTACGTTTGTCATAAAGTAAATGGTTTGAACCCGGGAGTATCGTTATATGTTTGTAAATGATGATCGTCCAGGGTAATAAAGTCCTGAAGCGGTAGCCATTTGACTCTGAAGATGACTACCGCTAAGGTTGTCGAAACGTCAGTCAACAACAACAAAAACAGTCCTTCTCAGGACTTTATTAACCTGGACGATCATCATTTACAAACACTACGTTTGTCGCCATCTATAGTTTGTGTTTCTATGGCTTTCTACAACTTATTATCCATTATTATCCCTGATTATCACTACGTTTGTCGCCACATTCTGCCACTTTCGAAAAGAAATAGCAAATCTACATAAGATGGCAGAGTGGCGACTTATCTTATTGAAGAGCACAAAAAAAATCCCCCAATAACTACTCACAATCAACGGAAACCTTGGATCAGCCAATGAGAATGAAACCTTGGATCAGCCAATAAGAATGAAACCTTGGATCAGCCAATGAGAATGACAATATACAGTTTGACTGACGCGTTCTTTTTAAGCAACCAATCACACAATCTCTGAATGCGTAAGTATGTGTTGCTGGACGGATTTCAGTTCAACCCCACCGTCGCCGTAAATGTAGGAATTTTGTTCACTTATTGAATGTCCCGACGTCCAGCTCGATTCTCGAACATAACCGGTGGGTTTTTTATATCTATAGATATAAAAGGTACGAGTGGTTTTTATCGCTGTTTATAAAATAAAAACTATGAAACGCGTGCGATGATTGGTCTATAGCTGTTTCTGCATTGGCCTGTGCAAACCGATCTGAGCTAGATTAATTATATCGGTCAAAGAGAATTTTACAATCAATCATGAAAGTTGAAAAATCATATTTTTAAGAGTCGTTTTTGTTACAATTGTTTCATCAAGACCGTCTCCAACAGAGTCGACAAATGTTTGTTGACATTTTGTCGAAAAATTACGCGTATTGGACCGGCAAAATGTTTCTGAGCCAATTAAAACGATGCTTGCCATGTAATAAACACCGCTAATTTGGCAACTTACAGTTTTAAAAGAAGCGACGAGACAACGACAGACACGGACGAGGCGGCCATTGCTGCAGATGCCATCCACGGCTGCAACGTCACACCAAGTGTATGAAAAACTCCTGCTGCTATTGGCACACCTATCAAATTGTATATTGACGCGAACACAAAATTCATTCTTACACGACGTACCGTCACGCGCGAAAGATCGATTGACGTCACTACGTCCATCAAATCATCCTAAATTAAAATTGAGCGAAGTATGAACATAAAACTATACAAAATGGGATAATACTTTTTGAAATTATAATTGCTTATAGTTGCAACAAGAAATAACTTGATCATCCATTATATTGTTCACAATCCCCGGCTTACCCCAATGAGGACAACATCGGCAGCTTCAACTGCGACGTCAGTACCAGTCCCTATGGCGATGCCAACATCGGCTGAAATCAGAGCAGGAGAGTCATTGACGCCATCACCTACCATGGCAACGGTATTGCCATTTTCTTGCAGTGATTTCACTTTGTCAACTTTGTCTGATGGAAGCACTTGTGCAAAACGTGCTTGATGCCAAGCTATGAGAATTTTTGAAGTGAGGTTATTTTATGAATGCTAAATAATGTTGGAAATATTCATTTGACAAAATAAAGAACTCTTCGTCGAGCAAGAAATATTCTCTTCGTACACAAAACACTCTCCCTCAGGGAGGAAACACCATTCTTTGGGCATGAAGCGCTTTCTTTCATGCACAAAGCACTCTTTCTTTAAGCACTTCAAGCAATAAAAAGCCTTCTTTGTGTAAATGAACATAAGACTTATCTACTTGCAAGATCAAAAAGTCTACACAGCCAGTAGAGATATTACTGGTCATGCGCAATAGTTACCCGTGAGGCTATTGCCCAGGCAGTCTTCTTATTATCACCAGTGAGCAAGACGATTTGAATTCCCATATTTTGTAAGGTCGACACCGCTGCCGGTGCATCTTTCTTTATAGTATCTGCAACAGCGATCATTCCAACTAAAACGCCTATAATTACACAAACATCACGTTTCTAAAAGCAAAAGCTACCTTTAGCAGCTATAACAGATTTACTATTAATTTGAGCGCACACTGGAATGAATTTTAGTATTTGATATCTTAATAAAGGAAATGGTTTGAACCCGGGAGTATCGTTACATGTTTGTAGATGTAGATCGTCCAGGTTGGTATAGTCCTGAGAAGGACTGTTTTTGTTGTTGTTGACTGACGTTTCGACAACCTTAGCGGTAGTCATCTTCAGGGTCAAAAGATGACTACAAACATTTGATATCTTGTTACTAGTGCACTGTTTATATCCTTTTGTAAAACCATTTTGCATACGCTATAAACGAGCCTGCATTACCTACCATTGATTGCCACAAGCACAGCGGTATCTCCTTTGCACTCACGTTCTTCCATTGTTTCATCGATATATTTTGAGACGACCAGACCATTTTTCGACATCCAATTGCGGTTTCCAATCAGTGTATCATACATTTGTATTGATGTACCTATGAAAAGTTACAACAAGCAAAATAAGGACTTTGTTATGAACCCATTTGACGAAAGTTGTGCTCAACTTTTCCATTGAGCCAGTACCATTAGTAGATGAAGGAATGATGTCATCAGCAACAGATTTTTCCTTGTCAGACAAAAGATTTTCGATTCCAGATATTTTGCACTGAAGACCAAATCCGGGTACAGCTCGATAATCTGAACACTGACCGAACCTCTCGGTTCTAAGCATCTAGTGAAGATACAGAATACTTTAAGAGCCATGGTTCATTCATAGTCTTTACAATATCCTCCCTCACAAGAAAGCCAATAACATCCTCGTACCAGGACATTTTGCTCACCGGGTGAAATCGTATCAGGACATTTTGCTCACCGGGTGGTGATAGTATATTAAAAATTGAATGAATTACACGACGTACTTACCTCTTTAGCGTAGGTTGTGATCGCAGACGCTATTGGATGTTCACTGTTGGCTTCAGCAGTCCCAGCTACAGCCAAGAGTAGGCGTTCATTGCACACCGCAGGCTCAACAAATACAGCGGTCGTCATGACCGACGGTCGGCCATGAGTAACGGTACCAGTTTTATCAAATACGACGGTGGATACCTGGATAACACAGATCACGAAGAAAGACTCAAGAGGGCAAAATGTTGAATAGAGCAGATTACCTTTGGCAAAGATATCGAAAAGTTAAGATAAAAACGTTTCAGTACTTTAAGTAAACAACAAATGAACGCACTAGTGGTGACCATGCAAGAGGACTGGGGCTAGTATTATTGTTTAATGCCGAGAGTTAACTCTCAGTTCAGTTCAATGTTTAAAAGTCATGTATTAGCAATAAAGCATAGACCACAATATGATCATATTAAACCGTGATAGATCACAATAGATCATATTAAACCGTGATAGACCACAATAGATCATATTAAACCGTGATAGACCACAATAGATCATATTAAACCGTGATAGATCACAATAGATCATATTAAACCATTATAGACTACAATATGATCATATTAAACCGTGATAGACCACAATAGATCACATTAAACCGTGATAGACCACAATAGATCATATTAAACCGTGATAGACCACAATAGATCATATTAAACCGTGATAGACCACAATAGATCACATTAAACCGTGATAGACCACAATAGATCATATTAAACCGTGATAGACCACAATAGATCATATTAAACCGTGATAGACCACAATAGATCATATTAAAGCGTGATAGACCACAATATATCACATTAAACCGTGATAGACCACAATAGATCATATTAAACCGTGATAGACCACAATAGATCACATTAAACCGTGATAGACCACAATAGATCATATTAAACCGTGATAGACCACAATAGATCATATTAAACCGTGATAGACCACAATAGATCATATTAAACCGTGATAGACCACAATATATCACATTAAACCGTGATAGACCACAATAGATCATATTAAACCGTGATAGACCACAATAGATCATATTAAACCGTGATAGACCACAATGGATCACATCGCTCACAAGGAAGTGAAAAAACAATCAGTCGATATATCACAATACACTCCATACCTTATGACATGTCTCCAAAGGTTCTCCTCCTTTGATCAATATTCCCTTCTGTGCACCAATCCCCGTACTAACCATGATAGCAGTGGGCGTGGCCAGACCCAGAGCACAGGGACAAGCGATAGAAAGAACTGTGATCGATGTAAGGAAAGCGAACTGGATTATAACTTCGCTGTCACTAAAAGCAGGCTGGAAATGAACAGAATGACAACAGTTAATCTCTTTGCCAAAAAGTATTTATATGCAAGGTAAAAAAACGACAAAACCTCGGCATTTTTGTATCTCAAACAAGCAACATAGATTTGCCACAAGAAAAACCCTATAGCAGTAGCCAAGCAGCCGCGAAACATGAACTTACGTCACGTGATTCGGAGATTATGCTCACATCCAAGTAGCCAATTATAATCCAGATAATGAGAGTTAGAAGAGAGAGAATGATTACGACAGGAACGAAATAACCTGCAATGGTGTCCGCTAGTTTTTGAATTGGAGCCTGTGAAATAAAGACAGAAATTAGTTAAAGACGAAAAGATCTGATGAGTTGTTTGCATTTCAGCAAAACGTCTGCGCTAAATATGTGGCCAAAATGCAATCTCAGTGCTATAAGATTGTACAACTTTCTGTATACGAGAGATAAACTCCTTTACCAGCCAAAATTCTCAAAAATATTGGATAAAACATGCTCTGAATCATTTGAAGCTTTCAATTCCTGTCTATTGTCCTATCCAACTTAGATCTTGAGCTTTCAACACGATGCTCCTCGGAAGATTTTTTATCAAGAGATAGCCTCTGACAAGGTGTAAACATAAATGATCTCTACACATTGCACAAAAGTAAATAATTACCCCACCCTCCCCAACCCATCAAATCGTTATAAATGTTAGTGCCCCCCCCCTTAAAACCCACCTTAGATAACTGAGCTTCTTCGACAAGCTTTACAATCTGTGATAGTGTTGTATCTTTACCCACGTGAACTGCCTCGACTATAAGTGTTCCATGCTGGTTTATAGATCCTGCTATGACACGATCACCGGGACTTTTAGGTACCGGCATCGCTTCCCCGGTGATAAGCGCCTCGTCAGCCATTGACGTGCCTTCCAAAACGCGTGCATCCACAGGAATTTTTTCGCCAGGTAAAATCTTTAATTATACCAAAAGATAGATAGCATAGTTACAAATATTTGTTAGTTTGCAAAAGATCAAAGCAATATGCTGGCATGTAATACATTTAGGTATAATGAACCAGTTGAGTCAAGTTGATTGGAGCTTGTCGATATTACCATAGTTGCAGTGAGCCGTGTTCTCCAACCACCCACCCCCCATTTGATCAACTTTTGCGGTGGTCCATTGCTATTTTGTTTTAAAAACATACATACAAATACATCATACACAAACATTCAAACTGTGAACTCTCGATAAATATAGTAATTAATTATAAAATTTCATGAACAAGAGCAAAAGTATAATTTTTAATCGTAAACACGGCGGAATGAAATCCATTGACAAATCATGACGTCATACAACAAGTAAAAATGACGTCATACAAGCAATTTATGACGTTATATAAGCAATGAATACCTTCAATACATCTCCGCGTTGCACTAAATCAACGTCAATTAATCTTTCTTCGATGATATTTTTCGTTGTCTCATCCATCTTGCACAGCAGCGCCTCCATTGGTTGCAAGGAGAGAAGTCTGCTCAGCGCCTGTGAAGTTTTACCCTTGGCGATGTGTTCCAGCCATCGACCCAAACCAATGAAAATCAACAGAGCAGGGGGGGTCTCAAAGAATGTACGCGGACTCTTGGAGAATTGCAGCACAACGGCGATAAACAAAACTGTAACCTGAAATTACAAAAAGGATTCCAAAAATTTGGCAAACGAACGAGTTGCTATCAACAAAAACTTTCAAGAAAAATATAGTTTTTCTTAGTCGATAAAGAAAGAAATCACTTCTAAACTGTTGGACGGCGTTATTATCACATTCTAGTGAAGAAAGAAATCACTTCTAAACTGTTGGACGGCGTTATTATCACATTCTAGTGAAGAAAGAAATCACTTCTAAACTGTTGGACGGCGTTATTATCACATTCTAGTGAAGAAAGAAATCACTTCTAAACTGTTGGACGGCGTTATTATCACATTCTAGTGAAGAAAGAAATCATTTCTAAACTGTTGGACGGCGTTATTATCACATTCTAGTGAAGAAAGAAATCACTTCTAAACTGTTGGACGGCGTTATTTTCACATTCTAGTGAAGAAAGAAATCACTTCTAAACTTTTGGACGGCGTTATTATCACATTCTAGTGAAGAAAGAAATCACTTCTAAACTTTTGGACGGCGTTATTATCACATTCTAGTGAAGAAAGAAATCGCTTCTAAACTGTTGGACGGCGTTATTATCACATTCTAGTGAAGAAAGAAATCACTTCTAAACTGTTGGACGGCGTTATTTTCACATTCTAGTGAAGAAAGAAATCACTTCTAAACTGTTGGACGGCGTTATTATCACATTCTAGTGAAGAAAGAAATCACTTCTAAACTGTTGGACGGCGTTATTATCACATTCTAGTGAAGAAAGAAATCACTTCTAAACTGTTGGACGGCGTTACTATCACATTCTAGTGAAGAAAGAAATCACTTCTAAACTGTTGGACGGCGTTATTTTCACATCCTAGTGAAGAAAGAAATCACTTCTAAACTTTTGGACGGCGTTATTATCACATTCTAGTGAAGAAAGAAATCACTTCTAAACTTTTGGACGGCGTTATTATCACATTCTAGTGAAGAAAGAAATCGCTTCTAAACTGTTGGACGGCGTTATTATCACATTCTAGTGAAGAAAGAAATCACTTCTAAACTTTTGGACGGCGTTATTATTACATTCTAGTGAAGAAAGAAATCACTTCTAAACTGTTGGACGGCGTTATTATCACATTCTAGTGAAGAAAGAAATCACTTCTAAACTGTTGGACGGCGTTATTATCACATTCTACTGAAGAAAGAAATCACTTCTAAACTGTTGGACGGCGTTATTATCACATTCTAGTGAAGAAAGAAATCGCTTTTAAACTGTTGGACGGCGTTATTATCACATTCTAGTGCACACATCCGTGAAGGGAAGGAACAAACTGTCTTACAAACCAATTATGAGCCTAGAGTAACGGACCTCAACGATTCTGTAGTAAACGAACAAATATTTTCATTACAATTCTCATATATTTATAGTTCTAGCCGAGCTTTATATTCCTGCTGTTTCAAAAACATTTGTTTTCCTTCACTGGAAAAGCAATTTATAGAAATGATAATTTTACTGTGAATTTAGATGGCACGAGTAAAGCTTAGAACTTACTGAGCAAAGTTTAGAACTTACTGAGTAAAGTTTAGAACTTACCGAGTAAAGTTCAGAACTTACCGAGTAAAGTTTAGAACTTACCGAGTAAAGTTCAGAACTTACCGAGTAAAGTTTAGAACTTACCGAGTAAAGTTTAGAACTTACCGAGTAAAGTTTAGAACTTACCGAGTAAAGTTTAGAACTTACCGAGTAAAAGTATGCAACTGTTGTGGCAAGCATTATGAGAAGATCCATGCTCGCTGCTCTGTGTTTCAGTGCTTTGTACGCGGAGATGTAAAAATTTCTACCGCCAATAAACTAGGAAACATTCGAAAAAACAGATAATTCATGGAAAGTTAATATTTCTTCTACAAAATAAAACACTTCCCCACAAAAACTTCATAGAAAGGATACCTGAACAGGAGTACATAACATGAAGTATAGCAAATTCTCTAGAGAGAGTCCCTTCGTCACTTCCACGTGTGGGTGAATTCCACGACTTTTTAGCAGAGAAAACACGATCATACAAATCATAACAGGTGCCCCGAACAGAAATGAAATAAAAAACGATCTTCTCCACCTAAAAACACACAACATGACCTGATTGTCATCAACTTCCTTTACCACAACGCATGTAAGGGAAAAATTCACGAAAAAACTCAGATTTGTAGTTCATTGTAGATTGCTTGTTCATTGGCTGGGAGTGGATGACGTTACAACGCATGCGTAAAATGACATGACGTAATGTGAATCTTACTTTGAGATTTCAGATTTGTAGCTGAACCGATCCGTAGGATGATGGCTGTTCTCCAATTTTACTTCATATCCAAGCCCTGTAATGATTTCAGTAATATCCCTCGGTCCAATCCTCCATGGCTCGTACACAACACTGGCTCTCGAAGCATTATGGGAAACTGAAATCTCGAGGATCCCACTCATACTCCTCAATTTCGACTCAATCAATGACACGCATGAATCTTGGGTAATGCCTTTTATCTGAAGCAGATACAAGAGACTGGCGCTGTGAATTAGCAAATTCAAAATTGGCGATGTCTTCTAATCCATTTTTATGTCTTACCAATAGGTTTAGTTCCGCTTTTTCTTCATCAGATGGCATGATCTGGGATTCAAACCCAAGCATCGATACCTGGGAAGCTATCTCTTCGGGACTTATAAAATCAAAATCGTACTTTATTTCGGCCTTCTGTGTCAACAAACCAACAACGACAGATTTTATTCCTAGACACAGAAAGAAAGAAGACGTATTTTATCATTTATACACATCAGCTAAGTAAATATGAAGAAGGCCTAACCTTGTTTCTTTACCAGAAAGTTTTCTATGAGGGAGACACAGGACGAGCAAGTCATCCCTTTTATATGTAGAAACATTTTCGTTTGATTTGAACTGGATATTGGAAATGGAATAATCTCATTTTCATTGACTGGAACGCGGTTTCCGTTGTCTATTAAAGAGAAAGATATAATCTATTGATTCTCACATTTACCAACACTAAAAAAATGGTTTGAACCCGTGAGTATTTACTAACAATGCCAATGCTAACCGCAACCGTAGCTAGAACGTTGATTGGATGAAGAGGTTTGACCAATTGATCCTCAAAAGATCTTAGTCGAGCACAACTGAATATATGAATATAGCCACTTCCCTCCTTCCCTCCGAATCAACGTTGTAGTTCTGACCCTGATGCTAACGAAAAGTCTACCGATCAAGATCATAAAAACCATGACCAGCCGACAATTTAAAGAAGTATAATATAAAACAAATTCCGAAGAAGCAAGACATCTTGAGATTGCAAAATATGAATCAAAACAAGACGAGAAGTAAACTGTTTACAGTCTTGTTTTGATTCATATTTTGCAATCTCAAGATGTCTTGTTTCAAGATCATAAAAGTTCACTGATTCATTTTGCAAAGTGATTACCTGAAAACAACGGCGAATCTTCCTCAACAGACTTTAATTTCGCATCAAAACCCGTCTCCTCGATCGCCTGAACAATCTTCTGAGCATTGATGCTCGTCAAAAATATCACCACGGCCTGTTCCTCAGCGAGAGATACAGAAACTGATTTCACCTCTTGAAGTTGTTCGACACTCTGTTCTATGGTCCTTACACATGAGTGGCAGGTCATTCCTGTTATCAAAATAACAGCTTTCTTTGTCTTTTTTGCATCGCGCATTTTGAATCGCTCCATTTCAACTGCCCTCTCCGGGATGGATTGCTAAAAACAAATTATATTCAAGTTGCAAGTGAATATCATATGGCTTGGTTGGTGGAGTTTTAGTGAGTGAAGTAATTCTAGGCTGCCCTTTAAATACTTACACAGATAAGGAATTCATCAATGTATTCGTGATTGGTGACTAAATACCGTTAAGTTATGTTCGTTGTTTGTTTTATTATTAATCCTCGCTCAATTTGTGTACCTCAGCTTAACTAAACAAATAGTTAAACATCGAATCCAATTTTGAAGGAAGAGTTTTGGCGCTCCATATGTGAGATCTTCGTTCAACATTAGCAAAACCTTAACATTCTATCACATAATCCTTGTTCACAAAAGCTTTCAGTAAAAAGCAATCATATATAGTGAAATGTTTCGTATGTCAGAAACAATTGTGCAACTTGTAACTGTTGTATCTGTTGCAACTGTTGCGTGGGTTTTAACTGCTGCGTCTGTTGTAACTGTTGTGTCTGTTGTAACTGTTGTGTCTGTTGTAACTGTTGTGTCTGTTGTAACTGTTGTGTCTGTTGTAACTGTTGTGTCTGTTGTAACTGTTGTGTCTATTGTAACTTCTGTGTCTGTTGTAACTGTTCTGGCGAATCCATAAAATAAAATAATAAGAAAAATGTTATATTAAAAAATTTCTCTGTATAATTTCCATGTGTTTTTCATCAATAGGTTTAGTAGTCGTACATTGCTGACATAAACTTAAACCTAGTTGACCCCTCCCCCCTACAGAGAAATCTAAGACAAAAACAGCAGAGAGCTATTAAGAGCTTTGCCTTTTTCCAGGATCATGCAAATTGCTTGCTAGCCATATATCTGCTACAGTTTTACATTTTAATGCGATTCACAATGTTATAGTCGCTCCGTTATGACGAAATCTATCGTCGATTAAACTTTAATCCACATTGATGACCATAAAAGCGCGCGCCATGAAGTGGTTTTTGTTTTCTACGAATTCCGAGTCAATATTTGGGGTGGAACATTTTTACTACGTACAATAAACGCTGTCCTTTACCTGCGGCGTATCCATCGAAGTGATCAAAATTTTAGAAACGATTCTCGAGAGAAACTGTTCTCGTTATCAACTCAGTTGTTGTGTTCGTTTGCGACAGTGCGAGCGATGCAGTGTCAGACAATCTTAAAAACTTTGTCATTTAAAAACCGACGGTCGTTCATGCTCTAAAAATCAGCCTATCACATAACTTTTGGCAATGACAAACATTTAAGATGTATTTCAAATGCATTTGTGTTCAAAATACAGTTGCGACTATTCATACGAGCTATTCAAGCTGTGATCACAGGATGCATCGAGGCTGTTCTCAATTGTGGAGGCATGATTGACGGAAGTAATGACGTACCAATTGATGTCATGCACTAAGATGCCCATATTTGGCATGCAAAAGACCAATATAAGTTTTTATTGTAAACAATCATGGAGTTGATGACATATGTTCATTCCCCATTGGTGGGCACAGTTATACCATTATAAACAAAATATGCAATACTAATATGGCGAGCTGTAACATACTTATTGAAATGATGTGAGACAATCAATTTGACTTATTTGAACAGTCGCTGAATATCTAATCCCAACCAATGAAAGAGCTGTAGTTATGTCATGTGATGATCAAGAGTGACCTTTGAACTCATCTTGAATTGCATGTGAGATAGCACTTGTTGAATAGGTGCGGTTAAGCACATCATATGATGTGAAAGTGATGGCTGATACAAAGTTTTTTCTAGTTGATGTGACATCTAAATGTTACAGTAAAAACAGAAGCAAAATAGCAAATTATAAAGGACAAAAAAACCAAGCATGTTGCTTGTTAGAAAGATTCATCAAAAAATGATGTAGAAAAGCAAACTTGGAGAAATGATGAAAAAGTCAACAATTTCCTAAGTGAGTACAAAAAACATGAAAAGCAAATCCATCATGATTGAGAAACACTTTGTGGACTTGACAAAGAAAGTATTTGTATTTGATACCATCAATAATGGTTGTTTTTATAAGCAAACCTGCATTGAACCGAATCAAAAAATGGCCAATAGTATATGCTATTGTATATATATTGGATATAATAAATATAATGTACATATCAATGCTGTCTTTGAGGCATGTCCATTGAAGTCAAACCATAGTTATTTGTGTTAACATTGATGGCCTATTAAAGTAGGGTGCAATCTCATTCTATCAAACATCAAAGTGTGTAATTATCGGAGCTTTAGCTCACATGAAATTAAATTGCACAAAACCTAAAATTGTATTTCATTTGTTCATAACACAAGTCTGTTCTGACTGGCTATCAGATGCATAATGATAAAAACAATCCAGGAAAACTTATATTATGTTTAAATGGTTGCGGTGTTTTAAAAGACAACAATATTTCTCATTGCATCATGAACAACAACAAGATAATTTCACATGACACTTCCATTGATTTAAACAACATGTTCACAAAATAAAAACTTACCAAAGTTATAACAGGTAGATCAATATAGATGTAATAATTGTTTGACAGTAAAAACCACACACTTTAACTGTCCTCTTCACGAAAGTTTTCACAAAATAGAAATAGTTGACGCCTTAATTGTCCTTTTCTATTTACCGTCGGAAACTCGTAATGTTGCTGTTCACATGACATAAACACTGCACCTTTACCGGTAAAGCAAATATGCATAAATTAGGTCAGCGTCATTTCACATTAACACGTGGCTTAGATTGATCAAAATGGCGGCAGTCCGGTTGGGAAAAAGTGTTTTAAGATTGTCCAGTTTTCGCGTGATGTGTGTGAATCTAGACTATAGCATAATTCAAGCAAAGAGAATTCATACAGCATATCCACTTGCGACAGGTATTGGCAATATGAATTAGCTCATAGTGTGTTTTCATGCAAATCATGTATGTATCGAATCGATATGAAATTCGATTCGAGACTACATGACCTGCATGAATATATGGGTTTGTTATTCATTCGGATGTACATATATTTTTAATTTCCTCTAAAACGGTGTCTGAAAATATGCATCAACTGTACTCTATCGTTCGCTTTCTTTCAGAGAGAAAGTACACCAAGGATCACGAATGGATATCGATGTCTGATGATGTTGGGACGGTAGGGATTACAAACTACGCTCAGGTGAAATTACTTGTGGAATGTCTTAAATGCATATTACGAAAGAGTGTTTTATTTAAGAACTTACTTACTTTTTTTTGGCCATTACAATTTCAGAACCTTCTGGGTGATGTAGTTTATATTGATTTGCCAGATATCGGAACCAAATTTGATCAAAATGGTTGGTTTCTCCATCTTCACACCACATCAACTTGCCAACTTGAACTCTTCATTGGTAACATGACTAACATCTTGTTCCACGTTTAGAAATATTTGGTGTTGTTGAAAGTGTCAAGGCTGCCAGTGATCTCTATGCCCCTGTGTCTGGCGAAATAACCCACGTGAACGAAGCTCTACCAGACACCCCAGATTTGATAAATAGAGAACCGTACGGTGAAGGTACTGAATTCAATTTAGTTTTAATGCCAAAATCAATCGTGTATTAAAAGGCTACATCTCTACATTCTCGAGTGAAATAAGACTGTCACTTTAAAAAATGATTGGCTTCACAGTATTTGTGTATATTAAATCATTATTTGATGAGGCTATGCACGATATCCAGAATTATTTAGGCATATGATGGCATTGTCAGCCGAAGCTGTATGCTGATGCAAATAACACCATCCAAGACCTTGATAATGCCAGATATCTTGACAAAAATGAATTCAATAATTACTCGAGACCTTGATAATGCCAGAATTCTTGAGATAAATGAATTCAATAATTACTCGAGACCTTGATAATGCCAGATATCTCGATATAAATGAATTCAATAATTACTCGAGACCTTGATAATGCCAGATATCTTGATATAAATGAATTCAATAATTACTCGAGACCTTGATAATGCCAGATATCTTGAGATAAATGAATTCAATAATTACTCAAGACCTTGATAATGCCAGATATCTTGAGAAAAATGAATTCAATAATTACTCAAGACCTTGATAATGCCAGATATCTTGAGATAAATGAATTCAATAATTACTCGTTATTCATGTCAGCTGACTGAAATAGAAGTAAACACTTACATGTCAAAAATTTTAAAACTTCAGTTGAAGTGTACTTGTTGGCAATTCATTCATTTTCTTGGTTTTGTAGGAACTACAATACTTGCAGAATACCATGAATTATTTGTATACAGAACTGCAATTTTTTATATAATGAATCATAAATGCAGATATAATGCAGCCTAGAGTAAACTATTAGCGGCATTTTTCACTCAGTTGATTTTACTGAATTCTGGCGTTAAGATGACATGCAAACATCTTGTACACTTAGCTTGACAAAACTTCATTTAAGAATAATTTGGTTGTAACAATGTGGTGTAGTTAACTTTCCTTTATTGTTGTCAAAGGTTGGATTGCAAAGATGAAATTATCTGACAAATCTCAGCTGGATGAACTAATGGATCAAGCATCTTATGATGCTTACACAGAAGAGAATGATGAATAGGAAATAATTTTTATGAAAAAAAGAACACAGCTTTCTAATATATCTGTATTTACTATACAATACATTATTTTGAATTTGAGCCTAAATAAACTCTATAAGCGATGACAAATAAGCGTGCAAATTTTAGAACAGTTGAAACATAGCTCCTTCATCCACTCCAAAACTTTGAAGGTTTCATTTTGGAGCTTCATAAGCTAATTTTACACAACACTTGTGTTAAATATATGACCGAGTTCCTGATTACAGAAATCTACAATAGCTCTAGTTTATCATAAATTAATCTTTTTACCTTAATATTTGCTCCCAAATCTCTACCTTACCTTATCTACATTTCACTGAGAGCATGGCACAAAATATGAACACAGTTCAACGTATGAAGACAAAAGTAACTGCAATTCCACATGCATTTCATGCATCATATTACTTTATTTCTGCTTTTTTATTTATGTATTTATATAGTGTTACATCCCATTCATTATTTCTTTTATAGCCTGTCGAAGGCTGTAGACAGACACCCGAAAGCTTGTTCATCAAAAAAAATTTTATATCAGTGAACCTTTTACAGCATTTTTTCTATAATTTAAAGCATTAGAAATGGCAGTTACAATTTGTCCTTTTTTTTTTCTCTTTGAAAATTTCTGAAACAATTTCTTAATGGCCATATTAAGTCCAGAAATACCTCAATTTCTATATTATTCATTAATGAACTGTTTTAACTATATCTTAAAACAAACTTCACAATTTCCCATAGGAAATGCTCTCAGTGAGAAGGTTTACAAAATCTAACCTCACAGCCTACTGTTCGACCTAAAACACCAGTTTTCGTACCATATTTGCAACCTCTGATGAAATCTTTAGTTCCTTTACTTCTTCATCAAAATTCTCTTTGGTGCCATTCGCTCCCAGGTATCCATTGAGGCGAGCAGCAACTTGAGAATCCTTCAACTCCTGGTCGTTCAACTGTAACAAGCGAAGTATCTTTCCATAGCCACGCAATCTATATTTCTGATGGTAACTACGAAAAAATAATGGTCGAACACGTTACAGTTTAGCATACTACGGCAAAAATACATCGATATTTTACATACTCTTCGGCATCGTAGAAATCTTCTGCAGGTAGGATTTCTGTTGCTACGCGTCTCCCCGACTTCATTTGCACTTCTTTGGCACTTTCCTCGGCCAGTCGCTTCTGCTCTTGGTTGTGGTAGAAAATGGCAGATTTGTACTGCGAGGTACGTTTTGTGGCAAAGTCGTGTCCTTCCCAGAACACTTTCAACAGATTGCTGTAATTTGTTTGCTTTGGATCGTATTCAACTTGAAGCGTTTCCGTGTGCCCTCCCCTTGACGAAACGTAATGTTAGTAAAGACTTCGAGAAAATGAAAAATAACACCTTTACTATTAAACAATACAATCTCCACAAACAAGTACAACAATCAACTGACAGATGTTGATTCATCGACAATATATTCTACTGCCGACAATGTTTGTTTTGACCACGGGTGACAAATGTTACTGTCATAGGAAAGTTACTGAACGAAAAATCGATATGCGATAACTATTTCACAAATTACTTCATAGTAAGCAAAGCATTGACTTACAAGCTGGTATATGTAGGATTTATCTTATGTCCGCCGGTGTAACCAACTCGAGTTTGCACGATCCCCGGTACACAGCCGAACTGTGACTCGGGGAACCAGAATCATCCCATTGAAAACGTAGCTGTTTCGCTGGTCTTCGCCAAATTTAACTCGTTTGTATTCATTGCAGTTTTAAGTGCAGCCATGGAAGAATTCTTGCCACCTCCTCTCGAAAAAAACGACAACATTGCAGACTTTAAGGACATGACTTAACGAAGAGAGCGGATGAAAGAAAGTAATCGCTATCACGCAATCATAATGACTTCTTGACAAACGGAAATGCTGACAAATGTAAATTCCCTCTCCCAATCTTGTCATTTTTAGAATTCCTAGATACCTTTCCTCAAATAATTATATGAATATCTTATTAGAGTACAAAATGTTCTATATTTTATGACCAAGGCAGATGAATCCTCATTTATGAGAATGCAAAAAAATCGCCTATTTTTTTAATGCTATATTCATTCCACCTTTTAAGGAATCCTTATAATTCACATGACGTAAATGTGTAGGAGGTTCGACCTGACCTTCATTGCCTTTAGGACAAATATTTTGAAGAATGATAGCAACAGTCTCCAGGCGAAACTTATGATTCATCATGCAAGACTATGCCTAATTTGAAAAAAATTCATGTTCTACCCTCTTGATTTGGTTTTAATTTTGCCAGATTATGTACCGTATAGAACAGTCCCCCAAAGGCTCATTCTAGATGATTACACTTCACTGAACACAGCATAAATCAAAAGTGCATGATTTTTAACTCCTTCAAACCAGTATTACTTTTAAATAAACTAATTTGCAATAATCTAGTTTGATTTTCAACATTGTAGTTCACTTGATTTTTAACTGGAGTATATAATCACAAAGTCTAAATGCATAAAAAGCCAATACATTTAAGATGCGGGTCATTAATCTTGAGTACTTAAGTACATTCTAAACGTGACCGAAGAAAGTTCACAACAACGTGCTAACTTTGCTAGAGCTTTTAAGCCTTCAACATAACGAAATTTGCTATTTATGCTTTTGCATTATCAATAAAGAATTAGGTGGACCAAATTACTGTTCATATTCTTTTACCCAAAAAAACACGATGTATAAAACATGCCGAGAGAAAGAAAAAGAGTCTCTTTTTACTGCTAAAAATAACATTTAAATTGGCGTGAATGAACGAACACTGTATGACAGTATTTTCATGAGCACAACCACAAGTTTCTTCTACAAATGAACACGAACAAATAAACTTTACATGTTTAAACACATATTCCAAATACCCCACAATCCGATCATTATAGAGCTGGCACAGCTGCCACATTATTTGCTTCCTTTGTTCAATACATAATCGTCTACAAATGAAGCTAGCTACAAAAGGAATAGCGATTTGCACTACAAAAGAGTTATAAGAAATCTCACGCTGCGCAAAGCTGTTGGACACCTTGCTATATTTAGGGAAACAGACTTGTCGAAGGAATTGTCGGTCTGTTATTTAAAATGCATTGACCTAATTATAATGGAACATAGGTCGTTACATTTACATTATTCTAGACTCTTTCAGAGGTTATTTCTGCGAGGAGATTGATAAGGCTGGTTACAAACACTAAAGCCCGCCGCACACTGGTAAATTTGCCGCGCGTACTTGTTATTCGTGACAAGTGCGATCGACAAAAGTTCCTAGTGTGCGCAGAAGTTTTGAACAACATTTGTTATTCGTGACAGATGAGTCAAATATCAAACGAGTTTCATATTAGACTCATCTGTCACGAATGACAAATGTTGTTCAAAACTTCCGCGCACACTAGGAACTTTTGTCGATCACACTTGTCACGAATAACAAGTACGCGCGGCAAGTTCACCAGTGTGGGGCGGGCTTAACACGTTCTCTGTACAAACAAACGACTGAACGTATTGAATGCCGGAAATGGTCTCAGAACTTTTGTATTAGCAGCAATATAAATGAAAAATAGGATTGCAAAGGTTGCATTCGCAATTTACCTGCTATAGACGGATTGACATCAACAATTATAAAAAGCAACTTGACACCATTCGCATTCACCTCACGGTAGCTGCAGCTTAACAAATATTTGCACACATATGTGCATGTGTACGTGCGTGCTGTTATAAAGCTCTTTAGAAGAGTATTAGCAGCAATATAAATGAAAAATAGGATTGCAAAATTTGCATTCGCAATTTACCTGCTATAGACGGATTGACATCAGCAATTATAAAAAGCAGCTTGACACCATTCGCATTCACCTCACGGTAGCTGCAGCTTGACAAATATTTGCACACATATGTGCATGTGTACGTGCGTGCTGTTATAAAGCCTTTAGAAGAGTGATTAAGACCATTTGATCATTAGACTCTTTCACAGCATGCATGCAAGTTGTTTTCAAACAATTCGCCCGGGAGGAATAAATCGAAAGCGAATGAATCCATGAGAAATCTTTTCATTTCGAAACTTCATTTCGAATTCAATTCAAGTCCTTGTCAATCTGAACTAATTGTTAAAGTTTCTAGGCGTCGATATTAAACTTCAGCAGTTAAAGTATGTTCTACACGTTTAAATCAACGCGATCTCCACAAATTTCTATAATTCTGACATTGCTTCATATATTTGTGTGCACTCCAGACGTGGAAAGTTTGACGTCGCGCATCCGGAAACAACATAGCATAACTAACGTCTTGATCAAGACAAAATTAGCATCAAGAGCTACAGCAAGCGACGAAAACGAAAATGCAAAACTCGTGAACGCAAACTGACAGAAATTTGAATCACTTTGCTATAGGATTTCAACTCTAATAACCTCCATAATTTAATAATGTTCTTCGAAACGTAGCTTAATTGCAAAAACGAGACTTATAGAGTAAGATCTTATGACTAATCACTTTCTATAAAAAACATTATAACTTTCCTTGTAGAGTTTTTCGGTTGTCTTGGTAAAGCCAATTAAAAAAAAAAGGATGGTCTGACCTGTTCGATCAAAAATGTTAAGTTGTGGTCTAAAGGAGACGAGATGCAGCAGGATCAGTAAGCTCACGGTTGACTTTACGCTGACGATACACCATGTAGGCCAATATCACTGTTGTTAAGGCAAAAATTATCGCAAAGGTGGCGGCAATCCACATGCGCTTCTTCATGTTGTCATAATCATCATTATTACCGCTGCCTATAAATCGAAGATATCGTGTCATTCATAACAAATATTGCTCAAGTTTTATGACAAAAATACATGAAGCTTTTCATTCTAACATCTTACTAAAATGTGAACATAACTAAAGTCATACTTTAGGTAGGATAACTCTAAAGGGGGAGGGGATGTACATTAGAGGAGCAGAGGTGCATATTTGGGGAGGGGGTGCACATTAGAGGGGAGAGGTGCATATTAGGGAGTAGGGATGCACATTAGGGAGCAGGAGGGCACATTAGGGAGCAGGAGGGCACATTAGGGAGCAGGAGAGCACATTAGGGAGCAGGAGAGCACATTAGGGAGCAGGGATGCACATTAGATAGCAGGGATGCACATTAGGGAGCAGAAGAGCATTAGGGAGCAGGAAAGCACATTAAGGAGCAGGGATGCATATTAGGGAGCAGTGGAGCACATTAGGGAGCAGGGATGCACATTAAGAAGCAGGAGAGCACATTAGGGAGCAGGAGAGCACATTAGGGAGCAGGAGAGCACATTAGGGAGCAGAGGTGCACAATAGGAGCGGGGATGCACATTAGAGAGAAGGGGTGCAAATTGGGGGAAGAAGTAGATGGGGTTGACACCCCTATTGTTTTAGAAAAGAAGGAAAATGTCAGTCCGGAAAAAAATCTGGGTTGTTCTGTCAAACATACGTATCTAAATTAACAAATAAACATCAGGACAATAAAATCGACTAGTACACTATAACTTTATGGTGTCAACTTTCTTTTGTTCTTATGCTTTTGATGTTTGCATCATATTAAAAAACATCATATTGATATCATAATACAAATAATGCTAATTTACACGCTATAGTAATCAATGCATAAAATTTCCTTTAAATGATATGGAAATTGCAACTGCACAGAAGTTAATTCGCACATTACAAAAAATCAACTCACCTGCTGGCTTTGATGGGGAAGGGGATACTGTTGACGTCTTTTGTGTTGGCATTGGAGCAGTCATGGTGGTACGGATTATAGATGATATGAACGAGACATTCGAACTTGCAGTAAAATTGGAAGTAGAGGTCATGCTCGATGGAGAACTGGTGACATTTGAAGAAGAGATTGTGCTTGAAAGGGTTGTAGTCTGACTTTGAGAAGTTTGCAATGACATGGAATGTGTAGTGGACCCAGTACTTGGAGATGGGCTGACAAAGGACGTTGAGGTTTGGAGGATGGGGATTGAAGAACTTGACGATGAATTTGCTGTTCCATTACCTGAAAGGCAAAATTATGTTTCTTTGTTAGGGTTCTTGAATAGGGGAGATAAAAAGTTCGTCAAATCCTTTCACAAACACGTTTTCTAAATATCATTTTCCGTTCGTCTTTCATTTTGCAATCACGTGGCTTACACGTTGCATGCATAATGTTTCATAAGAACCCTGAACCACTTCACAAAGTGAAAGCGACGATGTGTCTCTGATCATAATTAGAGGGAAAAGGTGAAAATTAGAGGGGAGAGTTGCACACTAGAGAGAAAGGGTGCACATTGGGGGAAGAAGTAGAGGGGGTTGACACACCTATTGTTTTAGACAAAACAAAAACTCAGTCCAAAAAATAATCTGGGTTGTTCTGTCAAACATACATATCTAAATTAACAAATAAACATCAGGACAATAAAATCCACTAGTACACTATGACTTTATTCTGTCAACTTCCTTTTGTTCTTATGCTTTTGATGTTTGCATCATATTAAAAAACATCATATTGATATCATAATACAAATAATGCTAATTTGCACGCTATAGTAATCAATGCATAAGATTCCCTTCAAATGATATGGAAATAGCAACTGCACAGAAGTTAATTTGCACATTGCAAAAAATCAACTCACCTGCTGGCTTTGATGGGGAAGGGGATACTGTTGGCGTCTTTTGTGTTGGCATTGGAGAAGTCATGGTGGTACGGATTATAGATGATATGAACGAGACATTCGAACTTGCGGTAAAATTGGAAGTAGAGGTCATGCTCGATGGAGAACTGGTGACATTTAAAGTAGAGATTGTGCTTGAAAGGGTAGTAGTCTGACTTTGAGAAGTTCGCAATGACATGGAATGTGTAGTGGACCCAGTACTTGGAGATGGGCTGACAAAGGACGTTGAGGTAATGAGGAAGGGAGTTGAAGAACTTGATGTTAAATTTGTTGTTCCATTACCTGAAAGGCAAAATTATGTTTCTTTGTTAGGCTTCTTGAATAGGGGAGATAAAAAGTTCGTCAAATCCTTTCACAAACGCGTTTTCTAAATATCATTTTCCGTTCGTCTTTCATTTTGCAATCACGTGGCTTACACGCTGCATGCATAACGGTTCATAAGAACCCTGAACCACTTCACAAAGTGAAAGCGACGACGCGTCTCCCATCATAATTAATATAAAAATATTCCCTCAAAAAAACTCAAACAATGATTACAACTAGAAGATGACAACTTCAACAAACCTTTTTGACAGAACACTACAGCCATAAATACAAAAAGATTCAACACTATGAACCATGTGCGTGCCATTGTTCCTGAAAATTATGCTACAAATGTACAAAAATATAATTAGACAAACGAGTATTATGGCATGGCGTTTGGTAAAACATGCGCAAAGTGTGATTATCATTGCCAATACTCCTTAATATCTTTACTAACCTCTGCAATTCACAACTACTTTGAGTGTGTACAATTTTGCCAAAAATAAAGTTATTAGTGAGTCACTTCCTCAACAAGTTACGAATATAAAAAAAACCCGTCGCGCGAGAAAATACACGCATCATCTCGTAAATTGTGTTGCATGCTCTTACACCGACGGTTGTAGCGTGCCATTTGGCTTAGACACGCCATTCAAAGAAATTTTTACAAAGGCCTGTAATAAACACGATACATGTTATGGATGCGTGAGTCCAATAATTTCATATTCATTTCAAACCCTATTTCTTGTCATTAAACTTTATTCCTTTTTGTTCAAACAATCATGCTGTTTTCACTCCCCATTCCTCTCCCCCCTAGTTATTCATTCCTCCCCCCCCCTAATCATGTACTTGTAAAACAAAGACTTCCTTGCGGTAATAAAGGTAAATACTGCACTGAATGGTGTTTTTTTCTATGGCAAATGAAAAATAGGCAGTTGCAAATAGAACTGTCGAAAACCGAAATTAATATATGAATTTAAATGAGAGGATGAACCAGTACTTTTTACAACTACCTAGTCGTCATTTACCATTGCACAAATACCCCATTTCAAGCTATATTATACATTTGTACCAGCTCTTAGCAGCAGTCAAAACAATCTTGTGTACAAATGTTGCACACCACAATCAACGGGTGAATCAAACAATAGAGACGAAGACATCATTTGCATTTCTCATTTCCATAGGGTGTTGTAATTCATTGTGTTTGGACCAATCAAAACCTCTTGGTCATGTAGGTAAACATTATTCCCAATAATGTACATAAATTGGAATACAAGTACACTCGACAACATTCTCACAATTTCAAGCGAAGTAAGACTTTAGAAAATAAAGCAGCACAACCACTATTTACCATGTACCACATGCCAATGATATTTCAGACGTCGAACTTAACCTATGACGAACGATTTTCCGTTTATTGCAACAAAATTTTAAAAGATTGTAAAGCTAGCGAGGTTAAGAGTAAGATTGCCAAGTATGTAAAGATAAATGTCGAAAAATGTGCGTGGAAAGCTATTTGGAGCACGGTCATGCCTCATACGAACGAGGCTTTGGATATTTTGGTTCAGGTAAGATGGTAGACATATTGGTAGTTTTCAGGATATGATTCGACAGGCAGCTTACGTGTAGTTTGCAGGTTATGGCGATCACTGCATAAAGACATTTATTATTCTATTTTCAGTACTGTAAATGATTAGTGTTAGTGTGGCTGACCTTTCAAATCGTAGGTCGTCAATGTTATACCAGAAAATCTCACATCAGAAGTCAGTTTATGGATACCAGTCACCTCAAACGTACCAATCTCCTACCAAAAGGCACAGGCCATGATCAAAGGCAAACAGAATTGCATTCCATTGAATGAGCTATCACCTGTGTATGACGAGACTGGAGACTTGGATGAAACAGCAATGGCCCTCGAGGATGTGAAGTACGTTTAATGATTAAGGATGGGAACAACGTGAACATTGTATATTAAGTAGGGACATGGTAAAAACCCACAATATCCCCACTTGCAATCTTCACATTTTCTCATATTGTACATGTACGGAATAGGCTATGCAATGTACTCAAGATTTTTGTCAAAACAAAAGAATTCGAATTCAAATTTACATCTTATCGACTATTCACAATCTACACTATTTTGGTAAATGCATGTTGACTCTGACCTTTTGTTAAATTAGATTTTTCTTTGAAAATATTTGGCGTGATTGGGATTTGGGAGACGATGAAAACTACACCTACACGACCCGTCATTTACACAACAGACTTCGACTTTATTACGACATAAAAGAACACAATTTATCAACGGAATTCATCAGACATTATTGGGGTAAGCTTTGCTCTGTTGTTTGAGAAAACTAGGGTGTATAGGTGTTTAAGCCCCTGCTGGAGAGGATCTCTAATGAAGGAGAAGTGTCTTTGAAAATTGAAATATGCTTGTACGACAATAACTCAAATTGTTTCATGAACAAGCGTCAAAAAGGGTATTTAAATTTCTCTTCCCAAGACACTATAGCTCTGTACAAACAAGAAGCGATGGGCTTGAAAGTGCTGCGTAAAAACATGTCGGCGAGCGACTCGGAAGAAGAGCTGGACTCGTCGGATGTTTATACATTGGATCAGAAAACCGAAGAGCTGGACGCCATAGCAAAATCCTTGCAGGCGTTGGAAGATCCGAAAATGAGGTTTACATGTCATACTTCTTGTTCGTTAAACTGTATACACGTTGTGTCTTTTACAACGGAAAGTTGAACGCTGTACGCATTGCGCATCAGTTTTTTCGTGTTCTTGATCGGACAAGTATTTAACAACTGAGAAAAAGTATGTTTTTACATTATCAGGGAACTCCTTTACACGGTAGCTTTTAATAATAACTTACAAGGAAGGAAAAACAAACGTACGTCGCCAGTGACGATGCTTATTACCGGACAACTAACGGGAAAGATGACGAAAACCTTACCAGGTACAAAGAGTACAACTCTGCATTTTACTTGTACAAGAATAAACACATTAGATTGGTGTCGTCTGCGAAAGGAGTGTCTTAGTTCTTTATATGATTATATGTTGCAGATGATGCCATTATCGAACACTACAGGACGATAGAGAAAGCCATTGAATGTTCGATTAGGGAAGATAGCTTACTTATATATGATGGTTGCTATGGTGTTGGTGCAATTGTATTTGATCACCCCTTTGCATGTCCGGGAATGGCCACGTCATATGTAAGACTTTTTATGTACTTAATGTAAGATTTGTATGGATCGGTTAATGCACGAGTTTTGATCGTGAGTTTTAAGATGATTTTCCATGGAAATTTATATGTTCTACGGTCACAATTTGCAGTATATATTTAACACTTAATGTGCTGTACATAAGACAAAAAATTAAAGAAATCAAAGAGGATAGTGACGTAGCTACTACTACAAAATCATCACAATTCCATGTGATTTTGCCGGTCATTCCTTGTTCTATCTAGTGGAAAGCGAAGAAAAGGATTTCCTTACAACGAAAGCGGCTTCAATGAAAATAGAAAGCATCAAGTTGCAGTTTTCGGGTTCAAACGCAGCAGTTTTGGTAGTGAAGAGCGCACGGGCTTTAGTTAAAGATTGCGAGCTACAGGGCTCCTATCACACAGGAATTGTACACTTTCTATAAAAGACATTAACTTTCCTTGTAGAGTTTTTTTGGTCGTCTTGGTAAAGCCAATTAAAAAAAGAGCAATCGATGGTCTGACCTGTTCGATTAAAAATGTTAAGTTGTGGTCTAAAGGAGACGAGATGCAGCAGGATCAGAAAGCTCACGGTTGACTTTACGCTGACGATACACCAAGTAGGCCAATACCACTGTTGTTAAGGCAAAAATTATCGCAAAGGTGGCGGCAATCCACATGCGCTTCTTCATGTTGTCATAATCATCATTATTACCGCTGCCTATGAATCGAAGATATCGTGTCATTCATAACAAATATTGCTCAAGTTTTATGACAAAAATACATGAAGCTTTTCATTCCAACATCTTACTAAAATGTGAACACAACTAAAGTCATACTTTAGGTAGGATAACTCTAAAGGGGAGGGGATGTACATTAGAGGAGCAGAGGTGCACATTTGGGGAGGGGGGGGTGCACGTTAGAGGGGAGAGGTGCATATTAGGGAGCAGGGATGCACATTTGGGAGCAGGAGGGCACATTAGGAAGCAGGAGAGCACATTAGGGAGCAGGAGAGCACATTAGGGAGCAGGAGAGCACATTAGGGAGCAGGGATGCACATTAGGGAGCAGGGATGCACATTAGGGAGCAGGGATGCACATTAGGAGGGAGAGCACATTAGGGAGCAGGGAGCACATTAGGGAGCAGGATGCACATTAGGGAGCAGGAGAGCACATTAGGGAGCAAGAGAGCACATTAGTGAGCAGGAGAGTACATTAGGGAGCAAGAGAGCACATTAGGGAGCAGTAGAGCACATTAGGGAGCAGAGGTGCACAATAGGGGCAGGGGAATGCACATTAGAGAGGAGTACAAATTGGGGGGGGAAGTAGATGGGGTTGACACCCCTATTGTTTTAGAAAAGAAGGAAAATGTCAGTCCGGAAAAAAATCAGGGTTGTTCTGTCAAACATACATATCTAAATTAACTAATAAACATCAGGACAATAAAATCCACTAGTACACTATGACTTTATGGTGTCAACTTTCTTTTGTTCTTATGCTTTTGATGTTTGCATCATATTAAAAAACATCATATTGATATCATAATACAAATAATGCTAATTTGCACGCTATAGTAATCAATGCATAAAATTTCCTTCAAATGATATGGAAATTGCAACTGCACAGAAGTTAATTCGCACATTGCAAAAAATCAACTCACCTGCTGGCTTTGATGGTGAAGGGGATACTGTTGCTGTCTTTTGTGTTGGCATTGGAGCAGTCATGGTGGTATGGATTATAGATGATATGAACGAGACATTCGAACTTGCGGTAAAATTGGAAGTAGAGGTCATGCTTGATGGAGAACTGGTGACATTTAAAGTAGAGATTGTGCTTGAAAGGATAGTAGTCTGACTTTGAGAAGTTCGCAATGACAAGGAATGTGTAGTGGACCCAGTACTTGGAGATGGGCTGACAAAGGAGGTTGAGGTTTGGAGGAAGGGGGTTGAAGAACTCGACGATGAATTTGTTGTTCCATTACCTGAAAGGCAAAATTATGTTTCTTTGTTAGGCTTCTTAATGGGGGACAGTGTGGGAATTAGTTGAGAAAAAATGATGTGCAATTTTTTCGACAAAAATGTTTCTTTAGAGGGATAATCAAATCGATATTTGGTTACTTACTACATAGTGCTAATTGCTAAATTAATATTTTTAAAGGTGGACAAATTCATATGATTTACGACAGTGTTTTCTTGACAACCGAAGATCCAGTTACAAATGTATGAGAGAAATTTTTTGCGTATTATTCTCTCTTTTTTGTGCAAACTTTACAGCACAATAAATTCACCACTTGACCATCATCCTAGTACTCAAGCGGAGTCAGCATTTAATGTTTCCATCCATTTTTTTACTGTATTAACTTTGCTGGTAGCTACAACCTTTCGACAAAGATATCAACAAAGACAAAAGTGAAAAGAGAAACACTAAATATACATTTGCTTTCTGATTATTAACAGTAACATCCTTGATGTTTACTTACGCTAAAAAACATCATATGTATGTCATATTACAAACAATATATAAAAGCAAAAAGTATGGCTGATCAAGGTTGCCAGTTTGGCTTAATATTTTGAGCCAAATTTGGCTTCTTTTTTCTTGCGTTAGTCTTATTTATTATCAAAATGAAAATGTTTCCTGATTTCATTGAAAATAATCAAAATAGCTATGATGTCAAAAACAGTACATAACGCTGTACAAAGCGACGCAAATGCAAAAATTGACAATAATGTATTACAAACTTATTGTCATAAGCACATAAGCACCATGTACATTGACTTTTCACAGACTTCCCAGTTTCAAAGTGAAAACGTCTTTGAATTTGAAGACATTGTGTCAAAATGGCCTAAGATTTTAATGTCGTGCAGCACACTCATTATGTAAGTAAAGATCTGCAAAGATTAAACTTGAAAACTTTTTTCAATTTATGTGGCAGGAATCAATAGACGTTTTTTGCATATCGTTTGAAAAAGTGACGTGCAATTTTCATTTTAGCCAAAACGATGTGCAAATTGCACATTGCACACAGTTAATTCGCACACTGATGGGGGAGATAAAAAGTTCGTCAAATCCTTTCACAAACGCGTTTTCTAAATATCATTTTCCGTTCGTCTTTCATTTTGCAATCACGTGGCTTACACGCTGCATGCATAACGTTTCATAAGAACCTTGAACCACTTCACAAAGTGAAAGCGACGACGCGTCTCCGATCATAATTAATATAAATATATTCCCTAAAAAAACTCAAACAATGATTACAACTAGAAGATGACAACTTCAACAAACCTGTTAGACAGAACACTACAGCCACAAATACAAAAAGATTCAACACCATGAACCATATGCGTGCCATTTTTCGTGAAAATTATGCTACAAATGTACAAAAACATAATTAGACAAACGAGTATTATAGCATGGCGTTTGGTGAAACATGCGCAAAGTATCTTATCATTGCCAATACTCCTTAATATCTTTACTAACCTTTTTAAAAAACACGCAAGTTTACTTCTGCAATTCACAACGACTTTGAGTGTGTACAATTTTGCCAAAAATAAGGTTATTAGTGAATCACTTCCTCATTCCGGTTGGAGTCGACAAGTTACGAAATAATATAAAAAAAAAACCCATCGCGCGAGAAAATACACGCATCATCTCGTAGATTGTATTGCATGTTCTTGACATTCGTTATTTTCATAATAAAAATTTTTTTGATTCTTAACAATGTTTTCAGCAACCACGACAACCTTAGAGCTTCTCAATATAATATACTGCTTTATCAAGAAATTAGCAAAAGTTAGTCAAGTAAAATGACAGCGTCCTTTCATTGAACACAATTTATGGCCTTCCTGGATTGCAATGAAAGCTGGATTCCAGAATCCTACTTGGTGGCTTCCGGATTCGAAAGCTTGAACTTAGCTGGATTCCAGATTCTCTTATATAGGACAAGCTTGAGATCATAAATCATAAATGATGACTTAGCAGGTAGCTTTTTCTTAGCTTTAAAGAAATCTGAACATTTCAGAAATGAACACATTTAGAAAAGGACAAGTCTTATGAATGGCTATATCATAAGATCAAAACACGAAGACAAATGCTGAATCTGAAAATTTGAAGATTTGAAAATTGTCAACGACAAATCTTCTCAAAAGTGTTCAATTCAATTGAGCGGAATTCCAAATCAGAACGGATTCAAGTCGTTTATGTTAGCATTTTTGCTGAGCGGTTTCGTTTTCTTCACTTCCGTTCAACGAGTCCTGGTGGAGTTTTGCGAAGCAGACTCTTATACTGACGGTTGTAGCGTGCCATTTGGCTTAGACACGCCATTCAAAGAAATTTTTACAAAGGCCTGTAATAAACACGATACATGTTATGGATGCGTGAGTCCAATAATTTCATATTCATTTCAAACCCTATTTCTTGTCATTAAACTTTATTCCTTTTTGTTCAAACAATCATGCTGTTTTCACTCCCCATCCCTCTCCCCCCTAGTCATGTCATCCCTCCCCCCCTAATCATGCACTTGTAAAACAAAGACTTGCTTGCGGTAGTAAAGGTAAATACTGCACTGAATAGCGTTTTTTTCTATGGCAAATGAAAAATAGGTAGTTGCAAAAAGAACTGTCGAAAACCGAAATTAAGATACGAATTTAAATGACAGGATGAATCAGTACTTTTTACAACAACCTGGTCGTCATTTACCATCACACAAGTACCCCATTCTAAGCTATATTATACATTTGTACCAGCTCTTAGCAGCAGTCAAAAGAATCTTGTGTACAAATCTTGCGTACAAATCCATGGCATTGTAAAAATTGGACACAATTATATTTCATCATCCAATGTGTATTGAATAAAACTAGATGATGAAGTGGTCAAAATGAGTAAAAACTGTTTTGTTATCACAGGGCTACCATTTCAATTGGTCTCGTGCCCTATGCGACGCAGCATTCCTACGGGACATGAAGAACCTGTGCAGACCACCAGCTCCATCACGCAAGCGAAGATTTGTCGCAGCGCTCATGGAATTATGGGATTTACTACGTGGAATAAGTAAAAAGGAGAAAAGATGTCGCATGATGGCGGATGTTTATTACGATGGAGTGCGAATGTTTGGCGAGTCACATTATGCAAACGTTCACTATGCTTACTGCTATACGGAATGTGCAAAGTTACACGGAAGCCCTTTTGTAACACTTAAACGAAGACAACGATAAAGTTGCGTGTGATATATACAGTGTTTTCGCTTAAATAAACCTGTAAATGATTTGTATTTTAGCTTGGAGATCTTTTTAAAGCACGCTATTTCATATAATCATTAGCATGATTTGTATTTTAGCTTGGAGATCTTTGTAAAGCACGCTATTTCATACAATCATAATCTGCCTTGAGCTTTATATGACCAGCAAACCACAATCAATGGGTGAATCAAACAATAGAGACGAAGAAATCCTTTGCATTTCTCATTTCTATGGCGTATTGTAATTGACATCAATGTGAATCAAACAATAGAGACGAAGAATCCTTTGCATTTCTCATTTCTATGGCGTATTGCAATTCATTGTGCTTGGACAAATCAAAAACTCTTGGTTATGTAGCGTATTGTAATTCATTGTGTTTGGACCAATCAAAACCTCTTGGTCATGTAGCGTATTGTAATTCATTGTGTTTGGACCAATCAAAACCTCTTGGTCATGAAGGTAAACATTATTCCCAATAATGTAAATAAATTGGACAAGTACAATCGACAACATTCTCACAACTTCAAGCGAAGTAAGACTTTAGAAAATAAAGCAGCTCAACCACTATTTACCATGTACCACATGCCAATGATATTTCAGACGTCAAACTTAACCTATGACGAACGATTTTCCGTTTATTGCAACAAAATTTTAAAGGATTGTAAAGCCAGTGAGGTAAAGAGTAAGATCGCCGAGTATGTAAAGACAAATGTCAAAAAATGTGCGTGGAAAGCTATTTGGAGCACGGTCATACCTCATACGAACGAGGCTTTGGATATTTTGGTTCAGGTAAGATGGTAGACATATTTGTTTGTAAATGTAGATCGTCCAGGTTGGTATAGTCCTGAGAAGGACTGTTTTTGTTGTTGTTGACTGACGTTTCGACAACCTTAGCGGTAGTCATCTTGAGAGTCATCATAGTCATTTTTGACCGCTAAGGTTGTCGAAACGTCAGTCAACAATAACAAAAACAGTCCTTCTCGGGACTATACCAACCTGGACGATCTACATTTACAAACATGTAACAATACTCCCGGGTTCAAACCATTTACTTTATGGTAGACATATTGGTAGTTTTATGATATGATTCGACAGGCAGCTTATGTGTAGTTTGCAGGTTATGGCGATCACTGCAAGAAGACATTTATTATTCTATCTTCAGTACTGTAAATGATTAGTGTTAGTGTGGCCGACCTTTCAAATCGTAGGTCGTCAATGTTATACCAGAAAATCTCACATCAGAAGTCAGTTTATGGATACCAGTCACCTCCAACGTACCAATCTCCTACCAAAAGGCACAGGCAATGATCAAAGGCAAACAGAATTGCATTCCATTGAATGAGCTATCACCTGTGTATGACGAGACTGGAGACTTGGATGAAACAGCAATGGCCCTCGAGCATGTGAAGTATGTTTAGTGATTAAGGATGGGAACAACGTGAACATTGTATATTAAGTAGGGACATGGTAAAAAGACCCACGATATCCCCCACTTGCAATCCTCACATTTTCTCATATTGTACATGGACGGAATAGGCTGTGCAAACAACAAAAAAATTCGAATTCAAATTTATATCTCATCGACCATTCACAATCTACACTATTTTGGTAAATGCATGTTGACTCTGACCTTTTGTTAAATTAGATTTTTCTTTGAAAATATTTGGCGTGATTGGGATTTGGGAGACGATGAAAACTACACCTACACGACCCGTCATTTACACAACAGACTTCGACTTTATTACGACATAAAAGAACACAATTTATCAACGGAATTCATCAGACATTATTGGGGTAAGCTTTGCTCCGCTATTTGAGAAAACTAGGGTGTATAGGTGTTTAAGCCCTTGCTGGTAAGGATCTCTAATGAAGGAGAAGTGTCTTTGAAAATTGAAATATGCTTGTACGACAATAACTCAAATTGTTTCATGAACAAGCCTCAAAAAGGGTATTTAAATTTCTCTTCTCAAGACATTATAGCTCTGTACAAACAAGAAGCGATGGGCTTGAAAGTGCTGCGTAATAACATGTCGGCGAGCGACTCGGAAGAAGAGCTGGACTCGTCGGATGTTTATACATTGGCTCAGAAAACCGAAGAGCTGGACACCATAGCAAAATCATTGCAGGCGTTGGAAGATCCGAAAATGAGGTTTACATGTCATACTTCTTGTTCGTTAAACTGTATACACGTTGTGTCTTTTACAACGTAAAGTTTAAAGCTGTACGCAATGCGCATCAGTTTTTTCGTGTTCTTGATCGGTCAAGTATTTAACAACTGAGAAAAAGTATGTTTTTACATTATCAGGGAACTCCTTTACACGGTAGCTTTTAATAATAACTTACAAGGAAGGAAAAACAAACGAACGTCGCCAGTGACGATGCTCATTACCGAACAATTAACGGCAAAGATGACGAAAACCTTACCAGGTACAAACACAGTACAAATCTCCATTTTACTTGTACAAGAATAAACACATTTGATAGGTGTCGTCTGCGAACGGAGTGTCTTAGTTCTTTATATGATTATATGTTGCAGATGATGCCATTATCGAACACTACAGGACGATAGAAAAGCCATTGAATGTTCGATTAGGGAAGATAGCTTACTTATATATGATGGTTGCTATGGTGTTGGTGCAATTGTATTTGATCACTCCCTTTGCATGTCCGGGAATGGCCACGTCATATGTAAGACTTTTTTTGTACTTAATGTAAGATTTGTATTGATCGGTTAATGCACGAGTTTTGATCGTGAGTTTTTAAGATGATTTTCCATGGAAATTTATATGTTCTACGGTCACAATTTGCAGTATATTTAACACTTAATGTGCTGTACATAAGACAAAAGAATTAAAGAAACCAAAGAGGATAGTGACGTACCTACTACTGCAAAATCATCACAATTCCATGTGATTTTGCCGGTCATTCCTTGTTCTATCTAGTGGAAAGCGAGGAAGAAGAGAAGGATTTCCTTACAACGAAAGCGGCTTCAATGAAAATAGAAAGCATCAAGTTGCAGTTTTCGGGTTCAAACGCAGCAATTTTGGTAGTGAAGAGCGGACGGGCTTTACTTAAAGATTGCGAGCTGCAGGGCACCTACAACACAGGAATTGTAGTCAAGGAAGGCGCTCATTTGACTATGGAAAAGTGTAAAATTGATCATGCGACGGTAGGTAGCTGTAGCAATGGTAAATATAAATTTACTTTCTCCAAAAGATAGCACTTTGAATGTCTATCTGATCAATAATATCACAGCTTAAAAAGGGAATAAAGTACTTCTGAAGTTCCCCAGTTTAAGTAATTTTATATAAATTAAATGTGATGTTTATCCACTTTTTTGAGTTCTATATCAGGGGCCTGTTGCACGAAGCCTGAAGAGCAATTTTTTGAAACTTTTATGAAACCTATTAAAACGCAAAAAAGATAATATTCGAACTGAGCAATCAATCACTGAAATAAAATGTTTTGAAGATTATGAAATTTCTTTGTCGTAAGAAAAATACAACACCTTTTTTACAAACTTGAAAATATGTGCCGTCCAATGGATAACGCTATCCAGGCTTCGTGCAACCGGCCCCTGCTATTGATGAAAAGCTTGATATATTTTTTTGCATTTTTTTCTTCGTGGAAGTTTGCAGCCGTGACTATTGAAGCTGGTGCAATCGTAAATATTCAGCGATGTCAGATTTTATCAAAAAATCCAAACGCATATGGAATCAAGGTACGCACTGCTTGATGAGCAGCGCCAATGATGCAAATATGAATTAAACAAGTTGACAACAGATTACTTCATCTTAGATAAATTTCAACAAAACACGGCCGTCCACGGTGGAAATATCAGAAAGCACGATACGAACTGCGTGCCCAATAACTGTATTCGAGGGCAAAGATATAAAATCTTTTGCTGAACATAACTTTGTAGAGGGTTTAATTTTACGTATGCACAACGTCACTTGCGTTTCTTTATAAGTCAACGCGGTCTTTATGCTAAATTATATGTTTATATCGATTTAGTTATGCTAAATTATATGCTTATATTATTTATTTATGCTAAATTATAAGTTTACATCTATTTATTTATGCTAAATTATATGTTTATATTATTTATTTATGCTAAATTATAAGTTTATATCTATTTATTTATGCTAAATTATATGTTTATATCTATTTAATTATGCTAGTAGTAATGATATTTGTGATAAATAGAAACTTACAATTAAAAGGCTGAAAGATAACGCATCGATCACTTTTTAAAAATATCTGTCCATGATTACGGTGTGAATTGTTGTTTTTTTAAGTGTTTATGACACCAAATTTTTACCATTAATCTTTTCGCAATTGCATTGTGAAGAAAATTTAAAACGACTCAACAACTTCTTCATTAGAAATGTGTTATTTTATTTCTTTTTGGAGATATGTAACGTTTTCTTCTCTACGCAAATGATATTGTTAGACATCATGTTGCAAAATTAGTATTGGTAAGTAGTAATTTTTTTTCGACAGCCAGCATTAAATAGATCAATTAGGCACATTTAGAAATATTCATCTACACATCTATTCGAATTAAGCTGTAATAATTGTGCATAAAACATTCTAACGATGTTGAAAATTGTTGATTATTGAAATGCCATTATGCTCTGTGGTGTCACAAAGATTTTATTTTCATAATGAACGAAGTATGAATACCTCTAGAAACATCTAGAAACAATTCAATTCTACTGAAAAGGTTATAAAGTCATCAAATAAGTTCTTTGCATTACACAAGCAAATTCGTGGTAAAATTTCATGTCGTAAACAGTTTAAGTAAGAAAAACTGAAAGATTTTCACCCGAATATCCTAATTATTCACACATTACACAAGATTGCTTGTTTCGTGGCGAAAATAAAACTTAGCAAACATAACTATTTATAACGTAACCTATTTTGACAACGCTACCTAAACTTGACTAGTTCTTGAGTGGCATACCTGCGTAGTTTATTGAAGTCTACATCCAAATGTCGTCTCCAGTACCTTCGTTCTCTACCCCACACCGAGACAGGGAAACACGGACTATCTATCCCATGAAACACACGCGCGATCGCTCGCCCACTGAGCTCTAAATCACTGTGACTTGTTATGAAGGAGCGAATATCCCTGGCAACCATGTCCCAATTCACTGGGTCCTCGGCCGGAATCACATTTTCGAGAAATGTGGAGTTTTTCCGGGCCGTGGAAAGCAATTCAAGTTCTGTCTTTGTGGCATCATTTTTACTCTCAAAGTATTTGGTTAGTACACACTTTAAGTGGTCATCCATTACTTTGTCGCATTCTTCAGCACTTTGCCAGCAATTCGTATGAGCCATTGCTTTGAATGTCGACCATACCTTGTGAAGCTGGCCAAGTTGACTACGTTCCTGGGCGATCATACGATCTTCGAGAAAATCACATACCTATATAGAAAAGTTAGAAGAAAAATATTACATTTTTCAATATTAGGAGAGGAGGGAGTGACGGAAGGTGGGGTGACGGAGAGGAGATGGAGTGACGGAAGGTGGGGTGACGGAGAGGGTAGTGACGGAAGGTGGGGTGACGGAGAGGAGATGAGGTGACGGAAGGGGGGATAGTGACGGAAGGCGGGGTGACGGAGAGGGGATGGAGTGACAGGAAATAACATCGTACCTAAATGAAGAATCTTTTTCAATAATTCCACTAAAGTTATACAATAGCAACATGCTTACTTCATCTATTTCTTCGCCTTTTAAATCTCCGGGGGCTTCGACGTGGAATGCTAAATCAGAAAATTCAACAACGATACCGGAATGTCCGGTTGACAAACCGGTTTCCCCAGGTAATCTTAGACCTTCGTTCCATTGAAGGCCGTACAATTCACGTCTTACTGGCTCCAAATCCCAACCCATTTCGTCAATAATTTTTACGACTGGAAACGTCAATGTGCTTGTTTTAACTTTGAACTCGCCACGCTTGCGCGCAAATGCCACAGCAGCAGCTACAATGGGAACACGTTGTGTGACGTAATAAAGATGTGCGGGGCCACCGTAGAACTTGAGAGTGCAGGTAGCTCGTATGGATTTTAGAATTTGAATCCAACGTTTCGGATGTAACTCAAGGTAGCACAGCAACGTTTCAATCGCTTCTTCCTTCATGTCCAATTGCTGCACGACTTTATCAATTGGTATAGCAACCTCGTGACCGCCACAATCACGTGTCGTGTGACCGCCATGTCCAATTGCTGCACGACTTTATCAATTGGTATAACAACCTCGTGACCGCCACAATCACGTGTCTCGACAGCCTCGTCACCAGTGACGTCACTATTGTTAATAGCTTCTTCCTTCATGTCCAATTGCTGTACGACTTTATCAATTGGTATAACAACCTCGTGACCGCCACAATCACGTGTCCCGACAGCCTCGTCACCAGTGACGCCGCGATTGTTAATATTAATATCTTTATTTGTGGCGTGTTCTGCAACATCGTCTTCATCTATCAACATCACGTTATCTCCTAAGACGTCATGGCTGTCGATAAACCTATCATTGTTTTCAAATACCGTCATGCCATTTGTGCAGTCAGTAATCGTATTATCTTTGAAAACTTTCTTTGCAACAACTTCGTGCTCAAATTCATACACATGACCATCATCATACACCAAATCTTTACAATTGTCATCGGTACTATTAAAAGTCGTCTTCGTATTAGAACCCAGGCTGCTACAACTTACAAGCGATATATCATTCTTTAAAACTTGTTTCCTCCTTTCCTCCATTTGAGAACGAAGCGTTCTACAGTCGCATTTCGGAAAGATTTGATGCACCAACTTCTTGACAACATTTCTGTCAACAGTGCTTGCGTGCGCATGACGTCGTAGCTCACGGACATCTTTACCCTACATAGCCAAAAACCCTCATTAGTGACGTAGTTGTGTGACGTATTAAGTGACGTAGCAAAGGTGTCTGGTATATTAACGTAGCTGCATGACATATTGAGTGACCTCTCTTTTTCTAAATCAACTCTTACCTCGGGATCAACAAATACATGACAATGAGAGGGCAAACCATCGCGTCCCGCACGACCAATTTCTTGAACATAACTTTCGAAACTTTTAGGCATGTTGTAATGAAGGACAGCGCGAACATCAGGCTTGTCTAAGCCCATGCCAAAGGCAACTGTCGCGACAACAATACGTATGTCACCAGCCATAAATTTTTTTGCACTTTCTTACGTTGTGCAGCCGATAGACCGGCATGATAGCATTCCGCTTGCCACGATGAATCGATGCTGCGGCTTGATTTTGAAGATTTCCTAAAGACGGACAAAGCCTCAAGTGAAGAGATCTCGCTGAGACGAAGTAACGAATTTATTATGAGAGCTATATACCATATATGCACATTAAAATTTGATATGAACTGTTTGGTTCAATTTATAACAATAGCACGGTGGTTCAATTTATAACAATAGCACGGTGGTTCAATTTATAACAATAGCACGGTGGTTCAATTTATAACAATAGCAAAATAGAAATTTATAACAATAGCACATTGGTTCTATTTATAAAATAGCAAAATGGTTAACAATTTATAACAATAGCACGGTGGTTCAATTTATAACAATAGCACGGTGGTTCAATTTATAACAATAGCACGGTGGTTCAATATATAACAATAGCACGGTGGTTCAATTTATAACAATAGCACGGTGGTTCAATTTATAACAATAGCACGGAAAGTTCAATTTATAACAATAGCATCTCAGGTTCATAAATATAACACAGTAAATTCCGCATGCAATATTCGCAAAAATAAAACAAATTTCTACAATAAAAGCAATTCGCAATCATCTGACAATAGAGTCATTCAACTTAATGACACCCTACAATCCTAACTACCATAACATAACAACAGAAAGTCATTCTATTTAATAACAAATAGACATAACGGTGGTTCAATTTCTAACAATACACGGTGGTTCAATTTATAACAATGCACGGTGGTTCAATTTATAACAATAGCACGGTGGTTCAATTTATAAAACAGCACGGACAACAATCAACTACCAAAACTGCTTAAAATTCTTTACTAATGTACAATTAACTACCATAAATTGAATTATAAATTCCAATGAGATCAAAATAGAATTTCGATAAAAACGTCATCATTGGAAAATGCCGGGACATGAGGAAAAATCAGCTAAAATACCAATAACAAAAAAGCAATATAACACAGTAAATCCTCCGCATCTCCAGGAAAGATTCATGCAAATAATGACACCCTACAATCCTAACTACCATCAGCTGCCAAACAGAAAGTCATTCAAATATAACACAGTAAATCCTCCGCATCTCCAGGAAAGATTCATGCAAATATAACACAGTAAATCCTCCGCATCTCCAGGAAAGATTCATGCAAATATAACACAGTAACTCCTAACGCTGCAACCAACAGAAAGTCATGCAAAATAACACAGTAAATCCTAACGCATCTCCAACAAAGATTCATGCAAATATAACACAGTAAATCCTCCGCATCTCCAACAAAGATTCATTCAAATAATGACACAGTACAATCCTCCGCATCTGCAAAGATTCATTCTTATAATGACACAGTAAATCCTCCTACATCTCCAACAAAGATTCATTCAAATAATACACACAGTAAATCCTCCGCATCTCCAGAAAGATTCATTAATGTCAAAATAAAACCAAACAGCTGCAAAACAGAAAGTCATTCCGACACCCTCACTCTAACTACCGCTGCCAACCTTACAGAAAGTCATTCTTTACTTAATGACACCCTACAATCCTAAATACCATAACAGCTAACAAGGTTTCTAACCCATCCTACCTTCTCATTCCCCCACGATTTTTTCCACGACTTTTCTGGTCATCCTCCGTGTCATTTGTCTCCGTCATACAACTGCTTGTATTCATAGGATTCTTCTGCAGACACGTTCTGAGATAGGTCGCCAGTCGATCGGTCTGTTCGCGACGTGTACAATATATGATGATGGAATCACAATCTTTGAAGCGAGAGCCTTGAAGGAGTTCAAGGATGGCCTGGGGACAAGCACAACAGAAAAATCCATTGAGTACAAATATATTTTTACCATAGCGATCCTATACATAAATGTTTCGCCACTAAAAACGTGCTTATTTTAATTTGCAAATAAATCCTTCACAATACCTACGAATTATGGGATGAAAAATCGACTCATTATCAAAACTGATTTGTGATTTTTTACCAACCCTATCTCTGTTAAAATCGCACGAAACGGAAAGATGAAGGTTATCAGGTATGGTAGCTCCTCTGACGATGCCTTCCGGTCGATGATTTATCCCCAGGTGTTCACAAACGGATAGAGCAGTAGATCTCGTTGCAGTTGCCGTCAGGCCCAGAAAGCATTGCACGCCAAAACGTTCACGTAGTACCTGCAGTACATAAAATAATAAACAATAACTGCATTCAACTAATAATACATTCATTGAAACAAGCTGAAGTGCACTCGACTGACTTAAGGGAGTAACTAGCTCACTCGGTATGCAACTAATAGAAAAATCATCTGAGCATGCGCATTACACTTGACCAACTATTCCAGTTCAACCAACTGTTTCACTGGAGCATGTGCTGTCTATTCGTCATAGCCTTGGCAACGACCAACTGTATCTACTTGCACTACATTCAAAGTAAATAGCTCGCTTAGTCACAAATTGTTAAAATCATTCCGAGCATGCGCAGTGAGCTCAACAGAAAGTTAGAGTTCATTGTCATGGAAACGACCAACTAAGACCAACTTTGATCTGCTAGCAGATCTATTAGCACCAACTTTGGAGTAAATAGTTTGCTTAATCACCAATTATTAAAGAATTAATCTGCGCATGCGCTCGAGCATGCGCTGCCCCCTCAAACTATCGATTGTTCATCGTCTTGGCAACGACTAACTATATGTACTTGTACTACGTTTGTGGAATTAGCTCATTTAGTCTCAAATTATCAAAGAAATAATTTGAGCATGCGCAGTAGTGACTTTAATAATACCACAACTTTCGTAAGCCTTTGAATTTATGTATACATATATATAAATCTAAACTTCATATAGTAGATGTCAACTAGCAGTGGAAGCTGGGTACGATGTAGTATGCAGTGGCTTACGGGCCCACACTTCGGTGGCGACCGCACTCACCGCGACCGAGCAAAGCCTATCCCAGGTGATCTCGGGGTCTGATGGGCGGTAGCTTGCTATCGGCATCTCCCAAGGAGGATAGCGTGGAGGGGCCGAAATCTCCTACCGAAACGTTAAAATGCGGTGTTCTAGTGCCTTACGCTTAAGAGGGTATCGGGAAGCATGGACCGAAAACGGGTTTTTAGTCACGATTTAAGTCTCTCATTTACTACTTAACGCATAATGTGTAAACCATACATAGCAAACAAGGGTTATCTCATTCAAGGATTATCTCATTCAAGGGTTATCTCATTCAAGGATTATCTCATATCTCAGATGTCTCAGAGTTTTTACAATGATAACATTTCATAAGGCATGGCATTTGTATAGTCTATGCTGAACCCTAATTTCAAGACTATTGTGATGAAAATTTAATTCATTTTGGATAGATATTGACTAAATGGATTTATGGAAGTACAGGTAGTAGCTTATAACTGCACAATCGTAATGTAATGAATTGAACCAAAACGGAGATAAAATTCTAGAACGGCGCAGCTCTAAAGAGACCACTCGACAAACACGACATAATTACCTTGCAAACGCGAAGATAAGATGGTCTAAAATTGTGAGACCATTCAGATACACAATGCGCTTCATCGATACATGCGAAGGAGATTGGAGGTAATTTAGAAGGATGGGGAAGACACCCGACACCGGAACTTGCACCAACCAAAGCCTCGGGAGACACCAAGACGACGGCCGCTTTACCAGAGCTTATTTGAAGTACAGCTTTTTGACGCTGTTGTTTTGTCATGTTAGTGTTTAGACTTACACCATTCAATCCAAAAGGTAAGCCAACCACCTTAGAAATACAACAACAGCTCAGTTTAATGCACAATTACCACGCGCATGTGGTCAATCTACGATGCTACAAGCCTACAACAGATTATTTCACGTCCACTTTTAACGTGAACTCCGACGATAGTCAATTTGAAAGAGAGCATTTATATAAGACTGAGGTAAATAAGCGGTGACCTTCAAAAACAACAAAAAACGTGTTGCTAACAATCATCAATATGCAAGAGCTTTGTATCTTCTTTCTTTCGATGTACATCCCAATAACCTTTTGCTAACGATAGACCTATATCCAATATGACTGTATAGGCAATTTTCTACCAGATCTGGTCGAATGAGCTTAAACACTTCCCCTGTTCTGAATTATGCAATCATACATAGCAGGCGGGAGAGTCAAACCTCTTCAGACCAAATCTACTAAAAGTTTGCATATATGACCACACCGCCTCTCCCCACTCTCTTAGTAAATCAGAAAGTATGAGCAGTTAAAATATTATGATGACATACACTCAAACATAAAACCATCGACAATATACGTTTCCACGTTCTTACCTGATCTTCCATAAGCGAAACAAGAGGAGAAATGACCAACGTAATACAAGGCGATCGTTTGCTGTACATGTACGCCGGAAGTTGGTAGCACAACGATTTACCTGCCCCAGTCGACAACACTACCAAAGTCGACAAACCTAGTGATGACGAGAATACATCGATGACATCTAAAATATGCTGGCCATTATACCAAATATGTATGAAGAAGTAAATAAATTATACTAATATTTACCACATAAGATTTGCATTATGGCTTCCTCTTGACCACATCGGAACGATTCAAATCCCAATTTTCTTAAGGCGTCATATACCTCTTGAGGAGTATCTAGGTAAAACACAGACACTTTCCTGTAAATACATCCATTGAGTGACGTAGAGCAGGCTGTTTATGTACCTACCAATTGGATGACCATCCAGTGGTTGATAGAGAGGCTCGATAGCTTGAGGAGTTTGGACAATTGTCTCATGAGGTCTGTGTAAGCGATCTAATCTAAGATCTTTCAACTTCTCTTCAGTTCGTTCCCATTGTTCATCGTCAATTTCAAGGTCAGCAGGAGGCTTCGCAGGCTCAGACCAACTAAATCAGTGATTACGGAACGATAATGAAACACCAAATGTAATTCAGGCGTAAAATTGAAGAACTTAGGGTTTGGAGATAATAAAGCATCTGAAGGTTAAATAAGTTTCGATTCAAAAGACCAAACTCTGACCCAGTACTTTAATCTAGCTCATGATGCAAGCGTTGGCAAAAACCTCTATGATCGGTTCATGTTCAAATCGGCATTAACACAAAATCCAACGCACAGCAAATGATCTCAATCTAAAACAGCAATGCTTACTTTTGAGAAGAAGTTTGTGCGGTAGACGACTTTTTTCGAGGGCAATCTTTCACCCAATGTCCATCCTCACCACATTTGAAACACGTTGTCGTTATTGTTGAACTACTGATACGTCTGTTACCATTGTTACCGCTGACACCTTTTCTTTTTTTCCACTGCTCTTTCTTAGCACCGTCGGCTTTCTCGTTCGCCTGTTGCTTCTGCTTCCACATCCTACGTTTGTACGCAGCGTAGTTGACGCCATGGCTACGACGGCTGAAGCGACGAACCTTCAAGTTGATGGCGCGGAAATTTTCACTCACTAACCCGGACGATCTAGACAATCGGTAGTGGAGAAGAAATGATACAGTCCAGTTGCGAAGAGAGTTCAGTTTTACATAGATATTGCTTTACAATGGCATTCAGCTGTTGTTGACGGGGTTAGCGAGTATAAATAGAAGTTAGTCGTTCATTCAAGGAGAGTATTACACAGACGTTCACGCGCTCAACACGTGACACTTGGCTGAAACGACGTATAACCAGTTCCATTATTAAGATCGAGCGAGTATTCATATATACATATTTTGCTTTATCGAGTTCTTTTGAAAGGTTTCAATGGATTATGACATGCATATGTTCACGTTTCTTATTTTTATGCGTAAGTCAGTTTAGGGACTATTGAGACATAAAGAAAAGAATAAATAATTTTAAAAACAGACGAACTTTTTATCGAACATCATACACATATTGAAGTCGTTTTGATTGAGAACAACCAGAGAGAAAATAGTAGTTTTGGACAAAAATCCCCAAATTGACAAAGTACGACTTGAAAAGCAAAAAAGTTGTCGATATATGTATATGTAACTTGTCGATATATCAATATTCCTCCCCGTCTCTTGAATCATCAAGCTGGTTATGTGACGTCATGACCTGGCAACAATTTCAATGGAGTCGATATGTCTCTTGAATCATCAAGCTGGTTATGTGACGTCATGACCTGGCAGCAATTTCAATGGTGTATGTGATCTAAGCTTGGCTACATGATGCTAAGGTGATATCAATAACTTAATTCATTCAACGAAATCAACTTTCTTCAAATAATTTACCTTTTCTTTGCAGTGTTTCCTTGACCAGGATCAGTAAGAGAGTTTGATGGGATATTTTCGTTTTCTTCATCAACAATATTTCTGTCCTCTACATCAGAGTCATTTGCAGAAATTCTCCGCTTTTTCGAGGGTACCACATCAGACCACAAAGTGCTGCATTCACTTCGTGATCTTTTCTGCTCAGAACAGGTAGAATTGTTACGAGAGATGTTTACATCAAATAATGATGGAAATACATGATATCTTTCTCTGCTCTGAGCTTCCACTATCTTCCCAATCGTTTCAACTTCTTCAATACTGTCTTTGGAAATCACTTTTTCACAGAAATCATTTGCAGAAATAACAGAATTGTCTGAAGCTAACATTTTCTTCATGGATTTTTCAGAAACTTCTTCTCTTTTTCGATTAAATAACTCTTTCACTTCTTCTTTCGTTTCTCCATCAGATTTCAACTTTCTACTTCCATTAGTACAAACAGAATCCACAATATTCCCTGCACTGCAATGCTGAGGTATGTCCATGGATTCGGGACTTCTCTTGTTCTTTTCATTGTTCACATTGTTGTCATTGTTCACATGGTTGAAGTCATTGTTCACATTGTTGATGTCATTGTTCACATGGTTGATGTCATTGTTCACATGGTTGAAGTCATTGTTCACATGATTGATGTCATTTTTCACATGGTTGATGTCATTGTTACATGGTTGATGTCATTTTCACATGGTTGATGTCATTGTTCACATGGTTGATGTCATTGTTCACATGGTTGATGTCATTGTTCACATGGATGATCTCATTGTTCACATGGTTGATGTTATTTTCAACAGGAGCAGCAGCAGCTAATTCTGATTGGTTCCTATTTAACCACTCACTAGCCAAGGCAGACCGTCGTTTCACTTGTTTGAAAAGAGTTGCTTTTCCCAACATCATGCCAGGTTTTGTAAGGCTCTCTTTCTAAAACAAATTTCAAAGTTACTATTGTCCAGTTGTATTGATCAGTTCACATACAAACAACTAACCATATTACAATGAACTCACCTAGCAGATGCAATAGAAAATCTGACATCATGTGTAATTCCATCATTTCCAGAAAAGATTTCATCACCAGTGTTGGTATTATAATTTTTCTAAAAGCAAAGAACATTACATCAAAATTTCCCATCTCCTTCGCTGTACAAATTTCATTACAACACCAATGTAGCATTTTTATCCTTTGTGCGTTGACACAAAGCAGTTATGCGTCTGCCGATTCGTTTTTGGGACTGTATACAATTTTCAATTTTACTCTTAACTATTCCAATATGACTATTCTACATCACAAATAACCATTTCAAGCTTTTACATTCACAGCCAGCGATGGAAGAAGACTGACTTTTTACGTGTGTCAACTAATAAAGGTTTTTCATAAGTTCCTATTTCCGTTGTTCCGTAAGTTCAGAGTATCGAATTACAATTATCTATTATTTTTTTACAAAGTTCCGACAACCTACTACCTTGCGATTGGTTGGTTCATCTTGTTGCTTCTCACTTGAATGATTCAGTGGGTTATTTTTGCTGGGAAAATGCTTTCCAGGTCTTTGGGGATGCCGCAATTTGATTGGTTTACAATCTGTTGGTGATATTCTTATCTTGACAGTTTCAGAATTGGACTTTGGAATCTTACTTTTGTTTAAGCTTTTACCAAATACCTCATCGTCGATACCCTTCTGAAGACGATGAAAGCAGAAAGTTGATTCTAAGTGTTTCCTTGCAAAAATGTCATATCACGTACCTTAGAGTTTTCCTTAACACTTTTGCAAGTTTTTACTTTGGTGTATCTTCTCAGTTGGTTATATTTTAAATATGTTTCTGAAAAACAGCGAAACATTGAACTAAACATGGAGTCAGTTAATATTACCATTCGAAGGACATTTTCATTATCAAATAACTTTTCATATAAAATAATCAACAAGACCAGTTATACCTTTTATCTCATCAGAGGCATTGTTTACATCATCCTGACAAACAAACATAAGGGTAAGTAAAGATTATGTTTTGGCAATGTCATTGTAATTTGTACATTGCCAACCGATTTCATAAATTACAATTGTCATACTTTATTTGGTTTACGTCGATGTTTACGCTCAAACATGCTTTCCCAAGCTTTCAATTCTGTTTCATGCATTCCATTTCCTGAGTATCCTCTAAATAATTACACATGTGCGCGATGTAATAACCGTGAACCATTATATAGAGAGAAAACACAATGTAACCTTCAATTTGAATATACACCATTTTTATCAACATATCGCGTTTGTGAGTTAGAAGAACTTTGTGCTTCCCAACGATAGATAAGTGAAATGAATTTGTTCATGCGTAATAACGAAATTATGAAACGAATTGTTGTGTTTCAGTGTTTATTAAATGTACAGAAGACAAGATGACTTACTTTTTCCGAGCATGTTCTTCTTCTATTTTAATACAAAATAGACGAAAATACCAATTGGAGTGTTTTTAAGTGTTTTTCATTGAAGTGTGGCCAGAAAACATGTAGAAATCGGTCGAAATCACTCGTAGAAATTCCTTGATGCAGTCGCCATGTTTTTGTTCATATATTTTAATTTCCCGCCATTCGACTGATCTCGTAATTCCAACTTCAATATTGGAATGTTATTGTTATGTATCAGTCATGCAGGGTACTTTTCCTACCTTGTTTTCTATTAATAACCACAAAATTCTCAGAAAAGAAACATTGCATCGCATACAAACATTGCCTTATATTTTGAATATAGTAATTTAACCATTGCACATCACCATAGTCACCAGAGAAGAGAGTAAAAAGTAAAAATAATGTCGTTATTCCAACAAGCAATAGAATAATTTAGTTTCCCTTTTTCACTATCACAAGCAAGCGTTAGTACCATCAGTACTAGTAATTTTGCGAAAAACACAGAGAGTGATTCCTTTCACCTAATTTCTTCACTTTGTTGATTGTCACATAATTCATTATTACGTAGCCCCTATCTACAGTACCTCAAAGACTCAGTGGTGTAAGTTTGAACCATGCTGCCCGTGGTTCTTCAAGGACGAGGTTACCCTCCCCACCCGTTCACCAAAATCTGACAACATAAACATTTTCTTAAAAATCGTTAATATAACACAATATTTATTGGTTTTCTATTTACTTACAAAAAATACCAATTAGAGTATTCAATTTACTACCAGGAAAACGAATTCATAAATGATCTTCGATGAGAAATATCCAGGGCTACTATTTTCCCAAATATGAACCTACTTTTTTATCTATATTTTCATAAGTGGCACCGTTCAGGGTGCCCTCCTGCAAGCTGATTACTTGGGTGCCCGTGGCTCTGGCCACCCAAAGCTTATAGCAGTTACGCTACTGCAAAGACTGGACCAAGAATAATAAAATTTTTTTCGTTGAAGACACTTAATGAATACTTGATTTTCATTTGGTTTTAGTCCTGTCTCAAACACATTTTATATTACATAAGAAGAACCTTATTTTAATTACAAGCAAATTGCTAAGATTGTCAAGTGTACTCTGTGTGAAATTTTGGAAAAGTATTCCAAAATAGGTGGCAGATTTCTATTTTGGAATACATCGACTTTTCAAAGAGCTTCTTTCCTAAATTAGAGAGCGAAGGAACTCTCTAATTTAGTTAGAACGAAATACTTTTAAATGTGCATGTTTTTGTGTTGGGGGATTAAAATTAAATTTTGCCAATGACAAATTGTTATTTTCAATTTTTTATTGACCGACCATCTGCAAACACCGAACAGCCGAAGTCAAGGATTTTACCTTTTCAAAAAATGCTTTCTTTGAATGTTAATATTTACAGTCGAAGAACAGGTAATAATATTTGGTTAAACTTACCGTCAGAAACGGGAAATGACCATGCTATGCCACGTCGTTCTAAATGAGATAGTAACAAAAAATTAATAGATTAAATGATTGATAAAACAAACACACTTGCATGCCTTTCTTCCTCTTCTTGATCAGCTTCTCCTCCTCCACATCTGCGAGAAAAGCCTAAAGAACAAGTTGGTGGCACGACAATAACAAACGAACGTATACCCATGTCTTCGTTTTGATCATTTCGTCGTCCGCATCTGAAAAATACTGATTAACAAGTTAGTGGTATGATAAAACAAAGCAAAAAACAGCAAACAAAGAAACAGCAGACATGAAAAACCGAGGCATACCGCATTTCCAATCCTCATCCGTTGGCATACGTAGCTGTAAGAATAATTGTAAAAATTCAATTGGGACAAGCTGTTGGAGCTTTACCAAACCAGTGTTTGCAGAAGATCTGTTGAAATTTCTGTCGAAATTCGTACATTACAATGTTTCGGAAAAAAAATAGCTGTTAGACAAGGCTTACATCGATTGAAAACATTTTCCTTCCTCATGATAGAACTATGTTGAAGTGATAGTACTACAATCATATAACATGAACACTTATGTTATTTACACCATTTAACGAATAATGGTACATTTATACTGAATTAATTATTCTACCTGTAATGTAGACACTGCTATAACATCCCTCAATGTTATAATAGTGCCAATTACAGATTTAATAGAACTAATAATTATTTAACGTCAACTGCTTGACTAGCACACTTGAATTTAAAGATTTTGCAATACTCTGCCGCGTATTGCAAAATATTTTCGTAGCTATGGTAGAACTATTTTATATTCAATTTCATTTCCATTTTACATGCTTCGTAAGAACACACAGCAACGCCATATAATATGATGTTAACAAACATGTTAACTGATTTGTGCTAACTTCTATGATACAACTTTTGGTATAGCAGTGCCATGTTTTATGCGAAAGGATAATCGTTTCTTGCATTTGCAACATCTTGACGATGATTTTTTATATCTAGAAATATAGAAGTATTTCAGTTGAACTCGATTTTCTAAGATGGAAAATCATCGTGTATACTAAATATCATTAAGGCATTAACCCGTCTTTACTTCTAATTAATTTGCTTGGTTCATAAATATGGCACTTCGTTCTAAGATTTTAGCACGTCAAAGTCATGTAGTTATTCCCTGCCTTCTTTACCTTTTATGACTATGAACCGCACATTATGTGTTTGCTTTTCAATTATTTGGTTTAAAACAGAATTTCTCAGCCGATGTTTGAATGATTCACAAGATGATTTTCTTATCGCTACACGCCGAAGAAACTTTCATTACAAATGCGGACCAAAAGAGATGTTGTTGTGTTAAGTGGTCCGTTCTTGCAAACTATCATGGTACTACAATATAAAATACTCAAGGATGGTTCAAAAAGTGAAATAAACCTCAGCAAAGGAATGATGAAGTTTTGAACAAAGGCAATAAGTGAACACTAGAATCGACGTAAGCGCAAAGCTTCTTTTCTCTCGAACCAAATGAAAGCCTTTGCATAATTTCTTCTATAGCCGATATCTCTACAAATACACACCGAGTCTGTATCGCCACAACGAAGAACTTTCCAAAACATTTCATCTATATAACGAAAATCTTACCTTCTACAACTAGACATCCTCACTTGGCAAATATCAATCAGAAAATGGCCGGCAAGTTGTTCAAATTATTTGATAGCTACCATCTACAAAGCACCTGATTGGTTTAAAATACATTGAAGAACAATCCATTATAGAAATTGCAAATCTAAAGAGAGAGCGAGCTATTGTTCATGGTTTAGGAGCATCAGTCCGAGCAAGGACCACAATGGGTTAAATTATGCATTTTGCATGGCTCAACGGAAGGACGAATGAAATTACAAGTTTTAGAAAAAAACGATTATAAATGGTAGGTTAGCACCAAAATGTACGGAAAACGTTAAACATTTGCGGAGCAAACACGAAGTTTGCAAAAACGAAATGATCATAAACAGACTTGAGCGGCATACATTTCCGCAACCTAAAAAGTTATCCAGATTCTCTCTGAAAAAATCGTTAAATCGAAAAAACAAAGACAATTGAAATATTATGCTTTATTTTTTTTTCCAAACAATCATGTATCTGAGTAAAAACAATTTTATGCTGCTTCTTCTTCGCCTTCCTCCTCGTCGAATTCACCTTCTTCTTCGGCTGTGGCGTCTTGGTATTGTTGATATTCTGACACCAAGTCATTCATGTTGGACTCAGCCTATATTTTAAGAAACTAGTTCAATCAACCTTGCATTAAAAATCTACAGTTTGAAATCCATTTTTACTATACCTCTGTGAACTCCATTTCGTCCATGCCTTCTCCAGTGTACCAATGAAGGAAAGCTTTGCGACGGAACATAGCAGTGAATTGTTCGCTGATTCTCTTGAACAATTCTTGGATAGCAGTGCTGTTGCCAATGAAGGTGGCAGACATCTTTAAACCTCTTGGTGGAATATCACAGACGGCTGTCTTCACGTTGTTAGGAATCCATTCAACAAAGTATGAGCTGTTCTTGTTCTGGACATTTAACATTTGCTCATCAACTTCCTTCATGGACATTCTACCACGGAACATGGCAGCAACAGTTAGGTAGCGTCCATGACGTGGATCACAAGCAGCCATCATGTTCTTTGCATCAAACATTTGTTGAGTGAGTTCAGGGACAGTTAGCGATCGATATTGTTGAGAGCCACGACTAGTGAGAGGTGCGAAACCAGGCATGAAGAAGTGAAGTCGAGGGAACGGAACCATGTTCACTGCAAGCTTACGCAAGTCGGCATTCAACTAAAAATCATAAAAGTTAGTACAAGAAACAAAGACTTTATATTACCTGACAATGTTTGTTTGTATACCTGACCAGGGAAACGCAAGCAGGTTGTAACACCACTCATGGTAGCGGAGACCAAATGATTCAAGTCACCATAGGTCGGAGTGGTCAACTTCAAAGTGCGAAAACAAATATCATACAAAGCCTCGTTGTCAATACAGAATGTTTCATCTGTATTTTCAACCAGTTGATGTACAGACAAGGTTGCATTGTATGGTTCAACAACGGTATCTGACACTTTGGGTGAAGGTACCACACTAAATGTTGTCATTATTCTGTCCGGATATTCTTCGCGGATTTTTGAGATAAGTAAGGTACCCATACCAGAACCTGTTCCACCACCAAGGGAATGGGTCAGCTGGAAGCCTTGAAGGCAATCACAGCTTTCCGATTCCTTTCGTACGACATCTAAAACCGAGTCGACTAGTTCGGCACCTTCAGTGTAATGTCCTTTGGCCCAGTTGTTACCGGCGCCACTTTGACCTAAGAAAATTTTACAATTGCATGTTCAGTTGTTTGACTTATGATTTGATCGACCAGTGAAAACGAGCAGAAAAATGTATTACGAATGCCGAAGACAAGTTGTGATTTTTTTTATGATAAACCAACTTACCAAAAACAAAATTATCAGGTCTAAATATTTGTCCAAAAGGCCCAGAACGCACCGAATCCATAGTTCCCGGCTCCAAATCGACTAAGACTGCTCTGGGAACATATTTACCTCCTAAATGTTGACGAAAAAGTGGTTTTGGAGCTAGCTCTCTTCATTAATCAACAGTACTGTTGCGGATAACATGATTTAAAATCTTACCAGTCGCTTCATTGTAGTATACGTTGATTCTTTCCAGTTGAAGGTCAGAATCACCGTGATAAGTTCCAGTAGGATCAATGCCATGTTCGTCCGAAATTACTTCCCAAAACTAATCAAGATGTCAGAACCGTGCAATAAATTACCAACGCCATGTTTTACAAAGTATCAACAAAAATTTTTTTCGAACTTCTATTATGCGAAAAAACTTTACCTTGGCACCAATTTGATTTCCACACTGTCCTGCTTGAATATGGACGATTTCTCTCATCTTCAGGCACAAGCTACGTTTTTAGATAACTAAATCTAACTGCAAAACAAGTTCACTCGGATTAACCTCAAAACTTTAAAAGCAAATAACGTTAATTAGGGCATTTGCTGACGCAATACCAATTCCGTTTGTCTTCGTCATCAAACGAGCACTGATTGGCTAATATGACAACATTCCCAGAATAAATTATACAACCCGTCTATCATTGAAAAAGATTATTAGAAGATTATTTTTTTATATCTGTCAGTACACTGCAAAAACATGTTTCAAAAATACTTTAAAAATCAAGGAAACTACAGCATCTTATCAAAACAAGATTCCTTTTCAGAGTTGCTAAGCTGGTATGTTAAATTGTATCTTTTAAAGTTTTGCTTGTTGTATTACCGATGTTTTCGTCAACTGCAACATCTTCCAAAAATATTTAGAAGAACGAAAGTTGCGCAAAGCTAGAGGATTTTCGTTTGCAACCAGGGGTATTTAAAGATATTCTAAACAGAAAAACTGTTCTAATTAGTACATTGTCTATAAAATAACCGGTTTCACAATGTGCGCCTCCAAAAAAAGTAATGGTATGCGTTAATAAAACAGAAAAAAATCCAGAAATTTTATGGTAAACATTTACTGTATTCGCAGTGAGACATTTGACAACGTTATAACCTTAAAGTTGTAGAGTAAAATATATTAGAAATCATAGTTTATAGTTCCAAAAACACCATTAAGCTTCTTCTTCTTCCTCCTCTTCTTCAAATTCACCTTCTTCTTCAGCAGTGGCTTCTTGGTATTGCTGGTACTCTGATACCAAGTCATTCATGTTGGACTCAGCCTGGAAAAAAACACAAAACAGTTGACAAAGTGGAATTTTTCACAAATACTTCAATCTATAGTGTTTGACAAACTCTAAGTATCTTAAGACAAAATTCTCTTAAAATTAAGTTTTATCATACCTCTGTGAATTCCATTTCATCCATGCCTTCTCCAGTGTACCAATGAAGGAAAGCTTTACGACGGAACATAGCAGTGAATTGTTCGCTGATTCTCTTGAACAATTCTTGGATAGCAGTGCTGTTGCCAATGAAGGTGCCTGACATCTTTAAGCCTCTTGGTGGAATATCGCAGACAGCTGTCTTCACATTGTTAGGAATCCATTCAACAAAATATGAGCTGTTCTTGTTCTGGACATTCAACATCTGCTCATCAACTTCTTTCATAGACATTCTACCACGGAACATGGCAGCAACAGTTAGGTAGCGTCCATGACGTGGATCACAAGCAGCCATCATGTTCTTTGCATCAAACATTTGTTGAGTGAGTTCGGGAACAGTTAGAGCTCTGTATTGTTGAGAGCCACGACTTGTTAGAGGTGCAAAACCAGGCATGAAGAAGTGAAGTCGAGGGAATGGAACCATATTTACAGCTAATTTTCTCAAATCAGCATTTAACTACAAGATAAAGAAGTCAACCATTTCTAAATACTATCTCATTTACAACATGCAAGAATAAACCTACCTGACCAGGGAAACGTAAGCATGTTGTTATACCGCTCATAGTAGCTGATACAAGATGGTTCAAATCACCATATGTAGGGGTAGTGAGCTTAAGTGTACGGAAGCAGATATCATATAAAGCTTCATTATCTATACAAAATGTTTCATCTGTATTTTCAACCAGTTGATGTACAGACAAGGTTGCATTGTACGGTTCAACAACGGTATCTGACACTTTGGGTGAAGGTACCACACTAAATGTTGTCATTATTCTGTCAGGATATTCTTCACGGATTTTTGAGATAAGTAAGGTACCCATACCGGAACCTGTACCACCACCAAGGGAATGTGTAAGTTGAAATCCCTGTAGACAATCACAACCTTCAGATTCCTTTCTGACAACATCTAAGACAGAATCCACGAGCTCAGCTCCTTCTGTGTAATGCCCTTTAGCCCAGTTGTTACCTGCACCACTTTGTCCTGAATGCACAATAGGAAATGTTTAGAATTACGAGAAGAAACTGACAAACTGCAACTAAAGACAACACAAGGTCGACATGGTAACAACGCAAATACGCAATCCTCACTAAATGCAAGAAACTACGACCTACCAAAGATGAAGTTATCAGGCTTAAAAATCTGCCCAAACGGTCCAGAACGTACAGAGTCCATGGTACCCGGCTCCAAATCGACAAGAACAGCACGAGGGACATATTTCCCGCCTAAAGCAAAGAACAAACGGTCGGCCATGTGAAACGGACGGCTGGCGTTGTCAAGGCCTTTCGCAGCCGTTTCGTTCGCTTAATAAATTCTAATTGCGAAATTATAACATTCTCTTTAATCACCTGTAGCTTCGTTATAATAGACATTGATTCTTTCTAGCTGAAGGTCTGAATCGCCGTGGTAAGTTCCAGTCGGATCGACACCATGTTCGTCTGATATCACTTCCCAAAACTATTTGAAAAATAACAAGGCGGGTCTAATCACAGACATAATACATAGATTCTAATCACAATTAAATCCCTACCTTAGCTCCAATTTGATTACCGCATTGGCCAGCTTGAAGATGCACAATTTCTCTCATAATGATTTATTTTTGAACACGAATTTCGAAAAGGCGTTGCAAGGCAAAGTGATGCAGGTATGACCGACCTTTCGAGGTTGCTGCAGTCTACAGTTCACACATTGCATTAATCATATGACGTAATAAGGCGAGCGCTTCGCCAATGGTTAGCTAGAGCAAGGCCTAAACGGAGAAAAACCGGTATAACAGGATATAAACCACAGAGACGCGTCAGTCAGCTGTTTCTCGAGAGCCAATCAAAACAGATGTTTCGATTGCGTAAATAATCCATGTCACTCAGTCTTTGTCAAATTGTTGTCAACACATCAAACATGTGCAGAGGACTGGTAATGAAGTTGCAGCGATTCAGTTTACAAAACTTTGTACTTCAAATATTCGCGCACATTAAAATGGAAACAAAAATTTTGCGTCAAATCAATAAGTGGTCAAAGAAAAAAGTTCATATAACTTTACTCTTGCAACATTAAAGCTATACTGATGAAACTCGGATGAAAAAAATTTATACTGAATTTATTGGTACAAGCAATTATGTTTTGCAAAGATTTCGGTGTTCACTGACTTAAAACAAAATAGTTTTTAAAAAAAACATATAATTAAACATTTCGTTGTGAAATCTTCATAGCATGGCTACGCAAATAGCCATTGTTACAAATTTTGACTCGACAATAGTGAAATTTTTGTTTCAAATAAGCAAATTATGAGTTTCATCGAATTATTGAAAACAAAATACAAAAATTTAGCCGGTAAAGAATTGCACGCTTTATGTGGTTTACATGCAATATCGCGTGATTGCAGACATATCCGGAGAATTAGAAATTATCTTTTTGAGTATGGCCAACAGTAAGTGTAGTTGCCAAGTCACGACATTCCTGATAACGGCCTACGTTCAATTCCAGCAAAAAGAAACTGGCACTATGGCAGATTTTTGGGGGAGACGGTCTTACCGGTTTTAGTGAGAAAGCGAAGAGCAACAATTAACATGCAATTGAAAACAAACAATATTCCTTAAGTTAAAGATTGGCAGGAAGTACCTCATGCAGCTATTTGAAATTTTCATTTTCAAATCACAAACGCTCTTTTGAAAAATGTTAAATCAGTGATTCGTAAAATTGCTGCGAAAGGAGTGTCCACGTTGCATTAATTAACGTAAGTAAATACAGCACTTTAAAATATTCTCAAGCATGAGAGAGATAGTTCACATACAGCTTGGTCAGTGTGGAAATCAAATTGGTGCGAAGGTTAGTCGGATTGGAAATTGTTGAATACGATATGGAATACGTCAGAGCGTGTCTGTTAGCTAAAGTAGAATCTAGATGCTTTAGATTATAATTTGCCAAAATCGTTTATTGTTATGTGGCTAAAAGTTATTTATTGGATGGAAGCGAATGATAGTCCCCCAAATAATCACGTCATTCCCATATCCTATCACATTTGAGATGTTTGTCGTCCACTCCGTCGAAATATGCTACCTGCGATTGACTATTATGAGTGCCATGCACGAAGCCAATTTAAATTGTTCAGCGTAAATTACGCTACAGCGAAAGAGAGAATCGATGACGTCATCACTCGTTTCACTCTTTAAAAGCGTTCCTACTAACACTAGCATAGTATCGTTCTCACAAACAACTGGGGCACGAAGCCTGGTTAGCGTTATCCATTGGATGGCAATTTTTTTTTAAACTTTTATAAAACCTTTCAAAAAAGGAAAAATATAAGATTTCAACCGAGTAATCACTGAAATAAAATATTGTTTCGAAGGTTACGAAATTTCTTTGTCGTATGAATACGATAAATACCTTTTTTATAAGTTTTAAAATTTTTGCTATCCAATGGATAACGCTATCCGGGCTTCGTGCAACCGGCCCCTGATGATTAGTACTTTGACAGTTTCCCCCTAACTCACATTCGTAAACTAACCATTCCATTTCTAGTTTTGGGAAGACATTTGCATAGAACACGGTATAGACAAGACTGGAATTTACAATGGCGATTCCGATCTTCAATTGGAAAGAATCAATGTCTATTTCAACCAGATGGAAGGTCTGTTAATTTTTCCGTCAGTTCTGACGATATTGATGACAGTGGGCTAAACTTAGAGTCTCTTTTCCTTTCAAGGTGGAAACTATGTACCACGAGGGGTATTATTGGATCTAGAGCCTGGAGCATTAGACGTAGTAAGAGCTGGACCTTATGGAAAAATTTTCAAACCAGACAATTTCTTGTTCGGTAAGACTTCACTAACTGAGATCGAGAACCAGCGATTGAAAAGTGCAATAAAAATTCTTCCTTCATCTAATATGTTTGTAAATGTAAATCGTCCAGATTGGTATAGTCCTGAGAAAAACTGTTTTTGTTGTTGTTGACTGACGTTTCGACAACAACAAAAACAGTCCTTCTCAGGACTATACCAATCTGGACGATCTACATTTACAAACATGTAACGATACTCCCGGGTTCAAACCATTTACTTCATCTAATATTCAGGCCAAAACGGGACGGGAAATAACTGGGCAAAAGGCCATTACACAGAAGGAGCAGAACTGATTGACAATGTAATGGACGTGATTCGTAAGGAGGCAGAAGCCTGCGACTGTCTTGAAGGTTTTCAAATCGTTCATTCACTGGGCGGGGGGACTGGTGCGGGTATGGGAACATTAGTCCTGGGAAAGACTCGAGAAGAGTTTCCGGACAGAATTCTGTCCAGTTATAGCATCATACCATCTCCACGTGTCTCGGACGTTGTAGTGGAGCCGTACAACGCCACGCTTTCGATACATAATCTACTGGAAAACTCCGACATGACGTTTTGTGTAGACAACGAAGCCTTGTACGATATTCTGTTTCGAACTTTAAAGTTGACGACGCCGACACACGCGGACATGAACCATCTTGTCGCCTTGACAATGAGTGGCGTCACCACCAGCTTACGGTTTCCGGGCCAGGTAAGTAGGGAAGAAGTAATGGGATGATTTCAATATCTGTATTTTGCATGCCTGCCTGCCTGCCTGCCTACAAAACAAATTACAAAAGCGTTGTTGAACAAGAAGACATTCACTCTCATCTCCTTTATAATAGTTTTCATTTTCTCTCAAATGCAGCTAAACGCCAGTTTAAGGAAGCTTGCCGTAAACTTAGTTCCGTTTCCTCGACTTCATTTCTTCATACCCGGATTTGCCCCACTCACAAGCCACGAATCACAAAAATTTCAAGCCCTCACCGTCGCAGAGTTAACACAGCAAATGTTTGACGCGAGGAACGTGCTCGCCGCGTGTGATCCACGCAATGGTAAATACCTGACAGCATCGACAATATACCGCGGATGCGTCTCCATGAAAGAAGTCGACGATCAAATTTTAATGGTACAAAACAAGAACAGCTCGTTGTTTGTTGAATGGATACCAAATAACGTAAAGGTATCCGCCTGCAATATTCCCCACAAAGGTTTCAAGTTGTCTGGCACGTTTATTGGAAACAATACCGCGATACAGGAGGTTTTCAAAAGAATACGCGGGCAATTTCTTTCAATGTTTCGAAGAAAGGCCTTCATTCATTGGTACACAGGAGAAGGAATGGATGAAATGGAGTTCACTGAGGTATTGGTCATCGTTTTACAAATAGTTCAATTCATTAAAGTTACTAGTATATTGCTAGTAGTTTGGTTCACTGAAATACTGGTCATTGTTACTTGTAGTTAAGTTCACCAATGTATTGGTCATGATAATACCACTAGTAAAGTTCACGTAGTGGTAATGTTATTACTAATTGTGGTCATGGTATTGCTAGTAGTGGTCATGGTATTACTAGTAGTGGTCATGGTATTACTAGTAGTGGTCATGGTATTACACAATTTGGACGCAACATCCTAACTTTCGTACATTCGATACAATACAGTACATTTGTACGGGGAATGGAGTGGAAACCTGCCTTATTTAAGATGTGCTATACATTTTTAGGCAGAATCAAACGTGCAAGACCTCATACAAGAATATCAACAACGCGAGGACACCACGGAAGGCGACGATGAAGATGATCAAGAAGAAGTAGTCGAAGACCAGGACGCATAAATCGGCATGATGATGAAAATTTCAATGAAGATTATTAATAACACTGACCTTATATACACTGTTTACAACAGCATTTAACAAAAATAAGGCCACGAGTGTTCAATCATAAACGTAAAATTACACTAGAGAAAAATGGAAAAGTTGTAAGGTTTCTTAAACGACAAATTTAAATTCGGTCGTTTCTTTTAACTATTTTTTCATATCATACACAGACTACCATCCGAAGATACAAAGACGTAGAATTCTCACACCTATAGTTATATAATATATTAATCCTAACACGGTTTTTAATATGCACACGAAAACATTTGACTTAGACGAGATTTGAACTCGCACCTTCGGGATACTAGTCCGCCGCTCTACCTGTTGAGCTACCAAGCCCACAGGGATTGGAGACGAGTCAAATCTCTTTTTAAACTGCGTATGAACGAGAGATTCTCGCCACTATAGCAGTTTACTGGATGGCACTGTGTTTGGACTTTATTGGAATAACGTCGAGTTCAAATCTCGTCCAAGTCACATGTTTTTCATGTGCATATTAAAAACCGTGTTAGGATTAATATATTATATATATTCTTTGAATATAGTTATATATGTCCTCGTATCTACAGCAAGTTGAAAAAGTCACTTCGTGCCCCATTTCACAGAATCTACAGCAAGTTGAAAAAGTCACTTCGTGCCCCATTTCACAGAATCTACAGCAAGTTGAAAAAGTCAATTCGTGCCCCATTTCACAAATGCATATCACCATTATTCACGAACAACAAAATGTGTTAGTGATTAACGGTTTGTATGCCTCCTCCTGTCCTAAAGTCTTGCATACATGATAATTGTTATTTCTGAATTAAAACAATAACCTTCATTCGCATCCTACGATGAAAATGAGAAATGGAAGTGCCATCAAAGCAGTGATGACCTACACACCAAGTATCTCAAATCTATGACACCTTCAGGTGGAATTAATTCAACAAATATTAATTTACATACACGTAACTTTTCCTTGTGACGGGGTTAGTTACACAGTTGGTCGTTTTCTTCGATAATCATTAGAATTGCTAATATTTTTCTCTCTCGCCTACAGTTCATATTAAATATTACGAGCAGCTGTTTGCTGCTTCTCTAAATTATTTCATAAGGTTGCAGTCAAACATTCTTATCTTTTATTGGCTTGTGTACCAACTTGGGTTCGTCAACAAATTCTTTACCATAGTAAAATATGATGGAGAGAGTGAAGACGACGGCCAAACCCCAGAATAGCACGTACATAAATTGAAAACCAGGATCAGCTATTGGTAGGAAAAGATGAAACAAATTTAGTTTGAAAAATGAGGAGTCTGGTTCAATAAATTTCAGATCCTTTTTAAAACACGCGGTTTGTTCAACGATTGTTCAAAATTACATAACAAAAGCGAATATTTGCACCGCAAATCGGAGATGCGTGTTTTAAAACTGACCTGAAATAGAAAACATTCACGAAGCATTCAACAATTTCATTGGTTCAGATTGGCAGATGAACCAATCGGAAGCTTAAAAAGCTCCCGGAAAGGTAGCAAAAACAAACGTAACTAAAGTAAACAATTATATACAGAAACCTCTTGTGATTGCCGGGTCCTTTATTCGCTTAAATCCATTTGAACACAATGCAGTTCACTACCTACAAAGCTATCCACTTTCGTGACTCTTCATATGAAGTATCATTTGTACAGTATGGCCATATATGCAAATCTTTTAGTAGATTTCGTCTGATGAGCTCAGACTCTCCCACCGGCTTTATATAGTTGTAAAGTTCAGAACAGGGGGGAGTGTTTAAGCTCGTTCGACCGAACATGGTAAATAAATGCATACACGGTCACAACGCATTTATACTAAAACTGATATGATACATTCTTCCTCCTCTCCAAAAATATTGCCATCAAAATAAACACTTACTTGTAGATATCATTGCACTCATGATCAACATTGAAAATCCGATAAGAAGAATGAAAGGAAGCTGAGAGGGAAAGATTAAAATAAATTAGACAGAGCATCGCTCATCAAGCACGACACAGCACTATCCGAAAGTTGACGAATTGCTCACCAACATGAACTTCCAATCCTGCGTCTTTTGTAGAGGCGACGGTTTGGTAATACCTTCGGCAGAATCGACAACATAGTTCCCAAGAAATAAATCAATGGCATCCTATAAAAAACAGCATGGTTATTTGGATGGTACATATGAGATTTCTGAAAGCAGTTGTAAAAGCAAAATGTTAAACAGCATTTTAATGAAACACAAAACAATAAACGCTGCATAACAAGCAGTGAATGCCACCATTTAAAGGATTTATTATTTTACCAACATTTGCTAACTGAAAAGTTTGGACTAAAATATGAAATATGTATGTAGAATCTTTTGCGTATATTCTAACTGCAAATGATATTATCGTCAAGTCAACAATTCATACTAAGGTTTTTTAAGGTGATCACAAACAGCCAATTGTAGTGCTGGAAAGATCAATTCATACAAATATTAGTTGAAGTTGGGTGCACTTTTCCAGCAAAAATGTTATAATAAAACATGAAAAATGCACGCCGTTCGCCGAAATCAACATTGGGCAATTTTGCTTCGACAATTGATGAAAACGTCAAAATGATAAAATACGCCGTCGTGAGGTTCTTGGCACTCACGAAAACGTTGATAAAATACGCCGTCGTGAGGTTCTTGGCACTCACGAAAACGTTGATAAGATACGCCGTCGTGAGGTTCTTGGCACTCACGAAAACGTTGATAAGATACGCCGTCGTGAGGTTCTTGGCACTCACGAAAACGTTGATAAGATACGCTGTCGTGAGGTTCTTGGCACTCACGAAAACGTTGATAAGATACGCCGTCGTGAGGTTCTTGGCACTCACGAAAACGTTGATAAAATACGCCGTCGTGAGGTTCTTGGCACTCACGAAAACGTTGATAAGATACGCTGTCGTGAGGTTCTTGGCACTCACGAAAACGTTGATAAGATACGCTGTCGTGAGGTTCTTGGCACTCACGAAAACGTTGATAAGATACGCCGTCGTGAGGTTCTTGGCACTCACGAAAACGTTGATAAGATACGCCGTCGTGAGGTTCTTGGCAATCACGAAAACTTTGATAAGATACGCCGTCGTGAGGTTCTTGGCACTCACGAAAACGTTGATAAGATACGCTGTCGTGAGGTTCTTGGCACTCACGAAAACGTTGATAAGATACGCCGTCGTGAGGTTCTTGGCACTCACGAAAACTTTGATAAGATACGCTGTCGTGAGGTTCTTGGCACTCACGAAAACGTTGATAAGATACGCCGTCGTGAGGTTCTTGGCACTCACGAAAACTTTGATAAGATACGCCGTCGTGAGGTTCTTGGCACTCACGAAAACGTTGATAAGATACGCCGTCGTGAGGTTCTTGGCAATCACGAAAACTTTGATAAGATACGCCGTCGTGAGGTTCTTGGCACTCACGAAAACGTTGATAAGATACGCCGTCGTGAGGTTCTTGGCACTCACGAAAACGTTGATAAGATACGCCGTCGTGAGGTTCTTGGCACTCACGAAAACGTTGATAAGATACGCTGTCGTGAGGTTCTTGGCACTCACGAAAACGTTGATAAGATACGCCGTCGTGAGGTTCTTGGCACTCACGAAAACTTTGATAAGATACGCCGTCGTGAGGTTCTTGGCACTCACGAAAACGTTGATAAGATACGCCGTCGTGAGGTTCTTGGCACTCACGAAAACGTTGATAAGATACGCCGTCGTGAGGTTCTTGGCACTCACGAAAACGTTGATAAGATACGCCGTCGTGAGGTTCTTGGCACTCACGAAAAAAGTTGATAACATACGCCATCGTGAGGTTCTTGGCACTCACGAAAACGTTGATAAGATACGCTGTCGTGAGGTTCTTGGCACTCACGAAAACGTTGATAAGATACGCCGTCGTGAGGTTCTTGGCACTCACGAAAACGTTGATAAGATACGCCGTCGTGAGGTTCTTGGCACTCACGAAAACGTTGATAAGATACGCTGTCGTGAGGTTCTTGGCACTCACGAAAACGTTGATAAGATACGCCGTCGTGAGGTTCTTGGCACTCACGAAAACGTTGATAAGATACGCCGTCGTGAGGTTCTTGGCACTCGCGAAAACGTTGATAAGATACGCTGTCGTGAGGTTCTTGGCACTCACGAAAACGTTGATAAGATACGCCGTCGTGAGGTTCTTGGCACTCACGAAAACGTTGATAAGATACGCCGTCGTGAGGTTCTTGGAACTCACGAAAACGTTGATAAGATACGCTGTCGTGAGGTTCTTGGCACTCACGAAAACGTTGATAAGATACGCCGTCGTGAGGTTCTTGGAACTCACGAAAACGTTGATAAGATACGCCGTCGTGAGGTTCTTGGCACTCACGAAAACGTTGATAAGATACGCTGTCGTGAGGTTCTTGGCACTCACGAAAACGTTGATAAGATACGCCGTCGTGAGGTTCTTGGAACTCACGAAAACGTTGATAAGATACGCCGTCGTGAGGTTCTTGGCACTTACGAAAACGTTGATAAGATACGCCGTCGTGAGGTTCTTGGCACTCACGAAAACGTTGATAAGATACGCTGTCGTGAGGTTCTTGGCACTCACGAAAACGTTGATAAGATACGCCGTCGTGAGATTCTTGGCACTCACGAAAACGTTGATAAGATACGCTGTCGTGAGGTTCTTGGAACTCACGAAAACGTTGATAAGATACGCTGTCGTGAGGTTCTTGGAACTCACGAAAACGTTGATAAGATACGCCGTCGTGAGGTTCTTGGCACTCACGAAAACGTTGATAAGATACGCTGTCGTGAGGTTCTTGGCACTCAAGAAAACGTTAAGTAAAATTAGGGATGCTCACACCTGTCGAAATCCATCGGAAAAATTATTCTTATAGTAACGAATGATTGAGTTGTATCCATCTTGCAACAAGCCCCATCTTGTACGCTTGCCTGTCCTGTATCAACAAAGAAATGAACAAAACATATTAGCAGAATTTTTATGGGAGGGAGGGGTGAACATCAATGGATCACATACCACAAAAGTTAAACTTAGTAGAATTTTTATGGTGGGGTGTGGTGAACATCAATGGATCACATACAACAAAAGTTAAACTTAGTGAACACCGTGAAAGATTACCTTGTGAAGTCTGTTTTTAAAGCACCAGTTCCAGCATATTGATTTGAACATGCATCAGCATTGTCTGCCCATGCTGCATGAGAAATAAAACGATGAACACAGTGAAATTGATTGATTTACAATCAAAGAAACGTTGTCGAACACCGCGAAATCTTGCGACGATGCTCCGTTATTGATACAATGATAAAAATCCGAGAAAATTTTTTATGGGCACTTGGGGTTGGTCGTTCAAAGGTGCATGATTAACTGCATTCAAAATAAATTTTTGCCGTAAAATTTCAAACAAAAAAATCTAAATCCTAAAAAACATTCAACAAACTAATCTTATGTAAAAAAAATGCTTTAAACTCGTAAAACAGATCATTGCAAAGTGTAGAGGATTACCGTTAATCGTGCCCACGAACGGGCAAATGAACGAATAAAATCTTGGCGATGACGTAATGTGTCATAAAATGTTATTTGAAGTCATTAAATCTGATAGTGCAAATGAAAATATTTGTCCATTTTCAAAATTCGTTCATATTTACCGTTCTTGTAGATGTACTCGAAACTGGAACAATCTTGAACTTTCTCTCCATTCAACAAAATACCGTAATGCTAAAGAAAAAAAAATGCCGAAAGTTTACTTCATGTAAACCCTTTCTCTCCATTCAACAAAATACCATAATGCTAAAGAAAAAAAATGCCAAAAGTTTACTTCATGTAAACTCTTTCTCTCCATTTAACAAAATACCATAATGCTAAAGATAAAATGCCGAAAGTTTACTTCATGTAAACCTTTCTACTTTAACTCGATGGAAAAACTGAATGGACGGATAATTATGTTAATATATGCAGCATCACAAATGTCAATGGCTGACAAGGGTGTTTCGGCGTAAGGACAACCACAGACGTCCACAAATCTAGCCTGGGAGACGTCCACACATTTAGCCTGGGAGACGTCCACACATTTAGCCTGGGAGACGTCCACACATTTAGCCTGGGAGACGTCCACAAATCTAGCCTGGGAGACGTCCACAAATCTAGCCTGGGAGACGTCCACACATTTAGCCTGGGAGACGTCCGCACATTTAGCTTCTTGCTTGAACATTTATGATAAGAATGTTAACTTTTGCAAAGACCTTTCACTTTGACACGATGTTAGTTCAAAGAAAACCGAATAAAAATAACTAATATCGTAAATTTATTGTCCTTCCGAAGCCCCTGATCAGTGGCAAGGGCAACCCCTGGTTTTACTGCTAAAATGCAAATATTTTGGAGAATGTAAGATTTTGTAGTTAGTGCGTTGACAGGAAAAACATCGAACGAAATTAATTTTCTAACTTCTAACGAAGTGATTGATAATTTTGTTGAAAGATTGCATTGTAAGAGTAACATTTTATATTGGTTGCGTAGTTATTTACCTCAAATTGTGTTTGAAGGCTCGCTCTCGCTAGCATACTTTGAACTACGTTGGTCCTATGAAATTTCATCATCAAAGAAATGTTGTAAATTGCTCAACATCGACGCTCCATATTTGCCTCTTGCGTACATACCTGTCCAGACAATCCATACAATTTGTCCTAAATACCCCTGCTTGCTCCGAAGTAACCGTTTTATCCCTCATCATTTTGAAGTACCTACGTATGAAAAGTACAAAAGCAAATGAAGTCACGTGATTCAAACTATCAAGTCACGTGATTCAGATTGTCAAGTCACGTGAGCATTTGGCATGGTTAATCTTACCCAAACTTCTCCTGATCCTCTTTCAGTCTGCTCATCAATATCGACAAGCGATGCCAACGAAGTTTGCTGCACTCTTTGTGAAAATCAAATCTTTCTAATCTGAAATGGAAGCAACATGATGCGCAATATATTCGCACAGCTACATACTTTCAAAGAATTACATAACAAACCTGAGCTGTTTTCCCGAATAAGGGGAAGCTGTGACGACAGCAGTTAACTGGTCACCAATCTCTTTCTCGGGGCCTTTGTGGTCAATCTATAAAATCATACACGGCATCGGTTACCGTGAAACCTTTCACCTTTCGTACTGTGCAATATTTGTAGATGTATGGGTCGATACTCGATACCTCGCATTTATTTGGCAATTACAAAGTCTTTTTCATAATAAAAGATTGTTTTTATCTTACCAGATCAACGAGAACAATTTCGTTGTAATGATATATCAGATGCTCCATGTGTTGTTGAAAACCTGTGTTCTAAAGAATGGATGAAAAGTGAAGAGTTAAGTCTGTTAAACCTTTCATTTTGAAACAAGACTAATACTCTGGAGCCGGTCGCACGAAGGCCGAATGGCGCTATACACTGGATAGCAATTTATGTCAAAGCTTAAAAAATCTCTAATAAGAGAAAAATAAACGATTTGAACTGTGCAATCACTGAAACAAAATATTGTTATGAAGCTTACAAAATTTCTTTGTCTTAAGAAAATAAAAGCACCTTTTTGCCAGTTTGAAAATTTTTGTCATCCAATAGATAACGCTGTCCCATGCAACTCGCCCCAGGCCTCAAAACGACGTAGGGTTGACATAATGAAAGAGAAAAAACAGGATCAAACGTTTACATACGTGATCCGCTTCGAGTAACTTTGGTCGTGGCTTGTATTGTAATGTCGGTCTTTGTGACCAGTAAAGTGGTATAGAGCCACGAATCTGAATCAATAAAATAGCAAATAATCAAGTAAATGGTTTGAACCCGGGAGTATTGTTACATGTTTGTGGATGTAGATCGTCCAGGTTAGTATAGTCCTGAGAAGGACTGTTTTTGTTGTTGTTGACTGACGTTTCGACAACCTTAGCGGTAGTCATCTTGGAACAAACCCCCCTGAACAGCTCACAGCAATTACCGGCACCTTACAAACGACTTATTCCCAATACAAACAAATGATCAACTAAAAACATTACACTTCACACTAATTCACAATGACAATACAAAATTGACACCCTCGCATTACAAATAAAAACATCAAAACTAAATCACACATCACAACTAAAAAATTACATTTCACACTAATTCACAATGACAATACACAATTGACACCTACACATTTCCTGTACACACAATACAATGACGTAAGAACCAGATAACAAATACGGCTAACCTGACGTTTACTCCTCATTTGACTCTGAAGATGACTACCGCTAAGGTTGTCGAAACGTCAGTCAACAACAACAAAAACAGTCCTTCTCAGGACTATACTAACCTGGACAATCTACATCTACAAACATATAGCAAATAATATTAGTGTAAAAATCACCAAAAAAACATGAAGTAGTTCAATCGTATGGTATGTGAACACTCGCCTGCACAAACGATGTGGTTTCCCCGTTGTATTGTATAATTTGTTCCGTTTCCACATAGTTTGCTGGATGACCCTCAACGTCAAGGCCCCGTATGTAGTATCGGACACCTACACGTGACAAAGCACGTGAACTATATTTTCGACAGCGAAGTTCACGTGGATTGAAGGGTATCATACCTGCTCTGTAGCAGCTTCTTCGTGATATCAAAATAAAATCAAATGTTCGACTCTTGATGGAGCAGTTTTGAAACTCAATGAAGCCGTGAATCACAGGTAGTATGAATCTGCTGAGCTGTGAGAGGAACACAAACAAGAAGATTTGATGAGCACGAGTTTTATAACGAACAAAAAAAGAAAGGCCGGCTCTCAAGACCGAGACATCTTCATTCTTCATATCAGTAAACTGCTCTATCAATTTTAATGATAACTCCATATAAATGCTCTATGATCAGATGGATGCTGATTGATGCTCCAATAAGGAGTTGTGAAACAATCAGCAACTTTCAAGGCAATTGCGCAGGGTCACACCATATTTCAACAAAAAGAAGTGGGGCAAACTATATGGCTGCCATAAAGCTGCATTTAAAGATGGAGGCAAAGTTATCTTTTCAGTTGATATTAAGACTAACAATCTGTACAAAGGCAACATGAGAAAAAAGGCAACAATAGTCTAGAAATGATACATACATCTTTGCTAGTAACATGAAATGTTTATTCTTAATATGCATGAGTCTGACTACATTCAACTCCATTCTGCTCTATTGTATTCTATTCTACTTCATTCTACCACAATCTACTCCATTTGACTCTATTCTATTCTATTCTACTCCATTCTACTTTATTTATACTTCATTCTACTACAATCTATTGCATTCTCTTCTATTCTACTCTACTCCATTCTATTCTACTCCATTCTACTCCATCTACTTCCATTCTCCATTCCTACTCCATTCTCTATTCCATTCCATTCTATTCCATCCATTCTATTCTTCCATTCCATTCATTCTACTTCTTCTTCCTCCCATTCTACTCCATTCATTCTCCATTCTATTCTCTTCTATTCTTCATTCCATTCTACTTCATTCTATTCTACCCATTCTACCCATCTACCCATTCTATTCTACTTCATTCTATTTCATTCTACCCTACTCCATTCTATTCTACTCCATTCTATTCTACTCCATTCTATTCTACTCCATTCTATTCCAATCTACTCCATTGTACTCCAATCTTTCTATTCTTCTTCATTCTATTTCATTCTACTCTACTCCATTCTATTCCACTGCAATCTACTACAATCTACTCCAATCCCACTATTCTGCTTCATTTAACTACATTGACATCATCTAAAATGAAACATCACCAACTTTAGTATATTTTTCAAAAATATGCTTTCTGCCCTGACAGTTATGTGATGAAATATACCGACAAGTGGTAACCATTTTCAAATGAGCGTTACCTCTGGCTGTACTGCGAACATCCTCAAGAAATGGCCATTCCACAGAAATCTTTGATCAGCCTGCTCATGTGATAAAAATGATTTTATCAAAGCATGATACAATGAGAACATCAGGTATGCATGATTTACCCTTTCATGAAGAGGCATATGCAAAAAGTCAGGACTGGTCTTTGATAGGCGTTGCAATGTGTGAGTCAGATCATAAGTTGTTGAAAAGTAAAATCCATCTGTCAGGAGTACTTGTTCAATCATAAGGAGATAAGTCTTGTTGTCTGTATCCTAAATGAAACTAGAACATTAATGCAGTGTTGTACAAATGAGAAGGAAAATGCTAATACTCACACTAACCATCTTCCTCCTCATTTAAACACGAGATGAAATCATTGTACCTGTTTTTCTGACAAATGATGCTGAGTCCTTGGAAAGGCAATCACTTCTGTTGCTTGGACTTTCCAAATCTCGTGACTATTGATTATTCCAACAAACTTTCGCTTTGTTATCACAACCAGATATGAACCTAAACGCAAGGATAATCTTTGAAATATTTCAACATCCAAGGGCAACACTACAGCATAGAATAAGTTTGGTAACCTACACAAACCTGCAATCAGATTGATGACTCCAATAATTCCAAATATGTCTTTGCTTTCTGATTGGACAGGAATTTGACCTTTGTTATCTGAATGAGAATTACTGATAGTATAGTTGTTAACTTGCTATTTGTTTAACTAATAACTTTAACTTAAAAGTTGAAATTCATTTACACTAAAGAAAACCAAGGGCACGACAACACATTCAGTACTCAATAATTTGATTTATTTATTGTAAAGAAATTATTTTCTCCCCGTCCAGGATTTTAAAATTTCATAAAAACTAAAACATCACCGAATTTTCTCACCTGCCAAAACAAGTTCTTGACTGACTCGATCAATTTCCAGCACTTTCTCGTCCGTCTCCTTGGAGTCTTTAGGCTCCACATAGAACTTATCAGCAGACACATACCTTAAAAATAATGCTGCGTTTAAAAAATAAGAATGAAATAAAAAGTAACGCCATAAAAAGCAAGAAAATACGTACAGTCTTAACAGATTGTATACACTCAATGCAGCCATGATTGATGACCGTGCACATTTTGTGGAGGCATGGCGCCGAGTAACATAATTAGGCAAAATGGCCGCTAAATTTTCAAAAAATTTGAAAGTCGCACATATTTGTAAGAAAATTTTAATTCTATGTTCAAGACATTATGTAGATACTAATTTACTTTATTTTTGTAGTGCCTCGTATCTCTCCCGCAAAACTCTGCTTTTTCACAACGTCTCCGCTAAGCGCTGGTGGTCAAAAATGGCGGATCAGGTGAGTTAGTTATTGTGAATTTAAATATTGCAATGATAGCCAGTTGATGAACCTACCGTACAATTTTTTAAGAAATGGGTTAGCAAGCGATGGCTTGGCATACGGACCTCTAACTGATCTGCCTGATTGGTCATATGTTGGTAATTTTCTATTTTTATTTTTAACGTCGTAAACTTAAATGGTCGCAGTTAATTCTAAAGCACTTTTCAGATGGGGCATCAAATGCCCCAGAAAGCAAGAGACGGAGGAAAAGACAAAATAAAAGAATGCGAGAATCAGTAAGATGTATTATATGTATTTAAAGTTTTTAAACTACAACAACTATGTACACAAGGCTCAGATCAAAGATATGAATATTATTTTACTATTTTAAACCACACACAGTGACACACATTGTTTGAAATTAATACCTAATAGTTAAACAAAGTTGTAATTTCTTTTTGAAATTAGAAATAGAAACAGTTTTTAGGAGGTTCAGAGATTTAGAGACTTTCCTTAATTGAAAAATACTTTCTTTTTGCAGCAACGTATAGTGGAATATTTGAAAGACTTTAACACAGATGAAGAGTCAGCCAAGGACCCAAGCTTTGAGAAAATTAAACATCAATGATTGATTTATCAAGGCTCTAGATATATTCTATGGTTCAACACAGGCATGACTCAATAAATGTACATCATTTTACATCATTACAGGCATGAGTCGTTGATTGTAACCTAGAACTATGCTTTTCAACATTGAGTCATTTTATTTCGAAATTATTTCCTATCTGCTATTGATGTTAATGAGAGCAAGTTTAACAAGTGTTGAAATTGTCTGCTGTTAATAAACGAAACATGATTTGTGTTGCCGATATCGAACATGCAATATTTAGCTAGATGTATTTGCAAGAAATTGTAAGAAATTACACTTATCTTTAGGCAACTGAAGTTATTTGTGGGATGACAATACATGTATGTTATTCTTGTATAATAAATGTGTCAATGGCAATTTTGTAGTCTTGTGTCCTGTTTCCTTCCTTAAGTACATACAATTTTACTTAATTACCGTAAATGCTCATTTTAGCTCTGCTCCCAGTTAAGCACCCCTTCCGGTCAAACCTGGTTATCATAATTGGCTAGAGATAACAAGGTTGTTAACTTGAAAGACTTTAATACATATTAAGACATTGCATGGACCTAAGTGACATTATATTTGAAGACATTGTATCATGAGAACATAGTTAAGCACCAAATTTGAAAAATTCAATAAGTTCTGTGGTACCAGATCAAGCATTTACAGCATAGGGTTCAATAAAAGTGTAGATAGGAAGGTGAGATGTCAAAGGTATGCATTCAAGTTAGAATTCTTATCTATCAATCTTAAATTATGTTACATAGTTACTTAGTAACATGATATGAAAAATTTTACTATCACTATGACATATAAACCTCAGCTCCTTAAGGCAGCCAATCTCTTTGACAGTTGATCTTCTTGTGCTTGGGTTCTTTCGCCAGCTGCGGGTGTTTTCAATTTTGAAGTTCCTGGTTTTACCGCCTCCAATTGTTCCAACATTTCTAAACCATTTTCTTCGGCAACCTGCTGAATGAGGTCATCCACCTGGTACATGGGTAATAAAATATGTTGTCACAACATATTGGAAATTTTACTTTTAACATTTCAGAGTAAGTTTGTTGTGAGTAAAATCAAATGCGACAGTAACCTGGTCTGAAGGAGTGGAGATTGTTGTAGCATCGCCCATGGCTGTGTCAAGAACCTGCACAAATATTTCAATAAATGCTTGTAGAGTCAAACAAATTCAGGCATACATGATGTACTACTTAAACTCTTTCACTACCAAGTCGTTTTTAGCAAGTGGCAATTATTTTTAAACATTTAGCAAAAATATTTCATCACATTTAATAAACTTTTGATTTTGGGAAAACTGCAAAATTTTCTGGCTAAAACTGGCTAACAAAAATCAACTATGAGAGTCACTATGGTGTCGACTAAAGTTGCCTAAGACAGTGAAAGAGTTGATATAATAATACCTGTGAATGTACATCCATATCTTCAAAAAGTGATTCAAATTTCTCCATAGTTGCTGTAATCTAAGTTGGTTGATTGCAATTGAGATTTATTAAGCCCTTAATGACGGAGCATGAGGTCTTTACAGAGAAATAACGGACCAAGGTGTTTTTGTACAGAATAAGCCTGCAGGGCAAGGTTTGTACAAAAAGACAGAGGTCCAATATTTCTCAGTAAAGACCGAGAAAGCGAGGTTATTAAAAGGTTTATTATATGGCATTATTTGACCTGAAACGAAGCTTGCTTTCTTTCTTGTCCTTGCTGTTTTTATGGGTTGATTCTCACTTTTCTAGTTTTTGTCCATAAAAAATACTTGTTTCAAATTGTATTTTCTAGATAGTTAAACTGTTTTCCAAATATTTTTCCTTCGAATCACATTCGTAAATGGTTTTTGTTTCGTTTATTTTGCTTTTGCTTTACGAAGTTTGTTTACATTTGACTGTAAAATTAAGTGTTTTGGACCATGGTCGATCACAGGAAAATAATAGATGGGCAAAAATGTTTCTGAGCCAATCAAAGCACATCATTTAGCCGAAAGTGACGCTTGCCATATAATAATAACAATTAATGTAAAACAATGTAAGTTGTATTGTTGAGAGTTGGTGTTGAGTGTATCAAGAATTGGGTAAGGCGCCAGCGTTTAAGGTGGTTTGGGCATGTGGAAAGGAGGGAAGAAAGTGCTGAAATTTGTAGAGCGTTGCATATGAATGTTGATGGAGTCCGCAAACGAGGTAGACCGAGAAAGAGATGGATAGATGCTGTGAACAGTGATATGAAGGCAATGGGTATAAGGAGAGATATGGCGAGAGATATTTTCATGGATCAAAATTAATACTGTATACAAATGTTGTTTGTTTGTTTGTTTTTGTAATGTAAGTTGTATTGTTTCAGATAAACTTCAAATGATCTATACCTTGGCAAGTTCCATGGATTGAACAGCTTTATCCAATCCTCTGACCACACCAGCCATGTTCTTTGTCACCTGGAGAAAATTTAATCATAACACGTCACCATATCCCAAAACTTTGATGAGAAATGCAACAACTGACGTAACGATTGGCTAAAAATTTAGCTTTCAGGCTATCATTGGTAGATAAATATCAATGACCGAACTGCTAAGTTTTGTCGGAACAACCAAATACTTACATAGATTTTGCTCAAACACCCAAGATTAATAGAAATTAATAATGCTAGGATGTATATATATGTCCTTGGGTGCTGATTTATTACAGAGGACATAAGGAAATATATATATATATAAGTCATAATCACTTCCTATATATATATATATATAAAGGAAGTTTATAAGTGATGATTCTCCATATAAAACAATGCTCGATGCCCAAGAGCAGAGCATAAATATATTTAGTGATGTTGAAAAAATGACGAAAACTACAGATTCATCCCAACAAGTCTGTTTCGTGATTTCTCACTCTTCAGGGGATTTAATATATGCACAGAACCGTACGTCCTATGTCCCAAGTGCAGGAGTCACCATTTTACTATGGTGATAGCCAGGAAGGCACATTGTTATACACTTTGTATATATATATATATATATAGGTGTTTGGTTGGAAATGGGTTAATTAAATGACGAAAACTGTGCAATCTTTTATCGTAGTAGATCTGCTATTTTGCAAAGTGTTATAAAATCAATGGTTATGAAATAGTTCATACTTGTTTCATCTGCAGGGCAGTCTGCACTTTGGAAGCCACAGCATCAACTCTTGAAGCCAGGCGAAGGTAGTTTAATGATTCGTTCTTCTTCCTGATAGCATTCTCTGCATATATTCTAGCACCTTCAACGTTTTTCTGTTGAAGTGCTTTCTTTATCTTTGCCTGTTGCAACCTCTCTTCTTTCTCACTTTTCTTTGCAAAACGTTCGAGTTGTTTTGTTGTAAACTGAAAAAAACGATAGAAAAACAAAACAAGTTGAAAAAATTAAATCCTTTTGATGAAAAGTGCTGTGTAGAAATTGATAATTTCAATGCCTCGTCGTCATACCTTCAGCTGGAAGATCGTGTCTAAAATGAAGGATAAGGTAAGCTGTATTCCTTGCTCAGAATATTATATTACAACTCGGTAAGCGTTATAAAAGTTAAGCTTAGTTAAGTCATAATCACTGACTGCATGGCTTTTTGATGATTTAGCGAAGAGAAAATTATTCTAGTAAAAGTATACTGATTTTAATCATTTTATATTATACCTTCCATTGTAGGCATGATTAAAACTTTAATCACCCATCAAAAGTCGTAGAGTAAAATATTCGGAATACGTCGCTTTAGGATGAAACTGAATAATTGAATGCTTCAATTTTAGCGATAACTGCCAGTAAAATCAAATTTAACAGAAAATGTTGTGAAAAGCTGTTAGCATTTAAAGTAATGATGTAAACACTTCCTTTCACTGGTCGTGATCTGTCGTCACCTTTCGCACAATCATCGTTACACATCGATAACCGGTTTGTTTGGCCGGATTATTTATGAGATAGTTTATCTTCAATTCGTTTAATTTTATTCTTTACAACGCGATTTTTCCCTCATAAATCAACAAGATGTCATATAAAGGGGATTTTTAAGCCATTTAAAAAACGTTTTACGATAGCACGTAGCCCATTTCAAAATTCTTACTGCTGACAGTTATAGACGCCAACCAAACCTGCTGATGCGCGGTAAAATTGTTCAACACCCCCCGGATGCTACAATTTACTGAAGAAATTTATCACGGAGCAAGACATCGTGCGCGTTTGGTTTGAAGGAAATTTCTGGATTTGAAGTACTCAAGGTTCGCTTAGTATTTGGAAATATATTTTCCCAATCACAAGGGGGATATCTTAGGTAAGTTTCTGCTTTTTCTCCGTGTTTTTGCGGACGCCTTCGGGAAATTGGATATGTTGTTGGTTGATAAAGTGATGAGTAATTATGTTTTGAAATAATCATGAAGAAGAATGATTTGCCCTTACCCTCTTGAAATCATCGCGCTTTCTATTGCATGAAAATTAAATAAACTGCGCTTAACGCTAAGGCCTCGAGGGAGCATTATGTATTGAAAGTTGATGAAAAATTTTATGCAACATAATTAAGTCGACAAGCATGTCGTGCATATTTGTGTGCGAAAAATGATTACTTTTGCTTCCTTTTCTCAAAGTTTTTTGCCGGTATTTAAAAAGCAATACGAAGTGCCGTTTTCTTGAACCATTTTCCTTGATGCGTTTATGCAGTTGGACAAAAAATACCGTAATTTTCTCCTGTTTGTGGAGAGCCGGCGATTCTTTACAATTACTATATTACAATCCCCCCTGTCTCGATAAACAAAATCTTTGACCGGGAAAACTACTTAAATCTTGTAACACGAATATGACACATCAATTCACATGTTTTTTCATGTTTAATATTCATGAGACATTTTTTCTTTTACAATATTATATCACAAACACGACTGAATAGAAAAGTTTTAAGTTGTGCAACATCAATTCTATTTTATCGAGTTCAAGTAAAAATGATTAAAAAAAGAACACACTCCACTTAAGCATTTTTACATTCAATTTTGACAAGATCCTAAAAGTCAACGAAAACTATATATGAATCATCATTTTCTTCCATTAATGAAAATCATAGACCTGTTCAAAGTGGCATTTCCAAACATTAACATTCCTGCTTCATCCCAACATCCAGACTATGGATGATGCAATGTGAAAATGCACCAAGCATAAAATTTATCATATTACACTGTGTAATTCACATACTATCCTAAAATCCATAACTTGCATTGATTCATGCAATACTCCATTAGTTACATTGCAGCTCATAATTCACACACTTTCCATCCTGAAATTGACATGTCTCCTGCAATTAACACAGTTCTCCATGGAGCTTGTAATTTTCATGCCAGCTCCCAATGCTTTTTAACCTAACACTGCCGCACATAGTGCGGAAAATGATAAAAAATGCATCATGCTTTTAGTTCATCATTTTTATGTTTTTTAGGCTTTCATTTTTCATTGAGATAGTTCATTGTACATTATGGCTGACGAATTTGACATAGAAGCCATGCTTGAAGCGCCGTACAAGGTATACATAGATCAATTTCTAGTGTTGTTTACATCGTTGTCTTAGTTTTGTACGTTGTGTCATGTATTTGAGGTAATTTATCATGTCGCCTTCAGGGGTGGAAAAATATTTTTGTTTTGTTAACCACAAAGAAAAGAAAACTTTCTTCTGCTTGTTGAGAAATTAATTTTTCTCTTTAATTCTGACACCAGTATTAGGTACTGGTGCCTAAGCAGTACCTAAGCCTATCAATTGTAGTTTTCTATTCTTAAAAGAAGCTCTGCTAACTTGAAATATTATGAGTCTATTATGTATTTCCTGGAAGATCAAAAAAATAAAAACCCAAGCTTTCTTTCCCCACTGTCTTAAACATTCAAAATAATTTTTTCGAACTTTAAAATATTTTCTGGTGCCAAATTTCCAATACATTTTCCACCCCTGGTCAGCTTAGCTTAGTGGATTGCTTTTTGAGAAACACTTTGCAGTTCATTGTGCTCATAAATTAACATGTGTATATGTGCTTGCAAAACACACTTAAAATAACAATAGGTTACAGGCTTTCCGATTTTACTATTAAAAAACCTTGTAAATGTGCATACATAACAATTGAATACGTGGAGAAATTATGCATTCCCTTCAGTAAGAAATTTATGTCCAACTGCCCATTTTTGAATGGTTAGCGATGTGCGGCATTTCACATTTCAACCTTGGGATAAGGGGTGACAATAATTGATCTAAACTCTCTAAGTCCTCTATTGTTTTTTTAGACCTTTGATTTGTGGTTTCAACTACAACCTTCAAGAGGTAGACACATTAATGCACACAAAAATGCTAAAAATTCAATTGCATTTTGAAAAATTGTTTCTTGCAGGTCGAAAGAGGAAATGATGCCTCCCGATTTTACATACAAAACGTGTGCACCCCATCCCCCTTAGAACTAGAGAACCCCACCCCCCTTGAACTAGAGATTAAATTTTGTTAGGGTCATAAAAGTTTTCAAAAAAATTTTGCCTCTAGAAAACTCTGACACTGATTATAATATGTAGAAAAGCAATGATTATTTGTCAAAACAAAAAAAATCATTTTAAAAATTCTTGTAAACATTGTATGTGATGTGACAAGTGTGTTTGAATCAAACTCCAGAGTAACGAAACTCTTTATTTTGGTTGTTTAGGTGATGGTATTGTAGTACAATGATGTTAACAAATCTTGGCCGATGAACTTGTGTTAACTGTTGAAAGTTTATCACAGCGTGTGTTAAAGCTCTTTTCTTTTTCTAGAGTGCAGAAAATGGCAAGTCAAAGAAACATGACTCGGACGACGATGATGACGGGAAGAGCAAACGGTTAGTTGCTGAAAATCACAGCTTCCTAGCATGCGTCACAGTTAGCAATTTGACATTTTCCTTGGTTATATTACCCCTTGAGCATGTCATGAAATGTGGGAAAGCCAGCAATGAATCTACAGTGCCGTAACAGGAAAATCTTATTTGAATTTAGATCACGACGCAAGCGCAGTAAAAGCAGAAGTCGAAGTGGAGATCGACGTCGCAGCAAAAGGTGGAAAAGAAATCATCCTTTTATTAACCAAGATTTTATATCCATCCATGCTTCTATCAATCCACATGTGTCCCTAACCACCTAGTAAATCATTGTTTTTGCTCACTGCTATTGAGATCTATCGTACTTATCAAACCATCAAGCTTTGTTTTGACCCTACATGATCATTAAGGTCATAGTATGCAACCTTGTGTCCTTTAGTTTTGACTTTTTTTTGTATTTATCCACCAGGTCGCGTAGCGGAGAGAGACGAAAGAGACGAAGTCGTAGCGGGGAACGACGATCACGTCGTAGTCCAAGTCCGGACAGACGTCGTCGTAGTCCAAGTCCTAGACGACGACCAAGTAGGGGAGATGAAAAGCGTGATAGGGATAGAAAAAGAAGATCGCGAAGTGGTAGTGACGACAGGTAGGTATCTCCTACCTTGGCATGGTTTTCCTAACTCATTTTACGTATATGCCTACACGCGTGATGTGATTCAACTTTCAATTTCTGGTTACTTTGTTTAGCGGCCATTGGCAAGTTTTACCTCGTGATGAAACAATCTCCGCCGAAGAACGAGATAGACGTACAGTCTTCTGTATGCAGCTCTCGAGGAACATAAGACCACGTGACTTGGAGGAGTTCTTTTCGAAAGTCGGACAAGTAAGTTGGGTGACCTTTTTCTTTCATGCACTTTGCATTCGTTTGGCAGTACTTGCCTAACGTTGTTCTTTTTTTTGTAATTTTAGGTTCGTGATGTTCGAATCATATCGGATCGTAATTCAAGACGATCCAAGGGCATTGCATACGTAGAGTTCACGGATGCTTCTGCCGTTCCTTTGGTATGTTTCCTCATTGAAAATACATATATACAGCTTTGCTTTTAGAGCAACTTGATATTTAATTACATGTTTGTAAATGTAGATCGTCCAGGTTGGTATAGTCCTGAGAAGGACTGTTTTTGTTGTTGTTGACTGACGTCAAAAACAGTCCTTCTCAGGACTATACCAACCTGGACGATCTACATTTACAAACATGTAACGATACTTCCGGGTTCAAACCCTTTACTTTGATATTTTAATGCCGTCGTTTGAACTCTGTTTACTTCATAAATTCCGTCAATGTTGGAAGTCGATCAACTTTTCAGTTTATACAGAAGCAGGCTGAAAGTATTGTGATTGAGCCTTGTTATAAACGAAATTTCTTGGTTCCTTTTGTGTTAAACATGATATGTCACGTGTTTATTGTTGTGTAAAGACTTCGATGAGCGCTTTTTTGAGGCTGCATGTTGTTGGCTTGCTGGCCACTACGTGCGCTTGTTGTTGTTTCGATGAAATTAACATATAAGGCGCTGTTTCAAAAAAACTGTACATTTTCTTCATAGGTTAATGAAACCGAAGTCAATGATTAAACAAATACGTTTGACGAAATCGTCGAGTAAAAACCTCGTAAAAAAAAACGCAAACTAAACATTGCAATGAATTTCTTACGATAGGCTTTGAAGCTCACTGGTCAACGTTTGCTTAACGCACCCATCATTGTACAGGAGACTCAGGCTGAGAAGAACAGACTAGCAGCTGAGGCTGAGAAATTGAAACGTCCGCTAGGACCAACACGTGTTTACGTTGGCTCATTACATTTTAACATTACCGAACAAATGATCAAAGCGATATTTGAACCTTTCGGCGTTATAGATACTGTTCAGATGATCATGGATTCCGAAACAGGAAGATCCAAAGGATATTGCTTTATACAATTTCGTGATCCCGATAGTGCAAAAAGAGCTATGGAACAGATGAATGGATTTGAACTCGCTGGAAGACCAATAAAGGTACATTTTGTGTATCGATATCATCAACCCCCACCCCCTCCCACTTCAGGTGCTGCAACTTCAAATGTGTTCCAAATGATACTATAATTTCTTCATTACCTCTTCTAGTCATCTGAATAAACATAGTCTCTTGTTGTGGCATCTTTCTGTAATTGTTTATTGTTTATTTATTGATAAGGTTGGTCCAGTAACAGAACGGACAGATACTGGGGGAATGTCATTCCTTGACGATGAGGAATACGAGAAGGGGGGTATTGTAATGAACACTGCTGCAAGAGCTGCTCTGATGCAAAAGTTATCTCAAACACATTCAGCTGGTGAGAATGATATTTTGATAATCACTACATGTTGTCTGACTCAACACCATAGCATCATAAATTTTTCTTCTATTATTAGGGTTAACTGTACCAGGTGCGCCCCCAGCTAATCCAGCAGTATCCATTCTGCAGACACCAGTTAGCATTCCATTACCAACTCCTTGCTTGATGATAAGCAACATGTTTGATCCTTCAAAGTAAGTGTTAACCACTTAATAACTTAAAAACAACAATAGAATTTAAGAATTGTGCATCACAGCAATACAGCAATGAATAATTAGATAGTCAATACCTTTTGTAGTGTACAATGTTGTTCCTCGAAGGGCAGGGGCAGTGCTGTAGAAGTGGGGGGGTGCTTGGGGGAGGAGCCCCCCTTCTACCTTTGAAATGGGTAATTTCAAAAGGGCGCTATTGACCAAAACGTCCGGAGAGCCCCCCTTCTGATAAATTCAGTTCTACAGCACTGGACAGGGGTGACTATGTATCATAATGAGCCAAGTTTGCACTTTGTAAATATGTACCTATTCCATTGTTGTCAAAATCTCCTCCAAGCTTGCAGTCATTCTTGTTTAGTGTTCTTCAATATTTTAAACGTTTTTATGATAGGGAACAAGACAAGGACTGGCATTTGGACATACAGGATGACGTCTTGGACGAACTCTCAAAATTAGGAGGCATAGTTCATATTCATGTTGATCAGACATCTATGCAGGTACTAAATGGTCTCTCCTCTTCTTATACCTGTCTATCCCACCATATCCCATGTTGCTTGGTGAATGAATTTAAGTTTGAAATAGTGTAAGTGTTGCTGATGGAATATTCTCGAATTATTTAGGGAAATGTTTACTTGAAGTGTGTCACACCTGATATTGCTGTGGCTGCTGTGAAGACGATGCATGGTAGATATTTTGCTGGTATGGATTTTATTTTTTCCCTTCTTCCTTCATCATGGATTTACATATTTGTTGATGTATAATTGTAACTGCCTTGTTCTTTTACTAATATTCTTTATTACCCATAGGTAAGCAACTTCTGGCTAAAACGATGCCTTTGTCTCAGTACCACGGAATGTTTCCAAATGCAGCCATGGCTGTGAAACCTTTGAAACCAACAGCTTGATGTTTGCTCCAATTCCTACTCATCTTAATTGCCTTGTGACAATTTACAGGGTGGAAATAGTCGCAGAATGATTGGTGGTTGCAATCCATTGTGTATACTGCATGTAAATCTCTTTCCTTATCTTTAATTGTGTTAAACATAAGCAAGTGTTTTTTCAGAAGTTCCTTCTTTATGACATGGGATTCATGGACTTGTGAAATGATAAATATCTTTAGCAGATAACTCATTTGACATTCAAACTTTGATCGTCTACTTTAGTGCACTTCAAAGTATTTTTTTGAAGGAATGTTACCCTGAGTTGGCTGCAATGGTTGCTTATCAGTAGTTGTAGATAGTACAAATTTATTTTGTATGAATTCATTTTCTCATGACTGAGGACTACATTGACTTTTCCGTTTCTTATAAAAAATCAACTGATACCTTTTCATCAACCTGCTTGCATAGCAATAGAAAGTGCACATATCCCTTCTTGTGAACATAGTTGCAATGAAGAACAGTGCATGCAATATCTGCATCAGAGTATAGTAGAATCTTCCTTAAAGCTGTAGCGAACAATAAGAACCGGTGTAAGTAAGGTAACATTTGGTTTGAAGGTTTTGGCAAACCTTTTGGGGAGGTATGGTTCATCAACTTTACAGACTTTGAAGTCTGAGAACTCTGAATTGCGGTTTTCAACATTTGTGCAGAATGAATACAGAATATTGTCTACCATACATTCCAATGGATTTCGATCAATAGTAGTAATAATAAATCCATTGCATGGGAATTACAAATTTGTTTTTAAATTAAATTTTCAGGATTATAAGACTAAAACTTGTTGCCTTCAGTTAACTGAATGGCAGTGTTTTTGCAGATCAGCAAGACCTAAACCCACCGTATTCATTTTTAAGAAATTTATGCCCTGCTACACCTCCAATCGAACAAATAAGGGTGTGTCTCGCCAGACTAAAAACATAGTTGTCCGGCAAGTTGCCAGTTTTAAGTGGCATGGAAATTGGCAAAAAAGTAGCTGCCAATTTTTCTCTCTACAGTATCTTCATCATCATTAAAACAATGGTGAAATTTTTTTCAGTATTTAGCATATTTTTATAGGTTTTCTATGATAAAATATCCTTCTTCGAAACACTTTAAAACAATTCCTACATTGGCTCCAACAGATGTATGAAAGAAAAATCAAAGCTACTGTCACATACAATAAAATCACTGTGCTTTCTTGAGGAAGATAACACTTTTGCAGTGCAAACTTTTTTGGGTTAAAAATTACCTGTTGGAGAAAACATGGGCATTGTTAACATACAGTTTTTCTGTATTAAGTAAGCTTTGCAGTACATTAATACAATAAAGCAAACATACCAGAACAAAGCTGGGGTCATTCCTATTTCTCCAGCTAAATGAAGGCAACGTGAATTCTGGGATTTTCCCTCGATGAACAACATGACAACTGTGATGAGTGTGTCCACTGAAGATGCCTTGTGGATGAAGTGAATCAAGTAGCAATTTTGATGCACTTCGTGACAACACCTCCCATCTTTCCCTGTTTTCCTTAAAACGTATTTCAACAGGAGGAGAATCCTTTTCAGTACAAGTTATCTCCGATGATCGATACAAAGGAAAATGCTATGAATTAGAAAATTTTAGCATTACCACAGGAGAATGGTCAAAAACCTTACCCAGCATAAAATTCAGAAAATCTATGATGAAACATGCTCCAACAAACAAAGCTTGGTCGAGCTACCTAGCATTATCAAAGTATGTTTCACCTTGTGGAGAGAGCTTAACTAAGAAATATGAAAGTAAGCAAATATAAAAACAACATTTTGAGAATTGAACCTGAGCCAAACAAACCAACCTGCAAGATAAAAGGATAAGATGTAATAGGATGTTCACATTTCATTTGATCTGAGTCATTGTAAAGGCATTTCAACTTGCTTGCCACTTGTTCCAATTCTTGCTCTGCTCTTTCACACAAAGAGCAACCATCTTGGTCAAATGCCATAGAGTTGACAAGCACAAACCTGTATTGTAAAGACAACATCTTTTCACTTAAGGAGATACTTTGAATCGTGGTAGCAAATGATACTCACCAATTTTCTTTCAAATTTAACAATCTGACTCCAGTAACATTAAAAGAACTTTTGAACCGTCTTGTTAGCCAGGAGCTGCTTACCATGCTGGAAGGAAAGAACAAGACTATCTTAGTTCAACTTATGAATAAAATTCACACAATTGAGACACAAACTACAAGATAAAAGTATTGAGGAATTACCGATAATGAAAACCAATGTCATGATTTCCAGGAACGACATAAAGTTCTGTATCACGGGGATGGTGGAATATGTCATGGAATCTTTCCATATAATCTTCCCATTCCTAAAAGTAATAATGAAAAGGAGCCATGTTGATTACAGTAGCACTTTAATTGGTTTGATTTTCCATTTTTTTAACACACCTCATCCCCACATATCATTCCTTCGTCAAAAATATCCCCCAAAATGAACACGACATCGGGTTTGAGAAATTTTAAAGCAGTTTGGAAACTTCTCTTCATCTGCCATTCACGTCGAAGCTTGTCAAACCAATGTCCACGTTCAGAGCCCAATAAATGTGGATCGGAAAGAAGCAAAGCGTTTATGTTGTTATTTGGGTTTAAAAACTCGTTATTTCTTAAACGTGTATCAAGTACGGGCCAAGAACATTGAAATATAACAATGTAGTATATAATATATTCACAATAGCAAAACACAGCAAGTACTGCAAATAGTAACCGCTTTAAAACTCCTATAATCATACTTGGTGAAAAGCTTCACATATTTCAACATTCGAGCAAAATCATTGATTTATGTTACATGCTTGAGTGAGAAACTAGAAATGACATCTATGTCCATCGCGATTGAAATCCACATATAATAAATATAGAATTTCGCATTTTGGCTGACAGTTTGCACTATTGTTTACGTCACTCATCTCTGGCATTTTGATCAGGAGCAGCGCTTAAACGAGCATTCACTGTAAATTCTTCGTGTGCGAGAATCGTGTTTGTAGTATAAATTCAAAAAAATCGCTGTCCGATGAGGAAGAAGGAGGAAGATAGTATATGATGTAATTGATTCCACGATTACATATGTAATTGATTATAACATTACACATGTAATTGATTACACGATCACACATGTAATCGATTCCACGATTACACATGTACACGATTACATATGTAATTGATTATAACATTACACATGTAATCGATTACACGATCACACATGAATCGATTCCACGATTACACATGTACATGATTACATATGTAATTGATTATAACATTACACATGTAATCGATTACACGATCACACATGTAATCGATTCCACGATTACACATGTACACGATTACATATGTAATTGATTATAACATTACACATGTAATTGATTACACGATCACATATGTAATCGATTCCACGATTACACATGTACACGATTACATATGTAATTGATTATAACATTACACATGTAATTGATTACACATGTAATCGATTCCACGATTACACATGTACACGATTACATATGTAATTGATTATAACATTACACATGTAATTGATTACACGATCACACATGTAATCGATTCCACGATTACACATGCACACGATTACATATGTAATTGATTATAACATTACACATGTAATCGATTACACGATCACACATGTAATCGATTACACGATCACACATGTAATCGATTACACGATCACACATGTAATCGATTACACGATCACACATGTAATCGATTACACGTGTAACGATTAATTCATAAGAGCAATTATAAATTCTAAAGAAATTAGTCTTGAATGGACGCAAACAGAATTAATACGTACTCTCACACACCCCTAACACAAGTTGCATTGCAATTTCGCTTCTAATTACAGTAGGCTAAAGATGTTTAATGATGTTGGTTTGTTAGATATGTCGCTCAAAGAACACGACATATTTGAACCATTTACAACGTCTGTTTGTATAATCAACCAATCATGTATTTCCTAAACATTAAAAATCGGAATCTCTTTTTTAAAACGTAATTTACTCAAATACTCGTACGTCGTCGATTAGGAAGACTTTGAGCCATGCAGCAATTAGGTTGCTGTGACATTTCAGCGTTTTCACTCAGCACGTTGCCATTCTCAACCGTCATGTTATCAAACGAAAGTAGTTCAGGAATAACGGCATCGTTGCAAGGTAAAATTTGTCGTCTACGAGCACAATCAATACGACAATCTTGTCCTTCCGCGACATTCTCGAGTTCAAATTCTTCTTGCCTCCGGCACCTATGCCAAATATATTTCCATGTGTCGTGGAACATTTCCATGAGCAAATGACGATGTCTTATGCAGTATATGAAGAAAACGCCAATGACAGAAACGACGGGTATTGCAAAAGACAAACCAATGATGACATAACACCAAGAAGGATAGAAAATATCCGTCATACCCTAAAAATTGTACCAAAAAAACCCCTTTTTTCGTTGAGATTCCACTATAAGAAAGTGCAGTTCTACAGCTACCTTAAAAGGATTCCAAACGCTGTAAGTGTAACCGTCTGTTTTGGCCAAATCGACGACACTGAGAATAATCAGTGTTACCAAAATGGCGGGTGTGATGAAGAACCAACATATAATCCATAACACATGAAGACGCTCTCCTGTCATTTCTTCAAATATTTTGCAAAAGCTACACACGGGAAAGATCAGAAAGTAGTAGTTAGCTTAAATTTAAGAATTGCTGCACCTCTTAAATTTAAACTGAACATTTTCAACCCGGGAGTATCGTTCCATCTTCGTAGATGTAGATCGTCCAGGTTGACTACCGCTAAGGTTGTCGAAAATTCAGCCAACATCAACACCAGCAGTCCTTCTAAGGACTTTCACTAGCCTGTACGATCTACATCAACAAGCATGGAATCTCTTAAACGCTAATAGAGATCACCCAGTATGTTTGTTTATAATCCATGGCATATTAATTATCCTCCCTATTTATATATGCACGCAATAAAGCCTAGAAAAAAACTCATTTCAAAAGAACACACGCACATGAGCCCCCACACACACACACAACTATCAAGCCGGCCAAGCCCTGTTTATAAGTATTCACTCTCTATTAGTACAAATCATCATTTCTTTTTTCCTATATTTCAGAGATAAACAAGGCGATTTTTCCTTTAATTATGACTATTCACTGGTGGTGGGCAGAATACAAAATTTAAGCAGTTGTTTCAACGTGAATTTATCTCTTACTTCTTGCGACCAAAGAGAAAGAAGACAGTCAAAATTTCCATCAAAGCAATCCAGGGCAACGCATAAAAACAATAACCGTGAAACAAATTGACCATGTACAATCCATTGTCTGTAGTGAACAGTAGTCCAAATACACAGGAGAACGAACAAACCAAACCTAGAAAGACAAGCATTAGAAAACTAAATAGACAAGAATAGAATACAATAGAATGGACAAAATTAGAATAGAATAGATTAGAACAGAATAGAATAAAATAGAATAGAGTAGAGTAGAATAGAATGGAATAGAATGGACAAAATTAGAATAGAATAGAACAGAATAGAATAGAATAGAGTAGAGTAGAATAGAATGGAATAGAATGGACAAAATTAGAATAGAATAGAACAGAATAGAATAGAATAGAAAAGAGTTGAGTAGAATAGACTGGACAAAACTGAAACGACTAGGGACGACCATTTGAGAAACAAGCTTTACAAATGCAATAATCTTAAACAGGATTAAGCTACGAGCCAACTCACGCAATATGTTTACTTAACATGCGCTCAACATTGTAAAAGTCAACATGTTGAGAGCATTTGCACACCCTGTTGAGAGGTGTTGAGAAAAGTTCGAAACATTCGACTCAACAGCGCTCAACATTTTTTTGTTCTACATTCATCGATGTTTGCCTAAACATTGTTTAGTGCGTTGAACAGCTTACTCAACAGTGCCCAGCTAACGCATGCGCACTGCACAGCATATATCGTTGTAAAGATGGCACCGCCGATAGCATCGTGAATATTTTATCTCATAAGTTCAAAATGTTGAGAGCGCTTGCACACATCGTAAAACATTACTCAACAAGCGCAAGACAATGTTGAACGCACGTCGAGTGTCTGTGTTTGCACGTAGCTTTAAATGAAATCACTTACCTGTGGCATAGATGTGCTTCATATCACTGATTTCCCTTAAAAAGTAGGCAACATTAAGTACCATACCGGACATGCTGCCGATGCCAGTGAGAAGAAGCAAAAAATAACTAAGCGACGACCACAATGGCGGATATGGAATACGAGTAAAACTTTCACTCCAGCTTATAAACGCCAATGAAAATGCGTCTGGTAGCTACAAGCAAACAAAACGTTGGCTATTTTATGGCTACCTTAGCTGCAACTGACAACCAAATTAGTTTCAAACTTACGGGTTGCAAGAGAAAAGAATAATTACAAAAGAGGTTTCTCTTAGTTTCGATTCCAATATCCGACCACGATCTATTATTGTCTTCGAGAAACTTCAAGCATTCTTTGTCTTTGAAATGAGCTTGAAATCCACGCAACGAAAAGACGATGATGCATGAACAGACACCGATGGTAGTGTCGATGAGCCCGTAGTACAACGCCGCTGACTTGCATTGGAAGTGTTTATCGTTATGACTAGAGTACATGAGTATGGAACCGTAGCCAATGCCAAGAGTGAAAAAAGCATGATTTGCAGCGTCGCGCCAGATTTCAATGCTCAGCAACTTGTCAATCTAAAAAACGACAATATCGTTTTGTAATATTTTTTGAATGCCCCACTTCTTGTGTGTATTGCGCATGTGCAGTAATTACGTCTTTCACATCGAAGTCGAAGAACAAAGCCAAACCACGTGCCCACTCGTCAAGATGAACCACCATGAGAAAAAGAGCAAGGTAAAGTACCACAGCAATGACGAGGATTACGTGACCGGGCTGAAATGAAAAAATATCATGGCAAGTTCGAATGAGCTCAACAAACTCAACAACCTCTTATAGCTTACAAAGCCATGTGACAGAATCATATAAAGTTATAATCTCAACGTATTTCGAACATTTTCTTTTGAACTGTATGCAACAGGTGGCTAATGGCGAAATATATCAACTAGTGGTTCGGGATATCTAAAAATACTTCGGAATTCACTCACTGTGAAAACAATAGATATCTAAAGAAAGAAATGCTGTACATCGTCAGAAATTTACAATGCCCCCAACAAGCACGCAGGTTTTTTATGTCACTACTTAAGACAACTTACTTTGGCTGCAAATTTGATGCCTTTAACGTTATACATAAACACAAGAATCCACGAAATAAAGATGCAGAGATACATTTCCCAGTTTAAACCTGTTAAAAAACAAGAAAAGGTAAGGTGGATACAAAAATATTGCTTGCTTTATGTTTGAGCAGTCTTACACACGAGCTAGCATTAACTATGGGCATCGCCAGGCTGCTCAAACCGAGGGAGACGTTACGTGACCTCTGGGAGGAGGGAAGGGAATGAAAAATGTTTATACGTAAGATCTGTAAAACGCTATTGCCTGTATTTTAGCAAGTTAGTTATCTGCAATCTCTTTCTATGACGAAATGAACCTAAAACATATATCCAAACACACATAGATTTGATTTGATTTCTTCCGTTTCAAAAAATAACTCAAAAACTGGTCTTTATAGGGAGGGGGGGACTCGTCTCTCCCTGACGATCTCATGGAAAGGAAATTTGGCTTTGAACGATGTATAAATCTGGACTATCCGTAATATCACGTGGATCACTGATACCGGTAAATTATCGGAACACAGGATTTATTGAGACAACAAAAAGAAAAAATATCCACCTTTGACGGAGTTTATGTCCACAGAAACGTCAAGTTTTGTCTCGTACCAGTAATACTCGGATGGACTGCTCACATTTGTGCACGCATTTGCATGATCTGGGCATGACGCCCATGGGAGATGCCGCTGCAACGAACTAAAAAGGTACGCGGCGCACCAACCGACAATAACGTTGAAATAGACAATAGTGAACAACGAAATGAATACGGCGCTTATTCCCAAACCAACAGCACTGGGATGAACTTTCCTCCATGTATGCAAAAGAAACTCGTTTTGAAAATGTTGACCGATTGCTATTTCCACGCAGACAAGGGGGATGGCTTCGAAAAACAACATCACCAAATACGGCAAAAGGAAGATACCTAAAAATAGTACAAGGACAATATAATGAATAATAATCAATGATAAGTCACAGGTGATGGATCTGGGGTAAGTAAGAACTCCAGGTCATTCTTTGGTGGATTTATGTTTTATAATATCTAGAAAAACACAATTCGACTGCATGGTTTGATTTTATTCTTTGAGAATCCTTTAAAATCAAATTGAGTAGCGAAAAGACTAAAGCTGAATTTAGGCACCACTGTCAGAAAGAGATATTCAACTCAATGCCAGTTAGCATTTTCCATTTCAAAACAAATAGAAAAGACCTTCTTCGTTGAATAAAGAACTCCTTATATGATTGAAGCACTCTACGTAAATGCATAAATAACGGTCATTCTCTCTTTTCTTTCTTCAAAGCCGTCACCAAAAACATCAAATTATTCACCTCTAGTCTATTTTCATTACAAGTTTAAATTCTCCCCACCTCCAATCTATTTTCTTTACAAATAAAAATTCTCCCCACTTACCTCCGCCGTGTTTATAACATAATCTTGGGAAACCAAGAACTGTACCGTAGCCCAAAGAAAAATTTAACATCGACACATAAAAATCGGAAGAGTGCCAATGAGTACCGGAGATGGGAGATGCCTGCTCGACAGAAGACGATACAGCTCCTTCGTTATGGATCGCGGGATGACAAGGGTCTCCTGTATTTGGGGACTCCTCGACAGCGCAAGCGTATTCGTGTTTCTTCTTGAAAGCCAACATGCATTTCTCGATGTTGTGAGTGAAAGCTGAGTTCAGCGCGATTTTTGCTCCTTCTTTTGGCGTCAGTAACGAATATCTTGTAGTGTCCATTTAGTAGAATACAGCAACGACTAAAGTTTTCAATTGATCATGAAATGTTTATCCTGTAAAAACACCCAGAGTTCAATCGTCAATTCACGAGTCAAATGTCAAAATAAAAAATGATATTATAATGTTTACTGTCGAGATGCAAAATAGAGGATTTTTTAAACTGTTAGCTTTCTCGGATTGTGCTCAGTCTTATCACGCTTCCCCTTTCCCCCGTATTAATTATTACGCACGTCTAACATACATTAACACGATATTTTAACAAAAATACAAAAACAAATCGCACAACTAAACGACTCTCTAATACATCAAGTAAAAAAAACCACGTTATCTATGAAAAAATAAACGAAGTCATATATTGGTGCAGTATGAGTCTTTAACGTTCTCTAAAATCTGAAGACATCACCCCGATGGCAAATTTGAACAGTTTAATTAAAAGAAGTTTAAGTAAACGTAAAAAACAAAACCAAATAAGCAAGGCGTCTAAGGGTCTTTCAGCTGTTTTTCTATCAGACATCCAGGCGTCTGCAAACCTTTCCTCCAAGGAGCTTACGTAAGGCCAGATTTTAATAAAAATCACCCAAATTAGTTTTGGTTTTTTTTCGCCAATCATGATGGAAATGTCAAAAGTTCCCATCAAATAGCATAATTTCCTAGAGGAGGATTTAAAAAGAGGGAGGGGAGGGGAGGGGGGGCTAGTCACCATCCATCTTTAGTCAAAATTTTTAAAAAGTATGCGATTTATAATTAAAATCAACGAGCTCGCGTTTCCAATAAAAGTAATTTAGATAATATATTAGATTGCGATCGCATACTCATCGCTTATAATAGCGTTGCATATTTAATTATTTATTTCGTTGCATATTTAATCATTTATTTCGTTGCATATTTAATCATTTATTTCGTTGCATATTTAATCATTTATTTTGTTGCATATGATGAATAAACGTAACGTGTTTCCATCGCAATATTTCGAAGTGAGCTTGCTTACAATTATTTCTGAGTTATTGGCTACATCACGATGGGTCAAAAGCTTAGAAATGAAATAAAAAAATATCGAGCGATAGAAAATTCAACACAATGTTTTATTTATATTTAGTGAAACAAGTTTATAAATATGACAATAGTCGAAGTTATTCAAATCTACAATTCTTTTGCATGAAATGTTCAAATATGAAACAAAATTGATTTTCATAGTATTTTAGAGAGGTGTATTGCTGTCCCAGTCTCCACCAAATGAAATCGTCCAGTACCCTCCTTTGTCCCCTCCCCTTCCTGCATCTGCCCCTGTTTCCAAGTGAAAAAGTCACATGATCGCTGATCATGTTGAAAATGAAACATCTGAATTAATGCCTTCGTAAAAACTGTAACGAAGACCACTGTGTCATAATCCGGGCTGGCTAAATAAAGAGTGATGATACCTGGTGCCTTCTATCATAGAAGTGGAACTCATTTAGTCGAAGACTTAAAAATCATCATAAAATTTCTTAGCATGCAGAAGCAAAAAAATCTACAGCGGGGGCAAAAAAATTTACCTCTCTTTAAAGTGCGCGCGTTTTCCCCTACGAATTAATTGCCGACAAATTTAGGAGTTTAGCTATGTCTGCAAACAGCTATAATAGTCTCGAGACTCTATTGTCCGTTTTGGACAGATTTCTCAGAGAAAGTAAACTGGATTAAACTATATGATTGCCCTTGTAACAATATCACTTTAGTTTGAGAGGGGGGAGGGGAGCTGTAGAATAACTCGTACAGAATACCCAGCCTTTTAACTGATAACTAGAAGTCGTCAGAAAATTACGATAAAACTGTGCATCAAAGCAGGTTAACGTGATGCCGTAACTACGCATTAGAAGATAAAGGTTTTGCCACCTGTTCTCGACCTGCGTCGTGTTTGTGCATGTTGAAAATGCGTAGTCATTACAGCATCAAAATCGAAACATTTAATTATTGATGGGGTCTTATATATGGAGAAAAAAACTTTTGCTGTAAACTTCCCTGGCAATGTATATCATTGTAAATTTTTGCAAAGCACCGCGCGTGAACCTTTACACAAGACAGGGGGGTAAACTGCGGAAGGATTATGAAAAATAGGCCGACGGAAGCCAGTATGAAAAGAAAGTTTCCTATGGAGTTAGCTGTCTGATAAATGTCAGCATACGTGACAGCTTGACTGTATTTAAGTTCAAGATGGATCGTTTAACTGTCAAACTTGATGAAGAAAAAAAAGTTCAAAACTATTCTAAAATAAACTTTATTCTTGAATTTTAGATAGTTTAGTTATCGTAAAGGGGAAAAAAATGAATGCACAAAAAGTATTCCAAACAGTAATCTACATTCAGCTTACTTCATGCTTATATTTACGTAATTCAATATTTCATCAAAAGTGGAACTTGTCTTACCAAACGTCAAATGAGCGCTAATCTTTAAAACGTTTCACTGAGCCAGTAGCTTATTGTCCACGATACAAACGATAACAAAGTTGTCATTTTCGTGAGAAACGATGTCGGCAGCCGACACAGCAAAGTCGACGAAGCGACATGATAAAAGCGGTTAGTGGCGAATATGTATTTACCTCCGGATTACGTCATGTAATAATTTGCCCCGCTGTCCCCAAGGTTTCGATCCATTTCATCGACTTGCCAGAGAGTTTATTTACGACGATTTATGACTTGCATATAGAGCCTCAGGAAAATAAGCGTACATATTCTCTTACAATGAAGCAGATATACTTCCAATTGTCAATCATCTTTATCTGTAAGACATCACTTTAAATTGATGACATTTGTAACGTCATATAGACGCTGATAATGAGCGCCAAGTGACGCCTTAAGTGTGAATATTTCACTCTAATTTTACAGCATCAAAGCTGTTTTCGAGCGATGCCAAGATAAGACTTTCATTGATAGTGTTTTGGAATTGACCTTTCCACTTTTGATGAAATTCGTGTATTTTGACGAGCTTCGAGCAAGCTTCGTTTTTTAGAGTAAATTGTCTGTTCTTAAGCAACAAAGCAAGTAATTATAAAACAATTTCATGCCCCAGATGGCTGATGCCGTTTTGTAGTATGTATATGGCAACGCTCTTATTTATGGTAAATTGTAAAACTGCACAAGCTTGTTGTCAGACACTTAAAGTATGACATAAAATTTTTTTTCAGAATAACAACCTATTTCAAAAATAGAACACATTTCACCGTTATATTAAATGCATTCATAATGTATTTGTTGAATAATAATCAAACAAGACGCCAGCTCCGGCTTTAACTCCGGGTACAAAGTTGCTTGTGAAATTCATAGGCGTACCGGAGCTATTAATTCGGGGGGGGAGGGCAGTAAATATTAATCCCATCTCACAGTGAAGGTTCCGCCATATTTTCGCCCGACTAACGTTTAAAATTTGCCCAAACTTTTCAATCTTCAAACTTCCTTGGGGTAGGCAATTGCCCTGTACCGTACGTCTATGGTAAAATTTCAGTACAGTGCATATAACTCAGTATCAATTTCGTTTCTAAATTGCTATCCTGCTTTATGGGATTTAGCAAATACTGAAGGACATCGGAAAGTTGCATTGATAAGTGTAGCTTTACAAACCATGACCAGCTGACAATTTAAAGAAATGTAGTATAAAACAAATTCCGAAGAAGCAAGACGTCTTGAGATTGCAAAATATGCATCAAAACAAGACGAGAAGTGAACTGTAAATTTTCGAATTTATTTCAAAGTCATCCTCAGTCATCCTCATTCCTCAAAGTGTAGCTTTGTTATGAAATACAGTATACCACGATGTTGTGTCACAGTGACGTAGCAAAGTAAGATGCCGGGATGGGGTATTCATATATACGCATGTTCTACAGTATACCATGATGTTGTGTCACAGTGACGTAGCAAAGTAAGATGTCGGGGGTATTCATATATACGCATGTTCTACAATATACCATGTTGTGTCACAGTGACGTAGCAAAGTAAGATGTCGGGAGGGGTATTCATATATACGCATGTTCTACAGTGTACCATGATGTTGTGTCACAGTGACGTAGCAAAGTGAGATGTCGGGGGGGGGTATTCATATATACGTATGTTCTACAGTATTACATTCATTTGAAATAAACTGTTTTCTACCGATAATATCACATAAAAGCACCCTCCCAAACAATATTATCATAACTAGCTGCGACTCTGCCTTGCTACCGTCATCTTGGTGTACACTTTTTACATAACAATGTCTCAAGCTATTGGGTTGAGTATGAAGCAATTTGGCATTCATGTAACAACTGGCATTGATATTCATATAGTCATTGGTATTATATTCATTTAGACATCGGTATTGACATTCAGGGTGATTGATATTGGCATTTATACAGTCATTGGTAACATTCATATAACCTTTGGTGATTGATATTGGCATTCATATAGTCATAGTATTGGAATTTGTATTGCTGTGCATTGGTATTTGCATTTACAAAGATGTATAAAGAGATTGGCATTGGCATAATATAGTTAATGGTATTGAGATTCATACTGTCATTTGTATTGACATTCATACTCTCATTGGTATTGGCATTTGTATAGTCATGCATTGGTGTTTGCATTTATAATTACATTAATGTTTTCATTGGTATTGGCACTTGTATAGTCATGCATTGGTGTTTGATTTTATAATTACATTAATGTTTTCATTGGTATTGCCATTTGTATAGTCATGCATTGGTATTTGCATTTATAATTACATTAATGTTTTCATTGGTATTGGCATTTGTATAGTCATGCATTGGTGTTTGATTTTATAATTACATTAATGTTTTCATTGGTATTGCCATTTGTATAGTCATGCATTGGTATTTGCATTTATAATTACATTAATGTTTTCATTGGTATTGGCATTTGTATAGTCATGCATTGGTGTTTGCATTTATAATTACATTAATGTTTTCATTGGTATTGCCATTTGTATAGTCATGCATTGGTATTTGCATTTATAATTACATTAATGTTTTCATTGGTATTGGCATTTGTATAGTCATGCATTGGTGTTTGCATTTATAATACATTAATGTTTTCGTTGGTATTGACGTTCATTCAGTCTTTGGTATTTTCATACATATAGTCATCTGTATTGGCATTCAAAGAACCATTGGTATTCACATTCATATAATCATTTGCATTGGCCAGAGTAAAAACACTTGGTTTCTCCCATGACATGGCAAAGCTTGAAAACCATTTGCATTTCAAATTGATTAATCAATGCAGTGCATGCATAGTCAAGTACTAATTCAATTTATTTCAGTAATATTCAGTATAATGTACTCTCATATAGATGTAGCAAGACACTTAATTTGCAGAGATGAGCATTTTTGCACATTCGTCCTTCACCCAAATGATTACAAAATTTACACGTAATTCAAAATCAAACATTATATGTATATATAAGCTTGGTATAATGTATTGTTGAAAACCATCGTCCACGATTCTTGCCGATTATGTTTCTCCTCAACATAATCGGGGGGGGGGAGGAGGCAAGTTTGGCTTCATCCAATCACGGAAAAAAGTACGGGAGTTATCGTTCCATTTGTTATTGCAGTTCACTGTGGATGACCAGATGGCGTATAAAACGTCACGTTTGAGCATGCTCAGATGCACTTGTCCAATCAGATTACGAAAAATTTCACTGTAAAATATATTACTTGTCATGCTGATTTTTGAGAGCATGACGAAGTCGCGCTTATAAGCGTAGAATAAGTTCTAGTTTAAGCTGTTGCGTGGCGGCAAGATAAAACATAGTGGAATACTAAAATAAGACGCAAAATGCAATTCAATAGTTGACCTTCGTCCAAAATGCTTATATGTAAATAAATTAATCGCAAAAAAACAATCAGTCGTCAGCATCTACAATGATTCTAACAATAACGAAATAATCTTTGTGGAAATTTTTACTCAAGATGAGCACGAACAGAATGACCGCTAGCTCCGCTACAGAGAGCAAAATCTATAATGAGTTGTTTTATTTACAAAAATAATATGTTAACTTAGGGTTAACACTAACCGGGCTTTGAGCAATGCAAATTAACCCAGGATTAAAATTTAACCCAGGGTAAGGCTAATTTAACCCAGGGTTAGGCAAATTTAACCCTGGGTTAGCGTTGTTCGCCTTTTGAACAAGCGGCCCCAAGTGGCGTATTAAATATTTCTGAGCTCACGTATCAACACAACGCAACAACAAATCAAAAATCATACAAATGACACTCAGGAACCTCTCACCAAATGTAATTATTCGTCACCTTACCTTAGTGGTAGAACTTGGGCTTCGGATTAATATAACCCTCGCTCATCGGACTCAAGCTGGCTAGTTTATTGATACTGTCGTGCAGCCTGCATTGCAGAATATGCTTCGTCGAGTGCTATTACCGTAGTAATCGTAAACTTTGAAAAACTTTGGTGAATAGTTGCCAAAATTTCGATAACTCACACTTGATAATATGGCAAATTGAATAGCTTATGCAGATATTTGTTAAGCCTATTTTCAACTAGGCGGAATTTTCAAAGCGTAAAGTCAAATTTGCAACATGATTGGTTGTTACAAAATAATGACGACATCATTAACCAATCACGCGCGTTATCAGCTAGTACGCGCTGAAAATTTTAAGAAGTCAAAACGACATTGTCGTCGTGTAAATCACTGAAACTTTTTCAAGTAAAAGAGCAGTATTTCAAAGAAACACAAGTTGAAAAGAGGATGGTAGCAAAGCTTTTCTTCTAAAAGGACAGTGATACTGCATGCACATATTTTCTGCGCACAACTAAAAGTTCTTCTAATATTGTCGGAAATTATTCGGTTGTTAGAACGTAAATTGTAAAAGCCCCAATGTAGAAAATGTTACAATGCAGACTACAGTATGTATTCTACGTTCACAAGAGGATTTGATGTGCGCAGTAAGTATGCGCAAAACATACTACCGTCAACCTGAGGACACGGCTAAGCTAAGAATCCGTTATCTTGAATGACCTTTTTATAATAGCGGGCGGAAAGCTTGGGTGTTCTTTTTCTTTGCGGGTCTTCGAAATCTACTCTATATAATCCAAACCTCAAACTGTACCCATCATTCCATTCCATATTATCCATCAGTGACCATGCCATGTATCCAGCAACGTCAACGCCATCCAACTTTATCGCTTTCAGTACCTTTGGAACATTAACAAAAACCAGTTGCAATTATAAAAATATAAAGAAAAGGACAAAAGAACAAAGCAGTTGAGATAATAAACGGTCTTGCTGACCTGAACTCAACGCTCGTGCTAATGAACTCCGTCGAATCAGACGACAAAAATCAATAAAGATTACAACATGAAGTATTTCAACAATCAACAATATCAACGAACCTCGTTCAAGTATCTTCGGTACCAATCCACGCGGAAATAATCATGCAAGGCATTTTCATCGATCGCATCATGCTCGCCGGCCTGTGTACAACCGTTCTCAGTTATAATAATTCGAGGATTACCATAGTTTTCTTTGATAAATTTCAGTATTCGACGCATCCCAAACGGAGTCATGCGTAACCATGTCGCATCAGTTCGTGGCCAGGATGAATGCAGAAATTCCTCCGTCTCTCGGTCCTTGTCAAAACTTTGTGGCGTCTTCATGCCGTTGAGAGAAGATTTGTGTTTCACCAACTGACAACGATAGAAGTTGAGGCCAAAAAAATCGTGACTTCCCTTCACGATTTTACGTTCTTCTTCGCTAAAACGTGGCAGTCTCGACTCAAGACCAGCGGCTTGGCAATGCTTCAGTACTTGATGTTGCACAATGTTCGAAAAGTCACCGTTCACGAATATGGGATGGGCAAAAAGGTCGAGATGAAACGCTAGAAATCTTTCGCTCGCCATTTGGTCCTCGTTTGAAGCCGTAAAGGACTCGGGCCAGCTCGAGTCAATCGTAATAGATATGTACCCATGTTGCGTAGCACGAAACTCTTTATCGTAGGTATGCCAAGCTTTAGCATGTGATAAAATAAGGTTCTTTGCAGCGATATAAGCACCCTTAGCCATATCCCGGTGACCAGGAGCTGTTTCACCACGACAGTAACCAGGTATGGCCACTTCCCATGGTTCGTTGAGGGTAATCCAATATTTGACACGGTCACCAAAGCGCTGGAAACATAATCTGAAATAAACGAAGCAATTTTCTCGGGGAGTTTCCTCATATATGGACCGAATTTTCACGTTGTAAGGTAATTCTAGGTAATTCTAGGTATCTAAGAGAATTGTAGCTAGGTTAACTTATAAACTTCATCACCTAAGGAAATCGTAGCTTGGCGAACCTCATCACACATGTATTGTTGATATCTATAATTTGGTCTGAATGAAATTTTCCAGACCTCACGTTGAGAGCTTCAGGCGACTACTAGGCTGTGTTTACCTCAAGCTATGCCAATATTTAAGTAACATATAGTGATCATTCAACTTTCAAGTGCGAGTACTGATCTGGATAAAATGTAATTTTTAAACAAACCTAGCATAGTCATTAAAGAAGTCTTGTATCCCGTCATTTAGCCAGCCACCGTAGTGAGTTTGAAGCGTCTGAGGTAGATCCCAATGATACAACGTTATCATTGGTTGTACTCCACTACTGACGAGTTCGTCGATGAGCTTATTATAGTAATCTATTCCTATTAAGAAGAGAAGACATTTTTTCAACACATTAATCGCGTGGACGTACTTTTTATTATGAAATGATAAAAACACTACCTTTCTCATTAATACAACTGAGTGTCCCATTTGGAAGTATTCGTGGCCACGAGAGAGAAAATCTATAAAAACCGACGCCCAATTCTTTCAAAATTTCAACATCTTTCTTGTAATAATGGTAACTATTGCAAGCCACATCACCAGTATCATGATTGCGTATAGGACTGGGTTCCAAATGGCAGTAATGATCCCATATACTCTCGCCTTTGCCATCCTCGTTCCAAGCTCCTTCGATCTGATACGCCGCCGAAGCTGCCCCCCACATGAAATTCTCGGGAAACTGCCCGTGAATGAAATCATCACGAGTTATCTTCTCAAATACATCACCATCCATCTAGAAAACTGAACGGTTAGGATTGGAGTTTGGATTTGAGTTAGCATAAGAGTTTGGATTTAAATTTCCATTTGAGATAGCATTAAAGTTTGGATTTGAGTTAGGATTGGATTTTGGATTTGAGTTAGAATGCGAGTTAAGATTATGTAATGAATAGTGTCTATATAACTAAAGTATGTAAGCAAGGGGATCACAGAGGCCAGGTCAAAAAATCATTGCTGCTCTTTAATAATGTCTACATGATTTTAATCAACCAATACTTGATATAAAGGCGATCAAATTATCATGCAGACATTGTGAATTATACATAGAAAAGTGACACACATTATGGAACAAATGAAATTTATAGAAATGCGAAAGTTGACTTTAGAATAATAAAAGAGTAGTCCTGTGAACAAATTCACTCATAAATGCAATACCTTATAGCTGCAAGTCTTTCCAGTCTTTCACATAAACTGAGTTGGCTTTAAAACTAAAACAAACAATGAAAAACATTGTTTTTATTCGTAGCAGGCGATATAATCTGCTGATATCTCAGTTGTTATATCCCATTATGAATCAACAAATATAATAAACAATTATTGGATGAGGTTGAGCATCATATCAAGAATTATTCAGACCGAGGTCAATGTTATTTGCCGGAGCGAATTCCTTTTATAACACAGTCCATCTTTAATCCATCCGAAAAGGTATTCGCATAAATTGCAATTGTATCCAATCAATTGCAACAATGCTCCAGATGTAAAATCATATAACCTCTTTTAAGCCGAAAATATTCAGAGCGCGACATCAGGCCGAGACATTCAAATAAAATCATCAAAACTGCGTCTCGTGATACCATTGATGATACTATCGCTAGAAGGATGAAACTGGTCATGAAAATTGTTACCATATGTACACAAGGTTGAAATTATGTCCACCTGTTTGATTCGATACCGTTTGGAGAGCGTTGACATGATGTAGTCTCTGGAAGAAAGCAAGGCGAAGAATGAGCGTGAACAAGGAAGCCGTCAAAGATATATAACAACTCCTGGGGAGAATTTTAGCGTTTAGTACTTGTCACGGTGTTGAATTTTCAAAGTTAATAATTGAAGCGCAGAAACAAACCCGATTGGTGCGGGTTTGAAAATTAAAAACATTTACTTTACAAACTATTATTTTCCTTCTTACATTGTCATATATGATGTTCCTAGGAGATCCGAGCAAAAATGCAGTTTTTATTATAGAATGCTTTTTCTAAAGCCTTATCTTTCGACTAGTCAATTAGCAATTCGTGTAGCATCTAAGCTTTCCTAGAACATGACGTGAACTCGATCTAAATGACAACATTGTTGATGAAAAAGTTATCATAGGAAAGTGTACTGCTATTTCCAAAGCTGATTTCCACTTAACATGAAATGAAATTTGCCACCAGGTGGAAAAATCGCATCTATTCTTAATCAGTAAAATCCGATTTTGGGAGATTTGCCGACAAAAGAATGACTGACAAAAAAATAAACGTAGCCAACACCGCAGCCCGTTTTAGTCGTGCTAAGCAAATTTCAGGACACTGTGATAATACATTTATCAAGAATTCTATTGTTTTCAAACATACAAAAACATACCAAGCGCGACTTAACTCATACGGTTTGTTAGCTATAGGTCTGCACGATCAATTATATCTTCTCGGCAGCTGCGAATTCTAACACGTTTTCGTTCTACGGCGGCCAGATGAAGAACAAAAGTTTAGCTGACGATGGTGCTGCAAATGGCATGAATTCAAATTGTTGGCAATAAAAATGTTGGCCGGATCAAGGATTTTTGAGACAAAACGAGTCCTTTGGCCAGATGTTGGCATAGAAATCACACAATGGCAAAGACTTTACAACAGCAACGGAAATGAACTTCGGGGTTTTGGCATCGTGGTGTTCATTCCTAACCGCATAACCTCTCTCTCTATCTCTTACAGGACGCAAAATTTCGAATCATCTCCTTCATTAAACATAACCGAAACATAACCTCTCTCTCTATCTCCTACAGGACGCAAAATTTCGAATCATCTCCTTCATTAAACATAACCGAAATTTTTATAAGAATAGAAATGTTTTTTTTTGACTAATTAAAAGTGATCATTCACCAGTGTTAAACGGATTGCACGAAAAGCTGTTACGTTCATGTTTTACACTTTTTGCTAAAAGCTATACTTACGCTTAGCACAACTGGCGCATAACTAATTTACATCTGAAGAGCATACATTTCAAATTATCGCTGACATGCTGTTTCTTTTAATAACACATTTTCAATGGGAGGTCGAGAGCTTCGTATTTACATTCTAAGTTAATAAAAATATGATGAAAAGCAAGTGATAAACGTAACTTATCGAATTGGCAAGGAAGTTTTTCTAGTTTATATGACGTTTATAAAATCCTTCGTATTCAAACATTCTGCTCGCTCGTTCTCACGCCGACATGCGCAATAGCGTTGCAATGCAAACTTAATCTGCATTTGTCCTCGGTCGTCAACGAGACGACGTCTTATCACGAAAGTACATGCATTCCTGCGCTTGCACTATTCAATATTGAACAAACATTTTGGATTAAACAGATAGGGCGTTTAACCTCCTGTGACGATAAAATTTTTTGTCAATGCAATTGAAAACTGCCAACAATTATAATTTTGGTTTAGGCATCCGGTCGATGAGTGAAGGACGAATTCATATACCCTAGAAAGTCATTAAAGAGTCATACCATCGACGGCCTTAAAAACATCGATATAAATGTCCAAAATGATTTGACTGACATTATTGAAGGGTATTATTTAGATATTATGCTTGATATACGTAATGGAGAAATACCTTTTATAACTTTACTGAACATGATTCGTAAATGGAGAAATACCTTTTATAACTTTACTGAACATGATTCGTAAAAGCATAAATTCATCTCAAACTTTACAAAGAATTCTCAATTGATACACTAATTAATATTTATAAGTTTTAATTTTGGTGATTTGTAACATTTGAAATTCTTTCAAGCAATAACTTGAATTACAATTTCGTACGACCAATCGGATCTTCGGATTAGCCAAACATTAGTCATGTGACAATATCAATTTAATCAATGTATGACAGGAACGATGGCATAACAAAGAAACAGTTCAGATAGCATCTGTGAGGCATTCAGAACGAGGCACACATTCAAGGAAAAATGGCTGTGTAAACGGGAACATTTGAACTATAATCATGCAAGACAATTAGGCAAGAGCCTTTTGTTCGACGAACGACGATCAAGAAAAGCACGCAATGTCGGATTTTAAGATATTTTATCAAATTTCCTTCGTTCTCCTTGTGTACGTCTCAACACGCAAGGGTGCCCAATGCGATTATACAAACACATGGGTGATTGAAACGGACAACGAAGAAAATGCTAAGCGAATAGCAAAAAAATATGACTTCGAATATGGGGGAAAAATCGGTTCGTTAGACGGTTTTTATTTGCTTATGAGAAACTCCGTGCCTCGCAGACGCCGTCGAAGCGTTTTACAAGCAACTCGTATTTTACGTATGGACCCATCTGTGAAATGGAGCGCACAGCAGAAGATATTGACACGGGTGAAGAGAGACTTCCATGATCCTTTATATAAGGATCAGTGGTATTTAAAAAATAATGGTAAGTCAACGGGGCAACCTCACAATTCGAATCGTCAAATCATGAGGCCTGACTACAATGCACTGCATTGAATGCAATCTTCTGAGATTGCGAATTCGCTGACTTAACAAAGTTTCTTCTTCTGTAAAGAGAAGCGATCATAAATTTTTGTGACATATGTTCAAGCTATATAGTGTGGTGAATCGGTGTTCGGAATCTAAAAGCATTCGGTATACCGATAAACAACGACTACAAAACAATGTCGAAGATTACTTCGATAAGATCGAATTCCTTCTAATTCGCGTTCATAATGTTATACAGCTGTTTATTAAGGTTTTGTAAGTATTCACAGCCCTTCTGTTTCATGGTGGATTAAAAGTTCTTATCAACTAACACAACATTTATACAGGTTGCGTTTGAAGAGATAAAATCAAAGGTAATACTTGCATTTCCCCCAATAATATCCGAAGAGCAGGTTTACATCGAAATTCATGTTATTTTAGCTTAAAATAGCACTGGCTATTAAAGTGGCAGTGATGTAAGTTTTTCGAAAGTATAGCTTTTTCCTCGAGTGATACAACATTGTAAATCTTGAAATAATTTGTACAAATGTTTCATCAAGTTTGTTTTGCGATATAAGTGGATTAAGACTCCAATAGCGGACGCTCAGTAAGTATATATATATGATGAATAAGAATCGATCTTTTCTTTAGTATAAGATCATTGTCGGATTCAAATTCACATTCAATAAAATCTTGAAATACCGTGCTTAAGAACGCAATTCTATTGAGAGTATTCGATTTCTCTCGTTATAATTAAGTACTTAATATCGACAGCATGGCAATTGCGTGTAGGTATATGAGCCGAAGAAAATTGACTAGTCATTTAACTGCGACTCAAATGGGGAGCGATTCGAAATTATTTAAAAAAACTTCTTTATTGTTGCGTGGGCAAGATTCCGACTGTTTTGTCAACTGTGTTTACCGGTGTGTTTTGAAAAATGCCGGAATAGTTTAAATACGTCGTTTGAAAAGTGAGTTATGATCACTGTCCATGTAGACATGTGTCGCAATTACACAAACATCGAAATGATCCAACGTGCTCAATTAGAACCCTTTCTTACAATATTTTTGTTACGAAGGTTCTTCTTATAGTCAAAACGTTACATTCGAATTTGGCCGATTACATTCGCGAATTAATATCCACCAAGTGTTAAATGAACCATTTGATTTTCCCAACTGATATATTCAATGACAAATATAGAGATTTACCTGCAGGATAGAGTAAAATGATGCGGTCTTTTTCACTTTCTCTTTTACTATAAGTAAAATGACATTTGACGGGATAATAATGGCGCCACCAGCAATTGTTTAGCAAACAATTATTCATTGTTTCAGACACATACTCTAGAAGTTTAACGGCCGCCTATCGAATGCCGGTGAACTTAACGTTTCGCTCAATAAAGGCGAACCGATACGTCCAGTTACTAGGCAAAAACTAACCGTCAATTGTTGATATTTCAAACTTCAACAATTCAACAGTTTGAAGCTTTCATTCACTTGACATTTCAAATATTGAGTGTTGACGATCAAGTTTGATATCTTGTTCTCATCCACCAAACGCCCATGACGTCATGTAGTTGTGGATCTATTAAAAAGATGTGGATTTTTGACTAAATTCTGAGCGCGGACAGTGTTCACAGGAATTAAACTGAAATATTTATTTTCAGTCTCTAAACACCGTGACATAAACGTGACTCCAGTGTGGAGACAAGGTATCACTGGCCGTGGTGTTGTGGTAACAATTCTGGACGATGGAATCGAGTTCACGCATCCTGACCTGAAATCGAATTATGACGCACGTGCCAGCTATGACTACAACGGTCGAGACTCCAATCCTTCGCCAAAATACACACCACGCAACACGAATAGACACGGCACCAGGTACACACACATCCTATTGTCTTTTTTTCTTGTCATAAGCTGAAAAGTTGAGTTTCCTTACAACAGTAAAGTCAGTTTGAGGATTGGGCATTTTTCAGCCAATCACCAATAGTTCTAATGCCGTTAGCAAAGAATTATGTAGTGATAAAGAATGATTAGAATTAATTTATGTTGCTATATATGTTACTGAACATAAGTGCAAAGTCACCTGACGAAAGGAATTTCTCACTCCGCGTTCAACATGTAACTATCTTTCGGAAGGTGTGCAGGTGAAGTTGCAGCAGCTGCAAACAATGACGTCTGCGGAGTTGGAGTTGCTTATAATGCCGGGATTGGTGGAATACGTATGCTTGATGGTGACGTCACCGATGCCGTGGAAGGCAGTTCGCTTAGTCATGCGCGGAACTACATTGACATTTACAGCAGCAGTTGGGGACCCGAAGACAAGGGGGTAAAGGTGGATGGACCAGGCAAGACAGCGAAGGAAGCTTTGAAAAAAGGTGAGTTCGGCTGACGCGTGGACTGACTAGTTAACACATTATATGTGCTAACTGTAATAACTAACGAGTGGCAATCTTTTCGCACAACGTAACAGATTTGTTTATCTTTAAAAATATGCACGTGTTTTGTTTGTGCGGTTTCAGGTGTAAACGAAGGTCGCAATGGTAAAGGTTCCATATTCGTATGGGCCACTGGTAACGGTGGTGATTATAACGATTATTGTAACTGCGATGGTTACATCACTAGTATATATACGATTTCCATTGGTGCCGTAAATGACCTGGGAAAGTCGCCGTGGTATGCTGAGCCCTGTCCGTCAACCCTTGCGGTTACATTCAGCAGTGGCAAGAAAAATCGAAATACAAACAAGAAGATTGCGACAACCGATCTTTATCATATGTGCACCAAGTCACATACGGGGACTTCTGCAGCCGCACCACTCGCGGCAGGTTGGTTCAAATTTTCACTGCACATTAAACTCAGCAAGTTAAACCTGTTTAACTCGTTTTCAACTTGTTGAACTTATGAATTCTCATTTTCTAGGTATATTTGCCTTGGTGTTGGAAGCCAACCCCGACCTTACATGGCGTGATTTGCAACACTTGATTGTTGAGACGTCACGCATGACGGACAAAATGGATCCTGATTGGCACGTGAACGGTGTTGGTTTTCACGTTAATAATAAGTATGGATTTGGTCTCTTGGATACTGCCAACCTTGTAAAACGTGCACGTGATCCAGGATGGCGCACCGCTACCACTCAGCACATGTGCTACGGTGACGATGTTATTTATAATCGAAAAATACGTGCGAACAAAGTACTGACTTCCACTATAACTACTGATGGCTGTATGAGTCAAATTGGTAACAAGTGCGTTACAAAACTTGAGCACGTGGTAGCATACGTCACGTTGCAGCACGAACGACGAGGGTCTTTGATAATCAACTTGATTTCTCCCTCTGGAACGAAATCCAAACTTCTTGGTTTGCGTAAGTTGGATTTCAGCAACAAAGGTTTCAAAAAGTGGCCGTTCATGACTGTTTTTAACTGGGGCGAGAATCCACGCGGAACCTGGAAACTAGAAATCGTGAGCACGGACGATTTAATTGGAACTTTCAAAGGATGGTATCTCAACTTGTACGGTACGTGTTCACATCAATTTAACTACACGGCCCACGAAAATCATATTTGCGACAAATATTGCAAGAAAGGATGTCCAGAAAATTTCAAGACAGCCTGTAGAAATTGTGTGAAGTTCTGCGATTGCACCACGGGGAAATGCACCAGACGATGCCGGCGCGGCCTGGTAACGGACCCTCATCGTCATGAATGTAGTAACGCGTCGAGGAGACATAAAAACGAAGACCTGTCCAATATTAACCAGAATGAAAATAAACAACGTAAACGTAAGAAGCTACCTCAGTACGGATTGTGGTTGCTTATTTCAGCTGGTATAGCTGTAAGTTTTGGTATTATTGCGGGCGTTTGGCAAGGATGGCTCTACTACAGTACTAGAGAAAAATTGAATCGTGCACGCAGACAAAACCAGATGGTGCATTCGAACGTACCCCCCCAGTACACGATGAACCGACAGGGAGAACATGTAGATCGCTCAATCGATCGGACGTCTGTTTAATGCATCACAGGCAAAAAGGCAATGGGTCTCTGTGCCTGAAAAAGTAAAAACCCACTTTTGTGAGGTCTCCCACGGGCAACAGTACTCCAAAACTTTTGCTTCGTAACTTAAAACACGTTGGATAAAGTAAAATGCGTTTGTGGTTGAAAAGTAGTTAAAACCAATGAACATGAGAAATCATTAAACTATATCCTGTAAATTTTTTTTAAAATCTGTGCAGTTGTCGCTAAGAATGTTTGAAAGATATTTATTTATTTCTTACATTAAATGATTACATATTTTTTACTATGGCTTTCATTTAAAGTTTGTGTATGAAAGTGGGACATTCTTTCTACTTTGGCCAGGAAAGGCTACAGAAATCCTCCAAGCACGGTGGGTATATTTTGTTTAAGATCAAGGACAATTTTTATACACATGAGTCGGTCAATGCTCGACAATAAAGTCAGCGAAATCCTAATTTTTCCTGCTTCAAGCTCAAATTGAGATGATCCAGAGAGTCGATAGTCACAGATTTCCTTTACTTGCTCGACAATAGGTTTCGCCGCAGCAAAACAAGTAAGTCAATTAATTTTATCTCTTCTCCCCATAGTGATGATAATGATGATGCACGTGTTCATGTTTGTGAACAACAGATGTAGTGCCATGATGCATCGAGATTCCCAGGCCTTTATCCCCATTTTCACGTGCCCTACGATGTTTGTTCTTATGACGTCGGCTGTGACGTTGCTCGTCACACGGAGGTTGCCTTGGTGCAGCATGCATGTACAAATACTTATTCTCGTCAGCGTGATACGCATAGCTCGGATCTGAAGGTACATCCTTTCGAAAATTAACGGTTACCGGTAAATGATAACCGGAGAAATGGTGTACACGAGTTTGATCGTCATGGTCGTCGACTACCGGCGATACCCGGCCCCAGAGGGATGAGTAGGCAGGCATGTGGATGTCTGAAGTCGGCAATTGTCTGCATGGACGTCTATGTGATCTTGAGGATTTGTGTTTCTTCTCATTCAATTGGTGGAGATCATGCCCTGAACTGACCCAACAACTTCCCGGTTCGGTTTTCATACGAGCAGGTAAAGTAGACTTTTCCTCCAAGACATTACAATTTTTCACCCCTTTTTTGTGTGATCTTACATGACCTTCACGAGAGAAACATTTACATTGCTCTAACTTGTCCGAATACGACCTGCCGCTACTCAAATCGTTGTTTAGCAATTGAACAGTTGAGCAAGTATTTTTTCTACTCTTACGTTTCAGATTTGTCAAAGCTTCGTCACTAGATCCACTTTCCTTGATTTTGAACCTCTGGAGTTTTTCTATGCTTTCTGCCGTGATATGCTCGGCTCCAATAACGACTTCTCTCCGCGGAACGATTGCTGTACCACGTGTCTCACGCGTGGACGTGTCTTTCGACACAGATATGTGTACTTTTACCTTCTTTACACGATCGTTCGTGCTTTTTTTGTTGGCTTTTTCGACCGACTTACCCAATGCGTTATAAATAGATCTCACCAAATTTGTCAAGTCCTACAATGGTTAAGAAAGACATGCATGTCATTGCAAGCTTAGCAAAAGAGCTGTTTGGTTTTTGCAAGCGATTAGATTAACGTTTTCCCATTAAACTTGAGCGTTTGCTTACAAGATGTCTGTCAATATGCGGAGAAAAGTTGTTTTGAGATATAATCCACGCAGGGAGGGTATACAAGGTGGCAGGGAGGGTATACAAGGTGGCAGGGAGGGTATACAAGGTGGCAGGGAGGGTATACAAGGTGGCAGGGAGGGTATACAAGGTGGCAGGGAGGGTATACAAGGTGGCAGAGAGGCTACATACATGTCAAGAAGCAACTTGCCTAAGCATTTTCATAGCGGAAAGACAATCATATTTATGAAAGGTTGATGCCGGATGTAAAAAAAAAAACGCCGTAAAGTGCAAAAGAAATTATTTTCGTTAAGCACATTTAATGATCGCCCTCATCCCTCCGCCCTATATCAATCTCCAAACGCGCACCGTTTTTTACCTCCTTTGAAATATGGCTGTTATCCTCGAAATTGTACAAGGAAAATGACCACTGACGATTGTCTGAGCCCACGGACCGGACAGAAACACCACAATCAATGTCCTAGTACAAAATGACAAAAACAAGGACAAAATTAAACATACGTGACGTCACGAGCTTTCAACCCAATTGATGACCTCATCACGTTCGTGTCAACATAGCATTCACAACTTAAGTGATATCGGAAAGTCCTATGTTTTTAATCTGGGCATAAAATCCAATGTCATTGTGCTAGATTTTAGCTTTTTTATGCTTTTAGTCTCTGTCACACGAATCTTTATTCAGGTGTGAGAGATTTAGCGGTATTCCGTCTCGTAGAGCATTACATGAAGTGTTATTGATTATCACTTATAATGATCTTATATAGCAACCTGAGCAGCTTTTTCGCGTACTTTATATTTTTTGTAGTGTAAGCACATCAAACTAATTAGCTTAATGAATATTTTCTTTCTTTTCATCCAGTTATAATAAGCAACTTTTTCTGTTTTCATTCAAAGCAAAACTACGCGGTCTTTATTTCACAATTGAAATGCACAAAGATCCACTGTTTTGCACGAAATCGTGTTTGCCTATGGCTACAACCCTCGGTTATGTTCAAGGAAACAAGTTTATATTCTTAATTCAGTCACATCTTTCAACCAATACTCGCATATGCGCAGTAGAGTCAGCAGCCTGAATTTTTCATTTCTGATTCACGGGTCAAAAAATCCAATTACTGCGATTTGTTCCTATTTAATTTAATTTTGCTTTATATTAAACGTCGAGTCGTAACTTGTTAGAATGTCTACAGTCGTGATGATACGAAAACAAGTTTTTCATAGATTTTACTACCTCTGGTTTAAGATGGTTGACAGAATCCGTAGAATTTCTTTCCTTTATAAAATGTATATCAACCAGCTTGCCATTCGCCTCGTTAGGAAGATCCACAACTACACAGAAAACATTGCTTAAGATTTCGGTTAACATCACAAAACAGAGTTCTCATAGAACATACTTTCACCACCAATTGTAAAATCTTAGAGTTCGAGAATCTATTTAATCAGGAAATCCAATAATTTTTGCTAATATTATCCACCAAGTAGATGGATGAGTGAGTGACGACCCCACTAAGTCTGTTAAAGACAGGGTTTTAGGCAAAGATCAACAGGCTCACTTTCGCGGAATGTAATTTCACAGAAATTAAAAAAAATGTTTGAAATGCTCAGCAATACAAAAACGGGTTGCCTGACGTGACCGATTCCGAATGCGTAAACAAGCAAATTGAGTCATCATATTAACATAAGTGGAACAATTATCTACTTCGTTTTTTTTTTACATGTCTTTGGCGTGTAAATGTAACAGCATAACGGCAAACTATTTTCAAGCTTTACGTGCTCAATTATAAAAATAGAGTGAGAAGTTCGTTTACGTGCTTAGCGTGTAAATGTCAAAGCATAATAAAAAATATTTCCTATGCTTGTCTTTGGCGTGTAAATGTATACAAGAAGGGGTAATTTCCACACCCGGAATAGAAAAAGTAAAAACTTAGTCTGTGCAAGACCGCTAGCTAAATACTTCCCGTCAAAACGAGAACACGCAAATTGCGTACAAAAAGTTCCGACAAACTTATGGAAATCCATTTTACGACCGGTTCTTTTGATGCATTATGCAAACACTTAATGAATTTTCCAGACGAATGGCGGGCGACAAAAACAACGCCGGATCAACACGAATCGTACTTACTTTCTATGGGAAAACTATCAAGAGATCTGCTGTTTGCGCTGTTGTTGTCCGTCATGACGCCCGGATCTAAATTGTCTTCCTAAATTGAAACCACAAAATTACTGCATTTCACACTAAAGTGCGTTCAGAGTATGATCTATTCGTGTGGGTCATGACTGAAAACAAAAAATCAAGCCATTATCACAGCGACAAGCCAATGGTCACGCGACGATTAAATTACTCTTGCAATTCAATATGATGAAGAAGACGTCTTTGGTTTTAATAAACATCAACGATGATGCATCTCTATGTTATGTTGCTATCAGTTTACGGATTAAAAAAATAAGTGCACAATTCACATAAAGTTTGCAATGTTACATGATTTAAACATCTGTTAGTCATTCTTTATAAGAGGCATAGGCGTAAAAGGAGACCTGTTTTGTTATTCTACGTTAATAACAAGCTTACTCGAAAAAGAACAAAGAGCTTTCTTTCTCCCTCAAGTGATCGTGTGATAAAAAAAACTCCGATAAAATTAGCCTCAACAGACGCAATTTTTAAACGAAAAAGGCATTTAGCAGCTAAATGTATCGCAACATTTCTAGAAAGAACGCCTTTCGTGAAGAAATTTGGGGGTAATCTAAAGCATACGCGCAAATAACATTGCCAAGGACAATGAGATCAACGCAAAAAGACATACTAGAGAAAGACGCGCGAGGCTTGAATTCAAGAAGAGAAATTGAGTTGTAATTTACACGGGCTTGTTTGCAAGAGCACCCCTTAAAATCTCGCTTAATGAATAAAAAGGTCTTCTTATCTTCTGACGAACATCACTTTAAATTCCACAGCGTGTTTTTTTTAATATATCAAATGAAAAATTACGCACTTAAAAATGATCGGAGCGATACAGTATTCTAGCAAGACAAGTTATACACACACAAATATCGACTATGCGTGACTAAATAAACGATATGGGGGCTATGAAACGACCGACCTGGAGAGACGAGGTAGATTTACAGTGGGGAAATTAATACACGATAAGAGCTCAAAATAAAAATCAGTAATGGTGTGATCATTTTCAAAGTCGACCGCTTGCGTCTCCGTACACAGCATGAAAAGAAAAGCAAGCGGCAGCCGACCACCTACATATATAAAATATACATGTATATAGGTTATGGCTTGTGTAGTGGCAAGTATCAGCGCATTTAATAAATTTAAAAGCAAGAAGAGCTCAGCACTTGCGATACATACACGTGTTCTTTAGAGAACTATATATAATGAAATTTTCATATAATGATACACAATGAAGAATAAACATACCTCGTTTACCAAATAACCTTCGTACGACGTGACCATTTGCTTCTGTCTCAATATTTCATGTAAAAGTCGTGTTTGAGAGCTTGTATCGTTTATGATGACACATTCACCTATAGTATATATGAATATTTCAATTTATACAACTGTAGTCGAGTATATACGCTATTTATTGTCTTATGTCGTCTATACGAGCAAATACACACATACATATAACTACATACTTGCACATAAAAGTTTATCTATATGTGAGAATATATTGCCTAGTTTGTTATCAAATCGAATAGCTAACCTACCTTCGGGAGACTCCCGAGATATCCAAGCTGCAAAACAAATATGATCGAAAATTTTACTACGAACAGAAACACAATCTCAATCTATTTGAATTACACTGAAACTCAAAGTCCGAGTGACTTGAAACATTCGAGGGCTTGCTGTATGTACCTTGAATGGACGGTCGACTCTGACGCTTTCCCATAACTTCGAAAATGTTTAAAGCGACAGGAAAAGAGGAAAACAAGTTCCAACATTAACACAATAGAAGTAAATGCAATCAGCGTGAGGAAATGTGACTCGATAAACCCCAAGCATGTAAAAGCGGTTGGCCAGTTCGTATTGCTTGGACTACAAGCGGCGTTATTTACACCAATATTATAAGCGGAATGTGTAGTCGTGCTGTCATTGACATACAGTGAATCAATAATCACACTAATTGCTCTCAGCTATGAGCCAATCACGAGGAGTTTAAAAAATGTCTCTTGGCCGTGCATTCTTTTATCCCTGTGTCGGGAATGACGCATTTTGCCGCCGAACGCTTTGATATTATTAGACGCTTAAAAACGACACACCGACCAAAAGTAAATATAGGCTATATGTGAATACTATATATATAGAAATAAAATGGTAAGGTTCGTCCATATAGATAGAGCAAATATTCAAAATATAAATACTGTAAAAAGCTTTTCGTTCATTGATCTCTAGACACTGTATCATCTGTATATATTGGAATTAGCTATTGCGCGGTGAAAGGAAATGTATAAATATGTATAAATATATATATCAGAGCCACCGGCACTGTTAACAAGAATGCCGACGTTTAAAATGATTTTATCACAAGACCGTAAACTCCCATGAAATGAATGACTGAATGAAATATTTCAAACCGAGTAAATGATTGTAAAGTTTATGTGTACAAGGGTTTTTTCCGGTGCAAGCGTTCAATGTTTGTGAGAATACCCCGGAACCGAGAGAGCTACAGGATATTACAGCGTCCAATATTCAAGTGCATAAGAGAAAGAAACGTTTTTTTGAGCAGTCTGTTTTAACATCATTCTCGGTAGCTCAAATGATTCGGTATTGCAGCTTCAATAAACAGCATTCATACAACGAAAACAAGCAATGCTGGGTGAAAATAGACCTCTTTTCCAAATAGCTAAAACGTAAGCAAGCAATCATCAGATTTAACGACTGTCGGCGGCCTCAGAAGTTTCAATGACGTCAGATAAAAAACTACCGAAGTGGCATTTTAGTTGATTGGTCAATTTAGGTGAAGAGGTTTCATTTGAAACTCCATCATTAAGGTTTTTGCGCTTTTGAGCAGCTGAACAAGAGGTCATCAAATAGCTTTTTCGACTTCATTATAGTTGAGAGCACAATTATCTACTGCTTTCATGATCTGCTAATCGAGAACGTTCATGACAGGAACTGAAGGGCATACCTTTTGTAGAGACTTTCCTCCAAACTTGAAGCAAAAATTGCTGCGATTCTGAAACACAAAAAGAGGATCGCGAATGAGTTTTAAAAGAATAAGAAAATACTGGGAAAAGGCATGATGTCCTTGCACGACAGCAATATTGACTGATGGAAAGTAGCTATTCAAAAAATGCCAACCATACAAATTTTGGTATTTGAGAAACAGTATTTTTTATCTACACATTGCCATGATCAGTTTGTCGTTGTACTGACTTTTTAAATATTTATAAAATAGTAAAATTACTGTACGTGGAATAAATAATGACGGTGCAAATTAAAAGTCACCTTCTCGTTAAAGCTGTTTTTTTGCGATTAATGACGAACAATGGTCAAGCTAAACAAGGAGAGACCCACTAGCTGAGCCCATGAAATTAATGTAATCCTTCTCTCTGACTTCAACTTTTTTGGCAAAGATTGAAGAAGCGACAAAGATGCGGACATGCCCACAATAAAATGGTATTCAATATAACAAAGAGAAGAAATCAAAATCCGAAAACAATTTCTAAATTTTACTTGCGCGTCTTTGTTGTCTTCTCGAACTTGATTGGGATGTACTAGTCGCTTCTTTGTACTCCACTAAAATTTGAGATCTGGAAATGCAATTGCCGGCCATGAGTTCGGCTTTCGTTCACCTAAAACGGTGAAACGATAATTTCATTGAACTAAAAAAGACGGTCCCGTGAAAACGAAATAGACGATGTACACAGCCGACATACAAATCGAAATGCATACATATATTACTGGTTAAATCAATGCAGGGCGTAGATCAAAGTCAAAGCATAACGTTTACCTGTGAAATTTTAATAGTTGCAGCAAAGCACAGAATATTTTAACGTTAGTCCTCCTAATAACGACTCAAACACCCAAGCTGTGTGTGCTTGTTTTGTTCACATCAGCTCTATTGTTTAGTTGTGCTCACACTGTTTGACGCTGTGTCTTATGTACAAATACCGAAAGTTGGCCTCGACGCGGGGGATTTAAGTACGTGTATAGGGCCAATCCAGGCTGAAGGTTGCCGAAAGTAAAACACTTGACTCTTATGGCACTAATATCCATCGCAAGCCTCATCGGCTTGATTTGACTCAATTAGATCGCCTTGCGTTGAAGGCATATAAAAGCACCGCTCATATAAAGTTAATGAACCCGATGAACTATTACGAATTTACCACAGCTGAAAACAACTTATTGCAGGTATTGTTTGCCCAGAGAAGTATTATCAAGCGATTTACGGTTGATAACGCGTTCTTGTGATAGACGGATAAGCCCCATAGACACGCTCTAGCTAAACCAGCTTGCGGTCGTTTGAACGCTTTTTTTAACAACATTTGCCATCTAGCGAAAATTCAAGGTTTAGCTGATTACTTTTTCGTGAAATAACCGCACATCAGGTTGAGTTCGTGGAAGACTAATAAAATAATAAAATACATGCACTTTTTGTTCATTTTTGATAGTTTGCACAGTTTTTAAGGCGGCAAAGTGTCCTATGAAATTGACGGTGCATGAGCAAGACACTCAGCTTACTGCATACATGAAGTTGGGGGCAGGTGAATCAAATACATCAAGAGAGTAGGAGAATCGAACTTGAAATGAAAGTGAAAAGGATGAGGCATGTAGATATGCATTCTTGCTTGGAACAACACTTCAGTTTAACTTAGTAAATGAGAATAAAAAATCATCAAAGACCAAGCACCTGTTCAATTATGGGTTATTTGAACAACAAGACTAGAAACGAACTTTCATACAAAACTCCATTAGCAGCTCTTTTTTAGCAGAATTCCCTTTGCAGATTTTCCGTAAATAGTTCTCAATGCAAATATTTTCCCATTATAATGAAGTTGGACAACCTCAAGATTGATTATAAACAGATGATTCAACTTGCAATCGTGGATAACCACGTTGGGTTCAATTTAACAACTAATCTGTCTTTGAACATCCGCCTCTAAAATTGACGGGAGAAAAATTTTTTTGTAACTAAAATGTTCAATCTATATCGAAGATAAATTTTTAACATGGCGGGATATCAGTCTAATTTTAATAAAGAATCAAAAAACTCCATTCACATAAAACAATTTCCTCCGAAATAAGGATATCATACATATTACGTAAAGTTCTTGAAAACCCTTTTCAAAAGCAAGATTACAGATGTGAAATTTTCTCATACCAAGCATTGAAATAGTTTTGAGAGATGACAAGTTTCCGTGGGATTTTTGGGGAAAGATTAGTTTCCAAACACGTACACATCGCGTATGCTTGGGGTGAATAATGAAATCGTGCTGCTATTTCATTTAATCTAGGCTTCGTACCGAGCACAAAGCGGTATACTTTGCGATACATCAAATAGAATGTTTTATACAACTTTATACATATACAATCAATATCACTAATGTACACCGCATGACATAAAAAACATATTGCATGTTCACCGACTGAATATTTGTACATTAGTGGATAGAAAATGGATCCGTGGTTCCTTTGCCCATGGGCAGCGTCCAAGGATTCCAAAATCAATGATTTCCTTTTTTTACAATGGTAGAGGTTTCTGGAGGTAGAAATTTTCACTAAAGCTAATAGCGGCAAAATGTCATTAATGCCATGTAATAACGCAAAATTAGGCTCTCTGTGATATGTATCGGTTTTAAATCTAATTGTTTATTACTTTGTTGAACAGCGCTTATTGGAAATGTGGCCAAAATGAAGCTGAATTCTGTGGTCTACAAAATTTGGTACTGATACGAACAGCTACACCGACAGGTCGGATATGTTTTTAAATGCAATAAGCCGCCTGAAAATTTAACACAGAAACTAGACTTGGGAGTTTCGGCACTTCTTTATACAGATATAAATTTTTTTGGCGGGCTGCGCCATTAGCAAAGCAACGGCAAACATGTAACCTAAGCTGAAAATTTTCAATTTGAAGCTGAAAATAATATAAAATTGAAAAACAAAATTTAATTTCTCCTCACAGAAGTTTCACATTCTGACGAACCGACATAAAGTGAAGTGTTTAGCGGAAAACGAATGAAAATTTAATTTCCTCTTCTAAAGAGTTGGTCTTCCGACGTTCAGGTAGAAATCTCGCGAATTGACTAAGAATACGTCATCAGACAACAATATGGCGTCCTGATCAACACAAGCCTGATATCACTCAAAAAAACAAGTGTTTTTAGCGAAAATCCAACTGAAATGCTAAAATGTTGCTTAATGAAAAAAAAAACAGCAGCAAAACTATAGATTTCGTGCGTACTCTTCTCATCCATCAATGTTAATGCACTATTACTTTCTAGCTTGTAATTTTCTTCTATTTGAGCATAACACTTATGCTGGTGGTCTCTTCATTAAGTAATTTATGTTTTGGCGGTGCATATTTCAACAATGAGCGCATTAAAAATAACGGTTTTATCATGCATTGCAAGGTAAGTACGTTAAATATGTACGTGTAGGATCGGTGACTTGCTTTTCTAAAACATAACGAGTTGATTTTATTTTTTTATGATGTTGTTTCATTCAAACTCGCGTCTCTTTTATGACAATTCAGAAACAAAAAACTCGACGCACAAAATCAAAAATACACTGAAGCACCTGTCAACTTTCGTCGGAAAGTCAAAACAGCAAAGGACGATGTTGATAATGATCGGCTAGCAACAACCAGCATCTGTTATGATGATGGCCAAATGCCGACAAAGTAGGATCGAAATTTATACAAATACAATACAATTTACCGCTCGACTCCCTTGTTAAGGAAAAAATTACCTCCGTATTTTACTGCGGATTACTACAATTTCCATCACTGCGCAGAAATCGCAAGTGCCCATCTCAAGCGCATGTTGAAATGTCAGACAAGGATCTCCTCCAGCCTAATTTATTCGTCACAAATGCGACGATAATTTCAGCTCATTTAACGGGAAGTTTAATGCAAATTAAAATGCTTTTGTGCTGCTACACATTGCATAAGAATATAAAAATTGGAGTTAAGCTTGACGAGAGGCAAATAATTTTTGACGCACAAATTGTCAACCAGTAAAAAAATTGACAAAATAAAATCCACCTGACTATAAATGCAGATTCGACAATGAATTTTCCTTGAGATGTGTTGGCATGCTATATGTACCTTTTGCAATCAATTTCTGCACCCTTTGCCTTCAATACATTAGGCAAAATTTCAAGTTCAAAACTAAGCAACCTAGCGACTATAGCGTTTTCGTAATTTTATATGGTGCAAGACTGTATAAACTAAATAGTTTAAAAAAATGAAGCATTTGTTGATAGATGGTTTTAAAAATCCTCGATCATGCTATGAGATGAACAAGACTGCTGAAATAAAGTTAAAGCTGTAAGTTTGAACATTTGACTTTGTAGTTAAAACAGATATTTGTATAGTGTAAAGTAACGAATGTAGTTCAATTCTAATTCCTATAAGAACATCTTGAAGAAAGAGAGACTCTATGATAAAAAATATGATTCTTTGAACACTAGACTATTTTGCTAGGTGTTAAACAACTGAGCAAGCATGACTAATTGATATAATCCTAACAAACATCAGAATAAGCAGCAGGTAAAGGGTACCAACACATTGAATTTTATGGAAAAATATCAATTAGCAAGTGGCTGCTGTCAGCCTCCTATATTATCATTACAAAATTCTATGTATACGTAAACTTTCTTTGATGATTTAAGTGAAAACTGTGAACAGTACCTTTAAAGACGACTAACTTCCTAATCACGCTGTAGACGGCAACTATCAACCGTAACAATGAACAACCTCTCATTTACTCATTAAAATTATACACAAAGACACACGCCAGTATGTAAACATGTTATGAAACCGAAACAAATATTGACGGAGGTAAATTGTTCTCTTTCCTCTAAAGCTACGAATAATCACGAGGAACTTAATGTTGCCTTGCTGACACCGCCACTCGAGGGCGCCTGTTTGTCTGAGGAAACGTTTGGAAGGCCGTTTGCTGAATATAAATAAATGTAAAAAATGTGCTACGTATATAATTTCAATATTTTGCCTTCAACAATGAAAGTGAAAACTGAAGACTTCGAACACAGAGTATAAACTATGATAGATGAAAACAAAACCTTCTCGACAAAACGTTGCGAAGTGACAATGTTGAAATAAAAGACTTGGTAAAGAAACTAATAAAAAATTCAGAGTAAGCCACCTTTCACGTGAGAATGTGACCAGTCAGACAATCTCAAAACACAATATTCATTGTTTTATCAGCGGTCGAACACAAATATTTAGCAATGACACCGACAATAATTGAAAGCAGCCTACAAAAATTATTTTGCAATCTCTTGAAATGTTTTACCACAAAATCTGGTATAGTAGCTAATATATCAATGAAGAAATTCTTCAAACTGGTTAGCTAGTGAACTTATAAAAGCAATAAAGGCAAATAGTCATCAATCTATTTTAACAGGGCTAAGAATCAGTTTTTGCAATAAAGTTCTATTTAATCTATAAAGTTAAGAATTTCGCATGTTTAGTTGCTAAACCAAGTGTAACGTACGTGAATAGATTAAAAGTTGACAAAATTGACGACTCCCCATCAAACTTTAACTCACTCACACCATCTTGCCAATAGGCTGCGAAGCTCTCTGTATTCGACGGTTTTGTTGTTAACACTCGAATTCGTTGTTTTAAAACAAAATTCACCATGTTTAAGCTAAAAGACCAGTTTTAACAGTCAGCTTAAATGCCATATTTTCCAAAAAAATCTGAAATCAGCCGTCATGTTTCATAAAAAAAGATACCTCACAGTTTAACAATACGTACAACAGCTTGTAAATTACACAATTTTTTCAGCTCGGCTTTACTTCTTTTGCTCCGTAACAAATTCTTAGGAGCTTGCGACCGTGAGCGCTTACATTCATAACTAGTTGCATTCTTTAATATTTTGCGACGTTTTACATGTGTATCATAGCCCTTTACTAAGGTGAAGAGTGGACGTTTTGAATACAATGAGCTGCTCAAATTCGTTCTCTCATTTTCTCCGGAAAAACTTTGTTCCATTGTCTGCAAATTATTGTTTGACAATGATTTTTTGTTGCTTTCAAGCGTTTTATGGCTCGATGTAAACAAACTACCGTGGAAATATTGGCGCTTCCAAACCTGGTATCTTTGTTCACCGGAGTTTTGTTTATGAAACCCTTCAATCTTCGAACGACATGGTTCTGCTAACTGCCCTTGGGTAGCCTTCTTGGATTCACTCTCATTTTTTACTTTTAAAAGGCTTGGCAATGCATTCTTTTTGCTTGAACTTTCCGATAACGATGAACTTGCTTTCTCGGTCCCAAACTTCTTATAATTAACTGAGTTTGAACTTTCACTTTTAATTTTAACATTTTTATATCTCGACTGCAAACAGATCTTTTTTTCGGGAGTCCCATCATTTTGAAATTCGTGCTTTCTTTCCACTTTTGTATGATACGAACCCTCATTAGAATTCACAATATTTCCTTTACAAAAAACCATCGACTTTTTTTCACTGCTAGAACAATTTTTATCAAATTTATTCTCATTACGTAGTGCTTTGAACTGTTTTCCGTGGAAAGAAGTTGGAGAACCGCGACTGGCTAAATTTGACAATATCGATCCTTCACCAAATGATTTATCCAATGACGATTTCATCTGAAATCCATTTAACATACTCGTAGATTTTGAATATATGAGATCTCTATTTGATTGAGAAAGTTGTCCAACTTTTTTTGAATCACAACGAGGTTCCTCTGACTTTGCTTGTGAAGAACAACCAACCGTACAGTTCCATTTATTAGGTGGCAACTTCTCATCATAATATCCATCTTTGGTAAGTATTTTAGGTTTTAAGATATTCTTTTTATCACTCGGCTTTTTCAGGTTTCTCTCCAAAGTTTTGTACGAAGTATTTTCTGAATGATACATGTTGAAATCAATCTGTCGTATAACTTTATCACACGTATATAAGTGGTCAGATTTCACAGACGAAGAATAATTTGCTACAACTCGATTCATTGCGTTGTTTCTCAGATTTTCGGCAAGCAGAGACTGTTTTCCACGAATTGCATGTGAATTAACATTTCGTAGGTAGCCCCGAGCCTCCTTTGCAAAACTAATAGGGTTCTCTTTTCTGCAGCCAATATGAGCAGCATTCATAAAAACTTTTTTCTCTGTATTTTGAACTTTTGGCAACCAATGAAAAGGACCATCAGGTTTATCAAGCAAAAACTTTTCACTTAGATTTACGCCATTGCAGCCATGCTTTTTTAAATAACTAAGCTTATTGGTGCATTTGTCAAACAAGGGGATTTCATTCATAACACAAACCGAATCTTCATCGCAATTAATTAATAAGTGCAGTGATGTACTTCGCGGCTCCGTTTTTTCCACATCGCGTGAGATTGTCTCAAAAGCATGTTTCAAGTTACTGTTAATTTCTTCGAAACTCTTGTGATGTAAGCGATTTTTATCAATTTCATTAAAACCGATTGAAGAGTTATCACTTTTTTTCAAATGAGTTGTTACTGGTTTAAGGCTTGCAATATTTCCAGGTTGCACCTGGTCGAAATAAGCATTTATAGGTAGCGACCGCGTTGACGTGCCCTTTTCATTAGTAAGTTTGTTTTGATTTAGTAGTGTTTTTTTATCACCTGCAGTAAACGCATCACTTGATGCATTTTGTCCATTACTATCAAGTTTCATACTTGTACGATTCACATCACGTGAACACAATTCAACAGATGTTTTCACATCTTCTGATATGGCCTCAGTCATGGTTTCTATCACATTAGTGTTGTTATTTTTCAAAAAACATGCACTAGCGCTTCTAATTCGCTCGTCCACATCTTTCTTTTTCACGGAAGTTTTGTCTTTGACTAAATTCTCAACGTCCATTTTATTTTTTTTTAATTTGTCATTACCTCCAACCGCAAAATCTTTTCGCGGTTCTCTCTCTGTTGACGCTCTTCCGTAGGAGAACTTCTGGTCAATATGAAAGCTATTATTCTCATCATTACTGTTTTCCATACAATCAATCAAAAAGTTAATAACTTGGCTTCGACTGAATGTTTCGTTGCTCCTTTCTGTGTCAGACGAATTGAAATTTATCTCTACCTCAGAACAGTTTAATTTGATTCCCTGATCGTTCCTACAAGAATTCTCAGCGCGAGAAGATGACTTCAAGCTTTTTCCTTCTTCAACCTTATCACCTTCAGGAACATTAATGACAAGAGCATTTTGCTCTTCGTCAATTTTTGATACTCTACACTTGTCTGAAAAAGAGCAAGCACTAATTGTATCACTCCTAGAGTTCTCCAAAATTATTGGGAAATTTGGAGCAACTGCAGTTTCCACAACATACTCCTGATAATCCAAATTTGCAGAATTTTTTACGACACAAGGAGCATCTTTAGAGTCTCTTTTTTCATCTGGCAAATGAGCTTTTAATTGTTCTTTTCCATAATTATCGTGAATAATTCGAAATTTACTAACTGCTGAATTGGTCAAAGAAGGCAAATCATTATCTTCTGAGGTTTGGGTTTCAGCAACATGCTCCTGATCATGAGAGCTTGGGATAGCTTGCTTGTCACAAACGAGATCGCCAGAATTCCCTTCTGTATCTTTGTTAGGTAAGGGAGCTTTTGGGTGTTCTTTTCTACAATTGTCATCGATTGTTGGTAATTGGGTGATAATTGAATTGCACAAAGAAGGCAAATCATCATCGTCCTCTTTCAAGAGTTGAGTTTCAGCAATACATTCTTCAACATACAAACTTGAGGTAGCTTTTTTCACAAAAGCTCCATTGCCAGAATTTCCTTCTTTATCTTTATCAGACAAAGAAGCTTTTTGATATTCTTTTCTAGATTTGTCGTTGATTGTTGGAAGTTCTGTGACAGCTGAATTAGACAAGGAAACCGAATCATTTTCTTCTGAGCATTGTGTTTCAGCAACATATTCCTGATCGGACAAACTTAATGTAGACGTGATGAACACGTCTACGTCTTTGTTAGGCAAATGAGCTCTTGGCTGCCCCTTTTCACATTCATCGGAGATAATTGAAGATTTGAGAACAGTTGAATTGGGCAAAGAAGGCAAATCATCATCTTGTAAGAGTTGAGTTTCAGAAACACACTCTTCATCATAAAAACTTGCAGTAGCTTTTTTCACATAACCAGAATTCCTTTCTCTATCTTTATCAGGCAAAAATGCTTTTTGATATTCTTTTCTAGAGTTATCGTGGATTGTTGGAAATTTGGTGAGAGCAAAATCAGACAGGGAAGTCGAATCATTTTCTTCATAACATTGTGTTTCAGCAACATATTCCTCATTGGGCAAACTTGTGCCAGCTTTTTTTACCCAGGCTTCATTGTTGAACATGTCTACATCTTTATAAGGTAAATGAGCTCTTGGCTGCTTCTTTCCATATTCATCGTTGATAATTGGAAATTTGGGAACAGTTGAATTAGGCAAAGAAGGAAAATTATCATCTTCTAAGAGTTCAGTTTCAGGAACACACTCATCATCATAAAAACTTGCAGTAACTTTTTTCACATAATCGGAATTCCCTTCTTTATCTTTATCAGACAAAAAAGCTTTTTGATATTCTTTTCTAGAGTTGTCGTGGATTGTTGGAAATTTGGTGACAGTTGAATCAGACAAGGAAGTCAAATCATTTTCTTCAGAACATTGTGTTTCAGCAACATATTCCTGATTGGGCAAACTTGCGCTGACTTTTTTTATCCAGGCTTCATCGTTGAACTCTCCAATGTCTTTTTTAGAAAAATGAGCTCTTGATTGTCCTTTTACACAATTCTCGTGGATACTTGGAAATTTGGGAACGGTTGAATTGGGCAAAGAAGGCAAATCATCACCTTCTAAGAGTTGAGTTTCAGGAACACACTCATCATCATACAAACTTGTGCTAGTCTTTTTTACCCAGAATTCATCATTGAACCCTCCAATATCTTTATTAGGCAAACGAGCTGTTGGTTGTTCTTTTCTGCATTTATCGTGGATAATTGAAGGCTTGGTGACAACTGAATTTGGTAGAGATGAGAAATAATCATCTTGTAAAGGTGGAGTTTCAGCAACATACTCCTGATCATGCAAGCTTGATGTAGCTTTTTGGACACAATCCACACCATTAGAATTAACATTATTATGTTTATTAGGCAAAAGAGGTCTTGGTTGTTCTTCTCGGGCGTTATCCTTAATTTGAAAGTTGGTGACAACTGGCAAATTAAAATTTTCTAATGGCTTAGTTTCAGCAATATACTCCTGATCATGTGAACCTGTGATAGCTTTTTTGATGCAAGGTACATGATGAGAATTACATTCTTTATCTTTATTAGGCAAATGATCCAGTAGTTTTTCTTTTCGAGAATTATCGTGAATAATTGGAAATTTCGTAACAGTTGCGTTTGTTAGGCAAGAAAACTCATTATCCTTTGAGGGTTGTGTTTCAGCAACATACTCTTCATCATGCGAAATAGTTTTGGCTTCTTGCAAGACGCAAACTTGATCTTCACAGTCCCCTTTCTCATTATTACTTGCTAAAGCACAAACATCAAGGTACTCTTGTCTCAGCATATCTGTTGTAGTTTTAGCGTCGTTAACGTCAGAATTGGCATGGGAAATATCATCACTATGACATAAATCGTCTTTATCGTATGCTTCATCATCTTTGTGACGCGATACCTCGCAAACAATAGCCTCTTCTTTATTTTCATTATTATGCAGGGCAGGGGGAAACCTGTAGCCAGAAGGATCTTTGATGGGAACATTTCCCAAAAGTGGAAAGTCAGCGAAATGATCACGCTGACCCATGGGTTTCCTGTAAGTTAAATCAGTAATAATGGGAAAGAGTGACCCTGAACGTTTGGCAAGGTACTGTTTAGAAGTTCCCTTTTTCATCTCGAGATTTTCATTCCCACATGTATTAATAAATGGAAAAGCAAAAATACTCGGAGATTCGCGTCCTTCTGTATCTGAAGAGGTATCTGATTCTTTTTTCTCTTCCTTTTCTTCCAACACTTGCATAATTTTATTGCTTGCCAACATTTCGTTATTCCTGGCCTTTTGTTCTGTAGCTGGTTTCTCTAAACTTGTTTCTTTCTCATTAGGGCTGTCTATCTTTATATTCTTAATTACTTTACTTATTTGAATGTCATTAAATATTATATCATTTGACGTCATGACCTGGTTGTGCAAACGATCCTTGCAAGCAGGATACAAAGAGCCATGCTTCGCAACTGTTGATTTGTCCGGAGTCAATATCGTCACTTCTACATTTTTTATGCGTTCTAACTGTTTCTTTGGGTTATTTTTTATTTCCTTTTCTTGCAACACGTCCATAATTTTAGCGTTTGCTAATATTTCCTTATTTGTGGCCTTCTTTTCTATAGTTTGCTTCTTCAAAGAGGCTTCCTTGTGAGGGCTGTCTATTTCTATGATCTCAATCACTTTACTGATTTGAATGTCATTTGGTCTTTTATCATTGGACGTCATGACCTGGTTTTTGCAAGCTGCATACAAATGGCTATGCTTTGCAAATTTTGATTTATCTATCACTTCTACATTATTTACGCTTTTTAACTGTTCCTTGGGGTTTGGTAGCACCTTGTAAAACAAATATCAAAGGTTGGAAGAACTATAGGTCATGACTTAGAGAAGCCTTCTTTAAATCAAACTAATTACTTTTTGTTGCTCAGTTTGCTGATGATGCATTGCATTACAGATGTTGCTAATTCATGTAAAAAAGAGTAAATTGGATTCTTACTGTATTAACCCCTTAGTCCTCACCTTCTTCTTCACCTTTTCAACATAAAAATCACATTTGGCACGGAGACTTTCCCAAAAATAGCTACATTCTTTCAAGTTGACACATGACATCACAAAATTCCTAGTATCACCACCAAAAAGCAGAAGCAACTTTTTTGCAATCTCATCATACTTTTTTATGAGCCAGTTCCTGTCTTTAACATTCCTCTGATCCATATAAAAAAATAATCAAAGTGTAGTCAACATGGGTTTTTGGAAAACATAAAACCTTTCTATTAAGCCTGTTTTCCACTAGCCACCTATCATAACGTATCGTAGCAAAACGTAACAAGGCGCATGCGTGCTCGTGAATTTGATGGTCAGTAGGCCCAAGCACGCATGCGCCATGTTACGTTTTGCTACGATACGTTACGATACGTGGCCAGTGGAAAACAGGCTTTAAGCTTCACTTACAATGTCATTTGTATCACAAGGAATACATAGTAATTCAATAATTTCCTTATCATCAAAGTAAGAATTGTTTTTAACAAAATGTTCAAGCTTCATGTACACTTTCTATAAAGAAAGATAAAGATACATAATTCTTTAGGTTTAAGAGTAAAATAACAAAAATAATTATCATACAAATAATAATTATGTATAACAATATATAGTTCAATAATAATAATGATAATTGATTTATATTAATAGATATTTAACTGTACAGAGTGTATGAAAACTGCACAGTTAGGAAAACGTTGCTACATTGATAAGCATGCAAATAGATGTGCAAAAACCTTGGAAATAGGTAGGTGGGTTTCCAATGGTTCATCTGTGAATAAAATTGTTGCAAATAATAAACATTTTTAGAATGAAAATTGTGTTACCAAGAAGCATGCACTTGAAAATAAAACAAAGCATATGTTGTTTAAGCTAATAAACTTTCAGGAAATTTGGCTTATGCATATGGCAACACTCAGCTATCTTATTTGCATCTTATTTTAACTATGGGTTTTTAAATGCCTTTTTTTTGTTAATCCATGTCACACATAATATTGGTGTGTTATTTACTTATAGATAAAAACCAGTTTTCCTTTTTTTTAATTTTTCTTGTTGGTTTTCAGTTACGATTTCGATCAAATACTGCTCAAGCCTAATATGAACAATAACATATACATACAGTTGAAAAATTTATTGTTCTAAAAACATTTAGGAAACATTTTTATAATCATAATTAATTCATTTGGAAATATATACTCCACTCTGATATTGACTACTTATATTTATTTGCATTAAACAATTTTTAAGAAAATATTTGAAATTCACACAGTATAAAATTGAGCAGTAGCAAAAAGTTAGTAGAGCAAAATAACAATAACACTTATTAAGTCCTGAAAGGCATTTTAATGCTACTTAATAATTGCTTAATGGTTTGTATTTTTGGATGGCATATTCCAAACATGTGGGAATAAAGCAAGAAAATAAGAATGTGAAACACAAGCCAAAGCAAGTGATATGCATTACTTTAATTGACTTGAGCAACATTCACTGGATTGAACCATCCAAACATGCGAAAACCATTAATTGTTTCATAAAATAAAAAAAACTTGTCTTCATTCTCAGACATGTTCTAAATTCTAATTCTTGATTCTTAGACATTTTCTAAATTCTTAAAAATTCTAACAACTGCAATTTACATTTCTGAAATTTGATGGCCTAATCGAAACACTTGCATTGAGCAATTTGAGCATACAATCCTAGAGTGCTCACTTGCATTGAGCAATTTGAGCATGCATTATACAAATGTTATTTTATAAGAAGTGTTTCACAACTACGCATGCACAGTTTAAGCACTCTAGGATTGTGTAAAGTCTCTTAATGAGACATTCAACACTTTCGCGCTATGCAAAGCTCATCTTTATAGGTTTGAGCACTCTGGAGACTCTACAAAATAATCCATACAATGGGTAACCACACATCCTGTGTCCCAAGTGCTGAAGTCACTATTTTACTATGGTGATAGCCGAGAGGGCACATTGTTATGCACTTTGTATTATATATACATATATATATATATATATATATATATATATATATATATATATATATATATATATATATATATATATATATATATATAAATAAACTCTGAGCAGCAGAAGCAGAGCATCAGGTAAGTAAAAGACACTTACTGTAACGAGTATGTCAATGAGCATATTTCCGATGTATTCAAAGAAAATCAAATCAGGAAAAGCTTCATTCAACTGCAGTAGAATTTGAGCTGCACGGTCAAAGTTATCGATCTCACGATTTTTTACAATGACTCTTAATGATTCACAAAGACCTTGTATTTCTGTCCTATCCATCAAATTTAGAAACGGGCCTCCTAAAAAAAACATAAAGCACTTCATACTTGGTAAACTTCCACAATAATGCAAGACAACACAGGCTTGCCAAGAATGAAAGGCAACAAAAGCTTACCAACAATAAATTGTCAGAAATGAATAGGCGTTCCAGCTTACGCCGAACATCGGAACATCATATCCTTCTATATAGTAGAGGCACACCGTACACTAAGACACACCTCGAGGACCATGAGTATTGTGATGGTTCGTCGACAATACAAATTTCCACCAAGTAATATATTTTTAGGTTCTATTCAGCTTTCATTACTACAGTTTAATTTCTTTTATTTCCGTGTTGTTGCTTTTTCTAATTTTCTATCTCTTGAAGCCACTTTCCGTTTCTGGAGCAGCCAAACTTTCCACTTCCTTCGACATTATATCGGATCCTTCACAAAATGTTTGCATTTCCTCGGAGCTTATTCGGAAACATGTCGACAAACAATAACATCATCATTGGCTACGTGCCTTTGATAATGGGACGAAAAGAGAACAGCTATGGCCACACAAATATTGACAAATATAGAAAGCAACTCGGTACATTCATAATTTTTATGCTTCAAAGTAAATTATCTGGCACCAATTTAAAACGTGCAGCCGTCAAATGCTTAAGACAATGAATTATTTTCACAAACAACTTTTTTCACACTAATAGGAAAACAGGAGTTCAAAGGTAGGAGCAAAAAGCATACGATAGCTGAAAAGAATCGTGCACAATCACGTTCAACGGAAAGCAGCTACTTGCAGGTAACACCACACAAGTTCCTCCAATGTTGTGTAATCTGTCACACAATTTAGCCAATTACAATCAAAAGAAAAACCTAACAGTTATGTTGAGGTTATATCACATTTGACCTTCTATTAAGGTCAGAATTACCTCTTCCATTGCAACAGCGCCCATATGTAGCATTTTTTGTATAAGCATTTTCATGTATGTTTGACTAACTGTAATTAAATGAAACAGCACAGCAAAGGTCACAACAGAGATTCAACAAAATTTAATCTTTTGTTTTGTCTAGACGGTATTGTTGTACTGTATGATTATTCTTGTTTCTCTCTTGGCCATATATGCCCTCTTTTATGCCATGCTTCAAACAAAACCCAAGGATGGCATGTTGAAAGATAAAATATAAATACAACTTCTTCCTCTTTTGAAGACAAGAAATTAACAATTTTGATGAAATTGTCTCTTAAAGTAAGACAGTTTTGCAAACTTAAATAATTTTACTAATTGTAATTTGGCATATATATTCACAAAAATTATAAATAGTATTTCTTTTCCTGTTTGATTGTATTCATTATCTTCAGAATAGCTACGTTAAATTATTTGTAAAACTATTAATTTATTTACCATTTGTAAAATATCAACTTATTCTTAAAGTTTCATATTGAAATATCCTTACTATAGAAATGCCATATGTTCAGGATAAATTACAAAATCACCCTGAAGTCATATTTTTAGGTGAAAATTATTGGTGTTGTAACATGTGAAACAAATATTGGAAACTTCTACTTCTTTTAAAGACCTCACAAGTTGAACAGAGGTCAACTTGCTAACATTGATAAAAAGCCTCTCAAGTTATTTGACTTAGTATTAGGCAAGAAACAAATTGTTGAAATTCCATACTGTACTAATGTTAACTTTTTTTGAAAAATCTTTTGAATAAAATCAGTACAAGAATCATAAAGATACTAAAAAGTACTGCACACAAACAAATTCAACAATCCAGGAGTCACTAGTCTTTAAAACATTGACAACTTTTAAATAAGTTAAAATATTATATTACTTATATTTATAGCTTACAATAACTACATTACCACCATAAACTACACACCTTTGTTTTTGTTGTATTCTGGTCATTACGAAATGATTTGAAGCGAATTGCATTTGATAAACAAAATACTTTTTCGAAAAGCTAAATACGTATTCTCCTGGCATAGTTTGTTTTTTTCGACGGTAAAATTCAAAATTATTGTCAGTAAAACTGCAAAAACGTGAAAAAAACTTCACATGAACGAGCTACTTACCCTTTCCATGACTACTGCGAATTTTTAAATGGATTTCCTGGGTGTATTTGCCTAGTTTTTGTGAATTTAGTGCTTTTCTTCCCCACCTGAAGACAGCCATGTACATAGTTTGTGAATAAATTCCCGCCAATTTTTCTTGCGCCGTGAGTACATTTCAGCGGTGATTCAACTGAAGCAAGGCGTTACTTCATAAAATTTATAGAATTTACAATCGGAGTCTATTTCCATTTTGTCCAATTCCTAATTTCCTAAGAAGGGGTGGAAAAAGATGCAATTTCTTGGGAAACCCATCTTGGCCAACTTTCAATGTCAACACCACTTGCTTTGGCACGATTGTATAAGCTCTAAATAATAAGAATTATATTTACAATCAATGAAGCACGTCAAATATCGCTAAAATTGCGAACAACGTCCACCAAGGGCTCCGGAGATAGCAGATGTCCGGATGTACAGAGAACAAGAGCAACACTGTCAACACGTACGTGGTATAGTGACACATTTATAAAGGAACGCAGTGGAGCCAGTGAGTTAGACACCTTTTAACTTGTTTCCAGAGCCCCTGACGTTCAAACTTTGAGCATCAAAATAAAAGCACATGCAACATAAAAAAACGGTCAAATAATTCCAATGAGATAATTTTAACGTAGAAAATATTTACCTGAGGTGTCATCCAGTTAAATTTATCCATTGTAAAGCCACAAATCGCCATGTTCAGCTTCACTCCCAGTACAAGCGCATAAAAGTATTTCTTCAAAAATAGCAAAATGATACTGGAACATGCGTTCTGACTTATCAAGAAGGCAAACAAAGAGAACTTTCATTATGCTCATAGACACATTCGTCAGTCTTACGTAAATATGACAAAAATTTCAACTAACCACAACTATATTATAGTCCAAAATTACGTTACACAATCACGTCATAACCAAAATAAAGCAACCGACCTGTTCAACTGTGATAGAGTTGGATTGTGATATTGAAAGCTGCCGCTGCAGTTCGTAAATCATTTCGTCTTTTTGCTGGAAGATGGTTTAAAAAAAAATTCACAAATTTATCATATGTTTATCGTGGTCCTACAACCAGAGTGAGACTTGCGCTACAAACCATCATGTCCTTTGTGTGCCTAAATTGTATTTCTTTTACTTCTGCTCTAAGAGTTTCAGTATCTTGGGTCCGTGTCTATTTCAGAGAAAGTACATTCGGACGAATTGAATATCACTCACAAAATTCATAGATTTGTTCCTATGGTAAAGATTACCAGAGCTATGAAATCCTCTCGAGCGAGTTCGGCTTTGAGGTCTTGCACTTCTTTATTATACATCTAAATATATTATCATGCAACATCCATATCCATCAGTGTCTCCATCAACAAATGCATGAGTCTGGGCAATTTATCGCTAGTCCTATAGAAGATCGGTGTTTTGAAGGACTAAAGTGGGCTGGAAAGCAATTATTGCCGAAAACACAAATTTATGTAAAATCATAAGGTAAGATAACATCAAATACGTATAGTAGCTCAAATGTGAGTCTAACATACTGTACATGGTGGTACATAGTAGTACATATGTGAGTCTAACATACTGTACATGGTGGTACATAGTAGTACATATGTGAGACTAACATACTGCACATGGTTGCAGTAGAATGAGTCAAGGTTTGGTAATAGCTCTCACAATAGTGGTTGCATAGTCGTCTACGCATAACCAAAACCTGCACCCAGTGACGCGGGAACATCGCTAATGGGGGGTGGCTGATATTCATGTATTCATAAGTTATAATTCCTAATCACAATTGACTTCAATAGAAAGTAATAAAGTATAACGTGCATTCCCCCAAATTAGCGTTGTTCCGGCGTCGCTGGCACTACAGCCCCCCGTCTCACAAAAATACCCTAGAATATTACCTGACACTAAACGCATCAAAATATAATCATGCTTATTAATTACGTAAACAAACCTTCATCATTTTCTTATAAATATCTTCCTGTTGCTTTCTGGTAACCTCGATTGCCTGTAAACGAAAAACTTTAAATGCTGCCCACAACAACGAAAAATACACCAGTATAACTGCAGATATGTCAGAAGATATACCTTCTTCAAATTTTCTGTGTGTTTCGCCATCGTTTCAGCAGGTTTAAACTCTAGGAATATAAGCACTCAGTATAGAGTAACGATATAATGCTATTTCTATGCTGCTATGTACAACACCTAGCTGCTATAGTAATGATTTATGCAGTAGCGTGAAATATAAACACTATTATAGAGTATAAAGATAAGTTTAAAAATTGGTAATCCAGGCATTTAATACATAAAAGAGTCGAAAGCTCAATAAAAATCATTTAAAATCCGGAGAAACTTTTATCTTTTATGTAGTATAAAGATAGTATAATATTAAAAATAGCATATACTATAAACACTCTATGTAAAAAATGACACTATAAATTTCAATATGGCAACGATAAATGACAAATGCCGTGCAGCAAAAACTACTGTTATTTTGTTATACAACAGTTGTATGGCCTTACAGAAAAATATCGTAACTCAAATATATCAAAAAGTCTGGTGTTACTCGTCAAAAGCCGAGTAACATAAGCTGATGTAAGGTTTGTTACACGTGAGATTATATAATCGTACTTCCGTTTTAAGAAAGTGGTATAAAAGCTAAAACTTTGTTTGCCCAATAAACGTGTAATTTTTCATGATAAACGTGATGATAAAAAATATCGTAAGCTTTTTGAAACGAATTGTTTTTAACTTGTTCTGTGACAACAAAAATGATTGTCCGTAATTAAGAAAGCTAGTATTTATGATTTAAGTTATAGCTTCCCGACTCATTCGATGGTTGAATTCATACCAAAACTTTCCCCGGCGTAACTGACACTAACATTAGACAATCGACTGAATGACGTCATCAGGTTGTCGAGTTGCTTATTTACATCTCCAGTAACGCTACGAAACTCTGACCATTTCTCTTCTAACAACTGTTCTTGCTTGTGTTTTTCAATATCACGCGCTTCTCGAACACGAGTACGCTCCGTTTGCATTTCGTGTTTTAAGTTTTCCACCTCCTGCCTTGCTTCCAGTTCATGCTGATGAGCCATGTTTAATTTGACATTCAATTCCTGTAAATTGTTCATTTATGGAAGAAAGTGACGTGAATGTCACGAAAATGTTCAATAACCAATGTCAGTGGTTTAGAGTTCTCCTTTATTGGCTACAAAACCTAAGTAGTACATTGCCCTTACCTGCAACTGACTTCCTTGCGTTGAATATTGCGACTCAAAATGTGTGGCAAGTCCTTGTGCTTCTTTCTGATGATGAAAACTTTTATCCAAGTCATTTGTCAAGGTATTTATCTCGTCCTCAAGATCACGAATTCTGTGTTTCTGCTCAACTACTGTCTGTTCCAAGTCTTCACAGTATTTCTGACAAGCATCCAGGCTCTCCATTGGCAGCGGAGGATTTTCAAAACGGAAGAATTGCAAAACAGGGTCACTAAAAATAAAATAAATTGGTCAGGAGCATTGGAAATGCTGGAGTATGGGGGGGAGTTGGGTGCAGCCTTAATTTTTACTAGTGTGGTAATGCACTCAGCAACATCAGCCCTATAATGCACTCCCACCCCCCCCCCCCAAAAAAGCAATATATTATTTTTTAACAAGAAAAATATTAATGTCAAATTAAAACATGCATTTTGTTGAAGCAGTTGTTTTCATGGGTAGTGAACAAATTTGAGTAGTCAAATGATAATTGTCTACATGATTGAACTTCATTGCCATTAATTCAGTTGACAAAAATTGTCAAACTTAAATTCCATTCAAATCATAACTACCATAATCAATGACTAAGGACTTGAAGAAACAACAAAAAAGCTTTGCAACCTTTGACATAATTCATGGTGGTGTAAAATATTTCGTACAAACTCGTCAAGTCCTTCCTGTCTCCTCCTTATAAAGTCTACAAAAAACATGAATGGGAAATGGGAATCCTCTGTCAATGATTATGAAATAAACATGAAATTATATTCAATTGTCTTTGGTGATGAATTGTGTGGAGGAAATGAAGGGTCATCTTACCTTTATTGAAATTGTTCCCAATCATTCTTTTTGATGGGAGAGTAAGTAGGAAGTTTGGAAACAGTTTTCTCAGCTAAAAAGTAGAGACAAAATTTGCATACAAACTTGCGTCAAAATAGGTAACTATGGTGATGATGACATCATAGTTTTGAAGGAAATGACCATGATGCTAGTATGTAAGCTTATTGCCATGATATACTACTAGGCTTTTATCAACAAAGCTATTCTTGAGGAATATAAACACTGAGCAAGCAAGATTAATAAATGTTAACCCATTCTATTTTTTTGACATGAAATGAAACTTTCCGTCTTTTCTCTTTATCACTATTTTGCAAATCAGTAAAAAAATCAATTAGCAAGAAAATTGGGTTGTCTTCAATCCACATTTGTACATGGCTTCTTCTGTTTATAAAAAGTTCTGAGCCAATCAAAGCTTCAGGCTATTTCACCAGAAATGGCGCTTGCCATAAATTATATAATAACAAATTCACAGACTAATTACTCAACAAATTACTCAACAAATTTAATCACATGATTGCCAATTGAAATTGAGTAAAATCTTATTACAAAATAGAGATATAGACACATTGATATAGTTCAAGCCACATAACGAGCTAGATCAAATGTCGAACCTAGGTATGCGAAGTTTTGTACCCCCAAAAAATCAATGTATACTCTCAGTCACGAGATAACAACGTGATCTACTACCGTGAAATTGGCACCACATTGGGCACCACATTCAACACAACATTCATCACAACATTCATCACCACATTCAACTAAAATTTATCATTCAAAATGATAAATCAAAAAATCGTCTTTAAAACACGTTTTCCATCAAATACAACAGTAAAAATAATTCTTAACTGTTTATTACTATTTTACAGTCCATAAACATCACAAAAAATGTATAAAAGTCAAGAAATTGAAGAAAACACTAAGATTTATATTACAGTGTACTTTCCATTTCTCTTAAATAGCCTATAATTTAAAAACTACACGGTAGAATTTTTTTAAACTTGGCCAGAATATAGATAATTATATTGTCTAAAATATATCCAAAATCTGGAGGTGGCACAAAAAAATAAATGATAGAAAATCATCGACAAAGTCGGATGACACGAATGCGCGTAATATAATCTTATATATTTAAGTTAAGAATTCCGGCTCTTTAACAAACAAAGCCTTATAAATAGAAAACTACACGGTAGAAATTTTTTAAACTTGGCCATATTGTAGATATTCTTATTGTCTATGACATATCCAAAATCTGGAGGTGGCACAAAAAAATAAAAGGAATAATATTCCTTGAGAATGTACTCTGGTATTAACCGTGAAGTTGGCACCACATTCGACAAACAGCTCTATAGCTAAAAAACTACACGGTAGAATATTTTTAAACTTGGCCATATTGTAGATATTCTTATTGTCTATGACATATCCAAAATCTGGAGGTGGCACAAAAAAATAAATGATAGAAAATCATCGACAAAGTCGGATGACACGAATGCATGTAATATGATCTTATATAATTACGTTTAGAATTCCGGTTCTAAAACAAACAAAGCCTTATAAATAAAAAACTACACGGTAGAATTTTTTTAAACTTGGCCAGAATATAGATAATTATATTGTCTAAAGTATATCCAAAATCTGGAGGTGGCACAAAAAAATAAATGATAGAAAATCATCGACAAAGTCGGATGACACGAATGCGCGTAATATAATCTTATATAATTAACTTCCTATATCCATGTAATTTTTCAAAGAAAGGCCTATAAATAAAAAACTACACGGTAGAAATTTTTTAAACTTGGCCAGAATATAGATAATTATATTATCTAAAATATATCCAAAATCTGGAGGTGGCACAAAAAAATAAGTTGTAGAAAATCATCGACAAAGTCGGATGACACGAATGCGCGTAATATAATCTTATATAATTAACTTCCTATATCCATGTAATTTTCAAACAAAGGCCTATAAATAAAAACTACACGGTAGAATTTTTTTAAACTTGGCCAGAATATAGATAATTATATTGTCTAAAATATATCCAAAATCTGGAGGTGGCACAAAAAATAAATGATAGAAAATCATCGACAAAGTCGGATGACACGAATGCGCGTAATATAATCTTATATATTTAAGTTAAGAATTCCGGTTCTTTAACAAACAAAGCCTTATAAATAAAAAACTACGCGGTAGAAATTTTTGAAACTTGGCCATATTGTAGATATTCTCATTGTCTAAAATATATCCAAAATCTGGAGGTGGCACAAGAAAATAAAAGAAATAATATTCCTTGAGAATGTACTCTGGTATAAACCGTGAAGTTGGCACCACATTCGACAAACAGCTCTATAGCTAAAAAACTACACGGTAGAATTTTTTTAAACTTGGCCAGAATATAGATAATTATATTGTCTAAAATATATCCAAAATCTGGAGGTGGCACAAAAAAATAAATGATAGAAAATCATCGACAAAGTCGGATGACACGAATACGCGTAATATAATATTTAATAATTAACTTCCTATGTCCAGGTAACTTTGCAAACAAAGGCCTATAAATAAAAAACTACACGGTAGAATTTTTTTAAACTTGGCCATATTGTAGATATTTTTATTGTCTATAACATATCCAAAATCTGGAGGTGGCACAAAAAAATAAATGATAGAAAATCATCGACAAAGTCGGATGACACGAATGCATGTAATATGATCTTATATAATTACGTTTAGAATTCCGGTTCTAAAACAAACAAAGCCTTATAAATAAAAACTACACGGTAGAATTTTTAAACTTGGCCAGAATATAGATAATTATATTGTCTAAAATATATCCAAAATCTGAGGTGGCACAAAAATAAATGATAGAAAATCATCGACAAAGTCGGATGACACGAATGCGCGTAATATAATCTTATATATTTAAGTTAAGAATTCCGGTTCTTTAACAAACAAAGCCTTATAAATAAAAAACTACACGGTAGAATTTTTAAACTTCCATATTGTAGATATTTTTATTGTCTATAACATATCCAAAATCTGAGAGTGCACAAAATATAAAAGGAATAGTATTCCTTGAGAATAAACCGTGAAGTTGGCACCACATTCGACAAACAGCTCTATAGCTAAAAACTACACGGTAGAATTTTTAAACTCAAGTATATTATAGAATTTTATATTGTCTAAAATATATCCAAAATTTGAAAGTGCACAAAATATAAATGATAGAAAAACATCGGCAAAGTTGGATGACTCAAATGCGCGTAATATAATATTGCATAAATAAGTTAAGAATTCCGGTTCTTTAACAAACAAAGACCTATAAATAAAACTAGAATTTTTAAACTTGGCCATATTGTAGATATTCTTATTGTCATGATATCCAAAATCTGGAGGTAAATGATAGAAAATCATCGACAAAGTCGGATGACACGAATACGCGTAATATAATATTTAATAATTAACTTCCTATGTCCAGGTAATTTTGCAAACAAAGGTATAAAAAAACTACACGGTAGAATTTTTAAACTTGGCCATATTGTAGATATTTTATTGTCTATAACATATCCAAAATCTGGAGGTGGCACAAAAAATAAATGATAGAAAATCATCGACAAAGTCGGATGACACGAATGCATGTAATATGATCTTATATAATTACGTTTAGAATCCGGTTCTAAAACAAACAAAGCCTATAAATAAAACTACACGGTAGAATTTTTAAACTTGGCCAGAATATAGATATTATATTGTTCAAAATATCCAAAATCTGAGGCACAAAAAATAAATGATAGAAAATCATCGACAGTCGGATGATCACGTAATGCGCAATATAATCTTATAATTAACTCCCATATCCATGTAATTTTCAAACAAAGGCTCGTAAATAAAAACTACACGGTAGAATTTTTTAAAAGAATATAGATAATTATATTGTCAAAATATAAAATTGGAGGTGGCAATAAATGACAAATCATCGATTGTGGATGACGAATGCGCGTATAATCTTATATATTTAATTCGGTTCTTTAACAAACAAAGCCTTATAAATAAAAAATTACGGTAGAAATTTTTAAACTTGGCCATAGATAATATTGTCTAAAACATATCCAAAACTGGAGGTGGCACAAAAAGAAATGATAGAAAATCATCGATAAAGTCGGATGACACGAATGCGTAATATAATCTTATATTTAAGTTAAGATTCCGGTTCTTTAACAAACAGCCCATAAAAAATGTAGAAATTTTATAGCCAGATATGTGTAATAAGAAAATAAAAGAAATAATATTCCTTGAGAATGTACTTGGTACCGTGAAGTTGAGAACATCGACAACAGTTTATAGTTGTACCGTTAGAATTTTCAAACTAGAACGGAGATAATTGTAACAAATATAATTATAATGTATGACAGAAAACATCGATTCGGATGACACGAATGCGCGCAATATAATCTATATATTGCCAAGAATTCCGGTTTTAACAACAAAGCCTTATAAATAAAATTATCAGAAATTTTAAACTTGGCCATATTGTAGATAGTTCATTGTTCAAAATATATCAATGATAGAAAATCATCGATAAAGTCGGATGACACAGTCGTAATTACGACAAAGTCGTAATTATATAAGATCATATTACATGCATTCGTGTCATCCGACTTTGTCGATGATTTTCTACAACTTATTTTTTTGTGCACTCTCCAGATTTTGGATATATTTTAGATAATATAATTATCTATATTCTGGCCAAGTTTAAAAAATTTCTACCGTGTAGTTTTTTATTTATAGGCCTTTCTTTGAAAAATTACATGGATATAGGAAGTTAATAATAAGATTATATTACGCGCATTCGTGTCATCCGACTTTGTCGATGATTTTCTATCATTTATTTTTGTGCCACCTCCAGATTTTGATATATTTTAGACAATATAATTATCTATATTCTGGCCAAGTTTAAAAAATTCTACCGTGTAGTTTTAGCTATAGAGCTGTTTGTCGAATGTGTGCCAACTTCACGGTTTATACCAGAGTACATTCTCAAGGAATATTATTTCTTTTATTTTTTGTGCCACCTCCAGATTTTGGATATATTATAGACAATAAGAATATCTACAATATGGCCAAGTTTAAAAAATTTCTACCGTGTAGTTTTTTATTTATAAGGCTTTGTTTGTTAAAGAACCGGAATTCTTAACTTAAATATATAAGATTATATTACGCGCATTCGTGTCATCCGACTTTATCGATGATTTTCTTTCATTTATTTTTTTGTGCCACCTCCAGATTTTGGATATGTTTTAGACAATGAGAATATCTACAATATGGCCAAGTTTAAAAAATTTCTACCGTGTAGTTTTTTATTTATAAGGCTTTGTTTGTTAAAGAACCGGAATTCTTAACTTAATTATATAAGATTATATTACGCGCATTCGTGTCATCCGACTTTGTCGATGATTTTCTATCATTTATTTTTTTGTGCCACCTCCAGATTTTGGATATATTTTAGACAATATAATTATCTATATTCTGGCCAAGTTTAAAAAATTCTACCGTGTAGTTTTTATTTATAAGGCTTTGTTTGTTTTAGAACCGGAATTCTAAACGTAATTATATAAGATCATATTACATGCATTCGTGTCATCCGACTTTGTCGATGATTTTCTATCATTTATTTTTTGTGCCACCTCCAGATTTTGATATGTCATAGACAATAAGAATATCTACAATATGGCCAAGTTTAAAAATTCTACCGTGTAGTTTTTAGCTATAGAGCTGTTTGTCGAATGTGGTGGCAACTTCACGGTTAATACCAGAGTACATTCTCAAGGAATATTATTCCTTTATTTTTTGTGCCACCTCCAGATTTTGGATATGTCATAGACAATAAGAATATCTACAATATGGCCAAGTTTAAAAAAATTCTACCGTGTAGTTTTCTATTTATAAGGCTTTGTTTGTTAAAGAACCGGAATTCTTAACTTAAATATATAAGATTATATTACGCGCATTCGTGTCATCCGACTTTGTCGATGATTTTCTATCATTTATTTTTTTGTGCCACCTCCAGATTTTGGATATATTTTAGACAATATAATTATCTATATTCTGGCCAAGTTTAAAAAAATTCTACCGTGTAGTTTTTAAATTATAGGCTATTTAAGAGAAATGGAAAGTACACTGTAATATAAATCTTAGTGTTTTCTTCAATTTCTTGACTTTTATACATTTTTTGTGATGTTTAAGGACTGTAAAATAGTAATAAACAGTTAAGAATTATTTTTTACTGTTGTATTTGATGGAAAACGTGTTTTAAAGACGATTTTTTGATTTATCATTTTGAATGATAAATTTTAGTTGAATGTGGTGATGAATGTTGTGATGAATGTTGTGTTGAATGTGGTGCCCAATGTGGTGCCAATTTCACGGTAGTACGTGATCTTACAGTCTAAAAATAATAAAATATACACGCCAATTATGCTATTATAAAATTCAACGAACGCAAATACCTTCTTATTGAGAAGCACAAAATCTCGATAACGCCGATAAATGTACCACTTTTGAAAACCACCGTCTACTTCGATTTTGTACAACTATACAGGAATAATAACCTTGACTCATCACTCATTCAAAAAAATTCAAACGGCATTTCGATTGTTCATGGCCTAGAATTCGATGTTTGTATCTTCATCCCTACCGTATGCTTCTTCTGCGGTTCGACGACCTGTCTTCCCAAAATACAACTTTCAAATCTACTAATGCTTGAGGTTACACTTTCTCTCCCAGTCGAACGGCCATTAGCCGTCGAACGTTCGATTATTTGAAAGGACGACGTGAAATTGGATGGACTTGCAAAATATCGACCTTCGCTGAAGCTACCGTTCATTTTACAGTAAAGTTGGTCTAATCCTGTTGTTTAAAATTGGAGCATGACATGTTTACATACGTACTTGCTCTTCACTTCCATGTACGAAACACGGCAATTTCTCAATTTGATACTTTCAACCATACCCCCCCTTGGCTCATCTTTTCTTCAAAGAATTCCGTCCAATGTTATTCCAGTGTATTGTTATTAATATTGACCCTCACTTCATGTGATTGCTTCTTTCACTCCGCTATAAGCGCAGTTTCATCATTTCCTATCTATAAGTGCAGTTTCAGCATTATTTTGAATAAAACATCGATCATGTGAACGGAAAAAGGATTTTTAAATCTTACAATTGTTTGATATTTTCAATAAAAATTTCACATCATTGCCATGCTTCACCACAGCTCATGTCAATTTTTACAATTTACTGAATTTAGATAAGATTGACTAAAAATGGAACTAGATTATCTAGACAGCAATTTTTTTGAAGTGAAAAGCGACTTGTCATATCATTCACATTGAACTATTCAATGATCATTCATCATCAATGGCAATGCCAGCCCAAACTTTTACTTCTAGAAGAAATAGACTGTCTAGCTCTGGTACAGTTATTATACATGCAAAGAACATAACAAATAAAAAACCAATATAGTTTAGAAAAAAAATTTTTGCAGTAAAGATTAAGAAGTTTCCTTATCACAAAAGAAAAATACCCAAAAATGAGTTGCATTACACAAAGGGAGTAAAAATGTGGATGAATGTGGTACAATGATACGCTCAACTTGACGAGGTTGATAATTGTTTAAATAATTCAATACAAAAAAATTCAAACAAGAGGATAGCTTGCAGCTGTAGCAATTCCACACTGATTGTCAGAGTTCCTCGTCATTCGAATATATCCTTGAAGACCCCATTGAGCCCCCCAACTATTCTTGACAAGCCAATAGTCTTTACTATTGTATTCACCATAACCAACCACCAATCCCCATGGTCCAACTTCGTTGAACTGCAAAATGGTTCATCATATACACCACTATGATAGAATTGGAAAGAGAAGTGGCTGGCATCAATAGCAACTGATACAGGGCCAACTGTTGCAACAGCACTCTTCAAATCTTTTTCCGAATCTTTTGTTACATCTACATGGCCTGAAAATAGTGATACATAAAATGTAATATTTAAGAAATATTATTCTTGTTTTATTCTGTAACTCAATGGAAACAAGTAAATATGTTTTCCATTTCATTTAAAAGATAGCCTTTTAAAAAAAAACATTGTGAAAAAGATTAATTTATTGATTTTAAATGTTAATTGACATGCTAATAGACATGCTGTTTACATTTTTGCCTTTAAAATTCACCCCACAAACTATGCAACCTGTAATGCTTTTGCAAAACTAAAATTCCATTATTTTATAGAGTTATGAAAACACAGCTTCTTTATAAAAACATGGCTTCTTTATTTGACCAACGAGCACCCATGTTTGCAAAAGGCTGATTTTTAAAAAATCATAAAATGTTAAGGTACCATACATTTTATACCTACCAGTGCAAGTAGCACCAACATCGCTCTCACTAAATTTACAATTTCCATCCTTTGCCGTGTACGGATAACTAGCTTCAGTATCAATGCCCCCGTTTGCCTTGATGTAGTTAAAGGCATTGTCCATAAGACCTCCATCGCAACCATTGTTTCCATAGCTTGATGAACAATCAACAAGATTTTGTTCACTAAGTGAAACTAATTCTCCAGTCTTCTTGAAGTGTTGGCCTTCAAGCGAGCCAGTAGTGCTAAATGCCCAGCAGGAGCCACATTGACCTATCATACATCATGTAAAAATCTTGCATCATTATCTGGTTTTCATACTCCAAGTGATATACAATACAATTACGTTGTTCTATACTGACCTTGGTTCTTCACTGGAGTGACATATCCATGTTGTCTCCAGTCAACTGTAGCATTCAGCTTGACATTGGATGGCGGTAGGAAGGTCGAACCAGTTCGTTTCATATAAGGATTATATACTGATCCCAATAGCAAATGCCTGTATTCCAGAGTTGTATAATCTCCCAAATGATTAATGGCAAGTTTAAATGATCTGACCTTGTTGTGCTCTTCAATTTTCTAAATTTTTTTAGCAGTGACGAGTTTGAAAATTGCATCAGCTCTTGTCAACCCCCTCACTAATCCCCCCCCCCGTTGCGAGATTTTATTTTAATTTCATTATATTATAGAAAATAGCTTATTTATCTGCCCCACACCACAATAAGGTAAATTGGACATGATACAATTTGTTATAATTCAACGAAATATTTTATCATATTGTATTAATTGCATCACACACGTACACCAATATATGATTTAAAACGTATACAACAAAGACACGTTTAAAATTGAAGCGATTCGAAATTGAAGCGATTCAAATCATTTGCTAAATGATTTGAAGTACCTTGAGATTATACAACCATATCGAATGTCGAAAGCTTTCTTCGAAATCGTCTTTATAGATCTTCCTGTGATACGTCTTCCATGCTGACCATTGTAGATCCTTGTCGAATGCCGAAAGCGACGCCGCGTTTACAGCAGTGAGGCAAGCGAAGATGAGGGCGATCAGTGTCGTTAAATTCATTTCGCTGAATCGTAAAATATTTATAGATGTAAAACGATGAAAAGGCAATAGAAAGCTTTTTCTTGCCGATTAGCCTATGATAAATAATAGCCTCATGTGACAGTCACAAGACATAGAAAATATGTAAAGTATGTGTGCCACGTCCTTCCTTTTTCTGCGTCATAACTGTTTGTTGACCGTTACCGCAGTTGCTAACGTGGCGCTTGCGCATACTCTCAGATTCTCCATTAATGACCGCTGACAAGTAAAAAATGCATTGGATTTATTGGACATATTTTTTGGAGATAGTTTAATCAAATGAAGATATGATCAGCAAAGTGCGAAGATCATATCTTCATTTAATTTCAAACACCGCACTGCATAAAACATTCATAAAACATTCATAGTTTAATCACTGGTTTAATGTTTAACACGTTGCTAAGAAACGAAATATCAAATATGTCGCAAAAAGTTCGGAGCATCGATATGGACTTTAAATTTTTTATGGATGTTGTAAAACCTTTTAAATATGGTTGACCATTAATGCGTAAAAGGAGTGATGCGTACTTCCCTTAAAACCTAGTTTAAAGTAGATTAGGTGTCGCATGATTGTACAAGTAAACGTCACACACTGACAGACAGTGTTGTTATCCTCTGATGTTTCTGTGTATCATAAAATTCTCCATGTCTCTATCGTCAATTACAAATTTCAACCGATAACTATGACGTTTTCCTATTCATATGCTCTCAAGTGCGTTATAAATAAAAATACATGTGTAAATTACATATGAACATACAGCTTCATGTGTCAAAGACAGCCAGGCTATAGATTATAACATTCTGAAATTGGCTTCCCAATTAGCTAAGAACAAGTTACTGAGCTACGATCATAATAATAGCTCCTCAATCAGTGGCGTAACTAGAACGTTAATTATATATTCCGTTGTGCCCTACTGATTTCTTTTGAAAGTAATTTGAATTTCAAAAGAAATCAGTAGGGCACAACTGAATATATGAATATACACCCACCCACCCCCATTAACGTTCTAGTTACGCCTGTGTCCTCAATGTTTTTCTGAAGGCTTACGACAATCATTGGATGTATCGACGACTTCGGAACGTGCACAAGCTCTAGCCTCTATAAACGAGAATGCGACTTTAGAAAAACTACAAAAAAATCATTTGAAAGTATGATAGTTTTAAAGGGGAAAGGTTGTTCGCCATATCAAAAACACAGCTTAAATCAATTGCAGCTCAAAAGTATTTCTATTGGAACGAGTTTACCAGATCACTTCACAATTTTTTCATCAAAGCACAACATTTCCTAAATTTTCATAGAAAATGTACTATCCATAAATGTCACTCCGGTGGGATAAACAGCAGCACTAGCTATCCCGCATTGATTCTCTTTATTCCTCGCCATCATGATGTAACCCTTCATGCCCCAGTTTCTTCCCCAACTATTTTTCACCAGCCAATAATCTTTACCATTTAATGTGCCATAGCCAACTACCAACACTGCATGGTTTAGCTGACTGGGATGGCATGAGGGATCGTCATAAACACCATCGGTGTACATTTGAAAACTGGGGAGACCAGCGTTGATTGTGACGGGTATTGGGCCAATATGGGCGACAGCTCCTTGAAGTGCAAATTCGTTGGCAAAAGGCAACTCCACGTACCCTGGGCAAAAGAATTTTGAAAACACGTTTTACCAAGAAATCATTGTCCCCAATCAATCATCAACGGTCTAAATAAATAATTCGTTCTTTAGAGATTCACAAACAATACCTTTTATATAAAAGTACCGTTATGTTCAAAATTGACTCACAATTCATTTTGACCAACGCTAAATACGTCGAAGCTCGTACCTGTTAGACTTGCTCCAAAAGCTTCCGTGGAAAAATTACAATTTTTAGAATCGTGTGGATAGTCGTCGTTGTGATCAATCATGTATTGAAAAGCGTCAGAAACTGATCGACAAATAGTACAGCATTCTTCAAGTTCTGTGACGTTTAACGTTAACATCTTTCCTGTTGCTATGCAATGTTCACTTTCCAAAGATCCCAAAGCACTGAAGCCCCAACTTCTTGAAATCTCTTTATTCAAACGAAACATTTTAACGACTATCAAACATTATCAATACAACACAGCAAGAAATTCATACTTTGCAAACACTCTGAAGATCAAAGTTTTACACCTGAAGCAGCCTACACACTCATTGATTTGATGAGTTAAAAGCATGGACTTGAATATTTGCTTGACTCACTGTTACACAAAACCTACTTCATTTGCAAAACATTCTTACACCAACCTCCTTGATTCACAACTGGTGAAACGCATCCTTTCTTTCGCCAGTCAACTTCTTTGGGCAATATTTTTTCACTTATACTGCGATAGAAATTGTCAAAGTTTCCCCGCTCTTTGGTTAACATCATTTTTTGAAATTCAATGGCTGTCAAATCTGACCATTTGTTCAAGGCAATACTGAAACTGTGATTTCCTCTCTCGTGCTTCACTTTTCTCTAAAATCATTTATTTTGAAAAGGGCTTTTGGTGAATTAGCAATGGAATTGCCGTAAGATAAACTTATAGATGTTCACTGCCAATTTGGATGGAAAAATATCATATCTAAGTATGCTTAACAATTCCTTAATTTTAAATGTTTCCAATAGTATTAGTATAGTTTCCAATGGTATAGTTCTTTTTTAAATTTTCTCGACAATTTTGTTTGTTTTACAATTTCCGGATAATTGAAAACCGCAGTTAAGCAAACGTAGCAAAACAAGACAACGCAAATAACGACACACAAAACACAAATGAAGAACCACCGACAAAATACCCCAACGAATTCATGACACAAATGTTTTTTACATTTCAAACTATCGACATATCGCTTATTCCAATAGCTAAATACCTTTAAATTTGAGCACCAAATAGCGTGCCTAATATGTTCTTCGTTTGCGTCGACGTATGATTTTAAATGTAAGCGTTTCCATTCGTTCCACAATTTCATTTCTTCTTCAGAAGTGCAGGCGAGGCTAGCGAGCCCAACTGCACAAATAAAGAACAGCACAACTTGAAAAGCTTCGACAAAAGTCGCCATCACGAAGAGACAAAAATTTAAATTTGCGAAATTACTGAGGTCTTCGGTTATGTCGTGAAAGATGACACTGATGATGAAAATGAAATGTTTATAACCCACTCACCCCCCCTCCCCATATTAAGAACCTCGTTTGATTGTAAATTTTCCTCCATTTTGAACTTTTTCAAATCAATTTGGATTTGAAAATGGTGAAGTTTGATTGCAGAATGAATATGGAAACAAAGCGAAGTTTTTTTTGGAAAAAAAGCAAAGTTCAACTTCAACTAAAAAAAGGAGACTTTAATTAAATCATTTATGTCGAGATCGTATCAAACGAGTGGATAACTTGCAGCAGTTGCAATCCCACAATTATTATTTTGGTTCCTCGCCATCATGATGTACCCATTCAAGCCCCAAGATTCCCCCCAGCTATTTTTCACGAGCCAATAGTCTTCGCCATTGTAGTTACCATACCCCACAACAAGGACGGCGTGATCAAGACCTAATTTTGTAGAGTTGCAAGATGGCTCATAATACACGCCTCCATGATACAATTGAAAGCTAACATGGCCCGCGTCGATGGCGACCGAGACTGGTCCTACTGTAGCCACGGCAACCTGGAGATCTTGCTCTGAGAATTTGGTGATGTCTACATGACCTGGAAGAAAGATGATTAATTGGATTGTAAGACAACGAAATTCTTGAGTTGTCACGAAGCTCAAAAAAGCAAAAATTTTATGTATATCATGAAAAAAGAATAAATTGAAGCTAATGAACACAAACCTGTAACTGTGGCACCGACTCCGGACGCTCTAAAATAACAATAACCCAAATCCCTTGAATAATAGGGATATGTTGCTTCCGTATCAATGCCACCATTTGCTTTAATGTAGTCAAAAGCATTATCCATCCATCCTCCTTTACATCCCTCGTTGCCATATTTTTCGGTGCAGTCTACCAGATTCTGCTCGCTTAGCGATACCAAGTTACCAGTTTTTTTGAAATGCTGTCCTTCCAGTGAACCAGTGGTGCTGAAAGCCCAACAAGAGCCACACTGTCCTGTATAATATAAAGAGGCTTTATTTTAATTTTCTAGGATTATTTGTGTGAAGTGTTGGGTACCACAAGTAAATTGAGTTTATTCACAAAAAATATAAGAAATACATTAAATTTGATGTAATAGAGTTCTTCAGACAACAATTAACTACTGACTAACTTCAAATTTTGATAAGAGGCTGACAACCGCTGTTGTAAAAAAAGAAAAACATAGCACGACATTCGTACCTTGGTTTTTAACAGGTGTGACGTAACCTTTCGTCCGCCAATCCACAAATTCAGGTAGTTCTACGTCAGTTGGAGCTAGAAAGGTTGAACCGGATCTCTTCATACTATTTCTCCGATGTTTCGCTCCGAGCATCAACGACCGATATTCCATGGGAGTCAAATCGCCCAGTTGGTTCATGGCTAACTTAAATTTCGCCTTGCCATTGTTGTGCTCTTTGATGTGCTATTATATAGAAGAAGTCGATTTGGTTCTATAGCTCACGTTTCTAGCTAATAATGCTATCTCTACAGGCACATAAATTGCCAGGTCTATAAAAAACCAAGCACGAAGAGCTGTCAAAGCATACCTCGAGATTTGCTTGCCATATTGCCTTACGATACGTCTCAACGTACGGATTCTCGTAAGTTTTACCGTGAAATTTCTTCCAAGTTTCCCATTCGGCATCGCTGCCGGGTAAATCGAGTTTGTCGACTTGAAAAGCTTGAAAAATCGTTACTATGCCGCATAATAGCAACAAAACGGACAAAGACAACGAAGCCATGATTGATAAAGGCGATTGAAAAATTGATGCCTCAAACTGCTGCAAGTTCGGAACAAGGATACCAGATAAACAGTTTCTACAGCATTGATACAATATCCCACACTCGCGAACCCAAACAATACGTTTTATTCCGAGTGAACTAATATATCCGGTCACGAGCAACTCATTTGACAATATCGAAAGCGAGCAATTGGTGGATTTAATTGCACAAGGTTAAACGCTTGGAGTCAACTTTCAAGTTATTGTTGTCGTGGTTGCTTTAGCAAATTCATTGAAAGTTCAAAATGTTCCCTTACAAGGGTCACGTGTGACCTGTTAGATATCACTTCTCAATTTCGTTGAATGATATATGAGTTCGGAAAAATTGAATATGTGCCATCAAATTACTCACAAATTTTAAGCAAAACTGACTGTGAATGTTTTTTTCTCTTCACAACACTCAATATGATAAAGTCAGCAGTATACCATATGGCCTGGTTTGGGCTAAAGAACGTACAACCAACACAAGATTTCTACGTATAATATCGTGAAAACAAAAGCAAGTGCAAATCGTTTCGCTTCTGGGCTTTTTCAGCTGAGTATGATAGTCTTCTGTAATCAGGATTTAAATATGCATTTAATATAGACGACGATTTTTTTGAGAATAGAAATTTGTCGAAACATTCTCAAAAAACTCCTCGTCTATATCAAATGTACATTAGCCATAGTACTTTTACGAAATTAGGGAATTTGAATATATTTTTAACCATATGATTGTTTTGATATTTAACATTTAACATAGTTCTTTCTCTGTTATTCACGGCCCAGTGCATGCAGTTGACGAGTCATAACAAAAACGTGTGCAGGATATGATCATCTAAAAATCTAATATGATAAAAAAATCACATCCTCAACTACATTCATCTTCATCGAAATGAACCATCATTTAGCTAAACCATAAAAGTACCCGGCTCATCGAAAAATGTCGTGCTTAGAGCGTGCTAAGGTGGTATGCAGCTACAGCAGAGGATAGCTGGCAAGCGTTGCTATACCACATTGATTATTTTTATTTCTCGACATCATAATGTATCCCTTTAAGCCCCATAATTCACCCCAACTGTTTTTGACGAGCCAGTAATCTTTGCCGTTTAATGTACCATACCCAACCGTAAGCATACCGTGATCTAACTTTGTAGAACTACATCTTGTTTCATCGTATACTCCACTCGAATAAAATTGAAAAGTGCTGTGATCTGCATCAATGGCGACAGATATGGGGCCTACTGTAGCAACAGCCAAATGCAGCAGAAACTCAGAGAATTGTTCAATATCCACGTGATCTAATGTGACGAGAAGATATCGTTTATGTCGCGCAATTATAATGGGAGGGAGGAGAGAGAGAGTAGTAGAATATACAGGGAGTGACTAGTTTTTGGCCTCCTTTGGTGATGTGAAGACTAATTAATAGTTATCACGGAAGAAAATGATCATAGAAGGCTGATCGAAATTTTGTAAAACTCAAAACAAAATTTCTCTTGGATAAAATACGACGAATCCATCCTTTAAAAACCACAATGTAATGAAATGGTTGTTGGGTTTTGTTCATTGCTGGTCTTCTTTTTCGGTGAGTTCAAACATTCGGCCGAAGTTCACTTTTCACCGACGTTTGGCAGTTTGTGAACATGCAGTGTACAGCCACAGCACAATTTAAGAATCACAGTACAGTTCTAACTCACATAAACATGCAGTTTACTACACTGGTGAATAATCAAAACTGAGATTAAATACCTGAACATCCAGCACCAACATTTTCTTCGTTGTACCAGCAAAACGTGTTCTCCCTAGCAACATAAGGATAGCTCTTTTCTGTGTCAATACCATAGTCTGCCACATATCTGAATGCGTTATCCATTAAACCACCGTTGCAGCCTCGATTTCCATACCAGAACGAGCAGTCAACTAAGTTCTGTTCGCTTAGCTCAACCAGCTTTCCCGTTTTCTTGAAATGTTGACCTTCTAAAGACCCAGTTGCACTGAAAGCCCAGCATGCACCGCAAGCACCTGTTTAAAGTCTAACATGAATTATGTATTTTCCAGTTTTTAAGAAGTATATATTTCGACAGAGATGTGACATATGAAGTTATTTTAGTATTTGAAGCCATTTTATATATCGTGGTAATACCATTGGGTAGCTATTTATAACAGATGTTTCAACTGAAAGGGCAAATCTGTTAATATAAAGATTATTATTATTATTGTTATGCCCAGTTACCCTGATCCTTTACTCTAGTGACGTAACCATGCTCGCGCCAGTCCACAGTTGAAGGCAGCTCTACATTTGAAGGCGGTAGGAAAGTAGAACCGTTTCGTTTCACACCAGTGCTAAACTTGTTTCTCAACATCGTTTCTCTATATTCATTCTCCGTTAGATCACCAAACTGATTCATGGCCAACGTGTAGCTATGGTTTCCGATGTTGTGATCTTGGATTTTCTAATTACAAAATTTATACCAAAAAACCCTTTTTTTTTCAAACAGAAAGTATTAAACAAACGAACTATATAATGAATAATGAAAGCATCGTGCTTCAAATTCCATCTTCAATCACGTCTCAGGTAAGCAAACATTAGAAAAATATCTAATCCTTATCTAATCCTTATCTATAAAATATCTAATAAAATATCTAATCCTTATCTAATCCTTATCTATAAAATTTCTAATAAAATATCTAATCCTTTTCTAATCCTTATCTATAAAATATCTAATAAAATATCTAATCCTTATCTATTTTATTACTGTGATGGCTTTTTAAAAGTCTTATGTTGGGCTATTATGTTCATATAGAAAAATATCTTTCAAGCAATCTGAGTGCATTGAGTTATAACAAGCATTACAAATATAATTGAATTTGGTATTTTATAGTTTATCAATGCTTTCTTTTGTGCCAGGCAATTACACATTGACTTTCGACCAACTCACCTTTAAATTTGCACGCCATATGGCCTCACGGCGAACGTTTTCTTTTAAATCAACATATTTCCTACCGTACGCTAATTTCCAAGCTTCCCACTGCCCTTGGCTAACCGTTAATTCGATTGTTTGTGCTTTGGACAATATCGAAGACGAATACGACGAAAATACCCAAAGCAGACAAACAAATTGTTTCCAAAGCATAGTCGTTGTTCGCTTAAAGTTCGCATAAACGTAAAGATATCATGAAGTATTATCGATCGGGCATGGACATGGTCAATTTATATAAAACCATTCATGCATAACCTGAATATATTAATCACGAATATATGCAAGTAGTGCTAAAACGGTTGTTCATGAGACATAGCAGATATTGAAAGACGGATCCAATATGAGAACTATTCACATGTTGTCCCCAAATGCCAGTGTTATTTAATGAAACGATACATTTAACAGTGCATGTACAAAAGAAAAACTCACGACGAAAGATTGATACGTCATACAGTAAACAGTTTAGCGTCATACAATGAAGGAACGTGCAAATTTTGTAAAAGTCAATAAAAAAAGACTTGTGCTGACAGTAAATACCAAAGACCTCCATATTAACACTTTACACCAAAGGATAACTGGCTGCCGTGGCGATACCGCATTGATTATCTTTGTTCCTGGACATCATGATGTATCCATCCATACCCCATGATTCACCCCAACTATTCTTGACTAGCCAGTAATCCTTTCCATGATGGGTGCCGTAACCAACGACAAGCACACCATGATCCAAAGCGACGCTGCTGCACAGGGGTTCGTCATAAACACCGCCTTTGTAAAGTTGAAAACTCATGTGACTTGCGTCAATTGCAACTGATATAGGACCGACGGTCGCTGCGGCTTGCTTGAGGTCGGATTCTGAACCTTTCGTGATGTCCGTGTGCCCTAAAAATATTTAAAATCATCAACATTGATCATCACAATTTTCAAATTGTTTTTAGGGTTAAATTTGGGTGAAAATCCGTTGCTAAGGCGTTGTTATGAACCAAAACAATAAGAGCCAACTTGGAAAGCATTTTTCGTGGGTAAATGATAGTTTTAACGAAAATTTTAGAATATTCATAAAAAACACAGCATAAAGTACCGATAATGATCAAAAAAAAATTTTGAGTTTTTAGGAAAAACAGTGCCTTCAATTTGTATATGACTACCTTAAGAAATAATGTTTCCTGTGTTAGCACAGGCTTACGCATACAGAGGAGAGGAGATAAGAGCAATCAGTTTTAGTTTTTCCTCTGACATACACACATACAGCCATGGTTGATTTGCAAGTTCTCTTTCATTGATTTGATTGGTTGAGCTCAGATCGGTTTTCATGGTCTGCGGCAAACTGAGCTACGGACCAATCAAACGCACGCGTTTTGTTTTTAATTTATAATGTAATTTGTTCTAGGGCCAAAACTTTCTGCGAGGTTTTCCTGTATTTCTCTGCGTAATGTTGCGCGAGTTTTTTTTTGAGAATATTTTCATAAAATCGAAATAAATTCATTACTGATGGACAAACTAGTTAAATATTTGATCAATCAAAAACCTTTTTCACAAAATTCGTCTTCCAACACCGGGCATGCGTAGAACAATATAAATTACAATTATTCTAACAACATAAAGTTATTGAAAAAATTGAGCCGTACCGCTGACAGTAGCACCAATTTTACTGCTAAGATATTTGCACGTTCCATCTCTCGCTTTATACGGATAACTCATTTCAGTATCGATTCCACCATTTGCCATAATGTAATCAAAGGCGTTGTCCATTAGACCACCTTCACAACCATGATTGCCATAGGCATATGAACAGTCTACCAAGTTTTGTTCACTGAGCGACACCAATTTGCCTGTTTTCTTGAAATGCTGCCCTTCAAGTGACCCCGTTGAGCTGAAAGCCCAACAAGAACCACATTGCCCTGAAGAAAGAGAAGTTAGTGAGATTTTTTACATAATTCCTTTTGTGCATTTAATATAGACCGCTAATTTTTCGAGAATAGACATGTTTCGACATCTCATGATGCCATCTTCAGTATGAGTGAATAAATACATAAATGACACAGAGTTTATAAAAGTAATACCATACAGTAACAGTAAGATAAATATACAAATATGGATAAATTATAACAATAATGAAGAAATGAGATAATGGGGAGCGTGTTACAAACTAAATATTGTGTTGAATCTAAAAACTTGAACATTGAGGTGAGGACATAATTCCTTTTAAAATGTGAGTAGAAACTAGGGACTTTGAGAAGCAAGAGAAAGCTCGGAAGCTAAAGCTCAATGCCTTGCGAGTTTTAACGCACAAGTGCAAAGGACGATGATCGGAATATGGCATTGCTTTTAACGAGTCAAACCAGCATTAGGTAAGGTGGGAACTCCGAGGGATCAGGAAGGATCAAATAACATACCCTGATGATAATCATTAGATCATTATCTCTATGGTTGTTGTGTGACGTCAACAAAGCTCACCTTGATTTTTCACTTTAGTTACATAACCCTTTTTGCGCCAATCGACGGTATCTGGTAGCCTAGTAAAACTTGGGAGCAAATAGGTCGACCCGTCGTTTTTCCTATCCGGTCGGTACTTCGTGCCGAGCATCAATGCCCGGTACTCAATGGGAGTGAGGTCGGCCAATTGATTGATTGCCAATGTATAGTTATGACGGCCGGCGTTGTGTTTCTCAACTTTCTATATGATGGTAAACGAGAGAATGAACTTTAAACCACTTTCATTCATCCTAAAAGAGTTTCGTCTAATCGATTAGTGATTTGGCTGGTAAACTCACACAAATTTCTCGCGACAAGCACTTAAAATCGAAAGTAACGACAAAAACTACTGATTAGCAGCACATAGAAAAAATTCAGGCGCTCAAACAAACACGCGAAATCATGAAAACGACAAAAATTGAATCACAAGATCGCCTGAGCAACTAAAGTTCATTCATGACGTTGAAAATCAAGCCGCCAAGATTTCTACCTTAAATTATGGTACATGGAAATCATCGCTACATTTCAGCCATTGTAAAATACAACGAGTCCACATCATACCTCAAAGTTTGATTTCCATATTTCGCGACGATAAGGCTCTTCGTCCGGTGTATAATGCTTGTTGTATTTCTTCTTATACATTTCCCATTTGACGTCGAAATCTAGGCTGGAGTACGCACGAACAGAAGCGACGAACACCAAACACAACAAAACTGCTCGATTCATTTTGAAAAATTGATAAATTGCTCTCAGTGGTAGGTACTCGTCAGGTCAGGAACAGTGTAATAAACGTAAAAATGACTGCAGTTGAGACGAAACATACGCTAAATGAGTCTCGTGATACTGTGACAGTAATTTGATCATAAAGGAATGTGCTGTGACGAACACGACGCAAGGTGAAGGTATTAAAAAGGTGGAAGAAATAAAAATAGCAAAAAGGCAACAATGTGCACTGATTTCCGGATGAATTGCTCTTAAAATAAAAATTTTTCCGTCTTACGAGCAAAAACGGCTAAATATAATATTGGCATCCATACATAGCCACGTACGAAGGCTAATATAGGTGAACATCGTTATATGACTCGAACCACTTAGTTCAAAAGAATTCATTTCAGCACATCACACGAGCGACAGCCTACACAACACGTAAAAAAGCACGTGCGCACTGCCGAAATCCTATGCGGCCGAAAAAAATTTCAACCACATAACCATGAACTATGGAGAGACCAAGTTTACAAACATTTGCGCATTCCCTCTGAATAGATGTTAAGCAAAATAGCAAAGATTTAGTTCAAGCCGCTGACCCAGTTTCAAACTTTTCACAAACAATGAAAAGCGGAAGTTACGACACTCAATGGCGGCTAAACAAGCGGCCATAGCTTGTTTCATTAACGCAGTTTACCGGACAAAAACCACCACAACTAACAAAAACTCACATATCTTTCGACACCTTTTAAAATCACCTTCATGCAAAACTAACTATTCACACTCTTGCTTTAAAATCATCGACACTGCAGATACTACATTCGCACTCAAAATCAAAGAAGTATGCCTAAACATGTTTGCTCTAAAGAAATTTGTCGTGTATTTTAAACGTTTCAAAGAAGCACTTCACATTAACAAAACTAACCCTAATCTCAACGTTCGAGTTTTTCGTTTTAACACAATATTCAGCCTGTAAATACTTTCTTCATTAATTCTAACCACTATTTCATTGTAATATTTATATATAATAATCTGTTCATAAGTGTATAAATTGGATCACAGTATCATATTACTCACACATATATTTATCACATGCACTTATTTCCTGAAGATGGCATCATGAGATGTTGAAACATGTTTATTTTAAGAAAACTTGTCGTTTTTATTAAATGCTAAAACCCAAGTTTGAAATAAAGTTTTACCACAAAAACTTTCGCGTCATGTTAGTTTAAATGATGAAAAAACCCGGTTCGTCTTGTGTATATACTGATATTTTAAAGTTCTTTATATTGGTGCAATGACACACGATACAAGTATATCATTTGAGAAATGAATTGAATAATAATGATTTCCGCTGTTTGGGCACATACATGCCTGTAGGTATAGTTCTAGTTTTGTTTGTGGGGAAAGATGAAGGGGAGAGGTTAAACTTTATAATTCAAGAATTTGACATCTAGTTTTAGTTTTGTTGGTGAGGAAAGAGTGAAGAGGGAGAAAGTTTAAACTTAAAAATTGATGAATTTGATATTTGGTTTTAGTTTTTGACGGAACTTTGAAATAGGCAAAATGGAAAATAATCCACCAAACCATATGCTGATGTTTTAATCGTGTTTTATTTTTATTATATACATTCAATATTTCATCTCACAACCATGTTTTTTTTGGCAAATTATCAAATTTCAGAGAGTTTCAAGTTGTGAAGATCATTCATGAAACACTAGCAACATTTTATAAATTTTGATATGATTTAGACTAGCAATATATACACCGCAGTATGAGGTCAACCCATAGCTGGCTCCGAACATGAATAAGAACATACTATAAACGAAAAAATGTATGATATTTGATTGACAGGAAAAAAAACCCCGAATAAATATTGCAAAAACAAGAATATGTGCGACATAAGATGACAGTTTCGCTACAAGCCTCCAATAGATAACAGTTTATACATAAACTCCTTTAGAACAGTAAATGCCTGATACAAATTCTACATTTAATTGTTTAAAGGAAGCCATCTACACTGCTGTGATGTACCCCCTGGAACCGAGGCGTGCATTATTCACAGTAGGAGCAGTGAAAAGCAGCTTGGACCTTTGTTTCAAGACAGAGCAATTTCCCTTTCTCGCCAAGATATCCGCAAGGGACATAATGCAAAAAACACGGGGAACAATGCAACTTTATATACAACAATAATTTTACCGTTGTGAACAACGATGATTGTCTCTTTAAGTCAAAAATGTAGACGCGTTCTCAACACAAGTGAATTGATGATACAAAGTTACAAGTAACCATTTTTGGCACGAAAGTTTTAACTACAAGATTTCCTTTATCAAAACAAAGTTAATTTCAATTACAAAACAAAGCAAAAAGAAAGCGTATTTGCTTTCATGATTACTTGTCAAACAACGAAAATGGATAAGCGCGGCAGATATTGTACGACAGCTTGTTTTATTTGTAGATTCACTTGACATTGTGAATGAAAGGTTCACGATGTCAAATATGTAAATATTTGCCGATAAACATACATCACAAACTGCAAAGTCAACTGGCTTTGACTTCCATCTCTCCGCTTATTATAAATTTTAATCTCGGAACACGCATTCGCTTTTTCCAAAAAAAATAACCAAAACGGAACTAAATCATAAAATCGAACATGTTGAAGCATTCGAGAACGAGTTGAAGCATTTCGAAGTATAAATTCGAACAATTGTACCCTAATTTCCCCTCATTTGCTTGATGAATTGAACGAGAATCGAAAAAAAATATCTAGCAACACATTGACAAAACATAATCAAAGAAACAACATTAAAGTAGAAATTGTTTTTTGAACTAAATCACCCAGGGTTCTCATACAACCGCGTTCTTTTCATCGACTTCATTAAGCTGTGTTTGAAAGCGATTTATCGCCAATTGCCATATTTTAACAATTAAATGCGAGCACGCAATGCGGTTGAGGGATGATGCGACATCCGATCAGTGAATGATATAATAATATTTTTGTTTACTATTAACGGGACAAGGAATTTCTTAATGCGCAAATATGTATAAAGATTATAACTAAAATACTATTTTGGCGGAAATATTAGTTTGGCGAAAAATTGGCCATTTAACGAAGCGTCAAAGCCCTTTTTTCAGCAGCTGGCGGACACACTCATGACGAAAATATTCCTGCTTAAAAAATTCAAACACACACACTACACACGTAAAGAACTATATTTACATAGCAACAATTTAATTATTAAATACTTGATAATTCAAAAGATTGCTTTTAGAACAAATTACTATATACTGGACATTCTGCAAGAAAAATTTTTCAATATAGTTACAGAATTAACGTATCGTAAAAGATTGTTTTTAAAACAAATTACTATTTACTAAACATTCTGTGGGAAAAATTTTTCAATATAGTTACAGAATTAACGTCTCATAAAACCATGTGATATATATTGACTAAAAAATTTATCTAGACACGACGAAGCGCTAATCTAACAGAAATATATGGCATGAACAAGTAAAGAGTACGCTCTCGCTTTCATCATTTAATGAGTTTAGTCTTTGCACGGAGTTTTAAGAACATAACCAGTATAACCAGTTCTTTGTTATTTAAAGTTACACCTTTATATTCGCAGAGTCTTTTTACTTGTCTTTGTTCAATAGAGTGGGTCTAACTGCCGCTTGATTTTTCTCAAGGCGGAAACGAAAAACGTTACAACACACATACATTGAATGATGGAAGAATGAGCTGAAGCAGTAAATTGGACGTGGACGGATTAATCTTTTCAATTTTGACAAAGCGTTCCACATTTCAATACTGTCTTGGTATTTTAATAGCGTTTCGAACAGACGTGTTCTCGGTCGGTAAAACGATCTGTTTCTGCAATCCGATTAAAATAACATCAGGATTTACAAATAATTTCAAACGCCAGCATGGATCGCCCTGTTTCGATGTTATTGCAAATAAAATAAATAAAACGAGCAACAGTAGACCGTTCAAATTGTTTCGAAATTGAATGCATCTGTATTACCGACAATCAATAGCTTTCTAAAAGAAAGAATGATGATTAAACCTGGCATAGCGTGTATAAAATGCACTCCATAACTCGCAGATGCACAAGTAATTATAGACTCTCTCCCATCAACAGTGAGTTGCTATCACACTTTCCCATCGTGTTTAATTCCACAACAAATCTTTCCACACCAGCGCCAGAGTCGAAAACAATACCAACAGACTGACATGACGACCGTCTGATCATTAGAATCTGTTCTCAATTTTGAAATTTCTGCCCACGAAACGCGACCTCTCTGGGCGCAGTGCTTTGCAACGGCAAAACATGGCTAATTAAGAATTTCCGTGGTCGAATACCAATGGCATTGTCGAATTAAACTTTACCTCGACCGTCTTGCCACAAGGCACGAATTCATAAAACATTACGTCCAAAATCTGGTTCGTTTACCTTTAGGCCATTACATTTTCATATACACTTCACTTATCGCTCTAGTCCGTCTTTTATCTAACAATAGTATTGATCCTCGACAGAGATCCAATTTTACGGCTCTCCGATAGTTCCTTCATGGATTCTGGTCTTTCTGTTCTCTCGTAACAAACTGAACGACGCGTCCGTCGTTGTACAGACAGCTTCAACGCACTGCGGAACTTCGGCAACCTCCATGCATAGACGAAAGGATTTGCAGCAAAAAGTACAAGATATATACCTTCGCTCAGATACTTAAAGCGTGTGAAGTGCAGGCTGAAAGAGCAGTGACTGCACAAACCTTTAGATAAATGAATTATCATGTAGACAGTGTGCGGCGTCACAGTGCAAAACAAAATTATCATTGTCAAAAGAATAGCCATCGCGAATTCCTTTTCGGACTTCAAATACTGCGCTTTCCTTTCCACGTTCACCTTGCAGCTGTTTCTCAGTTTCTTCCCGTGTTTTCTTAGCGATTTAAACGAAGCAGCGTACAGCACTGCTACTGCAACCAGGACGAGCACGATTTCAATATGAGACGCTAGATGCATGTAATTCGCAATTTCGACGTAATATGGATTAGATTTCTGCTGGTCCAAAATGTTCACAATCGTCGTAAACACAAACGAATACCCCCAAATCAACAAGGTCCACAATATCAGTTTCTTCCTGGTCACTATTTTCTTATAGCGCACGGCAAACGCAACAGCAATATAGCGGTCCACGGCCAAAGCAAGAACAGTGAGGAAGGCACATTGTCCCTTCACATGAACAAAATTTATGGCAACATGCAGCCCAACTTCTTCACGAAAAGGCGAACGGCTGAGGTTGGCGATGTAATGAATGGTGTACATTAATCCAGTTAGGAGATCGAATGCGGCCAAACTGATTGTGAATACGCTAGAAGCTCGCGTCTTGAAGCAACGCAAAGGGTCGCGAGCCACTGCGAATAAAAGTGCCGCGTTACCAGTAAACGCCGTTAAAGATATGACCAGACACATTATCCACGAAGCTGTTTTAAATTCTTCAGAAACGTCGGGTACAGCAGTCGTCATTGTTATGTTCGCGTCTGTCAAATTCGTCGTCGTTGCGTTCGTAGCAGCTATAGAGACGACCATTTCTGTTGATGTTGTTGCCTTCAGCATGAAGAAAGCGAGTTATAGTACACGACTAATCTCGCCGTTCCACACAATAAACCGTCTTTTCTTTCAGCACAATAGAGTAATATTCAATTGGTCTTTACCACAGGAAGGTACACATAGCAACTCATTAACAGTGACTGAGTGACGCAGGATAGGTAAACTCGCCCGTGAAAATCGGAAGCGATAATGTTACAAAGTCATGTTAGCAAAATTCCACGATTACGTGTGCGTTGGAATCCGGCATAACGGCCGCCTTATCTAGAACAAACACCAAACTTCTAGTGACATCCACAAATTAACATTTTTTACTCATGCAACGTGTTGCTTTGCGTGGATTGGGTCGAGCAACGCCTGCTATTTACGCGAAAAAATGCATCGATCAAGATGTCGTGCAGATGAAACATTCTGAATGATTAACAGATATTTTTCAACGTTAATGTCAAAGCGACGGGGCATGCAATTTACACACAGACGGGATAAATCATTAATGTACGCAAACTCTACATTATTGTACTTTTATCAAGTTGAAAATAGACAGGCCTATTTACAAAAACGTCGAGTTAAGCCAGACACGTATTGTCAACGGGACATTTCTTTGAATGACTTGTTCAAACAATCGAAATCCGAGCAACCCTTTCACTTCTTAACTCCTGCTATGCGAATAACTGTGCGTTCGCTTAGTGGAAAAACAAGGAATGAAATTAATTTTCTCAAAAAATAAATGATAAATCAATCGAAATTTTAATACGGGATGAGTAAAATTAGAGCTAGTTCCCCACTGCAAACGTAAATGTAGTTGTTTACGACTTTTGTGGTCACAGGATGATAAAATTATAGATTACATTTATTAAATGATATTGTCTAAAATTCCAAGTGCGATTGCTTCCCAGCCAGTCAATAATTCAAGCTGAAACAAAAACATAATCAAATGCTATATAGGCATAAATTAATTGTCTTAATGAAACTGTTACCGAAAAAAAAGCTCGGCATCTTTTTTAGGGTACACATTTAACTTCGTTCGAATTTCAACAACTTTTTATAAACGTCACGACGGCTTAAAAATAATGCCACGGTTCGTCAAGTAATTTTTTAAAGGCAATAAGGAATTTATGGCGTCAAACTCGAAGTTACCATCATTGCCATTATAAAAAAAACCCCCCAATAAATCGAGTCCCTATCTGATTATCCGGACACGCGTGTCTTCAAATCTCTCTACATACTTCCTATTGTAAATATATTAATGTACAGATAAGAGAATGGAACTGAATTGAGTCGATGCGAATTCACAAAATCTCCGCTTCAGACCTCTATTGAACACATACATCGCAGATGACTCGTTCTCTTGTTAGAGTTCACAAACTATTTCATGACACGCACGTTAGTTTTAATATTCTATCGTGTTCGTTTTAAGATATCATGCAACGTTATAATCCTATTGGCTGCTAGTGTTCATTAGTACAAATGTTGGATTTTTTATTCAGAAGTCGAGAGGTTGGCTAAAATCCAGCAAATAAAACTTATGAAGCATCTGCCGTGATCCATCATGTTGGTAATATTCCATCATGCTCTTTAAAGATATCATCCAAAGTTATAATCCTATTGCCTGGGTCATTAGTACGAATGTTAGATTTTCAACCAGAAATTGAAAGGTTGGCTAAAATCCAGCGTGCAAAAATTTGGAAGCCTTGATTAAGGTGTAAAACCAACGATTTCGAGACCAATTCTCTAGATATGTAACTACCGTGTCAAGGTTAAGCACGGACGTCATCTTGAAAGTTGGCAAAAAGCAAAACTCAAATTAAAAAATAAGCTAAAAGTAGGTGTAAAAACCCAATCCTACCAAATATTTTAAAAGTTAAACTTAGACTATCAACTTTGCAACTGTACATGAAATCAGAAAAAGCAGATATCAATCGTAAATATCGTTGGTTTTGCCATCTTTCAAAATTGCGGCTTGCCTTACGCGTAACTATAGAATTTTGGCGAAGTGTTAGGTTCTAGGTTATTGTGTAAAACCATTAGGGCAATTCTTACTTCGGCCTAACTCACTTATTTCTTTCATTGCTTGTCATTTTTGCCCACATTTAAGCCAGGAGGGACCGCTTTTCATTACAGCAGTTGTGTAAACCAACTACCTATAGCAATTTGTCGCTCGAAATTACTAAGTATGACCGTCATTTTATAGTCAAAACATCCCCCCCCCAACCGAAAATTGAGTTGCGTAAATTTCAAATTTCATTGACAACGTGAACGCCACATTCATATCAAACCAAAAATAAAGGTGCCCAAACAAACATCCCTCTCCGAAAATTGAGTTGGGTAAATTTTAAATTTCATTGACAACGTGAACGCCACATTCACTTCAAACCAAAAATAAACGTGCACAAACGTAATGTAATCTCCTCCCGATGTAATCTTCACGTAAAAAAAACAAATTTCAAACCACTAAATACTTACGTAACCTAGACGATAAACCATTAGATAAATTGGGAAGTAAAAAAAAGTGCGAAATACTCCCCCCCCTGCTTCATGTACTGCAAAGACACGCGTAAGTGCTTATCCCATCTCATGATCATGCGCATTACAAACTAAATTGAGTACGTCAATCGATTTCAATATGCTATGAAGTATGTCATCAACTACTAAGAACAGCATTAGAAGATGAAAGAAAACGCCACAAGTGTTTTAAAAGTGCATGAACTTTGGCAAGATGATACGCAGAGGACCCGCCTCCTAATATACACGAAAAGCGTAAATGTTATCATGACTCTAGAAGAAAAAGCCCGCAACGTCATAAACTCGCGCCGTTTTGTAAAAATAAGGAGTGTAGGAAATTTGTGATAAGGATGGGCGTCTACCTTACAGCGAACTAACAGCTGAAGCAGACTACCACACTTGACGAACACAGACATTTTTCAAATTGCGCATAAGATGACGCATGCACGCATGCACGTGGACAGTAGAAGAGACAAATAAAAAAGGACCGCACTTCACCATGAAAACACACTTTACCAAACGTTTTCAAACAATTTATCGAAAAGTACTGCACAAACATTTAAGTAAGTAATCCTGTGTACAAACAACAGTATCGTATTCAATTCAGACGTTTGGGCGTCGGCGCCCGACTCATTCGCGAGTCTTTAAATATATCGTTACTAAATTTGACGTATTTCTATGATGTCATTAACGCAAAATATTTCAGCAGATATCAAAACACACTTCGAGAGATGAAAATTAATCACGGCTAAAAAAAGCACCGAGTTTCGTCGCAAATAGAATAATCTGCACTTGAAAAACGAAACATTTGAATAATTGACGTGTGTAAACTATTCGCCGTAAACAGTTGGATGCAAACAATGAGGCACCCAGGGGTATATAATTTTTGTTCTATTTATGGGCACAAGGCGGTTTTCTCTCACGTCTGTTGGCCACAAATCCCTGACGTCAACCATCATGGCGGCAAGGCAACCCAAGTGATAACATCAGCAAAATACATAATTTAGCAACAGCGACAGCTATGAAAGCCATTTAGCCATTTAATTACCGGCAAGATTCAGCCATTAAAAAACGTTTAAAAAGACACGAGTACAGTCAGGCTTTAAAATAAGTGCATTTTTACACACAAAGTGGCTTAGTAAATCAAAACGTGTCCTTATAAATGTAAACATGTTTGCTTTAGACATAAGAATTAAAATATACTCCATTCTATCATATAACACTTGTGTAAAATAAAAATTAAATGGATATAAGAAAGGCGAATTAGCTATATTTAATCCAGAAATGAGTTTAGGTTGAAGGAATTAACAAGAACTTCTGGAAATGTGGAAAAATGGAAGGAAAATGAAAATGGTGTGAAAATGGAACATGGAATGGAAAATGTGAAATACTAAAATGGTGTGTGGAAAAATGGTGTGAACAATGGTGGAAAATGGAATGCTAAAAATGTTGAAATACTAAAATGGTGTGTAAAATGTGGAACAATACTAAAATGGTGTGTAAAATGTGGAACAATGGTAAAATGGTGTGTAAAATGTTGACAATACTAAAATGGTGTGTAAAATGTGGAACAATGCTAAAATGGTGTGTAAAATGTTGACAATACTAAAATGGTGTGTAAATGTGGAACAATACTAAAATGGTGTGTAAAATGTGGAACAATGCTAAAATGGTGTGTAATGTGGAACAATGGAAAATGGAATGGAAAATGGGAACAATGGAAAATGGAAAATGGAAAATGGTGTGTAAAATGGGAACAATGGAAAATGGAAAATGGGAATGGAAAATGGAACAATGGTGTGTAATGGGAACAATGCTAAAATGGTGTGTAAAATGTGGAACAATGCTAAAATGGTGTGTAAAATGTGGAACAATGCTAAAATGGTGTGTAAAATGTGGAACAATGCTAAAATGGTGTGTAAAATGTGAACAATGCTAAAATGGTGTGTAATGGAACAATGAAAAGGTGGAACAATGCTAAAATGGTGTGTAAAATGTGGAACAATGCTAAAATGGTGTGTAAAATGTTGACAATACTAAAATGGTGTGTACGAGAGCGACTACGACTATGGTATAGATAGAATCAAACCCAGTCATAAAACAGATACTGGAGAGCTTTAGCAAGAGAGCGACTACGACTATGGTATAGATAGAATCAAACCCAGTCACAAAACAGATACTGGAGAGCTTTAGCAAGAGAGCGACTAAACGGTAGGTAGATAGAATCAAACCCAGTCACAAAACAGACACTGGAGAGCTTTAGCAAGAGGCGACTACGACTATGATAGATAGAATCAAACCCAGTCACAAAACAGATACTGGAGAGCTTTAGCAAGAGAGCGACCACGACTATGGTATAGATAGAATCAAACCCAGTAACAAAACAGATACTGGAGAGCTTTAGCAAGAGCGACTACGACTATGGTATAGATAGAATCAAACCCAGTAACAAAACAGATACTGGAGAGCTTAGCAAAAGAGCGACTACGACTATGGTATAGATAGAATCAAACCCAGTCACAAAACAGATACTAGAGAGCTTAGCAAAAGAGCGACTACGACTATGGTATAGATAGAATCAAACCCAGTCACAAAACAGATACTGGAGAGCTTTAGCAAGAGGGCGACTACGACTATGGTATAGAGAATTTCGCTGCACAATAAAGTGATCGAGAGATGTCATAGAGATGGAATCAAACCCAGTCTCCATGACGAGAGATGTTCACGACCAGGCATTTGATAGCATTTGAGGCTGGGGTGCACTAAACATATCAATTATTGAAGAATATTGCCCGATTCGCCCTTAATTTATTGTGCAAATTAAAACATTGCTTAAGTAATGGCTATTTTTGAGACGAGGCAGGCGGAAAATAAATTAATTTTTTACAAAAAAGTCATCCACCCGTTCTCCTACTTATATGCGAACTATTTTGCCGTTTACTGATGTAAAGACCTAATAAAAACAGCAATCTCACAGCAACGGCCTCTTCGACGTTAATTTTATGCCGTTGTATATAGTTTGGAATTTATCGTTCGTACAGTATGATGGCAAATTAAAAAATTCATTCGCAAAGTCGCAAGCACAGGACAAGATATGTTCAAGTTTACCTTGGTAAAGTCGGTTCTTCTTACCGCAGTCAAATCAGCCAGCAATATCACAAAAAACACTTCTATTCGCGATTCCGGTTCGCCAAAAAAAAACAGCGAAAAGGTTTACTTTTAGAGAGTATATTGAGCGAGTGCACGATGCAGCTTTCTCATTAAAACAAGTGCTATTTTTCAAGTTCAGGACTCGCGAGAGGCACAGAGGACTAGCTTCCTTTGGATTATTCGCTTTAATGAAGTGACGGTAGACTTCAAATGTTATGTCATGACGGTCTTTGATAAATATTACGATAATCAATCCCCATTACGCTCACTCGCACAAACAAATGCGCTTTCGCATATCGATACATTCTATATAAGGCATTTTTACAGGTTGTTAACATTAATTACAGTGCATTATAATTCATCTTATTTTAATTGAAAAATAATCACATATTCACAAGGCGATAAAGCGACGCAGAAATTAGCGGAGAGGTGATAAAAAATACATAAATGAGGTCCTTAAAATAAAAATTTCACTTTTTGATAAGCCGAGGGGAAGATGCTAGCGTAAACAAAAAAAAAAACGAAAGTAAAAAAACTGCCATTATGTTGAGGGTGTGATATTTTTTGGTATTGCACACTGCAAGTTACTTATCTCGCAGTGAAAATGAAAAAAAATACATACAATTTTATCGTTAATTACATCTCTATTTGCAGACTGCGTAATTATTGGACAAAAATGGAAAACAAAATAATGATGTGATTATATTACTCGTGGCTGGGCAGGAAAAGGCAGAAAACGTTTCCGTTTTCATTAAGCACATTTCAGAAAATTGTTTCACCCGCGAATTGTTTCACCGCGAAAATAAATGGATCATAAATATACGGAAATAGTAAATTTTACCACAATGCATTGCGCGAAGTCATTTGCCATGAACATTAATCAATAAAATAGCCTTGGCCACTGATTGGTTAAATGCTGAAAAAACACTGTAACTATCAAAAACACGCGATTTTCCCCGCAGATTACGTGTTGCGCGTGAAATTCGAAAGACAAAACGAGAAAACTCGCACTTTGTCGTTAGTAGTCCCAACCTTTCGCGCATGTTTCTATAACTCCATAGAAACATGGGAAATGTTTTCCTATTATTATATAGTACTTTAAAAATTTTCTGTCTGAAAGAATACAAAACCTTTCTTACCTTCATTAAGAATCATTCCTTGACATGCACTGGCCAGCACTGCTCTTATTGATAACATACAATCCACAAATTATCAATAATGCACCAAACCACCAATGTAACGATAAACTTTCGTTGAAGAACAATTTCCCCAAAAGTGCCTACAAGAAATTTTTTAATCATCAAAGTAGTTTGGGCAGAGAAAAACGTGGTTCTTTTCAAAAATGACTTTTAGAATGACCTATGCCCTTGAATAGTGCACAGAGGCGAAACTAGAACGTTAATTGGGGGGGTATATATTCATATATTCAGCTCCGCCCTGCTGATTTCTTTTGTTTGCAATGTTAATTTCAAAAGAAGTCAGCAGGGCAGAGCTGAATACATGAATATTTACCCCCTCAATTAACGTTCTCGTTTCGCCTCTGATAGTGCAAGATCACAAGATTGTACCAGTTATGTCAAAACTTGACCAAGGTACTCAGCGGCATCACATGATATATTAAACTTAAAGTCGAAAGCTTTTGCTTCAAGGTATTTACTTCCTTCCATATAGAGGAGAGGTAGAAAAGGCAATTGTGGTGCCATTTATAAGTGGTCAGGCATCATTCTTTGAGACTTTGACATATGATTTGTTTTTAAGCAAATAATAGAGCATGTTGGTGAGTCGTCAAGCATTTAATGTAACTTGTGCTTCTATCTTTTCAACCTCCAAATTTGACATTCCATTTTTAATATTTTGTGTATTCCAGTCGAAATCAATTTGAAGATAGACTTCATTGCTTTGCTTACGTACACTGGTGATAAGGTTCGATCCACTGTTAGTAATCATAGCTTGAGCAGAAGGCAGCTGCTGCATTGATTTCACAAATAACGTCCACATCAAACCATTTAACACGAATGTCAAAGAAAATAACAAAATTCTTGAAATGAGAAGAACCTACAAATTTACGATCAATGTTAGCTTGATGTAAGTAATGAATATCACAATATGGGACTCTATGGTGTGTATTTCAATAAACTGTCATCTATAGTTAACAAACTTGACGAAAAATACCCACGTTTTCACAGAACAACGAGCTTTCGGCAAGATGAAGAACATCACACACCCAATCTTGTATGAAGACCAGCTCACGGGAGAAAGCCAGCTTCGCAACAAGAGATGCTGTACCAGCAAAAAAACCAGCAAGTAAAGCAAAAACGACGTACAAAATCATCGACACGACTTTACTCTGACAGTATTAACTTTCGTTCAATACACACACAGAATGACTTCTGTCTAATTAGTTCGCTTTAAATGAAGTAACGATTGAAACGAATAAGCGACGAAAACAGGCTCAAAGCATGTGGAAGTCAATAAGTCAACACATTTTTGCCCCTAAATACAAATTTAACAGACATTGCAAAAATTTCTCTATTTAGCTATGTCTGCTGACTAATGCCGCAATATAATCACACATAACTTCTCAAAAGCATTAAATTAAGTATTTACCCATAACTTCCCAAATTCCAATCAAAATATTGTCATAAAATCATGTTAAAAACAGGTCAGCGGTTATCCTTTTTAACTATTGAAGTTACTTTGTCTGACTCTCTTCCTAAAGTGTATATTTATAAAGAAACACAAGTAGTACCTTCCTTAATAATTAAAGGAAAGTAAAAGAAATCAATTGCTTATTCAAAGATTGCTTTTGCTTTATTTCCAAAGTCATTTAATTATAAGTGCACCAGTCCATAATTTATTGTCACATTACATAGAGTCATCACCTTTGGATGATTCAAAACAAATGCCATCTCTCACATAATACAATATTTTACATTCTATTTCTAACACAGTCAATCAACCAAGATATAATTTATGACCAAATCTAACTAAGGTAAGTATTGCGTTTGAGGTATGAACAAATGTCCAGATATTTCAACGGAGGATTTGATGTTACATCAACGAGTATTAATATTCCAGATATGTTTGTGTCAAAGCAGCAGAACGATGCCATTATGTTAATAAAGAGCTCAAATAATTTTGTTATAGTTTCTAAAGTAATTTGATCTTCTTATAACGAATCGAAATAAGGCTAACCTTTACATGGAAGTTGTATTGTTAGAAATTAATGAAATATTTTCTTTTAAGGTCAGTGGATGTTAGCCACTAAAAGTTTGATACAAATGGATTAATCTAGCAGCAACCTCCGCCATCATTGGACTTACTGCCACCTGTTGGCATGGCCTGACTTGAGGTGGCGTGTTGTGGGCCCAATTTGATACCATTAGCCTAAATATGCAAAAAAAACATCACGTGAGATGATGCAATAGAAAAAATGCCCCAAATTTGCAAGTACCTCATTGTTGATGTCAAACACCCCCTCCTGGATTTTCTTGTAAATTTCTTTGGCCGTGTCAATGAATGCCTGACACAAAATAAAACTCATTGTTGCAAAATAAGCATTGCAATATCGAAAAAATTATATCATACACACATGGGAAACAAACCTCTTCAACATTTGCTGCAGTTTTGGCTGATGTTTCCATGAAGATGAGACCATGCTCTCTTGCAAAGGATTCGCCCTGCATATGAAAAGATCATCAAATCATTAGAAACAAATAATTTTTCGAATATTATTCACTACAAGTGGATGTACCTCTTCTCTTTTGACTTCACGTCTGGCATCAAGGTCACTAAAGAAGGAAGTGTCATTTTAAGGATTAGTACCATGACAAATACTACCATGCACTAGACCAGGGGTCTCCAAACTTTACAGCCATAGGGCCACATGAACTTTCATCCAGCATGTTGAGGGTCGAGAACAGACTGGTCAAAGAGCGAATATTTTAATAAACGACATAACACAAGCTTCATTAGTTAAAAAATAGCTCCTTCCTAGCTCAAAACCCTTGACAGCACTTTTCCACAACTTAGCCATCTTACTGCAGTGTAATATGGCATGTCAACAGATTCTGTCTCAGTAGGAAGTTGGGACAAAATTGACGTAAGCCACTCTTGCTAATTGGACTATAACATGAACTTTCATAAAGTTTATTTTGTTTAATATTATTATTATTTCTTAAGTGTCTCTAAATTGAGATCATAGTTGAGACCCTGCACTAGACCAAAGTGCAGGAATCAAAGTTTTGATGTATTTTGCCAGAGAAGACCAAACAAAAACTCAAGTAAAATATAATTGTAAAATTGCAAGATTTCAGTTAGAAGTCTGATCAAATCAAAACAAAAAAAAAGCCGAAGCTTTTTTTAACCAGAGCCAAAGCTTTTCATGCCAAAGTCAACGCTCTTTGGTTGTTGCCAAAGTGAAAATCCAAAAAGTTTTCACAGCATCTCCAACAGGTAAATGAAATATAGTCAAGTGAAATCAACAGTAGAGAGACTTTAGCTAATTCATGTTAAGGACTGATTAAGAAGAAGAGTAACTATACATTGCTTTAAATGATAAAAAGCTAATGATGGTTAAGTTGAAACTCAGAGTTACAGTACTAAAATACCTTTTGTTCCCAATTAACATGATTACCATGTTTGAGCTGGAGTGCTGACGAGCATCTTCAAGCCAAGTTGTCAAATGACTAAAAGTATCACGTCTAGTGATGTCATAGACTAACAAAGCCCCAGCAGCTCCTCGATAGTATGATCTGGTTATCGACCTGAACGATTCTTGTCCAGCCTGAATAATAATAATAATAACAACAAAAACTTGACTAAGTACAACCCTGGCATCTCGTCAGTCCAACCAAGAGCAAACACAATCCCCAAATGATCCAGTCAATCATCTTACATCACCATAGTTGACATAATAAAGTATTGCTCTATATTTGATTTTAACACTTTTACTGGATCTTAGCGAAGATGACATTTTGACAATACGAAACTAGTTCTAATGTATTTCATACATACCGTATCCCAAATTTGCAGTTTTATCTGTTTACCGTCAATAGTAATCATTCTAGCTCCAAATTCGACACCTAAAATGCACAATGTCAGTCTTATGAGCAAAGTAAACAGTGTATTTACACTGAGTTTTAAAAATCTGAATTCGGATCAAAAGCAATCAAAAGAAATCGAAATCTGGGCAACATATACCGATTGTCAAATCATGGACGGGCTGAAAGCGTTTGTCAGTGAATTGAAGTAGAAGGCATGATTTTCCTACACCTAAAAAAGGACAGAACAAGGAGATTTCATCAAAAATTGAAAACGACTAACTTTACCCCCGATCAAGATGGCCGGTCGATCTTCGTCCATTCATAAACATTACAGCAAATTGACAATGCAATAACGCGAACCACGTCAAAATTATCTTCTATAAACTGCTCTTACCTGTATCCCCGATGATGATGTATTTAAAAAGATAAGCGTACGACATTTTTACTATTAATCTTTACAACAACAGATCACAAAGCGTTACAAGTTTCCCAAGCAATTAGTGTTTTTACCTATTCAGATGTGACGTGTTGTGCGCATGCCCAACACAAGGTGTGAGAAATTAAAAACGTGTCATGTGCAAATGCTTCATTGTTAAAGTTCATTCTCTGTAGACAACAACACAAAGCTATTTTGCAGGCTTTAAACGTTTTTTTTTGGATCTGAAAAGACCATAGCTAACATTTTACATGAGCTTAATTGACCCGATGCATAATCATAGTTTTGTAGATGTCATTTAACCAAATTATGGCATATATCTCTGCCAGTCCTCAACTAAATTACTTTGGTGCATAAATTAACTAGTACAAGCACCTCGCCAAGCACAAGATAGAGGATAGAGCTGGCTGCAATCATCATGGAATCAAAGAAATATCAAGATGCAAACCTAATCAGGAGTTTTATTCACAATTTATCAACAAACATACATAGAAAATTCATTGTGGTTTTTAGGATAAATAAGTACGGATGCTCTTAGAAATTACTGAAATTAAGAAGTAATATACATACACATGACAACAACTTCCAAAAGTTGTTAGTGCTCATTAAATAGGTAATTATTCAAACACCAAATTGAAAAAGTGACCCGCGAGTCTCATCGTAAATAGGAAGTTTTAGAAAAGATGTGATTTTTGTGGAATCTGTAAAATAAATACGCCGATTCGTTCTTCGGCTTCTATAAGATCCACATTAAAAAAAAAAAGAAGTGTGAAAAAAGCACTAGGTGAGGTTAGGATTTCTGTTAAATATAAAACAAGACGAGAGATTGGATAAACAACACCCAAACACACGTCCTTTAGATCGATAATCCACATTGAACCAGCTAAGGATATAAATTGCACAATAAGAACGAAGAAAAAAACTCAACACAGTCACAAATTTCGAAACTGCTAAAATTTTTCCGTAATTCGATTGATGATAAAAAATTGCTTATCGCAATGATAACTACGTCGTCAGGGGACTGCTGGACACATCTTCATCATCGCTAGCGTCCAGACTATCCTCGTTCATATCATTTTCGCTGTCACTGCTGAACACTTTCATTTCGGAGTTTTCTATCATAAGCGCAGATTCCTTTGTGTAACTACTTATCGCCTCAGACGGTGAGACACTTGGGAAACCGTTGTAACAAATAGAATCCACAGGGTTGTCGACGGGAGAGTTTTTTCCGCTGAACGAGGGTTCAGACTGTGATATCGTGGGCACGTTACTTGACAAGTTTGTAGACGTCGGGCTAGATATGCCAGAAGACTTGGGTGGAGCAGAATAGGGGATAGGCGTAAGACTAGGAGGATGAGGGAACCCAACTGGATATTTGGGGTAGTTTGTAAACTGACTGGTACCGAACGGAAACTCGGTCTTCATGAATGGAGAATGTCTAACGGGAGTTGTCGAGGTTGGACTTATACCAGCAGAATTTGTAGGGATTATGGGTGATGTGAGGGGTGGCGAAGGATCGTTACCGGGATGCGATGAAGAGGAACCGTGGCGCATTTGAAATGAATCCTCGTCAGCACTTGTGGTACTCTAAACAGAAGCAATGTGAAATAAGAACGATAAACAATGATGTCCCAGATTATACAATATCGAACTTTTCTTTTAAAGTGCACATGACATCAAATTTTACCATAGTGTTTTTTGATTGCATTGTAAAGGCAATCTAATACGACTCAACAACTTCTTTAATGAAATTGTGTTGTTTTATTTCTCTTTGGAGACACGTAACTTTTCTTCAATAAGTAAAATGACATCGTTATGAACTCACGTTGCACAATTGGTTTTAGGAAAAACTAGTTTTTGTCGACAGTTTACATTAAAATAGCTTTGCATCTTTGCACATAGTCATCTACAAATGTATTCATCAAACTGTTGCATTGTATTTGTTATATGTTCTTTCCAACGCAAACAAACAAATTTGTGATAAAATTTCGCGTTAAAGTAAATGGTTTTAACCCGAGAGTATCGTTACATGTTTGTGTGAAAATTTCGTGTCATAAGCACTTTTACAATGACAACCCCAGCACAACCTAGAGTTCCCTTCATACCTTGAGTACGCTAGTTCTAACGGTACCAGGTAGCTGCCTACTTTCCATGTGAACATTACCACCTTGAGGGGGAACACGTGGTCTCTAAAAACGAATATCATTGGTTCTCAATCTTAGAAAACAGTACGCAGTTATCTTTACAGAAAAAATCAACATATCTTTACAGATTAATCTCGATTCCTACCTCCATCATAGGGTTATCAATAGAACGCCGTCTCACTTCAATATCGTTGCTCAAAATCGATTCGTGAGATGATGGTGGTCCGTTCATCATTTCTCCAGCCATATAAACACCACTTCTGTTTCCTCCCAACCAGTCTCCTCCAGGTGGTGGGACTAACCCAGCATGCATGGCGTCGGCAGCCGCTTGCGCCATCAATTTCTCCATCTTGGATTTTCGACCACGTTTTTTCTTCTCCACGGGTGGTTTGGGCGGTTTTTCGGCTTTTCGCTGACGTTTCCTCCGCGGTTTCGACATCGAAACCTGACCTAACATGTCCGTATGGTCCAGTTTGAGAGGCATATTGAAGTCAGCGTCGTACGACATCATTAACGAGTCGTTAGAACGGTTTATTTCACCGAAGTCATCCTCCATCATTAAACCTTCAAAAAATTGACTGAATATCAGCAGATTGAGCAGTCACGTGTTTTTCTTCTTAAGGAAAGTTTCTTACCGACAAAATGACAAGAGTTTATTTAAAAGAAAAGAACGCTATGATAGAAAAGGAAACAATATGGAAAATGGAAACGACAAAGGAATAGAAGGAACTATTGAAAACAACCATGAAAAGTGGAAACAATTTGAAAATAGTGGAAACAGCACGGAAGATCGAAGACCAACGACGTCGATTCACGGATAAAATGAAAGAGATTCGGGGCATCAAAATTTTAAAACCCAGCTAAGTGCAAATTTACTAATATTACTGTCATTTACTCAATCGTAAAGGCAAAGATATGTTCTGTTTTGGTATTTGGCAACACACAGAATGTAGCAACTAGGAGTCACCATCCGTGAGTCGAAAATAGAAAAATTAGGAGAGAAAAAGAACAATTTAATTGTGAAGAAAACAAACTAAGGAATTTGCTAATAGCACCTTTACCTAATGAGAAAAGAATTTTAAGTTTTAATATGATAAGAAATATCAATGAAGTGTTAAGAAAATAAGACCGTTCAACTTTCATACAAACACATGTCGAAGCGTTTCATTCTTCTGTAAGTAACAAAATCAACTAACCTTCCTCGTCCTTTTTACGTTTCTTTCGATTTTTCTTCAAAGTGACTTTGAGACCTTCGTGCTAATTATTGCCCAAGAAATAACGATGATTAACAATGATATCTTCAGTGGAAACCTTTAAATTCGATCAAAATTATATAATAAATATCGTTACCTTCTTGACTTTAAAAGCTTTCGAAAGAGGATCAACCATAACATCAGGCGAAAGGTCACCCAATTCACCAATATCGCCGTACATAGAAAAACCCATTGGTGACAGATCGCTTCCGGCAGGAAATACAGCTTGATCGAGAAGTCTTTCAGGTTTCTCAGGTTTAGTGGGCCATTCCCCCGTAACGATCAAATGTGACAGTTGCTGAACTCGTTGAAACACAACGCGATCTTTTGGCCACCAAAGTTTTATAGACATAGACTCGTTTATCATCGGGTTAAAGTTACTAACATCTGGGGGAATACTTCCGGGAGGAATACTTCCCATACCATCATCGACGTTCACACGTCCTGTGTGCGTCGGGACGTCAGGATTGGGTGGCAATGCCGACACTTGTTTCGCCATCGAAGAGAGAGCATTTGACCCAGATACTTGAGATTCGTCCTTCACGTAATCCTAGAGGATGAGAAATAGGATAAAATTACACGAAAAACCGCCAAGTGACCGAACTAACAACAGAATCTAACTCTCTGTCAAATTTCTAACGTCATCTTCAAGTTGGAAAGCAGGATGTTTCCCTCAACACTACGACTACAGAAAAGCTCTTCTTAAACGGGTGAAAACTGTTACTCTAACCTGTTTAAGGTCGGTTGCGGGTGGTGCGGGTTCGATATTTCTCTCGATATTGTCATCAGTAGACGCATCAGGTGTAATCTGGGGGTTTGGTAGGATAACCCTGGACGATGTGGGCGTAGCAGAGGATGTTTGAGTATCGTCAACGGAGTCTTCTTGATTATCCGATCTTTCAACCTTTTCATGTATGTGTTTATCTACTTTATCCTCGCACGCTGTGGGAGCAAAGGCATCTCGCGACGTGGTCTCGAGGGTGTCACTTAACAAATCCGTAGAATTCGCTGAAAACGAAGAAATATTTTTGAAATGTGTGAGCTTTTGTAACATCGTAATAGCTATACAACTTGCCAGCAAGCCACAAGAGATAAATTATATCTAAAAATTCCCCAAAAAGGTACATACTTAAACATGCAATATGAGCATACCTATCGGAGCCATGTGCTGTGCATCCATCTCGCTTTTTAACTCGTAAAATGACAGTTCAGGGTCTTCTAAAATATTGAGATCAGTTCTCGTGAGGCCGTGTTTCGAGACACCAATTAAAAGATCCTTGTCGTGTCTCTCGCATCGCCACCACGGAGGAAGTTCTGGAGTTATCTGAGCAAGCTTCAATCTTTCGTCGAGTTTAGGGTGGTTAAGAACATCCAGACGGAGAACGGTCATAAGTTCAACGCGTCTCAAACATCGATTTGCTCTTTCTTCCGATATTGCTTCGACGTTTTTACCTGAAAGCGATGTTCGTTAATATAACATCAAGTACTTGAAAAATTACTTGTGGAAACGCCCTGAGTGTGAATGTGAAGTCGACCACAAAATGTGAAAATTTATAATTTCGGTTGAAACAACGTCAACAACGAATGTTTTTAAATCCGTTTACACCTGATAAATGAATTTGGAATTTGAGCCAACTGACAAAAGTAATACTAAATATAACATAAGCAATAGTGATTATTGTGAATGTTCTCCTTTTGTTTATGGTACGACCGCAAGTTGGTTTGCACACGATAGATTTTTACACACAACGTAAATTTCTTACACATGTAAATCTTATGTTCAAGATGATTTTACACACAACGTAAATTTCTTACACATGTAAATCTTATGTTAAAGATGATTTTACACACAACGTAAATTTCTTACACATGTAAATATTATGTTAAAGATAGATTTTTACACACAACGTAAATTTCTTACACATGTAAATCTTATGTTAAAGATGATTTTACACACAACGTAAATTTCTTACACATGTAAATCTTATGTTAAAGAAGATTTTACACACAACGTAAATTTCTTACACATGTAAATCTTACGTTAAAGATGATTTTACACACAACGTAAATTTCTTACACATGTAAATATTATGTTAAAGATAGATTTTTACACACAACGTAAATTTCTTACACAGGTAAATCTTATGTTAAAGATGATTTTACACATGTAAATCTTATGTTAAAAATGACTTGAACATCCATGCTTACCAAGGATGATCTCCTCGTCTGTGGCACGACCACAAACTCGTTTACACATGGCCAAGAACTCCTTGAAATACTGTGAAAGTCTATCGTCGTTTTTCTTGTCCAAGCGGGCCATTTGCCTGTAATGAAATATAAAACATAACAATGACATCATCAACAATGACGTCATCAACACTCTCGTCATAAGTCTGATGACGCATGTAAGATAAGGTTAGGCATCAGAAGGAAGGCAGCAACATGGTGCGTTCGTCATTGAAAATAAGATAAACTTAACCATGCCTTTTCATCATTTGAGATCGAAAAAACCTTTTAAAAATAGGTGGATACTATGTCCAGTCCCTAACAGAATTGTATTGCCATTACCTAAACTTTGACCAATCATATTCTCATTACCTAAACTTCAACCAATCATATTCTCATTACTTAAACTGCGACCAATCATATTCTCATTACCTAAACTTCGGCCAATCATATTCTCATTAACTAAACTTTGACCAATCATATTCTCATTACCTAAACATCGACCAATCATATTCTCCTTACCTAAACTTCGACCAATCATATTCTCCTTACCTAAACTTCGACCAATCATATTCTCATTACCTAACTTCGACCAATCATATTCTCATTACCTAAACTTCGACCAATCATATTCTCCAGTTGCCGCGTTGATGTGAACACCATACGTTGAAACACAACGATAAAAATCGACTTCCTCTCGTTTCGACCACCTGAAAAAAAGAAATCACAATCTCACAAAATCTTTCCTTTGATTAAGAAAACAAAACCAACTTACTTTTGGGCTTGTTCTGCTTTTTTTAACTCTTTTTGTCTTACAGCTTCCTCGACCTTTTCCTTCCTTCTGTTCTCCTGTGAAAACATAGTCAAGCTGTCACGACTCTGTCAATGACTGGAGAAATCCTCAACACAAGTCGTCAGGAGAATATTGGAAAAATGTAAATCAGTTCAAAAAATATAGAAATTTTCCATTTATAATAAATTGAACAAGAAGCACAAGCAAATCACTGCCACTTTATTTTCGCATCATTTTCACAAGCAAAAAATACGGCGAAACGCACAAGACGTTTTTCCATAGCGAAGAAACTGAGTTGAACGAATTCATCAATTTGATTGGCTGGAGAACAAATCACAACAATGACTTCATTTCACGCGGGAAGACTGTCATAGAAGAGCATTAGTATTCAAATACGGGGCGTAAGGAGCAATGTTAACTATTTTTATTCACTATGTGAGCATTCTCGGCTGTGATTGGTCAACTACCTGCAGATAATTCTCGATATCTGCAGGTTATGACGTCATACCTACAGAAAATAGTTTCTACAAATATGGACGCCACTAAAAGCCGGTTTTGAAAACAAATCAAACAACGGCGATGTTTGCCACAGTTTCTAAAAAGGATGTGAAAGCTTTTAAAGGAAAAGGCTGCGGAAAACACTAAAAAAGCGACGAAGCTGGCTTTGAACACATTTACAACATATTTAAACGAGACAAACTTGAATAAACCGTCTGACAAAAACAAATTAGCGAAGGTTTGAAAAATGTTTTACATTGATATGTTTTGATAATACTTCGGTGAATAATAAAACAATTATTGAATTCGTTTTTCGCGTGATATCAAGAATTATTCAGACCTAAGTAAATGTTATGATAACAATGACATCGGTCTGAACAATTCTTGATATCATGCTCAACCTCATCCAATAATTGCTAATTAATCATTCTAATTTCACATCAAGATTATTGCTGGCACAATATTAACACAAAAGAACGTGAAAATAACTTGAAAGATTGACAATTCGCACCTTTTCAACCGCAACTCGTTTCAGCTCTTCTTTCTTTAAGATTCGCTGGAAGCCGGCAACAATTCGACGTAGTCTCGTGTTTAAATCGGAGGGAGACGGCCACGGAAGGAAGGAAGAGTTAGTCGAAAGAACTGGAGCATTGGCATCTAGAAAAAACAACGATGACAGATTTGTAATTATGATTATATAAAATTACAGACACAGTAAAATGTAAATGCGTTCAATAAATCACCTGTCGGAGTTCTATCAGCTCTAGATCCTGCTTTACCGCTACTCCGGGATTCCTGGAGGGGGTGAAAAATTAGATGTATCAAGATTCACGGCAGATGCCATGGCAAGGGGGGGAGATACCTTTCACGTGAAAACATAACTTTATGATGAAATTAGTACCTTTCCTTCGCCATCAAAATCCTCATCTTCATCAGACTCGCCATCGTCCGCTTTATTTTCTTGTGGAAGTTGATAATCTGGATCGTCACGATTGTCCTCATCCTCCCTGGAAAAATATCATCGCTATATGATTTACCATTTTCAGTTACATAATGACGGGGGGGAGAGATAACGATACAAAAAGCACATCTCACATATCTCTAGTTAAGTGACATGTGCTTATCAAGAGCACGTGCATTCGCCAGATAATGAAAGTCACTCGATATTTCGCCAATGAAGGATTAATGCCCCCCTGATGTCAAATACATTGTATACCCTTCTACCTACCTCAATCCTTCGCCGTCACCACCGTCCCCGGCAGCTGGTTCATCAGATGAAGTGGGCGGGCCGCATTTCTTGAGAAAAATTAAACAAGGGTCTGCCCGTATGGCGTTGTATCGTTCGTAACCTAAAATCCACAAGAAGTGTCTTATATCTTTCACGATTTAATTCGCTCATTTACTGTTCCTCGTGAGCAAACCATCCATGGGCTTCATGGCAAACAAGAATTACCTTCTTTTGTAAGCCACTTTCAACCCTTACGCTATGAAAATTTATTGAGCTATTAACTTATCAACTACACACACTCATTGCAACTTGTGATAGAAAAAAACGTGAAAATTATCATGAAATAAATTCTCAGTTTTCTTACATAGCTTTCATCTTAAATATAGCACAAAACGATTGTGCAGTTACGATCTTTCATTTTCCATTAAAGAATTAAATTAATGCCAGCGGCCATATTTACAATACGCTAACTTGAACGCATGCGCTCTGCCATAAAAGTTTGCATGTTATAAAATTTCGCGCTTTCCGGAGAGAGAAAAAGCGTTGTGTAACATACCATGCTTGTAAACACCAATAACAAGCGACTTATCGGCTTCTTCGTTCCACCAGCCAATAGGAGGATCGCCTTCGGTCATCGGCAGATTCACATTAATGTCGCTAAACAGAAAATATCGACATTTTTTCATCGTGCAATGAAAACCACAATAACCCACCGAGAAGCTAGATATTCAGAATAAACGTTATAGCAATGAATGTACTTTCAATTCAAACCAGTGTACGCGTGCATCTAATAGTATACGTGTGTATTTAATAGTATACGTGGGTATTTAATAGTATACGTGTGTATTTAATAGTATACGTGTGTATTTAACAGTATACGTGTGTATTTAATAGTATACGTGGGTATTTAACAGTATACGTGGGTATACGTAATGCTAATATCGCTAAACATCAGAAGGAAGGCAGCAACATGGCGTGTTCATCAGATATCATCAGACAAAACGTGACCCATGCCTTTTCATCATTTGTAAAGCGAAGAGGGGATATGCCATATAAACTCTGATGGTTTCATGCATTTTCATCATTTGTAAAGCGGAAGAAGGGGGGGAGTATGCCATATAAACTCTGGTGGTTTCATGCATTTTCGTCATTTGTAAAGCGGAAGAAGGGGTATGCGATATAAACTCTGATGGTCTCATGCATTTTCATTATTTGTAAAGCGTAAGGGAGGGGGGGGGTATGCCATAAAAACTCAGATGGTCTCACCTTGCCAAGCAGTCACTTCGTACAATAGACTCCATGGCGCCAATGACCTCCACACGCATGATGTAGAGTAACCTTACTCTCAACAGGATCCTAAATAAAGACAACACAATCAATGAAAACCAAAAATAACACCGTATTGATTGCATTGCATCTACACTTGAGCATTACATACGTAGAAATACGGCACATGTTTTAAAATGGGTCTTACTTATTACAATGATGTCTCAAATGCTTCTTGTATCCCTCGTCAAGAATCAATAATTCTGGATTTATGCTTTTCCAATCGCCAACCGCCTCAATTAACGCGAGAGCGCTTTTGTTCACGTCTTTTTTACCGCCTTTTCCTTTCTTACCGCCCTTTTTGGCCTTCTTACCGTTGCCCTTTGGTATGGGCATGTAAGTAGCGTCCAGTTCCTCGCTAGGCAGCCGCTCGCGCGACACAGGTGGTTTTATGAGTTCCAGTATGAACGAACGTAACTTCTCGTCGCCACTATACGCATGAACACAATAGAGAAGAATGGAACGAGAGATTGCTTCCACTTCGCGTTCTGAGAGCTTCCTCTTTCGGATTGCATGAATGATATCCTTCCACCGTTGCCAACTGAAAAACAAGAAAAACGTTGAAAACGAGTTAAGTTTTCTGTAATTATTTTTTTAACCTACTTTGGCTCCTTAACAGACGACCTAAAATGTAGCTAACTTCGCAATGGAAAAACAATTGCCCAAAATAAAATTCTAAGCATAAGTAACAAAGAATAAATTATTTAAAGTAACGTTTCGTCCTCACACAGGACATAATCAGACAAATGAACCTACCCAAACACGAGAAGATTCTTTTCGACCTTAAAGCATTCCACTCGGGTCCACGCCCTGCGCTTTGCCGGCTGAACCTCCTCGTCCGAGTCGAGATCGGAGAGTTCATAATCGACATCATCACCTCTACCGTATCGTTTTGTTTGTTTACGTTGCCTTGGTGCATCAATAATACGTTCATCCTAAAGCAGAAAACTAGTTTAAATATACGTAAAGAAGGCAATGCCATCATAAACCCTCCCCACAATAAACACAAACCATCCCCTCCTGGCAACCATAAACATCGACCCTAACACCCTGAAACAACCACCCGCACATTTGTACTACCTTGTTCATGAGTTCGTCAACATCAATGTCGGCTTTCATCGCCCATTTTTTCCAGAAATCTGGATCGTCAATATCAATTTCATCTCCTTTCTTCGTTGCAGTAAAACTCGCCTAAAATATGCAAAGCAAGAAAGAATTGGTCGTTAAAAATGAACAGCCATAGTCTCTTGTGGTTCCTCCGTGTTTTAAAGTTCACACTTTAGCAAATGATGAGCCTTGACCTAAAGTTCACACCTCAGCAACTGATGAGCCTTGACCTAAAGTTCATACCTTAGCAAATGATGAGCCTTGACCTAAAGTTCATACCTTAGCAAATGATGAGCCTTGACCTAAAGTTCATACCTTAGCAAATGACGAGCCTTGACCTAAAGTTCATACCTTAGCAAATGACGAGCCTTGACCTAAAGTTCATACCTTAGCAAATGATGAGCCTTGACCTAAAGTTCATACCTTAGCAAATGATGAGCCTTGACCTAAAGTTCATACCTTAGCAAATGACGAGCCTTGACCTAAAGTTCATACCTTAGCAAATGACGAGCCTTGACCGACAGAATCGATTGTGATAACTTGAGTGCGGCGTTCTAGGATTTGATCAATATCTTCTTCACAAAACCTAAAACAATATTTATTGATGTCATGGATTACGAAGTGTAAAACTGTTCAAAGCAAAAACCTATTTCTTCGGAGTATGTTTCTTACGGTATAGTCTATGTCGACAATACGAAATACTTCGTGTAACAAGCATGACCGAAACAACAGAAAACGAAATAACTTTAATTAGCTAAAGTCCAACACAACTTGACATACTTTGAGCTAGCTTCGTCGTCGTCCATCACAGCTCCATAGGCTCCTTTCCTCAAAAGATCTTCAATTTCTTTCTTCGACAGCCCTTGCTGAAGGATGGCAAGAAAACAGAAAACAATTCAAATATTTCAAAATAAACATTCGCATCCATATCGCAAGATGAAATGAAGAAGGTCTTTGTCACATTTTTAAAACATACAACTTACATTTTGGCCTACGGAATTAACTGTACCGTCTTTGGAGCTCATTGACTGCAAAACGGCTTTATCCAAGCCCAACTTCATGCTAGCCCGATCAAACATTTCTCGCTCGTACGAGTTTCGCGTAATCAACCTGTAAACTTTGACTGACTTGGCTTGACCAATACGATGACACCTAGTTAAAAACACGATCAAACACGTGACCTTTAAAACGTCGCAAGATTGGTTTTTTATAGTTTTTGGTAATTTGCTCTCAGCTTTGCTCAATTTATAACCTGTGAAAATCTGCGCAAAGCATAAAAAGTTTGAGTCTTTATTTTTTTTCATGCACGCGCATATCAATATAACTATAATAAATGAATACGTTATTTAACGCCTAGGAGCTCCGTACTAAAAAAATATTTTCACTCGGCCTCAAAAGCGACCCGAGGCAGGAAAAAATAAAGTCAAATATGACTAGCATCAATGTTTCAAGAACGACCATATCAATAAGAGTTTATCAAACTTATGCCAACAGGGTCAGGTTCAATCAAATAAAGCTAACAGACATTCAAATTAAATTTTACCTCGCTTGAGCCTGCAAGTCGTTCTGTGGATTCCAATCTGAATCGAAGATGATCACGGTGTCAGCGGCAGTAAGATTAATACCCAGTCCACCGGCACGGGTACACAGAAGAAAGACAAAACGATCAGAATCGGGTTTCGAGAAGCGATCAATGGCGGCTTGTCTCAGATTACCACGAACACGACCGTCGATTCTTTCAAACAGATATTTCTTGCAAATAAGGTAATCCTCTAAGATGTCCAAACATCGCACCATTTGCGAGAAGATCAGCACCTTCGGTCAAATGAAAAGAAATTTTTACGGGTCAGTGAAGGCAAAGTCATGTTGAAATTTCGCAAGTACTTGACCAGCGGATGAATCACTGGTACTACTAAATTAGCAACCTTGAATCACTGGTACTACTAAATTGGCAACCTTGAATCACTGGTACTACTAAATTGGCAACCTAGAATCACTGGTACTACTACATTAGCAACCTTGAATCACTGGTACTACTAAATTAGCAACCTTGAATCACTGGTACTACTAAATTAGCAACCTTGAATCACTGGTACTACTAAATTAGCAACCTTGAATCACTGGTACTACTAAATTAGCAACCTTGAATCACTGGTACTACTAAATTGGCAACCTTGAATCACTGGTACTACTAAATTAGCAACCTTGAATCACTGGTATTACTAAATTAGCAACCTTGAATCACTGGTATTACTAAATTAGCAACCTTGAATCACTGGTATTACTAAATTAGCAACCTTGAATCACCGGTATAACTAAATTAGCAACCTTGAATCACTGGTACTACTAAATTAACAACCTTGAATCACTGGTATTACTAAATTAGCAACCTTGAATCACTGGTATAACTAAATTAGCAACCTTGAATCACTGGTATAACTAAATTAGCAACCTTGAATCACTGGTATAACTAAATTAGCAACCTTGAATCACTGGTATAACTAAATTAGCAACCTTGAATCACTGGTACTACTAAATTAACAACCTTGAACAATAAAACGTATTGCTAGGTCACTTAGAATAAATCACCGACATTATAAATTTAGCAAGCTCGCCGTTCCAAAATTGAGTGTGTTCAACGCATAAAATAATTGCTTAAGCCTTCATCTACAATCCCTGTTATGTGAAGACGAAGCAGTTACATTTATAATTCATGTCATAATATCTCTTTTATAGATATATTTATTTAAGTGGCTTAAATTGCACAAGATAAGTTAAGGCCATGCGAGTCAAGAGCCAAACACGATTAAAGATTTAGCTAGGACAAACTTTTTTAAATGAGGATATGATCTTCGCACTTTGCTGGACAATTTAAGCAATTGTCTCAAGAACCTGAAAAATTCAGGTGACTCAACGGGATACGAACCCACGACCTCTGCGATGCCGGTACAAGTGCTCTAACCAACTGAGCTATGAAGTCACACAGTGGAGAGCAGGTCAATTTGTTGGGCTAATGTTTTCCCGTGAAAGGAAGTTGAGTCACCTAAATTTTTCAGGTTCTTGAGACAATTGCTTAAATTGTCCAGCAAAGTGCGAAGATCATATCTACATTTAATTTCAAACACCGCACTGCATATAACATTCTTTCATATTACAAACTTTTTTGTCGGCAGTCTTTAACATGTATGACTGTAAGTCATGCTTTTTGCCCAGAGAACGACTCAAAGTACACTAGTTTATGTATCCATTCTTGAAAAGACAAAAAAAGACCATAGAACACATATCTTTCTACCTTATGTCCGCCGTCTTTCAACTTCGGCAAGAGTTTATCAATGAGAACCAGTTTACCGGAGGCTTCGATTAACGATGTCAAATGAACAGTGTCTCGGTTGTCCTCGCCAGAGTTCGCCTGATACTCGCCAACGATCTTCTCCTCGGCACCATTTATAAGGAAAGGATGATTACAGCACTTGCGCAGTTCCATCATTGTGTTCATGAGATTGGGAACGTTTGACGTCGAAACTGCACCTTTGTTGAGAAAGGAAAAGTTTCTCTCCAGGATGGCACGATAGAACTTCTTTTGAACCGTTGTCAACTCGACCTGAAATAGCAAAATTTATACTTTTTTCAATTTTTCGTAATCTGATTGGCTGAAGCAGCGGGCAATCTGATTGGCTGCAGCAGCGGGCGGTTTTTTACGATATCTTGACCGTGATCCAAAAATGTAATTTTTTCGCGGGGAATTTTTTTCAATAAGTGAAATTCGAATTTTTAAAATTGATTTAAAAGCGATGTAAATTGTTCAAGGAGAAAGCAAAGTGTATTCAGACGGTAGTTATTATGGCGTGAGTGAATTTTACTATGCAGACGAAGTAAACTTTATTGAAAACAATTTTGTGAAAAATACGGATTGCAGTCCCCTATAAAAGATGGCATTTCGTTATTAAAAGAAGCCTTAGCGCATGCTCAGTTGGATGAGCTGGCTGGATTACACAGGTAAGTTTAATGACAAGTAAGAAACATTTTGATCAGTAGTTAAATCTCATCCGTAACACTTCAGTAGTCTAACATGTAAAAACATCATTTCAAAATGTCAGCTTCTTGTCATAACAAGAGTAGCCTCGAGTAACTCCATTTTGACATTCTTAACATTATCGCCAGCGCACAAAAGTGGATGATTCTTTGAAGTAAAATGCATCGTCTTTTATCATCCTATCGAACATTGCATTTCAGTTCAATGCGATGTTATAACTTCCGCATGTTTTGCAAGTCAAACACAATCAATGGCTCTCTCACTCATGTGCAAAAAACGAAGGCAATGGCAAATATCGTCAACAATCCCAATCTTCAAGCTATGGGCAATGTAGTACAATTCCCCAACACTAATTCAAAATTAGAAAAAGGAAATATTGAAAATAGTCACAACACGTCCCATCGCTCATTGTGATCTACTTGGGACAATGGGGAAGACATGAGCACCCCCAAGATATTTCGCCGAGAAAATTAGAGATGACATTACAGCATAGCTTTACCTCAACGATCGTCTCTTCTTTTGGCGCCAGGCTCTTTTCGACATCCTCCTTCATACGACGCAACATCATTGGTCTCAACAACTGCCGAAAATTAAAATTCAACATGTACACTTAACAAAAAATTTGTGAATTTCATTTGACAGAACGCGTGGAACAAAAGGGAATGGAAAAAAAGAAACCATGCAATCGTTGAACAACAAAATTCTGTCATGACCAAGATTCTGACATGCGCACAACAACTACTTACGGCTTGTAATCTTTCCACTTGTGCTTCCGTTTTCAGATTTCCAAATTCCATAAGAAAAGCAGCTTGAGAAGGAAATTGCGCGGGTTCGAGAAAATTCAGCAAACTGAACAGCTCGTCGACATTGTTTTGAAGTGGCGTTCCTGTGAGCAAGATTCGGTGTTCCTAAACAAACGAAAAGTGCAGGTAAGCTTTGGAAACATGGCTAGGACTTGCAGCGATCTTCCTTAAAGAACTATTTCTCGGAGAACAAAGCAATTTATGGAGATTCAACAAAAGAAACCGGAACAAATAACTGGCCTCATTAGCAGCCTCTTATGTGTAATGAACCTCGTCATATAAACTAAAGTCGGAACACTGTTCAAATCATTGGCCAGTTCTTTGAACTTTTACCAGTAAAGTGGAAACATCACTGCTAACTGTAAAGGGTTGGTGTGATTTTGGGATATCAGCCCCGCGTCCGAACTCCTGTCAATAGTAAACCGAGCTCTTTGACAAAAGAAAAGATATTTGACAAAAAAAATATGGACCGATTAAAAGATTTCCTTCATGTTCTCAAACATTACATTTCTCAAGATATACCCGTCCAAAGTCGTGAAACACCAAAACTTCCATTTAGGATGTATAATTTGACGAAAGTTTAAAAAATCGACAACAACATGGACGTGTTTGTAAATGTAAATCGTCCAGGTTGGTATAGTCCTGAGAAGGACTGTTTTTGTTGTTGTTGACTGACGTTTCGACAACCTTAGCGGTAGTCATCTTCAGAGTCAAAAAGCTTGGTTTACTATTGACAGGAGTTTGACTCTGAAGATGACTACCGCTAAGGTTGTCGAAACGTCAGTCAACAACAAAAACAGTCCTTCTCAGGACTATACCAACTTGGACGATCTACATATACAAAATTGTAACGATACTCCCGGGTTCAAACCATTTACTTTAGTATGCACATGGCATTGTCATCGTAATAAAATCTCAATAATTGCACTTAAATATGACTTCATACCATTTGCAGATTGTTCAACCCTTCCAGAAGTTTACAATTCCTGTTCTTCAAACGATGCGCTTCGTCGATGACAACCACTCTCCAAGGAATACTGCTCAGCAACATGTTATCCGCTATATAAGACATGAAAGCACACCACATATGAACTTTGAATCGAAAACATTTGAAAAATACACGCGCTATGTACAAACCTATCAAGATTTCGTAGGTCGTTATCAAAACATGAAATTTGTACATTCCGATCATAGGTTCACCCTAAATATATCACATTCACACTGCATTAGCCGAGGTGAAATATCGCGAGGCCCGAACACTAACCGATACTTACCGTAGGTCCACGAAAGTAAAACTCGTATTGCTGAATTAGATGACGACTGGTAGCACTAATAAAAACATTAATTGCAATTTAAAATTAACAAAAATTCAGTGCACATTTTTAAGGTGGTGGCATCCCATAAGCATGGAGTGTTGTCATCTAAATGAAATGAAACTATGGAAGAATCCAAAGTTTATGCATCCCTTGTGATCCTTTACTATCCATGACGACAAAAACATTACCAAAGGAGTGTCGTCCTCCAAATGATGTAAGACTTAACTATAGCTGAATTTTAAGTCCATACGCATACCACGCGATCCCTTACCTTCCATGGTGAACAACAACGTTCATATCTCCCCATGTTTCCACTTCACGTTGCCAGTTCGCGATCGTTGACAGGGGGGCGATGACGAGAAATGGTCCACGAATGCCGTATTGCTAAGGTAAATTGTTAACAATATTAAGAAAAGTATAGCCTTTACACAATAGTGAACACGTCAATCGAACTGCGAGAGGATTACACAACCAGTGAATCAACTTTTGAAAATCAACTTTTTTATTTTTTATATGTAGTTGTATTTTAGGATCCAAGTTGAGATACTACCGTGTTTAAATAAAACCAGTAACTAACTACCTTAACGTGAATAAGAAACGTTAAACTTTGAATCGTTTTACCAAGACCCATTTCGTCAGCAAGAATACAATTTTGCCTGCAAAAAATAAAAAAAAATCAAACAAGAGTGATTTCGAAAGGCCGCGATATCAATATAGCATGCACCTACCCATTATACCAACAAAAGGTCAACCAATTCAGACCCTCCAGTTGATATTCGCGTAACGTGTTGTTGTTACTGAAAATCGGCGATTTGTCCAACTTTCGCCACTCACTCGGATGCGGTCGCCTTCGAAACTGAGCGAAGAGTTTAATACATTACGTAATGGAAGTTCCAATATAAGGGACGAGGTTACATGAAGTTTAAAATATTAGCGGACAGACTCCCTTAATATAACAAATAAGCTCAGAGACATTTACAGCAACATTACAACAGCAAGAAAATTCGTATCCCTTTCACAGAAAAACTGTGATATAGTAACCACATTGCACTTATATATCTGGCCCAAAACAAAACAAACCCTGCAGTTAGCAAATTTTGTTTTGACAAGGCGGAAAATCAAGTTTCATTCCTAACATACAAAGATATACAAATCACATCGTATTTATTTATTCACCTGTCTTTCATGAGGCGCTGGAGGAATTTGAATATTGCGAAACTTTGCAACGGACTGCTCATCCACGTCTCCCTGAAGAAAAACACCGTAATTTCATAGTCGAAAAGACGCCATCGACGATAAATTTAAGATGAGCAAGCAAAATGTTTGCTAATAATATTTTTCATCATTCTGGATGATAAAGTAAATGGTGTAAATGTAGATCGTCCAGGTTGGTATAGTCCTGAGAAGGACTGTTTTTGTTGTTGTTGACTGACGTTTCGACAACCTTAGCGGTAGTCATCTTCAAAGTCAACTGCTAAGGATGTCGAAACGTCAGTCAACAACAACAAAAACAGTCCTTCTCAGGACTATACCAACCTGAACGATCTACATTTACAAACATTCTGGATGATGTTAAACAGGACAAACCTCAACCTCCCAAGTGCTTTCGTCGTAAGGCAGAGATCTCCATTTTATGAGATAATGACTTACGGGCTGAAAAAAACAAACAAACATGAAAGTCATTGCACACAGACATGACATGCGCTAAATACTCAGATATAAATACCGCTCCAGTGGACTGATCAACGCCCGTCGACACATCCAAAATACGATCAATTTCAACGTAATCTGGATTAAATGGTTCGTCATCAACCTGGCCAACAGAGTACACGTTAATATTCAAATATGCAACCGCTGATCACAAGAATGCGGTTATTATTTATTCATTCACTTTTGTGATGAACATTGAACTGAACAAAATTGCAAGATTACTTCCCGCCAAAAATTTGAAGCCAGCAATTAAACTAGTCCAAATCCTTTCAAGCGCGACCCAAAGAAAGATTATTACGACAGTATTGCTAAGATGTGGGACTTAACCTCCTGTACTTGGTGTAGTCAATCTGTTAAAATTATGTCATAAACAGTCTTTCACATACGCACCTCGTCAGGAAATGGCAACGAATTTCGTTTTATGAAGAATCGTTTTATTTTCATCTGAACTCGTTTGTCATGTTGCATTAGTTTTTCTGCGGTTGCCCATTCTGCATGTAGGTAAGAGCTAAAACGAAACCTAGCGTTAACACGGTCCTCCAATTTATGAATGGAGTGCAGGAATACAGAATTGAACTTAAATACTTGGCTATCTAACTAGTACCAGTCTATCAAGAACACATCTAGTACCAGTCTATCAAGAACACATCTAGTACCAGTCTATCAAGAACACAACTAGTACCAGTCTATCAAGAACACATCTAGTACCAGTCTATCAAGAACACATCTAGTACCAGTCTATCAAGAACACAATTAGTACCAGTCTATCAAGAACACATCTAGTACCAGGCTATCAAGAACACATCTAGTACCAGTTTATCAAGAACACATCTAGTATCAGGCTATCAAGAACACAACTATTACCAGGCTATCAAGAACACAACTAGTACCAGGCTATCAAGAACACAACTAGTATCAGGCTATCAAGAACAAAACTAGTACCAGACTATCAAAGAACACAACTAGTACCAGGCTATCAAAGAACACAACTAGTACCAGGTTATCAAGAACACAACTAGTACCAGGCTATCAAGAGCACAACTAGTACCAGGCTATCAAGAATACAACTAGTACCAGGCTATCAAGAGCACAACTAGTACCAGGCTATCAAGAATACAACTAGTACCAGGCTACCAGTAACACGACTAATACAGGGATATCAACAATCTAATCAGTCCCAGGCTAACAAGAACATAACTAATACCAGACTATGAGCAATACAACTACCACAAGTCTACCAGCAATTCGCAGATGCCTCAAACGAGCAACTAGCATTTCCAAGTGGAAGCAACACATCAATCCTCTGAAGATTTACCACGACAATCCACACTGGATGTGGTCCTAACCACTCCTTCTCAATCCATGGTGTCCTTACAATTCGATAGAATGAGTTTCTTTACTTACTAGTTTTTGTACTTTACCAGAAATTCTTCCTGGGCAAATCCATCTTCCTAAAAGGGATCAATAGATCAACGCTCAAATAGCTGACAATCCCTAGTTAAGCTTGATTGGAAACTTCAGTGCACCTACAACACATACACAAAAAGCCAACACGATCCCAACATATCCTACGAATATCCACGTACCTTTGTCTCCGTTCTTAAGGCAAGAATTTTCTCCACAACTAGATTCTCTTCCGGAAGTGGTGCCTCGTCGAAAATCGGTTCTCCTGATTCGGATTTGACGCCATTACCGCCGGCAGACTTGGATTTTCCACCGTCTTCTTCGTCAGACAAATTGTAATCAAAATCGTCCTTGTACGTCTTTTTCTTACGTTCCCTTAGTGATCGCCGCTACAGAAATATTTTTTATAAAATAAAAACGATAAAACGGCCATCTGGGCTCAACAAATCAAATCAATCAAAAAGAATTTAAAAATCAACCATGAACACATGTTGGAGGGAAAATCTAAACATTCGTTTCAAATTTGTCTTTTTTGCATTGTTATTTTATAAACGAAATAAAAGATGTTTTTCGTGTTTGCACTGGCATATGCAAACCTCAGAGACGTTTACGAGAACTCTTAAGCATGTGCAAACCTCGACCTTCGGTCTTGAGCTTGCACTGATCTGCTCTCGAGTTCTCCTTGGGCTCACGTAAGCCTGTGTAAACACAGTAAACATTTTTCATTTCTAAAATAATCAAAACCAACTATTCTTTACATTTCTTTACATCGTTTTCAAAACAGGAAACAAATAAGTTGCAAATTCAACTTCAAAAGATTGCATTAAAAAAATCTTCTGAAGGGAATCTTCACAGCTTGTTTTCATATATATTCGGTGAAATAACGGTGTGTTCAAACAACTTATAGGAGTATTATCTTCCCCAAAACAAAAAATCACCCTTGTTTTGGAAATCTAAAAAAATTGCCAATAGATTGTTTTGATTGATTTAAACCAAATCGTCATATAAATTTTCTATGTTGCGTTGCATGACAACAATGCAAGCCAAATTTTCTATCAGAGTAAGGGATACCTATGCTACGTACCCTGAAATCCTACCAAAGACCTTACCGTAATGCTTGCTGGCGTGTTATCTTCAATATGAAAACTTCCTGGTGAATTTGGGGGCGATGGTTCATGTTCGGAAGAATCTCGTCGCTCTCTCTTTACAACTGGTTTGCTCAACACGGTTGCTGGGGGCCTAAAGTAAACACAACCAATAGATAACTATGGTTACAGTTGCAATAATTGTGGTTCAAGGAATATCTCTTCCAGATAAATAATCATTAGATGAAATTTTCCCTCTTCATTGACACAATGATCATCTTGAGCACGTAAAAAACAAAAAAAACCCCTAACAAAACTTACTTTGATGAGCTCCTAACTGTTTTCGGAAGTTGATTAACAATCGTCGGTGGCAACACAATCGGCTCCGCAACTTTTTGCTGGGCAAATCTGTCCTGTTTCATATCGTAGTTCATGGGCCTATTCATGGCCGACCCAAATTGCTGACCAATCATTTTCATTTGCTGTTCGGCTTGATAATTATAGCCACTATTCATGAGTGCGGACTTTGCAATTGCTTCGGCAACTATACGATTCGCTTTATCCTGGTGATGTTGTTTCAACAAACTGTCCTGATTGAATCTTATTTGTGAAACTGTCTGCTGTTGCTTCTTCAGTCTCTGTTGGTCCACGAGGTACAAGTGATAGAGACGGCTGAACTGCTGCTGAAGTTGCTGTAAAGGTTGATCTCTGGCAGGGGAGGGCAGTTCACGCACTTGTGAAATTTGCTGTTGCAACCGTTGCAATTGAAAAAGAAGTTGGGCACTCTTCATGTTTGATATTGCATTAGGATTTTGGTTCATCATCTGCGGTTGAACTGGCATGCTGGACCTCACTTGAAAGTTGCCATCTTGAAACTGCGGTGGTCGTCGCATAGCATAATCTTGTTGCATGCTATTTACAGAAGGAGCTTGCGAGAAGGGATTTTGAGCTTGCATTGGAACTTGTCCACTCATCGGTGACTGTTGCCGCTGTTGTAAATTGTTATACATTGAAGGCATGTTCTTGTTTGCCAAAAAAGGATCTGGTGAGGACGTGAATGAAGAGCTACTGGACTGGACAAAGTTTGCAGCAGGTGAGTTCGCATTTGTAGAAGTATCGGATGTAGGTGACGGCATGCCTCCGGAGACCAAGTGGTGCAACTTGTTCAACTGGTCTTGGCTAAATGGCCGTCCTGATGACACAGTTTTACCTTGGTTCAACTTTGGGGTTGAATTGCTGATATCAGTCAAGTTAGATGAGCTCTCCTGACCTATAAACTGGTTTGGAGATTGACTCAACATTGGATTTGATTGTTTGTTAGTCATGAAATGCTGAAGCCTTGCTAAATTACTTGGTTGCGAGCTCATGAATCCTTGTGACAATGGTGATCCTGCAGTAGGAGCTTGCTCATTGGTTGGTGGCTGTGACTGCTGAGCCAATCCAAATTGTCCAAATGAATTGTGCAAGTTAGATGATCTACGCCAGTTTGTTCCAAGGGAAGTACTGACCTGCGTGGGAAACTGGTTTGTTCCGGGCATTTGCATTCCAGGCATTCTTGAAAATTGTTGTGATTGTGATTGGGCTAGCTTATTTACTGATTGACTGGGAAAGCCATTACCTTGTTGTGCCAACGTGGGATTGGCAGCATAATGGCTTAGCTTTTGGGAGAACTGCTGAAACTGATCTGAAGATTGAGATTGACCAGCCATGTGAAGCAGTTGCGATTGCGTCGAGCCAGAAGTCTGGTTCGGGAAACTCGCAAACGAGTCCATGTTGAAGAGATGATTGTTACTAGAGGTTTGTGGAAGAGATGACTGCGATGATATATTATTCATGCCAATCTCATCGAAAATTCCCTCTCCACTTTCAATTAAATTCAGCAAATCCGATGGATCATTCATGCCGTTAACCAGCCATGTTGAACTAAGAAAAACAAGTCAACAATATGCTCTAGTTTGAGCTAGTTTGTCATTGTTATTGCCACTGATGGTGCTCAGTCTTTGTCTGTTATCTCAACATTACACAAGAATGATTGAGCTTGCTCTTTGTTGCCAAATACAATGATTTCCTAAGCTAAAAAAAAAAGGGAAAAAAATCAAAATTATTCGCAATAATGTTAATGATAGTTATTGGATACAGTTCAATTCAAGTGTCATTGCAGCTACACTTATAATTTAAAATAAATAACTCATTTAGATGAATGGCAGGAAATGGCTTAAACACAAACACAAAATTTTGACAGTTTACTTACTAAATCTGTCAAGAAAGCTTGAATATTTTAAAACCTAAGTTGAGTATTACCTAAAGATACATAAAGATGGAAATTCTATGTTGACTGATATAATTTCTTTCCCAATAACTTTTTTAGTAGCATGTTATGGCACCCTTCAAAACTCCTATATTCCAAAGAAATATTCTGTCAAGCAAGGGTTTCCTGTCAATCATTTCACTATAAAAATGCTTCGTATTTCCCGGAAAGGAAATACATATTAATTAGAAAATACATTCCAGAATTCCTTCTAAATTCTCAATTATAATTTTATCAAACACACGACTTCACCAAAACCCAAGCACTCACAACACCTTACGTATCAAAGAAGTCAGGATGCTATAAAATCCACAGCTAAGTCCTCGTGGAACCGGAAATCTAGAGATAATTTAAGTCGAGCGTCCTCCGCCATTCGACGAACAACTATGTCGTAAATTTATCAGACAATTTCTTATCATTAATCGCTGCTTCGAGGGGTTATAACGCGATAAAATGGTTCTGGTATAAATTAATCTAAGAAAATAGGTTCAAATTGACGGCAATCGTTACAGAAATCGACATAGATGATGCAACGACTTGCCCATTGTGTCGACTATGCGCTCGTTTCCTTGCACGTTTTACATGATCAACAACAAAATGTTGTTATTTATTTATATCAATATCGTTGAGTTTGGTGCCATCGCTTAGCCAATTAGTGCTGGCAATTGCTTAAGGAGAGAAACCGAACAGAAAATGACCAAAATGCAGACGACCTGTGCACAGGAATTGGCCACAGGCCGGACAGAAAACCGGTCACCTCCAAAGACAATTGCCATAACACCGTGCCGGCCTTTATGACTTAAAGTTGAATCGCAGGTTGATTTGTATGTGCAAATTGATGCCCGTCCGTAGACGTTAAACCCAAACAAATTACCCCTTCAAATCCTTCCCAGAAACATCACAGACAAAGAAATAAACAAAAAAGAATCAAAAATAATACAACATTGCAAAATTTACAAATCAAACGCGGAAGAATTTCAACGAATTTCAGACGCCGTAATCGTAAAGATGAATTTTGTGACAAGGCGCGATGGACCCTTATGACGCTTAATAAGGGTAATACACTTCGTACAAATGGCCCAAAAACCTTAAAAATACTTTAAGAATAACCTAGAGATTTCACATACCTCATCCAAGTGCCTTGAAGAAGCCGATCCTTCTATAAATCGACGAAATTTTTTCACAAAAGTTGAATTACTCGAGCGATTTACGAACGCCTCAATCGGGAATATCATGCTTTCGCCTGAACCACGTTATGATTTCAACGCAGCCAATCAGAGTACGCGGTTCCCACATGTCCCGGATGCTCTCCAATAACCGCCCTCAGCTGTTGGAATACGACAGGTGAGAACAACAGAGCAATGTGATAGGTTAAAAGCGGCCTCGACAACGGTCACCTGCTTGATGGCACAAGTGCTTAGTTCAAGACAATGTTGCCACATGTTCCATGTTTAGGTATTCCGTCAGTTGTTAATTTTTGAAATACTGAACTACATTGCCACGAAAGGCAAGCTCGTTTAACGACAAAGTTTGCTAAAAGCAGAGCCCCCTATTGGTTTATAGAAAAGTAGAACAAAAAAACCTAATTGCGTCCTATCATTGAATCTATTTAAGGATTGGAATCACTGGAAATTGTTAACAACCATTTTGTTTGCGAACAACATCACCTTCGCCATCACGAATGCATGTGATTGGCTAACGACGAGAAATGACGAAAACTAATCGTGCCATCACGAAATAATCACCATAATCTTTTGCATTTAAGGCTGCGTTTACACTATACCAGATTCGCTCATCACGACATCTCCATTTGCTTTAAAGGGCTAACTGTTCGGAGTAAAAGCTTGTCAAGCTGATAGATTTAGTCTATTTGATTGTGTTTCTGACGTTGTACAATTTCACTGCCTTTTAATATAAAGAATATTAAATGTAGATATGATCTTCGCACTTTGCTGGACAATTTAAGCAATTGTCTCATGAACCTGAAAAATTCAGGTGACTCATCCCGTTGAGTTACCTGAATTTTTCAGGCTCATGAGACAATTCCTTAAATTGTCTAGCAAAGTGCGAAGATCATATCCTCATTTAATTTCGAACACCGCACTGCATATAACATTCTTTCATAAAGAATATTCAACCTGCTACGATAGCAATCCGGTATAGTGTAAACGGGGCCTAAGAGAATACTCCTCAAACACAAATGCGAACACACAAACAATTGAAATTCTACAATTTAATATCATGAAATCCTAAGTTAAAGTGTAATCATTACATCAATACTTCCTTTCAAGGAATAGAAGAATATATCAATAGAATCGTATATAGCTAAGCACGCCCAAAAAATATTTTTTTTCTGAAAGTCGTTCTATCACGTTTTATGTGTATTATAAAATGAAGATTATAAGACTCGGGTCTGTCCAATAGACACGTTCATTCGTTGCTAATAGCGCGGTTAAAGAAGGCTACGATAGGTCACCTAAACGAAATAAGTAAAAAGTTATAATTACTGTTGTTGAGAAGGTGAAACTACTCCGTCAAAAAACACCTTCATCCTAGAGACGACATTCACAAAAAATGCACAATGTAAGCAAAAAATGAACGCGGGATACGTCATGTAATAATTTACATAAAAGATCTACATTTAAGTGTTGAAATACTTTTATTCGCCCCATGATAATATCCATGCAGTGTTTTTTATTAATGGCCAGGATATTTGAAAAACAATCGCACAGTCATTATCATGCTGCAAAGTGAAAATACACCGCTATGACAACCCACAAAGAACCAAACATAATAAAATGAAGAATCAGGCTTACGGGTATGTCAACTACGATCTAGCTTTTTCGTCAAATAATCGCGACTTGTCAAGACACTTGAACAGAGCAACTTACCACACGCGGCAAAATTTTTCGACTACATAAATTTCAAGATTCCTCTGCTGTTTTTTCGGCTTCTTGAGTTTCTTCCTTGGTTTTATCGTCTGCTTCTTGGCTTTCCTTAGTCTCGCTATCGTCTTTCGGTTTATCGTCCTCCTTAAAAAACACAACAGTTTCTTTAAGCAGGAACGTCAAACGCAGGATGACAAGCCCCAGAAAACTTACAATTAGTTTGTCGAGCAAAACTCATAAACTTGTCCAGCGCAAAGGGTTTATCATTTTCGACTATTTAACTTATTAACGTCTAGTTTAACTTACTGACTTGTTAACGTCTACTTTAACTTATTGAAATATAAACGCTTAGTTTAACTTCTTAAATTATTAACGCCTACTATAAATTATTAACGCCAAGCTCAACAAATTTTCGACTAAATTTTGAGAAGATTTTAAACGCACAACTTCTGTGTTTGGATACCTTTTCTGCATCTTCTTTCGCTGGTTCTACCTTTTCTGCATCTTCTTTCGCTGGTTCTACCTTTTCTGCATCTTCTTTCGCTGGTTCTTCATCTTCAGGTTTTGTGTCTTGTTTTTCAGGTTCCTTAGCCGGCTCCTTCTTTTCGGGTTCAGGCGGAGATTTCAACGGGGAAAGAAGAACTTTGCCAACATTTTTGCGTTCCTGTATACACTGCATGGCGCTTCGGATCTACCCAACGTACAAAACCACAACTTAGCATTAACAAATCTTAACCTGGAATACATATTTAGGGCTGTTTACATGAACCCGGCTAACCGGGATTCGGCGAGGCGTGAAATGATTTTGAGTCATTGAAAGGAGTAAAAACTTTAAGCACAAAACTTACAACATTTTCTTACAAGCGTCATATGTCATTTTAGTTTTAATTTTCACATCAGGCTAAATTATTTGTTCTCATTATAAAGGTTTTGCAAACTTATAAAGTCAGAGCATAGAGAAATTTCTCAAAAAATTTTTTGTTGTGAAGTATTTAATCTTTTCCATTTTCCAAAATGATGTAACGCTTCGCTGAATCCCGGCTACCCGCGGGCTCATGTAATCAGCCCTTTATTTTGCTACTTCATACTGCAATTTTCACATTATGATCACCTAATTATTTATTCATGGCGGTATCATCAAGTTTAGAAGCGAAATAACTTTTCGTGGTGATTTATTTCATTATTTCTTAAATGATGATCCAATCAAACTAAAATTAACTTGACTATAGAAACATAAAATGCGCTTTCCACAAATCAACCATAGAATGTTATGATTTACCTCCTCAAGTGCAAAGACTTCATGAACTGCAGGTTTTATTTTCCCTTCTTCATACAACTTGATCAAGGCAATCATGGCGGGACGAACTTTCTCAGGAGCCTTTTGACCAAGAACTCCAAGATGATAACCGCCAACAACTTTATTGTCACCAATCAGTTTTAAAGGAGAGAAGCTAGTTGATTGATACCACTGGATGGAAAAAAAAGAAGTTTGCATTGACAATAACTGGACTGGAAATTAATGTTAATAGTGAATAACTAATTTTAACAGTGAATTACTATTGCTAATAATAAATAATTAATTCTAACAGTGAATTACTATTGCTAATAATAAATAATTAATTCTAACAGTGAATTACTATTGCTAATAATAAATAATTAATTCTAACAGTGAATTACTATTGCTAATAATAAACAATTCATTTCAATGATAAATGTTGTTACGGACAATTGATACTACTTGTAAATAATTAATGCTATTTGAAGGTAAGTGATACCCCTATTTGTGGATAATTAATTTTATTAGTTAATGATCAACGATATAATTAATATTAATCAACACAAAAAGCACATTTTCAGTGTCAGAGGAAAAAATAGAACTTTTTACATAAAAAACACACATTCAAACAAATTCTAGAGCAAAAAAATTATTCTGACATACCATTTTTGCTGCATTGAATAAACTTTTTGACTGCCCCTTCACTTGATTAGCAGCTCCTAGACGATCAAAGGAAAAACGTCACATAAGTGACAGAAATAAACAAAGTGAACAGAAAGACAAAGTTCTACCAAAGCAAATTATCCTTCCAAATGGTTTGAGTAAATCATATCCCTTCATTGTATCTTTACCACCCAAGGGATCCATCACAATATCAACACCGTCTGCTTGAATTCTGAAAAAAAATCGCACACCAAGATTTAAAAAGAATGTTCAAACATGATGATCTATAACATCAAATATCCACGATATGAAACAAAACTAACTTGCGAACTTCTTTTGCAAAACAACTATTTCTATAATCAATTGGATGTGTTACACCTTGTTCTTTTATTTTTTCATGCTAGAAAATAAAAGCCATATTGAATTTATCAGTACGTCAAATAGAGTAAATCGACCATCCAATCTAATCACATTAATCCACCCGCTAATCCAATTAGATGCTCTTAGCATCTACAAGCTAAAAGCTCGTGTAAATAGTTAATTTCCTCATTCTGATAAAGGCTTGAAGTTACAAGTCGAAAGCTCAATATAATAATTTTTAAAATAATCTGGAGAAACTTTCATTTTTTATGTCTAGTTTATACATAACTTTGGCTAAGAAGGTATATGAAACTTGGCAATCATAAATAAATCATGACATTTGGCATTTTTCAAAGTTATAGGACCTTATCATGCCATGTACTGCAACTTAAGCATGCTCTAACCCTAAAAGTCTGACATTGTTGACAAATCATTATTGTAATATACCTTTGGCTTTGAAGCAGTTCCAAAGATAGTCACATCAGGAACAGTTTTACATAACTGCGTGGCAGCAACTCCCTGTTTTGGGTCACATTACATTTAGTGATAGCACAAAGCAAGTACATGTTTACCTGGGGGTTGATGTCAATATAAAATAATCAGTGAATTTTTTATCACAAATCTAATTGCAAAAGCTGGAATTAGAGCAAAGTTATAAAAAGGAATCGGAGCTTTTTCATGCAACAATTACTTTTATGATGCAATGCAAATTGCAAAAATACAATAAATATAGCACAATTTAACTCTTCATTGGTCTGCATCAATAAAAGTTGCCATTTTATCTTAGCGAGGACAGACTGAATTAATCACTGAACATTTGCATACCACTCCACCGCCAGCCATCTGTATAAGGACACTTTCACCCTCACTCAAATGTCCAACATCAAAGAGAATTTGATAAGCAGTAATATAATTTATGGGCAAGGCAGCAGCATCCTCAAAGGACATTGAATCAGGAATGGAAAAAACTTTCGCACTTTCAACACATGCATACTCTGCCATCATTCCGAAAGTCGCTGACATTGCCACAACTCTTGAACCAATCTACAACAATATGGAAACCAAATTTGATGTTTATGACAGTAGTGCATGAAGGGAATCAATAAGAGAGCAAGCAAAAGTTCAAAATGGCAGGGGGGATTGGGAAGCCAAGGGGTCCGGGTGCCAGTGCACCCACAACTTTTAGAGTGTGGGTGTTCTATATAGGGAGGACACCCACAAATTTAGCTTCTTGCATGAAAATATTTGACATGTTGCATGTTGAGTTTTTGCAAGCATACTGAATTTTCTAATTAAGGAACTGGCACCAGCAGGCTGAAAATTTCAAATGGTTTGAGCATTGCCGATATATGCAAATCAATTGCATGTAATGCATTTTGGACAATTTTTGTAATATATGCCGAAAAGGAAAAAACTATCAAAAACAACTAATATCAAGCAGTTTCATTGCTATTCTAAGTTTCTTGCATTATCAAAATGCAAACATGGAACACCCACAACTGTATGTAAAACATATTATTTTAGGGGGGGGCAATTATTTTGCAAGGGCAGACCAGGCGAAAAACACCCTATCTGGCTACATCACTAACTCCTTTCAACACAAGGCCATTACAAGCACAAAGCAATACTTCATATAACTCTAATATTTGGCATTATTATTATCAATTTCAAACAGAATCGAGCATTAAAAAATTTAACCACTTGCCTCAAAATCAGTGACACCCTCTCCTACAGCTTCAACAACACCAGAACATTCATAGCCCATGACATAAGGTACAGGCTTTCCTGCAGGATACAGCCCCTGTCGCTGCATGATATCGGCGAAATTCAATCCACTGCAAATATAAAGCAGACAATTGACATTCTCGTAGCTGAAAGTGTTTGACAGTTGTAAACAGAGCAAGATATCATAAAAATGCCAAAACTAATTCATGTTGTACTTTTTTAATCGATTATTCCGATTTATAAAACGTAAATAGAGTGAAAATATGTACGACAATTTGTCAAACAATCAATGGCGGATCGTTTCAGTTTCCTTAAATCATTTGAATCGCTTAACTGAATCCTGGCTAGCCATGCTTTGTTTAACATTGACTTTTTTGATAACTATACTTCGCGTGTTTGTATGTTTATAGCCTGATTCAAATATTGAAGCTGGCATTCCGTTGGCAAGTTTTCTATCGTGAATGTTCCAGTTTGGACAGCTTGTCAACAACATCGAATCAACGGTGTGTTTCAGTCAAGTAAAACTGGTTTCTACAGAACTCTGCATGTTTGAAATATCGTGAAATTTTGCACGGGCAAAGTGAGCAATCGTCTTTACCGACTACCAATGTATATGAAACGAAATCACTTTTAAATCAATGTATTTATTATAAATGCATTAGATTTTATACCTCCCATTTAAAAATTCACACAAACGTTAAAACTGGGAGTTTCAAGCTGTGAATTTATCACGAGAAACGAATGACACAGCTCAACAAGTAGCGTAATAAATGCGCTAAGTGGTTTCTGTTCTGTTTAAACGCATGCAAGTCGTCCAAAAGACGTCCAACTGTAGCACTTGAAATCACGAAATCGTTCAACCGTTCACAAGATGCAAAACTGTGATTGCACGCGTTTAAGAACGATCTAAGAGATTTAACTAAGCCTAAAATTGCTCGTTAGAGATCACTGTAAAGTATTGATAAGGTTTCGCAAAAGTTCAAATAGCGAAAAGAAGAAATAACGTTGTCAACATGTTTTAACGTGTCGATGAATATTTGACGAATGCCTTCACAATGTAAAGGATTTGCACCATTTGTGCTAAGTTTAACGGATTTCGCACTAATAAAAGGCAATCTTGACATAGCGCTTATGCCAGTTAGCAGTAAAGACAACAGTCGTAGAATATCTGCACGAAATATTCAAAAAATTTTGGCGTCTATTACCGTAAAAGCGATGTATGCAGGGCAACTAAATATATGGGCGTGTGTCTTTGCCACTTTAGAAGCATTCCGTGCAGTTGAACATTAGGTTTGTTTAAAGTATAAACCGATAGAAAAAGACAGCTGCTTTTTTTCACGTGTAATAAATCTCCGCCCGTACCTTGCATGTACTTTAATTAACACTTCGCCTTCTTTTGGTTTGGGCTTTTGAACTTTTTGTACGTTGACTTTGTTCAGACCTCCCGTGCCCGTCAACATAACAACTCGGCTGTATTCTTCTTTCTCTTCCACGACAGGCGCCTCGACAGCCTTTTCTGCTCCTTGAGCTTGCTCTTCGCTTGCCATTTCTGCTAACAACTTTCTTCTATGTTTGACTAAAGATGATACGCGCAAGAAACTCCGCTATAAACCACCGAACGTATGAAAAACTCCTATATATAATACGCGGCGATGGAGGAGCAGAGAAATTTCAACCTGGAAACTAAAGATCACGATCACATGGCACATGACACGAACTTCCTTCCGGTTTGAAAATTTGGTCAAAAAACAGGCTTCTGATTCTCCAATTGTCGCTCATCAAGTCAACCCGGTCTTTTGATCAGAGGCTTTGGAAGCTTTCAAAAGTTGTGGGTGTTCTATGTTCGCAATTTGATAATGCGAGAAACTTAGAATAGTAATGAAACTGCTTCATATTAGTAATTTTTGATAGTTTTTTCTTCCTTTTTCGGCATATATTACAAAAATTGTCCAAAATGCATTACATACAATTGATTTGCATATATCGGCAATGCTCAAACCATTTGAAATTTTTAGCTTGCTGGTGCCAGTTCCTTCATTAGAAAATTCAGTGTGCTTGCAAAAACTCAACATGCAACATATCATATATTTTCATGCAAGAAGCTAAATTTGTGGGTGTCCTTATTATATAGAACACCCACACTCTAAAAGTTGTGGGTGCACTGGCACCAGGAGACCCACGGCTTCCCAAGCCCCTGCTATTGATAAATAATACCGTTGTCCGTTTTGGACAGTAGTTTAACAGCTTCACAGAAGAAAATCCAACAAAATAGTGGAATTACGAGCAAAGAGAAATTATAACTATGATTAAAACAGGGTAAGGACGAAAATAGAATTAATTTTGTTAAGGGTGGGGTCAGAGGGGTAGAATGCCATCAGGCATTGCACAGATCTCTAAAATACACGGTGAAAACAGCCCCAGATCGTAAGATCAAGATCATCAGTGAGAAAAATTTAACGATTTGAGTTCTGTAAATTTCTAAAAATAATTGTTTCTATAAAAAAAGTAATGAAGCTTAAGCTAACACGCTGAAATAACATTGCCACTCATGCCAGAGACAATGTCTCCTGTGTTTCATTACCGCAGGCCATGTTTGTTTTTATTTCTCGCAAAACACGATTGTTCGGCCAGATATTTCTTATCACCTGAACTATCACCCGAAGCACGTGATGAATGTGACACGTCACACGACCGATGACGCACATTACAGATTAGATCTTACAAACCAAAGTCAAATGGAAAGCTGGCTATATTCCCAACGAATCTTCTTAGCCTCGCCATTTTCTAACCACAACACGTTGGCCGAGTTTCGTGGACAAAACTAGCACAAGGAGTTCGTGACGTCTTTTGATAAGAGCTTTTTTGTAGACATCAGTCATTTCACTTACAAGTTTTATGTGCCGTCCCTAGTTTTTTCTCAATCATAAATGGGAAAAAGACCGAAGCTGATTTTTATTGTAAAAATCCAAAAGGGGCGCTGAGTAAGAGCCCCAAATCACGAAAATTCAACCCACTGTGCGTTATCTTCATGTTTAATTGAATTTTTACTGCATATTTAACAGTAACTAAGAAATTTGATTTATTATTGAAATACTTAGACACAACATACGAACTCGGGGATAGGATTTCTAAAGCATCGAGGGTTTAGTCACAGATTGCTTCGCCAATGATTTGTACATCTTTGAAAAATTGTCGCCTCTTGAACTTCCTACAGTTTTCGATGATCTGAGCTTGTGCAAGCTATGAAAAACACGAGTTCAACCCAAAAAAACTATATTAATTAAAAACACATGTCTTCACGACTTGTATAAAACACATAAAAAACACGACAGTCGGTCTTCGCGATTCCTTTCACAAAATAAACACGTCGATCTTTGTTTAAGCTGTTCCTTCAATGTGACTCACAGTCATTGTACAATAGTAGCAACTACGAATTAGATTCAGGATGCCTGCGATGAACGCTCCTAAAAATACCAAGATACTTAAATCAGTTTTTCTTTCCAGACTTATTCACTCCCAATGAGTCCTATGTACTAGTTAAACAGGGGTTTATAAAAAGAATAAAGTTCTTTCAAAGCCATAAAAAGGACTATCGCGAAATGATAGCATACAGATGATCACAATCAGGGACACGATACATGATTCATTTGAGAAATAAAAGATGTTTACTGTGTTAGCACGGGCTCATGCAAGCCGAGGAGCCTTTGGGAGAACTCGAGAGCAGATCAGTGCAAGCCCGAGACCGAAAGTCGAGGGTTGCACCGGCTCGAGAGTTCTCACAAACGTCTCCAAGGTTTGCATATGCCAGTGCAAACATGAAAAACATCTTTTATTTCTTTTATAAAATAAAATAATGCTAAAAAGACAAATATTTTAATTTTTCCTCGAAAGATGTATTCATGATCAATTTGCAAATTCTTTTTGCCTGATTGATTGTTTGGATTGATTTGATTGGTTGAGCTCAGATGTGCTTTGCACAGGCTAATGCAATCAGCGCACGCGTTTCATTGTGTTTATTTTATAATTGCCAATGAGCCATTGCAGGAAAGGCAATTTCTCCCCCCGGATAGATTTTTGTCACTAACTTCTATCAGTTATTTCAGCAAATTCAAGAGAGGAAATTCGCCGAGGGGCTAATGTATGGGGTAAGGGGCTCGTATTACAAAAATTAATCGCGGTACGGGGCTTGAAAAAAAATCGATGAAGACGATCTTTTGTATGTTAGTAATCTGTGCTGCTACCTAGTTAAGAACAATCAATTTCAACCTCACAAAAATTGAATTATTTTTCTTGACTGGAAAACTGGGCATTTTTTCATGCTGTTGTTGAAAACACTTGGTTGTGTTGAAAGAGTAAACAAAAACGAATCAAAGTCCGCGTTGAAAAAATGTTGATAAATCATTATGTATAGAAGATGCAGTAATAACGTCTTATTTTAGAATAGCATATCACAGTTAGCAGATGAAAAAGTCGAAAACGCAGGGCAGTTACGGACAATTGATAATTCTTACATGCATTTATGATAATTATCAAGAGACGAGAAGTTGATATCATGGAATGATTACCATCGATTAAAGTGCTTGTGACCCCCATTTTGTATTCTTATTGCTTCTGGCAAATCTCGAGAGTTAGTTAACAACTTCTGAATTGGTTTTTCCGTACAAAAAAGGTTTCCGGCGATAATACAGCGGAAAATAAAAATCATGCGCATCCAAAGTCCTGGATCCCAGGAATACACTTTAGGCAACAACATAGAAATTATATTGTAAATTATGCATTGTCGAATTTTTTTAAATGTGCCTTGTTCATTTCAGTTCAAACACTGCACAATTAAAAAAAGTTTATTGTAACATAAACTTAAATTATTTCCACAGTTGTATTCCTGAGTTCCAGTCCTCCAGTGCTCGTTGCTTTTTTTTGAATTCTATATTTGAGCCGTTTTAACTTTGGAAAAACAAATTCTACCTAAAACTAATTTGAAAGTTGCTCAATAACTTTTTGAGATGTATCAGACGAAATAAAAACACAAAGTGGGGTTATAAGGATTTTAAAAAAGAGAAATCACATAGATTTCAACCAGTGTGCGAATTAGTTCAGAAAAAACGATGTGCAATTTTTTTGAAAAAAGTGTTTCTTTAGAGGCATAATCAAATCGATATTACGTTAATTATCTTACGCTAATTGCCAAATTAATATTTTTAAACGTGCACAAATTCATATGATTTACGACAGTGTTTTTCGTTAAAACCGCTGATTTTTGCACATCATTTGAAAAAGTGATGTGCAATTGTTTTCATTTTAGCTAGAACAATGTGCAAATTGCACATTGCACACCGTTAATTCGCACACTGATTTCAACCATGTACGGATATCATCAACAATGACATGCAAAAGTGAAAATCATGATTCAATGCTCGTGTAACATTTAGGAACACTACAACAAGAGCAATTACTTACCAACCCAAATAACATAGATACCTATGAAAGACAGAATGATATAAATTGTTCAATTTTGAAACAATATTATCTTTGTAAGTCTTAAATAACAAAATACAAACCTCCTTTCTTTGTAGCCATTTCCAATGTGGCAACCTACGTAAGGAAAGATAAAGGATTAGGTATGAAACTGGCAGTATTAGATGTTGTCATGTCAACAACACTTACCGTCACACCAATACCAACGGCCAAGAAGAGGAAGCCAATCATAGCAAATATTAATGCCCTGTTGCGTGCAAACGTCGAGCCAACTGAGGAACTGCAACAGAGTGAGGTCATTACCAAGGTTTAATACATACAAAAGCCTTGAATAGAGCTAAATGATGGCCTCAAGACACAGAGTAGTTTAACCTTAAAAGTTAAACCTGTTGATCGTGAGATAGTTAAGGTGAGAAATGGGTTTGGTAGGTTACTATGTAAAGACATAGTAACCGGGTCTGAGATTATATGGTGAACACTGCCTATGGCAAAAATTAATCAATTTATCATAAGTCACTTACACCCTGTGACAGTGAGGACAACGAGCAAGATGAGCTGTATTTCGAAACTGCAAATTACAAATACACATCATGAGAGGCATTGCTGTAGTATAGGTAATGTTTCAAAGAACTACTGAAGGCTCAAACTGGTTCATCATGATTGCTATGGCATACGTAATATTTCAAAGAACTATTGAAGGCTCAAACTGGTTCATCATGACTGCTATGGCATACGTAATATTTCAAAGAACTACTAAAAGCTCAAACTGGTTCATCATGATTGCTATGGCAAAGGTAATGTTTCAAAAAACTACTGAAAGCTCAAACTGGTTCATCATGATTGCTATGGCATAGGTAATGTTTCAAAGAACTACTAAAAGCTCAAACTGGTTCATCAAGATTGCTATGGTGCGAGTAATCTTTCACAGAATTACTGAGGAATGAATCACATGTCAACATACAAAATAAAAAAACTTATGTGTCATTTAAAATCACTTACAATAAATGTTTCATTGCAGTGACCGCAGCTGACACGAACTATTATTTCACGGTGAAAGTTGGGACTGTTGACAACATGCGAGGTGCTTGGTACTGTTGATCCAACAGTGATAATGCGCTTGCTAGCAATATAAAAAAACAATACTGTCAAAAAGTTCATTTTCGATTGTCTTGACATCAACATTGGCTACTTTTGAATAGAACAAACAGATCTTAAGTCTAGTGCACCTAAAATTATTTTACTAGTTTAAAAACAGTACATAAAATACAAAGTATTGGATGGCCTGAGAAGAACAAACATCTTCACTCAACACAAACAAGCCAAATTACCATTTACTGATTAATATTACTAAACATATATGGAAATATGTGTGAAACTCAAAACTTACCAATCAGTTCGAGGGCAAGAAATTCTTGTTGATGTGACTTTGCATGTCAGCAAAGCATTGCATGGACATCTGATGTACTTCTTCCCTTCTGGGGGTGGCTTTATTGGCTGATAAATTTGAAAAAAATATTTTGCCTGTTGTTTGAATGCTATAATGTTTAAGGACCTAGTGTTGAATACCAAGTGTTTAAATAGCATACTAATAAAAAAACACAAGTCAATAAAAAAAATGATTAAAATTTTACAAGATGTTGTATGAACTTTTACATGTAATATTCAAAGATGCAACTTTCTTTCTATTTGTTTCATAAGAAGGTCAGCTGTACATACATAAATTTTGGTTCATTGCAATCAAAATTTCATGTTTAATTCAAAATTATAAAATCATCAGCATTGGACAACACTGTGACTACATTGCACAAAGAAGACTTACAGTTGCTTCCTGACAATTGGAGCATTTGATCACTCTTTGATTTTCTCTGCCTAGAACTGGTATTAAGTTTTGGCAGACTCTGCAGACAATCGTGGGATCAGTGTTGCAAAAGGATGATGGGGTGTATGGAGGGGGTTCATCAGGGTACGGTGGTGGGGCACTCACTACCGAATGTGAAGTAGCTGCAATAACAAACAGGAAATTGAACATTTTATCGAGAAATGTCACTTGAAATATCAGGAAAAAAAATACGGAAATACATTTGTTTTAACGTGTAAAAAGCACTTTTTTTCAATATTGCTTAGCTAAGGTCATTGTTAGAATAGGTAGATTAAGGTGTATCGCCTTATATTTGTTAAAAAATAGCAAAACACAAATCAAATTTTAAAAATCTAAGCACTTCTTCCACTGAATACTTTCAAAAAAAAAATGTGTGTCGTAGATACTTTTGCGTAAAAAGCCATGTACTTTGCGATGTCCACAGTTAGTAAGAGAATCGCGCAAAACGAAATGTCATTCTTTACTTAACAATGCTTGATCATTAAATCACAAGTAGAGTAGGTAACTACGTGGCTTTAAAAAAAATGTCGTATGTGTGAGGTTGAAAATATTGTACACAACCATATTACAACGTATACATAAAAATAGAACATTGAATCTTTTATTAGACTAACTGGGAGCGTTTTCAGCAGGAGGTTCAATCAGTTCATCGTCTTGATCTCGTAACAGCGGCTGATTTTCAGAATTGTTCACATTCAACTCTCTGTTCGTCTGCGCCATGATATTTCGGCTTCCTTTCGAACGACGCCTGAAATTGCTGACGGGAATGGAAATATATCACGTGACGTAATTAATGGCCTCTTTTTCCCGCGCCATGTTTGAAAAAAAAATTTTTCATTTTCTTGCAAACACAGTCTTTCTCGTAAGTATTATAGATGAAATATTCTATCATAAGTCGAATTAATAAGATTCATAGCAACAAAATAAGTTTAACTTGTCTAACAAAAGACTGTTTATTTTGTAGCTGTTGGGAAAAGTCGTTCCACAGTAGAATCTTATATTACACCATTACACCAGGTAAGGATGGTTTAATAAACATGAAAAAAATATTAACACGGCTTATTTGTAGTATATATAACATGTAAATACGTTTCATATTCTCGCAGACACGAATGAATAAAATACCTCATAAAATTGAGAAAGATTTGGCTGAATACAACGACACAATGTAGGCGTTCAAAATGCAAAAATGAAGCGATTCTTAAGGAATTTTTGTGATTAACACGTTATGCTTGTTTTCGCTTTTTAAAAGTCCATCTATTGCTTTAATGTGATCTCCAGCACCAAATCTCTTTTAACCACCCTTGAAATAACATTTATAATTGACAGTCTCCATCAGAAATATCGGCTTTGAAATATCGCTTCCAAACTTGACTTTGTTTCTCTCCTCTGTTTGGTATCTCATTAATCACAAAAATTGATTAATGGTTTTGTCTTGTTAATGATCGTTTTTCCTAAATTAACGACTATTACCGAAAAGTCATCAAATTACTGACCAATCTTTTCCTTTTTTTGTATTTTGATTTCTTAATCGTCCCTTGCTCAGCCATTGCTTGCATTTCTCTTTATTAATGTTCAATCCACGTATTTTCAACTTATAAGCTAAATTTCAACTTATACGCTAAACTTTTATTTAATTATGCAAGTTTCGCAGTATGCATTGTAAACTATTAGTCTGATGATGTCTTTGGAATAAAGACGAAATATTACACCATCTTTTGTTTTAAAACTCTTGTATTATCTTGAATATCAAAAAACGAGATGTCCGTTTTCGGAATTTGTTTTATTTTGTTGAACTTCCTAAGAACAGCAAGTGTTTACCATGAGGACTAGAGGTGGATGATATCTTTAAGCATGGTGTAATGTATTCATGATATGTTTGATCCACATGATTGCTCAACATCCATTGTTTGTATTGAAAAATTAGTGGATAACTGTAAAATGGCGATTATTTGAAATGTGAACATCTATCGCATAAAGATTTTTTCAAATGTCGTCTCCTATTAAATTAGGAGTTTCCAATTGAAGTATAACGACTTTTCGAATACAAACGATCACATTCGATTACTTCAACTTCATTCATTGGATTGGACTATAAAATGAAAAATTTGAGCAAAAGACTTAGTTTTTTTCGGGCAAAATTTTGTGTAGGTATTCCCTTCCTTGCTTGATTTTTTTTTCAGAAATTATACTGTGGTATGTATTATGTATGTAGTATGTACGAAAGTGTCGTATTCCATTCTCAAAAATTCAGCAAGAGAATTACCATTTGCACACTGTGTGCACAGTATTTCCTTCCTCAACTTCAACATCGTGATTACTTCAGCTCTTTCTAACGCTCAACACACCAGGGCGTTGAAGACTCATCGCAAAATTATCGTATTTATTAATACAGTAAGTTATAAAGGAAGATACACGTATACATATACATAAAGTGATAATCAATGGAACAAACCAAAATATAGTATGATTAATCTATAAACCATCGAGATTTTCACAAGTACTTAAAATGATTAAAAATTAGAAATATATCAATAGAAATTTGGTTGTAAGAAATCATCGTTTATCGCCAATTTTGTCACACAACATCTGTACATAAATAGTTTTTATAATCATGCAATCTATATTTTCCTACATGATATCGAAAAAAGTACCTTAGCACGTTTGAAAAATGGCTATTAGCTGTAGCAGTATCAATTTTTTCTTGTGCTTTCCCCAAAATGGGATCTCGATTGCTAATTTTCTCATCACCTCACAAGCATTCTAAAAAGTTGAAGCATGACTTCAGTATAAAATTCTATCGTGGTATCGTTTAACACAGCTAATACTTTTCTGAAAGGATACAACAGCAGGCTGAACGGAAGGAGCATCTTTATAATGTCATCAGTTTAGTCTACTGCTTCTCAATGAACTGATGCATTATAAAATGCTATAGTTGTTAACTTCTTGCTCGTTCATCGTGTTCCTCAATGCCATAAATATTTCACAAGTCATACGAAATTAAAACTGGGGAAATACTCAAGTTACGACTACATTTCTTCCTTTCGACATCAACTTAAAGACATCGTTGCAACTTTGTTTGGTTATCTTTTTAAGTAATAGCTTTCGTTGAAAATCGCTTCCATACTTGACTCTTCCTGGTATCTCATTAACACTAATTTGTCACAAAAATTGACAAATGGTTATGTCCTGCTGGTGATTGGTTTTTCCTAAATTATCGGCTAGTACCAAGATATCTTCAATTCAATTACCAATCTTTTCCTTTCTTTTTGTGTACTTCGAAGTTCTCAGACGCTCTCGCATTGCTCTTCATTAACATTTACTTTCAATGTATTTTCAATGTATTCATATACTTTTCAAAAGGTTTTCCAAGGTCATTGATTCCATTTATTATTCAGTTGCATTCAAAAATGTTGACTGCGATCTTCAACACGTTCAAATACTTCGGCAATCAAATTAGCAGAAAACTAACGATACGCGTCGTCCATTATGTCTACCTTTTTGTCTAACGTTTTGTCCACCTTTGTGTCTACTTTTGTGTCTACCTTTGTGTCTACCTTTACGTCGACGTTTGTGTCTACCGTTATGTCTACCTTTATGTCTAACGTTTTGTCTACCTTTGAGTCTATCTTTGTGTCTACCTTTACGTCGACCTTTGTGTCTTCCTTTGTGTCTACCTTTATGTCTACCTTTATGTCTACCTTTATGTCTACCTTTATGTCTACCTACCTTTATGTCTACCTTTATGTCTACCTTTGTCTACCTTTATGTCTACCTTTATGTCTACCTTTATGTCTTCCTTTATGTCTACCTTTATGTCTACCTTTATGTCTACCTTTATGTCTTCCTTTATGTCTACCTTTATGTTTCCTTTGTGTCTTCCTTTATGTCTACCTTTGTGTCTTCCTTTATGTCTCTACCTTTATGTCTTCCTTTATGTCTTTTTATGTCTACCTTTATGTGTGTGTCTTCCTTTATGTCTACCTTTGTGTCTTCCTTTATGTCTACCTTTATGTCAACCTTTATGTCTACCGTTATGTCTATATTTATGTTTACCGTGATAACTACCTTTTTATCTAACCTTGTGGCACTTTTTTGTCTACCTTAATGATTATTTTTTTGTCCACCTTTTTGACAACCTCTATATTTATCTTTATAACTATCTTTTTATCTACTTTTATGTCTTAGTTTTTCTCTACCTTTATGTCTTTCTTTATGACCACCTTTTAATCTATTTTTGTGTCACCTTTATGACTATATATTTGTCTATTTTAATATTTACCTTGGTGTCTTCCTTTATGTCCAAATTTGTTTGTGTCTTTTTGTCTACTTTTTTTGTCTATTGTGTCTATTTTTATGCCGTCTACCTTAATGAATATCTTTATGTTAACTTAATGTGTACTTTTATGTCTACCTTTACATCCACTTTTTTCCCCTACTCTTTTGTCTACCTTTGCCTTTACGTTTTTGTCCACTTTTACATGTCTACCTTTATTTCCATCTTTACGAATATCGTTTTGTCTACTTTGGTGTTTACGTTTTTTTTCTGTCTCTGTGACTACCTTTGTGTCTACTGTTGTATACTCTTTGTGTCTTCTTTTATGTCTGCAACTATATCTTTTTGTCTAACCTTGCGGCCACTTTTTTGCCTACCTTTCTGTCTACCTTTCTGTGTACCGTTATGTCTACTTTTTGTCTATGTATTTGTGTACCTTGGGGTCAACTTTTGTCTCTACCTATTTGTCTACAATTTTTCTGCTATTTTGTCTAATTTTATTTCTAACATTGTGTCTAGTGTTGTAAGTTCATTTTGTCTTTTTGAAATGTCGTTAATGTTGTCCTTTTCGTCTACCTTTGTGTCTATTTTATGACTTTTCTATCATAGGAGTCGGACACATGAATGATGAAAGGTAAAGAGAAGAAAGCCCATTTTCATCTGGTAAAGTGCGCGGATATAAATATATATATATTCATAGGACGTCCAAATGAATTTGAATTAAAAGTACACAAGCCAACAATTGCTCATTATCGAATTTTTAGAAAAAGTTTAATGAAAAAAAGAAATTTGAAAGGTGCGTTATGGAAACACTGAACATTAAAATACAGTTCTCGAACAGACATAAACTTTATATATTTTCAAAACAATTATATTATCGTGCAGAGATTAATACATAATATTACTAAGGAAATATGTCTTTTAGTAGCAGTGCGTTGGAAAAGAAACTAAGTGAATTATCGAGCTCTCAGCAGAGCATACAAACTCTCTCGTTATGGTTAATTCATCACCGTAAACACGCAAAAACTGTAGTCGATGTTTGGTCAAAACAGCTTTTAAAAGGTATGTTCTTTTCATAATCTGTATTTATTTGACATCTTCACGATAAAATAGCACGTTCTTATCAGTGTAAATAGTGGCTGTTAATGATGTTATCTTAAAGTATAAAGACCTTGTCAATTCTTGCCAAGTGCGGTATCTCGAATCCTTTCAAACTTTATAATAGTGAGGCCAGTAACTGTTCATTTTCTTGTTGCAACTTTCTTATAGTTAAACCAGCCAAGAAAATGACCTTCATGTATCTTTGCAATGATGTCTTACAAAATAGTCGAAAGAAGGGAACCGAATTCAATAAAGAATTTGTAACCGCTCTCCCCAATGCTATTAGTCATTGTTCTAAGTAAGAAAAATATTCAATGAAAGTTATGATAATTATGATAATTCATGTTACATTTTACTATAATATGCCCATGAATCAATTTTTTTACTATCAAAGAGAGTTCTTACCTGAAATGCAAAAATCGTTGGAAAGAATTATTGACATTTGGTCCCAGAGAGGTGTCTACGAAGCAGGAGTTATTGAGAAGTTTCAAGCCTCACTTGGTTAACCACAAACTAAATACATCTCATTCTCAAAAGTATTTTTTTGACATTTTTTTTCATGTTTCTTGTGTTCAGCTTCCAAAACCTCATCACCAGCAGCAAAACGCTCACGGATTGAACCACCTTCAAATGAGGTTGATCAAGTGGACAACCAGAATAATGATGAACATAATGAAAATGATGAGTCGGAAGATGATGAAACTGCTGAACCTCCAGAAGTATGACATTTAGTGTGTATTTTGTCAATGCTGGTTGAAATGGCATACTTTATTTAACAATTACTGGTTTCCTTGGACTATAGCCTGAGTTAAGAAAAGCATGTGAAACACAAGCCAAATGCCAGTGATATGCACTGCTTTTCTTAACTCATGCTACATTCCAAGGATCAAATTATCTAAACACTTAGGGAATTGTTTGTAAAATAACAAAAATTGTCTTCATTCTCATATAAGTTTTAAAACCCTCGCAAATGCAATTTATATTTTCATATTTAGATGACCTGTTACAACAACATGTGATAGACTTTTGTTTGGGAAGGGGGGAGGCTTATCTATTCATGCTTTGTGGATTTGACTCCCTCTCTGTTTTTGCCTGCAGTCCGACTATCTTATCAAAGCGCTTAAAGATTTGGAACGCAGTGCATCACAGGATGCAGAGGTGCGCGAGAGGATAGCTAACCTTCCTACCGAAGTGCAAGATGCATCTGGTTTGGAGAAAATACAAGGTATTAGACAGCAGCAAAATTTCCATGATTTTGCTACTTGCAAAGATTGAGATAAGGTCAAGCTGCAAACGCATGTGTGTTTCTACTTTTGTTTTTTTCAGATCGTGAAAGTGCAGAGAAACTAGCAAAAGTTGTGGAGAGTGCATGTGTTTTACTTGCAGACTACAATGGTCGATTATCAGCAGAACTTGAAGATAGAACGACTGTGTGCAAAATGCTCAAAGCATATCTGTCCTCTCAAAAGAAAAAAGTTGCTGATTGTGATAAACGCATCGAGGTCATAATTGACAATTGTCATTAATATTGATAGTTAGAACCTTATTTCATAATTGCAATCAATAATTGAAAATTGTACGAATCACAACTTTACCGATCCTATAAGTTTTGTGTATGACGCTGTGTTCTTGCTTCATTCTTAATTTTCTTTCATTGTAGAAATACAAGGCGAAGTTAGAAAAAGTTGCGCTAGTGAGGAAGGAGCTACGTGCCCATCTAGACAATCTTCCTGATTTAAGTCTTCTACCTGACGTCACTGGCGGTTTAGCGCCCTTGCCGTCCGCGGGCGACCTTTTCGCGAGGTGACTTTAGGAGAATATATTTGTGTAAATACTAAATATCATGATTTTAATTTTCAAGTCTAACATACAACTTCGATTCTTAGTCTCAATATTTATAACATTACATAAAAATGAATTTTACTGCTGTCTCAGAGCTGGTTTATAACATTTTAACCAACCTTAAACAATGCTGGAAACGTTTTTGTCAGAAAAAATATTTGTTAATAAAAATTGACTCTACAATATCGACAGTTCATGCTGTTACCGCAGTATTTTATGTATGATTTGAGCCCAGTGTAACTTGACCAGCATCACTTTCACACCCGTTGATTGATTTAGATGGATATTCACAAACATCTTCGGTCGTTTCCATGCATGAATTAGACGATTTTCGTGGCTTCCAAAGAAGCGGATCGTCAACCTGACGAATAGATAAATATTTATCGCCATGTGCGTGAGGGTAAGCAAACTATTGATAATGGCAGCAAAGACCCTCCCAAGCACAATCTGTTGCATTTTAAAACGATGGACAATGCAAAATGGAATTAATTCATAAAATACTTCAATCTGTCCAAATTAACAAATAATACGTTGCACCCCCCTGAGGTGGTTTAGCTTGAGTTGCATATACGTGTCAACAGCACGACATTAGATGGGGGGTGGTGTGGTGGTGGTAGTGGTTCTTGTTGCCATACCTGAACTTTCACTATGACATCCACCCAATCCAAGTTTTTAGATAGACAGAGCGCCTCGGGTCTTCTCCAGCATGTTGGACTTTGGGACTGTTGCAACAAGAACGATCGACAATAGGAACCTTTGAGACAGAAGGAGCAGTCTCCACCACACCAGTCGCCCCAGTCCACAACGGGGCAAGATTGACTGCGTTTAAACTCCGGCCTAAAACCTTCGTGAAAAGAAGACAAGCATTACAAAGATTGTGCAATAGCAACTAAGAACTGGAACCAGACAAACCAATTCATTTATTTATATGATGAAAAAGCTAATATACGTACCTTTGCTTGGTGCGCTGCAACTGTAACTTCGAGCGAAGTACTTTCCTCCCGGATTGTCAATAGATTTTACAATATTCTCAATTTTCTCTTTGCTATCCTAAAGCGGAAGTTAAAGTGCCATCTTGAAAAAGTAAATTACTACAGTCTACGTTCTGTGCAATACTACCAACTTCGTTAAAAAAGTTCATTCGAAAGTTCATACATTCAAGGCAAACGTAAAGAATCTTGAACATGTGAGTCTTCAACATGTCCATCTACACTACTCTATAACTTCAACATGTCCATCTACTTACTCTATAACTTCAACATGTCCATCTACACTTACTCTATACCTTCAACATGTCCATCTACACTTACTCTATAACTTCAACATGTCCATCTACTTACTCTATAACTTCAACATGTCCATCTACTTACTCTATAACTTCAACATGTCCATCTACTTACTCTATAACTTAAACATGTCCATCTACTTACTCTATAGCTTCAACATGTCCATCTACTTACTCTATAACTTCAACATGTCCATCTACTTACTCTATAACTTCAACATGTCCATCTACTTACTCTATAACTTCAACATGTCCATCTACTTACTCTATAGCTTCATCAGTTCCTATGATTTCAATTTCAAGTTCGTCATCTTCATTTTCTTCAATTTTCTCATTACTCTCTACTTTAGATTCGACACAAGCCAAATTTTCACAAGTCACGAGATTTCTTTCCCCCGAGAACACTTCCTCATCGTGTTGTTCCTCAAATGCAGATTCACTATTGGAGTTTGTGATCTGCTCTAACATGGCTTTTGATTCGTTCAGACGACTTTCAGATTCGTCGCTCGTCTCTTGTTTTACTTCAATGTTCGACTTTTCTTCGTACATCTCATTTTTACAGATTTATTTTCTGTCCATAGTGAAACACTCTCGGCTTTGTGGCATTCGTCGATATTCTTAAATCTACTTCTCCTATTTTTATCGTGGAGAACGTTAATTCTCGCCCCAGACTCCGTCTTGATGGTATTAATGGAGGACCCGCCAAAACCAATGACTGGAAAAGACAAATAGAATAAAAAAGAATACAAACATTCCATCATGCATTATCGGTGAAAAATTGGAACAAATTAACCATACCTCGGCCGACATATTTCCTGGCAATTTTGACATAAACCTTCTTCTTTGTCAGATGAAAACTGAAAGTTGAGAAGAAATGAAGCTTTTTGTTACATGGTAATCTTTTGCACAAAGTTGCGGTGTGATCAGCAAAAAAATAAACAAAGGAAATTGATAAGTTCCCTAAACGAAATTATAACACCAAAAGTTGCAATTTATTTTGGATAAAGGCACAATAATCAAAGACGTATTTAATCTGGTAGTAAAAACCTTCTCTTATAGTTCTCCTTTCTGGCTTCATCGTCTATAAGCAACCAAAGAAAAAACTCTAAATCTTTAAATAAGCATAACTCAAAAGGAAAAAGTCGCATTCATGGATGTATGAGTAGAGTCAACACTAGTGTTCAGAAGGTGGATATGTATGGGTAGAGTGTTCAGAAGGTGGATATGTATGGGTAGAGTCAACACTCGTGTTCAGAAGGTGGATATGTATGGTAGAGTGTTCAGAAGGTGGATATGTATGACAACAGTGTTCAGAAGGTGGATATGTATGGTAGGTGTTCAGAAGGTGGATATGTATCGGTAGAGCAACATCGTGTTCAGAAGGTCAATCGTGTTCAGAAGGTGGATATGTATGGGTAGAGTGTTCAGAAGGTGGATATGTACAGTGTTCAGAAGGTGGATATGTATGGGTAGAGCGAACAATCGTGTTCAGAAGGTGGATATGTATGGGTAGAGCGAACAATAGTGTTCAGTAGGTGGATATGTATGGGTAGAGCAACAATCGTGTTCAGAAGGTGGATATGTATGGGTAGAGCAAACAATAGTGTTCAGTAGGTGGATATGTATGGGTAGAGCCAACAATCGTGTTCAGTAGGTGGACATGTACGTGTAAAGCCAACAATTGTCTTTATTAGGTGGATATGTATGGGTAATCTCTTCGTTACGTATGCGTAAAGCCAACAAACGTGTTTAATGGTGCACATTCTTCGCCTTCGCTTTTCTAAAAAACCAAGTGTACACAAAATCACCTGTTTTCAAAGCCTCGTTGAAAAGTTAGTTGATTGACACCAACGACTGCAAGTGAAGATTTTATAATAGATAAGAAGCCTTCCCATTGGCTGCTTCATTTTTTTCTACAAACATATTGCACCTACATGTACCTTATTGCTACCTATATGTACCTTATTGCTACCTACATGTACCTTTCTGCTACCTACATGTACCTTATTGCTACCTACATGTACCTTATTGCTACCTACATGTACCTTTCTGCTACCTACATGTACCTTATTGCTACCTACATGTACATTACACCATGTAATTCTACAGTAAATGTTTCAATAATAATTACCATATAATTAACTTGTTTAAGCAGTCCAATATTCATTTTACTTACGCTACACTCTCGTCATTTCCAACTATCTCGAATCTGCATTCTTCTGAACTCTCGTCTTGCATATTTTCTTCATTCTCTAATAAATTTGCATATGTAATAGGTATCATCAATTATTCAATGAATGCTACTATATGAAAAGAAAGTAGAACGAAACCTTTCTCTCTCTGTTTGGATAAAGTGGATACTCTCGCCCCAGTCTCCTCTTGAATAGATAACACAACACTACCATGTGCTCCGATAACTGTGTTAAATAATAAAAAGAACTGAATGTTAATTTCTGATAGAAAGTATAACATATCTGAGAAAGGACATATATTAAGGAGGAACAAGGCATAAGTTTGTTATTGAGGGACAAGGCATTTATTGCAGAGAGATGGGTTGTTTATTATAGAGAGATGCCTGATAAAAGCTAATGTTTCAAGGGGCATTTATTTGATCATTTACAGCATGGAACTGAACATTCATATAAATACTACCCTTCCCGCCAACTCAATTATCAATCTTCCCGCATGGAACTGAACATTCATATAAATACTACCCTCCCCGCCAACTCAATTATCAATCTTCCCGCATGTCTGTTACAACCATAGTGTTCAACTTGTGTAGCAGCCCTAAATTAACAGAGTTTTTTCAAATTGCTTGTGTAGAGTGTCAAAAAACTCCCCCCCTGGTTTTTAAAATAACTTCACTCAGTGGATTTTAAAAGATCAAACATTTATATTCATTAGCATAATGGCATTATGACCAAACCTCTTCCTGCAAACTTTGTTGGAACTTTGACAATTTCTTTCTTTCTGTCAAAAAATCTGACAAAAAAAAAACAGCAGAAAAACTATAAAAAATGTTTTGTACATGGATGTTGATTGTCCTGGAGAAGGATTGTTGGTGTTAGTGCTATCTGACATATGGATATACATAGCATAGTCATCTCCTGAGTCTAGTGACTTGATGTGTGATCAAGATATTCAAACATGTAATGTAATGATACTTCAGGGTTCAAACCATTCAATCAATAATAAATATCAACAAGGCATTAAGAACCATTATATTACAAAAATGTTGAAACAAAACTGTGTCAATGTGTTAAACTAAATCAACTTAAAACAAACAGTCGGCTTTAATGGTACTATCTTCAAAACATTAAATAGAGTAACAATTCATCACACCTTTTATGGTTGTTATTGTGGTCATTCTTCCATGTTCCAAATCCTTCACAAGAGCTTGATGGTGATAAAACTAAACAGAAATGGTATCATAAACCGAGATCAAGCTCAACACTTTATTTTATCTTTTGAAAAAAGCACTACCTAAATTCTCAATATCTTCCTCCCTATCACGCACATTTTCACCTTCTAACAAATTATTAGTGTCTCTTTGCCAGGTGCTATCATTTGCTTTAAACACATCATCCTTTTCTTCCTTATCATCTTCTTTTCCTTCTAATGTTCCCTCACTTTTTGCTGCTGTTTTTTCATCCTCTTTTGATGAAATCCCCCCTCTGTCTTGGGATTTGATTTTCTGCACTTCCACATCTTCTTTATACTTGTCAAACTTGTCTGTTTCAGTGTTTCCACTTTCATCAAATTTATTATTATTTACCTCAGTGGATTTCTCCATAAAATGGATTTCTTCAGGAGATGCCTTTGCAACATGACTTTTGCCAGATAAATTTTCCTTAAATCTATTCTTTGTCAACAATTCTTGCTGTACATCCACACATAAATGATTTTTGTCTTCTGTTTCCTCAAAAACATCTTCAGATGATTCTTTCACGGGTTCATCTAAAGTAGTCAACGTACTTGTTTGATCTGGCACAAGTTGTGTTTGACTACTTTGGCGCCTTTTAATAAAGTCTGCTGCTGACCGACCGGGTTTCACACTCAATGACGTTTTTCGTTTTGATGACAGCAAGCCAAGAAATGTCATGACCTCTTTTTTCATTGGGTCAATAAACTGAAAAATAAAAATAAAATTTTGCAAGTCATAAGCAGAAGACGAAATCAGTTGTACATTATAAGACATGAATGAAATACATCATGGATGGATATCAATGACAATATTGTTTTTTCAGGAGAGAAATCAAGGAAAACCCTGCCAGATACTTAATAATTACATGCAAGCCTTATATGAAGTCTAACCTTTCCTATCCCGATTGTCATTTGCAGTCCTTGAGGCAAGGTTCTATAATCGTTCCTAATTCAGAGTGAAGGTCCATGGTTGTAACTTTACTGCATTTTATTGCCATCAATTATAAATACTATAGATTTTCACCACCATCCCCTAAGCCTTTATCATACATAAGGGTTTTTTGCATGTACCTCAATAGAAACCATCCTTGAAATTCAATGGACATTATAAGCCGATACAATCATTGATTTAATCATTACCTCATTATCATACTGTGTTCTGTACCACCGAGTCTGCTCCTTCGATCTCCTCCATCCGCTCCGATAGAATTCAATAAGACTCAAGAGTCTCAATTTACTGTACGACGATAATTTCGATGAAGACAAAATAAAATTCCGGCGAATTACATCCCACGCCATCATAAAGTTAGTAGGATGCAATTCTGATAATTGCTTTCCGATTGTCTCAAAGATATCCACAACAATATCTACAAAAACTTCACTTGTCCATAACGGTCGCTTCACGTATGGCCAGACACTTCGTCCAATTTCGCCGAGAAGTGATTTTAACGAATCAACTTTACATGACTTGCACAGAAAGCAAACCAAATCGGCGTCTAACCTATTCAAATTTTCAATGGTGCTTATTCGCTCCAGAAGATCGACACACGCTTGACGAAACCTCTTTTCTAAATGCAACGAGCTCTTCTTTATTTTTCCATCCACATCTCTCATGACAGAGAACATGACTTCTCTGTTGCCATGTCGATATCTATCAAGGACGGATAAATGAGAAAATGTTTTTAACACGCTTTCCGCGTCCTCGTGTGTCGATACAAGTTCTGCAATCTTAGCTATTTTTGACTCATATGTCTCTTTCGGCATACTCTCTTTTTCATAAATATCCATCAAAAGACACGCATTCTTTATGAAAGGTATTCAAAGGCAGTCTCGCGTCATCAACAACAACCACCGATGGTTTTCTTTGCAAACGACGCTTGCATGCTGGACGAATCATACTTTTCACGAAAGACGTTGTTGCTACAGCCATGATGGTGTTTAATAAGGCGACAATGCCATGAACCAACACATGGTAATTAGCTCAACTTTAGAAGTATTTGTGTAAAACGATGCCATGCATGATCCAATAATCAGGTGTTGAAGTATCGTATTACCGAAGAAACTCCGAGAGGATTAGCTAGTCATTCGCACGAATTCAAAAAGTGAAAGCACGGTAGAAGCGGCTTATATCCACTGAGTTATATTTTAGGCACTGGAAATATGCCTTACTACACTGTATTTCGGGAGAGTGCAAAAAATTGCAAGTCAACAATTTTTAATGTTTTTTAAATATGCTAAGCCAAGGTATCACTGGATTCGTAACGTCGATGTCCACGTGATTTATACCAGATTCATGCATAGGAAAATCCAACTTCGACCAATTGCGAAGTTCGCACGACATTTATAAACACAGTTCACCATTTTCTGATTTGTCTTTTCAAATTTTTCAGGGGGGGGGGGAGTTATATATGCTAATAAAAAGCGAAATATTCACGATTTTAATTTCAAAATCCACAACATACGAGCTGTGGCGAGAGGCGTTTTTCGAGTTTTTGATAAAAAAATTGCCATTTCCCACCATGGTAGGTGTCTTAATGTTTTAATAATTTCAAATAATTTTCCTTGTATTTCTATTGCATGTTTTTTAAACTTTATTTCTTTTCCAATGTCTGCTACACTACGTACGCTTCGAAGAGAGAATTTGATTGTATTTCAGGCTCCACCGACCCAGCTCTCATCGCAAGACGAGCAGGAAAAGCTTCTTGATGAAGCTTTACAAGTCGTCAAGTCGCAATCATTTCAAATGAAAAGATGTTTGGTAAGTTCATATTTATAGTACGTGAGCACGTATTGCTGGGCAGGAAATGCAGCTCTTGCCCACATTATTTGTCAAATCTACACTGAGGAAGTATTCTGAATTCATTTGGTTGTTAAGATCTTATTTATTAATCGTTTATGAAGTTATCGAATGTGGTGAGTTGAAACACTTCTTGCTACTGAGCATACTCACTGCTTGCATACAATTATATTTAGAACTAGATGGGCCTTGAACCATTACCACAGAATAATGATTATACAGACGGGTCCTCAATGTCGGCCATTTGTTCAGCCAGATGATTAGGACTTCTCACTTGTTCCCAACCATTAAAATTACTTGACATCAATACTTAATAATGAATTCAAATATATTTTGACTTAAGAAATGACTTCGGATCATTTTAAAAGTTTGGAAAAGTCAAAAACCCTAATCATCTGGCTGAAATAATGGTGGCCACCATGCGTGGCACAACATACACGAGGAAAAAAACGTCAAAGGTTCCAACATGAGTGACTCTTCTGTATATTGTTATTCTGTGCCATTACCCTGTAATTGTACCACATTTTCTCAGGGCTGAGCTGTTTCACTTAACCTGTATATGGGTTCTGACTCCATCCCCAGCTTTTGATAGGTAGACATGTTTGGAGTTGACAGCATCAAAAAACTTTTCACTTTTCAGGATAAAAGCAAACTGATGGATGGTCTTAAACATGCATCAAATATGCTTAGCGAGTTGAGGACATCTCTCTTGTCTCCGAAAAGCTATTATGAACTTTGTATCTTTTGTCAAACACTTGTATAGCACCAATATAGAAATGATAAATCCAAACAAACAAAGGATATTAAGTGTCCATCACTTTATGTCTGATTCAACCAATCAGAAAACCGGTCAATATTTTTGGTACTCACTTACTGAACATCAGTTCTTTTTTCAATTTAGATGTTAAGAATCAGGTTTAGCAGACAAGGTTTTATAAGTCTTAGAGTTATTTGATCTAGTATTTACACAGTAATCTTTATGGTTTGTAGAGAAATATTATTGACAAATCTCACATCCTACAGAAATATATGCTTGTATTCAGCTTCAGTCCTTCAATTCAGCAAATTTTAAGAAATCATTTCCTTAACTTCAAACGAAAAGACATGGCCATTTCAGATCAGTTACGTCATCTTGAATTGCATCTTGTTGACGAATTCCAGAAGGGAAGAAAAGTTTCTGACCTTTATGAATTAGTGCAATATGCAGGAAATATTGTACCAAGATTGTAAGAATTTTGCAAAACTCTGTTTTCTCCTTGGAACTTATCAGTGACACGTTGATCTGTTGAAATTTAGATATTTATTGATCACTGTCGGGGTAGTTTACATCAAGGCAAGGGAAACTTCCAGGAAAGATATCTTGAAAGATCTCGTGGAAATGTGTCGTGGTGTGCAACATCCGTTGAGAGGTTTATTTCTGAGAAATTATCTCCTCCAATGTACTAGAAATTTGCTGCCAGATTTAGAGGAAGATGCCAGGTGTCTTTTTGCTTCTTTTACGCGAAAAATACTTTGTGCAATCGTTAGTGAACCTATTCGTTTCGTGAGGGAATTTTTTGATTATACAATGAAGATTTGGGAAATGAGCGTTTTTAAAGCCTCGATTTTCATTCAAATTCCCACAGGGAACATCTTCGGTAAAAAAGCGTTACAATTCATGTGCGCGATCGTCAAGATTGCAATTTTATTTTTAAGAGCATATTTAGTAGAACGACGTAATGTGAATTGTGTTAAATTTTCAGTGATGTCGAGGATGGTGACGTGAAAGATTCCATTGACTTTATTCTCCTGAATTTCTCGGAAATGAACAAACTTTGGGTGCGCATGCAACATCAAGGACACACGCGCGACAAAGAGAAGAGGGAAAAGGAACGACAGGAACTTCGTATTTTGGTGGGAACAAATCTTGTTCGTCTCAGTCAACTTGACGGCGTTGATGTTAACTTGTATCAGACGGTAGGTTTTCTGTACCATTCAATTTATAGCTGTTCCTGTTCCTATAGCTAAGTTGTTTTCAAGTGCTAACGACAATTTTTCAATTTCTGTAGGTTGTGTTGAAAGGCGTTCTTGAACAAGTGGTGAGTTGCAAAGATGCCATTGCACAGGAGTATTTAATGGAATGTATAATTCAGGTAAATCTAATAAACATTAGTTTTGACTTTAATGAGTTTAACGTCCTCCTTGAGATTGTAAAGGTCTTCCCTGCTTGAGATTGTAAAGGTCTTCCCTGCTTGAGATTGTAAAGGTTTTCCCTGCTTGAGATGGTAAAGGTTTTCCCTCCTTGAGATGGTAAAGGTTTTCCTGCTTGAGATTGTAAAGGTCTTCCTTCCTTGAGATTGTAAATGTTTTCCCTCCTTGAGATGGTAGAGATTTTCCCTCCTTTAGATTGTAAAGGTTTTCCCTCCTTGAGATGGTAAAGGTTTTCCCTCCTTTAGATTGTAAAGGTTTTCCCTCCTTGAGATTGTAAAGGTTTTCCCTCCTTTAGATTGTAAAGGTTTTCCCTCCTTGAGATTGTAAAGGTTTTCCCTCCTTGAGATTGTAAAGGTTTTCCTGCTTGAGATGGTAAATGTTTTCCCTGCTTGAGATGGTAAAGGTTTTCCCTGCTTGAGATGGTAAAGGTTTTCCCTGCTTGAGATGGTAAAGGTTTTCCCTGCTTGATATTGTAAAGGTTTTCCCTGCTTGAGATGGTAAAGGTTTTCCTGCTTGAGATGGTAAATGTTTCCCTGCTTGAGATGGTAAAGGTTTTCCCTGCTTGAGATGGTAAAGGTTTTCCCTGCTTGAGATGGTAAAGGTTTTCCCTGCTTGAGATTGTAAAGGTTTTCCCTGCTTGAGATGGTAAAGGTTTTCCCTGCTTGAGATGGTAAATGTTTTCCCTGCTTGAGATGGTAAAGGTTTTCCCTGCTTGAGATGGTAAAGGTTTTCCCTGCTTGAGATGGTAAAGGTTTTCCCTGCTTGAGATGGTAAATGTTTTCCTGCTTGAGATGGTAAAGGTTTTCCCTGCTTGAGATTGTAAAGGTTTTCCCTGCTTGAGATGGTAAATGTTTTCCCTGCTTGAGATGGTAAATGTTTTCCCTGCTTGAGATGGTAAAGGTTTTCCCTGCTTGAGATGGTAAAGGTTTTCCCTGCTTGAGATTGTAAAGGTTTTCCCTGCTTGAGATGGTAAATGTTTTCCCTGCTTGAGATGGTAAATGTTTTCCTGCTTGAGATTGTAAAGGTTTTCCCTGCTTGAGATGGTAAATGTTTTCCCTGCTTAAGATGGTAAATGTTTTCCTGCTTGAGATGGTAAAGGTTTTCCTGCTTGAGATGGTAAATGTTTTCCCTGCTTGAGATGGTAAATGTTTTCCCTCCTTGAGATTGTAAAGGTTTTCCCTGCTTGAGATGGTAAGGGTTTTCCCTCCTTGAGATTGTAAAGGTTTTCCTGCTTGAGATTGTAAAGGTTTTCCCTCCTTGAGATTGTAAAGGTTTTCCCTGCTTGAGATGATAAATGTTTTCCTTCCTAGAGCTGTTGAAGCTTTTCCCGCCTTGAAATTTCTATAATTTTCATTTCCTGCAATTTTACAGGTTTTCCCCGACGAGTTTCACTTGCAAACATTAAGCACATTTCTTCAATCGTGTGCCAATCTTCACGCCAAAGTAAACGTTAAGAACATCATTATTTCTCTTCACTCGCGTCTCGCTGCGTTCGCAGCAAAAGATGACGGCGAGGGTATACCTGAAGACATCAAATTGTTCGACATCTTCTCACAGCAAGTATCTACCATTGTACAGGTACGGACGACGGAGTTTGCTTAGCAAACAAATCGTTTCCAATTTTCCATTCACTGTTGTAAATTCGTTTCAGGCTCGTGAAGACATGCCGGTCGAAGATATTATTGCCCTGCAAGTTTCTCTGATAAATCTCGCGTTGAATTGTTATGAAGACCGCTTTGATTATGTCGATAAAGTTTTGGAGTACACTGAGGAAATATTTAGCAAGAAAAACTTAACCCAGTAAGCCATTTCACTTCAATTTTGACTGCGAAAACTACATGATTTTGTGGCAAAAAAACGCCATACTGCGTTAGCTAACTTTGAGTGTCGAAAAAGCTCGTTTTCTTTCATTTAGCGTGGAGAAAAAGCTCGTTTTCTTTTATTTAGCGTGGAGAAAAACAACGCCATATCTCGTGAGCTTACTCGACTGCTAAAAATCCCCGTGGATTGTTACAACAATATACTTAAATTGTTGAAACTAAAGTTTTTTGCGCCGTTGTTCAACTACTTCGACTACGATGCAAGAAAGGATATGGCCATTTATGTCATCACAAATGCCGTTGAAAACGAAACCCTAATACCATCACAGGACCTCGTGGATACCATTTTATCAATGGTTTCTCCCCTAGTCGTCGATCAACAGGATCAACCACCAGAACCAGTGAGTTGATATTCATCTGGCTAATGAATTTATTGGAAATCTTGTTGTTATGAACGGTCTTTATCCACGAGTCATCGTGTCTTTTGTAGGATGACCCCGAAGATTTTGCCGAAGAGCAAAGCCTCATGGGACGGTTTATAAATTTGTTTCATTCGGAAAACCTTGACCAGCAGTACTTGGTAAGAACACGTGACTTAATACCGTCATCAGTTATCCACGTCATTGACGCAACAAGCCCAGACATTTTCCCCATAAATTTCCACTATGATCACACGACCTTTCTCAGCTGCCAATATATACGCCACTTTTATTTTGTTTTAATCAACGATAGGTGATTGGTGAATGAAAACAGGTTACGTAATAAAAAGTTCAATCTCCAACGTATTTCTCTTAGATTTTGAACACGGCAAGGAAACATTTTGGTAGCGGTGGAGAGAAGAGGATAAAATTCACCTTACCCCCCGTGATATTCTCTGCTTATCGACTGGCAATGGACTACAACTATTTAGAAGACAAGGTTGCCATCGGAAAGCACATACATTATTATCACAAACATAAAGAAGATGTCACATTTTCTGGACAAGTCCAACCTAGGATCATCTCATTATACTTGCTATTGTGAAAGCCACATATTAGAAACATGTTTGACTGACAGATATGTGAAAATTTTACGAAATCTACGTGTCTCCGACGTCAGCATTGCCATCAATTGTCTCATTCGTCGACCCTTACTCCCCTTACTTTAATTGCTTTTTTTTTGTTTGACGTTACAGGATGAGAAATGGGACAAAAAATGTCAGAAAATTTTTCAGTTTTGTCATCAGACCGTCGGCGCTTTAGCAAAGTCGGAATATGGTGAACTTTCTCTACGACTCTATCTTCAAGGCGCTCTGACCGCTGACCAACACGACTTCTCGAACGCTGAGACCGTCGCATATGAGTTTATGAGCCAGGTGAGAAAAAAATTTCTTTTCTATTTAATCAGAAATTCAAGACATTACCGATTCGTCAGTATTTTGTAAAAAACATGGCTGCCGTCTTATAGATTTTTGCGAGGCTCGAGAGACGAATTTTTGAAATTAAAGGAACTATGGGACATATTGCATTTGCCGAGTTCAACTGTAGACGAGCAATACATATGTCGCTATTGCTTGGACAATTGTTAAATATGTTAGTGTTACCTTAAACAGGTTCCCCATTTAAATTTAAAGGTTTTACGAAATTATTAACGCTTCTAGGTGCTTTTACGTTTACGAAATGTAAGACTAAAACATTTTGGAATTGTGATAACAGTAGAAAGGTTTTGCACGCATGAAATCTAACTCGATATCTGCTTTGTGTCCCATAGACATCGTTTTAATTTAAAAATTTATCTCTCTAGCCTTGTAAAAATCTATAACCTTAAAAGCCATTTTTGATTAAAAAATCCTCGCCTATGGATAATTAACGTCTTGAATTTCCGGTGATCACTAATACCAAAACACACAGTTGTAAATCGTCTTTTGTAGGCTTTTTCTTTGTACGAGGATGAAATTAGCGATTCGCGGGCTCAACTCGCGGCAATCACTCTCATCATGGGCACTTTTGAAAAGATGACGTGTTTTGGCGAGGAGAACCATGAACCTTTGCGAACCCAATGCGCTCTTGCCGCAGCAAAGTTGTTGAAGAAACCAGATCAATGTCGAGCGGTTGCGATTTGTTCACATCTCTTCTGGTCTGCTAGCAACTCCGAGAAAGCTCAAAACGAGGTGAATTAATTTGACTGGCGTTGCATCTTGTTTTTTCAAGAAATAACGTCGCATCCTAATTCCCAACGAGCTCTTTCTTCGTTATTTCAAAGCTGAGATTTCTTTTGAGTTGGAATAAGATGAGGTTAAAAATTATACACATTATATCTTTCAGCGTGGTAATGAAAAACGTGTGATGGAATGCTTAAAGAAAGCATTACGTATCGCCAATCAATGCATGGACACAACACTACAAGTTCAACTCTTCGTCGAGATCCTAAATCGTTACTTGGTTTACTACGAGAACGGTTGCGAAACGGTAAGCTGAATGCCTTCAGGATCTTCCTCTTTGTTAAATACGCAAATTCATATTACCATTTATTCGCTGCTCTGCCTGTGTACGAAACAGAGGCGACCCCCCCTGAATCTTTTTTCATTAGAATCTTCTGTCAACCATTTTGAATGTACCCAGGGGGCATTACCTGTTTCCTGTACTGGCTGAGTAAGGAATCAGTAACGTTGCGCAATCAGACGAAAATCACTTGATGCAAACTTCTGGGTCGTGTTTCGCGAAAGCCGAATAGCGCGATCCATTGGATAGCAATGTGCATTTGAAGTATGAACCCGTGAAAAATCTCTTTTAAGGAAAAAGAACTACAAACTTTCATCATCGTAAAGAAAATATGACCACTTTTGCGAAAGTTTGAAAAAATTACCATCCAATGGATAACGCTTTTCAGGCTTCGTGCAAGCAGCTTCAAGCATGTTAGTATTCCGCGTGCTAATATTCTTCAATATGTACAGATAACGACTGCCATCCTGAAACAGCTGATGGAGAAAATTCGCGAAGAATTGCCGAACCTGGAATCTAGTGGCGAAGAAACGGATCAAATCAACAGACATTTTGAAAACACCGAAGCGCATATTCGCTCTAAGAAAGAAGAAAACGACGACTTGTATTCTGACGTTAATGTTTAATAATTATCATCACTGAACGCACATGATTTTAGTAGAAAATAACTATTTCTGTAGACAAATCAATACAAATTATTTCACACAATTTATGTTCATGAAATGATTCGTCTTGTGTTTGGCGTTCACACTCTTCTACAAGCAGACTTTCTTCAAGGGCTTTCGCATCATTAACATCAATAACCGCGAAAACCACAGTTGAAACAGTGAAATAATTACATAAAAATCTCAGCAGTTTGTCACAAAATTAGGCGGATTAGGTCAAAGAAGGATTCACATGTTGAATTTTGCAGTTGCATTTTGGTTCGACTCGATTACGTGTGAAAAATGTCTTGGCTTTTGCGGTCGTTGCAATACCATCATCAATGCGAGGTGCGGGTTTTACAAAAGGCCGTTTGGAGTCTGGTACCGAAACAATTTTGTCGAAGGAACAACCATGGGTAAACGTAAAGCGGCTTGTAGCAACGGATTTCAAATCCTTTTGCTGTTCATTCGCTTGGACCTCTTTTCCACTAGTTTCCAGGACCGCAGGATACGCGGTATCTTGAGAATTGTCAACATCAACCGGAGCGGGCAACATCAAAGGCAATGCTCTGAATTCATTAAGATCCACTGAACTTGGTGTTGTTGAATTCTCGCCATTACCAAACGTTTCTAATGTATGACGAGAAATCCGGTGGGAACTTGGTCGTTCCTAGAAAGCACAACAGATGGCATTTTCCAGGATAAAACCTGAGATTTAGAAGTGTTCTCAGCGAGTGAAACAGTGTTACTTGTGGACGTCTTATTTCCACTAGTTACACAGTCAAAGAGATCTTTGACTTCAATGTGCTTTTTAACAGTTTCTTTTTTCGTGTTTTGTTCTTCAACCTGCACAACTCTGTTCACGAAGGTGCACTTGTCTTGTACGTCAAGGTGATTGTCGGCACTTACACGCAAATCCGTATCGTGGGCGTATTGAAGAGGGTTTTCCAAACGGGCAGCAAACTCACTGTGTGAACTGGCAATCTCTTCGCTGGCATCATTTTCGGCTAATTGATAAAATTTCAACTCGCCCAGTTCTTGTAATACCTGTAAACTTTTTTCGCCGACCATAAAAATCGTCGGACACAAATACGTCTTTCTCGCTGTTGAGGATTGTACGATAACTGCCTTAGAAGGCGAACAACCCATCTTGGCCAGATCCTATTAACAAACATTAACGTGAGAAAAGATCATTCACATATTCAAGGATTTACAATGCTTTTTAATCAATACGTCACATCACTGGCCTAAAACTGTACATGTATGAGAAACGAATAGGCAACTTGGCTTGACAAACAATTGTTTGGTTGTAGGTCGACACTAACAATTATTCTATGAAGGTCCCATAATGCATTGCCGATTGTTGTACAAACGCAGCTGGTTTACTTGAGGAGACAGATTAAGCATACGCAGAGTTTTTAATATGTACTTGCGAACGCGAAAGTCTTGATATAAAAAGAAAATTTGCAAGAAACCGATCGCGCTTTTCTGCAATTCGTTATGTAATATTTACATTTAAATGATTGTTGTTTGAAAAAAAATCTATATATACATTGATCATAAAAAAACATTTCAATTAACATAGTACATAATCCCTAGCATAAAACATAACTCAAAAGAGAACGTTAATAATGAATAAAATTCAAGAGATAAATGACAAAATAGTTAAAGAAAAGCGAAGGCGACGATCAATGATTTTAATAATCCATTTATCGAAAGTAAAAACGTCTTCAGTGCACAAATAATTCATGTTAAAAGCCTCTCACCTGTCATTCGAAAGCAATTTCGTAAAAGATCGGACGATGTTTAAGGCAGATGTCTTTTTAAAGGATATTAAAGTGTTTGGATGGCTGGCAAAATGGCACATAGCATATTGTTCACGTATTTTCAAAAGTTATTTAGTCATTCGGTGGATTTTTCTATTCATTCACCTTACACTTTCAAGATTGGATAATTATAAAACAACGTCAAGACAGCCGTTTCCAGTTTGAATGACAGTTTTCAAGGGTTGCCCGATGAACGTGCGGATGATAAAATTACGTAATTCATATTTACCGCGGCGGTAAACGGAATCTTGCGTCAGTCAACATCATTTTATACGGTATAACAGCTAAATAGGATAAACCGACGTCTATTTCCGGTAAATTAACAAATAAAACAGCTAAATTTTTTTTTGTGGAAGCTGCGTGCTTAAAAATACGCATTACAGACACCAAACAACCTCAAAAAACTTGATCAAAATACAAGCTATTTTCAAAACGTACCTCCTAACTAGACAACAGTTATCTTTACCGTGTGAAAACAAGGTCGGGACAATGAAGCAGATACGATACGATCTCGTTCAAGCACGTCTCGTGTAACGAAGGCAATAAAATTACGGAGCGGCAGATATGCGCATAAGAACGTCCACAATTAAATATAATCTTATCCATATAGCTTAAAAGTTGACGATAATCGATGCAGATGGAAGAAATTAGACAAACGCCGATATTGGTCGGTTTTACACACACACAGATGAATTAAAAAGTGGATGTAAAAAAGAATAAAAGTTTACCTTGCTTTCTGCGTCATTTCCGTTTCCTCTTTTCTCGTATTTTTTCACATCTTGTTTGGAGTTGCTACGACAAGACAATTTTTTCACGTAATATGCCATTGGTAGATAGGAATGACTTCACCACGCAAAGAACGAGAAAGGACTACAGCAACTTCCAAGTGGGATACAATTAAAAAGCAACGTTTCGTAGAGATGGTCGAAAAACGCGAACTTCAACAAATGGAGTGATTTAAAAAAGCGAAGTGCGTTTAAAAGACCGTGGTAGTAGAACCGCAAATTCGAAATTAATAATGAACAAACCTTTTATCACTAATTATTCAAACGCTTTGCGCAAAATTGAACGATTTGCGGGGAAGTTTTAATCACGTTTAACATAAACAAAAATACCAAAAAACAGTGCGGTTTATTCCATTATCATAAGAAAGAATACCAAGACTTTTATCGCTCGCCAAATATCATTTCTCCAACGTTTTGGTCACTTTCGTGCAAAATTTACAACTTTTTTTGAGAATATTCTCACCAGCAGGATTCCTTTAAAACACAATTCATTCACAAAAACCATGACAAGCCGACAATTTAAATAAGTATACTATAAAACAAATTCCGAAGAAGCAAGACATCTTGCAAAATATGAATCAAAACAAGACGAGAAGTAAACTGTAAATTTTCGACAGAATGAGGATGACTTTGAAACAAAGTCGAAAATTTACAGTTTACTTCTCGTCTTGTTTTGATTCATATTTTGCAATCTCAAGATGTCTTGCTTCTTCGGAATTTGTTTTATATTACAATTCATTCACGTTCATTAAGTTTGTTCAAAAATACACAACTTTTTGCCATAAATAAATAATAGTGGCAATCGCAGGCAACAAGATAGAATGCGGTAGCCTAGAATGCGAAGCGTTGAAAACGACAAGGAAAGACCAGTGAACTATAATATCAAAAGTTCACTGGGAAAGACTTGATCAGTAAACTCATTACTAGACCACCGCGCAAGCACATATTGTTACCATGGAAACAATGATTCAGTGTTTCCATTTGTGGTGAAAAAGCTCCTTTCTACTTTCATGCCAGCCTGTACTCACGTGAAACAGGAAGTGGACGAAGGATGAAAAGACGTGACCTCTCAAGTGATCCAATCAAGTAAGGACATCCACGTCGTTTTGACGTCGTTTTTGGAATTTTGTGGCCGCTTCTCTGATCTGCATTTTAAAGATAAAAACACTTTATTAACGCACATCCATTATTAATTGATTGCGGTGCAAAACATCACATTTCCCACAATTTTTGGTGGAAATGTTTGCATTCTGCACAGCATTGTTCTCTCACAGTAATTATCCTTGTTGTGGCTTGAGCATAAATTCTCAGTATGAATGGGATTCTTAAAAAGCCGACATGACGAATAAAAACGTAAACAAAATACATCGGCTTGAAGCTTTCTGCGTTGAGCTTCCTTAAACATCGTTCATACGAGTGAAATAAGTCATGAACGACAAGAGTTTTGTTTCTTTTGCTCTAATTTTTTTAAATTATGTTTACGTTTATGTCAATGCTCATGTCAAATGCTTCATTGATTGCATTTGTTAAATCTTTCGTTTTCGCTCGTGTTTACGCTTATTTAACTTGCGTGAATCAGGACTACTTTCCCTGAACAGCACCAACTACCTGATTGAGATGTTCAACTTTGATGAAATTCCTTTTCACAAGTTGGTGCTGTTGTTTTTCCATCTAAATATAAATAAAAAAGTTGATGAAATCGTGGACGTTCTTGACTCGACGCAATTAGCTACTTTAAAATCCTCTTATATAAGGGATGTACTAAAAACACACTGTCAAAAAAACAAGTTTAAGAAAGCAATTGTTTGATAGAAGCTCATTACTTGAACAACACCTCCACTCTTATCCACATATATCCCTGATCATCCCTCAGTCAGCATTCATCCCTACGTTTCAAAATAAATTACATACAGAGTTTGAGTGTTACCTTAATACATGTTTTCACTTCATCCACAAATTTCGCCCATAGTCCAAAAAATTCCTGCGGAGTTTCCTGAAAGCACAGAAATATTGAGTCATCGCTCACGCCTTAACTAATTTTAGCCGCCTCCCCCCCCTCGAGGCATCGGCAAAAATTGTAATCAATTGACCTTTTTAGTAATGGACTCCCATTGGAAGTATTCCACAGTTTCATGGAAATTATTCTCGGCTATCGTCAATTTCTCTCTCTGTTCCGAGATTTTCTGTTTGGCTGAAATAACATAAAGTATCGGATGTTGCACGAGGGCAAATAATTAATCCCGCCATTTCGTAGACACACGTTGGTTATAAAACCATGCCATGTACATGGACATACCGGTTGTTTGAAATCTACGCATGTTCTCTTCAAAAGGATACCGCTGAACAGGAGAACACTCGTCTAAAATTTTCGACACCTAAAAACAACAAATATCGATTTTAAAATTACTTTGCCCGCTTCGACAAAATAACTGTGCAAAAATTTTTACTATCGCCCTAGTAGTTAGTAGAATGTCCAGATAATACGTGCGCGTGCGTAATAGTGTAATGACAAGCAAGAGCTCAATCATCGGGAGACTGGGATCCTTTGTAAAGGAGATTAGGCTTCTTCGAGATAAGATGAAGTTTCGCGCATACTTGAGCCTCAGTCTCGTCGACCAACTGGGATAATTTGATCAATTCTACAGAAAAAATAAAGGTACAATGTTCACAAATCAATATAGCGTTGGAAATAAAGCATTATGTCGGCGATTATAAAGTAAAAATTAACCTTCTTTAAGCTTCTCGAATGAAACCTAGAAACGAATGAACAAAGTTATAAACCACAATTTCGAAAATCAATATTCACCATTCATGTACTAGGATGGTTTTAAGACAAACGAAAACTTTGTTCACATTCGTCAATGCTGTCTCTAAAATTGTAAACTAGGAGCGATATTGACGATCAATAAACCAGCATGTCAAACACTTCACTATAGCCTAATCATTTGCTTTCTTCCTACGACTCCATAAAGCCCGGCGCACACTAGCGCCATCGGCTGAGCTGAGAGTCACTCGTGACTGTTGGTGCACGCCATTTCCTCAAGTGTGCGGCCGATGGCGCTAGTGTGCGCCGGGCTTAACACTCCCTTTATGGCAACGCAAACACTCCATTATCAAAACAAATTCTCGTGACAACTAGCCCATCTTTTTCAGGAATGGCTCCGACAAGATGAGGATGTGGTTGCAAAATAATGATCAAAACCATTTACCTGAGCAGCGTTGAAAAATGACACGTGACTTGGTAGTGGCGAGTCGCCCTTGTTAAACCGTTTCTGATACTGCTTGACCGTATATTGAAGTAAGTTGATATCACAATCCTTCGCTTTCACATCTTTCAGTTTGAGTAAGACGTCCAAATGAAAGCCATCCGCCTGGCCGCGATGGGTGTTGCCGTTCATGTAGTTTCCATACGCCAGAATGAGACTCAAAAGTATGGCAATATCAGAGCTAGACAAGATGAACTCGGATATCGTTAAGGATTTTAAGCTTGCGGCGACAAAGACATAATATACAATGAAAGCTTCGCTTTGTTGATCAAGTTTTTTCGTTAATCCGCTAGCAACGAATCCCCTATTATTTTCAAAGGTTTTTCTAGTTGTTTTTCAAGTGGCAAAGATCGATTAAAAGTTTGGTGTGGGTTGTAAGGAGAGAGTGGAATGGTTTTAGATGCAGTACTAATGGCGCGAAAATAAAGTCAGCAGTAGTACATCACTCAAGGCGAAAATAAAGTCAGCAGTAGTACATCACTCAAGGCGCGAAAATAAAGTCAGCAGTAGTACATCACTCAAGGACAGAATGAAAAGAGATTTTGAAGTGTAAACTGGTGATAGTGAAGACTGCATATTAAAATGCACATTTCTTCTTGATCCTAAATCTAATCTTATGGCTGATGTTCATTTTTCATAATATGATCCAAGCCGGTCTCACAGATTGTCTTCTTGTTCAAAAACTAAAGTTTCATCATGGCTATATATCAAATATCGCTTACTTGGTAGTAACGATCTCACAGCTCTCGATAACACTCATCAAAGATCGCTCTGTAAAAAAAAGTGCTTTCAGTGGAAAATATGGAATGGCATTTACGGCAAAGTCTAAGGGAATCAAACATTTATTTAGCATTGTACCTCGTACCTGTACCACAGATGATTTCAGTGAACCTATCCTGAAATAACCAGCATTCCAAGCGCTCCTTAAAACTTTTCATTTTCGTCAATTGATACACGAACTCTTCAGGTTTATCCAAGGGAACTGGAACGAGTAAAAAATGAAATGCTTCCACTTGACTAAACTACCAATATGAATACTGAAGCAATTGACGAATGAATTTGAAGTTATTTCTTGAGTGTAGTCAATTGACTTCGGGGAATAGTCAAATGCCGAGTTTTAATTATTAGATGTTTTAAGAAATCGTGCTTTTTTCATTCAATACTCATTTCTAGACAGAAAATAATGTTTTTACCCGATGGAATTTTTTTCAAATGCTCGTTGATCATTTCAATTTCTTCCTCTCTTGGATAAATATCGTATATCGACTGGAGACTGCAAGGAATTAATACGTCACAAGTGGAAGCTTCTCCAACAAAAATCGATCTTCCTTACACTAACCGATTGGCTTATTGCCTAGTCTGAACGAATGTGATTGGGCAATTGTTTCTCAATTATAACATTGGGAAAAAAGTGGAAGTGCCACACAACAGCAGATTTGAAAACCGTTTATAAACAAATCAAAACGACAAGATAGTAAACAAGTCTCGACGTGAAAACAATTTGAAAACAAACCTTTCCATATCAACAACGGAAGTGTCCATATTATAAACAGCATTGATGATGTCTTCAAGCTGACAATTTAAGCTGCTCATTTTGATGCCAATAGCACGTGACCTGTTCGTTTCCAGGAGTTTTGCAACCTAAGAAAAACGGTCATTTACAAGACGATTAAACACACTCAAACGTCTGGTTTGATGGTTCCACTGTCTGTTTAGGAGAAGATTTAATTCTCCATTAACGATAAATATGATTATTTTTGTATCTCAAAATGGCGTATAATAAAAATGATATCAAAATTTTTTTGACTTCAAGTAGAAGATTGACAATAACCCACCCCCCACAGAATTACAAATTACAGGCTCAGGCGGTAATCATCTAAACACAACCTTCAATACGACTTTTGCAGAATGTATACATTGACACATGTATTCCTATGATTACCAATGCTGTACACATGTACTCCCACGATGTACACATTTATACACATGCATCCCCGTAATGTACTCATATATCCCCAAACAAAATCATGTTAATCATGTGTAATTACCTTTTTCCCGTTGATGATGTACACATGTATTACCAATACTTGACACATGCATTCCCGTAATGTACTCAAATATCCCCAAATAAAATCATGTTAAACACGTGTAATTACCTTTTTCCCGTTGATGTGAGCAAAATGTTTGTCGTCACGAAGCGATTTCGTTCTTTTAAATTTGTGACCTGTAACTTTCTTGCTGAACAGCCTACAGTTAATGACACAGGGACAAAATAAACAATATGTTCGCAGACAAAAGAAGCTTCTCATTAAGTCAGGCAAATTCAATTCAATTTAAAAAGCTACCTTTCAAATTCATTCGTATCGATGAGCGGTTCCTTCATATTGCTCCAAATACATTTGACTTTTGTCATTGATTCTGAAATACGTAAAATAACACGCTTGGATAAATACCGACACAAGACAAAATGAACGAGTCCAATCTTCGAGGAGAATAACTTCATACTCAATAGAACATAATATACCTGGGGAAGAGTATTACTTCCACAGCATTTTATAATTTCAATATAAAACCAACCTTAACACTCCACAATAATTTCAATATAAAACCAACCTTAACACTCCACAACAAATACTTCATACTCATATATAACTAATTTGAAGTTTCCTTACTTTGTAACTGTAAAAGTTACAATACCGTAGTGAAATGCAACAAGCACTTTCATCCTACCATTTGAAGAGATGATTCTTTGCCAGAACAAAGGTTTCATTTCGGCTTTTGGTTTAATGATTGGCTTTGATGGTCTAGCGTTATTCTCGGAAACCAACGGTGGCCCAGGAAGGAAGGGAGGGGTAGGTGGTGGGGGAGCGACTGGACTTTTGCAAGTAACAACATTTTCCGACAATAAATCACGTGGAGTTAGATTTGGCGTCGTCCATGGTGACGAATTGTCACGTGACAATATGGGTGTAGAACAGGGTGAATAGGACGATGTAATGTCAGAAATGGAACCATTTTTTTTAAGTTTATGGGATTCCTGTCGACGCAGATCGTCCAGTTGTAACTGAAGCTCAGTAATTTTCGCCTCGTAGTCTTGTTTCTGCACTTCGAATTCGGCTACAAGTTTCTTTAGTTCGTGATCACATGACAAATTACCCCCATTCGCTAGAAAATTTGACATTTCGTGTAAAGGACTGGGACGAACGACAGAGCTTGACGTAGTGGTGGACACCACGTGATCGTGCTTCCTATTATGGTTGGTGCCCTGGTTTAATTGGGAAGGAATAACCTGTTGTATTCGACCATTAATATGACGGGCAGTTTCTTGAGGTGAAGTCGATTTATTAGTATTGGACTTGATATCCTTTGTCTTTTCCACAGAAGCAAACGCGCTACAACCGTTAATGTGATTATGTGAAATAACATCAGAACTATTCGGCAAAAAATCGCCTTTTTCGATCCTATTGTTGCAAGGAAGGTGCACCTGATTTTCACGCGTTTTTTCTGTCGACTGAACGAGACCATCAGGATTTGACGAAGCGGGTGCACTACGGAGCGTTGTCCTTTTAAGCTCTTTTGTTTTATCGTTGGGAAGATATGAATTTTGAGCGTCGTTTTCATGTATTATATTGGAATCTAGTGTTTCATCCTTTGCCAAAAGATCAGCCAAAGATTTTGAGATTGAGCGTTGTTCTAAGGCATCCACAGACTTATTTGCTATGTTTATCTGTTTAGTATGATTGTCGCCTGCCGTATTTCCAATCCTTATTTCAGACTTTTCCAGTCTGTACTGTCCACAAAAAACACGTTCGTTCTTTTCAATATTGCCTGAAACATCAGAATCTTGAGAATTTGATGAACACTCTTCAACAGACGTAGACTCGGCGTTCATTTGGACATTACCAGGAGTTAAACCATCTTCAACGATGACGAAATTTTCGTGTTTGTGTTTATCGTCAATCAGCTTATCTTGGATAGTTTCATGAAGAGATAATGCACTGGAAACATCTCTCAACGTAAACAAACATTCCTTCCGGTGTGTTGTCGTTGTTTTCTCGCTTGATGAAACATTTTGCTGATCTTTTGTAAACTTATTTCGCCTTTCTCGTACAGAAAAGAGCAAATCTTCATCATTCATAGACATTTCTATATATGGAAATTCCCTTGAGATTTTTCCCGCCTTTGTTTTGCTGTCACACGACAGTTTCGGACGAATCGACAAAAGATCGTCGTTTTTTTGACTATAAGATGAAATTTTCCTTAATATGTCCTCCCGCTCTCTTTTAGAGGAATATTTAGTAGGTTTTTCCGAAAGTACAAACACATTTCCAAAGCCTTTACGAACAGTATTTTCAGAATTTTTCTCTGCTTTCTTTGAAACTTTCACTTCGATGTTGTCAAAGCTATTCGATGCTTCTTTACTGCTTTCTTTGTACCTGATCTCGCTAATCCACAGATCTTTTTTATCTTCATGAAAACGCTGACTGTTCTGGGCATCCTTTTCGATAAGTGCATTCAAAGACGGCGACATTGACTTCTTAAGTTTGAGTTTTTCTTCAAAACTTTTACCATTAATGGTTGATCTTGTACTTTCTTTGGCGTTTTGAACAGTAGAAGTCCTCGAGTAAATTTCGACCTTTTCACTATTTCGAGCGGAGTCGCTGCTTCGCATGGGATTTTCGGGAGCGCATTTACTTGGCAATACCTTGCTTATGTTTGTTGAATATTTATCCTTGTTAAAGGATTTCCCTTCTTCGTTATTTACAACGGCGGAAAACAAGCCCTTTTTATCATTCGACTTTTTGTCGTGAGAGCTCAACTTGAGCTGTTCAGTGTCTTTCTCCAGAAGTTTTTGAAGAATTTTTGAGCGCGATCCGCTAACTGACAGCGACGTTGTTTCAATTCTGCCGTTAGGTTTCTGCAAGCCATACTCATTCATAGCCTACAATGATAATTCATGCAATGTTTGAAGAAGAATTATCCGTAATTTAACGCTTTAATGTCGTCACTAAAAGCTTAGGGTTAGCAAGGTATTGTGGTTTGCTTTTCAGTGTTTACTTGATAAATTAAAACCATCCTCTACAATTTCACACTATCATTAAAATTCTTATCAAACCGATTGAAAGTACGTTGGCAAACGTCGACCTAAAACATCAAACTCAGTTTCTTTTAACAAGAAACATTTAGTATACGACAAAATTAACACACATTTGTACAGTCCGATACATTACACTACGTTGGTAGACGCTGACCTAAAACATCTAACTCAATTTCTTCTAACAACAAACATTTATTATATATGACGAAATTTACACACATTTGTACAGTCTGATACATTACATTGTTGAATTTTCTAACCTCAAAAACGATGCGCTTTTCCTTCTCTTTCAATTCAACTTTAATCGGTGACGGTCGTGAAACAGTTGGTGTTACATCGCCTGCAAACATTTCCAGTCCAACGCGATTGGATGCAATAGAATCGGTCACTATCAAAGTATAGGCATTTCACGATACACGTGATCACTTCCTTATCCAATAGGCTTTAGACACTGTCAAATGGCCGAATGCCGATCGGAGAAACGTGAAATATCAGCAATCAAGACATTTACGAATATTTTCCCTGGAAAAAACATCGTTGTAGGTTTCCCCACAGCAAATTATTGAGCCTAACTGCATAAGAAAAGAAGTCGAGTTTCCACAAATGATTGGGGTGGATGAAGGAAGCAATATCAACCTATTACGTACAATAATTACAAGCCAAATATTACGACAAAAAATACAACCTTATAATAATTTTTCCATGAACTTACGTATAAGAAAATATACGATAGTGACAGACCTTACAGAACTGTTTTAAATGATCCATTATTTATGTATTTATATAGCCTATATTTTAGCTAGAGTTTATATTTTAGCTAATAAAGTTTATGTGATCCATATATTTTTGTATATATATTCATGCAGACTGCCACCTGCTTTCAACACTTGTTTTTTCAACGTGTGATCTATACAGTTTTATTGATCGTATAGGGATGTTAAAGTAGGTATACATGCTATATTTAAATCAATTCGCCATGCAACCACAAGAACATTAGCTTTGGTTTAAACGATCCAAATTATCTTGAAATATTTCACGAACAAACAGTACTTTTTCATAAAATGTAAAATAAACCTTTTCGTGCATTTCATCTTTACCAAAAAATCAATCAAACGAAGTGCTTACTCTTGAAGACATTTTTCCAGAAGTATACATTAACAGTGTTTACTTATCTTCTCAGAAATATAAATACACGGTATTTGCCTTTAAAAGCGAGCGCTGATTTATAAATACAATCAATGTCTCAAATGATTACTTTCAAATACGTAACTGAATATATCATATAAAGGTGCATTTCTGCGTTTATAGTTGAAATTGATGATACAGGTGCAGTAGGTCTAAATGTAATTTCAGATACTCGTATATAAATGAAACTTACCGAAGATGAAGTACTTAATTCAACATGAGAAAAGGGCTTTGCTATATGATAAGAACAAAATGAAGAAAAAAGTTAAAACAAAAATTACCTTCTTTGGAGTAGACACCTTAAACTATTTCTCATTACTTACGTTAGAAGATTCAATAGCTTGCTCGAGGCGGCTTTTCAAGGTACTCCTGTCCAATGACATTCCCCGTTCAAAACAAATCGTCAAATCTTGTCAACCACCTTAACTTCAAACCACTAAGCAATCTTCCATGTTCCCACGAACCAAATCGAAATTGTTCTTGATGAAAACCCGTTTGTCTTCAACTCGTGAACTTTGTTCACGTCAACTCGCCTCGGCGATTATATTCCAGCCAACATTATGTAAATCATTATCTAGCCGAATGATTATAGTGTGAAAATGTCGCCTCTTAAATATCATCCCAAACACTAATGTGCCATATTTGCATATCGCCAAAAAGACCGAGTGTTTTAGGCATTCTGCCGAAATTCGCGTTAAATTTGAAAAAATGAAGAAAACTTGTGGTCATTGACAATATAATAGCCAAACGACACATATTTCGTGCATATGTTATGTGAGCAGAGTTATCGATAAGACAGCTTCTACATTCAAATTGCATGATATTCATTTTCTCACTCACTCACTCAATATAACAAGGTGGTTAGTTGTAAACAAGTGCATCGCAGATGACTACTACACAAGAAAAGCGTTTTTTGTTTTCAAAATCAACAGTTTTGCAAAGTTTGGCGATGTTTAAGGGAAACAAGTTTCCAACGGACACTTGTTTCGAAGATGTGCTACGAAAAAAAAAGGTCTCTGATTTGACACACAGACGATACATACGCACTGGCACTTCTACTTCATCCCCCCCCCTTGAAACACGGTTAATTTCTCATAAATGGGGGGGGAGGGGAAGGGGCACTATGTAAAAATACACATTACATCAATGCTATGATCATATATCCTGTACGTGTATATGTAAATCATATTAAGTATTCCTTCACGAAATTATCAAGTTCAATAAACTTTGGAGTCATATGCGCGAAACTGAATAATTGCTACCTGAGCACGACCGGAAACATTCCGATACCATCCGAAGATAAGTCGAGATCAATCAATCAGTTCATGAGGACTTCCAGTTGTACAAGTCGGGCACTTGTGTCTCCAGGCATTCGATACGGAAGCAAACCAGCAAAAGTTATCAAAGCTCTGGCTTGTTGGCGAATATTTTTACGGAACTATAAACAAAATAAATGACAATCAGATTTGCAAAAATCGGTTTTCTTCAAATAAGCTCACTTTCGTGCGCATGTCATGACTGCACCAAAGATTTTCACGCAACAGTAGCAAAATAAATTCGAAGATTTTCCAAGTTAACTCACAACAACTCTGCATTAATATGTAAGAAGTCAACCGACATTTTTTTTCATATTTCATGTCAAAAGCTTTCATTCAAACGTAAATGTTGTATTTTGATCAGCGGCAAAATTTCTTAAAATAATACTTCACGTAAAATAATAATACTTACAGTTTGCAATCCACCTTCTCGACCGAGCGTTGCCGGGGAACTGGGATAGTCAGGTCTATAAAAAAAATCAAAAAAGAAAAGCCATAGTATCATATATAAATGGCAACTTTTACACCTACTATGAAAAATCATAGGAAAAATTAATTCCTAATTAATTAATTAATTCTTTAATAATTAATTTGTCATTATAGGAGAAAATATGGGACTGGTTTTCCAAATGGTGAATGGCTAACATCATTGTACGAAGGTTATAATTAATTGGTTCATTTTGATCAGCGGTAGTACGGAGCTAGTTTTCAACTAGTGAATGGCTAACATCATCATTGTATGAAGGTTATAATTAATTGGTTCATTTTGATCAGCGATAGTACGGAGCTAGTTTTCAACTAGTGGATGGCTAACATCATTATTGTACGAAGGTTATAATTAATTGGTTCATTTTGATCAGTGGTAATACGAGCATCAGAGAAAATCAAAATCATGATCATAACATAAAGATAATGAATTGATTACAGCTACCTTCTTTCTTTGTATTTGTTATACAGGATGGTCATAGTCGCAATCAGAATATCAGGAAGACATCGACGAATCTGTTGGATTAAAATGCATTAGGATTAGATCATCTCTAATCAAGCTTGATTTTTCCAATTTCCATGTTTACAAAGACACGGGTTTCCACATTATTTCTCTACATGATGAAGACACTAAACTGGTGTATATGAGAATTCAAGTTTCAACATAAGATCATTCCTAATGAAGACACTAGACTGTAGTATATAGCTAAAAACTCAAGTTTCAACATCAGATCACTCCTGGTGAAGACACTAGACTGTAGTATATAGCTAAAAACTCAAGTTTCAACATAAGATCACTCCTAATGAAGACACTAGACTGTAGTATATAGCTAAAAACTTAAGTTTCAACATAAAATCACTCCTGGTGAAGACACTAGACTGTAGTATATAGCTAAAAACTCTAGTTTCAACATAAGATCACTCCTAATGAAGACACTAGACTGTAGTATATAGCTAAAAACTCAAGTTTCAACATCAGATCACTCCTGGTGAAGACACTAGACTGTAGTATATAGCTAAAAACTTAAGTTTCAACATAAAATCACTCCTGGTGAAGACACTAGACTGTAGTATATAGCTAAGAACTCAAGTTTAAACATAAGATCACTCCTGGTGAAGATACCACATTAGAGTATATAAGTTTTTTGGGAAGATACTAAAATGAAACAACAAAATGCCAAAGATCTCACCTCATCCGTGTACTGCCTAAATGACGAAACCTTTTGATCTACGCTCGCACCACTTAATGGAACCAACTGCAACTTTTTCATAACCTTAAATGAACATGAAGCAAAACAGAAAATTTTTTTGATTGAATCGATGGATGAAAAAATGAGACCATGATAAATGATGTGGAAGACGAGCCAGTACCTCAAACGCTTCATCCGTTAGATTTTGATGGTAAAGATCAAAGAATTGAATGAGATCACAGAGAAGATAAAACGTGTTTAATGTCATTCGAGATGCGTTGTTACCCTGGCTTTTATATCTAAATTGAAAATGTACGAAATACTTTCAAAAAAGCCAAATGGAAACACACATATCCCCGTAACAACGTCAAAACTTCACAAAAATACTTTCAACAAAACAAAATGGAAAAACACATATCCCCGTGACAACGTCAAAACTTCACAAAAATACTCTCAATAAAACAAAATGGAAACACACATATCCCCGTGACAACGTCAAAACTTCACAAAAATACTATCAATAAAACAAAATGGAAACACACATATCCCCGTAACAACGTCAAAACTTCACAAAAATACTATCAATAAAACAAAATGGAAACACACATATCCCCGTAACAACGTCAAAACTTCACAAAAATACTTTCAACAAAACAAAATGGAAACACACATATCTCTGATATCAGACTTAGTAACTTCCTTCGGAAATGCACAACACAAGTCAAAAGAAGTGGAAAAAGCCACGTTCAACACGATAATTCACTTAACATTTAAAAGATTTTCCGGATGAAGATAGTTTTGATGAATATTCGGCGAAAAATAGATGCAAAATTACATGAAGTATCCCAAGTGCAACCAACCTTTCGGCAACATTGAAAGCCAGAGTTTTCAATCTGTCTCGGTTAGAATTTGGAGTTGGTGCAGTTGAAACGACCTTATCAAAGGAATAAAATTCCATCAACGAATGAAAACAACAATAGTTAAATGAAATAACCAATTAGATTGTTAGATTGATTTGATAAACAATAATTGACAAAGAGGATTAATAAAAATACAAAAAAAAATTTTTAAATTTTTTTTATATTTTATATCCAAAATGTAAATAGTCAAAATCGCATAATAGAAAACATACCTGACTAAGAAGCTTGTTCAACACTTCCACTGTCTTCTCGTGATTCTATGTAACAAACGAACGGTGAATGCGAATAATCTACAAGGAGGGGCGTTGGAATTTCCTTCTACGATAAAAAACTCAATTGAATCTATTCATACCTTGGCAAGGTCATAAAGCCTAGCGGCCTCTTCAAAGAGACCTTTCTCTTCCGTATCCTTGGCAACAACGTTGATAATGTCTTCGATGTCGCCTTGAAATTTTTCGATGCAGCCAAACTATGAAGCGAAGAGAAAATGGATAAAATAAGTTACATTAAGAGTTAATATCAGCACACAACTATGCAGCATGTTTAGGAGCTGCAAGAAAACAAATGAAAAGTTAAAAAAATTCAAGCGTGTTTACGAGCTGCAAGTTAAAGAGATGAAAAGCACTTGGTCCAGTCCGGATCCACGGAGAAGAGTTTGGGTATTGGATGAAGAAAATATCAAATGAGTAAAACGCAAGGTTTTGAGCTTTTGGTATAGAATGGTGAAATGTACGATGACGATGAGTTCAGCTCTATGTACGTTAATGAAAAGTATGATAGTAATGAAGTCAACGACAAAGCCGACGGTAAATTATACTTACCTTTCTAGTGCCATCAACATCCACGTGACCCAACAGCAACTCGAACTGTGAATATAAATAAAGTACACGTGGACGTGAACATACATTGATTGCGACACTCTCAAATGTGGGGGACTGGGGAGATACTAGAAGATAATGCGCGATCTTTGAAGCACGATTACTACCTCACGTGTTTCCAGTACGAGTTCGCTGACGCATTTATTGAACAAATTTTCTCCACCGGGGCTTCTCAGCTTCCTAAAAGCAAAGTGGTACAGCTCAGCGATAGTGCTCTATGGCCAAAAGGTGTTGCAAAAATAAAAAATTAAAGGGTTGCAAAAGATACAATACAAGGGATGCAAGACAATGGACCAAGAGATACAATAAAGGGATGCAAGGGATACAATAAAGGGATGCAAGGGATACAATAAAGGGATGCAAGGTATACAATAAAGGATGCAGGGGATACAATAAAGAGATGCAAGGTATACAATAAAGGATGCAAGGGATACAATAAAGGGATGCAAGGTATACAATAAAGGATGCAAGGTATATAATAAAGGGATGCAAGGTATACAATAAAGGATACAAGGGATACAATAAAGGATGCAAAGGATACAATAAAAGATGCAAGAGATACAATAAAGGGATGCAAGGGATACAATAAAGGAATGCAAGGTATACAATAAAGGATGCAAGGGATACAATGAAAGGATGAAAGGTATACAATAAAGGATGCAAGGGATACAATAAAGGGATGCAAGAGATACAATAAAGGGATGCAAGGTATACAATAAAGGATGCAAGGGATACAATAAAGGATGCAAGGGATACAATAAAGGATGCAAGGGATACAATAAAGGATGCAAGGGATATAGATCAAACCAGATCGCAATGGAATTGATTTGTTGATTCAACTAGTTAACTAAGGTGTGAATGACGTGTCAACTGTTTAAAAATACTTAACCTCAAAAGATAAAAATACTGCAAAGCTTCTCGCGGATCCGTAATCTCAAACTTTCTTGTATAAGATTTGATAAGACGAGCAAAGTTTATTTTTCGAATTCCAAGATCGGACAAATCTTTGGTTACTACAGCAGCCAAAGAAAAAATGTATCAGATTTTCAGAATGCAACAGAACAGAGTACCGCATCAACACAGGTTCAAGTTTATAACATGTCGTTTAGCTATTTTAAAAGATTTACGATTTTCAAATACAGACAAACGTAAATTGGGTTGAAATTTTAAATCTGCTCCTTTTGTAACATCATTACAGATGATGTAGATTAAAGTTTATTTTTCAAATCAGACTTAAAATTATCATACACACCCGCAATTCCGTGAGCACATACAACAAGACATAAAACAACTGGTAAGTATTACGTAGCAGAAAATGTCTGGTTGACCTAATGAAAGGTTATCAAACTAGTTGAACAAAAATTAATCAAAGGTTATCAAACTGGTTGAACAAAAATTAATCAAAAGTTATCAAATTGGTTGAAAAAAAGTTATCAAACTGGTCAAAATGTCTGGTTGACCTAATCAAAGGTTATGAAACTGTTTGACCAAAAGTTAATCAAAGGTTATACAACTGGTTAAAATGACTGTTTAACCTAATCAAAGGTTATCAAACTGGTTGACCCAGAAGGTAATCAAAGTTTATCAAACTTATCAAAACGACTGTTAAACCTGATCAGAAGATATCAAACTTGAGCAAAGATGATTAAAGGTTATCAAAACTTTCAGACATGAAGTTTATAATGAACACTGTTCTTACACAATGGTGCTTGCACGGTTTCAGATAGAATGAGAAGATTTCGCAAATACATGACAATGGCGAAGTGGATGGCATGACTGCGATACGCTTCGATGCGAGAAAGGAACTCCACAGCCTGGAAACAAATACTGCACACGTTAGAAGGCATCTCCGGTAAAAAACCCCAGTCAACATTGAGAGCAAAGTTAATTTTGCATGCGTATCAGGGACGGGGGGGGAGGTGATGGTTAGGCGTGTGCAAATTTAATATAAGACCGCTTGATCATATGTTCAATTAGTAAGATTTAGAGCAAGTAAACCCGATGAAGAACCCACCCGGTAAAAATAGTTTTCAAAGGTTGACTTTTATTGGTGACTTAATTCATAAACAAAAACACGAGACAAGGGAACATTGTCCTTCATCAAAGATGTACCTCAAATACATATTATGCGTGAATGAAGAATACTATATACGATACATACGTGAATTGTAATGAAAGATAATAGCATACCGCTTCAAACTGTGCTGACAACATCAAAACTTGAAAATACAACAGCGGATTATCGCTCGCCTTGAAATACGATTCACCTGAAGAGAACAACATTTAATACCGATATTTTTTGACGAAGGGATAATGGTTGATAAAGAGTGTTGAAGAAGGGTAAAACACAACAGGGAGAGGTTCACTATGGTTTTGTAAGAGGGGGTGCGTTAGCTTGGATTGGATTTTGCGGTTACTCGTTGCCGTGGTATGTCAGAAAATTGCGTTCTATTTTCATCATGAATGTGATAACTTTGAAAGCGTGCTCCATTAATTGCAATTGCTTAAATGTTTGGTATATTTGTATTTCTTTAGGAAAAATGGCACCCCTCTTTCGCCAATAGCCTAGGACAGTGGGTGCGCCCATCCTCTCCCCCTAAATCCATCTCTGATCTACAATATTAACAAGTTTTTTCAAGAATACCAATTAATCCACCATTATAGAAAACTAATTACCACTTACATGCAGTGCTGTAGAACTAAATTTAGATAGAAGGGGGACTCCCTCCCTAAGCCCCACCCCACTTCTACAGCACTGCTTACATGTCGAACAAGAATTTGTTTTTCCAGCAACAACAACAGCAGCCAATATATTAAATCATAATAAAAATGAATGGATAGAATGTAAAAATTCCTACCATATTCTTCCAACAAAAGCATCTGAAGATTTTGCAATGTCAATGTACCAGGACTGTGGTCTCGGGTTTCGCTGCTCGATACAATATGACAAAGCTAAATGGGTAAATATCTCCATCAAACTTTCATCGCAACACCTCAACACCAACGCGTGATCAAATCGTCCCCCCCTTGGGGTAAAAAAGATCATCACCCCAAGAAATACCAATGCTCTCTCACTGGCAGTAATATTAACGGGTAATCAAATCATCCCCCCCTTCGAGTAAAAAAGATCATCACCCCACGAAATACCAATACTCTCTCACTGGCATACCTTTAACCACAGATAATCATCAGTTTTCGTGATTACATCTGACAATTCTTCAGCGTCAGAAATATGACCCAAGACAGTGTACACTGCCCTGTAAATTTAAAAGACACGAATAGAGTCACCTTGAGAGATGGTACACGTAGTTCAAACATTCTCACCATGCTCAGACATCCTTACCTCTTGAACGGGTCGGAACCGTTGTTCACTGACCGCCGATATTGAAGGCGCAATTCTTCTTCCAAGCTTGGATGTAATCTGTATGAAACAATGAAAAAAGCGGTTGTTCCTATACGGATGTTGACCATGCTGAAAGGCACATAAATCGTGGTAAAGAATCATTTAAAAAGCTGTAAAAACCTCTTGTCCTCATTGCGCATATAATCCTGGAGATATTCTTTCAATTTTGAAGTGTGATGTCTATAAAATGAATAGATCGAGAATGAAATTGTGTACTAAAGACAACAATTTCATTCTTGTCATTCAGTGGAGAAAATACAAAAATGAACACGTCTTGCAAAGATTTTCATTCGTTCCCTGGTGATGAACATGACAATGGAGGAGGCTTTTCAATTGGTCACACCAACATGGTGATGAACATGACAATGGAGGAGGTTTTTCAATTGGTCACAACAACATGGTGATGAACATGACAATGGAGGAGGCTTTTCAATTGGTCACAACAACATGGTGATGAACATGACAATGGAGGAGGCTTTTCAATTGGTCACAACAACATGGTGATGAACATGACAATGGAGGAGGCTTTTCAATTGGTCACAACAACATGGTGATGAACATGACAATGGAGGAGGCTTTTCAATTGGTCACAACAACATGGTGATGAACATGACAATGGAGGAGGTTTTTCAATTGGTCACACCAACATGGTGACTATGACGTCACGTGAAAAAACGCTCTTTAACTGTATACTTTATAAGAAACATTCTCGAAGTGAGTTCAGAGCAACACATGAAAAATCAATCCACCAGGATTAATACATACTTCAATAAAATCATGGTGTACTACTTCAACACATGGTGTACTACTTCAGCACATGGTGTACTACTTCAATAAAATCATGGTGTACTACTTCAACACATGGTGTACTACTTCAACACATGGTGTACTACTTCAGCACATGGTGTACTACTTCAACACATGGTGTACTACTTCAGCACAAGGTGTACTACTTCAACACATGGTGTACTACTTTAGCACATGGTGTACTACTTCAACACATGGTGTACTACTTCAACACATGGTGTACTACTTCAACACATGGTGTACTACTTCAGCACATGGTGTACTACTTCAGCACATGGTGTACTACTTTAGCACAATTACTAAGAACACACACAGTCTCCATATTCAACTAACTAGTACCAATCCCCTGTAGTAATACACGGTAATCTTTTTTAAAGAATTTGACGTAGTTATTCCTACATACGGGGATATTTCGGCCACTTGAATCGCCGCGTCAAGATCACCACATCTGATACAATAGTAGATAAACGGCCACAGCGGAACACCTTCAACTTCGCCGTCCTAAATTGATGAGTTACAACGAGTTTCTTTAAAGACAATATATATGGTCATTTACCCCCCCCCGGTTTCATTCACCCAGATGACAATCAATCGACCCGCTGGGCTTGTTTACCAAAAAAATGACCAGCAACTCGCATGGATTTTTTCCACCAAGATATTGACTATTCATAGCTCGATCGATGAAATATCACAACATTCTTTAAGTCCCGTTCACACGATCTAATTTTGTCGGATCCAAGAAAACGGATCGTGTGAACGTGTTTGAAGTGAGCATTCGACAATCTCAAAAGCATTATAGAATTAGAAGTTGCTCTATTTTTATCAGATAACATCACAGGAAGGGCGACCAGGCTAAAGCTTTTTACTCTCTATACTTCTCAAATTTGAGCAAACGCGAGAAATTAGATTTGAAAAAGACTTGAAAACAAGTATAAAATTACGCAGATATATCGATAAAAGTACTAGATAACACAAATAACTGCTTTCAAGACAATAAATATTCAAACGAATATAAATGTCAACAAAACTATCGGACCGTCTGAACAAGTAACCAAAAGTCGGAACCGAAACAATCGGATCGGGTCTTTATACTTTTCTCCTAACTTCAATACCTCAAGTTCATGCGAGATGGCAACCATCGGTCGTATCTTTAAAAAACTCTTTACTAAAAAGAAAACACCTGGAACACCTCCAAGCTGAGCTTGCTGTAGATTATTGTACACTGTTCTTTCTATGTATTTCTGATACCTACACAACGATGGGGGAAATATACACTCAGTTAAAACAATCAAAAGGGGAGTAACTAGGGATATAAACACAATGTTGCATCGACCATTGGGGAAGAGGGGAGGGGTGACTAGGGATATTCGTACTCAGTTAAACGGCCATTACGAGGATAACTAGGGACGTGTACATCCACTTGAAACGGCCATTACGAGGATATGATAATACAAAGATATTCGTAGTATGCGAGATGATTATTTGAGGTTTTGCCAAGTGAATTAAGGTAGCTCTTGGAGATCACTGATTGATACTTATGATCATACAAGGATATTCATAGTATCCGAGATGATTATTTGAGGTTTTGCCAAGTTAATTAAGGTAGCTTTTGGAGATCACTGATTGATACTTATGATCATACAAAGATATTCATAGTATGCGAGATGATTATTTGAGGTTTTGCCAAGTGAATTAAGGTAGCTTTTGGAGATCACTGATTGATACTTAAGATTATACAAGGATATTCATAGTATGCGAGATGATTATTTGAGGTTTTGCCAAGTGAATTAAGGTAGCTTTTGGAGATCACTGATTGATACTTATGATTATACAAGGATATTCATAGTATGCGAGATGATTATTTGAGGTATTAAAGCCTGGTTCAGACGAGTAAAATACAGCACGAACGTCGAGACTTTTGTTTCTATTGCTCTAGAGGTTTATAAAGACAAAGAGAATGGGATTTTCTTTAAATCTTCTTTTTGTTCTTCTCTTAGCTTACGCTTGAATATTTTCCTTATGCCTGCGCTTATGTTGACGCTTATGTCATGTGCTTCGTTGTTGATTATCTTTGTTTTATCTTTTGTCTACGCTTGTGCTTATCATTATTTCACTCGTGTGAACCAGGCTTTAATGATCCACAGGATGATCCACAGGATGATCCACAGGTATTCATGATCCACAAGATGATCTGAGGACAAAATGATGGCAGTGCCAAACAAAAAGTTAACATACCGTTTCTCTAAAAATGATCGCGCACGCTGTATGAAAAAACCCTGTGAGTCTACGGAAAATCTGGAATGGAATAACAAAAAACATTTTTAATATTCCTCTCTGTGCTATATTGCAACTGGAACGTCGAAATCTTCCCCAGATGTCATGCGCAAGAGTCAAGTACCTTGACCTTTCAGCAGAGGAGGTTGACGATATCGTTGCATTGAGGTCAGTCATTTGATCAACTAGCATCCAGCAATCTTTGATGTGCTATATTGTGTTGTGTAGAATAAATTGTTCACGAAATTTTCACAAATGAGAACGTGAATACGAAGCACATGCAAACAAAGTTGCTAAATAATAATACCTGGTCATCGAATTTGCTTGCCGTGTTGTGAAAGCCATCAACGAGGTCAAAATCCATTCCCTGAAGGACAGCTTCGTTGTGCATATAGATCTGAAATCACATGATACCAACTCATCTCCAGTTTTCTCAAAGGAAGAAACAACGCGTCACATGCGTTTTTGCCTTCCCGGGAGCTTGAGCATGCCTCGCGCCTCTTTATATTAGGAGACTGGTGAAGAGCGTGAACAAAAAGTGTGATGGTGTCAGCTTTTGCTATATTTGCGTGAGATATCACAAAATGAGCCCAGGAGCCTGAGCATGCCTTGCGCCTCCTTATATTAGGAGACTGGTGATGAGCGTGAACAAAAAGTGTGATGGTGTCAGCTTTTGCCATTTTTGCGTGAAATATCACGAAAAATCGTGAGTATGAAGGTGTATAATCATGATTAAAGAGGGGTTCTAGTGGGTATGACATATTAGCTAGGGATAGAGCGCTGCATGCCAAAGTATAGTAATATAGTGCTAACCTGTCTTGCATATGCCATTTCAATGAAATCCAGGCCACTTCTCTGAGAGAGATCAACACGATTGAAAGCACCGTCCTTCAATTGATTTTGAAACAAAATGTATCAATTAAGAATATATCTTAGAAAGGGAGCAAAAAGATTTTCAGTCTCAGTGCCCTCACCATGATCTCGGTTGAGAAATCAAGAGAATCTTGATCGGAACCCAGTAGAGAATTTAAGATTTTCAACTTCTCTTGTTCCCAGTCTTGCTCCATACATCTCCAATGATTCCTCTCCGCTTCATCAAATGTCTAAGACAGAGGAATACAAACATTGAATAAGCAGCAGACTAAACATAAATTTCTATCAAAACAAGAGTCGTGACCAACGCATTACTTTGTGCCAAGAACTACTTGGAAGAAGGTGCAATTGATTTGAGTCACATGACAATTGATTTGGATCACATGACAAGAGGGGAAGAATTCTACATGAAGATGACAATGATGCAATTAATCATCAAAATGACATACATTCTTTTTGGATTCTTCTATTGCAGCCAGGATAGCATTTTCCCTTTCATTTCTCAAAAAACCCTAAAATTTCAATAAGTATCAAATGTCAAACTGGAGACAGTCTGTGAAACAAAAACACAAACACAATCCAACAACATTTGCTGTGATCCATTCCCAAAGAGCAACCCAACCTAGCTTGCTAAAACATCCTTAATAAATACTATATATTCAAAATTAAAAGTACTTAAGGCTTTCCTAAGATACATTGTTTAATGATTACCTGAATGTCCGCATCTCTGATTGGTTCCAATGGTTCAAAGGTATTGGCCGTACTAAGATTATCTAATTTTTCAGACAACTTTGGTAAATCAAAGCCTTTGGAACCGAGCAGTATAGACCTGGTCAACATAGAATAATCATATTACATCAAGTAATATAAATATCTGAACAACACAAACAGTAGATTTTTGACGTACACAAATTTGTCAAAGAATGCTTGAGAAAGTAGTCCAAAAAGCTTGATGTTACTGGCTTTCAAAGTTTTTAAATATAAATGTTGGTGTACAACTAACTGACAAAGATGGGGGTTAGTGGAAGGTGGTTCATAGGTTTAGCCATCCAAGAATGTGGAGGTTGTATTATCCATTAAGGTCAAAAGTTGGGTATTTTCTTTCAACAAATGAACTCATTACACATAAATGTGCCAGATGAATGAAAAAAAGGAGGGAAGTGTGAACAACAGTTAACAGATATTTTCTCATTAACTTACGCTCTGACATCAGCATCGTCGCCAGCCCCCCCTGTTGTTTTCTTCCACAGTCGGTCACCTGCTTCTGCCAATTGATGCAGGTTTCTCTCTATCCTCGGAAGCTCGCCACCACTCTCAATGTCCGCTGTCAGCTGTTCGGCTTGCTGAAGCAAATCACTAAATCCTGACATCCTTTTTCAGCAAACGCGACAAGTTTTATATTGAAAACCACACTTTAAAAACAGGTTGTTTCAAATTCTCTTCACTTGAACATTAAGCTCAAAACTTCGAAAAAAAGCGTACAGTTTGATACTTTGAATATCAATCTTCAAAAGCGTTTCACTTTCTTTTCAAATTTCCGCCATGGCAATTTCGTGAGCCCCCGCACACTTATGGCAAAATATCGTTAAAACGATTTCATGTAATGCAAATATAACTGTCTACTTTTTAACAATATGGCGGCAATTAAAGAATGAGAAAACGGCAGACTAACGCATCGATTAAAATATACAATTTTGCCCGATCAAGATAACTCGTAGTGTATATATAAGTTGGGAAATGCTGTAACTGCTTGCTGGCTATTTCGTTTTTACATTCTTTGGTGAAACTTTCAAGTTTCAACTTCATACTATACGAGCTTGCAGGTTGTTGAATTTAAACTAGTCGACATTAAATCACACTTCAATGATAAATAGCTTAAAACTGCTCGCTGATACGTATGGCGAAGATGAAGACGATACAAACGAAGCAGACGCGGTCAAAACTACACCAAGCTCTCAGGGAATAAAACGACAAAGAGAGAGTAACGATGACATCAATGGCTTAGAGAAAATAAGGTTTCCATAAAGATACAAGTTTATCGTTTCACTCCCTCCCCCCCCTGTATCCAGACCACAATCAGAGTGGAGCTTAAGACTTTAGTAAAATAAACATTATACTGCACACCATGACACGGGTGAAGTAGTAAGCTTGCGCGCGCATCGATGCTTAAAATCCCTTTCCATTCTTTTTCCTTTCATAGCAAAGAAAAGCTGGAAATTCCAAGTGGAATACTAGACATGTTTAATGGCAGCGAAGGTTGGCCCGATGACGCGTCACTTCACCAAGGACGGACACGTGGTTTTAATCATTTTCCCGGCAACTGGGCGACGCATGTTTTTGTGCCATGTACGCATCTTGCGTGTTGAGGTTTTTTTTTGTAATCAGGAAAAGTGACAATCATGGTTTTCAGTCATCATTGTTGATGTTGAGAACATGACGGTGGAACATCGTGTTACATGTTTGTAGATGTAGATCGTCCAGGTTAGCAGAGTCCTGAGAAAGACTGTTGGTGTTGACTGCTGTACAGAGTTAAAGATGACTACCGCTAAGGTCGTCGAAACGTCAGTCAACATCAACACCAACAGTACTTCTCAGGACTATACTGACCTGGACGATCTAAATGCACAAACATTTGACGAAACTCCCGGGTTCAAACCATAAACTTCATTTAGAACAGTGTTAGGTGGATAGGATACGTTTTTTGGTTAGTAGGCTTGGCAATTTTACTAACAGGATTTAGGCAATCTTTTCATTCTCTGAGAAGGCCACAGGTCACTAAGTGATTTTATATAGGGAAAAGTAAAGTCATCCGCTTGAAGCTAGATGAGATCTTTGAGCAGCCGCTTAAGTGCACTAAAGCCCTTGGACAACATCATCGTCGTCACTTTCAATGACATCATCATCGTCGTCACTTTCAATGACATCATCATCGTCTTCACTTTCAATGACATCATCGTCTTCACTTTCAATGACATCATCGTCGTCACTTTCAATGACATCATCATCGTCGTTATTTTCAATGACATCATCATCGTCGTCACTTTCAATGACATCGTCATCATCATCATCACTTTCAACATCATTCTTTTCTCAATAATGGTTCAGTTTAGCAATCGATCTTTCACGTTATTTTTAGTTGATCTTCCCGAAACCTTTGACCTCTTTATATCGTACCTACGAAAGATTTGGTCCAATGAAGACTTCGAGTTGCACATATTTGACACGCGTGATTTCCACGTAAGCATATCGCGAACAGTTCCCATCAGGCATCATTGGATTAAGCCGCTGACCAAACTCTTGGAGCATGGCTTCCACGGAAAACGCAGGTAAGAAGTCTTGGGTGTAATACTTATTAGAAATAAAACGCGTGCTCTGATTGGTCTACAGCTAAGTTTGCAATAGCCTGTAAAAACCGATCTGAGCTCAATCAAAGATAATTTGCAAAACAATCATGACTACATATCAAAGGAAAAATCAAAACGTTTGTGTTTTAAATTTGTCTGTTTCGCATTTTTGTTTTATAAATGAAATAAAACATGTTTTTCGTTTTTACAAAGGTTTATGCAAACCCCAGAGACGTTTGTGTGAACTCTCGAGCAGGTGCAAACCTCCACCTTTGGTCTCGGGCTTGCACTGCTCTGCTCTCGAGTTCTCCCAAAGGTCTCCTCGGTTTGCATAAACATGTGCAAACACAGTAAACATCGTTTATTTCATACCTCTTACACACGTGAAAATGAGTAATAGGTATTAATTCTTTACAACAGACAGAATGACAACCTTAGCAGTAGTCATCTTCAGAGTTAAAAGATGAGCTTTTTTCTCATTTTTGACTACTGAAGATGACTACCGCTAAGGTTGTCGAAACGTCAGTCAACAACAACAAAAACAGTCCTTCTCAGGACTATACTAGCCTGGACGATCTACATCTACAAACATGTAACGATACTCCCGGGTTCAAACCATTTACTTTATTAGACATTTTGATAATCAACGCGGGAGAATTTTTCCACAGAGAAAACACTCATATCAATTCTAACAATTGTTCCAATTTAGGTTCATTTGTGATTTTCAGAAAGTTTCTTTGTACGTTAACGATGACAGAACGCGGTGGGTTGAAAATTTTATCTAAACCTATAAACAACTGTTTTTTAGAAGTACATTTCAGCATCACGTACGCTTTTTTTCTTTTGTGTTACCATAAGGACGTTCTTGGCTTTAGATGTCACCATTGGGATATCACAGGTAATCCATTAAAAATCCTCTAATCCTCCATTGTACCGAGATTATCCTACATGAGTAGCGTAAGCTCTCCCGAAATCTACCGTTCAAATTTGAGTAACGTTCTGAACATGACATGGTTCTTTTATTTAAGTTGAAGGATTTGGTGCTAGTTGTCGACAAGGCGTTTCGGGAGTTTGGTCTTCAGGAATATTACGATGTAAGAATGACGAAAACAAGATCATAAATATGTACAAAATACGCTAACATGCTGTCATTGTCACTTATTGCCATTACTTTATGTAATTGTGTTTATCGCTAATCAGCTTTACTACACATATTCTTCGCCTGCTTACGTGACAACATTTCTAAGAAGCTTTCCATGAATTTTTCTGCTGATTTTTTGTATATACAGGAACCGTCATTTCACGCCAGTTTTGCCTGGTGTTTGGGCGACGCAAAGGAACATATCACATCATCGATGTTGACAAAACTTCAGGTAAATCCGAACTTTGGTCTATTTAACTGGCATTTTTTTATCATTATTCCGCTTACCCGTAAGCCATCAAAATGTGAAGTCACTTTGTGCGATGGAAGTTAATTGAATGAGCAGTTGGCATTTTTATTGTGGAATGTCGGAGTTCACTGGTACTTGAGATGAAGATCGTTCATGTTTAAATTATGTGAAGTCACTTTGAGCGATGGAAGTTAATTGAATGAGCAGTTGGCATTTTTATTGTGGAATGTCGGAGTTCACTGGTACTTAAGATGAAGATCGTTCATGTTTAAATTACATCGATAGTATTTCACATGACAACATTTTTGACGGCATGAAAAAATCCAGGATTGCATGTGTATTTAGGAGGAGGAAGAGGAAGGGGGGGATGTTTCTGCTAAAATGGGAGAGGTATTTTGATTGTGATAAACCCTTTTATGGTTATTGAAAACGTAATGTTTTGAGGGTTTACCTCCCTACCCCCCCCGTTCATGTTTAAATTCCATCGATAGTTTTTCACATGACAACATTTTTGACGGCATGAAAAAATCCAGGAGGGCATGTGTATTTAGGAAGAGGAAGGGGGGATGTTTCTGCTAAAATGGGAGAGGTATTTTGATTGTGATAAACCCTTTTATGGTTATTGAAAACATAATATTTTGAGGGTTGACCTCCTACCCTCTTGTTGCTGAACTTTAAGGTCGATGTATTTCGATTGTAACGACAATCAACTATTTTCCTCTTCAAGAGCATTTTGGATTCTTACATGGAGGAAAGTTCTTCGCTCGTCGTTGAAACCAAAGAGATTCGTTGCCACATCGGCAACAAATCATTTCACTTCGATTTGCTTCGAAAGTTCGAATAAAATAGTTGTTTAAAGAAAATCAACTGACGCCAAAATGCCTCAAATGACATTTACTAATTCAATAATCAACTTTACGACAATGATTTTTACGATATGATTCGCAAACCTGTCATAAGAGAAAAGCTCAGCCTTGAATCTTCGTCTGTAAAGTGAAAAAATAAACAAATGTTAATTGATGCAAACGTTGAAAATTTTACCAAATTTTACCAAAACATTGTTTTCCAAGCTGAATATTAACAAAGTATGTATAAACACACAAACATCATAACTCAATTTAAAAAGTTACAAACAAAACCAGTTTCACGAGCCCATCTCATGCTAAATGATAAAATTCTTTTGGAACATTAAATTTTTTTCTGCTTGTTGGTAGCTCTCAGTTATCGTTTGCAAAAATAATATAAAAATGTAAGCACAGACAAGGATGTTTTGTCAGCAAATGTAAATAACACAGTATTTTTCTGAATACTTACTGTACTCAATTAAAAGGACGAAGCAATTGTATATTGGCTTGTCTACGAAATATTCAACTGACCGCTAACGAACCTGGACGCTAACGAACTGAGCGCTATTCAACTGCAGCGCTAACGAACCTGGAAGGATTGCAATTCGTCTGTAAGGAATGCCTTCTATATACAACGTTTCTTTGTCGTTTTTATGTTTATGTTTCCTGCGTCCTTTTCTCTCTTCTTTGCCAGCACCATCGTCAAATTTCATGTCGCTGGCTAAAAATCTTAACAAAAGAACAATGGTTGAAGTTCAAGTGTGTTCAAGTCTTAGTCGTTCCTAGACTTCCATTCAAATGTCGGTCGTTCCCAGACATCCAACTTGTCGCAGGCTAACCCAACTATCTACAGGCTAATATCAAACTGTTCTTAGATTTTTGACCATTTATTTGCACGAAACACGCGCTGCTATAAGCAAATGCAAAGTTATTGTAACGAAGGTCGAGAAATTCTGCCGTTAAATATCTTTATGCCATCGTAAATAAAGCCCTCTTCATTTCTGTATGATCAAACTTCGACTGCTTTTTGTGGATTTCAGCAGGCTATCTCACCCGACAATCTGCAGGCTATCTCACCCGAAAATCTGCAGGCTACCATAAACGACTATTTTCAACTAACTGCCATCGGTGACCATTGAACAACCCAGTGTTTCCAGACACTATATCCAGAGGCTGGTTGCACGAAGGCCGAATAGCGCTATCCACTGAATAGCAAATTTTTCTGAACGTTTAAAAAATCTCTTATAAGAGGAAAATGTACGATTTGAACTGTGCAATCACTGAAATAAAATATTGTTTCGAGGATTACAACATTTCTTTGTCGTAAAAAAAGTATAAACATCTTTTTTACAAGTTTGAGAAATTTTACTATGCATTGGATACCGCTATCTATAGACTTCCTTCAACCGGCCCCAGACAATTAAACAGTGCATATGACGTAACAGCATCAGACCACCACACTATAACTAGTGCAACAGTTCAACAAAGTTAAAGTATGGACTCACTTCTTCCAGTAATTGATGAGGGTACAAAACACGTAAATTTCAGCGTCGTGAAACAAGCCACGGTCGGAAATGCCAGAGTTGAACTCGTGACATATTCTATCGCTCATTTCATACGGGATATTGATCTATATTAGAACCATGACAAACTTTATATGACTTACATATGTGGAGCACCCCCCGTGAAGTGAACTAGCACTGAAGGTTTAGAACCATGACAAACTTTATATAACTTACATATGTGCAGCACCCCCCGTGAAGTGAACTAGCACTGAAGGTTTAGAACCATGACAAACTTTATATAACGTACATATGTAGAGCACACCACCCACCCACCCCGCGAAGTGAACAAGCACTGAAGGTTTATAATTGTACCTGTAATCTTGGCGGCAATGCAGAATCAAGAAAACAACAGATGATCGTCTTTGCTTTAGAACGAATCAGTTTTTCATCGTCTAGGGAGTAGTTGCCGGCCAGAGCACAAAGGGACGCACCGTCGACCATTTCCTTGAAGCTACATGAACATCCGGGACGAGGAAATGCATGATTCATAACCAAATCCATTCGTTAGTTTCAACATTAAATCAAAGGTTTTGACTAGTTTGTAAAGCGGGGGCATTTTGGAAATTGGAAAGGTCTCCGAGGTTTGCGTAAGCCAGTGCAAACACGAAAAACATCTTTTATTTCTCTTATGAAATAACAATAATGCGAAACAGACAAATTTAAAACATTTGAAGTTTTCTTTTAAAATGTTACTCATGATTGATTTGAAAACACTCATCACTCGATTTGATTGGTTGAGTTCAGATCGGTTTGCACGAGCCAATGCAAACACACAGCTATAGACCAGTCAGCGCATGCGTTATATTGTTTTTATATCAAAAGTAAATATGCTACTGTGTATAAAGCTTACCGCTGAACTTCCAACCAAAACCTCAAATCGCTTGCCAAATGGTCAGCAGAGATGACGCGATTATTTATGATTCTCTTATAGTTTTGATTTATATGCTTTCGACCTGCAAAAGTTCTACGTTAAAAATCAATGGCGTAGCAAACTCGATAATCATGGGGGAGGGGTGGGGTGCACATATTCAAACGTCCATGTTTTGCCGTATCACGTTCCTTTGAAATCAATTGTTTTCTATGGATTACAACATGGATATATGAATGTGTGCACCTCCCAAACGAACGAGTTTGCTAAGCCATGGACAGATTTTCTGATGGGGCACCCACCAAACATCCCTCGAAATAAATTGTTCACCATTCTAAAACATTTAATCCCCCTCAATTATCAGCAAAAACAAATCAGCAATACAGCTGAACTGAGTTTCTCTGGTTAATGTTTAAACTGCGCACACTACCCTTGATGGCTGCACTACTCTACCGCCACTAAAATCATTACTTTCTCTTACGTGGTATGAAATTTTCAGATAAATAGGAATTTAGACTCACGCTGGAGGATTCTAACGACTACAATACCTTCGGGGGAAATTTTAGATTCGCTCACAAGAAACCTTATGAAACACTCGCGGCTTTCGTGTTTAGTAACGCCGCGAATGAAAGCCATCATACTTTGACCAAACACAGCCCACAGTCCACGCTATAGAAGAAAAAAAAAGTTAAAGCTCGGGAGCCAGTTGCACAAAGCCTGGATAGCGTTATCCATTGGATAGAAATTTTCTTTAAACTTTTATAAAACCTTTTAAAAAACGAAAGATATGAGATTCGAACTGAGCAATCACTGAAATAAAATATAGTTTTGAAGGTTACGAAATTTCTTTGTCGTATGAAATATATTAACACCTTTTTTATAAGTTTGAAAATTTTTGCTATCCAATGGATAACGCTATCAAGGCTTCGTGCAACCGGCCCTGTATGCCCGGGAGCAGCAGTAGAAAAGGAGAAATGATTTTGAACCATAAAAAAAACTCGAAACTTCGAGAGTAAAACAACATCTTTTGCTTCGAATTAGTTAAATGTCATCCTCATCTTTAACGTAATCAGCCTAATACTTTACCCACATTACGCATCGTTTGAAATGAAAACAGTTCACGCAACAAAACCAATACAAAATGGTTATCCTCGGAGAAACTGACCCTCCTCCATTAACGGAGGTGAATACCCCCCCTGTTTGCTTCCTGGACTCTAACTCTGAGATTACCGTCTTTCCCCATGATGCAATCTTAGTGATTCCCATGAGAGTGTTACGAGCAGCGTACTTCTCCAAATCTTCCTCTTTTGCGTCTTCAGGGAATGTAGCAAGATATCGATAAAACCTACGGGAAAGTGAAATATTAAGACCGACCTCGTGCCCAGGGCTTTTGGTTTCCACGTGCGGGCTAGTGGGTCAGCGAAATGATCTCTGATCTAATCTGAACAACCCGTAGAAGCGAAAAGCAATGAGTAGAAAATTGATATTAAAATAATCTGGATTTAAGGAACATCGTAGTTTAATGTTATACAATTGTTTTAGAAGGGGATTTCGGAATGGCGAAAGAAAAATAAGGTAGTGTGAATCGTATTCACCGTACAGTGAGCTTAAAGAAATAATCCAACGGTCGAATAGGAACACAAAGGGATATTTAAGTATCATGTGTGATCTGTATGGTTAATTAAATCTTAATATAATTGAAGCCCACACATGCGCACTACGTTGAACCGTTGAGTCTTAGTCCACTGAGTCATAAGAAACCTGCAAAAACCTCACGGCATTAGGAATTAGAACGACTAAGGTTGCGTCGGGAATCTGATTAGGAATTCATTTCATTTTTTAAAGAGACAAGGAACTAAGGCCTAGTCCACACGTAGCCGAGTATTATCATAAACGAAGGTTTTTTTCAACCGTTTTGGCCTTTCGTCCACATGTAACCGGCGTTTTCATTGACGAATACGGAGATTTTTTAAATACGCTCTTCAGACTGTATATTTTTGAAAACGCCGGCTATTTGAATACGTGTGGACAGCTAAAACGGGGATTTTCGAATACGATGATATCAAAACTAGGATCCAGGCCACAAACTCTGATGATTTGTGCTTATTCTTACGTATTTTGGTGATTTCGCGTATTCGTGTGGACGGTAAATACGATTTGACAACGATACGTGTGGACGCAATTTTTTTCAAATACGGAGAAAAAAATATCCGTATTTTTAAATATCCGGATACGTGTGGACTAGGAACTAATACTGATCATGTGACTCACCATTGTTCCTCCAGGCTACGAATGACACACGCCTGCGCAGACACTAACATCGCTGGTGTCACGTGATCGATGAGCGGTATGTCTCTGATGATATCCGCCTGACAATGAAGACTTCTACCTTAAGAAAAAGAACCCAAGACGTTTTGGTGGGGCAAAAAGTTACGACAGCATTATCAAATATCGATATTCATTAACGAAACATTTTGAATTTAAAAGCAAACGACAATTTACTATCGATGAAAGAGCACGCAGAGGCACTCCTCTAAACACATAAAAACAAAGGAATTGTTTCTCTGCACAACAATCTTATACAAACGACAAAATACAATAACCGCTTACATGGATCTTCGATGTTTGCGAAGTACTGTTTCACTATCGCTCGTGCTTTTGCCTGCCTGGCTCGACTGTCCTTACTCTGAGTTTTCATTCGTTCAACGTCCTGCCAAAACTTCAATGGCATTAACACACCGTGATCGCTGAGGAAACGTTTCAGCCACAATAACTGCGTCGAGTCCGACAAAATGTCCGAGAAGAATCTGAAAAATAACATAAATAATCTAACTTTAAACTATGGACGAAAGTCATCAGTGATGAATACAAGAGTGATATATATATATATAATGATCATCGTAGCACACTAAGCTCCCATATAATGATCATCGTAGCACACTAAGCTCCCATATAATGATCATCGTACCACGCTAAGCTCCCATATAATGATCATCGTACCACACTAAGCTCCCATATAATGATCATCGTACCACACTAAGCTCCCATATAATGATCATCGTAACACACTAAGCTCCCATATAATGATCATCGTACCACGCTAAGCTCCCATATAATGATCATCGTACCACGCTAAGCTCCCATATAATGATCATCAAAGTGAAACAATGTTCATAATTTGATCTCCAATATGGCGTTTTTATCAAGTTAAGTCATGTCTACGATGTAAAATACCTCGGCTTTGGTGGACGAATTTTTAAAGCCACAGAGTTAAAAACACTTGATTTTCTAACCCTCCTGTTTGCCTTGCCGTAAAAATGCGATTTTCTTCTTGCATTTTCCGCCGAGACTTCCTCTTCTTTCACAAACGCCACAAGAGCTTCGGCCGCCTCTTCGTTTACTATAGTAAGTCTTCTCTTTCGTAAACTTCCCTCGTTTTCGAATTCCTCTTCGTCGCTCTCGGACAAGAGAACATCTTCTTCCTCGACGGCAACTTGTTGAGAATCTGTGATGGTAGAGAGCTTGATAAAAATGTAAGAACATACTAAATCTTATTCTTTGGAAATTTGTAGGCATTGTTATAGAGGTATCTTAAATTTGACATCAGCGCCTAACTTTGAATGAGCTACTGATGATCAAAGTTAGTTAGAGAAAATCCCGAGAAGGACTGTTTTTCACGATTACAATGACCTTAGAAAGGGCACAGCCAAAGAGGAGCAAAGTTGGCCGTTTCCCAGCACTTATTTTTCATGACAATTTCAAATTGACAGCTATAGCTAGATTGCTTTCTTTGGCTCGCCTTAAGAGACTTGTCCTCACTTTTTTTTCCTTAAATCATTCTTACGCCATTGAACCACTAGGAAACATGGTCAGTCCAAACCTCAGTTCAAATTTAACCCTGAAGTTATTGCAATTGCTAGCATGAAATTTCATGTTCAGCCGCAGAGTCTTGTATGAAATTGCCGACTTCAATAGAATGCACAAACCGTGGCATTTGGAATATACAATCACTACTTTTCACTAACTGCCGAAGCAAATCATTTGCTCAATCACGAAGGGCTTGGGAACAATTCTTTAATCGACCTCGCTATTGCATTGTCATGACAACCTATACCTCCCATTCCAAGACACAGTGCAAGGTCCAAAGCTCTGAGAACACGAAATGATTCGTTGTTTTCATTGTTTTCCAGTGCTTCCTCCAAAGCGACAGTTCCTCTTCTCCCGCATGATAACTAGAAAACAAGACAGAAGCTTCAGTAAATAATGATGAGAAAAATTTGAATCGACTGGTTTGAAAAAATAGACCACAAAGAAACATCGCCTTTTTGAATATTCAGACGATATGAAGTCGTTTGAAATATTACATTAGGGCACAATTAAACTTGACATATTCACAATATATCATTAATAAAAAAACACAATATTTGCCATAGGCCACTGTAAAATGACGATGTAACTTTTCTTCTACAATTTTTCGCGAAAAACTTCAAGTAGAAATTTACTCAAGAGGAAAGTACGGCAAGCTAGTACATACATATAGGTATAAATATATGAATTCTACTGACCAGTGTGTTTTTCAAATCGTCTTTATCGGCTTGAACGAATGCCTGCCAAGGATCGTACAGCACCTAGGTATTGGTGGAAAAAATCAATTTTCTTCTGCTTGCGCGACGGTCAAAAATACTTGTATGAATTTGATGGATAACTAAATACAGACTTCAATATATATAATGTATAGAAACTAAAATGTGGTCCCCTGAAAACCAAATGTAAACGCCTCAGATGTGAGCGTGAATTCTTTGCTTTCGTTGACAAAAATACTTCGATGTGTCGTGGTATTTTTTTTTAATTTGTTCTAAATTTGTTCTAAATTTAATTCAACAAAATTTCAGTCAATTCACTTTCTTTTCTTTTTTATTTGCAAAGATACTCTTACGAGTTTCATGGATTTTACAATAGGCGATTTCTTGGAAACCTTGTTAATGAGTAAGGTAGTCTAGATTAGTGACGATTAACAACTATACTTAATCACTGAGTCTACATTGGTGATTATAGGCGATTTGGGTTGGTCATTAGGTTAATCTAGATTGGTGTGGGTTAGCAACTTGGGTTGGTCAGTAGGTTAATCTAGATTGGCGTGGGTTGGCAACTTGGGTTGGTCAGTAGGTTAACTTATATTGGTGTATGTTGGCAACTTGATTGGTCAGTATGTTAATCTAGATTGGTGTGGGTTAGCAACTTGGGTTGGTCAGTAGGTTAATCTAGATTGGTGTGGGTTAGCAACTTGGGTTGGTCAGTAGGTTAATCTAGATTGGTGTGGATTGGCAACTTGGGTTGGTCAGTAGGTTAATCTAGATTGGTGTGGATTGGCAACTTGGGTTGGTCAGTAGGTTAATCTGGATTGGTGTGGATTGGCAATTTGGGTTGGTCAGTAGGTTAATCTAGATTGGTGTAGGTTGGCAACTTGGGTTGGTCAGTAGGTTAATCTAGATTGGTGTGGGTTAGCAACTTGGGTTGGTCAGTAGGTTAATCTAGATTGGTGTGGATTGGGTTGGTCATTAGGTTAACTTATATTGGTGTGGTTTGGCAACTTGATTGGTCAGTAGGTTAATCTAGATTGGTGTAGGTTGGCAACTTGGGTTGGTCAGTAGGTTAATCTAGATTGGTGTAGGTTGGCAACTTGGTTGGTCAGTGGGTTAATCTAGATTGGTGTAGGTTGGCAACTTGGGTTGGTCATTAGGTTAACTTATATTGGTGTGGGTTGGCAACTTGGGATGGTCAGTAGGTGAACAAATTGGAAGTATATTTAATCACATAACCTCGATTGTTTTATTAGCAATTCTCGATAACATGACGTCAGCATGACAACGCTGCAGAAGACGACAAAGGCGTTCACGCACATTGCAGTCCACCCGTATTTCCCGGATGCTACCATGTTGGAGATATGTAACCAGAATATTTCTACCAAGACGATACTTCAAATCGACAGCACTAGAGTTGGCTATAGCTATGTATGTTTGCACGTCCTCCCAAAACTGAAGATGTGCCAAGCTCAGTTTGTCGTTCTTCGACTTCAGATATGTCTGGAAAGGACCGCCAGCCAAACGGTCAGCGGTTATGGACAGTAGAAAGAGGTTGCCACAGTCCTTGGTATCATCTGAATCCGGGCAAAAGATGAAATACACTGTTGAAGTTATTTTTGATATATTTATGATAGAATCTGAAAAACGATGAAAATTAGAAAAGAGTAAAGAGTTTGAGAAATAGCGAAGGGCGAGGGAGGGAAAGGAGTAAATAGGGTCAGGGATGTGAGGATAGGGTCAGGGATGTGTGAATAGTGAAGGATGTCCTTTGTTGAGATGAGTGGACTTGCACAAACCTTTCCTCATGATGGGATGAATGGACTTGCACAAACCTTTCCTCATGATGGGATGAATGGACTTGCACAAACCTTTCCTCATGATGGGATGAATGGACTTGCACTAACCTTTCCTCATGAGAAAATTCTGGCTAAAGCAAGAATTAAGTGCGAGGGACGCAAGAGGGTGCCCCCCAATCTTGAGAGTTGAAATGTTAATCTCGAAATGGTACGTCCAACGTGATGACAAATTTTTCAAGTCACATAGCATTGATAGCAAAGTAATGTAATTTTTTTATTCACCGTAAAACTACAGACAATTAACGTCACAACGGATAACCAAATATAGTTTATACAGGTTTGTTTGGCTTCATGTTGATGGAAGAAATTCGTGTTAATTTTCTAGGCTCCATTTTTCAGAGCTTTCCCTTAGTATAAGGTAATAAGACGGCTTTCATTTACAAAGAACAATACTACATCCTATATGCTACATAACAACGATAATTCTCTATGAATTAAAATATATCTATACATTATATTTACAAAAACGTGTTACGTATAAGAGGTTTACCAAACACATGAGTTAAATGAATTAAAACTAGTGAGCCATAATGAGTAACGGGTCGAAATATTTTAATGAACATTTAGTTGCGGTAAAAAGACAAAGTTCCACCGAAACAAAATCGTTTAAAAGAGCAGTAGAAGGAAACTTGAACTGAACTTTTGGCAGATCCGTTCCAATCGAACCAAGAGTGTTGTGTGCATCATTCAACGTTGAATGGTTTAAAAGAAGATCACGGTTGATGAACATTGCTGTTTATCACAAAAGCCATATTTGTTGCTACAAGTCAAGTTCAATGATAGACACTTTGACGAATATCTGGAAAAGCACCAGATTATAGATGGTCGAGGCATGCTGTAAGGCCGGGGGGTGGGGGTAGAGGGAGCAGGGAGATTGATCGACACTTAGTTTTCACTCATCAAATTTTGCAGCAAATCATCCATCAACTCTGAATCATCTGGTTCATTCGGAAGCATGCTTTCAAAGAGTACAATTCTGGTTTCAGCATAGTGCTGCACTTCAGCAAATGCTTTATCATTGGCGACTTCATACGCACGCTTGGCATTCGTAATGGCTTCGGACAAATACCCTCTTCCTTCTACTGGATCGCGTTCGTAACATCGCAGAGCAAGATCTGATTTGGCAAGCAAAAAATGAAATTCGTTGAAACCAGTCATTGGCGGGCCTTCGAAATTCTCTGCTGCGTGCAAACTATCACGGGCCATTTGGATTTTGCAAAGAGGCATGTCCTGATTTAGGTTAATCACAGTTTTGCTTGGAGATGAATCCATGCAAAGCATAGCCAAGTTGATATGAACACGATGGTGCAAATTGGCAGCTGCCTTTGGGTAGGCAATGATTGCTTGGTTATGTACCAGAGCCTGTTCATAAAAACGCTTGGCCTGCTCAATGAGGTCATCCTTTTTTTGAGGGTCGGACTCTTCACCAGCAAAAATTGTCAGAAGAGATGCAGCATTACATAGGTACCAGGCAGTGATCCAACCTGGTTGTATGAGCTGCATCTTTTGAAGAGCCTGACATGTGTATCTGTAGCTGGCTTCGTAGTCTTTTTCCGATCGTTTAATTGCTGAAAACGAGTATAACTCTTGCACCTCAAAGATGGTGAGGTTCTTTGCATCTTTGACTAAAGAATGGTAGGATTCCAAGTATTTATTTGCTGCCGTAAATCTTTTCTGTCGATATGCGGCGGCTGTACATTGAAAGGTAACTGCAAGCTTCTGATCAGCATTGTATTTGTCTGAGCCAAGTATCTGGAAAGGTTTCAATATTAACAAAGTTAATTTCAATTATATTTATCGAAATACTAATGTCTCAAATATGCAATGGATAGGTGATATAATTTTTTTACTAAATACCTACATAGGTCTACCTATGTAGTTATTTAGTACAAAAATTATACCACCTTTGGCATCCCACCCCCATTTGACAACCATATTTATGAGCTGTTTCATGTGCATCCTGCACATAAATGACTTGCTTTGGTAGCATAAGCTGCCAAATATCTGCAAAACCTGCTAGTGTTCAGTGCCCTTTATACACACAGCCCTGTCCCATATTTCCTACAGAATAGATGAGTACTTAACCTGGCTATATTCCAAAGCCATCATCAGAGATTATACATAATATAAATCCTTATCAATATAAATCCAGGATTTACATAACCTGGCTGTTATCATAAACATTTATTTTAATTCAAACCTCTTTTGCAAAAGTTTTAATTTGCCTCCAGCATCCATTGTTTCTCAATTCCTCCATGTGCTGTGTTATTGACATGTAGTGCTTTTCATATTCAGCAGAACTCCATTTTATAACAGGAATGTCTTTCCTCCCATACAATGCCACAATGGCCTGAGATGCACCATTTTCATTCCAAGACCTATGTGCCTCACATTTCTTTGCATCTTCGATAAACCTCTTCTTCCACAATGAAAATGGAATCCTTGACACCTTTCCCTTTTCCAGATGATAGCTTACTGGCTCTTGCACATGCACACCTCCAGGGCATTTGGCAACAGACAGAACAATGATGTATCTGAAGGTGATGTACTTTTGAATCTGACAGTCGAAAACGGGATAAAAAGAAATTTTCCAAAACCGTTCTGGCTGTGAAACAGGCCATACCATTTTTGAAAGCAAAAGCGAGATCTTTTCGCGGATTTTAACTTTCTCCGATTCGCTGACTTCCTGCCCTTTGACTGTTGAAGTGTTGTCGTCTACACCAAAGTACATATTCCCGCCTTCATGATTTGCAAACGCTGAAACAGTGCTTGTAACTTTGTTCGATTTATAAACGATTCTGTCTGCCAATGTCGTCGTAAAGCGTCCGTCACCCTCAGGTTCGTTCTTCAAAAGTTTGAATTGAATCGTCTGACTTTCTCGGCAACCACGAGAAATTCTCTCGTCATAAGAAAACATTTTGTAATGTTTTGGAAATTCGGATGCACAATAATCAGCCGACAATTGTGGCTCAAGCAAAGAAGCTATTTCGGCCGATCTAATGCGAAGATCAATAGCAATTATCTGGTAATCCGACGGCGTGTACATGAAAAATTGTACGGTACAAAATCGAGGCGAGGATTTCACACTAAGCAAAAGCCAGTGTCGCTCAACCTTCTCAAGTTTAAACAACTTCGACAGCTCTATCGAGCTTGCAAACTTTAATATACTTTGTTCAATTCTTCGACCAATATCGTCGATAAGTTTCGGTTCTTCACAAATGAGTTCCGAACATTTGTCAATGAAATTCAACTTAATAAATCCTCCACAACAGGAATTAAAAAGAGCGCAAGCAGCAGACGAGATTTCGGTTATTTTGAGATCGCATAATTTTGAGTTCGACGATGACGTTTTGCCAGACTTCGTCGATAAATGCACATCAGATATATCGATTTGAACAACCAAAGATTCCTCCAAGTTATGTGAATGACGCGAAGCCGACATTACATCCTCGTTAGTGTACTTTATTCAACGAAACAGCGCGTGTATGGGTGCATTACGACATTGTTTACTTCGCTTTGATGTTGGCATAGGTTTTTAAATGAAAACCGTTCTATTTTGACGTTTATGACTTAAGGTTAATCCCCCTATGAACTAGGGAATCCCCCACCAAGGCGTGGTCACTCCCGATTGCGCAAGCACATGGGTGGCAAGAATTAAACCGACGCTTTCTCCCTTTCTTGCTCAAATTTAGGCGGAACAGTTGCAACATTCGCTATTAACCAGCGTACAGCAAGATATGTTTCAAATACCATATAAACGTCGACTCGCAGTAATCGTCCGAAACTCAATTTGAACAGTTGATTCTATAGCTGTGAATTGTCATACTCTTTAAAAGAATAAAATTCCGGGAAAATTTGTTTTGGTGAAAACGTTCTACGATAATTATTCATACCATAACTAGCCAAAATCCCTTTCCTCCAAGGACATAAAATATATAAAACAACCAAATTTTCTCTTACTTTGTGAGCCCCAAATAGACGCGAAGTGTTATAAGCGCTCAGCGGTTTTTTCGATATTTCTAAATGATAGTTTGGTTTTAATGACTTGAACCAAGTTCGTCGGGGATATTTTTTCAAACATTTTCATTTTCTCCTCGTTTCTGTCTAAAAAACATACAAAATATAACGTATTGTACGTTGCATTTCATTTATCATGTCGAATAAAGTTTTCATTGACAGGTAGTTTGCAAAACAGGAAGTGTTTGTACAGACTGTGGTGTTCACGAGTTAGTGGGTTTCATCCCTGTTTAAGTGACATTATACCAGTCTTTATCACACTGGGGATGACATGTTTGCAGATGTAGGATGTTACTATCAAGTCGTCATACAACTTGAGATTAAACCAAATTACAAATTTATTATTTTCAAATTACTGTTTTAAAATTAATTTCTTTAATTTACTGTCTTCAAGTTACGTTTAGGACCGTTTGGTCCCACGTACAAGATTCAACTGCAACAATTTGTCTTTTTCTTATTAAATAACAACACCCTTTCAAACGTCACTTCCTGCTCCCTATTCCGTCCAAAGCGGCAATTCATACGGTAGCCACATAGGACGTCCAGGTTAGTAGAGTCCTGAGAAGGACTGTTTTTGTTGTTGTTGACTGACGTTTCGACAACCTTAGCGGTAGTCATCTTCAGAGAAGGTTGTCGAAACGCTAAGGTTGTCGAAATGCCAGTCAACATCATCAAAAACAGTCCTTCTCAGGACTCTACTAACCTGGACGATGGACATCTACAAATATGTAACGATACTCCCGGGTTCAAATATTTACTTTGTCATATTGGGGATTGTTGGAAAAGGGGAAGTTGTTTTCATACACAGGTCAGGAGCTTCAACGATATCACATAATGTAAGAAAAATGTTAACTAAAGGGCACACGAGTGAATTCTCGGTCAAAAATTATTTACCGGCATCACTTGTCTTGGATATAAGACTCGTTTCAGAGTTATTTATCGTGTTCTTTTACTTACCGCCATCACTTGTCTTGGATATAAGACTCGTTTCAGAGTTATTTATCGTGTTCTTGCTGACACTCATTGCGAACGGAGTGGAAAGTTTGAGAAATTCTTTAACATCGAACTGTCTTGAAAACTGTTTTTGTACTTGTTCGCCGAGATGAAAGTCTTCTTGAACGCCGGTCGTTGAAATTTTTGAAGATATGGACGGTAATTTCAGAGTTTCATTCCTTTCTGTCGCCTAATCAAGAAAATACTTTATGAACTCTCCCACAAATATCACCAAAAAAATTTTTTGCAATCTTCGAGGAAATTTGCTCGCTGAAAATCGCGAGATGATTAAAAAATTTCTAATTTCAAACGAAGCGAGGCGATTCGTCACATACAAACTCAAAATGTAGCAATTTGTATATTACCTTGACGAATACACTCGGCGAGATTGAGATAACATCACAGGAAGGGCGACCAGGCTAAAGCTTTTTACTCTCTATACTTCTCAAATTTGAGCTAACGCGAGAAATTAGATTTGAAAAAGACTTGAAAACAAGTATAAAATTACGCAGATATATCGATAAATGTACTAGATAACACAAATAGCTGCTTTCAAGACAATAAATATTCAAACGAATATAAATGTCAACAAAACTATCGGACCGTCTGAACAAGTAACCAAAAGTCGGAACAGAAACAATCGGATCGTGTGAACGGGTCTTTATACTTTTCTCCTAATTTCAATACCTCAAGTTCGTGCGAGATGGCAACCATCGGTCGTATCTCTAAAAAACTCTTTACTAAAAAGAAAACACCTGGAACACCTCCAAGCTGAGCTTGCTGTAGATTATTGTACACTGTTCTTTCTATGTATTTCTGATACCTACACAACGATGGGGGAAATATACACTCAGTTAAAACAATCAAAAGGGGAGTAACTAGGGATATAAACACAATGTTGCATCGACCATTGGGGAAGAGGGGGGGTGACTAGGGATATTCGTACTCAGTTAAATGACCATTACGAGGATAACTAGGGACGTGTACATCCACTTGAAACGGCCATTACGAGGATAACTAGGGATCCAGAGGAATAACGCAAACTTACATATAAACATTGCCTTTTTGAATAGTAATATGAATCAAACTTAAACATGTTTTTATTTACTCGATTTGATTTCGATTCATGAATCATCGACGAGAACATACACGGAAAACAAAAAGAATAAAACTATTATCTGCTTTCCTTAACTAGTTAAATGCGGCTATGATTACAAGTGATGCTTAAAATAACTACTTGTTCTCCACAGTTCAGGAAAAAAACTCCCACTGAAACGTAAAATTCAACGCTCTACTGCGAGTATATCCGAGTATCATGAGGAAAGGTCTGATTGGAATGGTTGATTTTCAAACTTGACACTACACATTATAATTAAGATACTCGACTTATATTTGCCAAGTGAATTTAGGTAGCTCTTGGAGATCACTGATTGATACTTATGATCATAGAACGATATTCATAGTATGCGAGATGATTATTTGAGGTATTAAAGCCTGGTTCAGACGAGTAAAATAAGCACGAACGTCGAGACTTCTGTTTCTATTGCTCTAGAGGTTTATAAAGACAAAGAGAATGGGATTTTCTTTAAATCTTCTTTTGTTCTTCTCTTAGCTTATGCTTGAATTTTTTCCTTATGTTTGCGCTTATGTTGACGCTTGTGTCACATGCGTCGTTGATTATCTTTGTTTTATCTTTTGTCTACGCTTGTGCTTATCCTTATTTCACTCGTGTGAACCAGGTATTAATGATCCACAGGATGATCTGAGGACAAAATGAACAAGGTATTGATGATTCATGATGATCTGAGGACAAAATGATGGCAGTGCGAAACAAAAAGTTAACATACCGTTTCTCTAAAAATGATCGCGCACGCTGTATGAAAAAACCCTGTGAGTCTACGGAAAATCTGCAATGGAATAATAAACAACATTTTTAATATGAGCATGCCTCGCGCCTCCTTATATTAGGAGACTGGTGATGAGCGTGAACAAAAAGTGTGATGGTGTCAGCTTTTGCCATATTTGCGTGAAATATCAAAAAATGAGCCCAGGAGCTTGAGCATGCCTCGCGCCTCCTTATATTAGGAGACTGGCGATGAGCGTGAACAAAAAGTGTGATGGTGTCAGCTTTTGCCATATTTGCGTGAAATATCAAGAAGTGAGACAAACGAAGTGAACAAAGCATGCTGGGAAAATAAGGCCATGCAGAGTTTAGAAATTTACTTCATGCTTAGAAAAACAGACCCACATTTCCTCAAACATTATTTACAAACACCAAATCCACGTAAAATTTTCATACGTTGTGGCGCTTTTCATGAATTTTACATTGAGAAAAAATCGTGAGTATGAAAGTGTATAATCATATAATAAGGTGTATAATCATATAATAAGGTGTATAATCATGATTAACGAGGGGTTCTAGGGGGTATGACATATTAGCTAGGGATAGAGCGCTGCAAGCCAAAGTATAGTAATATAGTGCTAACCTGTCTTGCATATGCCATTTCAACGAAATCCAGGCCACTTCTCTGAGAGAGATCAACACGATTGAAAGCACCGTCCTTCGATTGATTTTCAAACAAAATGTATCAATTAAGAATATATCTTAGAAGGTGGCAGAAAGATTTCCAGTCTCAGTGCCCTCACCATGATCTCGGTTGAGAAATCGAGAGAATCTTGATCGGAACCCAGTAGAGAATTTAAGATTTTCAACTTCTCTTGTTCCCAGTCTTGCTCCATGCATCTCCAATGATTCCTCTCCGCTTCATCAAATGTCTAATAATAATGAATAAGCAGCCGAATAAACATAAATTTCTATCAATACAAGAGTCGTGACCAACGCATTCCTTTGTGCCAAGAACTACTTGGAAGAAGGTGCAATTGATTTGGGTCACATGACAATTGATTTGGGTCACATGACAAGAGGGGAAGAATTCTACATGAAGATGACAATGATGCAATTAATCATCAAAATGACATACATTCTTTTTGGATTCTTCTATTGCAGCCAAGATAGCATTTTCCCTTTCATTTCTCAAAAATCCCTAAAATTTCAATAAGTATCAAATGTCAAACTGGAGACAGTCTGTGAAACAAAAACACAAACACAATCCAACAACATTTGCTGCGCTCCATTCCAAAGAGCAACCCAACCTAGCTGGCTAAAACATCCTTAATAAATACTATAAATTCAAAATTAAAAGTACTTAAGGCTTTCCTAAGATACATTGTTTAATGATTACCTGAATGTCCGCATCTCTGATTGGTTCCAATGGTTCAAAGGTATTGGCCGTACTAAGATTATCTAATTTTTCAGACAACTTTGGTAAATCAAAGCCTTTGGAACCGAGCAGTATAGACCTGGTCAACATAGAATAATCATATTACATCAAGTAATATAAATATCTGAACAACACAAACAGTAGATTTTTGACGTACACAAATTTGTCAAAGAATGCTTGAGAAAGTAGTCCAAAAAGCTTGATGTTACTGGCTTTCAAAGTTTTTAAATATAAATGTTGGTGTACAACTAACTGACAAAGATGGGGGTTAGTGGAAGGTGGTTCATAGGTTTAGCCATCCAAGAATGTGGAGGTTGTATTATCCATTAAGGTCAAAAGTTGGGTATTTTCTTTCAACAAATGAACTCATTACACATAAATGTGCCAGATGAATGAAAAAAAGGAGGGAAGTGTGAACAACAGTCAACAGATATTTCCTCATCAACTTACGCTCTGACATCAGCATCGTCGCCAGCCCCCCCTGTTGTTTTCTTCCACAGTCGGTCACCTGCTTCTGCCAATTGATGCAGGTTTCTCTCTATCCTCGGAAGCTCGCCACCACTCTCAATGTCCGCTGTCAGCTGTTCGGCTTGCTGAAGCAAATCACTAAATCCTGACATCCTTTTTCGGCAAACGCAACAAGTTTTATATTGAAACCAGACTTTAAAAACAGGTTGTTTCAAATTCTCTTCACTTGAACATTAAGCTCAAAACTTCGAAAAAAAGCGTACAGTTTGATACTTTGAATATCAATCTTCCAAAGCGTTTTACTTTCTTTTCAAATTTCCGCCATGGCAATTTCGTGAGCCCCCGCACACTTATGGCAAAATATCGTTAAAACGATTTCATGTAATGCAAATATAACTGTTTACTTTTTAACAATATGGCGGCAATTAAAGAATGAGAAAACGGCAGACTAACGCATCGATTAAAATATACAATTTTGCCCGATCAAGATAACTCGTAGTGTATATATAAGTTGGGAAATGCTGTAACTGCTTGCTGGCTATTTCGTTTTTACATTCTTTGGTGAAACTTTCAAGTTTCAACTTCATACTATACGAGCTTGCAGGTTGTTGAATTTAAACTAGTCGACATTAAATCACACTTCAATGATAAACAGCTTAAAACTGCTCGCTGATACGTATGGCGAAGATGAAGACGATACAAGCAAAGCAGACGCGGTCAAAACTACACCAAGCTCTCAGGGAATAAAACGACAAAGAGAGAGTAACGATGACATCAATGGCTTAGAGAAAATAAGGTTTCCATAGAGATACAAGTTTATCGTTTCACTCCCTCCCCCCCTGTATCCAGACCACAATCATAGTGGAGCTTAAGACTTTAGTACAATAAACATTATACTGCACACCATGACACGGGTGAAGTAGTAAGCTTGCGCGCGCATCGATGCTTAAAACCCTTTCCATTCTTTTTCCTTTCATAGCAAAGAAAAGCTGGAAATTCCAAGTGGAATACTAGACATGTTTAATGGCAGCGAAGGTTGGCCCGATGACGCGTCACTTCACCAAGGACGGACACGTGGTTTTGATCATTTTCCCGGCAACTGGGCGACGCATGTTTTTGTGCCATGTACGAATCTTGCGTGTTGAGGTTTTTTTTTGTGATCAGGAAAGCGATAATCAAGGTTATCAGTCATCACTGTTGATGTTGAGAACGTGACGGCGGAACATCGTGTTACATGTTTGTAGATGTAGATCGTCCGAGTTAGCAGAGTCCTGAGAAAGACTGTTGGTGTTGACTGCTGTACAGAGTTAAAGATGAATACCGCTAAGGTTGTCGAAACGTCAGTCAACATCAAGACCAACAGTACTTCTCAGGACTCTACTAACCTGGACGATCTAAATGCACAAACATTTGACGATACTCCCGGGTTCAAACCACAAACTTCGTTTAGAACAGTGTTAGGTGGATAGGATAAGTTTTTTGGTTAGTAGGCTTGGCAATTTTACTAACAGGATTTAGGCAATCTTTTCATTCTCTGAGAAGGCCACAGGTCAACAAGTGATTTTATATAGGGAAAAGTAAGGTCATCCACTTGAAGCTAGATGAGATCTTTGAGCAGCCGCTTAAGTGCACTAAAGCCCTTGGACAACATCAACGTCGTCACTTTCAATGACATCATCATCGTCGTCACTTTCAATGACATCATCATCGTCGTTACTTTCAATGACATCATCATCGTCGTTACTTTCAATGACATCATCGTCGTTACTTTCAAGGACATCATCATCCTCGTCACTTTCAATGACATCGTCATCATCATCATCACTTTCAACATCATTCTTTTCTCAATAATGGTTCAGTTTAGCAATCGATCTTTCACGTTATTTTTAGTTAACCTTCCCGAAACCTTTGACCTCTTTATATCGTACCTACGAAAGATTTGGTCCAATGAAGACTTCGAGTTGCACATATTTGACACGCGTGATTTCCACGTAAGCATATCGCGAACAGTTCCCATCAGGCATCATTGGATTAAACCGCTGACCAAACTCTTGGAGCATGGCTTCCACGGAAAACGCAGGTAAGAAGTCTTGGGTGTAATACTTATTAGAAATAAAACGCGTGCTCTGATTGGTCCACAGCTAAGTTTGCAATAGCCTGTAAAAACCGATCTGAGCTCAATCAAAGATAATTTGCAAAACAATCATGACTACATATCAAAGGAAAAATCAAAACGTTTGTGTTTTAAATTTGTCTGTTTCGCATTTTTGTTTTATAAATGAAATAAAACATGTTTTTCGTTTTTACAAAGGTTTATGCAAACCCCAGAGACGTTTGTGAGAACTCTCGAGCAGGTGCAAACCTCCACCTTTGGTCTCGGGCTTGCACTGCTCTGCTCTCGAGTTCTCCCAAAGGTCTCCTCGGTATGCATAAACATGTGCAAACACAGGTATGCATCGTTTATTTCATACCTCTTACACACGTGAAAATGAGCAATAGGTATTACTTCTTTACAACAGACACAATGAACAATATTGCACCTACACTTAGCATTAGACATTTTAGTATAGTCGTGAGAAGGACTGTTTTTCTTGTTGTTGACTGACGTTTCGACAACCTTAGCGGTAGTCATCTTCAGAGTCAAAAGATGATCTTTTTTCTTATTTTTGTCCTCATTTTTGTTATTTTTGTAACACTCATATTAATTCCAAGAATTGTTCCAATTTAGGTTCATTTGTGATTTTCAGAAAGTTTCTTTGTACGTTAACGATGACAAAACCCGGTGGGTTGAAAATTTTATCTAAACCTATAAACAACTGTTTTTTAGAAGTACATTTTAGCATCACGTACGCTTTTTTTCTTTTGTGTTACCATAAGGACGTTCTTGGCTTTAGATGTCACCATTGGGATATCACAGGTAATCCATTAAAAATCCTCTAATCCTCCATTGTACCGAGATTATCCTACATGAGTAGCGTAAGCTCTCCCGAAATCTACCGTTCAAATTTGAGTAACGTTCTGAACATGACATGGTTCTTTTATTTAAGTTGAATGATTTGGTGCTAGTTGTCGACAAGGCGTTTCGGGAATTTGGTCTTCAGGAATATTACGATGTAAGAATAACGAAAACAAGATCATAAATATGTACAAAGTACGCTAACATGCTGTCATTGTCACTTATTGCCATTACTTTATGTAATTGTGTTTATCGCTAATCGGCTTTACTACGTATTTTCTTCGCCTGCTTACGTGACAACATTTCTAAGAAGCTTTCCATGAATTTTTCTGCTGATTTTTTGTATATACAGGAACCGTCATTTCACGCCAGTTTTGCCTGGTGTTTGGGCGACGCAAAGGAACATATCACATCATCGATGTTGACAAAACTTCAGGTAAATCCGAACATTAGTCTATTGAACTGGCATTTTTTTATCATTATTCCGCCTATCCGTTAGCCATCAAAATGTGAAGTCACTTTGAGCGATGGAAGTTAATTGAATGAGCAGTTGGCATTTTATTGTGGAATGTCGGAGTTCAATGGTACTTAAGATGAAGATCGTTCATGTTTAAATTACATCAATAGTATTTCACATGACAACATTTTTGACGGCATGAAAAATGCAGGATTGCATGTGTATTTAGGAGGAGGAAGGGGGATGTTTCTGCTAAAATGGGAGAGGTATTTTGATTGTAATAAACCCTTTTATGGTTATTGAAAACATAATATTTTGAGGGTTTACCTCCCTCCCCTCTTGTTGCTGAACTTTAAGGTCGATGTATTTCGATTGTAATGACAATCAACTATTTTCCTCTTCAAGAGCATTTTGGATTCTTACATGGAGGAAAGTTCTTCGCTCGTCGTTGAAACCAAAGAGATTCGTTGCCACATCGGCAACAAATCATTTCACTTCGATTTGCTTCGAAAGTTCGAATAAAATAGTTGTTTAAAGAAAATCAACTAACGCCAAAATGCCTCAAATGACATTTACTAATTCAATAATCAACTTTACGACAATGATTTTACGATATGATTCGCAAACCTGTCATAAGAGAAAAGCTCAGCCTTGAATCTTCGTCTGTAAAGTGAAAAAATAAACAAATGTTAATTGATGCAAACGTTGAAAATTTTACCAAATTTTACCAAAACATTGTTTTCCAAGCTGAATATTAACAAAGTATGTATAAACACACAAACATCATAACTCAATTTAAAAAGTTACAAACAAAACCAGTTTCACGAGCCCATCTCATGCTAAATGATAAAATTCTTTTGGAACATTAAATTTTTTTCTGCTTGTTGGTAGCTCTCAGTTATCGTTTGCAAAAATAATATAAAAATGTAAGCACAGACAAGGATGTTTTGTCAGCAAATGTAAATAACACAGTATTTTTCTGAATACTTACTGTACTCAATTAAAAGGACGAAGCAATTGTATATTGGCTTGTCTACGAAATATTCAACTGACCGCTAACGAACCTGGACGCTAACGAACTGAGCGCTATTCAACTGCAGCGCTAACGAACCTGGAAGGATTGCAATTCGTCTGTAAGGAATGCCTTCTATATACAACGTTTCTTTGTCGTTTTTATGTTTATGTTTCCTGCGTCCTTTTCTCTCTTCTTTGCCAGCACCATCGTCAAATTTCATGTCGCTGGCTAAAAATCTTAACAAAAGAACAATGGTTGAAGTTCAAGTGTGTTCAAGTCTTAGTCGTTCCTAGACTTCCATTCAAATGTCGGTCGTTCCCAGACATCCAACTTGTCGCAGGCTAACCCAACTATCTACAGGCTAATATCAAACTGTTCTTAGATTTTTGACCATTTATTTGCACGAAACACGCGCTGCTATAAGCAAATGCAAAGTTATTGTAACGAAGGTCGAGAAATTCTGCCGTTAAATATCTTTATGCCATCGTAAATAAAGCCCTCTTCATTTCTGTATGATCAAACTTCGACTGCTTTTTGTGGATTTCAGCAGGCTATCTCACCCGACAATCTGCAGGCTATCTCACCCGAAAATCTGCAGGCTACCATAAACGACTATTTTCAACTAACTGCCATCGGTGACCATTGAACAACCCAGTGTTTCCAGACACTATATCCAGAGGCTGGTTGCACGAAGGCCGAATAGCGCTATCCACTGAATAGCAAATTTTTCTGAACGTTTAAAAAATCTCTTATAAGAGGAAAATGTACGATTTGAACTGTGCAATCACTGAAATAAAATATTGTTTCGAGGATTACAACATTTCTTTGTCGTAAAAAAAGTATAAACATCTTTTTTACAAGTTTGAGAAATTTTACTATGCATTGGATACCGCTATCTATAGACTTCCTTCAACCGGCCCCAGACAATTAAACAGTGCATATGACGTAACAGCATCAGACCACCACACTATAACCAGTGCAACAGTTCAACAAAGTTAAAGTATGGACTCACTTCTTCCAGTAATTGATGAGGGTACAAAACACGTAAATTTCAGCGTCGTGAAACAAGCCACGGTCGGAAATGCCAGAGTTGAACTCGTGACATATTCTATCGCTCATTTCATACGGGATATTGATCTATATTAGAACCATGACAAACTTTATATAACTTACATATGTGAAGCACACCCTCCCCCGTGAAGTGAACTAGCACCGAAGGTTTAGAACCATGACAAACTTTATATAACTTACATATGTAGAGCACACCACCCACCCACCCCGCGAAGTGAACAAGCACTGAAGGTTTATAATTGTACCTGTAATCTTGGCGGCAATGCAGAATCAAGAAAACAACAGATGATCGTCTTTGCTTTTGAACGAATCAGTTTTTCATCGTCAAGAGAGTAGTTGCCGGCCAGAGCACAAAGGGACGCACCGTCGACCATTTCCTTGAAGCTACATGAACATCCGGGACGAGGAAATGCATGATTCATAACCAAATCCATTCGTTAATTTCAACATTAAATCAAAGGTTTTGACTAGTTTGTAAAGCGGGGGCATTTTGGAAATTGGAAAGGTCTCCGAGGTTTGCGTAAGCCAGTGCAAACACGAAAAACATCTTTTATTTCTCTTATGAAATAACAATAATGCGAAACAGACAAATTTAAAACATTTGAAGTTTTCTTTTAAAATGTTACTCGTGATTGATTTGAATACACTCATTAATTGATTGATTGGTTGAGCTCAGATCGGTTTGCACGGGCCAATGCAAACACACAGCTATAGACCAGTCAGCGCATGCGTTATATTGTTTCTATATCAAAAGTAAACATGCTACTGTGTATAAAGCTTACCGCTGAACTTCCAACCAAAACCTCAAATCGCTTGCCAAATGGTCAGCAGAAATGACGCGATTATTTATGATTCTCTTATAGTTTTGATTTATATGCTTTCGACCTGCAAAAGTTCTACGTTAAAAATCAATGGCGTAAAATCTCGATAATCATGGGGGAGGGGTGGGGTGCACATATTCAAACGTCCATGTTTTGCCGTATCACGTTCCTTTGAAATCAATTGTTTTCTATGGATTACAACATGGATATATGAATGTGTGCACCTCCCAAACGAACGAGTTTGCTAAGCCATGGACAGATTTTCTGATGGGGCACCCACCAAACATCCCTCGAAATAAATTGTTCACCATTCTAAAACATTTAACCCCCTCAATTATCAGCAAAACAAATCAGCAATACAGCTGAACTGAGTTTCTCTGGTTAATGTTTAAACTGCGCACACTACCCTTGATGGCTGCACTACTCTACCGCCACTAAAATCATTACTTTCTCTTACGTGGTATGAAATTTTCAGATAAATAGGAATTTAGACTCGCGCTGGAGGATTCTAACGACTACAATACCTTCGGGGGAAATTTTAGATTCGCTCACAAGAAACCTTATGAAACACTCGCGGCTTTCGTGTTTAGTAACGCCGCGAATGAAAGCCATCATACTTTGACCAAACACAGCCCACAGTCCACGCTATAGAAGAAAAAAAAAGTTAAAGCTCGGGAGCCAGTTGCACAAAGCCTGGATAGCGTTATCCATTGGATAGAAATTTTCTTTAAACTTTTATAAAACCTTTTAAAAAACGAAAGATATAAGATTCGAACTGAGCAATCACTGAAATAAAATATAGTTTTGAAGGTTACGAAATTTCTTTGTCGTATGAAATATATTAACACCTTTTTTATAAGTTTGAAAATTTTTGCTATCCAATGGATAACGCTATCAAGGCTTCGTGCAACCGGCCCTGTATGCCCGGAGCAGCAGTAGAAAGGAGAAATGATTTTGAACCATAAAAAACTCGAAACTTCGAGAGTAAAACAACATCTTTTGCTTCGAATTAGTTAAATGTCATCCTCATCTTTAACGTAATCAGCCTAATACTTTACCCACATTACGCATCGTTTGAAATGAAAACAGTTCACGCAACAAAACCAATACAAAATGGTTATCCTCGGAGAAACTGACCCTCCTCCATTAACGGAGGTGAATACCCCCCCTGTTTGCTTCCTGGACTCTAACTCTGAGATTACCGTCTTTCCCCATGATGCAATCTTAGTGATTCCCATGAGAGTGTTACGAGCAGCGTACTTCTCCAAATCTTCCTCTTTTGCGTCTTCAGGGAATGTAGCAAGATATCGATAAAACCTACGGAAAGTGAAATATTAAGACCGACCTCGTGCCCAGGGCTTTTGGTTTCCACGTGCGGGCTAGTGGGTCAGCGAAATGATCTCTGATCTAATCTGAACAACCCGTAGAAGCGAAAAGCAATGAGTAGAAAATTGATATTAAAATAATCTGGATTTAAGGAACATCGTAGTTTAATGTTATACAATTGTTTTAGAAGGGGATTTCGGAATGGCGAAAGAAAAATAAGGTAGTGTGAATCGTATTCACCGTACAGTGAGCTTAAAGAAATAATCCAACGGTCGAATAGGAACACAAAGGGATATTTAAGTATCATGTGATCTGTATGGTTAATTAAATCTTAATATAATTGAAGCCCACACATGCGCACTACGTTGAACCGTTGAGTCTTAGTCCACTGAGTCATAAGAAACCTGCAAAAACCTCACGGCATTAGGAATTAGAACGACTAAGGTTGCGTCGGGAATCTGATTAGGAATTCATTTCATTTTTTAAAGAGACAAGGAACTAAGGCCTAGTCCACACGTAGCCGAGTATTATCATAAACGAAGGTTTTTTTCAACCGTTTTGGCCTTTCGTCCACATGTAACCGGCGTTTTCATTGACGAATACGGAGATTTTTTAAATACGCTCTTCAGACTGTATATTTTGAAAACGCCGGCTATTTGAATACGTGTGGACAGCTAAAACGGGGATTTTCGAATACGATGATATCAAAACTAGGATCCAGGCCACAAACTCTGATGATTTGTGCTTATTCTTACGTATTTTGGTGATTTCGCGTATTCGTGTGGACGGTAAATACGATTTGACAACGATACGTGTGGACGCAATTTTTTTCAAATACGGAGAAAAAAATATCCGTATTTTTAAATATCCGGATACGTGTGGACTAGGAACTAATACTGATCATGTGACTCACCATTGTTCCTCCAGGCTACGAATGACACACGCCTGCGCAGACACTAACATCGCTGGTGTCACGTGATCGATGAGCGGTATGTCTCTGATGATATCCGCCTGACAATGAAGACTTCTACCTTAAGAAAAAGAACCCAAGACGTTTTGGTGGGGCAAAAAGTTACGACAGCATTATCAAATATCGATATTCATTAACGAAACATTTTGAATTTAAAAGCAAACGACAATTTACTATCGATGAAAGAGCACGCAGAGGCACTCCTCTAAACACATAAAAACAAAGGAATTGTTTCTCTGCACAACAATCTTATACAAACGACAAAATACAATAACCGCTTACATGGATCTTCGATGTTTGCGAAGTACTGTTTCACTATCGCTCGTGCTTTTGCCTGCCTGGCTCGACTGTCCTTACTCTGAGTTTTCATTCGTTCAACGTCCTGCCAAAACTTCAATGGCATTAACACACCGTGATCGCTGAGGAAACGTTTCAGCCACAATAACTGCGTCGAGTCCGACAAAATGTCCGAGAAGAATCTGAAAAATAACATAAATAATCTAACTTTAAACTATGGACGAAAGTCATCAGTGATGAATACAAGAGTGATATATATATATATAATGATCATCGTAGCACACTAAGCTCCCATATAATGATCATCGTAGCACACTAAGCTCCCATATAATGATCATCGTACCACGCTAAGCTCCCATATAATGATCATCGTACCACACTAAGCTCCCATATAATGATCATCGTACCACACTAAGCTCCCATATAATGATCATCGTAACACACTAAGCTCCCATATAATGATCATCGTACCACGCTAAGCTCCCATATAATGATCATCGTACCACGCTAAGCTCCCATATAATGATCATCAAAGTGAAACAATGTTCATAATTTGATCTCCAATATGGCGTTTTTATCAAGTTAAGTCATGTCTACGATGTAAAATACCTCGGCTTTGGTGGACGAATTTTTAAAGCCACAGAGTTAAAACACTTGATTTTCTAACCCTCCTGTTTGCCTTGCCGTAAAAATGCGATTTTCTTCTTGCATTTTCCGCCGAGACTTCCTCTTCTTTCACAAACGCCACAAGAGCTTCGGCCGCCTCTTCGTTTACTATAGTAAGTCTTCTCTTTCGTAAACTTCCCTCGTTTTCGAATTCCTCTTCGTCGCTCTCGGACAAGAGAACATCTTCTTCCTCGACGGCAACTTGTTGAGAATCTGTGATGGTAGAGAGCTTGATAAAAATGTAAGAACATACTAAATCTTATTCTTTGGAAATTTGTAGGCATTGTTATAGAGGTATCTTAAATTTGACATCAGCGCCTAACTTTGAATGAGCTACTGATGATCAAAGTTAGTTAGAGAAAATCCCGAGAAGGACTGTTTTTCACGATTACAATGACCTTAGAAAGGGCACAGCCAAAGAGGAGCAAAGTTGGCCGTTTCCCAGCACTTATTTTTCATGACAATTTCAAATTGACAGCTATAGCTAGATTGCTTTCTTTGGCTCGCCTTAAGAGACTTGTCCCCACTTTTTTTCCTTAAATCATTCTTACGCCATTGAACCACTAGGAAACATGGTCAGTCCAAACCTCAGTTCAAATTTAACCCTGAAGTTATTGCAATTGCTAGCATGAAATTTCATGTTCAGCCGCAGAGTCTTGTATGAAATTGCCGACTTCAATAGAATGCACAAACCGTGGCATTTGGAATATACAATCACTACTTTTCACTAACTGCCGAAGCAAATCATTTGCTCAATCACGAAGGGCTTGGGAACAATTCTTTAATCGACCTCGCTATTGCATTGTCATGACAACCTATACCTCCCATTCCAAGACACAGTGCAAGGTCCAAAGCTCTGAGAACACGAAATGATTCGTTGTTTTCATTGTTTTCCAGTGCTTCCTCCAAAGCGACAGTTCCTCTTCTCCCGCATGATAACTAGAAAACAAGACAGAAGCTTCAGTAAATAATGATGAGAAAAATTTGAATCGACTGGTTTGAAAAAATAGACCACAAAAGAAACATCGCCTTTTTGAATATTCAGACGATATGAAGTCGTTTGAAATATTACATTAGGGCACAATTAAACTTGACATATTCACAATATATCATTAATAAAAAAACACAATATTTGCCATAGGCCACTGTAAAATGACGATGTAACTTTTCTTCTACAATTTTCGCGAAAAACTTCAAGTAGAAATTTACTCAAGAGGAAAGTACGGCAAGCTAGTACATACATATAGGTATAAATATATGAATTCTACTGACCAGTGTGTTTTTCAAATCGTCTTTATCGGCTTGAACGAATGCCTGCCAAGGATCGTACAGCACCTAGGTATTGGTGGAAAAAATCAATTTTCTTCTGCTTGCGCGACGGTCAAAAATACTTGTATGAATTTGATGGATAACTAAATACAGACTTCAATATATATAATGTATAGAAACTAAAATGTGGTCCCCTGAAAACCAAATGTAAACGCCTCAGATGTGAGCGTGAATTCTTTGCTTTCGTTGACAAAAATACTTCGATGTGTCGTGGTATTTTTTTTTAATTTGTTCTAAATTTGTTCTAAATTTAATTCAACAAAATTTCAGTCAATTCACTTTCTTTTCTTTTTTATTTGCAAAGATACTCTTACGAGTTTCATGGATTTTACAATAGGCGATTTCTTGGAAACCTTGTTAATGAGTAAGGTAGTCTAGATTAGTGACGATTAACAACTATACTTAATCACTGAGTCTACATTGGTGATTATAGGCGATTTGGTTGGTCATTAGGTTAATCTAGATTGGTGTGGGTTAGCAACTTGGGTTGGTCAGTAGGTTAATCTAGATTGGCGTGGGTTGGCAACTTGGGTTGGTCAGTAGGTTAACTTATATTGGTGTATGTTGGCAACTTGATTGGTCAGTATGTTAATCTAGATTGGTGTGGGTTAGCAACTTGGGTTGGTCAGTAGGTTAATCTAGATTGGTGTGGGTTAGCAACTTGGGTTGGTCAGTAGGTTAATCTAGATTGGTGTGGATTGGCAACTTGGGTTGGTCAGTAGGTTAATCTAGATTGGTGTGGATTGGCAACTTGGGTTGGTCAGTAGGTTAATCTGGATTGGTGTGGATTGGCAATTTGGGTTGGTCAGTAGGTTAATCTAGATTGGTGTAGGTTGGCAACTTGGGTTGGTCAGTAGGTTAATCTAGATTGGTGTGGGTTAGCAACTTGGTTGGTCAGTAGGTTAATCTAGATTGGTGTGGATTGGCAACTTGGGTTGGTCATTAGGTTAACTTATATTGGTGTGGTTTGGCAACTTGGTCAGTAGGTTAATCTAGATTGGTGTAGGTTGGCAACTTGGGTTGGTCAGTAGGTTAATCTAGATTGGTGTAGGTTGGCAACTTGGTTGGTCAGTGGGTTAATCTAGATTGGTGTAGGTTGGCAACTTGGGTTGGTCATTAGGTTAACTTATATTGGTGTGGGTTGGCAACTTGGGATGGTCAGTAGGTGAACAAATTGGAAGTATATTTAATCACATAACCTCGATTGTTTTATTAGCAATTCTCGATAACATGACGTCAGCATGACAACGCTGCAGAAGACGACAAAGGCGTTCACGCACATTGCAGTCCACCCGTATTTCCCGGATGCTACCATGTTGGAGATATGTAACCAGAATATTTCTACCAAGACGATACTTCAAATCGACAGCACTAGAGTTGGCTATAGCTATGTATGTTTGCACGTCCTCCCAAAACTGAAGATGTGCCAAGCTCAGTTTGTCGTTCTTCGACTTCAGATATGTCTGGAAAGGACCGCCAGCCAAACGGTCAGCGGTTATGGACAGTAGAAAGAGGTTGCCACAGTCCTTGGTATCATCTGAATCCGGGCAAAAGATGAAATACACTGTTGAAGTTATTTTTGATATATTTATGATAGAATCTGAAAAACGATGAAAATTAGAAAAGAGTAAAGAGTTTGAGAAATAGCGAAGGGCGAGGGAGGAAAGGAGTAAATAGGGTCAGGGATGTGAGGATAGGGTCAGGGATGTGTGAATAGTGAAGGATGTCCTTTGTTGAGATGAGTGGACTTGCACAAACCTTTCCTCATGATGGGATGAATGGACTTGCACAAACCTTTCCTCATGATGGGATGAATGGACTTGCACAAACCTTTCCTCATGATGGGATGAATGGACTTGCACTAACCTTTCCTCATGAGAAAATTCTGGCTAAAGCAAAATTAAGTGCGAGGACGCAAGAGGGTGCCCCCCAATCTTGAGAGTTGAAATGTTAATCTTGAAATGGTACGTCCAACGTGATGACAAATTTTTCAAGTCACATAGCATTGATAGCAAAGTAATGTAATTTTTTTATTCACCGTAAAACTACAGACAATTAACGTCACAACGGATAACCAAATATAGTTTATACAGGTTTGTTTGGCTTCATGCTGATGGAAGAAATTCGTGTTAATTTTCTAGGCTCCATTTTTCAGAGCTTTCCTTAGTATAAGGTAATAAGACGGCTTTCATTTACAAAGAACAATACTACATCCTATATGCTACATAACAACGATAATTCTCTATGAATTAAAATATATCTATACATTATATTTACAAAACGTGTTACGTATAAGAGGTTTACCAAACACATGAGTTAAATGAATTGAAACTAGTGAGCCATAATGAGTAACGGGTCGAAATATTTTAATGAACATTTAGTTGCGGTAAAAAGACAAAGTTCCACCGAAACAAAATCGTTTAAAAGAGCAGTAGAAGGAAACTTGAACTGAACTTTTGGCAGATCCGTTCCAATCGAACCAAGAGTGTTGTGTGCATCATTCAACGTTGAATGGTTTAAAAGAAGATCACGGTTGATGAACATTGCTGTTTATCACAAAAAGCCATATTTCTTGCTACAAGTCAAGTTCAATGATAGACACTTTGACGAATATCTGGAAAAGCACCAGATTATAGATGGTCGAGGCATGCTGTAAGGCCGGGGGGTGGGGGTAGAGGGAGCAGGGAGATTGATCGACACTTAGTTTTCACTCATCAAATTTTGCAGCAAATCATCCATCAACTCTGAATCATCTGGTTCATTCGGAAGCATGCTTTCAAAGAGTACAATTCTGGTTTCAGCATAGTGCTGCACTTCAGCAAATGCTTTATCATTGGCGACTTCATACGCACGCTTGGCATTCGTAATGGCTTCGGACAAATACCCTCTTCCTTCTACTGGATCGCGTTCGTAACATCGCAGAGCAAGATCTGATTTGGCTAGCAGAAAATGAAACTCGTTGAAACCAGTCATTGGCGGGCCTTCGAAATTCTCTGCTGCGTGCAAACTATCACGGGCCATTTGGATTTTGCAAAGAGGCATGTCCTGATTTACGTTAATCACAGCTTTGCTTGGAGATGAATCCATGCAAAGCATAGCCAAGTTGATATGAACACGATGGTGCAAATTGGCGGCTGCCTTTGGGTAGGCAATGATTGCTTGGTTATGTACCAGAGCCTGTTCATAAAAACCCTTTGCCTGCTCAATGAGGTTATCCTTTTTTTTAGGGTCAGATTCCTCACCTGCAAAAATCGTCAGAAGAAATGCAGCATTACAGAGGTACCAAGCAGTGATAAAACCTGGTTGTATGAGCTGCATCTTTTGAAGAGCCTGAAATGTGTATCCGTAGCTGGCTTCGTAGTCTTTTTCCGATCGTTTAATTGCTGACAACGAATATAACCCATACACATCAAAGATGGTGAGATTCTTTGCATCTTTGACTAAAGAATGGTAGGATTCCAAGTATTTATTTGCCTCCTTAAATCTTTTCTGTCGATATGCGGCGGCTGTACATTGAAAGGTAACTGCAAGCTTCTGATCAGCATTGTATTTGTCTAAGCCAAGTATCTGGAAAGTTTTCAATATTAACAAAGTTAATTTCAATTATATTTATCGAAATACTAATGTCTCAAATATGCAATGGATAGGTGATATAATTTTTTTACTAAATAACTACATAGGCCTACCTATGTAGTTATTTAGTACAAAAATTATACCACCTTTGGCATCCCACCCCCATTTGATAACCATATTTATGAGCTGTTTCATGTGCATCCTGCACATAAATGACTTGCTTTGGTAGCATAAGCTGCCAAATATCTGCAAAACCTGCTAGTGTTCAGTGCCCTTTATACACACGGCCCTGTCCCATACTTCCTGCAGCATAGATGAGTACTTAACCTGGCTATATTCCAAAGCCATCATCAGAGATTATACATAATATAAATCCTTATCAATATAAATCCAGGATTTGCATAACCTGCCTGTTATCATAAACATTTATTTTAGTTCAAACCTCTTTAGCAAAAGTGTTAATTTGCCTCCAGCATCCATTGTTTATCAATTCCACCATGTACTGTGTTATTGACATGTAGTCCTTTTCATATTTAGCAGAACTCCATTTTATAACAGGAATGTCTTTCGTCCCATACAATGCCACAATGGCCTGAGATGCACTATTTTCATTCCAAGACCTATGTGCCTCACATTTCTTTGCATCTTCGATAAACCTCTTCTTCCACAATGAAAATGGAATCCTTGACACCTTTCCCTTTTCCAGATGATAGCTTACTGGCTCTTGCGTATGCACACCTCCAGGGCATTTGGCAACAGACAGAACAATGATGTATCTGAAGGTGCTGTACTTTTGAATCTGACTGTCGAAAACGGGATAAAATGAAATTTTCCAAAACCGTTCTGGCTGTGAAACAGGCCATACCATTTTTGAAAGCAAAAGCGAGATCTTTTCGCGGATTTTAACTTTCTCCGATTCGCTGACTTCCTGCCCTTTGACTGTTGAAGTGTTGTCGTCTACACCAAAGTACATATGCCCGCCTTCATGATTTGCAAACGCTGAAACAGTGTTTGTAACTTTGTTCGATTTATTAAAGATTCTGTCTGCCAATGTCGTCGTAAAGCGTCCGTTACTCTCAGGTTCGTTCTTCAAAAGTTTGAATTGAACCGTCTGACTTTCTCGGCAATCACGAGAAATTCTCTCGTCATAAGAAAACATTTTGAAATGTTTCGGAAATTCGGGTGCACAATAATAAGCCGACAATTGTGGCTCAAGCAAAGAAGCTATTTCGGCCGATCTAATGCGAAGATCAATAGCATTTATCTGGTAATCCGATGGCGTGTACATGAAAAATTGTACGGTACAAAATCGAGGCGAGGATTTCACACTAAGCAAAAGCCAGTGTCGCTCAACCTTCTCAAGTTTAAACAACTTCGACAGCTCTATCGAGCTTGCAAACTTTAATATACTTTGTTCAATTCTTCGACCAATATCGTCGATAAGTTTCGGTTCTTCACAAATGAGTTTCGAACATTTGTCAATGAAATTCAACTTAATAAATCCTCCACAACAGGAATTAAAAAGAGCGCAAGCAGCAGACGAGATTTCGGTTACTTTGGGATCGCATAATTTTGAGTTCGACGATGACGTTTTGCCAGACTTCTTCAATAAATGCACATCAGATATATCGATTTGAACAACCAAATATTCCTCCAAGTTATGTGAATGACGCGAAGCCAACATTACATCCTCGTTAGTGTACTTTATTCAACGAAACAGCCCGTGTATGGGTGCATTACGACATTGTTTACTTCGCTTTGATGTTGGCATAGGTTTTTAAATGAAAACCGTTCTATTTTGACGTTTATGACTTAAGGTTAATCCCCCTATGAACTAGGGAATCCCCCACGAAGGCGTGGTCACTGTCGATTGAGCAAGCACATCGGTGGCGAGAATTAAACCGAGGCTTTCTCCCTTGCTTGCTCGAATTTAGGCGGAACAGTTGCAACATTCGCTATTAACCAGCGTACAGCAAGATATGTTTCAAATACCATATAAACGTAGACTCGCAGAAATCGTCCTAAACTCAATTTGAACAGTTGATTCTATAGCTGTGAATCGCCATACTCTTTAAAAGAATAAAATTCCGGGAAAATTTGTTTTGGTGAAAACGTTCTACGATAATTATTCATACCATAACTAGCCAAAACCCCTTTCCTCAAAGGACATAAAATATATAAAACGACCAAATTTTTTCTTACTTTGTGAGCCCCAAATAGACGACGAAGTGTGATAAGCGCTCAGCGGTTTTTTCGATATTTCTAAATGATAGTTTGGTTTAATGACTTGAACCAGGTTCGTCGGGGATATTTTTTCAAACATTTTCATTTTCTCCTTGTTTCTGTCTAAAAAACATACAAAATATAACGTATTTTACGTTGCATTTCATGTATCACGTCTAATAAAGTTTTCATTGACAGGTAGTTGGCAAAACAGGAAGTGTTTGTACAGACTGTGGTGTTCACGAGTAAGTGGGTTTCATCCCTGTTTAAGTGACAATATACCAATCTTTATCACACTGGGGATGACATGTTTGCAGATGTAGGACGTCCAGGTTAGTAGAGTCCTGAGAAGGACTGTTTTTGTTGTTATTGACTGACGTTTCGACAAGCTTAGCGGTAGTCATCTTCAGAGAAGGTCGTCGAAACGCAAAGGTTGTCGAAATGCCAGTCAACATCATCAAAAACAGTCCTTCTCATGACTCTACTAACCTGGACGATATACATCTAAAAATATGTAACGATACTCCCGTGTGCAAACATTTACTTTATCACATTGGGGATTGCTGGAAAAGGGGAAGTTGTTTTCATACACAGGTCAGGAGCTTCAACGATTTCACATAATGTAAGACAAATGTTAACTAAAGGGCACACGAGTGAATTCTCGGTCAAAAATTACTTACCGTCATCACTTGTCTTGGATACAAGACTCGTTTCAGAGTTATTTATCGTGTTCTTGCTGACACTCATTGCGAACGGAGTGGAAAGTTTGAGAATTTCTTTAACATCAAACTGTCTTGAAAACTGTTTTTGTACTTGTTCGCCGAGATGAAAGTCTTCTTGAACGCCGGTCGATGACATTTTTGAAGATATGGACGGTAATTTCAGAGTTTCATTCCTTTCTGTCGCCTAATCAAGAAAATACTTTATGAATTCCCCCACAAATATCACCAAAAAATTTTTTTGCAATCTTCGAGGAAATTTGTTCGCTGAAAATCGCGAGATGATTAAAAAATTTCTAATTTCAAACGAAGCAAGGCGATTCGTCACATACAAACTCAAAATGTAGCAATTGGTATATTACCTTAACGAATCCACTCGGCGAGATTGAGATAACATCACAGGAAGGGCGACCAGGCTAAAGCTTTTTACTCTCTATACTTCTCAAATTTGAGCTAACGCGAGAAATTAGATTTGAAAAAGACTTGAAAACAAGTATAAAATTACGCAGATATATCGATAAATGTACTAGATAACACAAATAGCTGCTTTCAAGACAATAAATATTCAAACGAATATAAATGTCAACAAAACTATCGGACCGTCTGAACAAGTAACCAAAAGTCGGAACAGAAACAATCGGATCGTGTGAACGGGTCGTTATACTTTTCTCCTAATTTCAATACCTCAAGTTCGTGCGAGATGGAAACCATCGGTCGTATCTTTAAAAAACTCTTTACTAAAAAGAAAACACCTGGAACACCTCCAAGCTGAGCTTGCTGTAGATTATTGTACACTGTTCTTTCTATGTATTTCTGATACCTACACAACGATGGGGGAAATATACACTCAGTTAAAACAATTAAAAGGGGAGTAACTAGGGATATAAACACAATGTTGCATCGACCATTGGGGAAGAGGGGGGGTGACTAGGGATATTCGTACTCAGTTGAATGGCCATTACGAGGATAACTAGGGACGTGTACATCCACTTGAAACGGCCATCACGAGGATAACTAGGGATCCAGAGGAATAACGCAAACTTACATATAAACATTGCCTTTTTGAATAGTAATTTGAATCAAACTTAAACATGTTTTTATTTACTCGATTTGATTTCTATTCATGAATCATCGACGAGAACATACACGGAAAACAAAAAGAATAAAACTATTATCTGCTTTCCTTAACTAGTTAAATGCGGCTATGATTACAAGTGATGCTTAAAATAACTACTTGTTCTCCACAGTTCAGGAAAAAAACTCCAACTGAAACGTAAAATTCAACGCTCTACTGCGAGTATATCCGAGTATCATGAGGAAAGGTCTGATTGGAATGGTTGATTTTCAAACTTGACACTACACATTATAATTAAGATACTCGACTTATATTTGCCAAGTGAATTTGGTAGCTCTTGGAGATCACTGATTGATACTTATGATCATAGAACGATATTCATAGTATGCAAGATGATTATTTGAGGTATTAAAGCCTGGTTCAGACGAGTAAAATAAGCACGAACGTCGAGACTTCTGTTTCTATTGCTCTAGAGGTTTATAAAGACAAAGAGAATGGGATTTTCTTTCAATCTTCTTTTTGTTCTTCTCTTAGCTTATGCTTGAATTTTTTTCCTTATGTTTGCGCTTATGTTGACGCTTGTGTCACATGCGTCGTTGATTGTCTTTGTTTTATCTTTTGTCTACGCTAGTGCTTATCCTTATTTCACTCGTGCGAACCAGGTATTAATGATCCACAGGATGATCTGAGGACAAAATGAACAAGGTATTGATGATTCATGGGATGATCTGAGGACAAAATGATGGCAGTGCGAAACAAAAAGTTAACATACCGTTTCTCTAAAAATGATCGCGCACGCTGTATGAAAAAACCCTGTGAGTCTACGGAAAATCTGCAATGGAATAATAAACAACATTTTTAATATTTCTCTGTGCTTCATTGTAACTGGAATGTCGAAATCTTCCCCAGATGTCATGCGCAAGAGTCAAGTACCTTGACCTTTCAGCAGAGGAGGTTGACGATATCGTTGCATTGAGGTCAGTCATTTGATCAACCAGCATCCAGCAATCTTTGATGTGCTATATTGTGTTGTGTAGAATAAATTGTTGACGCAATTTTCACAAATGAGAGCTTGAATACGAAGCACATGCAAACAAAGTTGCTAAATAATAATACCTGGTCATCGAATTTGCTTGCCGTGTTGTGAAAGCCATCAACGAGGTCGAAATCCATTCCCTGAAGGACAGCTTCGTTGTGCATATAGATCTGAAATCACATGATACCAACTTATCTCCAGTTTTCTCAAAGGAAGAAACAACGCGTCACATGCGTTTTTGCCTTCCCGGGAGCCTGAGCATGCCTCGCGCCTCCTTATATTAGGAGAATGGTGATGAGCGTGAACAAAAAGTGTGATGGTGTCAGCTTTTGCCATATTTGCGTGAAATATCACGAAGTGAGACAAACGAAGTGAACAAAGCATGCTGGGAAAATAAGGCCATGCAGAGTTTATAAATTTACTTTAAAGGAGTAGTCAGACCTTAACACAACTTTCACTCATATGAAAGTGTATATTGTTCTTACCTCTCTCGCGAAATCCTAGGTTTCCAATTCAAATTTAACTCGAGAAATAATGCCTTAAATGTGTGTATTTTTGCCTCTTGTTCGATCGCCATTGTGTACATGCAAGCGAAGCCGCAGTCCAGCAGCGGTTTTTCGTCGTTACGTCACTGCGCGGTGATCGTTGTCAACATTGGACAAAATATACTAGCAAAAGTAGAAATTACGCATAGGCATATTCATAGTTGCATTTTATTTTCTAAGTTTTTAAATTATTTTGCGCAATGGATACGGATTACTCAAACGATTCCTCTAGTAATTATTCTGGAAGCAGTGTTTCAAACTACGAAGAAATGATTAACGATCAAAACATGATTCAACCATATGCTTATGAGCCGATTGAAACAGACTCTAGCGACGAGCCTATGGACGACTCCGACGAAGTTCAGCTGTTGTAACAATGAATGAAGACTCAGCACAATTTGAGGGAATAGATACTCCGGACTGTATTACAGATAATCTTGTTTTTCGAAATCTTTGTTTAAATTAATTATTAATTATTAATTATTTGTTTAATTATTGGGTATGACGACTGGCATGGAGTGAGTACAAACAACACTATGGTTCAAGAGCTGAAGAAGGACCTTAACACAAAAGACAAAGCCATGTGGCTTACAGGCAACTGGTTCGATGGTGTTGGAATGTATTGGGCAAGGAAATTAGAGTACCACTACCATCTTGTGCTGTTAGCTGCATTCAAGCACATTTCCCAACACCAGGTCTAGAAGAGGACTTTGTCTTTGAGGGTTTTAAATTCGCTGATGAATAATAATGGTAATGTAAACTATTATAGCCATATTTATAAGTATCGTTAATGATGAATTACTAATAAATAAAAATATAAATTGGATTTAGTAAATGAACAATAAATACTAATTATAATGGCCAAGCCAAACCACTCTTTATTTGTGCTATGCAAGGATTTTGGTGTACATAATTGAAAAGTGCCTTTGCTAATGAATTTGCATAGCAAAACAAAAAATTGGGCTACTTTACTATTAGAGATTCTCTTATTATTAATTATAAATATTGATATATACATAACTATTTTTGAGGACTGTTTACCCATTCTTGATTTGTGTGCTTGTATAACACTTTCTTTGTTTGGCTTTTCTATAGGTGCAATATTTCTTGGAATGTTTGCTGATAAAGAAATCTTGTTATGTACATTTTTTACATTAAAACAGCAGACATCTTCCATCATACCTTGCACAAAACAATATGACTTACTCGCCATAATTGGCTTGGCTACCCAATTTTTTGCCCTTTTGGGAACACGATATTATATCGCTTTTCCCCTTGCTGCTTTCCACATTGAACTTGTGCTTGTTTTCTGCCAGTGTTTACATTGTGGTCTATCATTGCCAACTTGGTTCTTGCAAGCATACCTTTATACGAAAAGCACTTTTAATAAAGTATTTTCCCTCCTTCCACTTATGCTTATTGTGCTTATAAATTTCTATCAATACAAGAGTTGCGACCATCGCATTACTTTGTGCCAAGACCTACTTGCAAGAAGGTGCAATTGATTTGGGTCACATGACAAGAGGGGAAGAATTCTACATGAAGATGACAATGATGTAATTAATCATCAAAATGACATACATTCTTTTTGGATTCTTCTATTGCAGCCAAGATAGCATTTTCCCTTTCATTTCTCAAAAATCCCTAAAATTTCAACAAGTATCAAATGTCAAACTGGAGACAGTCTGTGAAACAAAAACACAAACACAAACACAATCCCACAACATTTGCTGTGCTCCATTCCAAAGAGCAACCCAACCTAGCTGGCTAAAACATCCTTAATAAATACTACAAATTCAAAATTAAAAGTACTTAAGGCTTTCCTAAGATACATTGTTTAATGATTACCTGAATGTCCGCATCTCTGATTGGTTCCAATGGCTCAAAGGTATTGGCCGTACTAAGATTATCTAACTTTTCTGACAACTTCGGTAAATCAAAGTCTTTGGAACCGAGCAGTATAGACCTGGTCAACATAGAATAATCATATTACATCAAGTAATATAAATATCTGAACAACACAAACAGTAGATTTTTGACATACACAAATTTGTCAAAGAATGCTTGAGAAAGTAGTCCAAAAAGCTTGCTGTTACTGGCTTTCATAACAGGGGACAAAATTAAAAGTACTGTACTGTGCTTGCTGTTACTGTGCTGAAATTCGTAGAACGTTGCATATGAATGTTGATGGAGTCCGCAAACGAGGTAGACCGAGAAAGAGATGGATGGATGTTGTGAACAGTGATATGAAGGCGATGGGTATAACGAGAGATATGGCGAGAGATAGAGATGTGTGGCGTGGAAAAATTCATGGACCGGTCAACCCCCCTGGCGGGGATTAATACTGGCCGGTATATAAATGTTGTTTGTTTGTTGTTTGTTGTTACTGGCTTTCAAAGTTTTTAAATATAAACATTGGTGTACAACTAACTGACAAGGATGGGGGTTAGTGGAAGGTGGTTCATAGGTTTAGCCATCCAAGAATGTGGAGGTTGTATTATCCATTAAGGTCAAAAGTTGGGTATTTTCTTTCAACAAATGAACTCATTACACATAAATGTGCCAGATGAATGAAAAAAAGGAGGGAAGTGTGAACAACAGTTAACAGATTTTCTCATCAACTTACGCTCTGGCATCAGCATCGTCGCCAGCCCCCCCTGTTGTTTTCTTCCACAGTCGGTCACCTGCTTCTGCCAATTGATGCAGGTTTCTCTCTATCCTCGGAAGCTCGCCACCACTCTCAATGTCCGCCGTCAGCTGTTCGGCTTGCTGAAGTAAATCACTAAATCCTGACATCTTTTTTCGGCAAACGCGACAAGTTTTATATTGAAAACCACACTTTAAAAACAGGTTGTTTCAAATTCTCTTCACTTGAACATTAAGCTCAAAACTTCGAAAAAAAGCGTACAGTTGGATACTTTGAATATCAATCTTCAAAAGCGTTTCACTTTCTTTTCAAATTTCCGCCATGGCAATTTCGTGAGCCCCCGCACACTTATGGCAAAATATCGTTATACGATTTCATGTAATACAAATATAACTGTTTACTTTTTAACAATATGGCGGCAATTAAGGAATGAGAAAACGGCTGACTAACGCATCGATTAAAATATACAATTTTGCCTGATCAAGATAACTCGTAGTGCATATATAAGTTGGGAAATGCTGTAACTGCTTGCTGGCTATTTCGTTTTTACATTCTTTGGTGAAACTTTCAAGTTTCAACTTCATACTATACGAGCTTGCAGGTTGTTGAATTTAAACTAGTCGACATTAAATCACACTTCAATGATAAATAGCTTAAAACTGCTCGCTGATACGTATGGCGAAGATGAAGACGATACAAGCGAAGCAGACGCGGTCAAAACTACACCAAGCTCTCAGGGAATAAAACGACAAAGAGAGAGTAACGATGACATCAATGGCTTAGAGAAAATAAGGTTTCCATAGAGATACAAGTTTATCGTTTCACTCCCTCCCCCCATGTATCCAGACCACAATCAGAGTGGAGCTTAGGACTTTAGTACAATAAACATTATACTGCACACCATGACACGGGTGAAGTAGTAAGCTTGCGCGCGCATCGATGCTTAAAATCCCTTTCCATTCTTTTTCCTTTCATAGCAAAGAAAAGCTGGAAATTCCAAGTGGAATATTAGACATGTTTAATGACAGCGAAGGTTGGCCCGATGACGTGTCACTTCACCAAGGACGGACACGTGGTTTTGATCATTTTCCCGGCAACTGGGCGACGCATGTTTTCGTGCCATGTACGCATCTTGCGTGTTGAGGTTTTTTTTTGTAATCAGGAAAAGTGACAATCATGGTTTTCAGTCATCACTGTTGATGTTGAGAACATGACGGTGGAACATCGTGTTACATGTTTGTAGATGTAGATCGTCCAGGTTAGCAGAGTCCTGAGAAAGACTGTTGGTGTTGACTGCTGTACAGAGTTAAAGATGACTACCGCTAAGGTCGTCGAAACGTCAGTCAACATCAACACCAACAGTACTTCTCAGTACTCTACTGACCTGGACGATCTAAATGCACAAACATTTGACGATACTCCCGGGTTCAAACCATAAACTTCATTTAGAACAGTGTTAGGTGGATAGGATACGTTTTTTGGTTAGTAGGCTTGGCAATTTTACTAACAGGATTTAGGCAATCTTTTCATTCTCTGAGAAGGCCACAGGTCACTAAGTGATTTTATATAGGGAAAAGTAAAGTCATCCGCTTGAAGCTAGATGAGATCTTTGAGCAGCCGCTTAAGTGCACTAAAGCCCTTGGACAACATCGTCGTCACTTTCAATGACATCATCATCGTCGTCACTTTCAATGACATCATCATCGTCGTCACTTTCAATGACATCATCGTCGTCACTTTCAATGACATCATCGTCGTCGTCACTTTCAATGACATCATCATCGTCGTCACTTTCAATGACATCGTCATCATCATCATCACTTTCAACATCATTCTTTTCTCAATAATGGTTCAGTTTAGCAATCGATCTTTCACGTTATTTTTAGTTGATCTTCCCGAAACCTTTGACCTCTTTATATCGTACCTACGAAAGATTTGGTCCAATGAAGACTTCGAGTTGCACATATTTGACACGCGTGATTTCCACGTAAGCATATCGCGAACAGTTCCCATCAGGCATCATTGGATTAAGCCGCTGACCAAACTCTTGGAGCATGGCTTCCACGGAAAACGCAGGTAAGAAGTCTTGGGTGTAATACTTATTAGAAATAAAACGCGTGCTCTGATTGGTCTACAGCTAAGTTTGCAATAGCCTGTAAAAACCGATCTGAGCTCAATCAAAGATAATTTGCAAAACAATCATGACTACATATCAAAGGAAAAATCAAAACGTTTGTGTTTTAAATTTGTCTGTTTCGCATTTTTTGTTTTATAAACGAAATAAAACATGTTTTTCGTTTTTACAAAGGTTTATGCAAACCCCAGAGACGTTTGTGAGAACTCTCGAGCAGGTGCAAACCTCCACCTTTGGTCTCGGGCTTGCACTGCTCTGCTCTCGAGTTCTCCCAAAGGTCTCCTCGGTTTGCATAAACATGGCAAACACAGTAAACATCGTTTATTTCATACCTCTTACACGTGAAAATGAGTAATAGGTATTAATTCTTTACAACAGACACAATGACAACCTTAGCAGTAGTCATCTTCAGAGTTAAAAGATGAGCTTTTTTCTCATTTTTGACTACTGAAGATGACTACCGCTAAGGTTGTCGAAACGTCAGTCAACAACAACAAAAACAGTCCTTCTCAGGACTATACTAACCTGGACGATCTACATCTACAAACATGTAACGATACTCCCGGTTCAAACCATTTACTTTATTAGACATTTTGATAATCAACGCGGGAGAATTTTTCCACAGAGAAAACACTCATATCAATTCTAACAATTGTTCCAATTTAGGTTCATTTGTGATTTTCAGAAAGTTTCTTTGTACGTTAACGATGACAGAACGCGGTGGGTTGAAAATTTTATCTAAACCTATAAACAACTGTTTTTTAGAAGTACATTTCAGCATCACGTACGCTTTTTCTTTTGTGTTACCATAAGGACGTTCTTGGCTTTAGATGTCACCATTGGGATATCACAGGTAATCCATTAAAAATCCTCTAATCCTCCATTGTACCGAGATTATCCTACATGAGTAGCGTAAGCTCTCCCGAAATCTACCGTTCAAATTTGAGTAACGTTCTGAACATGACATGGTTCTTTTATTTAAGTTGAAGGATTTGGTGCTAGTTGTCGACAAGGCGTTTCGGGAGTTTGGTCTTCAGGAATATTACGATGTAAGAATAACGAAAACAAGATCATAAATATGTACAAAGTACGCTAACATGCTGTCATTGTCACTTATTGCCATTACTTTATGTAATTGTGTTTATCGCTAATCAGCTTTACTACACATATTCTTCGCCTGCTTACGTGACAACATTTCTAAGAAGGTTTCCATGAATTTTTCTACTGATTTTTTGTACATACAGGAACCGTCATTTCACGCCAGTTTTGCCTGGTGTTTGGGCGACGCAAAGGAACATATCACATCATCGATGTTGACAAAACTTCAGGTAAATCCGAACATTAGTCTATTGAACTGGCATTTTTTTATCATTATTCCGCCTATCCGTTAGCCATCAAAATGTGAAGTCACTTTGAGCGATGGAAGTTAATTGAATGAGCAGTTGGCATTTTTATTGTGGAATGTCGGAGTTCAATGGTACTTAAGATGAAGATCGTTCATGTTTAAATTACATCAATAGTATTTCACATGACAACATTTTTGACGGCATGAAAAAATGCAGGATTGCATGTGTATTTAGGAGGAAGAAGGGGGGGGATGTTTCTGCTAAAATGGGAGAGGTATTTTGATTGTAATAAACCCTTTTATGGTTATTGAAAACATAATATTTTGAGGGTTTACCTCCCTCCCCCCCCCCGCTCTTGTTGCTGAACTTTAAGGTCGACGTATTTCGATTGTAATGACAATCAACTATTTTCCTCTTCAAGAGCATTTTGGATTCTTACATGGAGGAAAGTTCTTCGCTCGTCGTTGAAACCAAAGAGATTCGTTGCCACATCGGCAACAAATCATTTCACTTCGATTTGCTTCGAAAGTTCGAATAAAATAGTTGTTTAAAGAAAATCAACTAACGCCAAAATGCCTCAAATGACATTTACTAATTCAATAATCAACTTTACGACAATGATTTTTACGATATGATTCGCAAACCTGTCATAAGAGAAAAGCTCAGCCTTGAATCTTCGTCTGTAAAGTGAAAAAAATAAACAAATGTTAATTGATGCAAACGTTGAAAATTTTACCAAATTTTACCAAAAACATTGTTTTCCAAGCTGAATATTAACAAAGTATGTATAAACACACAAACATCATAACTCAATTTAAAAAGTTACAAACAAAACCAGTTTCACGAGCCCATCTCATGCTAAATGATAAAATTCTTTTGGAACATTAAATTTTTTTCTGCTTGTTGGTAGCTCTCAGTTATCGTTTGCAAAAATAATATAAAAATGTAAGCACAGACAAGGATGTTTTGTCAGCAAATGTAAATAACACAGTATTTTTCTGAATACTTACTGTACTCAATTAAAAGGACGAAGCAATTGTATATTGGCTTGTCTACGAAATATTCAACTGACCGCTAACGAACCTGGGCGCTAACGAACCTGGGCGCTAACGAACTGAGCGCTATTCAACTGCAGCGCTAACGAACCTGGAAGGATTGCAATTCGTCTGTAAGGAATGCCTTCTATATACAACGTTTCTTTGTCGTTTTTATGTTTATGTTTCCTGCGTCCTTTTCTCTCTTCTATGCCAGCACCATCGTCAAATTTCATGTCGCTGGCTAAAAATCTTAACAAAAGAACAATGGTTGAAGTTCAAGTGTGTTCAAGTCTCAGTCGTTCCTAGACTTCCATTCAGTTGTCGGTCGTTCCCAGACATCCAACTTGTCGCAGGCTAACCCAACTATCTACAGGCTAATATCAAACTGTTCTTAAATTTTTGACCATTTATTTGCACGAAACACGCGCTGCTATAAGCAAATGCAAAGTTATTGTAACGAAGGTCGAGAAATTCTGCCGTTAAATATCTTTATGCTATCGTAAATGAAGCCCTCTTCATTTCTGTATGATCAAACTTCGACTGCTTTTTGTGGATTTCAGCAGGCTATCTCACCCGACAATCTGCAGGCTATCTCACCCGAAAATCTGCAGGCTACCATAAACGACTATTTTCAACTAACTGCCATCGATGACCATTGAACAACCCAGTGTTTCCAGACACTATATCCAGGGGCTGGTTGCACGAAGGCCGAATAGCGCTATCCTGAATAGCAAATTT